TTATGGATAAATCGATTTAGCTACAGTCACAGTCGAAACATTTGCAGAGTGAGTCAGGAAAATTCAGATTGTAGATAAAAATGAGGCGTACACGCTCGAAGCACAAAGTAAATCACATGTCCTCAACAGTCACATGGTCATCTGTAACTCCCTGCACAGGTGAAACGATTTCAAAAGTCTCTTTTTTTCTCTTTTGCAGACAAAAGTTTGAATAAGACGTGACCCTAACGCCCGTAAGTGGTTGTGTCCTGTTACAGCTCGGCTGTCAGAGATGATGGTTAAGTGACCTCTTGCAATCTTAAGTACTCAGAAGCTGCTAAACAGCTGGAGTAAATTGAGAAACAGCCTCAGAGACGAGCATGCACATAATCAGAGTTGCACGCTCGAATCTGATTCCGCTCCAAGCGTGCTTCAAGGTTGACATGAGCAACGCTCTGAATTTTACCTTTGAACGTTTTACCCTTTACTTTCGTCATTATTAGACTTGTTCGGTTCAAACGTAAACGTAACGAAGGTGTCCTGTTATAGGAGCATTAAGACGTTTTACACAAACAGAATAATGTCTTAAGAAAACTTTCATTGTGCTTAAAATTATGAGGTGACAGGCAGTGATTTGGTGAGTATTTTGGCTTTATGAAAGTGTTGAAGATAAATCCTGGTTAATGGATAAGGCAAACAAAAGTAGATGTGTGATTATGAAGGAGTTCAGTCCTTCAGGAGGAACATGACTGTAGAGTTTTCAGTCCCTGCGTGAAGTCATGTGTTTCTGTTTAGACAGGTAAACAAAGCAGGTCATGTTGCTCTGCGGTCATAAATGACAGCTCAGGTTTTCTCACTGATGACACACTTAACCCCGGAGGAAGAGAAAGGGTGTGTTATTTAGAAGAGGGATGATGATACAGGAGCGTGCAGGTAATGTTAGCCTTGGCAGCGTTTCATCGAGCTCGTGGCCTTTCACCTGGTAAAGAAAAGCTCTGCTGACTCCATGACTTGCTTCCTCTCAGCCTGCTGCTCTCTGGTATTTTTAGCGTGATATCATATTCTCCATGCAATTAAGAAGGATGCGAGTAAACAATGTGCTGGTTAGAGGCCAGCTTTAAACTTGGCCCAGTCATAATCAGAGACGGTTTCAACTGAAGGAGGAATAACTTCATGCGTTGGCGGGAGCGCAGCACAGTCCATGGGGGTTGGAGGTTTTTTTTTTTTTTTTTGTATTTTTTTTTTCACAGAAACACTTGTGTTTTATATTTGCGCCTTGCCACACATTCTTTTGTGTTCATGGGGGAGGAAAGGATGAGACATTGACTTTTTGAAGTCTTTCTGCTTAGTCACGTAAAACATTCCATCGAGATAAAATAACACCACACAGACAATTCTGAAGACACCTCCACGCTTTACAACCGATTACAATCATGACAGACTGTGCATGAGCGTGTGTAGAGGTGCGTAGTTAAGAGCAGTAATTTGTTTCTTTGTCTTTGAGTGTATGTCTGCAGAATTTATGCATCAGTCTGTTTGAATATGTGCATGTGCATACAGGTGTGGAAAGTGGTGCAGCATGCATCAAGGTGTGTCTGATGGTACTTGCATGAATTTGCACATGATCTACAGAGGGTAAGTGTGCATGTGCATAAACATCTTCATGAATCCACAGTAGCCTCTGACCTGCAAGAGTAAAAATACGAACGGTAGGTCAGAGTGGCAAACAGCTCACCTTAAGCTTGGGGTTTTCATTGTCAGAGGATATTTATATCTGTTAGGAACAATTGAGAAAGATGGGTTTGATTTCCCGCTGTGGCCTCTGGCTCGGCCTTCCTGTGGGTGCAGAGTCAACCTCAGTCAGATGCGCTGATTGGAGCCAGATCCTTTGTCCCAAATTCCATCTTTTGGTTTGCACCCTTGAACCTCACAAAATCTCTAAACTAAATCCCGTAGTTGCTGGTGTTTGTCCCACATTACATAAATCCAGCTCTAATTGGATGTTAGGAGATGTCAGGAGGGCTATTTGGAGGAACATGTGCAAGAGGAGGAGAGGGATGATATGCAGGTGAAGTAAGGATGAAGCTAATATTTCAGCGTGAGCCAGAGCCGCTCTTTCCAGTGATAGTCAGTGGAGTTGGTGTGAAGTGGAATGCTGCTGTTAATTCTTCACTCTCTGGACCCACTTTCTGTGTTTTTCATTTTTATGAGGCGGAGGAGGACATCTGTTTGCATCGTTGACCCATACAGGAATCCTTGGGGGACCTGTTAATCTTCCATAGAGATCAGTAATGCGAAGATCCAGTGATATGCTATTTTTGTCTACTCCCTCGCCAGATGCTTCGCTGAACTCTTAATACGACTGTATCGCACCCCTGGGGTCCATGAATTGTCATGTGTGATACTGTGAAGGAAGGTAAATGTTCTGCAGGCATTTTATTTTACTGTCCCAAGAGAACCGCTCCGCTCCGTAAACCTCCACAGGCCCCGGGGCTCCAGAGAACCCCGTCCGTTCGTTGTAAATACCCAGAATTCCTCAAACTTTCAAACCCTATATATTTTGAATTCCTCAGACGCCTTTGGACACTTTGTAAATTCAGATGCTGTGGTACTCGAGGGGGCAGTGAGACCCCATAACCCAGCCTTGTCCTTTATTTTCTAACCGAACCCCCCCACTCCCTCTCTCTCTCGTACGCACACACACACACTCACTCACACACACACACACACCCCCTGCGATGGATTCCAGATCGAGAATTTAATGCATTTCTGTTTCGCATCACCTCCCAGGAATGCAGCGCGCGTGCCACAAGCCTCATAACCTTAGGCTGATGAGTGTGAGGATGTTTAAAAGAGAGAGGGATGATGGGATACAGACGCTGCTGGGGGTTATGGGGGGTATCAGGGGGGTTGACGGAGCGCATCCGGCGCGGCACTTGGCATTAATGACAGGCCATCTTCCTGAATACAGCGATGTTAGTGCAGCTGTGGTATGTGCGGAGCGCATCTGGACAGCAGATTTTTGGGAACGTATTTTTGTGTGTGTTTGTTTGGTCTGTCCTGTCTCACTCAAATTAACGACTATTGCACGATACAGAGAGAGGATGGAGTCGATTAACTTTGTTGGGGATCTTTTAGGGGGGCTGATCTAGAAATGGAGATTTTACAAGGTTTTTTTTTCCGTCCTATTCTGGCGGCGTCAGCTATTTCTGTGTGTTGAATCTTGTCAGGATTAGATGCTTAATGTCAGGTTTCTTGAAAATGCGCAGATTGACTACAGCGCGGCTCTGCGTGACAGCCGGGTCAGCGTCAAACAAAACCTCCACACGCTTGTCATTTCGGGTAAACCTGCATGGAGCACCTCGGCGGCGGTGGAGTCTGTTTTATTCATCAGAGGAATGTTTTTAAGTGGCGGCTTTATTGGTTTCATGTAATTTACAGTCAGAGCTGCTCAGATGCAGTTACTCAGCTTTAGAGTAAACAAACTAATACAGCTTTTTCTGTTTGACCTCAATCCTGATCTTAACCGCCTGAGTCTCTAAAAAAAGAAGTCATCATCATAATTTTTAACAGAAGTACTTTCTCTGAATCGGTCTCATTTAAACACTTCTTTGTGGATAGAGTGAGGGATCAGAGCGAGTTTTCGGGGATGAATTAATCTGCAGATCCTGCAAACAAAATCACAAAATTGTCAAATGTGTGGTTAGATTCATCAGCTCCTAAATGTCTGAAAAAAAGAGATTTACAGTGCACCCGGAAAGTATTCATACCACTTCTCTCTTTCCACATTTTGTTATGTTACAGCCTTATTCCAAAATGGATTAAATTCCTTTTTTCCCTCAAAAATTCTACACAAAATACCCCATAATGTCAAAGCAAAAAACTTTTTTTAGAACATTTTGCAAATTTATTAAAAATAAGAACACTCTCCCAGTTTAGGGGGGATAAGCTGTAAGACATGCTCTCTTTACAGAGCAGAATGTGCGGCTTTCTAAGGCTCAGCAGATCCAGAAAAAATTCAGATTCCTGCATCAGAGCAAAACAAAAACTTTTAGATTTGTTCACCACCAGTTCACCTTTTGTTGACATTATTTTTATCAGATAGTTGCAGGTTTGAATCAGATTTTACCAAGTTACTATTGTTGAATATTATAAATTTAATTGGTTTTGTTGCTGAACAATCAGCTATTGGCACAAGTTTGACTTATGGTAGTTAAACTTAAAGTTTTGAGAAGTTACAACATGATAAATCGTGTTTTTTGCGGGTTTTTTAGGTGGACATTTCTAAAGTTTGAACATGGCAGCCAAACTCAGAGAGAGAAATAAGACTCGGCTCCAACAGGTGACCAGTCTTAGACTGGTCCAAGTTTTATATATGAATGATAAAACACTAAAAACATCAGTTACAACACATCGCATTTATCACAGATTCTCCACAGAGAGTTCTTGGTTAACCCAATAGCATTTGTATAAATAACCTATGTCGTGTGATTGGCATTCTTTCTCTACTTTGATACTCAGGTATCTTTAATTTTGGCAGGACATCAGCTGAAGAGGTTGACAATTTAATTACACATTTCTAGAATTACTAAGTTAAAGGATAAAACCATGATCTGGTCTCTGTCTCGCATTAGCCAAGAAAAGAAACCCCAGACTGTGACCACCTTTATTTTGGAAAATGTGAAATTTAGACAATGAAGTCATGGAAAAAAGTCACTTTGCTGCTACATTTTTATTTGTCCTAATCTGATCCAAAGTGAACATGTTTACTACAGTTAGAAAGTGTCTGTGTTTCCCCTTGAATCTGCTCTTTTACCCTCAGAAACACTCTCAAAGGCTCAATGTGGCGTTCATGACGATCTAGCCCCCTCTGGTGGGTGTAAAAAGTCATGACAGTGTTTCACTCATAGTTTGAATCGGTTTAACTTGCCGTTATCTTATCTGACTGTGTGTATGACTGTTGTAGTTTCTTTATCTCTAGGTGTTTTCTTACGAAAGGCTGAGTCAAATAGATTCTGCAGTGGGAGGCAGTTGTTTAAGTCAGGTTTTATTACATAGTTCAGTCTTCAGCTTTTTACATATTTATAAAAACATAAAATAAAAATCACATTTTACTCATGACAGTAGAAAGGCACCAGTGGTTACATTACAACACAGTACAAATGTTCTGCAGTTAGTTTTTGTTGTTGTTGTTGGTGAGACTGAAGTCAGACGCCCTACATCAAACTTGACAGGAAGGAAACAGTGAAAGAGCCAGATCTTTAGATAGAGACAAACCTAGTTCAGACAAACTGGAAATTATACGACTGATGAAAGATTATGTCAACCATAATTCAATATAAACATGTAGTTCTTATTTTATTAGATATCTTCGTTAAACGTCATTGACTTTAATTTAAAATGTCGCCCTCAGGTTCAACCGGGAATGCCTCCAAACAGTTTTACTTCAGCAAGCAAAGAAAAAAACTGTGACAGAAGAAGAACGGTTAAAAAATATGTACAAAAATCCCTCATCTTTATAAATGAAATGATTCCAGAGAGTCAAGAGGAAAACAGACACAAGACAGAAAAGTTAAGCTTCAGCAAATCTTAATTTTATAACAGCCTGACGGTGGGGAGTAGTGCTTTTCAGAGATGACAATTCACAAAGAGTTCATTCATTACTACGTCACAAATCATCAAATGGACAGATTTCTGTTCGTTTTACTGTAGCTTTGAGGTTTTATCCAATTAAAACCTGCATTCTCCATAACGGCCAACAGGGGGAGACGTCTTATGAATAGTGCAATCGTATGAAACCGGATGTAAATATGACCTAAAGAAGTATAAATCAAGATTAATTGATCCCAGTTAAGGGTTGCTCTAAAGTTTATGGTCTTAGTCATTAAAGTCTTCCTCAGCATGACTTTAATCCTGAAGATAATTGAAACACCGGGGAGTCAAACACATGATCAAACAGGTAGACTTCAGGTTGTAGCTACCCTGTGATTTACCTCTACCTTCATTTTAAGTTCCTCTTCTGTAAAGGCAGCCCCAAACTGACCTTCATACTCTGTGTTAGTTTTGACTCTTTAAAGTTAATTTTACTTCCTGCGCAGGTCTGACCCCTGGATGAACTTGTTCTTGTTTTAAACGTTTTTAACGTTTTTTAGTTGATCATGAAAAATCCACAACTATTTATAACACAACAAAAACAAACAAAACTGTCGACAACAAAGTCATATTAATTCTTCTCTTAGTATTTTTGTTACGACTAGTGACATTTATCCTCATGATGTGTCCGAGTCTGTGTCCCGCTCCTTCAACGTGGTGTTGTACGATTTCAGACACTGGTTCCTAATCGGCAGCTCTAAAGGCATAAAGGTGATTGATCTTGCACTTGAATCCCACTGAAAATCCAGTTTATATCCAGTATTTCCAAGCAGTCCTCTGGTCTCTTCTCTCGTGTTCATGTTTCAGGGCTTGTTTGAGGCTCTCTACTGGGCCTGGTTCTTCATCTCCTGCCATTTCTTCTCCCTCAGACTGAGCTCGCCCTCAGAAAAGGCTGCCGGGCCCCAGTTAGTGATCATCTGTGGTCCTTTTGAACCTGGAGGGGAAAAAATCAGAGACTTTTGACTCCAAGTCTGCTGTGAATGAATCTCTTATATTAAGTTACAGATTTAGTGGATTTATGAAGTTGACAGAGATCTTTATAGTAATGCAGCTCGCCCTTATTTCCTGTTAACAGCAAGAATAATCCCGTCTTCTGATAACTGACTCCATATTCCAGATAATACTGAGTCACGGTTCTTTGGTACGGACTGACTCTACTTTGATTCGTATCAGATGAGCTGTTAAATCTTTTTGGCTTTCGTAAAATTCTTTCACCTCAAGAGTTAGGAAAGAAAGATATTAAATCTATTACCATCATCTCTCTGTGTCGTAAACAACATTATCATTACGAAGCCTCCAACCAAAAGAATCTGTGGTATTTATCTCATTGTTGTCTTTTGCCCCCCCGTTTGGCTGCGACCTGCTTTGCCTGAGAAGGCTGTACACACTGAACTGAGAGAGCAAAGTGCCAAATTGTGTCTCCTTTTACTAATTTTACAAACAAACTCTTCTGGGAAATGAGTTGGAGGACGGCCATGTTACGTCTGTTTATGGCAGGAGTCAGTTTGAAGGGCTCTGGAGAAAAGGTCTGAGCAGGACCGGTTTGTTAGGAAGCTCTTAATTTCAGGTATGTATTAAAGTGAACAGATGGTAGGAGGTTAATTATCTATGACTTACACCTCTTTTCTTTTTTTTGAAGTAAGTGGACAATAAATCATTATCAAGACTCTTTAACTACTTGTTCCTCATCTTTTAGAAACTGTTTTATTTTTTTGTCCTTGTTTCCTCCCTCTGTGTTCAAAACATTACAGTGGTGGAGCATCTTAAAAATCATCGATGAAGGCCTGCCTAACTTTAACTTAAACCATCGCTGAAGCACTAAAACACTCTCTAAACTGCTGGAAACAGCGTCCCGACTCCCCAAATCGACCTCTCTGACCACTTCCTGTTGGCACTTCTATCCTTGTGAGGACCACTCTGTGTGAAACTGTTACCTGGTTGAATGAGCCGTAACATGCCCTCGTGTTCAGCCACCTTGTGCTTCCAGGTCCTTGTGTTGTTTGTCGCATCTGTCAGCTTCTGCATCACCGTCTGGTTTGTGGGAAGAAGCATCAACAGTTTGATCATTGAACAGTCATACAGCGACACCGTGTGGTGTGAAAATATACTGTCTCACAGTTACTTCTATGACTCCCCCCAGCTGACCTGGTACTGCTCCAGCGCCCCCTGCCTCTCTTGCTCCAGCTGCTCCAGTTGTTTCATGGCGGCCTGCAGAGCGCTCTCTTTGGCCAGACGTTCCTTCTCCAGCTCCTGTTTCTCCGCCTCCGTCTCTGAGATGGCGCGCTGCTGCTTCAGGTGGATCTGCTCCAGCTCTGCTCTCTTCGCAGCCTCCTCCTCCAGTAACCTGACAGACACAGAACCATGTCAACTCTATTATTTAAATCCTGAATTATTGATCGAGGGGGTAATTAATGTTCTGATGACAGTAGATATATGTGAAGGGTCCACCTGCCAGCAGGTGGTGCTCTAGAGTAGTTTGAGAATTAAAGTGTGTAAATATAGATTGCTCTTCCAGCTTTATGACATTTTCATTGATGATATACTTTTTAAATCAAAGACACTAGATACTACAAAACTTAATCAGTTTTTAAAGGCAGAAGGAATGATCAATAACACGATAAAAGCTCATCTCATACACATTAGAGACAAGATTAAGAAAACACAGAGGTCAAGCTGACAGTGATTTTGTTTAGTTGGCTTCTGCCTCCTTTGGACTTTAGTTTAACACCTGACAACATGCTGCACACACACACACACACACACACACACACACACACACACACACACCTTTCACTTACCCAACAACAGACATATTGACTAACTGACGCACACAACTCATCCATTTTGTTGCTAAAACATTTACTTTGTAATAAATCATTATAGTTGGAGTTAACCGTGTCATCCCCATTTCTTTTCATGTAATAGTACTAAAATATCAGTAGTATTGTGTGATACAAATATCATTCTAGTATGAAAAAAAATCATAGCTAAGTATGATAAAAATATCCTAGTATAGTATGTTAAAATATCAGTATAGTTAATAAAAATTTCATAGTTAAATATGATAGAAACATCATATTTTAATGTGAAAAATATAGTATAGTGTGTTAAAAAATCATAGTATAGTATAATAAAGATATCATGGTCAAGTATGATTAAAAAAATCAAAGTTAAGTATGATAAAAATGTCATAGTATAGTGTGATAAAATATTATAGTATAGTATGATACAAATATCATGGTCAAGTATGATAAAAATGTGGAGGTGGAGGTGAAACCAGATTATGGGAAGTTTTACAGGAAACTCCCTAAACATGAAAACTGTAGGGTGCACTCGTGAGTCTTTTTTTTTTTTTTCATATAAATAGGGGCACAGCAAAATTAATTTTTGCTTAGCCCGACACGCCTGCCACGCCTGAGTTTTTGAGCCTGTCTAGAGGGTTTTTAAGTTAACAATTTTTAAATGATAATAATAAAGAATTCCTGTAATTATTTTAGGGCTCTCGCCTGCTGCTTACAGCATCAGCTCAGGCTCTAATAAACAGAGGTACAGAGCTGACAGCTGTCTTTATAAGAGTTTAATAAAAGCCTCGTGGTCAGTACGAGTGTGCTGATGAACTCACTACTGGTTAGTTTAATGTGAGGTGGAAAGCATGTGTCAGCAGAGAGGAAGGAAGAACGAGGGGGAAACATGGCAGAGAGGAGGAAGTAGACGCTGAATGTCTGGCTGTGTGACTACTACAAAAAGAGGAGCAGATTCAGCCTGATTGGGGTTTTGCGGCTGGTTTGTGTTTCAGGATTCCCATAAACTGTCTGTTTGACTTTGAACAGAGGAGTCACCTGTTTCATGTCTGAGGGGAACAACAATAACTGGCTAAAAACAGAAGTTGGGCCTTGATCCTCTTAATTAACTCACTGTTTACTGCTGCTGAAACGCTTCTTTGGGCTCATACGGCGGGATATATATGAGGTATCTGTCAGCCGATAATCACACAGATGCTGTGATGGATTCTATTCATCCTTCTGATATGTGTTTGTGTTTTTTTGTTCACATTGACTCACCGTGCCTGCAGCTTGCGAACAGCCTCCTCGTCCTGTCTGGCGTGCCTCTCATCCTCCAGAGCGTCCTCCAGCTGACTGTACATGTCCTCTAGCTCTCGAACCCGCTGCAGGTACTGCTCCAGCTCGGTGGACTTCTGGGCCACCTGCTCCTCCATCTGCTGACGAACCTGTTGATCCCAAGATGGAAGAATTTTACAACTCAAGGACAAAAACAGACCTGACCCGATGTGACATGCACTCCCTTGGACCTCTGAAAGTGTGCTAAAGTATCTAAGAGTATGTCAAAGTTACTGATGTCTTTATGATGTCTACACATCATCCTAAAGGTCAAAATGATCGTCATATTGTTTTGGATGATTGGTGTACTTAAATTACTAACTTGCTTTAACATCAAACCGTCTGCTCCAAAGAGGAAGTGGAGTGTACGCTGCTCTTGCTTCACAGCTTGATCTGATGTAACGACATGATGACAAGCAGTAACGTACCATTTTCTCCCTCTCCAGGTCCATTTTGTAACGGTCTTGGAGTTCAGTTTGGGTCTGAAGACGCCGTCTTTCCTCTTCTGCCGCACTAGCCGCTGCCTCCTCCAGAGCCTGGACAAAAGACAGACACGGTTTTGACTCCCAGTGAGACGAACATTTGAGTCTGATCACACTGAAAGGTTGCTCTGAGTTTACTGGTCATAAGTAATGAAATATGATGAAATATGTACACAGTCTGTCAACAGCCTTCGAGGTCAAGAAGCTCCTGTGATGCATATTAAGTAAGATCCTCTATTCGCCGAGTTTTTACCATCCAAAATGTCTATTAATACAAATCCTTCTGTGCATTTCAAACCACTCTCCTCTCCCTCTTCCAACTCATGCCTTTCCAGCTCACACACGAAATACAAAAATGCATATGTAACTAGGGCTGGGCGACAAGACGATAACGATATCAGCTTCACGCTGAACCTCGCAAAGTCACGGAATACCTCAAATCTTTTTCTTTTTTTCTTTTCTTTTGCAAACTCAATCGCATTGCTGTCACAGCACCATTAGGTCTCAGTTGTTACCTATTGGCCCCGACCCAGTACATGACAGTATCCAGTACAGTATCATGACAGACAGCCATCTCAACACTAATGTCTAATCAGAATTGAAAACACTCAGTCCGCTGTTGTGTCAGTCTTCTTGCTTCCACCAGGGACGTGTCTTTTTTCCCCCAGAAAGTCACAAAATCGCATCGGGCTTGATGTATATAGTCAGGCGCGTCACAATTTACCTCCGAATATTTCGTAATTTTGCGTCTTTTATTTGCGTCGTTCCCGGCGTGTAAGGACCTTAAGACCTCACAGATGCAGAAGCTTATTGATATGCTACCACGCAACCAATAAGCACTGTTCAATTTCATTTTTATATCGTGATATATATCGATATTGACTGATATGAAAAAAAATTCCCATATCGCCAAGCCATTTACGTAACTAAATTAATCATTCTGTGCAGAAACATGGCGGTACAAGATGGCAACCTCTTTGTAAGATATCAAAGTCTCATTCTTACAAACCAGCTTTCACATTCATGTGATTTTACACTAATTCAAGAATACTACACTCCTTTCTACCGGCCTGTTTGGCTAAATGTTACTAAATTCTTCAAACTGTACCTTTAAGAAAGTAACTCTTGCACTGAATCCTATTAAAAAGGGGCTACATGTGAAAAAAAAGCAGGTGGACTCTCTCCTGAATGTATAAACTCACTGCACACAGTGTTGTTGCTTCATCATCTCTCTGCTCGCCTGTTTTTCAAACTTTATCTGTTATTGCAGAAACTCCCCTGCTGTAGTCATAATACTGCAAAAAAGTAACTATTGCTCAAACCCTCCCAACTGGCCAGAGATAATGTGAGAAAATGCTTCTGTTTTCAGCCACTTCTTCTTCTCCTGTGTGCCATCCAGAGCAGCCAGCACATTTTTCTCCTGTTGTATTTACATCTGAGCAGAAACGCCGACTCAGATCAAGCATCTGTGAGGAGAGTTTAGCAGGAGCAGTGACCGTGTTACTACTGTCACCCAGCTGAGAACAGGCTCAAGATTGTGACAGTCTTCTACTTTTAGCGACAAAGTGTGAGAGCCAGAGTTCCTACTGCATATTTGTGGGTCTGTGTTTGAGTGTTTGAGAAAGAGAAAGAAGCCAAACCCGTGCACACAAACTTGTGGCCGTACGTGTGTGTTCATTGTGTATTCATTCAGCCATCTATGCGCGAGATGCGCGTCACCTCAATGGTAGATTGTTGTGCATTCATGGGAACGCAGTGTGTGGTACAAACGGAGACAAACTGTTGTTCTCTTCTGCAGTGTGTGTTACACAACAGTGATGTGAACCAGTTTGACCGACTGTTTCGTGTTTTTGGTTCAGTTAAATGGTAGAAAATTCTTCTGAACCACTCATGTCTGAAGCAAATATTCAGATATGAATGAAACATGAAGTAAATAAAGTGCTGCCTGTTCAAGTGGACGAAGAGTCAAAAGGTTTCGCGCTAACGTCCCCAAAAAGTCCCTGTCATGCGCCGCTAGCAAACAAAGTAACTGTTATTTATAAAAGCTGAGTATGAGACTGAGCACATCTGAAGCATACCGAGCACACAAAGGAGATTGGGACTGATTAAAACTCTGTCATCTTCTGAAATGAAGCGTTTTAAATGAATGTCAGCAGCGATATAAATAGACCAGACAGAGTCAAGGCCATGACGAGAGCTGCTCTGCTCTACTGAAGGTAATGCTGGTTAGCTAAAGTGCTCTCCTTTTAAAAGTCTACAGCGGAGAAGCTCTGAGATCTTCTGATTTGGAGGAGAATCATCCACAGTGTCTACATCCTATCATTCTAAGAGGGTACCACCGAAAACAACCTCAGCAGTATCATCTGTTTAACACTAAATAAAACATTAAAGTGAGCGACAAGTTTCTGTAAAGACCTCAAAATGGAGATGGAGCATAGACTGTATATATTATGGACAATTTGGCTCCGCCTTCCGCCATTATACGGCTGTATCAAGTGTCAATCAAGGAAACCTGAACCCCTAATAACTTTTAAAACTGGAGCTGTACAGAAAAAAGAGGACAGGTCCGACAGTAACTACATGTCAACATCGCAACCAGGGGGGAGAAAAATTTAGATTCTGTGTAATAAATTTCTAAAGTTTGTTCACAACTCCATAGGGATTGCTGGAGGAGGCGGGATTTATGACCTATACTGCAGCCTGTCACCAGAGGGTGCTGTTCTCACCCAGCAAGGAGGCAGACGGCGTCCATTCTACATACAGTCTATGAGATGGAGACCATAAATCAGGAGTAGTAGTGCAAACATTCTGATTCACAGGTTAAAATCCAGTGAAGTCGCCCCCTGCTGGCTGTTAAAATATTTTATTTTTTATCATCAATTTAATCAATATTTCAAAACCTTCCTGACGATGCAGCTAAACCTTTAAATGTCTTTAAAATCAATCAGTTTTTAATTTATATTTATGTCAAGGTGCAAAAAAAGTGGCCACAGATTATCATTAGTTAGTTAGTTAATAATTTTGTAGCTGGTTTCACAACATTACATTTTGCTCTTTATTGTACTGTATCTTAGCTATTGTTTTATATTTTTATTTATTTATTGTATTGTACTTTGACTCTTGGCTTGTAAATGGACCTGGGCACTAATTTTCCTACCACAGACTGTCAAAAGTGTGGGGTATGACCTTGAATCCTTGAAAATTACAGAACTTATCACAAAGATCAATATTTACTTTTTCAAACACCTGCTCAGTTTCTGATTAAGTAGAACTTCCTTATATTAAAGCTCCTGTGACTGACACCCACTCCCCTTTGCATTAAAAAGTTAGAGTCTGGTCACTGATGGTCTATTAGTATTCATTTCAGTCCATCTAATGAATGTGAAAAAACTTCTAAAAGGAGCTTTAAAGACACTGAAACCAGCAAATGATGAACATAAATGTTGGAAATAATCAAGATAAAGATTTGTGATTTTCAGATTATTTTATTGTTGCTGCTCTGATCGCTCTCCAGGCAGATGACACGTCTTATTAACCCCGTTTACCATATTAACAGGAAACAGCTATTCGTCATCGGTATTTGTGGAATCCACACACTCACTAAATTTAACACCACGGGTTCAACAGCAGCAGCAGCAGCAGCGAGAGCAGACAGTGTGAGTCAGGTTGAGGGAGACTTACTGGAAAAACATGTTGAATGGAGACTCATGCCTCCTCTCTGCCCTCCTCCCCGCTTCAATACACATTCCTCTGTTTGGCAGCGAGTGACAGACTATTCATCATTCAGAGGCTGCGGGGCGGAGCCGAGCTATTATGGGTATTCATGAGCTGGCTGCCCAGTTTCAGAGGAGAGCCACCACAGTTTTTGGTGACCCACTTTGATTGTTGTGGGAAACCAGCAGCAAGAGCCGGAGTGTGATTTAAAACCAGCAACAAGTCACCATAAAATTACTTTGTCATTTATACGAGGTGTACTGGCAGTCATAAGGCGCCTGGTCTTCACTCTGACCTATTTTAAAGGTGCGACTTAAAGGTGTGAATGTTGAGAGACTTTTATTTTCAGCTGCTTTGTGATGATCTCATCTCCGCTGACTCAAACCGTACAAATTATTTATTGATCTGAACTTTTTACTGGACATAGTTCCTCCTTTCAAACAAGCACATCCGCAGGTTTCTCCTCTAAACAAAGTCTTTTAAAATTGCACGACTATTGAATGTAATCCAGGCAGACGGCTTCAGCTGCACTGATTTCACACTTGTTAAATATCAGCCTCACAACCTCCCGACAAAAGTACCCTCCAAATTTGGCGTTTGCATTTACAGCTGGAGGATTTCCGGTCTCTCTACCCCCCCCGCCCTGCCACACTTGCGGCCTCTAAGCATCCACCTGCAGGACCAAACCGAGGGTTTAAGTAATGATCTCATCTCACCACTTCTCATTTTCTGCCCCTGAAATACATCTGAAGGGAGAGTGGGCGCCACACACCAACTTCACACGCCAACATCACACGCCAGCTGCTGCAGGAAACAATTGAAACCTTTACAGGATGAACTGTGAGACTGGACTATCACTGCCCAACACCTCTGTTCTTCCTAATGACCAGCAGAGGGCGACTACATTTGATTTACAAGGAAGTCAAATTACACTGAAGAAGACACCTCTTTTTACTTCGTTTATTGACTCTTTTACGCTTCCTCTAACTGTTTTGGGTGCAAAGGTTCGCCTACTAACTTCAAATTTAGCTTAATACATGATCTAGATTAGATCCAGAGCAAACCTATCATGTCCTTTCCCACCTCTGAGTGTGAAAACAGCTTTTTTATTCACCAGGAAAGAAGAGAAGCAGCACATGTCCACCCTTCTGTCTCACTTTGGTCTCTTCTGACTCCAAAATTAGTAAATTGATGATGTGACTTCTCATCGGCTACTTTCACTTCTCATGTGAGTCTCAGGTTTGCAGTTATCTGAGTTCATTGAATCGTTGAGTAACTCTGAGCTGGTTTTGACCATCTTCACTGATCCTGACTCCTCCCAGCGCCTCTAAAGATCTCGGACTCTTCGCCCTCCTGGATCGATCACAACCAGGAGGGACAGAGTATGAAATAACTTTGAGTACTACAGTTGAAAAGAGATCTTGTGAGTTTTTTGAGGAAATTCTCACGTTGGAGAACCGCAGACACGTTTTTGTCCTGACTCAGCTGTAAACGTGACTTCATGTGTGAATCTAAAAACCACCTCAGAGAGCTGTTAAAAGAAAACGCATCTGAAAAGATGATCAGGGAATGACTTCTGCTGAAACGTTTGATCTGGACAAACAACAGCTGCCCTGTTTTCCGACTAAGAATAGTTCAAACTGTTTGCTTTCAGCTCTTTAATTTTTCTTTTTTTAGTGTATAACACTTTGAAATCTCCCCGGGGAAATCCCCTTCAGCTTCATTTCACCAACAAATTCCAGTGAATTACTTCCTGCTCTTTTCTTTTTTACTGATCTGTTTGTTTGAAATGTAATCCATATCCTCATACACACTAACTTTAACCAGCTGCTCACTGCTAGTTTTTGTGTCTTATTAATCTTTATCTTCTCCTCTACTTGACTTCACACAGACAGAACTGGTTTTTGTTTTCCTACAGAGCAGAGTGTTATCTTTGTTTGGGTTTTTGCAGAAATGTTTCTCTCTTTGGAGTCTTTTAATCGCAGCTGTTTTCCCTTTTTGTTTTGCCGCCTTTCTCTCACTTTTTCTTCTTGAAAACTGATGCCTGGATTTCTTCTGTCATCCTGGACCGCTCCTGCCCTTCTCGTGTCAAAGAAACGCTTCCACATGAGCTATTTTGACTCCAGGATACTACTTAGAAAGGAACTGGCAATGTACCAGACGTTTCCTGACTAGACTGGATTTCACACGGGAACGTTTCATCCTCCTCACCTTCCTCATGTTCTCCAGCTCTTGCTGTTTGGCCTCGTTGGCCGTCTGCAGCTCCCTCATCCTCAGCTCCAGCTCCTCCTGCTCGGCCTGCTGCTTCAGCCGCAGATCCCGACGCTTCTGTCGAGCCTCGCGGTGCGGGGCGGGCCGGCCCTGACGCAGCAGACTCACACAGGTCTGAATAGCTGAAGGGAAACACGGAGGAGACGTGTCAAAGAGTTTTGGAGTAATTTTCATCGCTGATGTTGAAGTGATTCTGTGAGGAAACTGCTGCCACTCACCCTGGATCCACTCCTGCTTCTTCTTCTTGTCTGAGGCGCTGATTTCAAAACTTTTGTATGACGACTTGATGATGAAGAGACACTTCTTTCCCTCTTTGTCCTGTAAAGGCTGCAGCAGAAGACAAATAAGACCTGCAAACTCTCATATTTGGAGCAAAGCAACAAAAACCTTCACCATGAACCTTCACCGTAATAATTCCCTCTCTTAATTTTCAGGCTCTTACCTCCACGAGGCAGTTTCCGTCCAGTATGATGTCTCCTTTTTTTTCCGCCAGGTCCTCGCCGACGTAGTACGAGATGGTGTACGGCTTTAACATGAACCAGCGCTCCGTCCAGTTCTTCCTCTTGTGACCTTTCTTCATCATGTAGCCCTGCAGGAAACAAGAACACCATCCATCCGGTTTGAAGCTGTTTGATCGTGATAGTTCGATTTTTGGATCATTTCTTCAACTAGTTTTTAAATGAGTGTTTTTGCTGGTTTTCTTTCCCATTTTTATGAATCATTGACTGCAGAGAATACACTCGATATTTCACATGAAAATACAAACATCCCCGCTTGTTTTCACTTCCTTTTTTATGCATGTTAGAGAGAGCTGCTCAAATATAGATTTCCTCTACTGACAGTTTTATTTGACACTATTATCTTCTCAGGATAAATAAACTGTTTAGCTGCAGTTGTAAATCCTGTAGTTTCTGAGAGAGTAAAGTCGTGTTTATCTTTCTGAGTGGAAATAAATCATAAAAATCTGAACAGTGGTGCAGATTCGTAGCAAATAAAAGTCACGCAGGAGGGAAAAAAAGTGTGTTTTTGCGTGACTTTTTGAAAGGTGTGTCGCTAAACTAAGTCGGTAGGTGTGAAGAGTCTGAATCATCATCTGCAGTGTGTGTTCATGTCACCAAAAACAACACAGTGACTCATTTATGGGTTTTAAAAGCTCTCAGACAACAAGGTGGAAAAGATGCATCAGGATTTGGAGACCCAGACAAAAGTTCTACGCAGTGAAGAGGCCACAGATCCTCTTCCTCTTTTTTCACATGATTCGATCTTTCTTACATTCAGTCTTTTTGTGTGTTTGATTAAAGAGACCCCTGCAGAGACCAGTAGGAGGAGGTTTTAGGGGTTGATTTTAAGGGGAAACTGTTTCTTAAAGGATCAGTTTCCCACCTGTTTGAGCACGTCCAGGATCAGCTCCTGGTAGACCTCGTTGATGCCCATGGAGAGCGTCTGGCGGTCCATGCCTTTGCTGAAGTGACCCGACCCCACCAGCCTGATGAAGTCCCAGGCGTTCAGGCTCTGCTGCTTGGAGTTCAGCTGCAGCTTGTAGTCCTCGAAACGCTCCTCCACCCAGCTGCCCCCCATGGCCTCCGTCAGCTTACGGAGGAAGTACTCGATCTGTGCGTAGATAAACATAAGAGCGTGTCACAGTCTGATAACAGAGGAACAGAAAACAGCTGGATTTATTCGATCTGTAACGCTAAAGATGACCCGTGTGTTTCTACTACTGAGAAATATTTCACGTCTTTTGCAAACAGCCTTCCTGTGATTCAGCCCGAATGTTTGTCAAACCCCAACAATAAATCTTCCAGCGTTTGTTAAAGAACAGGAAGCTGGAAACTTCCTTTTCTGCTCTTGAGTAACAGACACTCTTTCATATGGCCGGTTACAGTAGCAGCGAGGTTTCACATAGACACCGGGACGACTCAGACACAGTTGTGTATACTGTGTAAACGTATACAATGAATGCATTTTTACTAAAAGGGGGAAATTTGCTTTAAAATCCTGTAATAACTTCCTCTGTTTTCAAGAAACCACTTAAATCTTAATGCAGATTAAATGAGAAGTTTCACCAGCATGTTCAATAATCACTAAAACACCAGAAATACAACTTAGAGGTCAGCTGTCCTCTCAAAAACTACAACATCAGTGTCTTCTCTTTCTGATACGCTGAAGGTTTTATGTAAACAAACGAGTCCAGATCGGCATCAAACTGGAGACGAAATCGTGCGAGTGTTGACACCAAATTCTCCATCTGATTCTGACTTGTTTATTTCCTTTTTTGCTCAAATTTTCCGCTCACAGATCGGGCGATTATTTCAGTCGAGCTGTTTACTGCAACACTGAAGCAGACGACTTTAACATGTATGTCTCAGGGGCGTCAGTTTAGTTCAGCAGGTGGATCAGGCGCCCCATGTACAGAGCTGTAGTCTCTCTCTCTGACTTCACCTGTTTGTCTCTCTCAAGCTTTCCTCTCAGAGTAAAAGCAAAAACCACCAAAATTCATTATTTCGTGGAGCACTTTGTAACCTCTCTTTCCCAAATGACCCCCATCAGGAGATGACCCGACGACACAGCATCAGATATAATCCACAGAATAATCCAAACACTCACCTCCTCAGTGACGATGGTCAGCGGGTATCTGTCCTCGGACAGGAAGTTGAAGATGCACCAGACTTTGAAGGCGTCGTCGTTGGTGATGAACAGCTGGCTCTGGTCCAGGTTTTTCCTGGAGCACAGCGTCCAGCACATCTTGTTGAAGTCCTGACGGTCAAAGTTGTCCGTCACCTGAGTCAAAGCAGAACAGCAGCCCGGGTGAGTCAATGGCACAACTGTTTGTTGTTTTTTTTGTTTGTTTTAAAGTTAGCGGAACAGTTTATAAGTGGAAAAGTGGAAAAAATAAAACGTCTGATGGAAAATATGAACAATTTCTGAAGCACAAGAGACGCACTTCAGTTTGCACAAACCAAAAGTTCCTCACAGGAGCTTTAAAATAATGACAATGTGCGTCAACTCTCCAAATCATTCTAACATTGTCCAAAATGGGCTTCCATACACACATGTAGTTAATACAACAAAGACCAGGGTTCAAATTCCAGAGCAGATCTGAGGACGGCTCTTGAAAAGCAACATTCGGTTCTGTGGAGGGGAACTGTTCTCCTCGAGCCGGTGAGCAGCAGCGTCTCCATGGCGACCCGTCGTGTTGCTCAGGAGCACATCTCAACCTGCCGGCTGATATCACCCCTCAAACAAACGGTCGGTGCAGACACCAGAACAACTCCAGAAACCCTCTCAGTGAACATGAAGTGAGCCCTGAAACTGAACTCACTGTTCGTACGCCCTCTGTTTGAGAGACACTGAGAGGAAAGTCATGTGGTTATTTTGCATTTGTGGTTTGGACGGTCGTCGATGCAGAACCGGACTTGAGGTCTAAAGATAACAACCCAAGAACGAGCCACAATAACCCGTACCTCTTTTACGTTTCAGTACCTCGACAGCTGGAACAGAAGTTTTTGTTTTCTCTCCTGTAAAAGCAGCAAAAGTAAAAGTCTGAGCAGGACTAAAACAGCATTTTAATGTTTTACAGGTGAACTACAATGATGCTGCTGAGAGATATATCCTCATCAATACTACCCTGATTCAACTCCTCTGATCACAGACTGGATCCCATACAGTAACGCTGCTATACAAACAGATTTTGAACAGAAGCTGAATTTCTTGTGTCTTGTTTGTGTAAAGCTTGTGTAACGAACAGGAGACTTAAAAAGGAGCCGTTCACCACAGAACAAATTATCTGGATTTCTCTCACGGTCATTTAATTAAAGAGACATTCAGCCCGAGTGAATAAGTGAACTTTTTTTAAAGGCTGCACAGGATCTGATGTAACTCTCTATTGTACCGGCTGAGGTTGAGTGCCTGCCTGTGTAAAAAGCTGCATGTTAAAGGGATTAAAAGATGTTCAATCTAAAAAAAAAAAACGACTGGGATAACCTGAACCCTGAGGGCTTAAAGTTAACTGTGATTAAAGCTTGAAGGTTCAGTCTTTTAGCGGTTCTTTACAGAGGTGTATTGCATTCACCAAAGAAAGAAAAAGTTTTTCAGTCATTTTCTTTCTGTTTTTCAGACTATTTTGTTTTGTTTTGTTTTTCAGACTAATTGTTTTTCCAATTCTCTGAAATCATGATAATTTAAAAACAGACACTTTCATCCTCCTCTGCCCAATTTATCAGAAGCACACATGGCCCACTTGTTTGGTTTATTCAAGTTTTACTTTGCGCAGGCACCTCAGGATTTGCATACCCTATGTTTGACTAATTACATGCTTTACTCTCATTGACCCAGTAGTCGGAGTTATCTAAGAGCTGGAGAGTCCGCTGATTTGGAGCAGCCGCAGTGGTTAATGTTATCTGATTGTATGAGATTCTCGCAGGATTTGAAAGTATCTTGCTTAGTCAGGGAAAAAAAAATTGTCTGAAAAACTGAAAGACAAAAAATTGAATAGAAAAAATACAGAACAAAAAAACAGAAAGGCGAGAAAAAAAAGTTTAAAAAAAAACAATAAAAATTATTAAAAATAAAAACAAATAAAAATGTCTGAAAAACTGAAAGACGAAAAGATACAAAAAACAAAAAAAAATTAATAAAAAATAATAAAAATTGTCTGAAAAACAGAAACAAAAAAATAGCAAAAAAAAACTATAAAAATTTGTCTGAAAAACTGAAGACAAAAAAAATAGTAAAATAAAAACAGCATAAAAATTTGTCAGAAAAACCGAAAGAGGGGTGACTTTTTTACACTTCTAACCATCATGTATTTGGTGCTGTGCTTTCTAGTAAATGAACCTGGTGGAGAGCTGCTCTGATCGAAACAACCACTCAAGTTCAGGTGATCAGTGACCAGCAGAGGGTCAGTCTGTACCCTCCAACTATCAAGGCTACTGCAGGCTGCACTCAACTACCAACTGAATAACAGAGAGAGCTACACATCTGCATGGAAACTGCACATTTATGAACAAACCTTTTTTAACCTCTAAAATAGACATAAATCATAAATACTGGAGCGACTTATATTCTGAGTTATACGGTAATATGCTCAATCGAAATCCAGGCCTTGTTTTTGAACTCATCAGGTAAATGTAGGACAGTACATCAGTAATTACAGTAATTGCAGGGTGGAAATAGAAGCTGTACTGTAGAGATGTAATAAAATAAACTCAAGCTATGGAGATTTAAGTCTAAAGACAGTTTCTGGGTGGAGAACCGCTCTGAAACGTTGGCATGCTGCCGTGGAAACACTCATCACCTCAGACTGTGGAGGCCTGATGTTACTCCGTGGTACAGATCCCCCCTGTGAGGGTGAGTACAGTTGTGTTCAGTCTGCGTCACCCTGCTGCTTTTAGACCTGAGGTTTCAGTCGAGTCAGCGCAGAGGCTCTGGCAGGATGACAGCAGCGAGGTTGTGAAAGTGGGGCTTGTTATGAAAGAGGAGCTCTGGGTCTCACATTGTTGTGTCATGCTCGTCTTGTTTGTCTTTGTCCTCATGGCACGTCTTTTCTCGCCCTCTCTCACCCCCTCCATCCCTCTCTCTCTCTCTCTCTCTCAGTCTCAGTCTCCACACAGAGACAATCAGAGCCTTGTCAGCGTCCTGCTCCACTGCCACATCTTCATTAGGATTCAGGATCCTGATCTGAGCATTTTCAAACTCTCACAGAAGCTCCACAGAGGCAAGAAACTACGAAGAGACGAGCGGAGAACTCGGGCGAGACAATGAACACGGCTGCACCAGTTAGACAGGACCGTCAGCTCTCTCAAGAAGCATTCAGACATGATGGAGGGACAGTCAGGTGTGCAGGGACACGATATGAAATGAAAGTCATCCAAAAAGAGGAACAGAAAACACTTTTTAATGCTTCAAGGCGCATAGTTATCATAACGATCTGCAGATGTTGCATGCAGATGGTTCTCCCTCAGTGGTCTACGCTCTCTCTTAGTTGATTCTGTTTGGTAGAAGGGGTTCGAATGTGCATCAGGAGGTTTGTACCATGTAAATACCACAACATGTATATAAAAGGATGTTTCCACGGTGCAAAGACATCACACTGACGATGACGGCGAGCAACAAAGAGCTCTTTGTTTTCATTTTTTTCTGTCATGCGTGTAGCTGTTGTATTTCCTGCAGGATTGAACTTTGCTTTTATTTTTTCCTGACCTAATAATCTCTCTTACGATCGTCCGACACCGTGTCCTCTCAGAGCTGAAAATAGAGTTGTTTTTCTTGGCTGTTGAAGCGCTCCAGAGGATCACCGGTTTCACCTGTTTTACCCGTTTCCATGCCATGTCATCAAATTAATCATCAGCTGAACGGAATCAGGGATTTCTAGTTTACTCGCTTTTCTCTGGACTGGCAGCTCGACTCGTGTAAAATTAGTCTCCTTTTTGTTCTAGTTCCTGGCCACTACACACTCACACATGGACACACAGTTTCCTTGTGTGACCGGGTGGAGTTTCCTCAGGAGAGAGAGAAAGCGGCTGAATGCGCCGACCGACGCCCTCGCTCTCCTCCGGCCAGGTCACCTCCACTTCAACAGGCGGGTGGGGCAGCTCTGTTTGTGTGTGTTTGGAAAAATACCCCCCAAAAAGCGTGTTTGCCCGTGACTCCACTTCTCTCTTCCTGAAGCTTTTACGTTATCAATGAAGCACAGCTGGAGGTCAGAGTGATGCAATCTTAGGACGCTCGTTCAACCTCCCCGAATCTACCAAATGTCATAAGAGCGGTGAAGTAACTTTTACAACTAAAATGAAATCCTGGCGTTGCTCAGGCGTCGCCGAGTCTTTCAACAGTGTCAGAAAAAGGGTCGCTTTCTAAACTCAGAGCCACCGACAAAGAGCAACAGGGGAAACTCAAACAATGCAAAGTTAAGATCTATGTGAGGGAAGTTCTCATTGTCAACAGATTTACAACAAACACTGGCACAGCAGAATAAAAGCAGCACAGTCCCTTTAGACATCATTACAGATTAAACACTGCAGCTGAACCAACTTATCAGTAAAATACAATTAACCCCACATATGTAGGACGTTGATTGAGGGTTTAGATATAATTTAAACCCTATATTTTATTCAAATTAGGGTAAAAACAACAATATTTTGATGTGTTTCAAAGATCTACACTCATTTTAATTTAGTGCCGGCAACATGTTTAAGAAAAACTAAACTATTGAGGACAATTTCAAAAGGTTGGCAGCATGACTGGGTGTAAATAAGGAATCCCAGAGAGGCTGAATCTCTCAGAAATTAAGGTAAGAAGTGGTTCACTACTCTGTAAGAGACTGCGTGAGCAAATCAACAAGTTCAAGATGATGTTCTCCACAAAAACTGGTAAATACTGGAGATGATGAAATCCACAAACTCTTGATAACATCAATAATTTCTAGGAATTAGGAGACAAAAAAACAAGCATGTCCTTAAGCACCAAAAACAGACATGATGACTCTGCAGTGGGAATCACCGCATGGGCTCAAAATTAACAACAAAGCTACTTTCTGTGAACACAAATGCAGGTTAAAACTATCAAACACAGAGGGAACAGTAGATTACAGTTGATCCAGAAATGTTGATGACATCTCTGGGTCCACTTTCAGCTCTCAGTTCAGAATCCAGCAGCCATAATGGGACCTTACATATTTCATCAGGACAGTTGAGGTTTGTTTATGGCTCCTCAGACCGCTATGTATTGCTATGTGTGGTTGTTACTAAAGTTGGTATAACTCGAGAAGCCGTCATGACATCATCACAGAGCGACAGACAGGGAGCTGAATGATCCGACTACGTCTCATAATTAGGATTTGTGAGTCGCAGCCTGAGCTTAGCACTGAACAACGACTGACGGACACAATAGAGAGAGCGTCACCAGCTCAGTGCGTTCATACTCAATAAGAGGACTGTCACCGTCTGTTCAAACAGCTGCATCACACTGTCCTGTCCTCTCAGAGTCCTCCTTATTCTCACCTGACCTGTCCTGATATCTGTGTTTTCTAATCCAATAATCTTGTGACATGTCGGTGTAAAGCCCTTTTACAGAACAGTTTGATTTTCTGGATATTTTTAGCCTCTAAGTTTTCGCCTTTTTCTATTAAATAACGACAAACAAGCTTCAACAATCAGAGGCTGCAGAAACATCCCTGAGGAGTGAAACCCGGAGCAAAAACAACAAGGAAAGCTCCCCACAGCTGCAAAGAAAGGACAAGGTCACGCTTGTGTTTTGTGTTCTTGTTAATGTCTCACTTTGCAGATAAAGAGAAGAGGAGTCACAACCCGGAGCGGTGAGTCACTCTGGCTAAAAGAAACCTCAACCGCTGAGTGTTATTGTTTCCGTTTTGGACAAATTAACCCAGTTAGTTCAGAGTCGACCGACCTTATCCAGGATGAATTTGTTCAGGTACGGCATGTATCCCTGGTTGGAAACGGGACCCTCGTCGTCATCCTTGAAGTGCTCCTCCAAAGCCACAGGGTCGTGTGGGATCTTCATCACTGTGCATAAGTTATGGGACAGGACCTGGAATCATGGGAAACAGGGTGATGATCATTTTCATCAGGTGGACACAACCCAGATGTAAACAAGTGCACACAACAGATAACATCTCATATTGCGGCCTGTTTAGTCTGTATTTTGATCTTAAAAATGGTGATTGACTTCTTTGTTGCTTTGCTACATTCCCAAACTCGTCATAATTGTATTTTTAAAGCTGCACATGTCAAAGAGGCTTTTATAAACTAAACTAAAACTTCATTTCTGTTTGGATTTCTAATTCTATTATAATCTGTTTTTCTAAGTTCTCTTATAATGATAAAGTACATAGAGGCCAGTAAGGAAGAAAACCTCGCCCAGCCCACAGGTGTTTTACTCGTGGTCTGAGAGTTCACCATGAGCACAAAGGATGAGGTCCTCATCACATTGGCTGCTGATTTGACTCTCTATCTACATATTCTGTCTCTTATTTATTTGTGCGATCAATAAAGAAAAAAAAAGCTTAAAAAAAGTAAGAAACCATTGGGTTAAAGTGCCAGTTACAGAGCAAACGGGGAGCCCTTTGGGAGACGTTATTCCTCACTCTCGTCTCCCAGTCTCCTGTGACATCCTCTCAAAACGCCTAAAATACACTCAATAAACACAAGAAGCTTTAAAACAAATTAAACTCTTACTATAGTTAACAAAGGGACACAAACACAGACAGACTGATCCAAACATGGACTTTTAGCCATCTGTAGGTCATAAAGAAACCTCTCGATCCTCGATCTGCTGACCTACATCCTGACCTTTTCTGTCGAGTTCGTCTCCTGAAATGCTGAGCTGTGATTGGCTGACGCACCGCTGGAGTAATGTAGGTGTGCCACATTCTTACATGTTGAAAGACGTAATAAGAAAGTTACTCTGGCTCCAGATTCTTCTAACACTGACCTACTTTACCTCAGAGAAAAAACAATCCCGGTTAATTTTAGCATGATAATGATCATCTAATGGAGACGGTTGGATAAACTTCATTCCTGACCTTTAATGTCTTTATTCATTCAGATGGAAATATTGTACTTGTCCAGGTCGTCTGGCCCACTGATTCAGAGTACTAACAGAAGTCACGTTTTGCCACAGTCTCAACAGGAAGAGGTGAAACATGCTGGAACTCCTATCTATGGTTTGGTTTGATTATCCGAAGCATCATCATCAATCCACTAGTTAGAGTTTGTTACTGTTATTATGGGGGTTTGACCAATCAGAGACAAGCACTGGACACAGCAGGGTAACAAAAACAGAGGCATCTCTTTAATGCTCCAATCACAGACATTATGTACGTAGACGCCTCGTTACGTGCTGGAGCGTAATCCAGCGTCACCGCCATATTGGATGGGTCTTCCCACTCCAGGCTCGCTCAAGAGCCGAACGGGGTCGATGTAGAACCAGCAACTATGCCCATTCTTTTGCACTCTATGGTTGAAAAACCCAACGCAGTATTGAAACCAGATCACGTAGGATTACATTTCACAAAAAGGATTGAAAAATAATTTGTTTTATTTTGAATGTGTGACCTTGTCCTGTATTATGGCTACATCCCTGCCGCTGTAACAAACCAAACAGTGTGAAAATCGGACAGAGATTCAGAGTTATTATCAATATGGTTGGACATTCCTACCTATGTAATGCACTGGAGGCGCACGGGGTACCCATCCAAGATGGCGGCCGCATTGATACGAGAGCTCTAATAAGCAGCGTCAGGCTTTGAGGCATCTACGTATATTATGTCTATGGCTCCAATGGCCTCGACTAATGGCATACTGACATCTTTTGATGATATCGAAAAGCAAACAAGGCCGTCAGCAGTATGATCAGTGATTTTATTTCTATGATTTTAATGCTTGAAACCTAGGGGGGTGGGAATTAAGTTAAGCTAATACCTCTTTGTCCACAGGGGGCGCCAGAATTGAGACAAATCATAAGTTCCTTACAGGAGCTTTAAAATCCAGATCTTAGATCAATACAAAGTCTAACCACTTTAATTAATGCACATTAGTTTACTCTTTTAATTAATAACTGAATAGAAAAAGTAAAAGGAGCAGAAAAGGGGTAAAAAAAATGTCTTTATAAATGAAGAAATAGTGTTAAAACAAGTATGGTTAACCTATTGTTTTGCTGCACTGGAAACTTTGTCACTGTAGCAGAAACTGAGGCATTGTTCTGCTTTGTCTTCCACCGTCTACGTTCATATATCTATGATCATATTTTCCTGATAGCACTTCAAACATCAGGTGGTAAAAACATTAAACTGGATCAAAGTTTTATGATGATTTATCATGAGAACCAAGCTGTGAAACGATGATCCGGGACATTATGTACTCTCATTTTAAAGACATGTTTCTGGCTATATCTCTTTACATTTTCAGTGAAGGACTTTTAATGTAGCAGAGCTGTTTTGTAGAGTGGTTTTGCTGCTTTTACTCTAACAAGGAAACCTATTTTTAACATTTTCTCTTCCACAGTCTTATTCAAACTCAGAGTAAATGAAATTAAAACGACTTCAGGTTTACTTTAAAGTCTTGATTTAACCTAAAAGGCTACATGTTTGCTGTTTATTTTTGTGTTTATCATTCAGAAGTAAAGTTTAACTCCAGTCAGTCTGTCCAACTGTGAGCAGGTGTGTCTGCAGCTGAACATGAACACTTTTACACACCTGAGGACGCTAAAAGTTTGAGCCTGGGTTGTATTGTTGGTGTTTCCTGCTTGGATCAATTCCAGCTCAGTCTGATAATAAACTGTGAGTGAAGTGAAGTTTACCTTGAGCTGAGATTTGGACACTTTCCCACTTTTATCCACATCCAGAGCCGTGAACGCGTGCCAGATGGACTTGAGCAGTTCTTCCCTCAGAGGCATCTTTAGTTTGAGAAATAAAAACTCCTGAACCCGAGTCTCTCTGTCTCTCTTCTCCGGCTGAGTGTGTGTGTTTCTTCCTCTGTCGCTCGGTGTGAGTCTGATGTGTCTGCTGCTGTTGGACACACACACACAGGAGAAACAGTCACGTGACGCGCTGTCACTTGGAGCTGCGTGTTCAGCGTGAAAATGAGGAAAGAGCTGCAGCTCCACACAGCGAGAAACAAACACACACACACACACAGACGCATGACAAAAACTGGTCATTAATTTATATTTTTGACTGAACAAGGTCGAAAACTTTTTACAGGTTTGCAGGTAAAATTGCCAAAGTACGGGAGACCGGGTGGTGCTTGAATCAACCACCTTCAAAGAGACCTTTAAATAAAAAATCTAAATAGCAAAAAATAAATTTATTTATATTTTATAGAATTTAATTCACCTTTTATTTCTTGATTTCGCCAAAATACTGAGGAGTATTAGAGCCACGTTTAAGAAACAACAAAGGTTCAAAGAGTCATATCACACAATTACAGAGCCAGTTTTTACAAGAATCTGTACAAGAATTGTCATTTTTAATAGATAAATATACTATATATCAGAGCCAGCCCAAGCCTCAATAGGGCCCTGAGCAAAATTTGATTTTGGGGCCCTCTATTTCTGCTGATAATATTGATTGCTGATCATTCACACACCTTTGAAAATCTCTTTAACATTTCCTGACATGCAAACATACCTTTATCTTGGTGTTTTTTCTCCTCTTCCTCTTTCTTTTCTCTGCTCCTGAAGGATATGTCCTTTTTGCAATATTGTTTTGCCCCAAAACTACCTGCTCTTTGGATGCTCAGTGCATATTGAACAGCGGAAGGCACATAGCGGTAGTGGAGCTTTATCATATCAGTGGTAAGCATCATAGGCCTACATCAGCAGCAGCACTACAATGTTTTTACTTTAATTTATTTTTACAATAATATATATTAGATTATACAGAAAGCATCACTCATACATGCAAAATTTAAAAAAATATATATTTTTGATTTCTCTCAGGGCCCCCTACTGGCCGCAGGGCCCCAAGCAGGCACTTAGTTCACTTATGCCTTGGGCCAGCTCTGCTATATATATTGTATTTCTTGAAACACTCACTTGACAGCTGGTAATAAATAATGTTTTAATTCATTATCGGGTCTGATTTGTAAGGAAGGGGCCCGACCAGGTAAGCTCTTTACTTAATTCTGCCCCTTCTTAAACTGGTCATTGTGTTGACACGTGTATATAACCATGTGTAAATTTAGTTATTTGATGGACATGTACAGTTGTTTGGTGCATACATCCATTACTTTTCTGTTATTTTAAAGTTTGAGATGAATAAAAAAAGAAAGAAATGAGGGAGGACCTGCCAAGGCACAAATGCTGTGGGAAGGCTCAGGTATTCAGAGGAATTCAAGTGATCTTACCGGTGAAATTTGCTCTTAGTAATATCCTTTTGACTTGGTCAAAATTGCTCCATGACGTTTGAATATGCGTTCTAAAAATGACACAGGTTCGAACAAATATCTAGCTTACACAGGTTGTATAAAACTCTTACTCAGCATTTTTCCTGAAATTCCGAATTATTTCCAAACTGATTTTTTTTTCATTTTTCTCCAACTCATTTTTTCCACCAGTCTATTTAATATTCGAATATTAATTTTCACATTTGAATCTCATTTTTTTTTTAAACATTTGAATATATATTCAAATTTAGAATATTCATTGACAACCCTGATGTATAGCGATCAGGTGAAAGCATAAAACAGAATCCTAACACAAACAAATTTACTTCACTACGCCAAACATTGATCTAATCTTGATTCTCTGACAGGATTCAAAGCATTTTTACCAAAAACACAAAGTTTTTGTGGTGAGAATTTATTAAAAGAACATATTAACAGACAACAAATGTTCGTGTTAGAGGTTACAGGAACGAAAAAATGAGCTTTTTTTAAACAGTAAGTAAAGATGAGCGGTAAAAACAAGAGAACATTAAGATTCGGAGAACAGGACAGTGATTGTTCTAATGCTACAGGCAGGGTTGGCGGCACCAATCAACAGAGACGCTGAAACACTACGGATCCTGAAAATCTGACTGATAATGAATCGACAGACTCAACTGGAGGATTTTCTACAATCAGCATAATCCAGTTTCTGTCTGTCTAGGAAATCAAACATGTGGTGAAACTGGGTAAGTGAAAACAAGAGCCGGTGACCTCGATCAAACCTGAAACTGGCCAAACCCTGAAACAAACAAACATCAATAGCAGCAGTTTTTTCTTTTTCTTCTTTACTCTTTTCTGGCAAATTCTGATGTGTTGCCTCCAAAGTGCTCCTTTACAAACAGAAATCGTCAGCTCTCGGACCCTCTGGTACCCAGCATCAGGCGTTTGACAGGCAGTAAGGTGCGGCGAGTACATTCACACTGAAGAGGAGAGCTTCACTGCGGCCTCTGATCGTCGTCGAGGGAAGTGCGAGGACAGACACGAAGACAGAGCGCGCAGCTGTTCAAACTAAAGGAATGACGGGTGTGGGAAGGTACAGGAGCTACCTTCAAGGATTTCTTTTCAAAGTTCAACAGAAAAAAAAAAGTCCGAACTGTTGGCAATAAGAGTCCTCTTGGGTTAAGTTCCAGTTGGGTAACAGTCAACACAGCTTCAACTGGGCTCACGAGCCCAACGCCTCGACTGACAGGCTTCTCCTCGACAAACAAACACACCTGTTCCCTTCCGAACAGGTTTCATTTTCAGGTCCATGAGTCTTTGCGTTGCACCTCCTGTCAGGACTGACAGAGTCTCAGTAGATGGTGAGGCTGACCGATCGGTTCATCTTCTTTCCGATGAGTCTGGAGTTTCTGGAGTTGGACTGGAGGGTGGAGCGGGTCAGGACCCGGTCTGTGGATAGAACCTTCTCCTCGGCTGCAGCTCGGGCCTGCTGGGCTTTTTTCAACTCTCTGAAGAAGAGAACGAGAAGAGTTTAACGCTTGAGACACCAGAACGTTTTCACCTGAACACACGAACTACTGCCTACTTCACAAAAAGGTCCCTTTGTCTAAAAAATTCTTGAGCTTGTTTTTATTCGGCTCTGAGGCACTTTAGTGAACTTTTTTGTCCTCTTACGAATAAAAATCATCAGGTTTGATGTTGAACTACGTACTTCTGCAGCAGTGCGTTCTTGAACTTCTCTGCGTTGAGCTCCACTCTGAGCTGGTCCGCGCTCATCCTGGCAGCGGTGAGCAGTACCGGGTGTTTGATGAGGTCAGACGTCGATGGTCGTCTGCTGGGATCGGGGTGGATCATCAGCTGGAGAGTGAAAAGAAAACATGAGAATACATCAAACATCATGTTAAGCCATTTTATTTATTAGTCTCTTTTTGATCAGTTCTGATTGAAAATCTCTGATTTTTCTGGCAAAAATAAGTCGGTTTGAAAGAAACTTTCTTTGCTTCTTCTCTTTATTAACAGATAGTTGTGTGTTTGATAATTTGACGTAAAAATGTGTGATATGATGTGAAATAAACACACAAAAACCCCATCTTCTTCATGAGAAATTGAAATTATGCTGATGATATTCACCTTGAGAAGACTGAGAAAATCCTGCGAGAGCACTTGTGGGATGGCGGGGAGTTTGCCCTGTCGGATATCGTGCCATTTGTCTCCGTTGGTGGGAAGAGGCTCTGCCCCTGAGGCGCTCACCACAGTCAGAGCGAGAGCGAAAATATCCGCCTTTGTCAGGTTACGGTAATCCTACAGAGAGATCAGACACAGATGGAGAAATATTAACACCTGCGCGACGCTCCAATAGTGCAAGAACAGGAGAATTTTGAGAGAACGAGGACTCACCTCTTGTAAAACTTCATTGGCGAGGAATCTGCTGTCTCCTTCCTCTACCTGCGGGTTGTTTACTCTTGTCACATGACCGAGATCACCTGGAGAGGAAACACGAACGAGAAAAGGTCAAAGACGTGAAGCTGAAATCGTGAATAAGAGAAAGATTCAGACTCAAACTCTGCATGTAGAGGCGCTCACCTATTTTATAAACAACACTGGTGGTCAGTCCTTCGTCCTCATCGCACTCATCACAGCTTGAAACGGTCTTTCTTGAAATGAAGATGTTACCTGATGAAAAAAATGATTTAAAAAAGCATTAAGACATGAGATCAAATTAAACCCAAAGTGTTTAACCGTTTCTACCACAATAAAATATTTTAGCAGCACCAACACTCACTGGGTTTGATGTCCATGTGCACCAGAGAGGTGGAGTGGATGTATTTGAGTCCTCGTGTGACCTGCAGCAGCAGATCCTTCAGCTCCAGCTCAGTCAGGAAGCTGAGCCGTCTGTAGTTCTCTGTGATCACGTCTGAAAGTGTGCCGCCGTTACAGTACTCGTTCTGGATGAGCATGTGGTCGTCTTCGGCCCAGGCGGAGTAGTAGCGTACCACATGGGGATGCTGGCCCAGCACGGCGTGGGCGTACACCTCCCGCAGGGCGTTCTGTCTGCAGAGGAAGAGGAGGAGGGGCGGTTTTAATTAGAGACAGACCAGAAGGAGAAGGAAAGCTCCACATGTCTGTGCAGTAAAGACATCAGGCATGCTCCTTTGTGCACTTAAGCAAAGGATGAGTTAGAGTACACTGTAGGGCTTTGTGGTGAATTACTACGATCTCATCCCGTTATAAACTGCACTTACTCGTCTACTGATCCTGCCAGAGGTTTCTTTGATCTCTTGATGGCGTAGATGCAGCCGTCGAGTCTTTTCACGCACTTGAACACGGCACCAAACTCGCCACAGCCGATCTTCTCCAGCTCGAGGAACTCTGAGACGTACCTGGACATCATGTTGCTCTCCATCATGGTGATCCTCTGAGATAACAAAGAGAAAACTATTTAGTTTTAAAAACACTTTTTTAAGTTTCCTGAAGACTTGCACATATCCCCAGAAAAGCTGTTTAGTTTTTGACCTGTAATAGGGCAAACAGCTAAAACAGTGAGACTATAACTCACTTGACAAAGACGTTATTACCATCTTGACCATCATGTAAGGTTTAAGTCACATTTAAAGGAAACTTACGAAGCACAAAAAAGTGTTTATCTGTCAAAAATGGGAAATTTGGGGTTTTCTGAAACTCCTGGGTGAAAGAAAGGTCATTAAAGATGTCAACTCAAACTATTTTAAAGGATTTTTGTATTTTTTCTTCTCCAACACCAGCTTTCACAAGTTTATTGATCAGTCTCAGGTGTTGGTTTCAGATTTGATCAAACATATTTGTTCGTTTCTGCCTTACAAAAGAACATTTTCTGATGTCCAGTGAACTCTGACTATTTCCCCTAAAGCTTTCTGACGTGTTAAAGGCTGCAGATTAGTGACAAAACTTGTAAAGAAACATCCAGATGTGTCAGAATCAAACTGTAAATCCAAAGCACTGCTTAAGAAAAGTCACTGAAACATTCCCATGTAAGTTTAATTACCTTTGAAGGTGGCAGTATTTCCTCCTCTGCCTCTCCGTCACTTGCCTCCATGTCCTCTCCACAGGAGCTGAAAGATCAGACAATAGGTGTATTGTTAGCGCTCTGTACAGCAGGGGGCAGCACTGAGGGCTTCACGAGCACATGGCAGAGTTCACCAGTAACCATGAGGTCTTGGTCCCCTGCCAAACCTCCTGTTCCTAGTCAACGGCTTTAACGAATCAGGTTCTAACAACAATGGGTTTGATCCGTGCTCGAGATAAGACAAAAAGGTTTTCATCAGGGCTCTGTTACCTGTGATTAACAGCTCTCAAAATACTGTGGGTACCAAAGGTCAAACCTCATAGTAAACTATTTGACCAGGGTGGGGAATGTGTAACCAAATACTGACTGACTGCAGACTCATAACTTTGGGAAAACTACTGTAATCCTCCAGTCTTTTAGGGCGCAACAGATCTTTGAGATTTATCTTTCTTTAAAAGGGTCAAAAGTGAAAACATCTGGTCGACATACTCATTCCAGTGCGCCCTCTTCCTGTTGTTCCTCTGCTGTGTGGCAGACTGTATGAGGAGGGAGTCGGGGGTGAAAGGGTTAAAGTTGACTAGAGGGGTCTGCTGTCTTCTGCCGCTGCTGCCTGTGAGCGACTTTCCCTCCGGCTCCACATTCTTGAACAGGGCGACTCTCCGGGAGGATCCCTGAGCAGAGCCTCTCGCTCTGGACAACAAACTCTGAAAAAAGTGACAGATTTAAGACTCTGTTAAAACTTATAATCATGAGCAGGGAGAGGAAAAGGGGGAGAGGGTAATTAAAAGTAACATTTCAAATGAGCAGAGTCCATAAAAATATAATAATTATAGTTTGGTGGTAAAATTAAAAACCTTTAAGTGAGTAATGCTGTAATCGTAGAGGGAAACATGCCCAGACATTCAACTCCCAGTCGCTGAATCATCTGGCAGGCTGACTACTACAGTGAGAGCATTATGCAACAGTACAGTCGAGCTTTAAGTGGGTCACTATGTTTAACTGACACAGCACAAGTTTTCCCTTGAATTCAAAAATTGACCCGGTTTACTTATGTAAGCGGGGAGGTGCTTTGTTATGGCGTGTTTGAATCCGAGTTTTACACCTGACATTTAAACAAGGAGTGACTAAATCTTTTAAGTTTAAACATCCTGGGAAGCTTTGCAGACTGGTTTTACAGACTAACACACTGGTTCCTGTTGTATATTCTGCAGTTTGACCTGGTTTGTTGCCTGTCCTGAGTGTTTTTAATCCACTTTAAGTCACAGGATCATATCAGGGGGAAGATAAATCTGTGCTGCAGAAGTTTTAAAGACACAAATTCACTTCTAAATCTTGATCCTGTAGATATTACTGAATAAATCTCATGTTAAAACCAACATTGAGCAGTTTAAGACAAACGAGAACTAAACTTATTCTGCAGTTTGACCTGTTTTTTTGTCTGTCCTGACTGTTTTTAATCCACTTTAACTCACAGGATCATAGTCGAATCTATGTTGCAGTTGAAGTTTTAAAGACACAAATTCGCTTCAAAATGTTGATCCTGTAAATATAATCTCATGTTAAAACCAACATTGAGCAGTTTTAGATAAAAGTGAGCAAAAATGGCTCGATTTGTTGTCCATTCTGGTGATTTCTTTCTGGTTTCATGTGAAAATTCTTGTGATTGAGCTCCTGAAACTTTGAGGGTGTTTATTTTCTAAAAGAATAAAGTTGTGAGTGGCTTTTCTGCAGAGTCACATAAACTGAGGATATTTCTATTGGAGCTGAAACTAAAAAGAAGTTTGTTAGTTGCATACAAATACTTTACAAAGAGTTTTGCATTGTTAGGATGATGTCTGTTTACTTTAACATCTCACATCTGAGCTAAATAGTAGATTTAAAGTGTTTTGTTGCAAAAATCTGATCCAGTTTGTGTATTTAATGTTGCCCAATTCTGTCTAGTTTCAATCCAAAAACTTTTCCTTCAGTTTTGATCATCTTTGTGGGTGTTTCTGTAAAGTCCCAAACAGCAGAAATCTTAAGTTAAATCACCTGTTGTTGGGACTTTAGAGTAAATAGAGTTTTGATGCATCAAATTCTAACCTTTGGTGTGTGTGGTGTATCAAACAGTCGCAGGTTTCTGAAGGTTTTGTGTGGAGGTGTGTCGGGACAGTCCGGTATCGGGGAGCTGGAGCCCTCCCCGTCGTCCTGCTGCACGTATGCCCGCTCCGGGGACCCTCCGTACAGCCTGGACATCTTCCTCGGCGATGGGGAGCAGTTGGCGAAGATAACACTGCCCGGTGATCGCAGATGAGACGGGGATCCAAAGCTCTCCTCGTCCCACAGCTCCACGTCGTCGTCCCCGCTGGTCTGGTTCAACGGGCTGCTGCTGCCCTCCTCCACCTCCTCCAGCCGCTTACCCACGGTGTCTCTCCGCGCTGGCATCGGGGAGTCCATCTCCGTGAATCCAGATTCTCCCCCTGTGCTGTTGTTAACATCATCTAAGGGGTCATCCTCGCCATCACTCGATGTGAACTGTAGTTTTTGACGAATCGGTCGACTTTTCGGGGACTGGGATCCGTGCCGGTGGCGAGAGTAGCTCGACATTTTCAGGATTTAAACCCCGACTTCGACGACGGGAAAACACGCGGTTGAGCCCCCCGCTACTACTGTTCAAAGAAATAACTTCAAACTAGCTTAAAGTTAGGGTAAACTTTCGGGGAAATGTCCAAAAATCCTCTATAACGGTTAAAACGCCGTTAACAGTAGAGAAAAGTTAGCTTGTTTGCTAACTCCTACACGCCCATCCAACGCTGAGCAATGGCCACGCAGATATCAGTCCGAAGAAACGTCCAAAATTAGGCGAATATAACAACAAACAAACCCAAAACCATCCGCTCCGTCGAGTTTCTGTATCCGTCACTGCCTCCTCGATAGTTCCCCGGTCGAGAAACGCGTCTTTCCACGCAAAAACCCGCACCAATGTTTACAAAAACTTTGAATGAGTCAAGCTTTTCCTATCACGCGCGTGGCAAAGTACTTCCCGCGACCGTTGGTCACATGTCCGGACGCGGCCAATCGGAGCGCGTCCCCGAATTTTTGAAAGATGGGCGTTACGGGAGGGGGTTTCGGGGCGCTACGTCATCGGTGGCGCAGCAACAAACTGGCGCGAACGCGTGGCTTTTATGTGGCCCGAGACACCCGATTACATTAACCACGAGACAATGCGTCCATTATTGAGAGAGGAGCATCAAAGAAGAGAGCTAACATGAGAAGATCCCCGTCAAAACTGAGAACAAAAGCTTTCTTTGCTCAGTTTATACAAGATAAATCACATTAAAGCCAACCATTCTTAAGAAAACAAAAACAAAAACCCAACAGCTAAAAAATAGTCTAACAGTGCCATGTTGAAATATGCAAAATAAACATTGTTTCAACAAAGTAAACCCATCCACTCAATTTTAATTTGATTATCTATACCAGTGTGAAACAGTTTTGCCTTAAACTGTGGTAAAACTACTCACATCCACATTTAAAGCTCCCGTGGGGGATATCTATTTTTGTCAATCTTAGCGGACAAAGTTGTCTCTTTTGTGCTGTCAAACACAAAAATCATCTTGCTGATTTTTTTCAGTCCAGCAAATCAGTTGGTGTAAATATTCAATATGGAAATTGTGAAGACAGAACAGTTTCTTCACCCCTCTTGCACTAGTTTTAAGCAGAGCCGGCATAAGCACACTAAGGCTAAGGCTATGTTCATACTGCAGGTTATGATGCACAATTCTGATTTTTTGTTAAATCCGATCTTTTTGTGCGGTCGTTCACATTACAACATTGAATGCGGCGTCTAATGTGAACGGAATGCATCCATGAAGTGACTCGCATGTGCACAAAGCACAAATTGCTTTCCACGCCTGTTTGTGTTGTCGAACAATGGTGATGTTTGCCGCATATTTGTCCCCCAAGAGCAATAAAAAAATGTTTCTTTTAATATTTTTTATTCTTTGCATGTATGAGCGATGCTTTCTGTATGATTGAATATATATTATTGAAAAAATAAAATCATTTTAGTGCTGCTGCTGATGTATGCCTATGATTCTTACTGCCGATATGTCAAAGCTCCGCTACCGTTATGTGCCTCCCGCTGCAATGAGCACTGAGCATCCAAAGAGCAGGTAGTTGTGGGGCCAAAAAAATGCTGCAAAAAAGGACATATCTTTCAGGAGCAGAGAAAAGAAAGAGAAAGAAGAGAAAAAATGCCAAGATTAAGGTATGTTTGCATGTCATGGAAGATTAGCGAAGGTGTGTGAATGATCAACTATCAATATTATTGGCAGAAATAGAGGGCCCTGAAATCAAATTTTGTTTAGGCCCGCCACTGAGGCTTGGGCCGGCTCTGCTTTCAAGCATTAGATATTATTGTATAAAATTATAAATCTTGTCGCTAATGGTCTGGTTTACTTTCGTTTACCATAAAAAGGCATCAATATGAGTTTCAGTCTATTCCATCAATGTAAAAAATTCCTTTAAACAGCGCTTTAAACAACCAATTTTGAGCAGTGTCAGCTTCAATTGATAAAAAAACATTAGGATGCATTTTATGAAAAATCAATGGTTAGAAGTAAGGTCAAGAATTATGAAATTTTAATTTTTAAATCGCCTGTCCACCAACATTACAGGCTTTTGCCTAATGTTGATTCTGGCACCCCCTTGTGGACAGTCTTTGCTCAATTGGCTCTGTATTTATGTCCTGGTACTTGCAAAAGTCCTTTTGTTCTTTTATTAGGGAATTTTATTATTTTATTCTGCTCATTTTATCAGTAAAGTTACCCTTATTGTATTGTATATATAAGAACCTATAAATAAAATATAGTTATTATTATTTTGTTATTACTATTTATCACCATTATCTATTAGTGGTTTCAGACTTAAAAGGAATAAGTAAGTAGAAATCATCCCTGGAGCTCGAGGTCAAATTTAAATCTTGGTGCCGGTTGAGGTCTCTCAGGAGTAGTTTTTAAGTTCACTTTAGTAAAATGCAGCGTATCCAAGAACTATTGCTGTCAGTTGAATTAAGAGACTTTAAAAGTTAAATATTTGTCTTAAAGATCGAGTTAAAGTCTCCATGTTCCCAGAAATGCAGTTGGTTAATGATAAGGAGGGCTGTTACAAAACACCCGTGTTTCAAAGTTTATGGTGGAAAAGTTTAAAGGCACACACTCAGTATTGTGTTATGTGCCTTTTACATTTGTTCTTATCAGTTGTTTCTGATAAGGCTGATAACACCACTCCATACCTGCACGTCTACTCTCACCTCAAGTTCAATAAATCTACTTTTCAGACACTTTTTGGAATATCTTAAACTTAACCGATTCTATTTTTTTTTTCAGAGCTGCTTCAGGGCAAAGTAAAAGAAAGTTCAACACTGACATGAGCTTCCAGAAGTTAATTAATCAATCAATCAATCAATCCCATTAATCACACAGTTTCTCTTTTATTAGAAATAGCATTAGCTGTACACTGCACTGTGCACTGTGCACCATAAACATTAGAAAGCATTTCCTCCCTCTTCCATCTTTATGGTCGAGGGATAAAATAGCATAGCAGAACTCCAGTTATCAAAATCCTATTTACACGTAAAAGCTAAGTTTTGTCTTTTGTGGAAAAAAAAAGAAAACAGGGAGGAAGACTTGTGATTTCTTTCGTTGATAAAGTCCACTTGAGATGGATTTGATCCTACATGTTAGTCCATAATGAGTCCATCAATCATCCAGGCCTGGTGACTCTCCTTGTTGTATTCTTGATGCTATTCTGATGGCCTCCTCTAGCGAAGGCTGATCACTGAGCTGCAAATAAAAAGGAAACAACACAGATCATTTAAACATTGATCGACAAACTGATAACCTCTGTTAATCTCCCACCACCGCTGATTTAATCTGTTTACTCTTCCACCTCTTTAAAAGACAATAACACCTCTGACCGTGACTGAGTGCTTCACATGCTGCTGGATTTCATTGATGACTGTCACATGAGGGTCAACAGTGAAGAGACTGTTTTAGCTATGTAATTAACATGATAGAAAGAGCAGAAGGGGGTAAATGGAAACTGTTGTTAAGGATAAATTCAGCTTGGTCATGAGACCTGCTCGCACCTCAGGGGTTTAAGTCTCAATAGCTAACATAGTGTTTCAATCAAAGACGGCAGTATTGGGTGTAGTTTAAACATTTATTTTTCTCTGCTGAGGCAAATGCTTTTGAATTGGTGTCTCAGCGAACAAACCAAAATCATAAACCACAACTGTGAAAAAATACTGCAACACTTCCACTTTAAGAGAACAAACTAAGGGCTGTGATTTATGGGAAATCACTCAAAGCCCCTCTCTGTCAGGTGACAAACTTCTCCTCTATTGTTGAGGCAAAATCAATCAAACTACTATTTTGACAAAAGCACAACATGTCAGTATCTCGTGACGAGCTTTTAACCCTCAATGTGTCTGAGTGACCGGCTTGAAACTGCAGAAAGAGTGAATTCATGTATGAACCCTTATTTTGAAAAATCAAATTACAATGGCTAACTTCCTGTTGGGTTTTGAGTAAAGGTGCCAGATGCCTTTTTGCTGATCTTGATATGCTTGATATGTGAACCAATATGTGAAGATATCAACTCTTCTTATTGGATCAGACAGGTTTGAACAGTTTTAGGAGTTTAAGGCAGAAAATCAACGGTTCATTTTGAAATAAAAAGAAAAATAAAGAAGTGTGATTCTTTAAAGAACATATTAACCTCAGGCCTGAATTATTTTTGTGATATTCGCTCCCTTATCCTGCAGGTGTTCATCAAGAACCTGGATTACATACAACCTCACACATCCTTTATGTGTTAGCTTTTTGTTAACTTTGATTGATCCCTAAACAAATGCACCAGCAGGAGAGCAGCAACACACCTACACCCCCTGAGCTGAACCCCACCCACTCATGATTTACAGTGAGGCCTTTAAGCTAACATCTCAACAGGGAGGGATCCTGGGAGGGGTTACCTGGCAGGGGACAAAGTTAAGACCCTTCTGACTGAAACTCTGGTCAGTATCATAGAAACAACAGAGGACCGAGAGTGTGATGTAGCAGAATTCATCAAACTTAAACCTGCTGACGTCTACACCATCAGTCTACTGACCTGCACAGCGATGTGAGTGCCGTTGGATGTAGCCAGTAACGTGACAGGATGGAGGTCATCCTGCTCTTGAGCGTAACTCGCCTCCTCCACCGTGTGGAACGTGGCCATGTCAGGAGTCATGATGGCCACCTGAGGGAGACAGAGTCAAGAATCAACCATCTGCTTCTCTATTACAGAATCAAAAACCCTCCACAACTGTTGATATTTGTGTTTATGTCTCAACCCTCAGTTGACCTTTTACAGCTGACTATTTGGATAACTTTCCACAACACCACTTTATAAATACTAACTTTCTTTAAGTCTTTCTGTCGCTGAATAAAAAGTTCACACTGCTCCAAAAGTGACCTCCCCCAACACTTAATTCCTGCAAAACCTCAGTTCAGTTTACTCAAAAACTATTCTATTCTTTACCTGTTCATCTGAGCCATCTGTCGTTACCATGGTGACCGAGTGGGCACCCTGTGTGGCCAGTTCGTGTGCCGGGATGGTTATGGTCGTGCCTTCCTGGGTAACCATGGTGATTGTGCCTCCCATGGCCTGTAAGTCTGCCTCGGAGATACTGACCTGAATACAGAGAGAAAGGAAGTCAGCGTCGACATAAACTGTTCAGTTTCTTTTAAATTTTCAGTATTTTAAATATGAAAAATATAACTTTATCTGCTGCCACTGGCAAAGACTAGAAACATATAGATTTGTGTTAAACTTTTGGCTGTGCATGTACAATAAAACACAGCTAGGAAAAGTTCAAACTTACATCCATCTATCTTGTAATGTATCTACTGTTGGTGATGTTCTGTTACCTGTTGTTGTGTTCCGTCCTCCTGCGTTACCAAGGCAACATGCTGCTGACTAACCATGTCCGTGCCATCGACGATAGGAACCTGCTCCGAGCCAGAGTCTTCGTTTTCCACCACCGCTGCTGTGTAGCTGACGTTGGGGTCATCAATGGCGTCTGAACGAAGTGTTTTTTGGTTTTAGTTATTATGCTTTTCAGTAAGTTTCATCTTTACTGTCAGTTTTCTGATGTTATGAAACATACAAGTATGAATACAATTTTAAAGGCAGTGTTAAATTTTTTAGGCTGGAAAGATATCAAATCAAAATTCAACATTTTTACTGTGATATATGACGAAATAACGTCCCAAGAGTCACATTTAAGAAGCTGGGTCTACAGATCTTACAATAAAAAACACGATTAAAGTTGAACCTCCCTGATTAAAAAGCAATAAATCAATAAATGTTGCAGAGTTACATTCAAACTTCTCTTTTGGGAATTTCTCATTGTGGCTGTATAAACACAGACCTGTTGGGGGTTCGAAGTAGGCCTCCTGCTCCTCCTCGATGGGCTCTGTGTCGTTATGGGCGGTGCGTTTGTGCATGGCGAGTGTGGAGATCTGCTTGTAGGTTTTCCCGCAGTGGTTGCAGTTATAAGGTTTGCAAGGCGTGTGAACGACGTGGTGTTTGTAAAGGCTGGAGTACTCTGTGAAGCGTTTTTCACAGCCGGGTACTGTGCACACATACGGTTTCTCTCCTGGGAACAAAAGTTATGATCTCAATTTAGAAAAAATAGAGCAATAAATAGAGCAATAGATCTTGAGTCACATTAGAGCTCAAGATTTGCAACATGTTACACTTGAAACTCTGTATCAGTAAAGACTCACCTGTGTGTATCCTCATATGGTTCTTGTAGTTTGTGGCGCTGGCGAACGAGCGTCCGCAGCTCGGCTCAGAGCAGTAGTACGGCCGCTCCCCGGTGTGTGTTCGGATGTGAACTTTGCGGATGTTGGAGGTTGTAAACGACCTGCCACAGCCTTCGACCGGACATTTGAAAGGTTTCTCTCCTACAAAAAATATGAGTTAGTTTAAAGGGCAGCATTGTACTTCTTAAGATGTCTTATCTGGGTGCCTGAAAACTCCTCCATCGCAGCAATGACTCCATCCATTTAGCAGACAAAACTCTCCACAAGCTTTTAATAGATAGGAGCCTATTTGTGTTACTCCTGGTAGTTTGGACCTAAATTGCACTTCTGAACTACGCAAACAGCCATGGGGAAAAGTATTAGCTGTTGTTCCAGCTCTTTCAAGCAGGTACAAGCCCAAGGACGCATAAATATAAGTGAGTACTTGTTCTTCCTGGTTGTGGTTGTGTACCTGTATGAGTCCTCGTGTGCTTCTGAAGGTCTCCAGAGGTTTTGAAGGACTTGCAGCAGTTCAGCTCTTGGCATCTATATGGCTTCTCCCCCGTGTGTGTGCGTGAGTGACTCTTTAGTCCATACCCTTAAAGATGTAGAGTTATTGACATCTAATTAAAACAAAGGAACTTCTTTACATGTCTCATTCTGTCACAGAAGATTAAGTGTATCTCTTAAGAGAAGGTTACTATATAAAAAACTTGATTTGACACGCAAGAAATATGAGTTTTTACAGCTACCTGTTGCAAATTTTCTCCCACAGCCGGGATAATCACAGATGTACGGTTTGTCTCCTGTGTGGGAGCGCTCGTGTACCTGCAGGAAACAAACAAAACACTGTCAGGCTAAAAGAAATGAGGGGAAGATGCTGCAGGGATAAACAGCCTATAATTAAGCAGACGATAAAGATGATTTTTCTGGGACAGACTGCACAAATGCTTACCTTGAGGTGGTGAGCAGTCGTGTAGAGTTTTCCGCAGCCTTCGTATTCACAGCGGAAAGACTTCTCTCCTACATTAGAGCTCCTACTTTGTCTGTTGTCTTGACCCTGTAATACAATCTGAAACCAAACAACCAAATCAGACTCTGCTGTTAGACGCGAAGATGGAAAATGATAGAAATTATACCCTGGAGAAGATCTCCTACCCGCATGTGGACACCGTTGTCTGCCTCCACTCTGCCAAAGGGTGCCAGGGGGTTTTCTATGTTCTCGACCTGACAGGAGGAAGACGGGAGACTTTTTATTGAAGGATATGTTATCAGGAGTTAGAATATTCCTGCAAGAAAAGCGGACACCAGCAAATTTACTGTTACTGACACCGTCTAACCTTAGTGGTGTACTGTTCCAGCACGCTGATGGTCTCGGGGTCAATGGCTGTGGCCTCGGCCTGCAAGTCAGCGATGGTGCCGTCAGCCTGGATGGCCAGGATGGTGTTGGACTGAGGCATGTGCACCGTGTGCTGGATGTAGGCGGTGCTGCCATCCTCCAGCTGCACCTCCTGCAGGCCACTCTGGTCGTAAGTTTCTGCAGAGAAATGAAGAAGAGGAGGATGCTGATTTACAAAATTCTTGAGCTAAAATTACAACACTAGAAAAAAATAAATGATACTGACATTCATTTTAACACCATGACGATAAAAATTGAGAAACTCACACTTTCAAGGTACCTGAATTAAAAGTTTTCTGAATGTTAAAGCCTCAACTTCATATTTAAGTTATAAAAAAATGCAACAATAAACAAAAACTCCAGTTTATAGCAGACTAAGATGGTTTTCTGTTTTGTTTTTCTTCTAAAACATACATTCGGCAGGTGATGGCGATGATTTGTTTTACCTTTGGGTGTGTGAATGTAGGCTGTTGTACCATCTTCTAGCTGAACTGCTTGTCCGTCTTCAAGTTGTAAACTGTCTCCTCCTATGACACATAATTTATACATACATTAATAACAGTGGCCCCTGCTCACCATGAAATCTTGATATCTGTAAATAATTTAATTCAGCATGATGACAGATTCAGATGTAAACATGTCTGCTTCTTGCTGAGGTCTTACAGGTTGTGTCTCACCTGCTTTAGGCATGGATACATGCTGAACGTAGGCAGCAGAGCCATCCTCCAGCTGGATCACCTGACCATCCATGATCTGACCGTCTGAAAAGGCGGCTTTGGAGTCATGCTGGATGTACGCTGTGGATCCATCTGCGAGAGTGACGGCCTGCAGGCTGACCGTGTCCATGGTGTCCATCTGATCACTGTCTGTGATTTGATTGATAATGACAACAATTTAACAGCCGGTTTAGAGATAAAGAGAGCTGGGCTTTTTGCAGTTGTGAGCTTGTCATGTCACAACTGAGTCACTGAGTCGCTTTACAAAAGAGAAGAAGTTCATGAGCTCACCTGCCACAGCCACGGCCTCTGTCAGACACAGAGTGACTGGCTGCCCGTCTGCATCATGAAACTCAGCCATTCCCTGCGAGTCCCGGTTTATCTGGGCCAAGAGCATGCTTCAGCTGCTGTGGATACACATTTACAATTTTAGAAAACTCAAAAACATAGGCACAGAGGGTTGAAATGCTCTGCAAGAAGTGACAGTGAGAGATTCACTGAGGGCTGCTCATCAAGTGTCAGCTGATGGAGTGTAGCTGACAACCACCATGATGATAGAAACATAAAAGAGGGGGCCAAGGGCTGAGATAAGTTCATTTAGAACTGTTGTCCTTTTTGATATATGTCACATCTATTCAATCTATTCCACAATGTAAGTAAAAGTGAATTTAGAAATTTATTAACTATAAACACAAATGAAACTACATAAAAAAAGAGTCTCGATGTGAGTTTAACTGGAGACCTTAGACTGAGAACTCAAATGATATCAGTGTTTGGCTTTTAGCTGACAAGATCTTTTCAAGAAGTTTGCAGACATGTACATTTGTAAAATTACTCAGAAACTTTTCTCATTATGTCTTGCACATTTTAATTTGTGAGCATAATAAACTATCCAGCTCAGACTAAACTTTTAGCTTGTCATACAGAGCTGAGGTCCTAACTAATGACGTGAATTCCAGGCAAATACAAAACTTATGGGACCTAATAGCTCCTCACTGATAATATTTGTTTATGTCAGCAGCAAAAAACTAATACTCATTTTTAATATGTCTGTTGTAGTCACCAGGCCTACACACAAACTTAAACCCTTCACACCAACCACTAATGCAGTCAAATATAACATTTTCCCTGTTAGAGAAATTACAATGTGCAGTAACATGCTCAGCTCTTGAGTATACCATTATTTTCTTCAAATGTACAACTTGCAAGTGCAACGACTGCCCGACTGTCTCTGCACTTCAGCTATTCGATTATTTGTGGATCAAGCACATTTCATTCTTCTTTGCTGCAAATTATCATTGAAAATATCAGCTGTGTGATCATTAAAGATGTATTTATTTTCTTCCTTATTCATCAGATGGGAGTTAGTTTTGATAAGAAGGTGTTTTGCTGTACTATTATCACCCAAGCGGGTTTTAAGATATGGACTTATTAGCTAAAATTCAATGTTGTGCATTCTGACAAACAAAATAATTTCTGTACTTTCAAGGTGCATATTCTTACACCAAGTCACTGTTATGACCTGAAGTTTTAGGGTCCTTTTAGGCTCTTGGACCTGGGGTGTTCCCAGCTTTGTTTGCCTGTCATCCAAGAAACTAAATACACTCTACTTTTAGTTGAAGCTTGAATTTTTATTGACATGGTCAGAGAGGTGATTACTGTACTAAAAACCTATTGTTGAAACGTGGGTGTTTACTGATATTTTGTCCAGTACATTAACAAACATGGAGTGACCATAATATTAGGAACCCCTCTCAGTATAGCAGTGAACCACAAACTCAGATGTTTGTTGTTCATATTGTGTTGAACGTGCGACTTTCTGAAGAATATCCCTATTTTATCACTGTTTGGGTAAAAAGTGCCTTGAGATTGAATGATTTGTCATTATCAGCTGATTTTTTAGAGCGTGTTAGCTTGAGTTTGAAGCTAACTTGTTGTAATGCGACACTGATATGATAAACACTTTTTACATTACAGTGACAGCGGAAAAACTCTTATGAAATAAAGCTCCAGCTGGTTAGTTATCTCACACTGACAGGATGATATCAGGGTCAGACACCTCACAGCTACGGAGGTTAGCATCCAAGCTAATAGCATTGCTAACTCCGCTAAAATGCGCTGGCGCGATATTTCGGCGGCTATAAGCGAATAGTTTCTTAAATGTTGATATATCCTGAAATATGACTATCCGGGTCGTATGTTTGAGTTATAAACTACGCCTGTGACAGCTAGAAGGCTAGTTAGCTACATCCATGGAGCTGTTATCCCGGTTAGTTAAAGTCGCGGCGCGGTGAGGAAACTGCTCATTAATGTTAACATAAAGCCTTCAGACACTGCAGGGACTAATGTTGTTTCAAAGCTCATAAAACAGTCTCCATCCTGCTTCCTCAGCCCCTCCGCAGCCCGTCACTCCCTCTCACAGACATGGCTGTGGGAATAATGCACACTGGGTAAAAACCAATTTATATACGAACCTCCGAAAAATTTCCAACAATTCCTCCTGTTCGACCACCATGCACCAGTGCAGGAAACGCTCCGCACACCGGGAACATGTATGACAGCAAGATCCTCCGAGCGCAGGACGCCGCCTATGCGCAGTCCGCACGCGCTGATTCGTCGAACAGGTCTGGTTTGAGTCAGCGTTCGTTTTATTCAGCTTCCCGGGCCCCTAGCGGACGCCATTCCGCGTCAGTTTTCGTATTGTCTCGGGTTTTTGATTGAAACTGCGCGACGTGGACGTGAAAAATTAATATTCAAGCTTCGATATAAGACGATTGTTATCCGACACTGCGGATTTCAAGTCACGATGCGCCGCATGAAGCGGTTAGATGTGTGTTTCGGCGAGATAAACAGCGACGTGTGGGTCGATTTTTCGGCATCCATGTTGAAAACAAGGTCGTGTGGGAAAAAACGGGGAATCTGGGCAATGCAGTGAAGAAAGGCTTAGAGGGACGAAGGTTCAGCGTACACACCACAGTACAGACTACAAAGACAACCACATGCTGAAATAACGACTATAACTTAGTCGATTAAAACTTTAACCGAATAGTCGTTTTCAACTTTAGATCGATAGAGCTATGTGTGTTGTATAGGAATACAGTGTAGACTGCTATGATATATTCTTATGACGTAAACAGACTATTTAATAACAAAAAATAAAAGCACAACTGAGGGTCTTCAATAAATCCAGAAAATAAGGAAGAACATTTATTTAAGAGTAATAATGATTATTGCAAAATATATACAAGATGAGTTTGAACTCTTGAGCCCACATAGAAAAGTACAAATTTATTTTAGTGACCCAGACTCCTTAAATCTGAGCATTTTTCTGTAAAAGTCCTTGAACACGGTAAAACCTTGGACATATATTTCACCCAATAGTCTATAGCCAGTTTCACCAAGGGAGAATTCTACATCATGTAAATAACATCTTAGGGAGTAATAGCAATCAAAGTACAGTAGATAGGAATGGGAATATTTACTGATATCTAGTGGGAAAATTCTAGATTGAAGTGCTCCCTTGCTCACCCTTCCTGTCAGGGTCTTTAGAAAATAGGGGAGAACAAGTATTTAAGAGTAGTAATGATTATGGCAAAAATGAATAAAAGATGAGTTTGAAGTCTTGAACCCATATTGAAAAGAAAGTACAAATTTATTTAAGTGACCCAAACCCCTTAAATTTTAGTTTGTATAGGTGACCTTACAGCATATTCATGTAAAAGTCCTTGAACATGGTAAAACTTTAGACATGTATTTCACCCAATATAGCCTGTTTCATCCAGGGAGGATTTTACATTATGTAAATAACACCTTAAGGTGCTATAGTAGTAAAAGTATAGTGTGTAGAAATGTGAATATTTACTGATATCTAGTGGGTAAATTCTACATTGAAGTGCTCCCTTGCTAACCCTTCCTGTCAGTGGAATAAGACGGTCTTTAAGCACAAAAGCTGCTGTAATGCAAGGTAAGTATAATCCTCAATTTGCCAAGTTCTTACAATCATAATGGTCTATCAGTAACAAAAGTAACCACTAACATGTCTGGACATGCCCAATGTGTTTTTTGTGCAGGGAAATACATGTGAAAAATGAGAATTTCCTAAATCTCACATGATTGGAAGAGGATCTGATTGTTAGTGTGGTGCCTGATAGTGCACATATGGTTTTAGTTTTTGCTATAATTATTAGATATTAATCTAACCAGGTCAACAGCGACCCTAACATGACAAGTGCCATAATTTTAATAAGAGCATTTTATAATTGAGTAAATTTGTTTTTTTTAAAGAGATTCCTGACAAAGTCAAAAATTCTTGATGCAAAAAAGCTAATTTAAGTGTTTTTTAAGCATTTAAAATAAAAAACGGGACCCTATTAAAGCTGTTTTGACAAGTTACCAAGATTAGACTGATAGGACTGTTTCTCCACCTTTATTTTGAAGGGTTCATCCGGAAGTCATCCTGTTCACCTTGATCACCTGTTTTGACGGAGGACTCTCCTCTCCATCACTCAGTCATCGCCGGGGATTCCTTGTCTGAACACTCAGTTTGTCCACATCCTCCACAGATCGGACAGACACTTACACACCGTCCCTGCTGGACTCTGATACTCGGCGCCATGTTGAAGGGGACTCGGACTGAGACTCGGGGTGAGTCGGTGGTCCTGGATGCTGCAGCTCTGAGGCAGCAGAGGAGGCTGAAACAGGCGATCCAGTTCCTGCACAAGGACTCGGCTGATCTGCTGCCTTTGGATGGGCTGAAGAAGCTCGGGACATCGAAACAGGGGGTGTGTCTCATATGATTTTATGCAGCGCCATAGTCTTCATGATGCTTCTTCACAGGCTAAACAGGTGGAAGTTAGGATACAGGAGAACAATCCTTGTTTTATTTGGGCAGATTCTGAATTATAAATATGAAGAGATACATGTTTAATTATAAAATACAGAGTTGATGTTTCAAATAGAAATATTAAAAATTAACTCCTGGATAAATTAATGTTAATTTATCAGGATAATGGCATCATAGCAGGGGAGACTGGGGACGATTGACACACTTTTTGTGTTTACCTTAATTATGACACAGTTTGGACTAGACTAAACAGATGTACTATAATAATTTGTTTTTGTCATTTTGTTATTGATAAACCTATGTTTTATGATTGATTTTAGGATATTTTCTGATCATTTGAGATACTGGACTCTGATTTTCATGAGCTTTAGATCAACTTCGTTATATTAAAACAAAATAGATTTAAAAGATTTTCACTTTTCATGCAACAAGTATGAGATTATCTAACAATCGGCCTTTTTTAATTTAATATTTTTTTTTAAATGAACTTTTTAACGATATTCTAATGTATTCAGATGCACATGACTACGTAAATGTCCCGAAACTGTGGACATTTACGACACTAGTCAGAGACAGTTTGTAACACATTGAAAGTTTTGCTTTTTCTTAAACAGAACTACTATCATACAATTTTCTGTACTATTATTAGGTTGGTAAAAACATCAAATTATTCTTTTAAGTATTGTCTCATGTATGAAATATCAGTCCATTCAAAGTAAACATACAGAAGTTAGATGTAAAAAACAACAAAAAAACTTTTATAACACACTGCACAGAGCTGTTAATGTGACATCCTGTGAATCTCTTGCCAATTCATTTGGCTGATTGTTTTGATATTTAACAGGCTGAAAAGGGGCATGTCACCACCTATCATAGCAGAGGTGGACTTACCTCTATCATTAATTTGATTTTTGCCCAGTGAAATTGAAGGTAAATAGAATCTTTTGACTAAATTGCAGGAGCACCCACCCGAACTGCAGTTTTCCTTGTGCTAAACTTCAGGCCTTAATAAGATCAATATGACGGTAACTTTTTAAGTTACAATCTTATATAGTTGTCTTGAATAAGAATTTAAATTTGTATTTTTTTGCTCTTGAGTTGGACTTTGTAAAATGGGGCTGAATGGGTATCGACTCACTTTGGAGCCAGCCTCAAGTGGACACTTTAGGAACTGCAGATTTTGCCATTTTGTTTTTACTTCACTTCTTTACCTCAGAGGCCTCAGCCAGACCTGTTTTAATATAAAATACAGTCTGGCTGTTATGTATGTCCAGCTTTACTCCTCATGTTGTGTATAGCAAACATGTTATTCTTATTGTAGCAGCCGCACCATATCATCCAGAGGCGCCTGCTAGAGGCCAAGCTGACCCGAGGGAGACTGAACATGTGTGGAGACACTCATAACAATGGAGGAGTCCTCCTGAACTGTTGTCATTTACATTCAAATGAGGATGAGGAAGAGGACAAGGATGAGTTGATTTATGTGTCTGGCAAGGTGAGTGGAAATTGAAGTATGCTATTTTTTCATTTCAATCACATCAGTATTCATGTCCTTCAACCACTCCTGCTGCTCTGTGTGTTCACAGTGTTTAGGACAGGATGTGAACCTGCTGATCGACACCGGCTGCAAACTGAACTTAATGTCCTCACTGACTGTGGAGAGATCAGGGTGAGACATTCACCAGCTGTCCTTTGACTGTTTTTCAGATCACTTTTAGAGTTTAATGAGTCACTCTGTGTTTGTTTGTTTTTGTTTTTTTTTTCCTAACAGTTGGAAAGAGCTGGTGGAAGAGAATAAAATGGACGATGATGGTTTTCCATTTCAGCGGAAGATCTGCATCGATGGACAAATCAAAGAACTCAGCCTTACTGTCGGACAGCTCAGGATAATGTGCTCTTTTGTCGTAGTTGGTAAGAAAAGAGAATAACTATGCTTTAATTATGTCTTTTAAGAAATAATTAGGTATTTTCTTGATTTTTTTGTCTGCTTTTTTTTTTTTTGCAGAAAGTAACCAACCACTCATGTCTCTGGGCTACAAGACTTTAAAGGCACTGAAGGTAAATCATCTTCTCAAGAGTTTATTATAACCAAAACTTACAAATAACAAAGTCAAACTGTCTCTAATACAGAAATTTAATAAAATGAATAGTAAGTGAAACATAATGTATAAAGATAATAGAACCAAGTGAAACAAATTTCCCCAAATTAAAGCCAGATATCAAGAAATTAGGTCTTCACTGAAGTAACAAAGCTAGATGTGAATAAATTTATCAGGAGACACTTCTGCTATGGTTATTGTAGGATAAATAAAAGTTTATCTAGTCTTATCTTTTGAAATTCATATTTTATGTCTGTTGAATCCTTTTATTTCTCTGTTTAATTTGCAGACTGTGATCGACACAGAGAAGCAGATGTTGGTGTTGGGGAAAAACATGAGGGAGCAGGTTCAGTTTGCCAAGAAGCCGAACAATAAAAGGTAAGACTCTGTTTTTTATGTTTAGTCAGTGTTAAAGCTAATAAGGTCTTCAACAGTCCTGTTTAAAACCATTATTCATGTTGTTGATGGTCTTGTTTGCTTTTGGGTATCATAAAAAGGCATTAGTATGAACTTCAGTTTATGTCATAGATGTCAAAAAAGCTCCCCACAGTAGCTTTAACAGCGTACATCCTACATCAATACAGAGATACTACAGTCAATTCTGTACCAATCTCAGTGCTGTATTTTAATATGTCACACTAAATGCACTTTGGATCTTGTTGGGCTTGTTTGGAAAAAAAACAAAACAGGCACAGCGTCCATATTTGGAAATTGCAAAGAAAACTAACAGCTGAATCAGCTACACTGTACTTTTTGTTGTGATAGTTGGGTTTCAGTTAAGTGTTTCTGCAGCTTTCCCTTCAAATGAGCAAAATTTCTAAACAACACCCAAGTATTAAATAAAAAATCTCATTACACTTTTTCTGCTTCTTTTTTCCTTTCGTTTTTCCTATAGTTCCCACAACTTCAGCGACCTGTGACCTGGTTTCCCTTATTCCAGTCCTGACACACACACACAGTGACCAAAAGCAATACCACTACCTTCACTTAAACAACTCCATGCCTCATTGACCCATGACTTCTCACCTCATAAAACCCACTTTCTCTACATATGAGAATCTACTCTAGTTTCAGGTGTATCGCATTAAGGCAGCATTTTGCACAGCAGCATTTCCCACAAACAGACAGCTCTTTGTGTAGCAGTGATGTAGCCTTAGCTGTCACAACAGCTGTTTGTATTTCACAGCTGAAAATAAAGTATTAACCCAACCTGTGGTACTTTAGATTGTGAAACTCTGATAGAACTGTGATTTGTAGCTTATGTAGCAAATAAATATTACTCTGCCTGATGTATTATTCCACATAGAGGATGTTTGAAAAAGGTTTATGAAAAGTTAAAAGCACAAGTGGTATTCAGAGCAGTGGTATTTTCTATTATTGTAAAAGTATTTTGTAGTCTCAAACATGTATTTGCATTGAGGTCACTGCCCTGTAATGTTTACAAAAATTAGCAGCACTTGTGATATGTTTTATCTAACCTAACCACCTAACTGTAGCAAAAGCGCAGCGCTGAATATGAAAATAAAATCCTACATGCTGTGACAGTTTTTCTGAGCTTCTTTTTTTCACGCCTTTTCATTCACACACATGAGTGGGCCTTGTGCCATTTTAGTTGAGAGCTATTTATAAAGGCGGGTTAACCACATGTAACCTGGCATGATTGAAGAGGGAGGAAGCGTTGTGACAGAGCTAACAGTGCGTTGAAGAGCACCTTAATTTCCTCAGTTGACCTCTGGATGCACCATGGCAACTGTAGAATAGCAGCAACGTTTGGTCACGCCACCCCAGGTCAGTTGATTTGTATGTATGGGCTAGTGATGAGAAGAACAGTTCTTTTGACTGTACTGAATCTTTGGAATCCATTCATTAAAATGATTCGTTCAAAAGATTTGTGCACTGTATCAGTCAGTGCTTTGAAGCCTTGTCCTGCCAGATGCAGGACATGAGTGAGTGACAGAGCGGTGCTGATCGGGAGTTTGTTCATTGAACAAGCCCCTCCCCTCCCCTGCCACTAAAGTCACAGCGTCGTTCATTCGCCAAGTCGTGAAGGAAGAATCATTCCCCTGCCCTGAAAAACTCACCTCTCTGTGTCCCGCCGACGTTTGCATCACGACGCGAGTGAAATAACATAGCATCAGTCAGCACGCCTGCTAAACCAGTGCGAGTCGTCGGTCTTTTATAACGCAGAAAAGTGGAGAGATAAATAAATAAACGTCGCAGCTGTAGCGGGAATTCTGACAGTGAACGAACCGGTGCTGGGCAGTTTGTGAACGATGCTACGCCCCTCCCTCCTCTGCCTGGCTCAAGTTGTTCGGAAGTCATTCGTTTCGGTCACAGTCTGACTGATACATGTCGTTCATTCACTGTGAGCAAATCATGAGACTCCGAAAGGCGGCAGACTCCTGACCAGCACGCCACGCTCGCAACTGAGCTAAGTTGAACTAAGAAAGGAACGAATCAAATCTTGGAGTGATTCCATTCCCGTCGTTCACTCAGCAGTTCTGTTCTTTTGAACGAATCATTCATGAACGACACAACACTAGTATGAGCGCATGTAGGCTGAAAAAAGCGACCTGTTCGTCGAAACTGTTGCCGCCCTCGTCACTCTTCGACTTCATTCAGAGGGTCTTTCAAACAAAATAGGTCTCCACACGGTTTATCTACTCAACAATATACCACAACTTCTTTGTAGCCTCGATTTTGGCGTAATTAGCTTGAGCAGCTAGCGAGGTTCTCGAAGCTACGGCGCATCCCATTATGCCCTCTGCGGCGAACCGAAGACCGTTGCCGTACACACTGAATGGGGGCGAACTTCACACCGCAGATGTTCGCTTTAAGTTAGCGCGCTGCGTCAATCGAACTCGTCTCCATGGGAACCGAACTCAACAGTGAGGGGAAAGTTTGGTCTGCAGCTGACTGTGATCAACTGAAATAAACAGCAGGTAAATAAACCCGCTCTGTTTGTCTGTGCGTTGACTTTTGAAATTATTCAAACTTTCATTCAAAAAGAGGAAAAGAAGAACAGGGTTATGGATTTAGCTCGTCGTCAATAAAGGACGTTAACATTTCGCTCGGTATCCGGTTTAGTTGGAAGAGGGTAAATCTGTTTGTGTGTAAAAGCATGTTTGTAGAAAAATGAAAATTATAAAAAGAAGCATTTTTAATGGTTGAAAACACTCTTAAAACAAAGTTTAGATGGTCAGATGTTTCTCAGTTATACCCAAAATACTCATTATAATGAATGAAAATACATTTTTGGGCTCACAGTGCACAGTGGACACTCTTCGTTATGTTGCACTCAATGTTGTTTATACTTGTAACACCAGATTTTGCACTCATACCATGGTTTAGCTGCTAAAACTCTTATACTCATTTATTCTTTCATACATTTCTACTGTTATTCTGTTTTCACTCTTCAGAGATGACATCCAGACAGATGAAGACCTCTGAGTCCGCTCTGGTTCATCTACTTCTGGGCAAACAGAGATGTAACGTCACTTTCATCGTGGAGAGTTCAGAGGGTATGAGAGCAGCTCTGGGGTCAGTGAAGCGGCTGCTCATCCAGACCCTGCTGATGAAGGCTTCATACAGAGACTCTCTGATTAACATAATGTCATACTCAGGAGAGGTGAGGAGGGCAAAGACTCATCTAGACTAGACTCTGCATTCATCACAAGTAATTTAAAGTTTGGGCTTTTATACTGAATATCAGCAGTACTGTGATATCTTCTGCGACAGTATTGAATACAGCAGCACTCCCTCTGTTTCTGTATTACTTAAATATACGGTTATTTGGTTATGGCTGGTAGTTGAATGTTTGTATAACTCTGATACTAAAGCTGGTAAAAGTGGAGCTGAATCTTCTTGGGTGACTAAATGTTCCTTATTACTCCACAGTTGACCTGCTGGTCTCATCACATGCTCCCCTGTTCTCCCGACACGGTCTACATCTCTCTGTCCTGGATTCACTCCATCAGCTGCAGCCCCGGCAGAGACCTCCTTTCAGCCCTGAGTGTTGCCTTCATGGACCCCAGCTGCCATGCTGTCCACCTTCTCTGCACAGACCTTCCTGATCAGCCCGAAGCCGTGCTAAGAGGTCTGCCCTCCCTGGCAGGTGGTCGTCCTGTGAATGTTTTCTACCTGCTGGAATCAGGTGCGCAGCTGGACAACCGAACTATAGACTACCTGCAGTGTTTGACCCAGACCACCAGAGGGAGTTGTTACGTGATTATAGTTGGTTTGGATGGAGCGCTGGAGAAGGTATGGCTGCACTCACGCACTCAAAGTTGGGAAAATCTGTTTTTCCAGTTCACTTAGTTGACAAGGTGTAAGTTAGGAAATTTACTGCCACTAACTAAAGTGTCAAACGTTGTTTCTGCAGCTGCTCAGTTGACACCTTCCCCATTGCACTGTATTCAGGCAGTAAAAAGTACAATCTAAAAAGTGTCTGTCTAATCAGAGATGATCTTCCCTGCTTTTGTAGATCATAAAAAGGCATTCATGGGAATTTCAGTCTATTTTAAGAATCTCAAAAAAATCCTCATAGGAGCTTTAACATAACACATTTTAACGGTATAAGTTTGTATTGACTTGTTGTTGAGGTCCCTGAGTGCATGAAAGAGGTTTTTAAATAAAGAGAGAAATTTCAGCTGAATATTTGAATTAAAACAACAATATCATACATGTTAAAAGTGTAAAAACAGTCATATATAAATGGCTGTCTGTTTCTCTGTGTGTATAAACATGTTTCCAGGTGGTTCCTCTGTGCGTTGTGGAAAATCAGTCATCAGTCTTCATCCCACACAGCAGGTCATCACCTCTGCCCAGGTCAGTTTCCATGGTTACACTGCTCCTTTTTTTCTAAATTCAAGAAAGTTTGATGCTGTAGTGGAAATATTTCATAGTTAACATATCCTTTATCATCACCTTTTTCCCCTTTACTCCTTATACTGTTTCGATCATGCTTTTTTTAAAATGAGGTTGCTTCAATGGAAAAATGTACAACTTAACAACCTTTTTGGTTTTAGAGACAAAATAGACACATCAGCTCAAAGGCAAATAAGCTGTTTTTCTTAACTTCTATTTGTCATCCAGGTGGATTCTGGGTAATCCTTTCCCCCCTGGTGCTTGTTGTGTGCAGTCCAGTCAAACCCTGAGTGGTCCAGAGTTTTTCCCAGGGTGCCGAGTGCTGGCTAGGAGGGAGGTGGACGGTCTTTACTACCTGGGCACTTTGATACAGCAAGTACAGGTTAAAAAAATGGGGCACTATTTATCCACGCTGTTTGAGAGTAATCAGTTTCAGATTTTAACAATAACTTGTTTCCCATCTGTCGAACCTCAGGGCTGTGGGGGAGTTTGGATCGTTGAGTTTGACCACCCAGGAAGCTCCACTTTGGGGGTCAGCCTCTCAAAGAGGCAGCTGGTCTGCTCCCTTGACATGGTGAACCACACCAGAGCTCACACAGGTAGTCTGGTACCTGGTGATACTGTCCTGTCACCATGGGAACCAGATCTGAAAAGACACGGGCCAGGGAGAGTGATGGCAGCCACAGAGCGGAGAGATGGTTTTGGAGGTCTGGAGTTAAGGCTGTATTTATTAATTGACTGATTTAATGGGATGCAGTGGTCTGATGATGGTCTCTATTATATTACTGAAGTCATTGAGATCTAAAATGATGGACAAATATTTTTTATTTGCTATTTTTTAGTTTTAGTTTGATTTTTTAAACATTAAATATTGGACCTTATCACTCAAAACTTGATGCTCTTGTTTTTGCAGTTGATGCTGTTTCCAGCCTGCGGGTCCTGATGTGGAACGGCTCTGTGTCTCTGGTTCCTGGCACCCTGGTTTCACCTATTTCACCCTCTCATCACAACAGAATAGTCCAGGAGCTCCAAATCCAAAAGGCACAAGCTCCTGGTCAGTGCTGCAGCTGGATCTGTGCTCGCAGTTCCTCCTACACTCCACGGCTCTGCTGCAGCTCCTGGTGTCAGTCCTGCTCTAGGGAGAGTGCGTTTCCAACCAGGTGTGGGTCCAGTTTGGGAAGAACAGATGGACTCCAAAGGCCAGAGCAGGATAAACAAATGGACCAAAGTGATACAGATGTGAGGAAGAGTGACCCTGACGTGCTCTCCTCCTCTTCCTCTGTGTCTCTGTTTGGGAATAAGAGCAAAGCAGTGAATGTGAAGAGCAAACAGCAACGTCTTCCCTGGAGGTACTGGAGAAGAACTGGACCAGAACCACAACACAGACAGCCAGGTGGGAACCATGAATTCAAGCTAATTATTCAGTATATTACAACTTACTGAATGTTTGTTGTTATGAGTGACAAGAGAGGTTAGCAAAGTTACATGTTGGAGTCTCCAGTATGAGAGATTTATGGGATTTATCAGGATCCTGGATCCAAGAGCTTGTGCCGCAGTTTCTTTAAGCGTAGGTTGCTGGTGGAAAATAGAAACTTGAAAAGCAGTTTGTGCACAAAGACAGAAAATTGCTTCCTTTTCCAGCAGTTGCTTTTTGGGAGGTGAAAGGAGCAGCTTTTTGAGACTTGCAACATCAAAAAAAAAAAAACTGTATTCATCCTATACTGACATCTGTGAAAACCCTCATTGCAGCACCATTCAGCCTCTATCTAAATCTATTTATTTTGGCTACTTTTCAAGTGATATAAAGTTAGGCGCAGCTTGTGAGTGTTACTTTTTACCCAGTGACAACTGAGGCACAAATCCTGCACAAAAAGCTTCATTCACCCCCCAAAAATGTTGATAGCTTAACTGCAGAACAGATATGAAAAACTGCAATAAGAGAAAAATAAGATTAATGTAACCATCATTCTGTGTTGATCAGTCTGCTCAAGAAGCTGAATATTACACTTTTGTTTTTTACGTTCTGTGTCTCTGTCTAAATCTGTAGGGGGTGCAGCGGCACCAAAGAGCACATCACAGCCTGTGAGGTTCAGCTTCCCCGTCCCTCAGTCCAGCACCTCACCCAATCACAGCTCTCTGTTTCAATCACTTCCTGGTGTTAAAGGAACCAGAACGAACATCAGGGAAGTTTTAGGAGCGACAAACTTTAAACCTCAACCACCAGCAGGACTGAGGCCGTTTTCTGCCAATAATGCTGCTTCTGTATACGCCTAATATGTCACATTTAATATATACTGGTACAAAAGTGGTAGAGACACATAAGTCATTAAAAAATACTTTATTAATACACTGATGAAGCATTAGTGCAGGTACAATTAAGTGCGTTTAAATCGACATGATAAAATACTTGAGTCAAATACTGTAAAAATATGGCTTCTCAGTTATCAGTGAATAAAACATGATAAAGAAGAATAAACTGTAAACTCTTTATGCAAAATTCAGTGTGAAAACAGGCAAAAATGACACAAACAGGTTCTCTTTGGGGAGTTTTGTAATTAAAGGTGACTGATCTGAGCCAGGTGAGAGGTCAGAGGTTAAAGGTGAGGTCGACACTCTCTCCAGCTCTCACAGTGACCACCTGAGTCTGCTGCTGGGCTTCAGGCGTGCTGGCGGTGATGGCGTACGTTCCTGGGGAAAGCTTAATGTAGAAGTCTTCATGTGCTGCAGACACGGGAGCCTGAGGGGGGTGAGACTTAAATATTAAATGAGAATATTCGTCTGTTAATCTGTGAATGTTTTCAACCATTTTTTAAAAATCTAACAGACAAATATTGCTCTAAAAAAGCAGATCACTGTTACCTTGCTGTGTGGGGTCTTGCCATGTTTCCTGGTAGACGGTGCAGGTGTTGTTGATCTACCAGCCTGTCTTGTGTGAAACCTGGACACATGGATCCTCTCTGTGTCAGTGGGCTCAGTGCAGCATCCAGACCCATAAAACCTCTGCAGGTAACACAACATTCAAGTTTTATTCACGGGGGTCTTGTGCTGAAAACTGAGAGACACAGCTGAATGACCACTCACCTTACACTGATAGGTCGTCTGAACCATGAGCCCCGCTATGGTTGCAAAGACATCATCAATCTCTGTGCGTGCACCCTGAAAAATGACAAGAGGACATGACAGCAGGTGTTGCATAGAAGTCACAGTAAATATTCATAAACTGATGGTGGGGGTAATATGCAGAAATACCTTGACAGGTACTTGTGCGTCCTCATCTGTAGCAGTTGAAGTCTGGGATGGTCCCGTGCTCGTCCAGTCAACACTTCGTCTGGAGGCTCGCTCCAGCACCTCAAGGCCCAGACTAGCAGAGCGGCGCAGAGACGACTCCAGCCAGGCTTGACTTTCCATGAACACACCAGGTCCCCTTCACCTGAGAGGAGGAATAACAGACAGTTCGTAGTAATTTTTATGTTATTTTATTCCCCCTTTACATAGGTAATAAATTAATAGAATAAAATATACAATGCATGGATAAATTATTATTATTTAACCTTTATTTTTACAGGTTATCTCAGAGATTTGGGGTCTCACTTGAAGAGATACGTGAAAGTTAAACAAAGGAAAAGAAAAAGACTTAGACTGCTACGGTGGCCGAGAACCGCCACTGCTGCAAATAAAAAAAGAATCCAAAAAAAAGAAGAAAGAAAGAAACCACAACAGAGGTTACTGATGCAAAAAAAGAGAAGAAACTGAAGCCTGCTGCAAATAAAAAAAAGAGACAGTGCAGAATTTTTTTTTTAAGTCCCACAATGGAAATTAATGACACAAAAAAAATTAGTGATGCAAAAAAAGAAAAAAGTTTCTTCTTTAATACACTAAATGCATTTAAACTTACATTTTCAGTCACTAAAGCCTTGACAGTGAACTAAGTTTAAAAGGCTACTGAGTTTACATATTCTCTTCATGGAAAATAAAGGCGGTGAAGACTGCGCATGCGTAAATGTCAGAGGCTAGTTTTCACTTTCACCAACCGCTGCCTACTCGCTCACTTTCTCCATCAGTCGACGGTTAGCTCGCGTGCTCACTTGGAACACTTATACATGAGATTCAAACCACGCACGGCACGTTCTCCTCCTGTGTTCTCTCCACGGTAACCTCACTGTGCAGTCTGCTCAACAAGTCAACAGGTCTGAGGTGAAGAGATTAGCAGTGCTTACCTGTCGAAAACAAGGACAGCCGGACGATTCAGGGAGAAACTGCGCGCGCATTAGTACAAGATTTTGGTGTACGCGAAGGTTGATTCACCTTTAACCTGCAGTCTTCTTCACATTTACCTCATTCTGCTGCCAAGTTCAGCTGCTGCAGCCTGGAGACTGTTTTCAAATGACGGTACAGGAAATCCTGCACGTTAAACCACGCCCCCCAGAAGGATCCCAGCTGGGTGAAGTAGTACACTGGAGTACTTTCTAGTACCCCACACAGGTGAACAATTTTATTAAAATTTTAAAACATGGCTAAAATAAGAAGTGTATGTCTTAAACTACTGCATTTTTTTATCGCTTAAACTACTTATTTTTTACTACTTTTTTATATATACTAACATAAGAGCAAGCCAAAGACAGGTCTAAAGAATTTTTACATTTTTTAATACATTTTGTACCTTTTTTTGTATTGTTCCCTTTAATTCTGTTTATGTTTCCCTCTTCTTTTTTTACTTCTATTGCACTGGAAATGAAGAAGCTCTCCAGTCTCATTGTTCTCCAGTATAATGACAATAAAGGGGATTCTGATTCTTAACTGTGCACAATTATATTTAATTTGTCAGGCGTCTCCGTTTCCAATATATCAAATATAAGTGAACAGCTGAAAGATTTATTGGTCAGACTGTTCAGGTAGAAATTGTTTTTTTTTTTTTAAATGTTTCCAAAAAAAGATTAATAATTTTGGTCCTGAGAAATTACAAATATTGACAAATAAACATTTTTGGTCTCTACTTTTTCACCTTGGTTCACAGCATTTTCATTTGTTTCTAGTGTTGCCACATTTCTAACACAATGGACTTAATGTCCGTCAAAGCAAGGGCAAGAACTCTGCATTTTTGAATCATCTCCAAACCCAAGATACCAAATGAGATTCAAATGTCACTGGATGAAAAAACTTTAAGCTGCCCCAAGGCAAGAGTTACGATGCCTACAGCTGTGCATCTCCCATGAAAGACTACTTGGTCAATTGCCATGTGTACCGTATTTTCCGCACTATAAGGCACACTTAAAATCTGTCTGGCTTGCTGGAGCACTGCAGCTACTGTAGCCTCGCAGAGTTCCTGAATAAGTTAAATAAAGTTTGACTTATCCGACTGTTTTGTTTGACTTAATGCACTTTATAATCCCGGGTGCTTTATGTATGAAAATAGACGCGTTAAGCGATGGTGCGCCTCATAGTGCGAAAAATACGGTATATATAATCTGTACGAAATAGAATATGAATGCAATGAGCAGTAGTGGGATTTCTGCTCAGCATCCAGCACAAACCACAGCTGTTATGTGAAATACAATAATGCAGATGTAAAAGTCAGAAATGACAAACAACATTCCCATTTATACATTTTATTTCTGCAAAAACACAATGACAGGATCATTATGCCATCAGCACACAGGCTCCTCCCACTTCCTTGATCTTCTCCTCGGCCCTTCGGCTGAAGAACTTGGCCTTGACGATCACGGGCTGTTTGGGCAGTTTGCCTTTGCCCAGGACTTTGTAGTAGCCCTGAGAAGAAATCAAGAACAGGATGAGTTCAACCAGATATAACCATTTACAAAACCTACAGTCTATTCGTCTGAAATAATGCCACTGTCTCATTACTTCCAGGTTGGTTTAAGTTAAACTTTGTGATTTTAATTAAACCCCCAGAAACAAATGTGTAGAAGTGCATTTTAAAAAAAAGGTATCGAAGTTTTTATTCAAGAAAGTAAAAATGAAGATTTTCCTGCAAAATCGACACACAGGTCCAATGTCGTGTGTTTCAATGCAAAAAGAAAAATACACGAGCTAAACCAAAGAGAGGAAACTGTAATTCTAATAATAATAATAAGACTTAAACTGCATAAATATACAAACATAAGAGCAAGCCAAAGACACGTCCATCTGAAGTATGAACCATGATACATCTGAGCAACTAAAACACTGTCCTATTTACACAAATGATGCCAACTCTCAACCACCAAAGGGTCTCAGAGTATAAAAGCAACATGACTTTCAATTAAATATAGAGTCATGGGTGCCATCTTTAAAGATCAACCCCTTCTGCTAATAAAAAGTCCTGATTTTATCAACCTTAGAGTGAATAATAATTCTGCTCATGTTCACCATGACAACTTCAGTTTTTGTTAACCATATTTGTAAAAGTTGCTTCAAGAGTGTATCATTTTTATCGCTGTTTAATCTGGTGTTTACTTGTATTACAGGCAATAAGATTAATGCAGTTACCTTGATCAAAACTACAGGTCACACAGGTTTTGGCACATATTTTCTGATTCTTAAATCCAGGCAACTGCCCAGAAAAAACAGCAACTACTAGCCGGAGTTTTCTATGGATAAATACACAACAGGCAAAAGCAAAGAGTTTCTCTCCACTGGTAACCAGACCAGGTTAACAATCTCTTTAATCACAGACTTTGAGCCACACTTATGTCTTCTGTCTCTAGGAAAGCATCAGGCCTGAGCGAAGAGGGTGTTTGCAAATAAATCGGCCTGAAACCTGGGGGAACACTTACAGCGCGCACAGCATCAATGATGGGGGCGGGTCCCTCTGGCTTCTTGCTGTAGTTCAGCCTGGTCTGCTCGCTCACCAGGGTCCACAGCTTGTCCAGGTTGATGGTGGGACAGTGGGTTGTGTTTCTCTTCAGGTGGTAATGTCTCATACCCACCTTACCGAAGTACCCAGGATGGCTGAGGAGTCACAAAAGAGGGACAGAGGAAAGGTTAATCCAGGGTTGGGATCAAGACAAAAAAAAAAAAAGGCACTTAAACACAGAGACAAAATATGCACGGTGAGGAAATAACACAGTAAGATCAACATAACAGTCTGTAACTGCCCATGTGGCTGACTGGCCTACAAAAAGCCAGTCGGTGAATAGGACCAGTCTTCACTCTAAGAGGACTCAAGCACACCAAGACAATGATTTATGCCAAGATGAGACTCTAGTCTCTATGTCCCTGTGCTCTAGAGAAACAATACAGATGGTACAGAGGTAACATGTTGTGGTCAGGCAATTGTCAACAACAACAACAGCAGATCCGTGCCAGATGTCAGAAGTGTCTACAACTGCTGCTGGGCATTTTCGAGCAACAGGATGGAGCGTCTTACACCATTGGTTTTGTCATACTTGATGTATGCACTACTTTTTCTACAGATGAGGTGCGCAATACTCCTCTTCTCTGGTGTTTTTGTTCTTGGTTACTAGGGTGGGGGGCACGCCCACCCACATGCATTGTCTTATCAAACTCAGACTACGCTGGTTACCTGGTAGAGAAAGTCGATTTCCGATTGCAATATCTGGGTGTTTTGATCTGAGTTATCCGACAATAATCGGAGTCGAACTAAGGTGTTTAAATGCACTTCAGTTGTCCAGTCTTAATCGGAATAAGACAATAATTCTGTTTTTTTGAATGTCATGTAAACGTACTCAGTGATTGACTCCTGCTGCCATTGTATATAAACAAAAACCTAAATAAGAGCTTAATTTTCTACTCATATATAACCACCTGATAACATTGAAGAACCAGCACAGAGCAAAGAGTACCACAAATATGCTTAAGCGAGGTACACACAAGGATTTTTTAAATCTGAAGCAATTTTTTAAATCTTTTTTTACATCGGGAATTAAACAGTTTTCGTACTTGGTGGTGTGCTCCGATAATCTCAACACAGCACACCACACAAAAACTATTCTGTTCAACCACCGATCTAGAATCTAGTCCTCCAAGACAGAAATCTTGCATGATAAAACATGATCTGACAAAAACAAAGAAGAAACATAGCAACATCTGGGAAACAAGCTTATTGTCAACCATCAGCAGCCAATTCTGACCATCACAGCAAACTCAAACTTGTGGACAGATGTAAACTCATGGATTCGGTGACCACATCAGACTTTCATGCCATGCTGAACTTACTATTTGTCGAAGTTGATTCTGTGGTGATGCATACCACCAGCATTACCACGACCTCCAGGATGCTTTCTGTGCTTACCTGTGGGTGGACAAGTTCAGATTAACCATTTATTATAATTACAGAGGGTTTGATCACTGCTCATCTACATTAGACTTTTAAAAGAGGACACATAATCATACTCACCGACGCGACCATGTCCGTGGCTGACATGTCCTCGGAGCTTCCTGGTCTTGGTCTTCTTGGTTGGCTGTCAGAGGAGAATTTAGTTAAAATGACTGAAGTGAACAAGACAGTGAAGAAGCTAACTGCTACCTCAGACAGGTGACCGTTTCGTATTAATATATACACTGTCAACTTTAACACTGAAGAATGGATTTGCGCCAGAATGCAGAAGTTCACAGACAGTGTTTATTTTAATAACATAACGCTGTGTAGACTTTCCACGTTGTGACACCTTCACTTCATGCTGCCTAACATTATCGGAGGCTAATGCTAACTGCTCTCTCTTATTACCGGCTGACTTCATAGAAATACAAATGCACCAACGGACTAGACACAGTCCTTAGGAAAATAACACTTGATCCTTATTCATCGGCTTTAAAGTTTTATGTTCGCGGTTAATTCAGAGTTTTCTGGGTAACTGCTGCTTTCACGACGGGCCCTACAGAGCCGGGCTCACTCACACTAAACCGGTCTGAAATACTCAAACTATCAACAAGTCACGATAAAAACGTCCAGATGGTGACTGTGTGGGATAACTGAAATGTAAGCCACCATCGGATGGCAGTTTGCTGTGTAACTGAACAAGGATGGACATAGATTTAACCGAATTTCAAAGCACAGGGATACAGGATAGCACCTACCATCTTGGAGGCTAGTTGAAAGAGGAACGTGATTTGGAAACCTCGCGGTTTTGTGCGAGATTTTGGTATGTGAAAAGCGTGCTCAGAAATCCACAGCGACGCCTGGCGACGGAAAAGGGCGAAAAAAAAAGGTTCAAGCTTATCAAGTGGACTTAAAAGCTTACAACAAATGGATTTTTAATAATAAAATATCTAACGAAACACAAAAATAAGTTAAAAGTTTTTCATTGAGTTCAATACCCTTTTTGTCAGTGTTTAGTAGGCTACCACATCAGTCCAATCAATCACTAATTTAATAAAAGACACAGTAATGCGATGAAAAGCAGTTTGGGAGCAGAAAGAAGCAGAAGAGAAACAGAAAAATCAGTAAATAAAATTTTCATGGAGCTCAAACAATTGTTTTTGGCCACCAAAAACATTTTAATACATGAAAAAAAAGCTGTTATAGGCTACTTAAGCACAAAAACACAACAAGTAAAATATCAACAAAAAAAAATCACAAAGGAAAATAAATATTGCTGTTTGTAACCTTTTTTTGGAATTTTTGGAGGATGAGAATGTTGTTATAACTTGAGGTCCTCAAGTCACTACTGCTACTTTTTTTAGTTGTTTTTTTATTTATTTATTTTTTACTTGTATTATTATTATTTTTTTAATCATTTTTATCTTTATTCACTTATTTTTCTCTTCTTTCAATTTTTTGATAGTTTTGTTGTATAGTGCATTTATACATCATTGCTTTTGCTCTAGTGTTATTTGTATGTTTTTCTTAAATGTAAAAACTTTATAAAATATAGTTTAAAAAAATATAGCTGTTTGTGAAATACTACTTTTTTTGTCAGTGTTTTAGTAGGGTACCACATTAGTCCAATCAATCACTAATGTAATGAAAGACACAGTAATGCGACGAAAAGCAGTCTAGGAGCCAAAAGATGAGATTTTGTTTGTTAAAATTCGCCGAAACACCCTGCTTCAACCCCAATAACCCTCAATACAAGTGAATTTTTGTATTTGGTTGCATGTCTTTCAAAACCACGCTGCTGTTCTGCTTAGACAATGAAGGAGAGATGAGCGATTGCATGCGAGCAATTTGAGGATTTTCATCAGAAACCAGGTCAGCTTTGATGGAAACCAGTTAGGCATGCTAAATTTTCTGCACCATCAGACATGTTTCCCTCCCTGTGATCCAGTTTAGTGGACTAAATATCCATTTAGATCTGTCAGCAATGTCTTACCCTTCAGTATAAACTTCAAAATGATCTACTTTAGCTCAGTGTTTGAGTTATAAAAGACTGAACTAAGAAGAATAATGACACAGACAGAGTTAAGGTACATTTACATACAGCTGGTCTGTCAGCATGAGTCAGTTTTACAGCCTGTTACTTATCAGTGGTCTGAGTGAACTCTGTTGGGATTTTAAACCAAAAAGAACAAATTTTCACTGCTGAGCTTTCACCTGATTGAACTTTATGCAGTCTGTGGTGGAATTTCTCTCAAACAATGCACTTTAATTCAAGCTTGGCACTCAAACGCTGTAATTTTTCTTACATGAGAGACGAATAATAGCTTCACATTACTGCTATGGTAACATTGAAGGCTAGTTTAGAAGGGAAATGTCAAGGGACAGAGCTCTCCACCTATCAAATCCTGATTATTCCCCTGATACTGGACACATGTAACAGCTCCATCCCTCTCTTTTAGAGCTCACATCGACCTGGAAACACACTCACCTGGTTTTCTGGAGTAGAGGTTTTGCTGTTTGTCCCTCAGAAAGACTTTCAGGTAAGATTCAATCATATTCAAACTTCATATTAGTTGTTAATCTCTTAGTAGAAAGTGTTTCTCCACATTTTAATTTGACCTGGGTAAAAATGAGCAGCAAATTCTCTCAGAAATTCAACCTCTTGTTTTAATCCTTGGTGTTTTTGTTGTTTGTTTTGATTCTTGTGTTTCGCAGCCAAACATGAACACACAGGAGATTAAAAACTGGCCTCTTCTGTGTTTTCTCTCATGTTTTTTTCACCTCAAGAGGCCCAGATCTCCTGGAGATGGCACGCCACCCTTACAGATGTCATGGAAACTTTCCCCAAAGGCCGGCCGCCCTGTTTCCACAGGTATCCAGGTGTAGAGTGAAGCAGGCGCTGGAGGCCGAGTCATCTGAGACCGGTTTAAATCGAGCAACAAGAGCAGAGGAGCCGAGCGTCCCAGCAGAACAAGTAACAGATCAAAACAAATAACAGAGCTACAAAATAATTACACATATGATCTGGATCTTTATATAAAATCAGATTCCATTGAAATTGGAAAATTGTGATAAACGTAAATAAAAACAGAACACAATGATTTGCAAATCCTTTTCAACCTATTAAATATACTACAAAGACAAGATAATTAATGTTCAAATTCATAAACTTATTATTTTTTTGTAAATAATAATTAACTCAGAATTTCATGGCTGCAACACGTGTCAAAGTAGTTGGGACAGGGGCATGTTTACCACTCTGTTACATCACTTTTCCTTTTAACAACACTTAATAAATGTTTGGGAGCTGAGGAGACTAATTGTTGAAGCTTTGAAGGTGGAATTCTTTCCCATTCTAACTTGATGTTCAGCTTCAGTTGTTCAACAGTCCGGGGTCTCCGTTGTCGTATTTTACGCTTCATAATGCGCCACATATTTTCAATGGGAGACAGGTCTGGACTGCAGGCAGGCCAGTCGAGTGTCCGCACTCTTTTACTACGAAGCCACGCTGTTGTAACACGTGCAGAACGTGGCTTGGCATTGTCTTGCTGAAATAAGCAGGGGCATCGATGAGAAAGACGTTGCTTGGATGGCAGCATATGTTGCTCCAAAACCTGTATGTACCTTGCACAGATGTGTAAGTTACCCATGCCTTTGGCACTAATGCACCCCCATACCAGACGCTAACTTTTGAACTTTGCGTCGACAACAGTCTGGATGGTACATTACCTCTTTGGTCCAGAGGACACGACGCCCACTATTTCCAAAAACAATTTGAAATGTGGACTCGTCAGACCACAGAAGACTTTTCCACTTTGCATCAGTCCATCTTAGATGAGCTGGGGCTCAGAGAAGCCGGCGGCGTGTCTGGATGTTGTGATAAATGGCTTTCCCTTTGCATAGTAGAGTTTTAACCTGCACTTACAGATGTAGCGAGGAACTGTATTTACTGATAGTGGTTTTCTGAAGTGTTCCTGAGCCCATGTGGTGATATCCTTTACACACTGATGTTGGTTTTTGATACAGTGCCACCTGAGGGATCGAAGGTTACGGGCGTTCAATGTTGGTTTCCGGCCGTGCCGCTTACATGCAGTGATATCTCCAGATTCTCTGAACCTTTTGATGATATTATGGACCGTACATTTTGAAATCCCTAAATTTCCTTTATCTGTCTTTGTAGTGTATTCAATTGAATATAGGTTGAAAAGGATTTGCAAATCATTGTATTCCGTTTTTATTTACGATTTACACATCTTCCCTACTTCAATGGAATTGGGTTTTGTACATCTGAGAAAAAAAAATGACACTGAATGAATGTGTTTTAAAAAGCTCTGCAGGTTCGGATCCTGTGAAGTCCAAAAGGAGTTAAATGGATCTTGCAATGGAAGCACAAAAGCAGCCTCCCCTTCACTTGCAACACAAGAACCTGGAAAAGATGTTGCACCTCTATTTGAGACATTAAGGTAAAGTAAAGAATGACACATGGAGCGAGCTGTCAGATGTTTGAGCATCATTGTGATGAGGTTTTAATGAATCTGAATCAAGTATTTTAGCTGTCTTTGATTCGATTAACAGAGCTTGTATTTATTTCCACAGGATTCACTCAGAAGCCCAAAGAATTCTGGGTAATTCCAGCATACCTGTGGTCATCTTGGAGCGACTGAACCTCCGGTCTGTGTCCTTGCCATGTCTGCAGCCCGTGGTGTCTCTGGTGAGACTGCCATCTCAAACTCAAGCCAAGATCGAACCCGACGTTTCCATCTTAGCGAGTCCTCAGCAGACCAGCAGTTTGGGGGATAATGAAGCGTCACTTCTGTCTAAACCAGCAGAATCTGGTCTCAACCAATCAGAATTAACCCCGACCTTGTGGACCGAGCCGTACTGTCCTGACAGCCCCCCCTCTGAAGAACCAGAGCAGGACTCAGGCTTTGATTGTGAATCCAATCCAGATCAGCCTTACATCCTGTGTGACTCCGGATCCGAGGAGTGGGAGCCAAATGTGGAAAAAACAGATTCAGAGACATTTTACTTGGATCCAGATCCAGAGCTGACCTTGGTGATAGAGCTGGATCCAGAGCTGGAGGCAGATCAGGATCAGTTTGTGGAGCTGGAAGATGAACCAGAGATAAAATGTGAAGAGGAGATAGTCGAAATGGAAGTCAGTGATGATCCCAGAGCTGATCTTTGCTGCCCACAGGAGGAGGAAGACTCGACTGTTCAGCAGCCTGGACCTGGATCAGGACCTGAGGAGATGGAGAGTGAAGATTTCTGTGCCGCGTGTCGTAACGGAGGAGATCTTCTCTGCTGTGACCGCTGCCCTAAAGTTTTCCACCTGGGCTGTCATATACCTGCTCTCACCTGCTCCCCTCTGTAAGTGCTGCGAGGACACACAAACACAAGAACTAACTTGGTAGAAATGGATTAACAAGGAAGAAAAGAGTAGAAAACAAATATGCTCCTGAAATAACCCGAGTTTTCCGGTTTTACAGAGGCGACTGGGTGTGCTCACTCTGCAGAACAGACCAGGACCCTGTGGGGACCCATGACAGTGAGGACGCTCAGTCCTGTGGAGGAGTCAGAGCTCTGTACACCCTGTCCGACCAGGACCAGAGGGTGAGCTCAGTCGTTTAAATCTTATTTTATTCTAGTGGCGGTTGCAGAATCATTACAGCAGATAATGATAAAATGAAAGTGATGGAAACTTTGCTTATCTACGTAACTGTATTTGTGTGTTTGTGTGTTTGTGTTTATCTCCTGTGCAGAGGTGTGAGAAGATGACTCTGCTGTTGTTCTGTCACACACTCAGCGCTCCGTTCCACGAACCCGTCAGCCCTCTGGTCAGTCCGACACATTTACACCAAAACTTGTAATGAGAGACTTATAGAAATCACTTTTTAAGTCATACTATATCAAATAGCTGACTTTATTCAAAATGTCAACAAATGTTACTGCAGCTCAAAGTTAAAGGCACTGTAAGGAGTTTTTAGCTGGTTAAGAAACAGACTGAAACTGATACTAAAGCATCTTCACCACCTTCAAAAGCAAAAAAGACTATTAGTAAGAGGGTTGATTATTTCAGAGAGGTAATTTTTTTATGCCTAAAACGGCCATAAGGGGGTAGGTGTCAATCAACATGATTGACAGCGGGCCGAAAAACAGCATTTCCTAACAACAAATACTCACAGTAAGTTTTATATACTTCACTCTTATGAGACAACAGAATGAGGTTTTGTATGATTTCACATTCACAGGACAAGAAATTAGAGGAACTACTTTATGTAAACACAAACTAAAAGTTCCTTACAGTAGCTTTAATGACTTTGTGTGACACCTACACTGTGGCTGCTGTTTCTAGCCTCAAAAATAACAAAAAAGGAGTAAAAAACTTTTAATTTTATTTGCTTTTGTAGCACAAAGAAAGTCATCAATTCCAACTTGAATTTAGTTTCATTGCCTGTTAAAAAAAAAAACCTACAGGAGTGCTGACATTGCGTCCCCACTTTAAACTCTTCAGTGCAGAGGTAAAGTGATAGCGGTATGTCATAGTTATTTTCACCTAAACAAAGAGAAAGCTGGCTCACTGTGCTGTACATGTCAACTGTTCCAGTTAACCTCCATAATAGAGTACAGTGTTAAAATGAAAACAATAGTGATCTAATCTCTGTGGACTCGCTCCAGGCCAGAAACTACTACCAGATCATAAAGAGGCCCATCGACCTGTCCGTCATCCGCAGGAAGCTGGACAAAAGCAACACTCTGCACTACTTCACCGCCGAGCAGTTTGTGGATGACGTGCTGCTGATGCTCAAGAACTGTGCTACGTTCAACTACGTGAGTTTGTCACAAGGTCGTTAGAGAACGGGTGGATCACCAACTAATAATCTAATTTCTGCTGTAATTGAATCATCTCTGCGCCGCAGCCTGAGAGAATAAGTTCCACATGTGCGTAACTGGAACACTTTTTTATTCCTTTATATGTATGTAGAGGCTGCCAATCAGGTTGTTTCAACTGCCAAAAACATTCAAACTTCTGGTGGTACCTCCAAAGTTTAACAAGCGCCTATAACCATGTAAGCAGATCTGTGAGGGTGTAATTAAACACAGAGAGCTACATGCAGAGTTTGGGTAGTACACAGGTTTTATTAATGTCCAGGTCAGCCGTGATATGGATCCATCAACACTGACATAAACACAAGAGTTATGGATTTTGTAAACATGGTTTGGAGAGACGAATTCCCCCCACATGGATCACCTTTGCAACACCCACTTGTTATTTTATCTGTTTTCACACATGCACAAAACTGTCCTGACATTACCCAGACTTTTCCCAGTAAAATTTCAGCATGAAGTCAGTCTGAGCTTGTAAGAAAAGGCAGCATGAAAAATGTGGAAATTTTCCTGCAAGTAACCTGATGACATAAAGATTTGAAAATATCTTTAAAATTAAACATTAAAATTTCAAGATTTAAATAAAAAATGTAAGATAAGAATTCAACATTTATTTTGACATGGCTTTGACGTTATTTCGAATTTAGATTTAGGGTAAAGATTCAAGATGTAAAATTGTTTAACGTTCAGATTTAGATTTCTATTTCACATTGTTCAACATTTAGATCTTTATTTAATTTGCAAAATTTCGAATAAAACTTTAGTGTAAAAGATTTCCATGATTTCACTTTTGGAAAATTTCACATTTATTTTTGTATTTATTGAAAGTAAGTTTACAAGTGATGTTACTTTAAGATTCATTATTTGATTAAGATAAAAGGTTTAACATTGATTTAAAATTTAAACACACATTTAAGATCTAGATTCAACATTTGGATTTTAATGTCATCTTTAATTTTTAGAATTTAGATATAAATTAAAGATTCCAAATTATGTGACATTAAGTATCTAATGTGAGATTTGTGTCCAAACATTTATGTTTTACATTTAAAGGAATTTAAGTTAAAAATTATTTAAGGTTTAGATTTGACATTTGATCTTTATCTATCTTCAATATCTTTTATAAATAAATACTACAATTGAGTTCACAAATATTAATGTTTTAATTGATGTAAAACAGCGACTTTGAATAAAATCTAAAGGTGTTTCCAAGCGTTGAAAAGCTATATGTGGAAAAATGTTATTTCACGGCACTCTACAAAAACATGACCTGATATTAACTTTTTCATTATCTCCTTTCTTTGCAGCCGGACTCAGAGGTGGCTCAGGCCGGTCGAAACCTGGAGCTGTTTTTCTTGAGCAAACTTGAGGAGCTTTTTCCTGATCAGATGTTCCCGTCGGCCAGCCAGGACAAAACAGACCGAGCTCGCTCACGGTGGCTCAGGAGGAAGAGGAGGGAGAGCTACAGGAAGAAGAAACACGTACTTAGTGGAAGAAAATATTTACTGTGACTGCACACTGCCTGCAGGGTTGTTATTTTCGTGCTTTAAAGCATTTTACTAAATAAAGAACATGTAGAGGTAAAGCATTTTATTCTGTTTTCTATTCTGAAAAGGAACTCTACCCCTCCACCAGGGGGCGAGCTTGTGTCTGGGACTGTACTGGTGCCACATCTTTAAAATGAAACTGGGGTTAATTCAGGACTGCAAACTTACCAGAAAGGTACTTGTAGATTTCTTGGAAAAAATAGTTTTCTTTGTTATTTAGGGGAAAGATGTCATATTAACATGAGAGCAGAAAAAAACGTTCACTTTTGATAAAAATATCTGAGTAAATACTCTTGTTGTCGTCTATTAAACATGTTCTCCGGATTAATCCATCAGTGCTGTCAGCCTCTGTTTGTCCTGGACTCTGCTGCAGTCACTGGTGGTCTGCTCAGTCCGCGTTGTTGCTGATGTTGGTTTTTCATTTGCAGCTCTACGTGAGGATTTTAAGGACATTTTGTTCCTCCAAGATTCACCTCAGAGTCATTTGTCAAACAGGACAGAGTGCAAAGTGACAACCCTCTGATAGTGTGACCACTTGAGCCAGAGAGCTTTCGTTTGTTTCTGCCAAAATGCTTTTCTATGAAATATAATCTCTAAAAAGCTGCGCCGTAATAGATTCTACTCCCTGAAGCCCATAAAAATGATTCAAATGGATAAAATCTGTAGCAGCCGCTGATAAAACCCTCTCTGTGCTGGCTTCAAACTCAGTGTTTATCCACGTGTATATCCACCAGGATGTAAAAATTGTCAGTTATTAAATGAAGAAATACAGAGAAACACGAGCCGAGCTTTCAGGGGTTCGTGGATCATGTCCAGATAAAATGGAGGAAATTGACCGTGAGACATTTTCAAAGGAAGCTTTATTCCCCTCTAGTGTCTTTTAAACCCACTTTCTCCAGGCCAGTAAACCTCGGTCACATGTCTGCTTTCCGTCTCTCTTCCTTTTTGTGGAGTAATGTGCAGATGTTTCATTTAAGGACATCAAAAGACCGTCTAAAATCTGGTGAATCACCAGCACACAAGGAGAAGAGGAGGGTAAAGCTCCTCCAGCTGTGGTGGACCTCTTTGAGATAAGGCCCTCATGTAATGTTTAGATCAGACTCAAGAGTGTACATTAGTCTGATACACTCAGCTATCTCACTCAGTTTGTTTAGGATGTATTTATCTGGTTATTTAAGACTCACTTCCTCACTTTAAGTTTTGATAAGATTTCACTTTAAAGCTCTTTTTCTTGATTTATCATTAGTTTGGTTTGTGTGAATACCGCATACATCACCTTTTAATTTTATGACCACGGCTTTTAAGAGGTAAGATAGCCGGTTCCTTATGTTCCATCTGTGTTCACAGCACACAGACCGAGGCCCAAGACAGCACTGAGCTGATACAGACAGCTCATGAAGCTCTGGAAAAGTGCTCAGCTGAACTTCAGTCAAGTGAGGAGCAGGATAAAGAGGCTGAGCAGGAGTTCAGGAATCCCCAACCTCAGCAAGAAGCTGCAGCAAGAACAAGCTGCTCTGCTGAGGACAGCTACAAAAAATGTTCCCTGCACTCCAGAGCCATGCTGCATGGAGTAAAGAGGTGGAGGAGATCAGCCTCCACCTGCAGAAGATCCAGATGGATCTGCTTTATCAAGCCCTGAGCTTTCAGATTGCTGGGAGACAGGAAGGAACTCCCAACAAATATGTGTGGATCAGAACTCACTGGGACAAAGAGCAGCACACAGAGCAGCTGCACAAGACCGCTATGAATGAAAGGTCAAAGAGGAGGCTCAGAAAGAGATCCAGAAGATCCAGTCCTCCTTCACAGCACAGATTGTGGACCTGCAAACGTCATTCATGAAACCACAGCTGCTAAAAAGAAAGCTGAAGAGCATCGGACTTCCAGGAGAGTCAGTGGCAGGAGAAAAGACGCTCCTTACAAGACACCATTCAGCTCCTTCTGAGGACACATAAGGAGAAGACAGAGGAGTGGACCGAGAAAGAGAGGAACATGACCTCCAAGATGGATGAGCTTGAGAGCATCCTGACCGAAATGTTGAGAATGAAGATGACGAGGAGGAGGAGCTGGCTGAGCAGACTCTTTAACGATCCAGCTCTAACAAACTGTCTTTTAAACGCACTAAGAATGTTCATGTTGCAAATAAAAAATCAAATATATGAATTTATCAGGTTAATGTTGTTTTACCCTGTTGAGATTGAAAAGTGTCATTTTTAAATGAAGCTGGAGTTTTGTTATGAAAAATGTGTTTTTTTAATGATTTTAAGGAAGTTTTTCAAGACTCAATTCTTCAAAAAACTTTAATACATTTCAAAAAAGGTAAAGATTCAATCAAACTTCTGAACAAAACACTAAATCGTCTTTTTTTCACTGGCAGCTGGGTCACCATGATGAGGCAGGAAGTTTTCAAAAAGTGAAATTTTTCTCTGATGTGTTTCACCAGAGAAGACAAATTACCGTAAATCCTCAAATATAGGTTAGTTCTTTTTTTTTCTTTTACAGTCTAAGGTGCCAGGCCTTTATTTGAATCAGGCTTGTATTAGAGGACAGCCTTTATTTTGAGCTCTCTCAGTCTTAGAGAATCATGATGATTCATATTTAAGCACAAAGTGAAGGTTTTATTCACTCAAACTATCCAAAAAGACACCGTCTAATTCATAAAGCATTAAGGGTTCAATGTCCCACAAGCTGCTCTTCTGAAGAAATTCTCTATTTCTCCTCTGGATGACCCAGAAATAACACATTCATGCAAAAGTCTGTTAAAATTATGTTGTACGGTCCTGATAGCTTGTTGGATTTAAAAGCTATTTTCCTGATTCATCATGTCTGGAAGTGGGGTTAAGTGTGTGATATTTTCTCTGGACAGTGTTGAGAGCAGAGTGGGAGGACCAAACATCCCTCCTTTGAGTTTTATGACCAAATCTTATCAAAGTAACAGGTAAGGGGTTTAAGCATATTTTTACTTTATTGTAAAAGCTGTGGGATATGACACAAAACGATTATAATGCTGCACACAATTCAACTTGAAAATGCACTGCAGGAGTTTTCTTTGTATCTTTAGAGACTAATGGCCCAACTAAAAAGTCTGCTACATTATGGCATTTATGTGGTTTTCATGATTTATCTCCAGCTTGGATTAGGATAAGAGCGTGAGGTTTTCTCTGGACTGTGTTGAGAGAAAAAGCTACAAATAAATGTAAAATCCATCTTTCAATTTTATAGCTGAAGCTTATCTTTGTAAGAGGCAAGATAGTTGGCTCAGTTTGACATATTTAGCCTCGTTTCTGACGGCGTCTGATTATAAAAGCTGTGGGATATCACGCTAAAGCAAGGTAATGTTGCTCGTAAATTTTCATATTCGGCTTGAGATAACCGAAAAGAGAGATTTGGATGCTTTTGAGAGCATAAAACTCACAGACCACCGTCATATCATTACAAATCCATCACATCAAAGCATCGATAAAATTAGGGAAAAAATAGAAGGAGACATCGATGAGATGAAGATTGGCATGTGCAATGTTGGGGTTTGGACAGGTGCTTCCACATGCAACACATGAATCCAGTCTGACTGAAGGTTAAAGATGTGCAAAACTGAGAGGGGTGAAAACATGTTTGGAAAGAGTTGGGGCAGGAGAGCACTGGAAAAGTTGTGTTAAAGACCCACTCTGATGAAAATCATGTTTTTCTTGTTGTCTACATGTTCATATGGCATTTTTCTGATACTACAGGACATATCAGGAGAAAAATAAGTGCGAAATTGAGTATTTGTGTATTCAAATCGCTGCGACTCTCTGGCAGACCCAAGCGGCAGGCTCAGACACAGTGAGATTTCCTACATCACAAATCCAAGCTCCGCCCCCGCAGGCCAGACTCTGAGAAATAGAGAAGACAATTGCAGATTAAGTGTGTGCGTTTGCGGATTTCAATGTTCGTAAGAAAGCTAATTATGATATTAACTTTCATCATGTCCCTAAAAACATTAGTGTCTGAGAGCTGAATAGCTCCTATGTTACCTGACACTTCTATTACACAGGCAATGTTAGGCTACAAGCTAGTGTGAAGAGGAGTGTGCAGAGCAGCGCTGTCTCCGTCCACGACTCAGAGGTGAATTGCTAATGAGCTACTGGAGCTCTGCAGGAGAACAGTCCTTGAAAATGACACAGGTAACGTGATTTTGGCTAAAAACCACAATTACAATTTAAAGACCACTGAGAACACAAAGTAGTAAAAAAGGTATAGTATAAAGACACTTCAGGTGCTTTTGTACTTGTATATGACTGGATAACTGAATATAGAAGGGCGTTTAAGAGAAGTAGAGTCTTTCAGAATAATATTCCTCTGCATGAAACTGCACAAAAAAGAATACAGGCTATGATCTTTGGGGTCCTTAGGTAGCTCTACATGTATACAGCCATCAAGATATTACCCAATGCCAAACCTCATTCTGATCATACAACAGTACGGCTCAGTAGTAGAAGAGTCCTGCTGCAGACCTTATTTGACGCTTAAACTTGACCTAAGCTGGCTGAGGAATTTCAAGTGTTTTATGAGACTCAAGGCGCCATGAAACAGTGTTATTTAAGGACATGGGAATAAGAACAACAGCTGCTGATGCCTGTTTGATATTAGAGCCCCGGTATATTTATCAGGCTGCCCACCAAATGTAGACTGACATCTAGAAACAGCAACCATTTAGTTTGGCAGCGGCAGTCTCCTGATTGGCCAAGATCGAATCATTCACCGTGATTTCTTCCCATGCCATACACCGCAGATAATCTCATTATAAAGAGTCAACAGAAACCTTCCAGACTGGTTCATGGTGCGCTGAAGTTTTGCAAAGATGTAGCTGATGTGTTGTGCTGCCTTTGATGCTGATTGTGTGTGTGTGCGTTGGTATGCAGCTGGTGAGGATAATGTGTTTCTTGGTGTGTGTGCGGTTTGGTGGGCACATGACGGCGTTGCTCATGTGAAAGCCCCTCCGCAGCCACGTGTTGATCCTCTCAGGAGAAATGGTTTTTCCTCTCTGCCTGATTAAAAGCTGCCATGGATGGCTGGGCTGTCCAATGTGTCCTCACCTTTGGAAGTTGAACACAGGAATTTGTTTCTTTCTGATTACAACAGGATGTTTTCACAATGAGAACCATGAAAAGAAAAGTGGTTTTATGAAGCATTTCATGCTCTAAGAGAATAATGTTTTACTAACACAAAGTGCATGTAGCTGATTGAGGTCATAAAGATCAAGTGTTTCAGCATTCAAGGCTGATTAAAACTCTGACATGACTGGTTCGTGATCAGGAACGATTTTTTTGTAGATATTTTTACTTTCTGTCACCTTTTCTTTACTAGAGAGAGTGTTAAAGGAGCTCAGTGCTGCTGTCTTTAGAAGAAATGATCCTAAAGGAGAATATTGTTCATTTTAAAATACTTAAAAAGAGGCATTTTTGGAAGTATTTTACCATGTTTTCCCCACTAAGGCCAGCCATTGGGCAATCGCTCCACCACAGTGCTACCCTGGTGGACACATAACCACATTTTCTCCAATCAAGGAATACGCTTAGGGCTAATGTGTCACATTTTTACCAATCCCCATTATTATCGGTGCTTAAAATTTTCTCCACTTTGGCGCTACTCCGTTTTCTCCAAAAGACAACCACCCTGGTGGCCTTTTAATTCTGTCTTTTTCTGCTAAATAGGCAGAATAGAGGGAACTCTATGAATCTCTTCTACTGCAAAGGCTTTTGGGAGGAAACTGCTTCAAATTTTCTCCATTTGAGTAGCACTTCATATCATCTTCACTAGGATGACACCATAGAGGGCATCGAATCACATGAAGTCCTCTAATGGTGCACTACATTCCCCCCCACCAGAATTTTTACTCTTACTTTCTCCATAGGAGGCTGTTCAGGGACTGTATGGTAAACCGTCTCCATTTGGAGGGCCTCCCAAAGGACCCTTTTCCAAGTTTTCTCCACTAGGATGTTGTTTCTTCTGAAGTCCTCTGGTGGGGCACTGAAGAAGACACTTTTCTTTAAATTTTTAACATTTTCTCCCCTGTAACTTAAATTTTTATCAACTTTTCTCCACTAAAGGATGTTGTGCACAAAACTTTCTCCATTAAAAAATCCTCACAGGAGACACTTTTAGATTTTCTCCACTGGACTTCCTTGACACTATAACTTTATCAGTTGTGTATGAGAAAATAGGAGGCAGGAGGCGTTATGCATCAGTTTCTCCACTGAAAAGGCACTTAAGCTTGTTTTCTCCACTGAAAAGCTTGATCTAATTTCTGAACTTTAAGCTATTACCTTAGTACATTTTTCTGATAAAAAAGGACCTTCTGTGGACTCTCCTCTGAAGAGCTTCTTACTCATTTTTCACTCTGTCAATATCATCTTTACATCCTCTCAGTCTGTGTTGCAGATCTTTGAGTGCAGATAAGTGAACCACAAGAAGCTACTTCATCCTGTTTTCTCCACCATTACAGAGTAAAAAAAAAGCAGTTTATCGAGTTTCCTTCTTGTGCAGATGCATTTTGGTGCATTCAGTGTCATCAGCTCTATCTTAATATGCAAAATAATCTCTTTTTTATCATAGAATTATCCTTTATTATGATAGCAAGGCAAAGTATTTTTTAAAATGCTCTGATGACTTCAGTCCTGATATACGCTCAATCGATGTAAAGTTATCTGTTACCAATTATTTTGCCTCATGCAAGCCAAAATTTCAGAGTAAATGGTATTTTAAACATTACTAAATGAAAAGATAACATCCTTAAAGCTCATTACTCCTGAAAAAGAGGTTTTGCAGCTTTTTTAAACTCCCATTGTGCTTGGCTGCTTACTTGACGCAAAGACTAACATATGGAATAAAATACTGTGTTTATAAAATGATGTAGAATCCATGTTTATGTATGTCATGTTTGAAGGGATTGGACGATGAAAACCCCAAATTTGGGGGGGCTTCAGTCCAACTATAACGATCATCAAGCAGGTATGTAAATACTCTTTAACAACCCTAAACGAGGGCTCTAAATCGCTTTTTTTTTCTTTTGGGAAATGCTGTTAACATCAATGTAAGTGTAGCCAAGTCCTGACAGCTCTCTGTAAAGGCAAAAGCAAAATTTAAGACTCTGTTTTGGACGAGGGTCGTCGACTTTGCACGCACGCAGATATGAGATCAAATGAAGGCTGTTTGGAAGTGGGCCCGTCGTGCCCCAGAACGAGCGTGCAGGAGGGTCAGAGGGGACGAAAATGTGGTTTTGGTCAAAAGAAAATTCATTTTGCTGGCTGTCGGTGGTGTGGCTGAAATCAAACAACAGGCGGATGATTTATTTACTGTGTGCCACATTGTGTGGTGACTGGAGATGAAGGAGACGGATTAATCACTGAGCTGATTGAGTCTGATGTCAGATATTTGACCGATGCTCTAATCAATGTTTTTATTCATGACCCTTTCGTGTCATTACCTCTGCACGCCGCTCAAAGCCTCAGTTTTACTGTATTACTTCAGTCTAGGGCTGAAACGATTACTCGAGTAACTCGAGTAACTCGATTAATAAAATTCCTCGAGGCAAATTATATGCCTCGAGGAATCGTTTAAATCCGGAACCATGTGCAGCGCACGGTGTTTGACACGGACGCTTATTTCTGTTGCGCAGAAGCGTGCTCTTTCCGCTCCTTCCGCTGCCGCGCGTTTGGTTCAATCATGGAGGGAAACGAGGACAGACAGAAGCTGTGTCCGAAATGGCATACTGCCTGCTATCTACTTACCTACTCAAGCAGTAGCTACTGCCTACTGACTACTCAAAGATGATTTGAGTATGCCGCGGCTGCCCGAGCGTTTACACACATACATACTAAATACCCCAGAATGCATTTCGTGCCGGCCGGACGCAGCGCCGGGAAAATTTAAATAGTCCTACCACAAGCTACATAGAACGACTGCATACCGGACAAATTATATAAATTCATTCAATAATAATATTTTTTCTAGCGAGAAAGTAAGTGTTTACATCACGATTATGAGCCCAGTTGTTTGAAATAGTGGCTGTTTGTAAATTTGTCTCGGCGTTTTCGGAGACCGAAGCGTCCACTTGGTCGGTGTTTGCGTCTATTTACCGTAAACACCGGGCAGCAGCAGCTCCCCCTTCACGTTTCCAAATTATTGCGAAGTGTTTTCATAATCAACATCTACACGACACAAACCGGGCGGCAGTGGATGAAAAAAATCACACAAACATCCGTGTATCCATGGTGATAATGCTATACACCACCTGCTAGGCAGTAGCGGTTCTAGGCACGGGCGAACAGGGCAGCCGCCCGGGGCGGCATTTGTGTCATGACTCATGGGGGGCGGCACGAGCACTTCCAAAAAAATAAAATAAAAGATAATAATAATAAATCTTAACCGCAAAGCGGTTTTGTATTAACTCTTGTTGTCAAATTGGCGCTCCCCCGCTGCTGTAGGCGCCCCTGTTTGCTCCGAAGGTGCTGCACAGAGGCTGACAGACTGTGTGAGACGAGGCGGGGAGAGAGTCGCGGGGGGACAGCTCTGCTCTGTGTACGCATGTCAGCATATCAGCGGGAGCGCGGATACGTCATTTTGTAGTTTTTTAATCATTTCTGGAGTCGCGGTGAATGAAATCACCGTACCCGTCTGCCTTTGATAGGCGAATAAAGCGCTCGGGTTCATGCTCGGATCTTGCTACGTGCTTGATGAGCTTCATGAGTAAAGTAAACAATGACGGAGGTAGAGAGCAGCTTCAGAGGAGAAACATCCAGCAGTGTGAACAACCTCTTCATATGGAGTGCTTTGGCTCACACTATCAGCGTTTTCTCTGAGTGTTGCATGACTTTGGGTGAGAACAGAGATGAACACACTGTCAGCCACGTATTTATTTATTCATTTTTTAGTGTTTAGTTCTGCTTTTGTACTGGCACTATACTGGGGCAGCTGTATACCCTTTCAACACCTTATTTTCTATATTTACATTTGTATTGAATGGACACTTTATCATGACTGCCACTTGTTTTACAGAAAGCAAATTATTTGTCATTCTCCAGTGCAGAGCCTTTACTTTTATTTATACAGCCGCTTTATTTCATTTAAGTTTGTTTGTTCTAGGTTTTCAAAAATGTGATGAAGGTTCACAAAACTAAAAGAGAGCTTCCTTGAAAGCCACATGTTTAAGCTCTCAAATACTTTTTGAATTTTGTTTCTATCTACTACAGAGGCCGAGATAGCAGCTTTTTTGTAAACCTTAACACTTCAGAAAACCTCAGGATCTGGGGGCCCTTCTCAAAATGGCCCTCAGGATTGTGTTTTTTTCTATTGAAGGATTTCTGCAATTAAGAAATATTTTATTTTTGTTGTTATAATAATAATAATAATAATACATAGTAATACAAAACCATCTCTTTGTGTGTGTGTGTGTGTGTGTGTGTGTGTTGGGGGGGGGGGGGGGGGGGTGCTCGCCCGGGGAGTAATTTGGTCTAGAACCGCCACTGCTGCTAGGCGTGTGATGAGCAGCAGAGGGCTGCAAAATGACCAACACACAAGTAAATAAATAAAAATGTAACACTTTTATATATTGAATAAATGTACATTTGCTTGTCAAATTATGTTAGTATCCAAGAATTATATTATTTCAGCCTATTAATTAAACAAGTAAAATTAGATCCAAAGCCTGGAAATAGTTGTGACTGGTTTAGTGAAAACTGCAAAGATCATTACCATAGCAATTAAAAGACCATCTGCAGACCTTGCCTTCAGTAGTTTCATGTGAACTACATGGTAAAATGTAAAACTTTTGGTTCCTGATTTATGCAGTAAAAATATTCATTTGAAAGACCTGGCCTATTTCAGTTTTGTGTGTTACTGATGGTTTTTAATGAGGCAAACGTGATTCAATGCAAAGTATTACAGTGAGAGCAAAACATTTCTTATCCGATTACTCGATTAATCGACAGATTAATCGATAGAGTACTCGATTACTAAAATAATCGATAGCTGCAGCCCTACTTCAGTCTGTTGAGCTGTGATTGCACGCTTGAAAGAGGACGAAGCCAAAGTAATGAACATTTTTTCCTGATCATATCACCGCCTCCCCGCAATAAAAGCACATTGAACATTTACAATAAAACGACTTTCCACGGTCCAAATGTTATTAATGATTCACTCAGTATAAAGCTGCCAGATCCTTTTTAAAAAGAGGTCAACAACAACTCCACCACCTGGGGATATAAACACGCAGGTTCCCTCATTATAAGGAAATGCAAAACTTACTTATGCAGAAGCCCGTTAAGGCCAAAAAAGAGCAACACTCCTTTAAAGGTGTAATTTTGACAATATTGGAGTTTTAAACCTTTTTATTTCAAAAAAAAAAAAAAAACGATAATCAGATTTTAAAAACCCCTGAAATTAACAGAATTGGAAAATTGTTGTGCTTCAAGATACCATTGACTTGTTTTTACACATGATGGCAGTAAGGCAAGTAACGTGTCGTTCCAGCCTTTCCCTCATTTGACGGATAGTTACTGCCATTTTTTGAAAATCGGATATTTTTTCAGACCTTGGTGTTACATTTGCAGAAGTGATCTCACAGCCTTCAGATCTGTCAGGTGGAAAGTAAACTAGAGTTGGTTTTAGTCTGAGCTGCTTTCTGTTTGCATTCATTTCAGAGGACATGTGTCGTTTTAATCGTTTCAAGGAAGTACTCTGTCCTTATTTACACTCCATTAGGTTTTAAAGCTCCTGCGAGGAGATTTTTATCTGCTAACAAAACAGACTGAAATTAATTCTGGTGCCTCTTTATGACCTATAAAAGCAAACCAGCCCATCAGCAACAACTCTGATCATTTCCACATGTTTACTTGTAATGTCTAAAAGCCATTGGCAGGGGGAGCTGTCATGAAGCTACAAGGCTGTGTCTTACAGAAACATCTTCATGAGTGATCCATTTTAAAATTAAAATAAGCAAGGGAAGATATTTTGTTAGAAAACTAACACATCTGGGGCAAAATGAACAAAGCTATAAGAAGTCTGACCACATGGAGGCGCCACACAAGTTTCTCACAGGAGCTTTAAAAATAGGAAGAAGTCGTTGGTCCAGCTCCATCAGAAAGTAGAAACCATGATGATCTTGATTAAAGCTCATGTGGGGAATTTTCAGGTTTTGCCAACTTTGGCGCCCCCTGTGGACAAAGCAGTCTCTGTTTATTTTTTCCTGTACATGCTGAAGTGGCGTTTCTGACAAAAACCTCATCCTGCTGATCTTTAACGGTCAAATCCATTGTTCATAGGGCTGTTTCTAACGCTGCGGGGCTGACAACTACTCCCTCCCACCAGTTTCTGACACTAAGGATAGTCAATGTTATCACCGATAGTCTTGTTTGATTTTGCATATCATAGTATTGAAGACAAGAACGGCCATGGATTTGTGATAACAACTTATTATCTTGTTATCTCAATAAAACAGTTTGTTTTCTCGTGCAATATAACAGTTTTGTTTTCTCTTTCATCCACATACAAAAGAGGCCTGGGTCGGATTTGAAAAAATTAGAATATGTCATCAGATATGTGTCACATTTGGTTAAAAAATCAGAATTGACCTGCAGTGTGAACATAGCCTTTGTTATGTTGAAATAACAAAAATACAATAATTTATTATCACGAAAAAAGAAAAATTCATGGCTGTCTCGTATTCTGTACATAAGTATGAATTTTGGCCTTTTTCATAAATGCCAAAAAACTCGTTGCAGGAGTTTTAAGAAAAAAGTTGACTTTTAACAGAAGCATCATTCAGACCATGAATCACTCTCTAAATGTCAGGAGCGCCCTTATTTCACACCGGATATCACGAGAAACAATAAAAACACTCTGAGGCAAACGTCTCCTGAAGTAGGAAATTTTTGCGAGCGTGACAAATGTGTTCATTAAAAGCAATCGTGATTAAATCTTGGTTTCATAAGAACATATTTCAGGTGGCATTTTAAGCCCTAAAAATCTGCTTTTGTTATCCCTCCTTATCCTCAGTGTTTTTTAAATCAGTCATTCCTAAAATTTTATCACTCCATCATTCTTCCTGGTGGGAATGGCCCTGGTATCATAACAGCATGAAGAATTACGCTAATGTCCCTGGATGGCAGCCGGACTACAGTTACAGTGCCAGAGTTTGAGCAGCAGCACAATAGCTTTAGTCAGACGTGACCTTTGAATAACCTCTCTGTAGGAGGGGGAGACGGAAAAGAGAGATATATGTGAGCAAGAGGGGAAAGAGAGAAGGAAAACAGACGGATGGAAAGGGAAAAAGAGGGCGAGAGAGCTTTGTTGGATACATGAGTGAGGCAGAGAAAACAGAGAAAAGAGAGGTGTGAGAGCGTGGAGGAAAGTTTGGCACACAGACAGACGGAGAGGGGGAAGAAGGGGGCGCTTGTTTCCTCCCCCTCTCCTCTCCTCTCCTCTTCTCTCCTCGCCTCTCTCCCTTCGGCTTTAAAAAGTAAAACAGCTCTTTGAAGAGGAGGAGAGGGGGGCCGTCCTGTACTCCTATCCAGCTCGGACTGTAAGGAGCGTTCAGAGAGCCACAGACGTTAACCCAGATCTGACACAGAGCCGAGGAGCTGACAGAGCGCAGGCATGAACGACATCAAGCTGGCCCTGCTGGGGAGCCCGGGGGCCGGGAAATCAGGTGAGAGGCTACGAGAGGTTTCACGTTTAATACAGCTCTTTAAAAAGTACCTGCAGTTCATCAGCTAACATCTCTGTGCTGTGAGAAAGATGTTTATTCACTTATTTTGCTCACAATTTTGTTGAAAATGCAGGATTTCAATCTTGAAAAAGCACTTTATATGTCAATTCCAAATTTTTTTAACCTGTCTCCGCGTAAAAATACTCAAACAGCTGACATTTTGATTGGCTGGAAAATAACCTTTAATAACAAATAAGTCTCAAGTAACAGTTTTGGACAGTGTGTGACAAAATGTGACAATCTGGAGGATCTCATACTAATTGGAAACAGCAATCAATCCTTTACGATAAGTACTTTTTGATCAACAAAAACAGAGGAAAAAGTTCCTAAGTTTCTGTTTGGCATGCTGAGTCATATCTTTATTCTCTTGCTGACACTTCAAAACATCTATAAAATCACATTTCTAACAGCAAAAAGCAAAGAACATCTGAATTTCTGAATGGTATGATGAAAAAAATAAAGTATTTCTGCTGTGTTTTGATAACAAAATTGGATTAAGCAAGAACCTCCATGTCATAAGGGAGTTGCATATTTAGTTTCTGTTGATTGATTCAGTTGTTGATCTTGGAAAATGACTTCATGATTCAGTTTCAGAGTTTCCTACCTGCGCTGAAGTAATAACACCCAAACAGGCTTCATTTCAACAATCTGGAGAATAACTTTTGTTTACTACTTTAGGTTTTAATCTACTAAACAGTTCTGGACTTACAGTTTTAGACCAGGATGTGATAAAATGTGACAACCTGCAGGACCTAACACCTCCTTAAAACCTCACAAAGTCCATTTTTCCTACTTCTACATATGTTTATGAAACAAAAAATCATTAATTAGGGAAAAATGCCTTAAAATTTTGAAGTTGCGTGTTGAGTAAACATCAAGAAAATGTCATTTGTGATGGTTGAGATCTACACATCTGCATGGACAAGCTGAAAAAGAAGTGTTTTTGTTGTGTTGTGATCACAAAAATTGGATTCAACAAGACTATTTTTTTCAAGTTCCGTATTTAGTTTGTTAGTTAAATAAACTTGCTTGATTTACCCTGAAAACACTCAAATTGAACTTATCAATGGGGGGTTTCGTTCTTATAGATCCATGTGATTGAATGTTTACACCCTCTATTTTAAAGCTCCTGTGGGTAACTTACAGTTTGCGTTGATTTTGGCACCCCCTGTGGACAGAGGGGTTTCTGCTGATTTTGTTCTATAAATTTTAAGTTAGTGTTTCAAGAAAAAATAATTTATCCTGCTCTCTTTACCAAGCTGTTTTATCACCTCTTGAATAACAGTTGTTGAAATCATGCAGTTAAACTTATCGCTGACACCCACCCCCCACCATCAGTTTCAGACATAAAACTAGTTAATCTTCTTGTTAGTGGTCTTTTTTTGCTATTGTGGGTTGTAAAGACATAATATTAATTTCAGTCAGTTTGGTATCAGCTAAAAAAATTCTCACAGGAGCTTTAAATCAAAAGGAAAGCCACCTCTATCTGCAGCAACTGTATGTTCATCCGTTTTAGGTGTAATTTAAAGGAAAAAAAACAAAGGAACATTGTGTATTTTTGAGAAATTTTGTATGTTAGATGCTGTTTTGATGACCTGAGATAACATAAAATGTTAATTTTTCTTTTTAATGAGACAAAATTAAGACATTTTTTATCTTCTGTCATGATACGGTATCTTTCCATGAGCTTTTTTTTACTTCAGGATTCATTTGACAGAAATCTACATGTCCTTTTAAACTCACAGCCACAGTTAACTGCAGCATTTAAAGGTACTTCAGATAACTAAGAAAATTTTTTAAACTCTCCGCTTAAACTGTTTTTATTCTCAGAAATCTGTTCATGCCGTTCGAACGATAACAGAACAATCACTCCAACCTGCGGCTTTATTAATAACATCCCGCTGTTTGACATACTTTCCTCTTTCTTTTCCTGCCGTTCGCTCCAAGTGGATTGACCTTTGGATTAACATGTGTCACTGCTCTGAGTCAGCTGAAGCTTTTACCCTGAGAAACTTCAATTGCTTGTGTTTCCATTAACTTTGTTGAAAAACATGTGCCTAATGGGATACGGAGCCCTCTTGGTTGAGTAAGTTGGGATGTATGGCGAACATTAAGTTCACTTAAACTGGTCTGATGTTTCGGCTTTAGCATTGTGATCCACAGTCCGATCAGGAGGTGGCAGAAGGTGATGTGACTTTGTTGATGAAGAACCAGAAATAGGTTTTAATATGTATAAAAATAGACGCGTTCATTGATGGTGGGCCTTATAATCCGGTGCGCCTTATAGTGCGAAAAATACGGTATACTTGATCTGAAAACTTTGAAAGTTGAAAAATGGACTTTAAACTGTGCAGTACCGAGTCTTGACATAAAGTTGTCTATTACTAACTTTTACCTATACAGGATGAAACCTCATAGACGTATCATTGAATAATGGCCAATGTGCTTTCAAGCAAATATGGAGCATGGCCGAGGAAACTGAAGCTAATGCCAATAAAAAAAATCAGTTCCTTGAGTCACCACTAGGGACATTTTTAAAAAATAAAATACAAGAAAATGCAAAACGACTGAATATTTAATTTTCACTGAGCAGATATAGTGATTATAATGGAAATAATGTGAAATAAAGGGAAGAAATGTGGTTTTAAAACCATCAAACGAACTAGAAGGAAGAATTTAAGATCAGCTTTTAATGAAAGTATTGGTTTTGACGAAAAAGAAACTACTGGAGACTAACCTGGGCATTTATGGAGGTTGAATGAGCTCATAAAATATGAATCCAGGGAGATTTATATGAATGCAGGTAAAGATCAGATTTTTCATGCAGATCAGATCTGGTTTCATGTTATGTAACATTTTAACGGCTCCTTCATTTCTTAGGGTTGAACTGAAATAACCAGATTATTTTCACCCTCCAGTCTTTTGGAAAGTTAAAACTCATCCGTCACAGAGATGCCTGGCTCGGCTGTGTTGAACTCATTCTTGGCCTCTATGAAAGAAAATCTGTATTATGCACCTCTTCTGACTCTTTCTCGCCACATTCCTGCTCTTTATTCAGAGAAAAATGCTGTTTAAGCAGAGAAGGAGGAGTTATAGGACCCTTGTTGCTGTTTGGGGTCTCCTTGTTTCTATCAGTGTTCGGTCTGACTGGCTCTGCGCTGTGTTTAAGCTCCATAAAACAATGGGACGTCTGCGCTCTCACAGTCCTGGCAGTGAGGTGGAGCTGTTACTGTGGAGATACTGAGGTCTCTGGGGGCTTCATGTCCTTATGTGGCTGGTTTTTATGTTTTCCTGCTGTAGACTCCTCTGGTTGCTGCATTTGGTGCAAAATTTTGTGTTTTACTTGACAAATATGTGAGGCAGGCCCTGAAACTGAAGGTTGGTTTCAGTGCAGCTAAAACATCCAATCATTTTTTAACTCAAACTTCCAGAGCTCCAACATTGTATATGTTGAATTTTGTTATTTTCTTAACGAATGCCTGCATGACTCACTCAGAGAGAGCCACATCCATATTTGCATGACCTTTTAAACAAAGTAAAACCCCTCAGAGACCCCTGACCACCATCAACAACAAACCTCAAGCATTCATCACATGAAACTTCAGCCTTAAATTGTGACTGATTGATTCGGAGACCAGAACTGGCTATTTAATATGAAGCTGGCAGTCTGGAGCTGAAACAGAGGGGGAAATATAACCATGCATGTTTCCAAATATGCACGCAGGTCATCCAGAGAAAGCCGCTCAGCCACGTAAATGTGAGGCTACAGTTTCACCGCAGAAAATCCCAGACAAGGTCGGCGCAGCGCTTGGCCTGCAGGAGTAAATCAGGGTCGTTTTACCCCCAGCGCTGCCACCTGTGAGGCATGAGTGTGGAGTGATGCCATGAGTCATTTTGTGGGTTTTCTCTTTGTCTGTTTCTTCTAGCTGTACTTGTGCGGTTCCTGACCAGACGCTTCATCGGTGAATATGCTTCAAATGCCAGTAAGTGTTCCCAGATTTGATGAATGATGATTTGATGGAGGTTTGGTTTCAAAATAGATGCTTAGTTACCCTTTCCCGTGCATTGCTGGATACTTTTTCATAGTTTTTCTCTGTAGACAAAAGTATTTTTAAAAACATCTCTATGTTTTGGGGTTTTTGTTCATTTGAAAACACACTGAAACTCGTGCTTCAAAACCTTAAAGGGTCAGACTTTGATTTTTAGTTTTGTGCAGCGGTGTTGGTTCTTCTGGTTCTTCTGGGGCGCTCGCCAAATTTCTTTTGTGTTTTTCCGCCTCTGCATCTGTTTGAACCCTCCCCCTCAGTTCCTCATTATGACAGCATCTCCACCCACTCAGATCACTGCATGGCCGATGAGGATGGAAACTAAGAGGCTGCGGATCATCGAAAGAGGCTGAATTTTTGATTTTAAGGACTCAAACCACGACTTACGCAGCATGATAGATAAATTAAGTGTGATATAAGTGGCCAGAGAATGAATACCTCATATCATTTACCATTTTTAAGTCTTATTGTGCTGTCCGATCATCTGATTATTACAGCACATAGGTAAAACAGTAAAATAGTCCAAGAGTGATAAAAAAGGGTGTTCGTTTTCGTTGCTCTGTCAACGTTTGTGTCCTTCATTTCTCTAAACCTCGTCCTGATCTGCTTATGGGAGACAACTACATGTTATGTTCATGTCATTCTACATTAAATTGCTATGTTCCCTCCCAACGCCAGTATGGAAGTCACATTTTTACTGTTGTTTCCCATACACTTTTATAATAAACTGAGATTGTCGTATTTTTCACTGTTTCTCTCCTTTGTTTCAGATTCCTTGTACCATAAAAGGCTGTCCATTGATGGCAGGCAGCTGAATCTGGAGGTTTTTGACCCCTGCTCTCAGGTAAATCAAACCACTAACTCACTTTTATTGTCAAAAAATTAATTAGAAAAGCAGACGACTGTTTGAGCGCACTAGTTTCCTCCTTTAATTCTGAGGACAGATAAGTTAAACAAACGAGAATCTGATACTCATGATTACTTTTCAAGAAAATACACCAAAACTCTCAATTTGAAGGTTTTATATGCTGGATTTTTGCATGATTTGTGATGATTATATCTTTGTCTCATCAATCATTATTGCTAAAGATGGAAACCTGTCCTCCCTGAAACTCCAGTGGGAAAAGTAAAGCTCTCTCGTTTTCAGAAATATTTGAAGATTATTCACCGCGGTTTAAAGAATTTTTAGAGCCCAAGTATGGAAGAAATTTCTGAATTCACCCTCCGGCTGAGGTGAAAGCCCAATAATTTCTAGTCTGTAAAAACCACACAGTTTTCAGTCTTTTCGGGGAATCTGCAGCACATGCTTACAACCCTGAATGAACCGTGATCAGATGTTTACCTTCGGCCGGCACGTGTTCGATTCATACAGCACTTAAAGTCAGGAATCTGAAGGCTTTATGAGAATATCCCGGGGCGATGTGTACCAAACGGCCGCCTCTTTGAAGAACAGAGACATATTACCTGCTGTCTTCTCTTTCAAGAGCAAAGAGGCCTTTTTACTGCAGAGTTTGGCTTTTTATTGGCATACTCCTCCAACAAGACGAGAGCCGCTCATTGTCTTTGTGGGATAAACTCGCTGTAACGCTCACTCTTTCATAAAAAAACACTTGTTCACGTCCTGCCCTCCTGACCTGCTCTGCTTAAAGGAACTATGGAGTCAATAAAGAGGAAGGTGGAGGAGGTTCAGACGTGTCCTCAGGCCGATGTTTGTGTCTCCACAAGGTCACCAAAACGTGTTCATGGCAGCAAAAACACAGACACGAAGGCTGTTCTCCCAGTAGATGGCTGTCTAACATGAGTCTGGTTCTGCTCGATGGTTCTGCCTGTCAAACTAAACTCTGCAAACTGTTGCAAAGAGCTAAGGACATCTGTCAGGGTGTTGCGAGGCCTTGCTGATCGTTCACTATTACACACTTTACACAAGATTAAACAATCAATTTTTGCAAATCCTTCATCTGCCAGATCAGACGATAATCTCTTGAAGGATTTTCTGCTTTCTGTCAGGTCTGGGCTATAGGAGAGGAACAGTAAAGAAGGCCATGGCTGGGCACTGAGAGGTGTTTTGTTCTTGGTGCTCTGAAGAAATGTGGATTATAAAAGAGGGCAGGATTAAATCTGCTGTAGCTTCAACATGTATTAATCTTTTCGCTAAGGTGCTGGGTATTAAGTTTCACTTTTACAGCTAAGGGGCCGAGGACTTTTGGAGGCCACCTCAGCACTGAAATGAAGCTCCACTGTCACTACGCCGTTGCTGAACCCATTCGAAAGCATATGTCTAGTGGTTGTATGAGTCGTACTTTTTGACGTAAACAGTACCATGAGTTTTTCTTTCCTTTAGTCAGCGGACTCATTTGTCTTACCTGCACACTCGTCATAAAGGCCTCATGGATGCGCCAATAAAACCACGTGCTATGTTGTCCTCGGCAGAGCTCAGAGGCCAGGTGTATTCTGGAGGAGCCGGTGGATTGGGCCGATGGTTTCGTGGTCGTGTACAACATCAGCGACCGCACTTCCTTCATCAACGCCAAGAACGTCCTGCGGCAGATTCGAGAGGCTCGTATGGACAACTGCAAAGGGTCAGAGAAAACACACAGCGGAGGTTTATTTTTCTAAAAAGTAGAAAAAGAACAACTGCTGCATGCCAGCGGTGGGTTTAAGGAAATTAAAACATGGAGGATCACAGCAGCTGCCAGGTTATTATCTCAACCTTCTCCTCAAAATTTGAGCTGGATGATGTAACAAACTATATCCTGTTCTGAGGCTAAATAGCTTCAGCAAATATTGTCTTTGATTTAGGCGCCACATGGGGCTTACTACACTCAGGATTGGGTTTCTGAGTGGAAACAATGTCAGGAATGTGTTCAAATTGAACTGAGAATGTGATATTATCAGTTTAAACAAGCTGAGTGAGAATTTCAAGTGACAAATATCCAACAATAAAAAGAAACTTTCTTGTTTTGGGAGATAGAAATGCAGTTTTAGCTTCATAATGGGGTTTAGCAAGAGAATCGCCAACACATGGGCCTCAAACCGCATTTCAACATTCAATTCTTGTAACCGAAGTGAGTTTTTTTAGGCTGACAATAAACGAACTGTGGAGATTTATGTACATCTTAAGGTATTTTATCCTAATGTGCTGTAAAAAGGACAAAACAGACTAAAATGTCCTCAATCTGTCTTGAAATCGAGAAGTGCTGGAGGTCCAAACAGCGATAAAACTGAAGACTGGCTCATGATAAAAAAGTGAGGTATTCAATCTTCCACCCAAAGGCCTTTAATAAATTCAGTTTCTAATAAAAAGACACCCCATCAGGTGGTCTGCCTCGGGCCAAAGCCTGCTAATAACGAGGAGGGGAGAGATTTATTATGTTAGAGACAGTATGTGAGCATAAGTGAGGATCAGGGAATGTTAATGGAGATAAAGACTGGAAATACTGGACTCACTTGTTAATAAGAGGGTTTAAATCAAATAGGATCAGCCAAAACAGAAATGAACACTTTTTTAGGAGTTTTTTGGGGGAAAGTTGATGTGGATTTTTTGCTTACACATCTCATAACTTTATTTATATTTGTTAATAAGTAAAATAGAGTTTCATCAGTCAGTGCCTGAGTAAATGAACCCAGTTTGTCCACCCAGAACCAAAGCTCTGCTCTGATTCTACCTGTACTATCACGTTAATCAATCATGTCTATAAAATCAGTTCATCAAAGTTCTTGGAAAAAGAAACTCTGGGACATAAATCAGTGTGATAAAAAACTGCAACGATGGAAACATGTTTGGGCTAGTCTGCCTATTCTGCAGCTGGCCACCAGAGGGAGCTCTAAACATTTTGGCTTCATTGTCCATTTAACCTAAGAGTCTATCATGCCATTGATATGATTGTACATCCGCCCCCTCCTCATTGAAACTCTCTGTGTTTCAGGGAGGTGGATGTACCCGTGTGTCTGGTGGGTAACAAGCAGGACCTGTGTCACGCCCGGCAAGTCCGTGAGGAGGAGGGCCGCTATCTGGCTCAGGAGAACCGCTGTCACTTCCAGGAGGTCTCAGCAGCTGAGAGCTACCAGGACATCTCCAGCCTTTTCACCCAACTCATCCGGCAAGTGATGGAGCACCTGAAGTACAGAGCCGATCGCAGGCGCTACAGCGGCTCCAAGTCCATGGCGAAGCTCATCAACAACGTGTTCGGCAAGAGGAGGAAGTCAGTGTGATGGTCCCAGAGAGCTGGGCCGAACCCTAGCCTTTTTGGTGCCCTAGGCAAAATTACCCAGCGCCCAGAGAAAGAGGACGTCTGGTCACCGGACATTAGCGTGTTAAGCTAATGCTTACTTTATTTCAATCTAGCTAGCTAAAACATGCTCTTTACACAAAATGATATTTTATAAAATATGTTGACATAACTTTACTTTAATATTTGGACTCCTTTTCCTCCTCCTCTTTCCTCCTTTCCTGAAACTGTGCGCCCAAGAGCTTAGCTGTCGCTTTCATGATGAAAAACTTGTAAATAAAATCACCCATCCTGTTCTGACTCGCTCGCTGACTTGAGATGCGCCCCCACATCAGGTGACTTGCCAAGTGACAAACATAGTTACTTTATCTTATTTTATTTGTTAATTTCAAGACAGAAAAGTAAAGGGGGGCGCCGGTGGGCATCATAAATTATTTTATCTTCATTTTTTTCCCAAGGGGGAGGGCGCTGGCAGTGCGCCCCTCTGACAGATGGCGCCCTATTCGCCTATGCCAAGGGATTGCCCTGGATAGAAAAAAATGTCTCTTTATTAAAAAATAAATAAATAAAACCTCTGCTAGGCTATATTAGCAACCCAACTTTTACAAAAGCAGCTTGCTCAGACTTACAAAAACCAACTAACAACAAATATCACATCTTTAGTTTTGTTCTTCATCCTAGTGGCCAGATTTGGTGGCTCAATAAAAAACAATTAAAAACCAGGACGTTTTCATCCCTTTACAATAAACAAAAGATAAAATTCTGTCCTGGTGCTTCATTTGATGCATTAATAAGTGTAACCTCCACCGTTTACCAAAAATTTACCCCAAAATATCCCTGCTGACCATCCCCTCATACAATTTCTCCGGGAAATATATTATAAACTGTGACAGAAAGCACACAGGACTGGACCTCAATCTGAAAATACTGTGGGGAAAAAAAAGGATGAAATATCTGGTTGAAGCCAGGAGGGGGCGACATTTGGCAAACTCACATACATGATCAGCTTGAAGTGAAACGGATCTGAGAGCATGGGGGGATTGAACTTTTACACAAAACTACCACTATTTATGTTTAACACTTTCTTAAAAATGCATAAGATGACAATCTAGCAGGCAATGGGAGAAGTATTGGGATGTTAAAACTGTAAAATTTACAACACAACTGTGTGTAGAATTATTTCTTAAAGAGTAAAATTCCTTTGCTCAAAATCTGTATGTCTGTTATAAAAAAATGGCATCAGCATCTTGACTTGACTAAAGTACTTAATGTAATAACAAATATAAAAAATAATTTTATACAAATGTAGGATTATATTCAACCTACTGGCTCAATAATGTTGACCCAGAAGTAGCAGCTGGTAAAGGAAGGGATGTTTTCATATATTCAGTATGAAAAAATTGTTCACTATTGTATTGTAATGTATAAAAAGAAATTTGAGTTCCTATTAGACAGAAAAGTTTCTTCTGCATGTGTGACATTACATTTCTTGATGATATGTGTGGATGGATTACTCTGTAAATGGCATTTTTTTCCTGTCAAAAAAAGCTCATTTTAAATTTTATTTGTTTTCAACCTAAAATACACTGCATTATGAGATGCATTTTTAATATTCAAAAAAAAACATGTCATTTTATTTTAAAGGTAATGTCACTTTATGTTAAATCTAACATGTTTTTTTTTAGCTTTTCTTGGAAAGTAAGTAAAATGGCAGTGTGAAATGAAATTTGCCTGGTCAAATAACTTAAAAACATGTAACCGCGCTGCTGTTGCTATTCCCAGTTATGGTAGATCCGCAGTAAATGTCCTTTGAATATCCAACCTAAAACCAGTGTTATTTTCGTTAACGACAACATCGTCAACGAAAACAACACTGCAGAATATATGTTTAGCGTTTGACTGACGAAATGCTCATTAATTTTGCAACTCTGTTCGTCGTCGACCACTAGCGTTTTCGTGTCGTCTCATCTCGTCAACGTAAACGCACGTTTGTCTTGTCACATTTTAGTCATCTAAGACTTATGTTTAGCTCGTCAACGTCATATCTTCATCATGGAGAGAACAACGCTGCCTAAGACTAACTTCGCCACTTTATTTACATGAAAAAACATTCATTGCCTCTGCTGATTTATTTATGCGCACATGTGCCCCTAAATACATTTTAGAATTCACACACATCTATTTTAAGTCGCAAATGCCAGTGAAACGGTTGTACTGTCAAGCCCTGACTCAAGTAAAGTAAACTTATCTAAAAATGATTCATAAATTCAGCACTTGAGTGAGTTCACTTTCTCACACTCTTAAGAGGGTTAAACTACAAGTACTTCCGGGTCTTAGGACTACAAAATGACGTCAACGGAGCGTCATCCCTCCACCCAGCGTCCCCCTCCGCGCTGAGCATCTCGGAGATAACGGTCGTGTGTGCTCGTGCGCCTTTAAGAGCCGTATATCCTGCTGCCCTCTGCACTAAATCTCCATCTCTGATCTGCGAGGGGGAGAGGAATAAAAAACACAACAACAGAGAGACGACCACCGCGATGTCGACCAGCTCTGCTTTTAACGACGAGAAGGGGGGCTCGTCCAGCGTCGGGGAGCCTGAATATGGTCACGACCCGGCGAGCGGAGGGATTTTCTCCTCCGACTACAAAAGGTACGGAGCTACCTGCCGCGGTGCCGCTTAACGACGGATCTGTATTGTCATGTAGTGGTGGGGGGGTATACTGGGCTAGTTAATGGCGGAGGATCCGTTTGTGATTTTTTCCCCTGTGTTATCATACACAAACGGAGCACAGAAACCCTCTCAAACCCAACTTTGTTTGCTAACAGGCCCGTAAATTGAAGCTGCTTCTCTGATTGTGGTCCTGAATCTCTCACTCTGATTTAGCTGTGGTGTCAAATAACGGCCGAGTGTTGGTGTTGTGTGCGGGATATAGACGCATCCGCTGGTCTGTATTCAAAGTAGAGAAACCCCTTGTGTAAATATCGTCTGTGTTTATCTTCTGTTTGTGTGCTGAGATGTTATAAAGGCCTGTTGTCATAGAAAAAAAAAGGATGCCAGGCCTCTGCTTCAGGTTTTCAGCACCACCCCTGCTGGACAGCGCGCATAGCAGCAGCAGCAGCAGTTCACTGAGAGAATATACAAGAATCAGATCTGTGAAGGTTTTATTATGAGATTATGTTCAGTTTAGAATTATTTAACTTAGACACTATTTAAAAAATAATAGAAAGTTAAAGGGGAAATATCCTTGGGCTTTTGCTCGAGTTTCTTCTTGTTCTCATTATGGTTACATGCTGTATCTCAGGCAGAGGCAAGCTTCATTTCAAAGTATACACTACAATTGCTTGGTAAACATGAAAACAATTCTCATAGACAGCCTAAAATCAGTAGCTTTACTTTATCACTCTAGTTTGGATGTTACAAAAGTTAAAAAGGCTCCAAACATCAAGGGAAACCTTTTTTATTTTGGAGCAAACTCAATGATTAGCTTTAAAGTTGCTATGAGGAATTTTTGGTTTGTGCTGAAATTGGCGCCCCCTGTAGAGAACGTTTCACTTCTTATCTCATGTCCTGTATATATGAAAGTAGTGTTTTCAGTAGGCCTGGGCAATTTGGCAAAAAAAAAAAAAAAAAGATCACAATATATTTTGTCATATCGTCCGATCTCGATTATTATCACGTTTTTTTTTTTTAAACTGCCAGTTTTAAAGTATCTGTACTAAAAACTAAAGACACTAGAGATGAGCTCAACATTTTATTAACATACAAAGTAAACAAAGCAAATTGAATAAGATAAACTTAGAAAAGTATAAAAAAACATTTTAACTCAATAGTACAACAAATGTAGATAAACACTAAATGAAACAGCGAATCAGTTTACAGTCCTCGGTGTTCTTGCAGGTATGAAAGACCCAAAATAAACGCGGAGATACCGAGAGCTTTTTGGCTTCAAATCCCTACACAGGCTGGAGGCGAAACCAAGTTGTCCATAGTGTATACAGTCTTTGGTTAAACCGCCTTGACGATTAAGAAAGTTGACTTGACAGACACAACCCCCCAGATAAATTATGTTATAGTTCTATTATATTAATTTATAGTTAAACAACACAAATGGAGGATTATGCCAAACTAGTTGATAATGTGTTTTACTGAGAAATTTACCTTTTTTGAACAAGTTGAAATGTTTGGTACTGAGTTTATGGTTACACCACATTTACATTTTCCCTGAATATTTTCTAAAAATTGATAAAATCCAGAAATTTTAGACAAGGTCTTCCATAAGAAAATAAATCTAAGTAATTAGTGAGTTTATTTTCAATTTTAATCTTTTTAAATTTAACTAAACCATTGGAACATAAAAAAACTGTGTCATGTCATTGACCCATATACTACGGACATATTGGTTCGCCAGTAAACGGATTTGAAGCCGAAAAGTTCTCGGTAATTGCGCGTTTTTTCTCCACTTCCTGAAACCAACATTGCGCAGTAGCGGTTTACGAATTCGGCGGGAAAGTCGCCGAGAGTCGCTGCGATGACTCTCGGCTCAAACAGCGAATCCCCCGGATGAGCTCAGCAATCTTCGTACGCCCATTGGCTGTATCAAGTGTCAATCATACAAAACAGTAACCCCCTAGTAACTTTTAAAATGGAGCTGTACACTCAAAGTTAAAATCATCGGTGCTCCTGTAGATGCCAACAGACTACCAGCAAACGAGGATAAAGTGATATACTCCAGGACCCGAGGTAAACAGTTTAGCGGCGCTACAACACACAGCAGGTTCCATTTGACAAGAAACACTTCTGTTAGCTTGGCTTACTTTGTTGAAGCGGCTTACCTGTTCATTAGACAGCTTACAGGGTCCGGAAGATCCCGAAGCGTCCCCGATAGTCTGCTTCATTGATGTTGACCGGCTTTTTAGCTCTTGTCCGGGTGGTCTACCTCCATTTAAGCGCCCTTTATCCGCCAGAGTCTCCGGTATTTACTCCGTTTTCATGCTTGTGTCGGCGGCCGTGGCCAAAGGAGGATTCAGACAACTTCTCGTACTTTCTGGTTGGTTTCTACTGTCCGATATTGTAGCACGCTAACTTTGTTTGGGCTCGTGAACATTCGTCGAGTACATGGGGCGTGTCTCACAACACGAGGGAACAGCGTCAACCTCACAGCCAATCAGTTTGGGGGATGTGGAGAACGTCTTTACTTACAGTCTGAATGAGAGGGGTGCCAAAAATTTAAAATGTTGACTACAAAGACATAAGAGAACACAGAGATATCGTTATTTCCCCAAATGTTATCAATAACTAATAGTTATTGACTGATATTAAAAGCTTTACAAAAAGATTCTTCTTTAACGGATTCCTGACTACCCACCTTTAAAGAGACAATAGCTTGAAAGAAGCAGCAATGAAGGTTTTCTAAGACACTAATCTTAGATAAGTACTGAATTTAATGAACTATAGATTATGTAAAGCTTCTGCAAAGCTTCAAGAAGGAGTTTTAAAGCCCAATTTTCACACCACAAACACTGACCTTTAATTTGAGCAAATAATTGTCAAAAACCTCAGTACATTAGGGCTCTCTAAACCCATGTAATGTAGTTGTGTCTTCAAATAACCTCAGACCTACAGTGTATTGCAGTGGCGGCTGCTGGTCTTTCAAGGAGGGGAAGCTCATTTTTCTGGCCTACATCATAATTGTATTTGGTTATTAGTATGTAACAGAACAGAGTCGCCAAACACAACGGCAGTCATTTTTAACAAAGACAAAAGTCGCTGAGGATCGGTAAGGTCTCCGGAGCAGTTAAGAACAACGGAATGAATAACTTGGAAAATGCTCTGGTAGATGTTTTATTCTTCTCGCTGATTCGCTTGTTTAGCTGTCAATCAAAAAAGGATTTCGCCTCAGACAGCTCATCCAATCATGGATGCAGAAGCTTGGAGTCCGGGAGAAAGTCGGGACCGCCCTCTCGCCATAGAACTCCAGTGAAGCTGGGCTTCCGATGGGCGGGACAAAGCCCAGCATTTATCCAATGAGCGTCTAGTTTCGCTGCTGGAACAACCCACTTTAAGCTTCCACATTGAAGTCAGCAGAAGCCCAGCGTCCGGCTGTTTAAAGCGCTGAGGCGCTGCGAGGATGAATGAGAACGAAGTTATGCCGGTTACCTGTGATTATCAGCTTCTTATCACAGTGTCTGAACAAAAGATGAAGGCTTTCTAGTGCGTATTTAGTTAATGAAATGTACACACAGCAGTACGTATTTCACCACTTTTTCTTTTTTTTGAGGGGTGACATTTTAAGGGAAGCCGAGCTTCCCTTGCAGTCTTAGAGCAATCGCCACTGGTGTATTGGTATTTCTGTTAATTCCTGGTGAAACATTTGTAGTGCTATCATTGGTCAGTAAATCAGCCAGGCTTATTTTTCATTCTGATTTTACTTTTATTTCTGTTTCTCTCTAACCTCCAAAAGGAAAATAAATCATCCTGTAAAAAAAAAAAAAAACCTTGAAATTCTTGGTCTTATTTTTGATCCAGGTCAAAATATCCCTGTTTTAATAAGATTAGTTTCAAAATAATTAAGACTACTGGAATATTATTAGCCATAGTAATTGTCTTTGTAGAGAAAACCTTTCCATGACTTGTATATCCTACTGCACCAACATCCATGAATTCTTCCAGTTAAAGTCAGGTCAGCTGTTTAACATGAAACTTTCTCACAGGACATACTTTTTTTTTTTTGGTGAATGTTTAACCTGAGTGGAGTTTAAAACATTATTCATGGTTGTCTGAATTAGATCATTGTCTGGGTTGCATCCCAACCTGCTCTCCTCTCACTTCACAATTGTTGTGATCTGTGAATGGTTTTCATGATGTTTGTTGCCTACCTTTTGCTCAAGTGAAACTGGTGATGAAAGTACACAGATTTAAAAGTAGCATCATTAAAACACAGGACTTTTTTTTTTTTACCACTGTTGACCAGCAGAGGGAGCTCATTCTTCACAGAAGTTTGTAGTGATGATCTGTGACCTTTAGCTGAAGGGGAGAAGATCTTTGCCTTAAGAGTGTGTTCCAATATTTTGACAAGATTGTAAATCACTCATGTTTATCTTCCGCTCCTCTTGATTAATGCAGGCGTCAGCTGGGCGTGTTCTTGTCCATAGTTGATCAATGTTTGCAGGAGTCAACTCTAGTTGATCATCCGGTTTGTCTGTAAACATGACAATGACAGTGCTGATTCAGCTTTCACTGTCGTCTCCTTGGAAACACAGCAGATGGGGATTGTTGCTTCAGTTCTCAAACATTGTCAATCTATCTTCTAATACTCTGAGGGAACATGTTTTTTTTTTTCGTTTCCCTGTGAGCCGGTAATAACTGACCTTCAGATGTTTAACTGTAGAGAGTTCAGCAGGTTTGCTCACTGTCAGGACGTTTACTGCAGTTTAAAACTATCGGTTCATTGAGGGCACCGCTGCTGAAGAACTCTGCAGAATATTTTGTTTATAAGCAACGCCGATGATCTTTAGACACATATCAACATGTGTCTGTCTCTCTTGGTGGATTATGAAGGGGGACTTTTGGCCTTTGTTTAATCTGAATTTACTCATTGTATTAACCATTCAAAGATATTTGTCTTGTTTTAATATCTTTCCTCTTACGATTTTTGTAAATGCACTTCTTTTAACTAACACTCAAGGAACAGTCAAAATTTAGCAGAATTTATTTAACATAGCTGGAGATGGATCACCAAACCTTACACTAGCAGAGCCAGCACCCCCAGCCGTCAATGCTCTTCGTGGGTTAGCAGTGGTTATATGCCACATTAACTAGACACAGCCTATGTAAAACTGTGTCTTTAATTTTGACATAGAAATACTACCAAACTGTTTCACGCTTGGAGATGCTGTTGGTCACCTGTCATCACCCGACACCTGAAAACCCTGTGTAGAGCATCAAAGAGAAATGACGGGAACCATTATTTTTTAGAAGTCAATCTGATTGAGCTCACACATCCCTGTTTTAGACTGTTTGTATCAGCAATGAGGGTAAACTGAGAGGTTGTTGGTCACAAAATAGTTACCTCTCAAAAAAATGGACTTCACTCTATCAGTTTTATATGTATTAAACAAAAAAATTACAACCTTTTGAGTTTTTAAACTCTACAGCTGTTAGTAGGAACCTGTTTCTTTCCGCAAAGCCAAGCTATTTCTCTTCAGTCTTCATGATAAACTAACTTCACCATTTGCCTGTCGTTGCATTTCATTAAGCATATGGAGACGAGACTGGTATCAGTCTGCTAGTCTACCGCCAAGAAGACACAAATATATTTCCAAATGATTAAACTACTACCCTTCCGAAAAATCCTCATTTGCATTTTTGGAAACCACTGAAACTAGCACATTAAATCTAAAAGGCTAATTTCCATTTCAGTCCTAGGAGGTGGAGGAATGAATTGGAATCCCAGCATCAGGACTCAGATTTACACTCACAGCAGTTGATTAATTCATGGAAGTCTTCGTATATCCCTCTTGAGATCCATCCTATTTAGCTTTTTTTCATTTGTAGAATTTGACGCCACCGCAGCACCGCACCCAAAATGAGAAAGGAAGATTTTGATAGGAAAAGAGGGGGGTCTTTGGTACAGCTCTTTTATTGTTGTTGTCAGAATGATAGGAAATTTCCAGAGCTGTATTTTATAATGTTTTAAAAGGCTGCAGATTTTTTTTTTTATTATTTTGTAGTGTTAGATATAGACCAGATTTTCCTTCCAAACAAATGAAGCTGTAAAGATTAAAGGATGTTGTCTCTTCAGTGAGCATGTCTCTGTTATGTCTCTGCTTCAGGTGAAACACCAGGATCATTACTGTCGATGTAACTCGCACTAAAAGCTGCAGCTCTGAGGTGGATCTCTTGTTAACATCACAGGTTAAAAATCGTGTTAGTCAGTGGCAAATTTCGACACTTGGCTGATGTGTGATAGATCACAGGAAGAGCATATGTGAATTGCACTTCAAGGCAGTTATTTTGGTTCCAGCCAAAGAGAAAAGAGTGGGAGAGCGAGAGAGAAAGAGAGAGAGAGTTGTCCTGATCACGACTCTGCCAAGAAAGCTGAGTCACGAAAGACCAGAGAAGAGAAAAACAGGACCTCATAGAGTATTAAAAATGAATAAGATGGGGGCATTTTTCACCTAATGAGCAGGAGGTGTGAGTGATATTTAAAAGCATCTGCCGGGGTACGGAAAAAAAGGTTTGCTGGCAGCGAGAAGGAAGATAAAGAAAGCTGTGAAAGAGTGAGAGTAAAGGTGAATGAGGTAAGCGAGACTTCTGGTTGCTAATGTGAAGAGGCGGAGCACAGCTGACAAGCATGAAGCAGGGGGGAGTGATTACGTGGCCAGAGATGGGAGAGGCTGTGTCATTGTTGGAGAGCTCGGGTACATGGACGTGTTGCACAGGGAGGCAGAGAGAGGCTGGTGCAGCAGCAGCAGCAGCAGCAGGGACCACATGAGCAGCGGGAGGAGTCGCGAGAAGAGAGGAGGCTTCACGGTGAATAAAACTCCACGCCCCTCTCTGCCAAGCATCCATTTACTGAGCAGCTGATGTCTGCTGCTTCACTGGATGCGTACAGACTCAGCAGTATCAGAAGAAAACCTACCCTGCACTGGGGCTCTTGTGGATTTGGATTACAGCTCAGAGTATATCATTCTCGTCACTGTGGAGAAGTCTTTCACCAGGCGCTGGAGCATTTCTAAGGAGGTTTGTTGCATCACTTCAGCAAAAAACGTGTCCACGTTGGATATATTTAACCTCAAAGGAAAGGAGTATTTATAACTGAGGTGTCTCTCTGCTGCATGAAATCTAACTAAGGAGGATCAGGAGAATTAATCCAACTAATTAGCAAAAGGGATCAGCTTGATAAAACTGCAGTCTTTGCTCTAAATCTACCTGGGATTCTACAGGTTTTCCCCAAGTTGCGAAGATGACCACCATGCAGAAGCTGCTGCAGCTGCCAGTGAACGCAGTGAACATTGTAAAGACGGTGCAGAGTCAGGTCCAGGGCCAGGAGGAAGACAAGAGCCCTGTGCTGACCCCTGACAGCGGGCAGTCCTGGTACAGCGCCCTCCAGCCTGATGAGCTGCGACACCTTAGATCTGGAGGTACAGGTGGCGGTGGAGGAGGGGGAAGCAGTGGTGGAGACCATGAGGAGCGAGCACCACTGGAGGAAGGAGGTGGGGGTGGCGGTGGCGGCACTTTCCAAACTCAACCTTTGCGGTAGGATAATCTAGGAGGATGTGAACCTGCTCATGTACGTCAATGGGCATCTAGATGCTATTTTCCCAGGGCAGATCAAAATTAGTGCAAGTGAACAACATGCTGAAATGTTTAAAAGAATCATATTTGGGTATGCCATTGGTTTCTCAGATCCACTGAAAAAATGAATTTTATTTTTGCCTTGCCAAAGTTGAAGTGCTTGCAACCTGTAGATACACACAGCACACGATAGGTTTGGCTTGTGGGAACTCTTTCATTTGGTGCAACCAAAACAACCTCTTAGTGCACCAGCAAATGTCGCAGCTAATGTCAAGAGAACATTGAAATAGTATTGACACTATTTGGATTGGTGCTTTAAGTGGTGTGCGTATCCAGTCAGTATCAGTGTATCATAAGTATTATGTGCTTAAGTTCTAAAGTTAATAAAGATAGCACAAGGTAATGGTAATTTTTACAACATACAGTCACTGAAAAATACTACTTCATTGTACCACAAACAAAGAACTTCTGCATCATTGTGCTCCTGTACGATTTTAAGCCATTTTGGGGCCAGGCCAATATGAGTATCCTACACTGTACAAACTAGAATTGGGCATTTCAAGCAATAAAACAAAAGCTATTCATTAATCAATACTCACTCCCCCTTCTGCTGGGTGCCTCACTCTTTTAGCTGTTCCAGACCCAAGTTAAGCTAGTTTTAGCTGGCAAAGTTCGCATGTGACCTCAGTTGTATTTCCTAACGAAGTTCACCACAGAACTTTTTTGTCGATGACAGTCTGCAGTTTTTATCTGGTCCCAAATCCCACAGAACTACAACTGTTTTACCAGCTCCTGGCATTAATGCTTTCTTCTTCTTTTGTTATGAATTGGCAGTCATTAAACAGCCCCCAGATGGGCTGCAGCTTTCATGTGGCAGTTGTGCCCTTTTACAGCCAAGCTCTGGTAAAAATCATTGTAAAATATATTTTTTAAGACAATAGTTGCATCAGTACACATCTATAAATGTTAAGAATTATGACCCATCCTCAGTGAATACTTGTGTGGCTGTAGATAGTGTATATTTAAGTGCTATGATAGCAAGTAAAGAGAAACTGGTAGATGGTGAGAAAAAGGAAGGACAGTGGCAGCTGGTAAGAAGTCCAAGTGCATTGAAACAAGCCCAGGTACACCAAGGGGTTAAAGTTGGAGGTCTAATTACCAAGCAGGATTACAAACGTCTGGAGACACTCAGTTCAGTTGATACACAGGGATAACATTGGTTTTGATGCCACTGGTTATACTGGTTTTTAACAGCTACCTGCTTCAAAAATGAAACTGGAAGCAGCCATCACATCACATTCAAAGATCACCAAACGATGGTAGCCACCGGTATTAGACCCCACATTGCCTTGGGAAGCCATGACCATGTACTTAGTGAACAGAATCTACTCGTACCAGATCAGTATTCATGTAGCTTCATATAGCTCCTCTTTAATGTGGCTGTGACTATATAACATGCATTGGCATAATTCAGACATACAATCTCATTTAAAGTCCATAATGGCTGCTTTGCCTTTTAGTTAATTAGACTACAAACCAACAAACTATGAACATTCAAAGTGGTGCTCTCCAGAATCTGATTTGCTTTGAGAGAGGCATAATGACACTTTTGGACTTGACTGAGTCATACAGATAAAGGAGAATATTTTTATGTTTACTTGATGTGGGTTTTACTAGGGTGCACTTATGATTGGTTTATGTAAGCATATTTTTCATCTGTCACCAAGAAAAACAAGAAACTTTTTAAGTCTCTTATAAAAGAGTCAGCTTATGTAAAACAGCCTCACCAGCTTTTTATGAACGCTGGCTTTTCTCTGATTCATGCAAATACATTTACATATCTTCCCCTTTTAATGTTTTTACTCTCATGCATAGTTTTCCTGTTAGTGAAGAAAAATTAAATTGCATCTCTTATCATTGAACACTGGCCTACTTCTAGAGACTTTCCAGTTGGAGAGTTGTGCAAGTCTCTTGGCTGGGGTTTATGCTGGGTAACCTGACCACTGGTGTACTCTGTTGTACCACAGTGGGTTAAATAATTCAGAGCTGTTTGTAAATTCAGCTGTTGTCCGTCAGGGGGGACGGGACAAATCCAGGGGAATAAGAGAACCGGTGTGGGTGTAGAATTTCTGTCAGTCCTTTGGGCTTGAGCAGAGACGTATGAACCCAGTCAGAGGGTCATTTTTCATGGAGATGCCCAAGATAAGGCTTTCTTTCTGAGATCACTTACGGAAGTGGTGCTCGTGGATTGTTAAAATAAGTCATTATTGAACGGAAAGAAACGTGAAATGACTGTTAACCTTTGCTCCGTAAACCGTACCGAAGTGGTTTTTGCTGTGGAAAAAGAGTTTTAGTTTAGTGTTTTCTTCAGTCCAACTTTTATCCAGTTGTGATGGTATAACTCTGGCTCAAGGCAACTGTATCTGATCCTGTTTGTACAAATATCATATCTTAGTCCTTGTGTAGTCTTTTAGAAGATGCAAACTGCAAGTAAACACTTCAGGGTGTTTATATCTTTAAAATGATGTGAATCATTATCATTTAAAAAACAATTATACTAGGGCTGGGTGATAAACTGAAAATTTACCGATACTGAAATTTACAACAATAACTGACGTCATTTTGCCCATATCAGTATATTCGGTGTCAAAAAAACTGGTTTTGGGTGTGTGTAGGTTGTTTCCTGATAAAGGAATAATTTGTTTCCTGATACTATATCGATACTTTGAATTGTACTATCGCGATATTTAAAGACAATAGATTTCCCCCCCATGAGTCCCATCTGTGTTTTTATTATGGCTGCTACATTCATGGTATTAAGTGCATTAATTTTCAATAAATGATGTGAGTGATATCAAATGGTTAATGGAGTCAATTTCTCCATTGAGTTATCAATATAATGTGATGCACAGGCTTATTATTAGACTACCCAGGTAGTTTACGGTAAGTTGTATTTTCAGCTCTACAAAAAAAGGGTAAAAACTTGTTGAATATCGCAATATGTATGGCAGTATCATATCACAATGTATCCCAATATATCGTGATACTCTCACATTGTGACCCAAGTATCGTGATACATATCGTATCGTGAGATTCTTGCCAGTACCCATTGAAACTAGTAGCTTTTGAGCATCACAGCTTTCATGAACAAAATTGAGTTGTTTTTTTCTTCTGACAAACAGGCAGCAAATGGCCCAAAAAGCAAATCCTCCTTGTAGGGGGTCATACCACATGTGTACCCTGTCTGAGGCTCCAAATAGGAGATAAGTTATTACCCGCTGACAGGTCTAATGTTTGGCTGCTGCTTCTGCAAATGTAATCAATGCTTTCAGGTCCAGTTCTAATTAGATCGTCATAAACCTGTTTGTCATCAAACAAGCCACACAAATTCCTGTCACTTAAATAATTAGTGAAGCTGATGAAGGCGGTAAACAGACACATGCCGTAAAACTAATTAAGCCGGTGGTTGATATGTGTCTGTACTCTGCCATACATTTTGGCACTTTGACAGCGTCTTTGAAATATTCAAATTGACCTGTCTATCATGTCTTCCTGTTTCCAAGACTGTTTGTTGATAACATCCAGAGAAGTGATTTTTGTTTTCAACTGGAAGGAGTGAGAGTGAAAATGAAATATAGAAAAACAAGGTCAGAGCAACATCATTGAACAGCACTGCAGTTCAGCGAGTTTGTGCTTTAATGGAAAGTGTCTCTCTCTCTCTGTCATTAGATTCAGCCCTGTATGATTCCTGAATATTGGTGCAAAGTTATGAGTCTTCGACATGAAAGGTGACGCCTCAGATTTATGGGGACCTGCTGTAGGTTTTATAGCCACAGTAACAGCATGCCATGGTAGCAGTCTCCAGATTGTAATTTCCCAACAATTTTAGTTGGGTTGTAATTAAACTGATACAGACATTTATGGAGCCCAGAGGATGAAACCCTATAGAATTTGTAATCCCTGGCCTGTCTTCTTGTACAACTGTAAGGTTGACCTTTTTCCATGTTAAGTGAAATATTACATGGTGCACTCGTTCATGTTCCTTTTTAAGATGAATCATGGCGAGGCTTTCATTTTTCCATTTCATCATGTTGAATAAGGGATGTTCTGAAGCGACCATTTTCCTGTTAGTATGAATGAAAATATAAATTCTGACCAGCCAAGTAGAAACAAGTCAAAGAAAAAAAAATGAGCACAGTTAATTAACAAGGCTAATCAAGGGATCACAGAGTCTGTGGGTGAACAAGATGAAAATGCAAAGTTGTCACGGTAATGTTTCTCCTGCAAGACCATGCATTAAAAACACAAATTATGACTATTCTGTATGCCTTTTGACTGCTTCACATGATCTCTGTTTTTACATTTGTCCAAGAATTAACAAGAAAAGAAATTCATTTTAAAAAGTACAATGTTTTCACAATAATTTATTTCTCAGGTGCTCTAAGTTTGACCTTTGCTTTAATATTTTGTCTTTATACTTTATTTGGCAAGCAACACTTCAGGCTCGACATCAAATGCAGAGGATGGAGGAGTTTTCAGGCTGTAATAAGGAGACTAGCTGATAGAAATGTTCCCATTTTTGGAGTCATGGCCAGAGGCCGCAACCCATCATCACAATTTCACAGGGAGAAATGAACCAGTGGGACCCTCATTTTCTGCAGGAAATCTGCATTAGTGTAACTCATCCTCACGTCTCAGCTTTCATGGCTTTGGGCGAGTTATCTTTACAATTTTCATAGATTTATTTTTTAAATTTGTTTTGGGACACATCCTAAAATATGCATCCAAGAAGAAACCCGAGTCGGTTCATTTCCCACATCCAAAAATAATCCCAAACAGCATTTGATAGATACCGTCAGGTTTTAATTTGACACTCTTTGATGAATTAAGGTTTTGAAGTGTGTGAAAGAGTGAACTATATCACTCGTGCATTAAAATGATTAACACTTTGATGCTTGATGAAGACGAAAGAGGACATCTTTCTTAGCGCACTGGAAAACTGGCACACATGCACACGCATCATTGGAGTCCTAATAAATCAGATGTGTCGTGCAGCGGTCGCCTCCTTAGAGCCTGGAGTGCCTCTGTGCATTCTTGTCACACCATCAAAACAAATAAAACACCTTGTACAACCCACCAGTCTCACACTCAGGCAGAGAAATAAAGTAAATCATCCTAGAAAAGTTGGATCACCCAGTTTGAAAAGTAATTTTTCTAAGTTTGGTCGGCTTGGGCTCAGAGTTTCAGTATCGGCATGTCTGGGTTATGGGGAAATTAGTCACTTCAGGAAATTCCAACATTTGGTGGAGAAAGAACAGAAAACAAAAATTTTGAAAGTCCTTCTGGGTTGTTTTGTGTTCATGCAATATTCAGATGATTAAATTAAAGGTCCCCTATTATGAAAAAAACACTTTTGGGTAGTTTTCATTCAAATTTCATTCTCTCCGTCTTTTGCTGTCCCCTGCTTTCTGAAAACATGAGCGCAAATGGGCGAATAGAAAAGCTGTGCGGTTATGACGACATAAACGCATAAGCTCCCTCCTAGAAGAGGAAACGGAGACGGATGGAGCATTTTGTCTGTCCTATCCTATCATTCTGTCCGTCATTTTGCACATAGCGGGGGACATTACAGCCAAACCACGTTAGTCACGAGAGATAACTTAAGCATTCCACTTTTCAAAATATTGGGTATTCACAAAAAGAAAGTATTCACCAAGTAACGACGAGACAGCGGAGACGTAGCTGTCAGATAAGCTAACCCACCTAGCAATGTAACATAACACACTAACAAAGTAAAAACACAAATATAAAGACACATTTTTGTAACCAACCATTCAGAAATAGACGTAGGTGTTAGAGGAGCTAACCCACCTAGCAGCATAACTAAACACACTAAGTAAAAACACAAATATAAAGACACATAATATTTTTAACCAACCATTCAGAAACGTCCTTGTGCAGCCGCAGAGTTCGACTTTCTTTGGGAGCCTCTCCCTCCTTAAAGGAACAGGCGCAGACTCAGCCCGTTCTCAGTGGAACTAAAAAAGAGCGGGGTACAAGCTGGCTGATATCAACAAGTAAACTGTTGTTAGGCAACAAACTTTAAATTTACTGTTGTGGGACCTCTAGGACTGATTTAAACTTGATGAAAAATGCCATAATAGGGGACCTTTAAGTTAACCACATGACTCCAAGAATGAGGTTTCACACCAGATTGTGTATTCTTATATCATTGCACACCTTTTGATTTTATAAAAGACACCAAGTACAAAAGACAGCAAGAGCTACCTTTCATTGAACAACAGAGCAGCCACAGTCAGAACTGCATTTCACCAGCCATCTAACACCTGTTTTTCAGCAGTGAGGGTGAGAGTGAGGGTGAGAGTGGAAGTGAGAGTGAGAGTGAGAGTTTCATGAACCTTCAGTCTCAGGAGGAGATCTCTGTGTGTCTGCTGCTCAGCTCTGCAGACCTTCAGTCCCCCGTGAAACAAACTGTCAGATGCACAAAGGCTCTGCAGGAAGGCAGGAAATCACTTGACTTCATTTTATTGCATCCTTTGTTGCCAAGGAAACTAGTCAAGGGAAAATGAGCTGCTCTGCGGTTATTTAATCACCCCGCCCACCGGCGCCTGAGCCCCACCCTTTGATTCCCACACCTCAAATTGACAAGTTTAATCTGTTTCAGGCCGAGTCTGTGTTGGTGGTTTGTTCGCTTTGAGTTAAAACAAACTAGGCGTTAACATTGTGCATGGGAATTTTAAAATTGGTAATTGGCTATCAAAAATGTTGAATGTAGAGAAGTTTTCCCTTTTCATCTTGTACAATGTGAAGTCAGTTGTACTTGACATTAGCACAAGAGAGAGACAATGTCATTGATTGGCATTTCAGCCTCCAGCCAGGCGGTGTCTTTATCTCCTCAGCTGGAGCAGTGATCCTGTCTGCACCAATCCGCTGCCTCTGAATAACCGTCACTGTCTGTCTGCATGTTCCTCCTGGCAGGTTTTGGTCGAGACTCCTGTGTTGTTTATGTGTGTTTGGATTGCAGCAGGGTGGGGATGTCAGTGTAGATCCAAACACAAAGATCCTGCTCCTCATGAGTGAAGTCATCCAATGTCTCCGAGAGGGAAAATGAGCTAAAGTGACTGCAGAGTTGTGTGTCAGCTGGTCTTCAGCAGCTTGTGTGCGGATAGAAACAACTGCTGTTCTCATAAAATGGAAATAAACAATCTAACTTTTGGGGTACCTGTTTTTAGATGTGTAGAAATTCATGTTACTGTTGGTCTAAGATGCTTGGAGGAAGAAATCAAAATAACGGCTGATTTCCTCGTCAGTCATCTGGTGTTAACAGCAGATCAAAATTTGAATTGATCTAATATTTAATCTATGACCAAACCTTACATATCGACAATCCACAATGTTTTTATAAAAATTCCTGCTCCTGCAAAATTCATGCAACATAAATCAAAACGGTCTGGACAGGGGAGTGTTTACCTTCGCGTTGCATCACCTCTTTATTTAAAACACTCTGGAAATGTTTTGGAACAGCAGAGACCAGTTTCTGGGGTCTTGAAATGTTGTCTTGTTTTTGCCTGATATAGGGTTTCATTTGCTCGACGGTGCACCATATGTTTGAGGATGTGCCAAGTGGAGACTGCAGGTGGTTTAGCACCTGAACTCTTCTATCACTGAGCTAAGCTGTTGTCATATGCAGAATATAGTCAGGCATTGTCTCGCTGAAATACACAAGGTCCGCCCTGAAAAAGACATTGTGTGGATTATATTGTTCAGCGCTGATGGCGCCTTTTCAGATAGGAAAAATACCCATGCCATGAGCAACCCACTGGACGTCTAAATGTAGCCTAGATGACTGGTCTAAAATCAGGCTACCGCAGGTCTAAAAATGAAAGTTTTTTAGATGTCAAAATTTAGACCAAGTCTAAATCTGGGCTTTATCTATATTACACTGTATATTGCTCAACAGCTATCATAATTATCTTGGTTAAGTACTTGGAGATCAGTTAGCGTTTTGGAATAAATAGTCATCAAATAATGGGTTAAAGTGAAATGTCTAAATTCCATCTAAAAATATACAGAATCTAGACGATTGAAATTAGGTCTAAGATAAAACTAGACGTCTAATAGCCGTCTATTGCTCAGTGGAAAGTATACACCCTGATACCTCCACAGATGCTTGTTGTTGGACTATGTGCTGATTAAAAGCTGGGTGGTCCCTCCTCTTTTCGGTGCATCCATGATCATGTTTACGTTCTCCTTCCTGCAGGGTAGAGCTTTAAGCTGCAGTTGTAGATGCGAAACTCCACAGTCATCAAGGTTTTTTTTGTCCTATGCAGTGATTTCCACTCCAGAGTTATGTCTTCTGAAATCACAGATGTGCTGTATTGCTTTTCAGTCTTGTCCTTTTTGTACAGGTTTCATCAGATCTCCTGAAATATTAATATCATGCACTGTAGATGATGATACCCTCAAACTCTTTGCAGTCTCATGATGTGAATCATCGTTAATATGAGATTGTTGAACAGTTTGCTCAGGCAGTCTCTCACAGTCTGATAAATAAATGCCAGATTAACCTTTGGTCATCCTGTGTCTTCTGCTCTAAAATCTTCACCCTGTAACATTCGCTCCTGGATTTATACCTTAACATGTAAAAACCTGCTTGTATGATATTTCAAAGCCTCGAGCCTGAGTACGGTTTTACTGAAGCACATCTTCAGACAAGCGCATATTTAAAACTCCAATCTTACTAAAACATCTTTAATTCGTCTTGGATGTCACCATGTTTCAGGGATTATGTCACTTTTCCGTTATCACACTCCATGAGCTGCACTTTCAAAGGTTTCCATATTTTGCCGGCTGGATTTCCCACTTCAAAGAGAACCATTTCTGGGTCACCCTTGTAGACTTTCATACATTTAGAGAGCTTGAATGAAAATCGTAACAAAGGTCTGTATTTCATGTTTGAAGTCTCTGCTATCAGGGTTGTTTTGCTGTTTGCAGTACCGCTAAGAAGTAGGCTGAAAATAACTAGCGTGCCCTGAGCTAAGTTTGAGCTTTTTCCTCCCTCAGACACGACGACTTGAAGGAGATGCTGGACAGCAACAAAGACTCGCTGAAGCTGGAGGCAATGAAGCGGATTGTAGCCGTGAGTATGAATTATGTTTACTTTGGGATTTCACTGATCAGCAGGTGCAGCTGCTCAGCGAGCGAAAGACAAAGGCGCGGAGAGCTTTGAGAAAAAATGCCACATGTACAACCCAACATGCAACATTTCTAATTAATTCAGAAGACTGAAGATCCAAAACTTGTTCTCTATGCAGAGTTTTGGCAAAAAGTGCTCCCATGAAAGATCTGATACAAACTCAAACTGTTCTGTATTTAAGATCTTTAAAGTGAAACACACAAGCTGCACAGTCAGCTGTTAAATATTCATAATCTGTGTGAGATTCCTCCCTCTGAAGCTCCACACCCCAAACCCTCATTCATCTTCCCTGCAGGACGAGGGAGATAAAAGGGAGAGGAAGGCATGAAAAAGCCGAAAACAAGATAAAAAAAGTTTCACAGTCTGTTGCAAATGATTCAAACTCCTGAAAAATGTCACCTTGTTGAAGTCTCTGCTTTAAATCTGGTGTATGTGTGTGTTTTCTGCAGATGATTGCCCGGGGGAAAAATGCGTCAGATCTCTTCCCCGCTGTGGTGAAAAACGTGGCGTGCAAAAACATTGAGGTTTGTTATGAACTCTAGTTTCAAGTATAAACTGCTCCTTTCCCTCAGCTGATATAGTTTCAAGTTCTTAAAAAGTTGCTCTTTCTATTAAAGCCATTAATGTTTTATTTCTCCTTCAGCTTGATTTAAATTTATACCTTACCTTATCATATTTTAAAAGCCCCCCTGAGCTTTTCCTTTATCTCACCTGAACAAAATTGAAATTTTCCTCTTCTCCTCTCTTTAAGGTTTTAATCGTTTTGCCGCATCTCCTCTCTTCAGATTTATCTCAGTGAAAATAATGGAACTCATCTCCATAATTTGAGTTGAAATTGTTTTTTATCCATCTGTTTTTTTTCCTCTTTTTGCTGCTCCCTGCAGGTGAAGAAGCTGGTCTATGTTTACTTGGTGCGTTACGCAGAGGAGCAGCAGGATCTGGCTCTGCTCTCCATCTCGACATTTCAGCGAGGGTTAAAGGTACAGCAGTTTTAATCCACATCAGTTTAGCCAAAATTTTAACAAATAATTTTGAGCTTGATGTTTTGATAAGTTTAGAGGATGATATACTGGAGAGTGTTGGCAACTCTTTTTAATGTTACAACCCAGTATGAGTCCAGGGATAGTGGTTCAAAAACGCTAGGGTATAAGCTTTGGTCTGTTAAAGTAAAAACACAATAAGGACTCAAAGGAGGCAGAACATAGAAAAGGAGGGTCTGTGATTGACTTAAGATCATGAAAACAAACAAAACAGAACAGAACAGTTTCTTTCCTTATCTAAATGCATTACCAGGAAAGAGGATTAGGGCTACATGAAGAGAAAAAAAGTCATTACAGGAAGGAACTTGAAGTCAAAATTACAAATAAATGTCAAAATTTCAAGATAAAAAATGCAATAAAGTCTGTATTTCGAGATTAAAAATTTAAATTTCGAGATTACAGACGAAATTTCAAGATAAAGAAATGTCGGGAAATTTCAAAATTATAGTCAAAATTTTGACACTGTGAAACGTCGTGAAAAATGTCAAAATTTCGAGATTAAAAAAATTTAAATTTTGAGATTAAAGTCGAAATTTTGAGAGTGGACTCCACATGAATAAAGTCGAAATATTGACTGAAAGAAAAAAAAAATGGTGAAAATAGTGCTAATTCAAGTCTGCTCTTTTGCAGGATCCAAACCAGCTGATCAGAGCCAGCGCTCTGCGAGTCCTCTCTTACTTAATCGAACATAAATAAATCTATACCATAGCAAATAAGTAAAAAACCATGAAAAACAAGTGCCATGTTTTTAAAGTTCAGAGCAAAGTACAACCTAAAACAAAGACACAGGCTGCTCACGCCATTCCTAAACTCTACAGGTAAGGGTGCTCCTTCTCTGAACTGAAGGTGAACCCTCTGAAGAAAAAGTAATCCCTCACTTCTCCACAACATTTCTTATTTTACGTATTTGATTGATTTGTTTCTCCTCTGCTCTCAGTTTGGATCCAGAGCAGAAGGACCAGCTGATCGAAGTCATCGAGAAACTCCTTGCTGACAAAACCACGGTGGGTATTTGCATAGCCGATCCAATATTTCTCCTCAAGATTATTTTCTTTTCAACAAATGAAAAGACAAGTTTGAAAATCACAGACTCAACTTACCTCTGTTCACAGCACTAGATTGGATTCAATGCCTCAGTTGTTTCGAGGTTTATCGGTTCTTTGACCATTTTTTCTCCTCGCCTTTTCACTTTTTATTTCAACTGATGTGATTTAAAAGTGAAAGAAATCAAAAACAGGAACAGGCTGTAAAATTCAGCCTCCATTTGGGCTTCTTCATCATCTTGAGATGTAATTTCCTCCTGCATGGATGGTTTTTGTGCCTCAGTCAACTTCAAAGATGACATGCTGTCTCCCTGGGGTAATAATCCCAGCATTACCTGTTATCTGTTTGACTCTTTTTTTTTTCCGCAGCTGGTGGCAGGAAGCGTCGTCATGGCTTTTGAGGAGGTTTGTCCAGAACGCATCGACCTGATCCACAAAAACTACAGGAAGTTATGCAACCTTCTTATCGACGTGGAGGAGTGGGGTCAGGTCGTCATCATCAACATGCTGACTCGCTACGCCAGGACTCAGTTCCTCAACCCAAACATCAATGTGAGTAAGAGCCTCCATCGCCAATTAGTTTAGTGAATATTAAGCACTTTTTTTCCCTTCTGAATTGATTAAAACACGTGGCTTTTTGGCTTCCCGGTTTGGTTAATTATTCAAAGTGGGGGAATGACATGCACCAAATCACGGCGGGGTCACAAATCAATCCTGTGACGTGGACTGTAGCGTCTGAACAAAGACTGCCTGCTCTTCCAGCTGAGCAAAACCAGGAATAACTACTTTTTCAAGGTTTTAAAAAAAAAACAGATGAGTGATTTAGTCCACGCAATCACTTTTCAATTTCCTCAAGCCCTGTTGAAAATTATGTGTTCATTGTAAAACGCCTTTTCCTGACTGATATTACTGCTTGAGCTTATTTTCAAATGAGAAAAATAACAAAATACCACAAACATTTCAAATAGAAAGAGCCTAAAAGCGAACACCAAGAGTGATTATGGCTGAAGGTATAATTTAGTAGGTGATTCATCATCCTCTCATGTGTCTGGCTCCTGCATTAACCTCTGAGGGTTTATTTCAGTCTTTGCAATCATTCTTTCATGAAACAGTTTTGCTATTTTAATAAGTCTACTTTCATTTATTACACAAATGAATTAATTTTATAAAATATTGGTAAATTCATCAGGTCTTGACTGGATAGGGTCCTTAAAAGTTTATAATCAGGAAACTGTTTCAAAAACATTGACGACTGGCTTACAGCAAAAACAGACTGACTTATTTGACGAGTGTAGATTAATAACTAGGTCGACAGTAACATAAAGCTCACAGAAAAGTTGCATATCTGAAGATTCATGAAGCAGATCAAGTGTATAACCTTCTTTATTTAAAGGTTGTGATAGTTAAAATGATCGTAATCTCAAGTATCAGCACTTGACCTATGTTGAAAAAGCAACTATTAAGACTGTTTAAAGGCCATTTACTGAGTAATGCTGCAGTGTGAAGTCAATGGATGGTGATGAAATAGAGTTATACTAATACTGATGTTTAACCCTTTGACCTGAAAAAGTTAACAAGACCATCAAAAAAGGCAGATTATTTCCGTGTTATCTCATATTCCTGTGATGTCAGATGAGATCAACAGCTCACTGCAGAAACAGTTAAAGATAGTCAGCGGACGTTAAAGATAGAGATAGATTTTCCAGAACTAAACAAACTCAAATTCTTCACGTTACAAAGTTTAAACTTATATTGACCAGATCGCTTCTTTTTGTAAATTGATATATGGTAACTGCACAAAGTCTATAGAGTCTGTGATCTGAACTGTGTCCAAAGAACCTGCACTTGTTCGAAGCTGCTAATCAGACAAAAATGGAAATACTTATCAGACAAATCTCAAATCAGAAAGTCGGTAAACTTTAAAATCCTTTGTAACAGAAAAACTAAACTAAAATCATCAATCCTTCTATGTGTCAAGCTGCATTACATGACTTTCCTTTGTCAACAGATCTGTTCATGAAAATTGTTATCAAAACTTGATTTGCTTCTCAACCGATCAGCAAATCAGTGAAATATTACTGCTACTTAATCTAGCTTTCACACTTGTGCATTTTGCCATTTCTTGCAAATCTATCCTAAGTTTAGTCCACTGTATTGACTCTACATGCTGATCCCATAAAAGAAAAGATACTGTCATTTTAAATTGCTCGTTTTGTACCAGTTTAGCAGAAGAACAGGACTGAATGATAATAGTACGCAGGTGAATTTCCTGCAGTTGTACAGCTTGTATTGAGTTGGATTAGTGATATTTTTTCAGTCTTGCCATTGTGATGTTGCAGGGATACTAAATGAATCTCTCCGGTCATTACTTTCCTCCTCCACGGTTGTAGCCTGGTGATACTCTTGGGTTTTATCTGCTTTTCACACCCACCTGTTGACTGATTTTCTCACCAGAAACTAAATTGAGCAACTTTGTCATGCTGTGACAAAACAGTAGAGGCAGCCAGTGCATGTGGTGACAAATTGCTACAGCTGTTTAGCTCAACAGGAGGTCTTTTAATAATGCTCCTCATACACGGTGTCACTTCTTATATAATGTATTCAAGAGCAAATTACCATCTGGTGACTTTAATAATGAGATACGACTATTTTTCCACGCAAAAGAAAGTTTGCCCCTCTAAGTCTCACACTGTTTTTATCTGCCTTCTCCCCGCAGGAGTCACTGCTGGAGGAGGGCAGCGGCGGAGACAGGACTTTCTACGGCTCAGAGGAAGACGAAGACGAGGATGAAGAGGATAAAGAGAAGAAGGCAGAGGCTCAAGCCATAGCCAAGAGGAAGCCATACGTGATGGATCCAGACCACCGACTGCTGCTGAGGAACACCAAGCCGCTCCTGCAGAGTCGTAATGCTGCTGTGAGTCAACTGCACACACCTTAACAGTAGTCCTTCTTCAGTCTGTCGCCACATTGAGCAGCAGGTCAGTGGTTGGAGAAGCTGAAATGTCTTAGCGGTGACTTCCTCTCGTTCTGAAATAGGGACAGAAGATGGGTCCCTGAGGAAAGTTAATTAAAGTTCCAGTCTTTGTAATCTCTCTTTGGTGGCGATGGCGATTGCGCGCTTGTTTCTGTTACTCGTACTGCAATGCAGAGCAGCTGCGATCTAATTCACCTACTCAGCACTTTGAACTCTTGTTGATGTGCTATGGGTGATCAACTCAGAAGAAGTGTGTGAATGACATCAGGTGCAAAGACTGCAGAGGCGGTGGAATTTAAATTAGGGTTTGTGTGTTTAACTGGTTTATCCATGGAGTCTGGACAGGAAGTAGACTGGCTGTGATCGCTACATCAAATTCAGTCCACCTAAGGTAAGAGGGGCTATTTTGATACTATTAAAAAGAATGTGATAGAAGTAGTAAAGGTGAAGATGATATATGAAATCAAGAATACAAAGGGAATATGACCTATAATAAACCTCAGAAACAATACAGGCCGTCTCCACCCCACTCCTTAGATCCTCCCAGAGTAACAGACACCCTGCTGGGCTTCAATTTGGTACATGAACTAAAAACAGTCAGCCGCTCTTAAAGATGGATGGTCATCTATTGTGCATGAGACTGTGCCAGCTTTTGCCTTTGTGGCACAAGGGGGACTCATGCCACTGTCACGCTCACCAGACAGCAGATCAGCACTGTGTCTGCTTGACAAGAGGCAAAGACGAGGTACACAATCAGGTTTTAGTCAGTTTTAAATTTCTGTAGAGGCCTCAAACATAAGACACAATCACAGAAAAAAACATTTCCACCCTTAGTGAATCATAAATTCACTGCTTTGCATTTCTCCTCCCAGGATTTTGCGCGTTCATTAAGGCAATTGGACTATCTGGACAGTTTGTGTTATTTTTGCACATTTGGCAAGGCACAATCTTTAGTGCACGCTGTTGGTGGATGAGTTTGCACATTTGTTTGCGGATGCTTTAAAGTTTACAAATTAGTGATATTTCCCTTTAAACAGTGGGCACAAAACCGACAAGACAAACAATTCAAGAGCACACAATATACATCACAATCAATGATAAACAGCATGTAGTGAATAAACCACTGCTGAAAAATGAAGAAGGTGTCACTATACTACATCAACAGGTGGGAGCTCATACTCATTTACAGTATAAATCACTGGGGTGGTCTCTGTGACATCGCCCTTTGGTTTCTGAAGAGGGATTATGAAGATGAGCTGAGCCCCACTCAAGGAAGTGCAGTGTTTTGCACTCAAGCTTTGGCTTCGACACCAGAGGTTGCTTCTTGTTTATACAGGAAAACAAAGGCTTTCATTGGTGGCTCACTATTGTCTTACCTTATTGAACAAATATTTACTAGATATTGATTAAAATTTTATCTTAGAAATAGATGACTTAAAGTAGCACTATATTAAAAGGCTGTTTTTGGTTGGAGGCAGTGTGGCCAGGGAGACGCCACTCATACTCATATTTTCTGGTCGTGTGTAAAGATACAACCTTTCTGGGACGAAGTGAACGAGACTCTGGGAAAAATCCTGCACTGTATTATTCAAAGAGATCCCAAATTCATGTATTTGGGAGCCATACCTGAGAAATGCAAAAAGGCTATCACAGGGAACTGATCGCCCACTACTGAGACAGTGGATGGACATTATGAGTGAAATTTACACCTTGGAAAGCCCAACTTACCACTTGAGGCTGGACATGTCTACCATGTCTATTAAGCTTGAAGCTTAATAAACAGACTATGTGGACCTCTTTGTTAACCACGTGCAAAATAAGGAGTAAGAACTGCCCCCTGTGTTCCTTTGTTCCCTTTTCTTTTTTCCCCTCTCTTTATTTTTGAGAAAAAAGAAAAAATGGTTATAAAGAAATAATTGTCTCGAACTATGCTATACTGAAAAATAAAGTAAAAAAAGGCCGTTTTTGTGCCGCTCAAGTTGTTACAAATTCCCCTCCTCATGCATTATTCTGTCTTTGTCCTGCTGCAGTCCAGCTGCTTCCTTAAAGGTGTTACGATAGAGAATCTCTGATATCCCTGCTGTCGCCAACTGCCCACCACCAAAGGGATAAAATTAGCAATTAGATGAGCAACTAGCTGCTGAACATCGTGGAGCAGATATCAGTCGAGGGCCAGATATTTCCCAAAGGCAAAGAGATGCCAAAAGCTGAGATAAAGAAAAGAATAAATATTGGACTGACTGAAACAGGACTCCAGGTACAACAACATGTTTATATGGTAATACCTGCTGTGTTTACAAGTTGATCTGCAAGCAAAATAAGAGGTCTGTGATTTCTGCAATATGCTGATTGGATGCTTACAAACCTTGAGACAGAAAATTCTTTGAATAAGTCACTGACAGATTATCTCTTCAGCTCTTTCATGCACATCCAGCACAGCGGCAGAATAAATCAGGGCCAGTCCAAATCTGCATTCACTCAAACAAAGTGAAGCAGTGGTGCATTTAATGTCGGAGTCTTAGAAATACACAGAATATACTACAGTCTAGTTTTTTAAATGCCAGTTACATGAGCGTTAAAAGCAAGGAAAGTATTAGCACAAACATTAGACTTGCTAGGTTGCTTTTGTATTATTCCCATGGCATTAATATAGACTCTTTGTCTATATTAGGTCTTTGCACAAACATCTTCACTTCATAGGTGCTCATATTAAACATTCATGAGGAGGCTTTGTTTGTGCGTACATCTTACCTAAGTGCCTGTAAACACCATCATTATTGCTCATATTTACTATGCAATCCTTTGCTTTTGTTTTCTTCCTTCAGGTGGTGATGGCCGTGGCTCAGCTGTATTTTCATCTCGCCCCGAAAGCAGAGGTCGGAGTGATCGCCAAAGCCCTTGTGCGTCTCCTCAGGAGCCACAGGTGAGTGGTAGTGGCTCATATTTGATATAAATTGATGTTTCATAATTCATTACTCTGGGATGGTATTTTAAAACGAATCTGTATGTGCCGTTTCAATTTGTTTATATGTCTGAGAACCAAGTTGAGGGTGGAAATAATAAGAATTTCACTTGAAAAGAAAAGAGACGAAAAAGAAAGCGAGAGTGCAGAAAGGCAAGGCTGAATTTGATAAGAGAAAGCTATAATAACCATGAAACTCGGCAAAGTGGAAAACAGAAATACAAAAAAAAGGATAAGTGCGGGTAGTAAAATAAATCTCTCCAGCCCCGGAGCAGAGAGTGAAATTAAACAGAGAGCTGAGTGAGACTGAGGTAAACATGGAGGCATAAAGCATGAGGAGTGATGGTGACACATCAGCGGCCTCACGGTTGTTAGTCCTGAAAACTGTCAGCTCCTTATTGAACAAGTACTCCTGTGGCTCTGGGTGTGTTTGTAATGGGATCATCATTCAGCAGCTTCCAAACAGCAGCAACCCTCTGCAGGGGACGGGGTCAGAAATCCATTGTACTGTAAGATACGTTTCATCAGATCTGTTTATTAGGACAGAGTCAGCGGTGGCTTTGCTGAATCATAACAACTCAAAGTAAAATATTAAAGGAAGGTCTTCTTTGTTTATAAAACCATTTTAAAGGCTGAAGAACATCTGCTAACACATTCCCAAGATTCAGAAATTCACAGCCAAATTTAGGTGTATTGTCCTTTGGTTACTAGCTTCACGAGTGGAAAATCTGAAGCTTTACTCCCTGGGCTATTTTTTGGCATTGTTGGCTGACTGCATAAAACCTGTAAAAGCTATTATAATTGTTATTATTCCAACACCTCCATCCCCACGGATTTTGGAGCTGAGGCATGTGCAGAAGCAATCTGTCTGAAAAAGATGAGGGATTGAAGTCCCGCCCCATCAGCTCACTAAAACGCTCATTTAACTTTTACAGTAGATTCCTCACAAGTCAGCACACTCAGCAGAACAGAGTCTAGTGTCGATGAAGAGCACACTCATAGTTATTGAAAGTTTAGAGACTCTTGTGTTTGTGTTTGTTGTGTTTTCTCTCCCTGCTCCCCCTCTATTGTGTTAATCCGAAACAGAGTGCTGCAAAAGCCGACATTCGTCAACAGAGCTGTCAATCACTACACCACACCCTCTATTTTCCTAGTATGGCTCATGTTAATGAGCTGTATCTCCTTTACTGCAGCCAGTCACCAGAGGGGCTCTAAAAGTTTTACACTGTTATAATTTAGAGTAAAAAAATGTAGAAATGGGAATATATTTGGGGATAACTGGCAGTCAGATTCGACATTGAAATGTTCCCTCAGTGGAGTGACGGTGGCCTTCGAGGACAAGAAGCCACTGTGATGGATATAAAGTTTGATGCCCCATTTGTCAAGTTTTTACCATCGGAAACATCAATCCAGACAAAATTCTTTTATGCACAAAATCTTCTTTATATTCCAAACCAGTGTACCTTACATACCCACTCAATAAATACAGAAATGCAAATGCTACTCTGTGCTGCTGCATAAACATGGCAGTACAAGATGGCAGCCTCTGCAGAAGGAGACCCTCTTTATTGTAGCTGTCGATGTGAAGCACTTTGAGGGTCTGTAATAAGTGCTATAAAATCTGATGCATTATGAAACAACAACAACAACAATAACAATAACAATAACAACAACAACAACAACAACAACAACAATAATAATAATAATAATGTTATTGTTACTTTCAATTTTCACCAAGTCTGTTCTACCCAATTTTTCCAAATACTACACACTGTACCTTTAACCTTTAAAATCTGTTTAGCTCATTTGCAGTTATAAAAATAAATATAAAGTCTTCTTTGTCTCAGAAGTCAAACAAATCTAAAACATGAGAAGAAATTGTGGACATCAAATTTTTATGTACAGATATAACACAAACTGATTATGCTTTTTAAAAGACTTTCTGGACCAGGACAGTTCGGATCTATTTGTACAAGTCAAAACCACCCAAATTTCTTTTGCTCTTGTCTTGCAACCCATTGACAGGTTCAAAGGTTTATTAGTTTTGGTTAATTACAGTATTACTGACGCAGCTAACATGTAAGAAGTAACATGTAAGTAAACTGCTCCTGATTTGAACCGTTCGGTTGTCTTTTGCTCTCAAGGGTTTAGCATTAGAAAAGGTCTTAGGTTCAGCAGACAGGAATGTAAAGCAATTAAAACTTTATTGACCCATCATTGAATTAGGTTTCCTTTTAAATGTTTTTCTTAATCAGTTCCTTTTATTTCCGTCTCTTCTCGCAGTGAAGTCCAGTTTGTCGTCCTTCAGAATGTGGCAACAATGACAATCAAGAGACGGGTGAGCGACACATTCTGGTTTGAGGATCTTTATTTTGAAAAGTTGACTGAGCTGCAGAGTTTCTTCAGGTTTTTGACTCCTCTGTCTTCATTTTTCTCAGGGGATGTTTGAACCGTACCTGAAGAGCTTCTACATCCGCTCCACAGACCCGACTCAGATAAAAGTCCTCAAGGTCCTTTGCTTTTCTCTTTTATTCCAGCTTTGACTCACATTGATTTTCTCAACACTGATTTACATTGGTGACATCTTCTGCCTGTCCTCGATCATTTTAAATCCACTTACTTCTGTCAAAAGTAACAATGTTTAAAACTCAGTCAAAGGATGTTGTACCTTTGTCGTGCTGAATCAATTCCTATTGAATTAGAGTGAAGCTAGTTCCAAAAAGTAGACATCAATATGAGCATGTAAGTCTCTTTCTACAGGTTCTGCTGCATTGCAGTTATTTCAGTGTTATAAAAAGTTCCCTCTTGTTTCGTGCAGTTGGAGGTCCTCACCAATCTGGCCAACGAGACAAACATTTCCACCATCCTCAGAGAGTTTCAGGTAAAGGGAAGCACAACCAGACAAACTTTCTCATGATAGTTACACAGGATTTATCTTTTATAACTGAGCAATCATCTCTTTCCTGCAGACGTACATTAAAAGCATGGATAAAGATTTTGTGGCGGCAACAATCCAAGCTATTGGCCGATGTGCAACCAACATCGGTGAGGTGAGGGACACGTGCCTGAACGGTCTGGTGCAGCTCCTTTCCAACCGTGATGGTGAGTTTTAGTTTGTGGAACAAAAGATGAAACTTGGAGGGATATAAATTTAAAGAAGAATGAGAATGAGTTTCTGTTGTGGCTGAATCTTTGTTAATATCTTATAAGCCATTTTAGCACAGTCAGACTACCAGAAAAAAGCATCATTTTTTTAAGAGATTGAATGAGAATCTTTTGAACACAAATCATTTTAGTAACTGAATGTAGGATGAAGATGAAGAAGACTTGCTGAAAAGATCATTTGTTATTTCAGAGAGTGACTTTTTGTTTCTTTTTACAGAGCTGGTTGTAGCTGAGTCTGTGGTGGTTATTAAGAAGCTTCTACAGATGCAGCCAGAAAAGCACAGCGACATTATAAAGCACATGGCAAAGCTGACAGACAACATCCAGGTGAGCGCCTCTTCCTCAAATCTCTGTATAAATCTTACTGTATAATACAAAACCAGTATTGAGTTTTATGAGTGTTAAACCCTTTCTTTGGTAACGTTACAGAAGCACATGACCTCTTTAATTTAATGTAATTTTCTGTTTTTAGGTCCCGATGGCGCGGGCCAGTATCCTGTGGCTGATTGGAGAATACTGTGAGCACGTACCGAAGATCGCCCCAGATGTCCTGAGGAAGATGGCGAAGTCGTTCACTAACGAAGAGGACATAGTCAAGCTTCAAATAATCAATTTGGCAGCCAAACTCTATCTCACGAACTCTAAACAGGTATGATGCTTTCATTTCATTTGATTATCAACAAAGGTGGGGGCCTATCTCCATCCCATGCATTACCGTTACCAGTTCAGCACACAGTGGTTGAAAAAGAATTCAAATTTATAACATTAGTGAAAAAAACACACACATAAATACTCTTTTTCATGTAGAAGTTCTATATCCAAACTTATCACAGTAGACGACAGAGAATAGGCGTCAACTTTTAGCAAAGCATTATTCCACTCACCAGTCAGGACATGATTAAAACGACGCAGCAACCCACCCATTTAGCCTAACACAGAGAGGCACCGAAGCAACGATCTACAGCATCATTACAAGCCTCTAAATTACCTTTGTGACTACTTGGCAACATCTAATCAGTGCTTGAAAATGCAGGTTTGACGCCTACTACCCCCTAGTGATACTTCATTAGCCAACTATCTACTCAAGTAGTGTTCCCACGTCTCATTAACATCGGTTTGACTTGTTGACTATTAGCTCTCTCCTCTACAAACAGCCGCACAGATATGAAGACATGACCTGTCACTCAGGAGGAACTCTCCTTTAAGACTCCTGATTTAAAGGGTCTTCTTTCTTCCTTTCACAGACCAAACTGTTGACGCAGTACGTTCTCAACTTGGCCAAGTACGACCAGAACTATGACATACGTGACCGAGCTCGCTTCATTCGCCAGCTTATTGTTCCCACCGAGAAGAGCGGGGCTTTAAGCAAGTACGCAAAGAAACTGTTCCTCGCCCTCAAACCTGCACCCATCCTCGAGTCTCCATTTAAAGGTACAGTACAACCTGGACGTCATCTTTTTAGTTTTTCTTAAAATCTGTATAACAGGGTGATAGTCATCTGTAAGACTTTGGTGCTTCATGCTAATTTAGGGTGACCATACGTCCTCTTTTACCCGGATATGTCCTCTTTTTTGGGGGCTGTCCGGGTTTGTTCGGGGAAGTTTATAAAATCCTTCAAATGTCCGCAGTTTTGTATGTAATTTTTGATTTTGTGTCACGTGGACTTACTGAAAACTGAACTGAACAGAACAGAACTGAAAACAGTCAGTCTAGTGTTGTGTTAGTCTTCTCGCTTCCACCCGGGACACGTCTTTTTTCACCCAGGAAAGTCGCAAAATAGTCAGGCGTGTTAAAATTCGCCTCAGAATATTTCATAATTTCGCGTTGTATATTTGCGTCATTCCCGGTGTGTAAGGATCTTTAGAAGCACGTAAAAAACTCTCAAATTTAACTTTGTGTGACTTCTTGACTCCGCATAGTCGTGTCCTCTTTTTGGGAAGTCAGAATATGGTCATCCTATGCTAATTATCAGGCTACCAGCAGGCTGCTTTACCAAAATAAAGCCCATAGCTTACTGAATTATTCCATGAGTCGATTTTACTCCAACACTTGAAGCCCCCAAAATGACAGGAATTGTAGCTTAAAAAGGAAGATGTTAGAATTCGCCCTCTAGATTCCCTTTCTCCTGTCTTGTTGCAGATCGAGACCACTTCCAGTTGGGTTCATTGTCCCACCTGCTGAACGCCAAGGCCGGTGGCTACCAGGAGTTGCCTGACTGGCCTGAAGCCGCCCCAGACCCCTCCGTGCGCAACGTGGAGGTGAAGGAGTCTGTGCGTGCAGTGGGAACAGTAACATACAGAGACACAGGGGCCCTCTGGGGTCTCCCGGGGCCCCGAAAGGTGGAGGGGAGCGGCGTTTGCTCCTGCCCCAGTGCAGTGCCTCAGAGGGGCCGGACAGAGTCACCAAAGCTTCACATCCAATATAACATTAACTCCAATATAACATTGATTCCTCTTTTCATTGGCCATCCGTCATTGACATACAGCTCATTAGCATTAACAGCTCATCGCTAACATGCATCCTTTTTTGGCTCCCATCAGTTTTCAAATGGATGCTGCTTGTCAAAAACTCTTCCCCCCTGTAGAGGTGATGAGTTACAAATGGAAAAAAGAGGATTATAGTCTTTTTTAAAAAAACTTCTAGTCCACAGTGAAAACTTACAGTGAACTCCTCACCCTCTCTGCTGCACCTGCTGCTGTTGGCAGCAGCTGACTCGCCCCGTCCAGGTTTATCCTCTGAAGTGTTTGAGCCAATAGCACATGTCATACCAAAGAGAGCAGATCCGGGAGCTACAGCCCCAGATTTTGACGTATTTTCTATCAACAGTGTGCTTACAGTGAATTAACATCCAAAATTAGACCTTTATTTTGAAAGGATGTTTCCAATAGTTATTTTCTACTTTTTTTATATGAGTGATTTGCAAATTTCCAAGCAGACACTTCAGTAATACTCCGCTGAAGGATTGAATTTGACCTGAGTGTTTCAAGAGATCACAGTGCAGAGCAACATCCCAACCTCTCAGACCCTTCCCCATCCTCGCCATTACCTCCATGTGCCATCGGTTCATAACTAACAATGTGATCTGATTAAAGACACGAAATCAAAACTTGAGTCAGTCACTTTTGCGCTAAAATCAAGACCCCAATCACAAAATCACTTGATTTTCAATTCAAGGAGTGACCTCAAGACTTGGTTTTGTTGTCTTCTTTATTGATTATTGCTTCTTTAGTGTAGATTTATTTTTAGCTCACAGCTCAATGTCCCATACTTATTGTTAGCTTATTGTTTACCTGTGAAGCAGATTTCAGGATGAGGCCACAGGTGCATTGCAGTTTATACTCGAAACATGTATATTGAATTTTCGGGAGATGAGCACTCAAGAGACCATACCGGGAGATTCAGCTGGCTGGATAAGTCACATTAGTGTCGTCTGTTTTCCAGCCCTTTTCAGAGCATTTAATTAACGTGAAATTCGATTCCCAGCCTTCCAGCCTGATATTTGTTTTGTTTACAGAGAATGGATGCTTGCTTTAGAGAGCTGATCCATCACAGTGAACGATTTCATGCTTTAGCTGGAGTTTTGCTCCATGCGCACACAGACACGACGCGATTATGAGTTGATGCAGATGCGAGGATGCTGCATTCAAAGACCCTCTGACATTAACTTAATAACTATCCTATGATTCATGATACCAAACCTCAAATCCCCACAAGCCCCTCTCTTAATGGGGTTAGAGAGAATCAAATAACATCAGCTTGAGATGAAATTAAAAGGTCTTGCAAATATAAATTTACTGCAAGATGAACTTTTGAACTGACAAGATACTGTGTTTTGATTTTGGCTTTTAGTTTTCAAGCTGGAATTACATTTTATATCATTAATAACCGATAGGTCATGTAGAGAGTCAGGGTAACTGGATTTCTCAGTGAGAAATAGTCTGAATTTAAGATGAAGATGTATAGATTTATGTGAGTGCAGATTTACATCTACATTTAAGGGATTGATTCAGAAAGCAGTAGGGCTGGGCGACAATATTTTTTTTCATATCAGTCGATATCGAAATTTATCACGATTTTAAAATAAAATCACTTGTCAATCTTAAATATTCCTTGTTACGCTTATTGGTAACATTTCTTTTGCAATACAATAAGCTATTGCATCTGTTAGGTCTCTGTGTCTCTTCGACGTTTTGTCGTCAGGCGTTGTGCGAGAGAACGCAAACTGATTGATCAGTTCAGCCCAAACCTGGAGCAACTCCCCTTTTCATTGGCTATCCATATGGTCTACCGAAATATGGCAGAATGCCGGCTATCGAAAAGCATATTGACTATGTTTCATATCGATATCTAGGGAAATTAATTTTTGATATATATAATTATTGTTTTATCGCCCAGCCCTAGCAAGCAGCATGATTACGTCTCACACATTAGCTGCACTCCTCCATAAGGATCGTGGGATTACAGGCTGTTCTCAGATCAGTACAGGTTGCTATCAAATGTGTATACAACAGAAAAAAAACAAAAACAATGGAGGGCGTGGAAAGCTGTGAATCAGTCCAAAAACTTTGAATAATCTTTGAAATTCAGTCACAATAATGTTTAAGAGGAAGAATGAGCAGGATTCTTCGGTATGGTCCTTTACTGACGGTGGAGAGAAACCTGATGTGAGTCCGTTTACATCCTCTGATGTTGAGGCTGAAGCCGCTCAGAGGGTCACTGGATCCTCTGAAGCGCTGACCTCTCTGACAGGCTCTCACTCTGCACATTATGCGTCTCCACAGATAGAGGAGGTCATAACCACCGGCGAGGGGCGGATCGGCTTGCTAGGAGACTGGCGAGAGGTGCCCCCTCCTCCTCCTCCTCCTCCTCCTCCTGGGTTTGGGAGTGCGGTGGTGTTTGTTTTGATGATTACTCTCTCTTTCCTCTTAGTGTCCCGTTCTGGTTGTCATCCTGTTGAAACAGAAGATGATCAAAGTGACAAATTAAGATTAATGAGACTTCAATCTGAATCAGTGTGGATTTTTAGAGGATAAAGATGGCAGCTGTTTTGACTCAAGTGGAAAGAGATTATTCTTCGTCCTCTTTAAAGGAAAGAAATGAAGTCATAAAGTAAGACTGGAAGAAAAGCTCAATTAAATGCCAAATTACAGCAGTTCAGAGGATTAGAAGACTTAAGCTGGACTGTAAAGTCTTTCTCTTGAAAACAAAAGTCCATAATCTCTAAACAAGGTCTTTTTAGCTGCTTGTCCTGGAGCTTTTCTCTCAACTGTGTTTCATACGGGAACGTGATCTGTTGACTAGACTGTTCATCAACTTTCAGTTTGTGAAATACTTTTGTGAGGATTCAGTTCTGCAGTTTAGTTGTTGTTATCTTCTTTATCTGAAGACAGAAGTGATCATATCTGGTGAAGGAAATAGTAGACAAACCCTTATTTGTCACTTATTTTCCCTGAATGAGGAGCACCATGTTGTGTTGGAGAAGCAGCAATGTTGACAACAAATTCAACAGGGCAATGAGAGAGGAGAGGAGAGGAGAGTAAATGAGAGGAGAAGAGAGGAGAGGAGAGGAGAGGAGTCTTTATCCTATTTCTTTGTGAGACCGGTGAAGTCGCCCACTAGTAGCCTAAAAAAAACATGTTTTCAAGTGTTCTCAAACACAGTTTCATGTTTATTTTGTGAATTATGATCTCATTTAAAGGAAAACGGTTAATAATGCAGGGTGTACTCAGGGTATGAATTTGTTGGACTCCTATGGTGACCTTTCAACTTGGATAGATGTTGGAGCGTTTACCTTTTTGTCTAATATGATCACTTCTAGGAAAAACAAGATGGCAGAGACTAAAATGTTGAACTTGAGGCTTCAGAGTAAAAATTCACAAACTAAAGGTTGATTCCATGTTTAATGTACAGTTAAAAGTTTCAGCCATACACCTTATTCTTTAAGATCAAATTTAATTTCTTACGAGTTAAACTTAAGAGTTTATTTACTGTTCAGTTCTGGAGTGAAAACCCACCCCACTGTGAGGTGAGCCTGTATTTCCTGAGCTGAGCCAAAGACATGTTTGTGTACACATATATCGTTTCAGTTCATCCGGAGGTTTTTGTCTTAATCAGTGAGGAGTTTGAACATAAAAACGCTTATAAATACTCGGCTCAATTACCACTCTTTTCAGCCGATGGGAAGAAATTCACTTTTGACTGTGTGCTGCTGTTAGAGGCGGTGTTTGTAAATTAGGCGTTCATTCGCACAGACAGGGGGTCTATTTAGCTCTGAATAAATGCATAATGGCTCTTTTTAATCTACAAAACATACGCACTGATGCACAGAAACGCTGTTTGCTCATCAGCATTCAACCTTTTGTGAATCAGTCTTTTCGGCTCATTATTGCAGGTTTAGCAGGTGCAGAAGCCGAGCCATCAATTTGTGGATCAGGCCTTGAAAGAAGAGTTTCATTCTTATGTTAGGAAAAACTCAAATTCACAATCTCCTCTCAGGGTTTGTTAACTGGCTGATATTCTTTAAGTTTGAAGACAGACTTTAAACCTTCACACAGAGCAATCATTACTCCAGACATCGCCGAAAGCTCCAGCACAACCAGCTTATAATCCTTGAGATGATTCAGCGGCTGAGTTCGAAACGTTTTTCTTTTCCTGCACCTTTTTGGTCTCCCATGAAATTTGTGGCACAGCGAGTTCAAGTGTCACAAATGTTGTTGTTGTGCGATACTGAGTGATGTGACTTTTTTACTCCATGACTGCTTCTCCCCCTCTCTCACCTCTCACCTGATCCACCCTCATCCACCTCATTTTGATCCACATCCTGCTTTGTCACTGATGGAGACATTTATACGAAATGCATTGTTGTGAATTTTGTTGACGTTTAAGTTACGAGTGAACGTAAATTTTTGCTTTTTTATTTCTTGATTTAAGTATATATTCAAGAATATATTTAAGTTATATTGGAGTGTACTCTTTTAAAACACTTTACAAGCTATTTAGTTGCCTGATGTTATGGTTAAAAAAAAGCAAAGTGTACTATGATGATATTTGGGGTTTATTTTTGTCTCTGTGTTATCACAAACTGTTCTCACACGTCTTCTTTTTAGACCCAGAAACCTTCCTGTGCCTGTTTCTCTTGCTTTCCTGACGTTATTTCTAAAAATCTCCCCTTCTTTTTTCCTTTTCTCACCTCCATCCCAATCTTTTTCTTTTCTACATCTGCCAGGTTTTTACGCTGCTTGAAAGAGTCACAACATTAACGAGTGTGAGTCAGTTAGCGGCAAAGAGCCCAACTCCTTTAGCCTCAACACCCACATAACGGCAAAAACCCCCCTCCCGAGTGCTTTTTGACACCCCTGCCTAACGTAGTCGCTGTTCTGTGCTTAGCTCAGCCAAAGCTACCTGAAACACAGCACCCTCTTCCTCGGTCTCTCCCATTAAAGAAGTGATTCTTTTAGCAGGACGTGAGCTCCTCTGACACGTCGAGATGCATTAGCAGCCCCTGTGGGTTTTAAATGGGGTTGGAGATGTCCACACTCATTAGCTGATGGTTTTAGCTAATGAGCGTGGAGGAGCGAGACAGATGGCCTGCTTTTTTGAGAGTGTGAGAGGATGGTCACGGCTCCTCGAAGACATCACTTCTCTTAATGGAACTGCTCCCTGTATTCAAAGAAAGGCCATTTCTGCAACTGGTCATGAAGGCATCCCCTGGTGCTGACATTTATCTGTTTAAAAAAGAAAGGAAAGCTTCCTGCAAGCGTTACTGTCTGTACTGAATCTGTTGTCTGACCGTCAGATCTAAAAGCAGATCTGACCGCTGGCTTTATTTGGCTGCATCACGCCCAGGCAGAGGCATTCATGGCCATGCTACTGTAATCTGCCCACGTCTCTGCTGCTGTCTGAGGGTTTTTTTTTTCATCTGTGACTGAGGCGGAGCTGAAGGTTTACTGTTTGAACTCTGCTTCTCCTGTCAGGTGCCTGAATGGACCAAATGCAGCAGCCGGGAGAAGAGGAAGGAGAAGAAGGTGGAAAAGCCGTTTTACTCAGACTCAGAGGGCGAGTCAGGGCCGACCGAGTCAGCTGATAGTGGTAACTTTGGGGCTGCTGTCTGTGCTTTGTTGTACTTTTTGTCATAGTAGTGACGTGTATGTGGTTTCATTCATGATTATTGTTGGTGAAAGGTCAAAAAAAGTAATGTGTAAGTCCGTCTATCAACTTAAAACCCTTGGGGGAGTTTTTTGAATAGTGGTGAAGCAGATTTAAGATCACCAGCAAAAGGACTGACATCCTCTAAATTATGAATTTGAAGCCTGTAGCTGCTGCAGAAGGTTGGGTGTCAGGAGAGACATTCACAGCATGATGATGGTGATAAAAAATCTTTTAGTCTTGCCAGTGTAAATACTCACAGCAAAACATACATGTGATGGGATTTATTGTCCAAAACATCATGTACCCCAATACAACGACTTTTTTGAGTGTGTGTGTGAAAATACATCTGAAAAAGGCAGTTGTCACATAATCAGGGTTTGCATAATGGCTTTTTGAAAAAATGGCTACTTTAAAATTGAGTAAAAATGTCTCATCAGGGTTAAATTACCTGATGTGTCCAGATGAGTGTCATGAGGGAGGGGTAAACAAAGGAAAAGGACCCAAAAATGCAGACAAAAAAAAAGGATTTATTAAAAGAACTAAACAAAACTTACTTTAAAATGTCCAACCAAAAAAACCCAAAGGGAAAATCCAACAAAAGACACTGAGGAAAAAAAACACAAGGAAACCAGGGATTCAGAGGGGAAGATCGGGACTTTATACACACTGGGAAACGAGCAACAGGTGAGGCAGACGAGACACAGGTGAAACTCATGCATGATTAACAAAAGAGGGAAAACTAGGGAAATAAAACCAGACTAGAAACACAAGGAATCAACTACTACAAAAATAAAACACTGAGAACTGATCTAAAATTTTAAAACAATGACAAGGTGGAGAAATTCACGAGTTCAAGTGAAACAATTTAAACAAACAGAACATATCACGACAATGAGTGTCATTTTTTATGCCTTTGGTAGATTTTTTTACTCATTACAAAGACTTCAGGTCTTACTTTTGCTTTTAATATCGTGAAATAAGACTTCAGGTCTTACTTTTGCTTTTAATATCTTGAAATAAGACATTCATTTAAGCTTGTTCTGCAAATGTAGTTTATATAGTGTATAAATTCATGTTGTACTTTTGTGTCACAGAGTCTGCACTGATACCCTAAGAGTGGCTTTGGAAGTCTTAAACAAACGGTTTTGTGTTTTTTATATTCAGTCAACAATAAAAATATTTATTTATAGTTATAAATAGGAAGGGTAAAATAAAGTAAAAGCACTAATGTCATGAAATGTTTCAGCACAAATCTGATGTATTGAACAAAACACTCCTGACCTTTCCCTCTGCAGAGTCCGACTCCGCCAGCAGCTCAGAAAGTGGCAGCGGCAGCGAGGAGAGCGGGTCAGGATCAGAGAGCGAGGAAAGCGAGGAGGGCTCCGAGTCTGAGGAAGAGGAGGAGGAGGATGAGGATGAAAAGGACAAGAAGAAGAAAAAGAAGGAACTAAAGAAGCCTGCACGAGAGAGCGAAAGGTACGGCATGTTTGGGTTTGTTGTGTTGGATTATAATCTGGAACTGTTGATATGAAATACGTAACTCTAACCTTTTCCAGGCGTTTATATCTATCTTTACTGAATTTACAGTTTGGATGGTTAATCTCATCTCTTCTGATAACACCTGATTAATCATCTTCACTTTACTTTTCCCTCCAGTGAGCAGAGCAGTGAAGAAGAGAGGAAACAAACAAGGAAGATAAAACAACGCAAGAGCGACACAGAGTCTGAGTCTGAGGACGAGGCGGACAGTGAGTCTGAGAGCAGCCAGTCTGAGTCTGAAGACTCGGAGTCTGAGGTTGAAGTCAAAAAGAAAAAAAAGGTAACCGAAACATCTCAAGAATACAGAAAACGCCCTCTAATTTGTGATTTAGGTGAAAAACACGTGAAAATGAAATCTAAATCTGTGTTCTCGTCACCCACTTCTGGACCAAGCCTCTCTGGATTTCAGCTGCACATGGTGACATAAATTTCTGAACCTTTTTCATGTCGCTTTTCTTTCGTCTTCTCACAGGCAGCTGAAGCCAAACCTCCCTCGAAGCCTGTCAAGAAAGAAAGCAAGAAGGAGAAGAAAGAAATGTCTCTGCTCGACCTTGACGATTGTGAGTTTTTTGTTTTCATCTCTGCTTCCACAGAAAGTGCAAAAGTGACGATACATCCACAGTTTGGCAAAGTCAGTGGACAAGGACGTAATTTTGCTGCAGTTTGTTATTATCACTGAGAAAAACAGCATCCAGCTCTTCAGGCTATCAGAGGGAATGAAATCAAACTCTGTGAGAGATGATATACGCTTGAATCTTCCTGATACCTGTTATTTTCTCATCTTTTCTCCCCAGTTGAACCCGCACCATCTCCTCAAGTCACACCTGTCAACACCTTCCTCTCAAACAGCCTTGTGACCGACCTGGAAGGATTATCTTTGTCTGATGCTGTTCTCTCACCTGCAGTAAGTACATCATCCTCCTGCTTAGTATCTTCACATTTTCAGAGAGGTTACCCGGCTCAGACTGACTCACGGCGAGTCTGAAGGTTCGGTCTCTTGAAGTCAGTCGTTGCGTCATCAATCAAGAGCAGTCGTGACTTTCTGCAAGTGCTTCACATCAACCTTCGCCCCCCACCTGCTCTGTCTTCGCAAAATCAACTCTGTCTTCCTCTTTGACCTCCTGCTGTATGAACACCAGGTTTAAGGAGAAATTTGAACGTCTTCTTGTCTGTCTCCACTATGGGGCTGTGTCAGCTCAGGGAAAGTCCTGATTGGACTGTTTTCCAGAGCGAAGTTACCAAATTTATGTATGAGTGTATGTGTGACAGTCAAAACCTTGTTGAGAGAATCTTGTCTTGATTGAAAGGTTAGAATAATCAACCCCGAATCCAAAAGACTGGGGATGATGTGTAAAACCTGAACAAAATCAGATTTTGATGGTTTTTATATAAACATGTGGACATATTTAAGTGAAAATAGGTTAAAAATGCAGAAACTGAAAAGTTTTTTTAATTTTTCAAAAATAAATGCTCATTCTAAATTTGAAGCCAGCAAAAAGTTTTTAAAAGTTGGGACAGGGACGACAAAAACCTGAAAAATGTGTGTGATGCTAAAAAAACAGCAACACGTGTTTGTACCGCTTTATAAACTGGGTCATGCTTGGACATCGCTTGAGCTCCACAGCTCATCTGTTCCACAACCTTCCTCCACAAACAGAAACACAAAAGCTTTTTCATGTAGAACCCTGCTCCTCTGCGTAAAATTGCGAAAGGTTTGAGGATTTTATGACCTACTGAACAATAAAAGACTCAAAGAATCGGGTATAATCTCCACACAAAAGGGACAAGGTCAAAAACCTGACAGCACTGCATCAAAAACAGACTTCGCTCTGTAGTTGCATCTGCTAATGAAGGGTAGAGCTGAGCCGTGCAAGAAAAGAAGTTAAAGCCTGATCCTGAACTTCACAAATTCTTTTAGGATGGACTGAGGTGAAGGTCAACCAACCGACAGTGGTGTCTGTTCATGGTGGTGTATTTATCTGATCGTTCACATGCCTCAATTAAACCATAATTAATTTCTCGTTATGTTGTGGCATTTGAACTCAGTCTGAATCCTCCAGCTTTACCAAAGTTTCTCTACAGTCTGACAAATGAAGTTAAAACAAAAATGCGCTCCCTTCCTCTGAATGAAGACAGTCTCATGATCGTTAATTGGCTTCATTTCCTCCTCCACCCACAGACCATCGCTCCCTCCAGTGCGCTGAAGAGCTACGAGCTGCTGCACCGGATCACAGGGGAGGGTCTGTCGGTGGAGTACTGCTTCAGCCGGCAGCCGTTCAGCCCCGACGCGAACATGGTGGCGGTGCAGATGCAGTTCACCAACAGCGCCACCTCCGAGACCAAGAACCTGCACATAGAGGACGTGAAGCTCCAGTCTGGGATGAGGGTCAAAGAGTTCCCTGAGATTGGTGAGTGAAGTGGGTCACTCTTTGGTCTCATAATGAAAAGCTTTGAATATATATGATTGATTCTGTTATTCATTCTGCATGATTTACTTTCCTGTGTGTGATTTTAGCCAATACTCAGAGCCAGACTAGTCTAGACCCTCCAATAAACCACACAAATCCAACTACACAGTCTGCAGGACAGGACAGGACAGGACAGGTGTTTCATCTCAGATCAAAGCTGCCGAGGTCCCGACTGAAGCTTTATGACACAGTTTCATCACTGTCCTCTTTTTGTTCCTGCGTGTTGACAGAGCTGCTGCCAGCGGGCGAGACGGCCACAGCTGTGATGGGCATCGATTTTTGTGACTCGACGCAAGCGGCGAACTTCCAGCTGTGGTGAGCGCTGCGATCTTTCATCCAGGATCTGTGCTCCGTGTGTTTCTGGCACTCAGGAAACAAATTTTTAAAAAGCCTAGTTAGGGATTCAGAAATCCTCTTTCCTTTGAACAGCGGTAATCATTTCTGTTTTTCACGCCTTTTCATGATTTGTTTTTTAGCACACACACCAAGAAATTCTTCGTGACGATTCAGCCGCCTGTCGGGGAGCTGATGCGACCCGTCTTCCTCACAGAGAACGAGTTTAAAAAGGAACAAGGTGAGACTCTGCGGAAACACTTTAGTGCCGCTCTCCTGATCTGAATCACCCTTAGATCATATTATAGGTATCCAGTCTGCACCTGCGGCACCTTTCTAGATCAAAGCTGCTTTAATGTGAGGATTTTATAACTGAATATATCAAACAGGCCCACAGATGAAATGACAGCTGAAGAGGGAGCATCTTACATGTAAAGCCTGAGTTAAAAAAAACAACAAATCACTGTCATAAATTTCTCATCATCATCAGCATTTATTTGACATCTTTCTCCTCTGTGGTATCAGCTGAAAAAGCTTCAATAAATAAGCTCAGTCATACCATAAATACACCGTGAATTACAAACGTGTTTTTATGTCAAGAACACTTTTTTTAAGTTTCTTTTTGCATTAAATGGAACATTTTTCTACTTTTGCCATAATTTCCTCTTTTATCGTTGTCCATTCAAAGACATAACCTCTACACTTTACTGTATTGTCACAGTTTTGCACGATTTTGTTCTTTATTTTGATGCATTAATCTGTATGTTTGTATAGTAGGTTCTTCTTCAAACACCTGCATTTACACTATTTAAAGTAGGGCTTGTGTGTAATCATAGTGTGAATCTGCTTACAGGGTCTCGGTACCTTTTATTCTTTCCTCCATATTTTCTTTAATATACAGAAATTTAACTGCAGAATTAGAGTTTATTATAGTTTATTAAAATGTTATATCCATATTTAAAAGCACATCACCCACACGTACAGTAATGACATCCAATATATTGTTTAAAGCACATGTCTGATTTACTGTTATTCCTCATTATTTGACATACGCCAGAAAAGCACAGCTGACCTCATAAAACACAAGAGTTCTCAGATAATAGAACTTCAGACTAACTTACATTTGTGTTTAAAATCAGGTCATTTAACCACCTTTTCACTCAGGCACAAGACATGATAGACAGTCCCTGTGATATTTTTGTCATTTGTAAAGAGATCATGGAAAATATGAGACCTAAATGATACAACATAGAGTCAAACCAGTCAGTGTTTTCCACACATAGACTGTACATTATAACTGGATGGGCTGCCCAAGAATATTTCCAAGTACATTCGCAAACTATTCTTCAAGTTATTCTTTCATTTTACTTTTTTTTTAAAGCGATATATTTGGGCTTTTCTGTGCAGCAGAGGGTTGGGGATCAAACTAGCAACCACTGTTAGGAGGACTCCATACGTGAGGCCGAACTTTTGGTTTAGCAAAATGCTTCATTAGTACCAAGTCTGGTCCTCGTGCCGGTCTCCTGAGGTGATGTAGAGAGAAGCAAATCCTGTTATTTTCAGATAATCAGACACTTACTGTACAGGTGAGAGAAAACACAGGGTGGGACAGGCTGCTGTGAGTGCAGTGAAAAGAAAACTGTGGGTCTGAGTGTGAAAAACAAAACTGAAAGAAGTATGAACAAGTCAAATTTAGCTTTTGTACATACTTAACTGTGGGGCACTGTTATCGGTTAAAAGCTTACTTACTGTGGGATATTAGGAAAAGTAATCTTCAAGTGCGTGTTAAAAAACTCTAGATATACTTGTCTAGTGTGTGTTTGTGTGTGTGTGTTGCACCTCAAGTATTGATTTTCCACTTCTAAAGTTCTTTTTTAATGAAATGAAACCAAAAGCAGTTTGTCAGAGCAGCTACAGACAACAGTTTCCAGCATGTTTCTGTTGTTTTTGTCTTTCATTTCCCGAGCTGACTAACACTGAGACAGTTTTTGAGCTCCAACAAACCCATAGTGACTCTTTAAACATGTGTCATATCCACGGTTCCTCCCTCTTTGTACTGTCCCCCATAGAGACGCTTTTACAGAGTCTCGGTAAGTTGGCTTTGATAGATTTGTCTTTTCACTTTCCTTTTAGCCGGCCTCAGCCTCACACGGACTCCCTCACTCCCCTCACTCCCCTCCTTTAACACCTCGTACTATCCCAACCTTCCTCCCTGCCCTGCCTTGGTGATAAACACTGAACAGACTCACCTGTACTAACCTGCACCGTAAAGAGGCCGCTCACTCTTTGCTTCGCCAGGAATGACTGGAAATGCTCCTCCACTGATCCTGATTCACTCCCCGAGCACCGTGTGATTAAAAACTTCTCATACTGGACTCAAAAAATCATCTGATCACATTCATCATGTTTGCTCATGTTTTGATACCTGTTCCTCAAAACTGCTGATAACCACTGACCATATTAGGGATTTAATTTGCAACTGTGTTACACCACAGTTTTCCTTTTGTCTGATTTGAGGTCTTCGTTTAAACCTGGACAAATATTTTATGCACTTTGCAGGCCAAAAGACGCCTAAACTAGAAGAACAAGAGATTAAATGCCTGTATTGGTAACTGACTCAGTAAAAACAGCAAACAGAGCAGGAAAGGCGGAGTGTAACCTCAAGAGCAGAAAAAATTCCAAAGAAAGAAAGTTTTTAAAAAGTGCAGTTCCTCAAATGGCCACTTGAGGCTGCCTCCAAAGGTGAGCCAATCACCATAGAGATACATTTAAAGATGTCCGACTCTACAGCAGGAACAAACAGACTGGTATAGAAAATTCTACATTGTCTTAATTGATCAATTTTTCATGTATGATAACTGAGCAGAAATACACTATTAAAAAAATACTTATATTTAAATATATTTAAGCTCAGATTTATAAAGTTTACCATTGAAAGGGATATTCCGGGGTAAAATTAATTCAGGGTCAAACACATCGTAACACCGAGTTATACACCCCCTCTAGAAATGAATATTGCTGACCGCTTGCTTCTCTAGTTAAACCAACTTTAGTAACGACCATATGATAGCAATACACAGCGGTCTGAGGAGCCATAAACAAACCACAACCAAAACGCCACTATATAGTCACAAATAATGCTCAGGACAGCACCTAACTTCATCAACAGTACATATAGGGTCCCAGCCATAGTACTGGCCACCAAACATCTTTTTAACTTTGACTAATTTCTTTAGCAAAGAGACTAAACACAACTCACCTACTCTCTTCCAGCAGCCGCTTGTTTGTAGCAAGACCTCAGGCCAGTTCATTATGGGCTAAGGCAGGGTGACGCAGCTCAAGGAAGAACATTTATGACCATTACTTTATCATTTCCTTGAAGTAATAATCACCGTATTAATCATTTTGCACTGCAGACGCCTTAGCATCTTGGTCTGATCGCATTTCCATGTAATCCAACCTGTGGTCGTTACTAAAGTTGGTATAACTAGAGAAGCAAGCGGCCGGCAACATTCATCTCTTCATCTCATTCATACAATGTGTTTGACCCTAAATTAATTTTACGCTGGAATATCCCTTTAAGGTGTGACTTCTGGACTGAGATTAAATACTCTCAGTTGTTTCTTAGTTTTCAGACAGGCTTGTCTCCTTTTGACCTGCAAATCTCCCACAATCTGATAAAGTGCTAAATTCCTTGGAGCTCAATCATAACTTAAACTCAGAGCGTGGAGTCAGTCCTCTTCTGTGTTCAGTGGGAAGCACCAGTTCATTCCAGTTTAAGTTTCGGTTTTACTTTGTTAATATTTGTGTGTTACTTCAATCTCCATGACAACTGGAGGAGAGGCTTGTGCATAAACTTTCTTTGTTGTTAGACGTGTATACAGTATCTTCAGATGATACTGTATATGTCTGTAGCTGGTCTCCTGAAAAACAATAGATGATAAAACAGTTCTGCCCCTTCACTAATACTCTTCAAGCAGCACCCTTTTGTGTAATCTGTGTTACTAAAAACTGCTTTGCATTTTATGTTTCTTGTAAAGGGTAAATAATCACAGGTCCCCTTAAGAGCTTTCCAGTTTGACCAGCGCTCTGCTCGCCTTTCCTCAGGTCAGCTGATGGGTATGAATGAGATCACAGAAAAGCTAACACTGGACGAGAAATGCCGGAACGAGCACGCCATCGTCCAGAGGGTGACGACCGCCGCCAACCTCAGCAGAGTCCCCTGTGGTTCAGACAAAGAGTGCAGGTAAAGAAGCAACAAACTGCAGTTTTGGCTTCATTATGCCTCAATACTTTTACATTTAGACCGACGATATTGTCATATCACAGTCCAAGTGTGTCATTTCAGGAGGCCAGTCAGTGCAAGCCTCTCACTCACTAACACTCAGACACACAAATGCACACTGAGCTGGTCCACGTTTCCTTTAAATTGACACCTTTGTATCTCTCCTTTATTTCTGTGGCTTCGTCTTTACTTCCGATCTTTACTGCTTTGACCTCAGTCCTCCTCTTCCTCCTCCTAAACATCCTATCCACAGGTTCGCAGGCAGGACGGTGAACAGCAGCAGCTTAGTGTTGGTCACCGTGGCGACCAAAGAAGAGGGAGCCGCCCAGCTGACGGTCAACTGTGAGAAGATGGTGATCGGCACGATGCTGGTGAAGGACATCCTGCTGGCTCTGACGCAGTGACCTTTCGGCTCCACAGCCCCCTCCCTTCACCCTCAACACGCCTCCCACATACCGTCTGTCACAGCTGTAGCATCTCCTCCATCCTCCTCTGACCTGTGAGGGAAGTTTCCAGAATGTTTGAGTCCATGTTTTTGTATGAGAGCCCTCGACTTTTAGAGATTACTCTAATGTTCACTGAATGCCACAGCTGTAGGTTCTATTGACGACAATCAGATGTGACTGATATTGGACCTCATACGACGCTCTTCCCCCTTTAAATTTTTAAGTAGTGATCCAGACGTTAAACATATTTTTCCCACCTTGAATTGATTATTTGGAGCAAAACAGTTGAATGGATAAGACTTCAGATTTTTGCATCTTTTCTGAAGGCCCACGTGTTTTCTTTCATCTGCATCTCATGGCCTTCCTCAGCTTATAGAGGCAAAAAAGTTTATTCGTGCAACAATAATCTGCTTTGTAATTGACACAAGATACAAAAGAGCAACAAGATTAGATGTTCAACTGGAAAATAAAAATATATTTTAAGAAATTCAGGAAAAATGTTGTGTGGAAACAAACCCGATTGGAGAGCACTGATTTAATTTGATTCCTGGTGCAAAAGTAAATTTTAACAAACCTTTCTCTTGACTGTGTGCGCCTACGCTGCTGATGTTCTGCTGTTTCTGTAACACTCTGTAGTCGAATGTAAATAGGATTTGGAAAATTAAGCTTAGAATGAGTAGAGGCCATGGACAGCACGGATTTTCATGTGTGTATCTCAAGATCATATTTAATCAATTCTTCATTTCAAGAAACCGAGCTTCGCTATCTTGAGGTGATGATATAATAAACCTCTAATCAAAGGGAAACAGGCTCTGTTATCTCAGGGTAATAGCATTAAAATAATTACTCTAAGCATGTCCTTTCTCAGCTTCCGTACAAACCAGATCAAACAGGATATCCACAGCTACAGAGCAGCTCAAGATAGTCCCAAATTAAACAAAAGGGACCAAAACGCTGATAAGTTCTTTTCCCTCAGACATCTGGAAGGTTTTTACGTAGCAGCAGAACATCAGCCGGCTCTAACATGAAGCTAGAAACGGGTCAGGGTGTCTGATTACAGGAGAAAATTTGACGAGAACATTCACATCTGATGATTTCCTCCTCTGAACCAAACGAAGAGACCATGTTTTTAAGACTCTGTTGGCTGAGGAACTCCATGAGATGCAGTTTTTAAGACAAAAATTTTGAACTTTTCGTTAAAAATGTCAAAATAAGGTTTTACTCACAAAATCAAACAGTCCTGCTCCAACCCCAAAAGTCCAATCTGATTGGAAAAATAATTACACAGTACTTCCCTAAATCCATGTTGATACACAGGTCTGTCAACATTTAATTTCAGCGCATAAGTTAGTAGCTCTCATAATACTTTAAGATATAGATAGAATAAGCAATAGGTTATATATACTGTAGGCATCAAGCCCCTCCCCCATCACAACATACAAAACTTTACAAACAGTACCTGAATGTAGCATGAAGGCTCGACGGATACAACTACCTACAACTCAATCATTCCGTTTTGGCACAATGAAAACTGTCAATCAACAACAACAACGCAACAATCCTGGGAATAAGAAGAAAGATTTCTGATTTCACTATCAATCATTCAACAACAACAACAAAAGTGGGGCGTTTATAAAAAGTGAAGTTGTATAAATGTTATTGTATGTATTGCAAAGTGTGATACGGTACAGCTATAAGTACGGTGTGGTGTGTGAAAGTGTGTGTTTGAGTGTGTGTGTGTGTTAGTGTGGGCATGGTGACACTGCACATCAGCCTGGTTAGCATTTTCCATCAGTTCTGACGTGATATCATTGAAGCACATTACGACCATCATTAAAAATTAACAGAGAGTGACTTTTAACAGCAAAAAAGATCATCAGAAATAAACTGATAAACTTAAATTAAGTCATAAATTTATATCTTCCTGAATTTAAAGAAGTGATGAAACCGCAAGTATAACGTATAAGATGTGAGGAGCTGAAATATGAGCTTTCTCTTACAACATTCAGCTTTTCAATAACGCAGCAGCTGTGGATTATATTACTGAAATCTGATTTATTGTTTCACAAGATGAAAATCCACAATCTGTTTCCTAAAGAGCTTAAAATCATCTGTTAAAGGAAAAGTAATGAGTTTGTTTTCTCGCTGAGAGTGGACATCCACTCTGAGTGTTCATTAAATGGACACTGTGCCTCTGCGCTCCTCTCACAGGGAGATTTAAAGCCTCATGTCAGACTAATGCCACGCCTCTTTCCCCTGAATAAAACACTCAATATATATCAGATTAATAAGAACCAAATAACAAACCAAAACAGTTGATTTGACGCATAGTTTAAATTTCTAGTTTGACCCATGGTCCATCTGTAGTAATGGAGGAGGCAGGGTTTATGCCCAATACTGTTGCCAGTCAACAGGGGGAGCTCTACGTGTTTGGAGTCTGTTTTAACCATAGACTGTATATACTCTGGACAACTAGGTTCCGCCTCCCGCTTGTATACGGATTTGAAGCCAAAAAGCTCTCGGTATTTCCGCGATTTTTCTTCATTTCCTAAACCAGCTCTGCGCAATAGCATTGTGCGCATTTGGCGGGAGAGTCGCCGAGAGTCGCTGTGATGACGCTTGGCTCAAACAGCATATCACCTGGTTTGAGCTACGCAATCCCTGAACGCCAATAGGCTGTATCAGGTGTCAATCAAAGAAAACATGAACCCGCTAATAACCTTTAAAAATGGAGCCTCACAGAAAAAAGAGGACTTGAGCACAAACCAGTCTGACAGTAACTACATGTCAACATCACAAGCAAGGGGGAGAAACATTTATATTCTGTGTAATTAATTTCTAAAGTTTGTCCACAGCTCCATAAGCTTTGCTGGCGGAGGCGGGATTTATGACCTGTACTGCAGCCCGTCACCAGAGGGTGCTGTTCTCAGAGTGGCTTCACCCAGCAAGGAGGCAGACTCTGTCCATTCTATATACAGTCTATGGTTTTAACCAAGCAGCAATCTCAATGCCGATGCAGAAGTGCTAAAAACTGCAGTTCCCTGAGTGTCCACTTGGGGTTGGCAGCAGAAACACTGTAAACCACGCACACGCTAATAAAACAAAGCCAGTCCAGTTATGGTCCAGTCAACTGTTCAATCTACGAATTAAAGCTAACGTAGGGAGTTCAGCTTAGAACAAGCGGACATGGTTTTACGACACTGTCATTTTCTAGTTTTTGTGGGTGTTAAATAACAGTGTTTGGTTATTGTTTTGCTTTTCTAATCTAACTGGCTGCTGGCTATGGCGAGCTAGCGTCACATATACCCCACAGAAGCGTTAACGGCATCAATGTTTTTATTCAACTGTCAGCAAGAGAGCAAAGACGCATATTTCAGGGTAATTTCTGACTGTTTATTATCTCTGTAAATTGAAACTTATCAGTCGAAACACTCACCGTAAACATGCTCATCGCTTCTATAACCTGGTTAACTTCATCTCTTTTGGCTGGGACTAGTTTTTGAATACCAACAGACTGAGAGACTTAAAGAGTGCTGCTGATGATCATGTGGGACATTTTAAAGTTGAGAATTGCCTTCGTTTATTCCTCAGACCACACTGTGTTCATGCCTTTCTGTTATTGTTCATTTGAGGTCATGTGGCTTTTTTTATCTCGTGTTTGGCGGCTGCATGTTTGTGTTGATTTTCTGACTGAACAGCTGACCAAAGGAGTGTACTAAAGTCGAACTTTGTGTTGTAAAAACGAAGCTGCGGAATCGGTGGATTGTTTTATTTTGGCCTTTTTTTTACCTCTTCCTCTTGTTTACCTTTGAATCACTCCACCTGAAATCTCCCGACACAGCAGCACGTCATGAAGAAGAATGTAAAGTATGAAATACCACTTTTAATGTTCAAAAATGGGTAAATTGTTCTCCATTCACGTCTGGAAACTTGTTTTAACTGCATCTGCTTCCAAATATCAACAGTATGGTTTATCATACTCTGTGTGTGGTTGTGAATTGTGGTCCTGAAGTATTACAAGTTTATTTATTATACAAATAAAAAATACAGAAACATCACTGTCAGGCGTCTTTTATGAGAAACTGAACCACTGAGGACTGGGGTTATGTGGAGCTCAGCAGACTCAAAGTCTGATGATGGGAAGAGAAGTTCAGGTTCATGCTACTCTGTCTGAACCCTGAGGTTGAATCTGCAGAAGGAGAATTGAAAAAAAAAAAAAACTCATCTTCTTACATTTTCTTTGGTCCCCAATCCCTTTGTGTGTTTCTTGCTTCATTTTCTTCTCTTTTTTTGGCCTACAGAGATTTACACAAAGGAAGCGTGATCTGTTTCAACGGTCCCAAACGAACCCTTTAAGGGTGTAGTGGCTGCCATCTAGGGGGACGGTGTCGGCTTTTAAGGCCCTGTTTGTAGCGAGACCTCGGGCCAGTCCATTACAGACGACAGCGGGGTGACGTAGCTCAAGGAAGAACATTTATGATCATTTCTTCATGGAAATGCAATCAGACCGAAACACTAAGGCAGAAGAACTACCGCGTCTGCAGTGCAAAATGATCAATATGGTGATTATTACTTCATGGAAATGATAAAGTAATGATCATAAATGTTCTTCCTTGAGCTGTGTCACCCCGCTATAGTCCATAATGGACTGGTCTGAGGCCTTGCTACAAACAAGCAGCTGCTGGAAGAGAGTAGGTGAGTTGTGTTTAGTGTCTTTGCTAAAGAAATCAGGCAAAGCTAAAAAGATGTTTGGTGGCTAGTACTATGGCTAGGACCCTATATGTACTGTTGATGAAGTTAGGTGCTGTTCTGAACATTATTTGTGGCTATAGAGTGGCGTTTTGGTTGAGGTTTGTTTATGGCTCCTCAGACCGCTGTGTATTGCTATTGTGCGGTCGTGACTAAAGTTGGAATAACTAGAGAAGCAAGCGGTTGGCAACATTCATCTCTCAAGGAGGTGTCTAACCTGGTGTTATGTTGTGTTTGACCCTTAATTAATTTTAAACCAGAATATCCCTTTAAGGGGTCAAGATCATTGACAGGATTTTGGACCTGCCCACAGCGCCAAAACAAAAACACAGACACAGCCACGGTTTATAAAGGTAGAGTTTAATTTAAAAAAAGAGAAAAAAGCTTTTCATACTTTACACAGCAGCTACACTATTCACAAATCTCTTTTTAGTTGCATCAGCTTCACTTGCTCTCTGAGAATATGAGCCTCTCTATGAGCTTTTATAAAGATTTGTCCGTCATATCCAGTCGGTAATCAGTAAATATTCAACGACTGTGATCAAAAAGTCTTCGGTCTGGAATGGTGGACTGGTGCAAAACCAGTTAAAGGAGGAGAAAGGCAGCTTAGGCACAGAGCGGCTCAGTCTGGTCGTATAAATGATTGTTTTTCTTTAGCATAGATGTGCACATACTTTCCGTTTTATTAATCTGGCGCTTGTTTATAACTCTCAACATGCGGGCTAGTAAGTTTAATAATAAGGAGCTTTAATTATCGAGATTATGTTTCATAATGTCGACCCCAGGTTCAAGCTCTTTAAAGAAAGAGGTGGTCTGATTTCATTGTTCCTATATGACTGTTGCGGTTTGGACCGCTGATTAACAGAACACACTTAAAGCTTTTGGAAATGTTGTGACGACAAAAACAGTAAATCTGCTGATTGTGATAGAAAACACAAAATGGATCAATGTTGAAAACGATGTTGAAAAAAGATACAAAGAAAACCATAATGTAAACAAAATTTGAGGAATGATTTTGGTTTCCGAACTAAGGCGCACATCGGCCCCCTGATCTAATCACTGAATACACATCATTAGTCATGTTCGACTGCACTTTGACTCAGCCTGCTGAGGTGTTTCATCCCTACAAGCTCAACACGTAGAAAAGGTAGGATTAAGTAGTGCATTCTCTCTTCCCCTGACTCTCCTGGATAATAAGTTAAAGCTGGAAAAAGCCGACTGCCTTTAAAGAGGCGCCATCAAAAGGCACAAGGAGACGGCAGAAGGCACAGCTGGGAGTCATGAAGGCAGCAGTCTTCCAGTCTGCTTCCATGATCGCTCATAATTTATCCATCTTATTTAATCTGATTCAGAGTCTGGGTCATCAGGTGAGCTCGGTGTGTTTGGTTTGTGGAAGCAGCAGAGCCACAATTCCTCCGGCTAGCAGGACCCCAGACACCAGCAGGATCGGCACGGAGCAGTCCGTGTCCATCAGGTTTCCAAATATTACGTTCCCCATAATCGACGCCACCCTTCCCACGCCCGTGAAGAAGCCGAGAGCGGAGGAGCTGAAAGGAAAAACAGAAACACAAAGAGTCTCTTTAAGAAAAAAAAGCAGAAAATCCATAAAGCTTGTTGTTTGGACCCCGGTGAGTTTGAGGAAAAGGTACCGTAGCTGTGTCGGGTAGAGCTCGGTTCCCACCACGTCCAGGGCGTTCCAGGCGATCACCGACACGCCGCTGAAGACGCAGGACAGGATCAGACTCTGGTACTTAGTCCGCACTTCATAGATGAGGAAGACGCTCAGACTGGACACCAGCAGGCTGCAGGCTGGAGATGAAACAAAGACGGGGAGAGGTTCAGGATTTCAACGTGAACAGGCACCTCATGGTTTAAGCTTTAATCTGCATTTTACACACTAACCCAAACTTTTGTGGAATTGGAGTCACAGCTTCACTTTAAAAACGGACCTTAAACTTCTACAGATTGAATAAATATCTGGTTTGACTCACAGAGCAGAACTTTTCCTCCTATGCTGTCCATCATCAGGATGGTGAAGATGTTCCCCGGTAAGTTTGAGGCAGCGATGATGAAGCCCTCCATGTACACTGACAGGACAGAGACACACACACATATTAGGGTTACTGCTCTGCTGTTTACAAACTCAGCTGTCTTCAAATTGCACTGTAAGACTTATCAGGTGTTCAACTAATTTTTCATATCAAATCTGAACACCTTATATAAGTGTTTTTGAAAATGATTAAAAGATTACAGACCCCTTAAACAAAGATTGCACACAGGTCACAAAGCTCACAGTGATGTAATATTTAATGCTATTAGATATAGAAAATGCAACTGCAAACTGGAAGAAAACTTTGATCAAATTTAAGCTCTCTGTCCCGTCTCCGGGTTCGACTCAAAGCATACTTCTCGAATAATACTCAAACGCAAGAACGCTCATGGATTTGCAGAAGGGTGCAGTTTGCTTCTGTTTTTCATCTGATGATGAAGGTGAGCTGTCAGCGTCTTCATCTTTTGAACCTGCCCACATCCATCAATGTGCACAAAGGGTTAAAACCCAAAACTGATTAAACCTTTGATAAATATTATGATAGTTACGTCGAAGCTAACTTCAAATGTATGTGAACAGTCCAAAGGCTGCACAGTACTTTTGCAGATGTGGCCCCTTTATCCTCTTAAATCATAAATCTATTCATTAATATAAAGAGACTATAAAGATATTAGAGTGCATGAGGATTATTCAAGTGTTGTGGTTCAGGTCTAGCTCTCTGTTTGCAGACTGACAGAAAAAGACCATATTTTCTTTGTCCCCTCAGAAACACACCTGCTGTCTTCACCGGGTAGCAGGTTAGGTTAACCAGAGGTTGTGGTTTTGTTGCGTTTGCGCAGGGCGCACCGTCTGTCTCAAGCTTGGCAAAGAGTTCTGGGAACCACATCCACAGTCCGTAGTAGCTTTAAACACACACACATATACACACATATTAAAGGGGCATTACAGTAAAAGTTAAAACACGTTCAACTGTACGATGAAACCCTGTGATAATTCAGGCAAACGCATATCAAACAAGTTTAACACTTTTCATGGCAGTTTTTTTCCCAGTAATGTCACATGACCTCTGTTTGCTGCAGATAACTTTAACAGTTATCTCTCACTGCCACTCAAAGCGTGAACTTTTACCCTCTATAGCCTCTCCAACAGCAGTATCACTTCTGAAAGTAGAGCATGCATGTGTGATTTCTCACCCAAAGGAGATGCTGAAGAAAACGACGTAGAGAACAAGACTCCGGCCTCTGAGAGAACCCTGAAACATCAGTCTGATGGGCATCAAGGCCTGCGGGTCAAACCAAACATGTTAATCCTGCATGAGTTTAAAAATACTATAAATAAAAACATAATTATTCATTGTTGATAAAAGTTGAATTTATTACACTAGATGGGGCTCACAGTTCTTAGTGATAGGAGGTTTGAAAGTCTCTTATCTGTACACATCATCCATCTCTAAATTAGATATTTGTAATTGACTTTTTCACAAGACTGGATTTCAAAATAATTCAGTTTCTAAAAGGAAGAGGAAACAAATGAACTGAACCACAACTGTCATTACTCCATAGAGGTCCTGTTTCCTTTTTCTATCTAAACTACAATCAAAACAAACTTGTTTACTTTTTGGTTTCAGACTTATATGTTGCATAATCCTCAAATCGACCACAGAATTAATAAACTTCAGTAACAGATTAGATCATCTACCACGCAGAATCAACACTTCCTTTATTCTCATGTGTGTCTTTTCTGTATCTATGCTGACACACTGACTACCTTCAGTTTTTAGACCATTTCTAAAAGTTTCAAGACTTCCACTCGAGATTACATTAGGCACATACGTATTTTACTAACAAATAACATAAGTCTTAATCTTGGCTAATGGTAATATTACAGCATTGAGAAACTGTTCACACAGGATAAGAAGGGGGAGTGACAAGCTTAACACGGGCTCAGGAGCAAAGTCTTGATTTTGGCCCAATACTGGGTTAATCCAAACATGCTGATTTTGGCATGTTTGAGTGTTTCACTGAAGCCTTTAATCGCCTCAGATGGGAAATGATCAACATCAGGGCTGTCACTATATCAGGTTTTTGACCTCACAGTTATAGTGGCTTTAAAATATGAAGATAACTAATAAAACCTGGCTTTGTGAAGTGGGATCTACTCATAAGTCCCCCTCTTTGTCTGGATTCTAATCTGCATAACCACCAATTCACTATACATTCTTCCTTACATATAAATCTGAACTAGACAAGTGGCCGTTCACACATTTCTGCAGCTGTTCTCTGGCTCTGTTTCTCTATCCATCAGATTATGTGGTGTTACCTTTTTGAAAGCCCAGACCAGTCCTCCTTTGCCCAGAATCCTGCTCTCTTCCAGATCCTTCTTCGGGTTGACACACAAACCAAGAACCTTTAAAAGAGTTTCAGATGAGAGTTTTTTCCATTACAAGTACATGATTAGCCAAAAAAGGAACAAATCCAGAGCTAGGAGAACTTCAATGGACCACACATGAATTATTTTCCTATCCTAAACATTTATTCATGATGAACCTCTGATGTTTCTGATCAAATTCATACCATGAAATCCTTTTCTTTCCCCCGCATGTTCATCTGAAACATCTTTTTGAAGACACGGAGCGCCTCTTTCTCCCGGCCAGCCTGGCAGACACAGAGCACAAATCTCAGCGGCGGCTCAGAGTGAAATAGCTGGCTGTGAAACACTCAAAGCGGCGGTCCGGCCTATAATTACCTCCATGAGGAACTTTGGGCTCTCAGGCAGCAACAGCGCAAAAAAGAGGGCCGAGGTGAGGCTGGGGACGGAGCAGAGCACCACAAAAAGTCTCCAGCTCTGAAAGTTCCACGATCCCAACAGACCCGTCCAGTTTCTTGGAATCACCAACCAGGCCAGACCTGTGGAAACAAACATACAAATACTTCAACACATACAGTTTTCTCCTGCAATCCTGATGATAAACAGCAGACAGATAAGTTCCCCACCTGCAGCGATAATGTTTCCTGCCATCCAGAAGGTGGCGAGTGCGCTGATCATCGTGCCTCTTTTCAATCTGGGCATAAACTCCGAGAAGTAGGAGAAGATGACCGGTATTGAGCCGCCGACTCTGCAGAGAGAGAGAGAGAGAGAGAAAACAGATCTATCATGAAAATTCACTCTAAAGGAGTAATTCGTCAAATGTGATGCAATCTGAAAGAATAATCTGGACTTTTTGCTCAGAGTGAAACTTTTGATGTCATTTAACTCTTGAGATTTTTCTGCACACTTTCCCTCATGAAGGACCATGTCCGTGTTGTAGAGATAAAACCTCAAAACTAAAGTATGATCCCTTAATTCAGTGTTTGACCAGCTGCTGCTCATTAAGTACATTTTAAGAAGTGCAAAAGTCCTCTCCTCACCCAATGCCACTGATGAACCGCATCACCAGGAAGGTTGAGAACCATGGAGCCACGCTGGACAGACCTCCAAACAGCCCGTTCACTGTCAGGGACAGGATCAAAACCTGGCGGCGCCCCTTTTTATCAGCCAGGTACCCCCACATGTATCCGCCCAACATCATTCCTAGTAAACAGGAAGTAAAACCAACAAGACTCTAGTTTTTGCTTGAGGTACCTGCTGCGTTTCCTGAAAGTAAATCGCCGATCATGATGACTCATTTATCAAAAATGTGTTAATCACCGAGGAAAATGCTGGCGGTCAACAGGCCCATGTCTGAGGAGGTGAGCTGCATATCACAGCGCGCTGTGGGCAGCAGAAAAGACACACAGAGAATCTCCACGGCGTCGCTGGCGTTGGCCCAACCGCACACCACCAATAAAGCATAATGGAACACTCCAAAACCTGTGAGCGACAACACAGCAAAGAAACGATTAATGAAGACAAAAGGAAGCTTTCATAAATCAAGTAATGAGACAGATATAGAGTAACTTCATCATCATTGTGATAATCAGCAGAACACTACCTGCTTTGTCCACTGCTTGTTCATATGTTAATCTCACTTGCGTATCCACACTTCCATCTTGTTTGCTGTTTGTGCTCCTGTCAAAAATAATGACACCTGAAAGCAGAAAAAAACCCACACATAAACAGCTTGTATGTGACATAAATTCAAGATACGAGATTTTTACGATGCTGAGTCTTCTTTTATTCACGCATGTCGAGTCACAAACAGTGTTTTGATCAGAGTGAGTTACTTTGAGGTTGATCCATTAAAAGCTGTTGCACCACAACACTTCACACCAGGTCCTGCTCTCTGATGTAATCCTGTACCCTGATTAAGAGCTTCACAAAATCTTCAATAAACAGTTTTTCCTTATATTGCAACGTACTTTGTGCATATACCCTAGAAAATTTATAAAGTTGACTTGAGTTTTAGCATTTGTTTATTTGTTGTGCATGATCAAACTATGGTGACTGAAGGATTAGCCTGAAATTTACCAAAATTTAATATTTATGAACTGTATTATCTGTGAACAATACTACAGGAGTAAATGTGATTGTGTGCTGTTAAACATCATATTACAAATGGTATTTTATTGTTATCTGGTTCAGCAAGAACAAACACATACCACAAATTAAAAATTGCATTTTTAATTAATAATGTTGTGTTAGCAATGTGATAAAAGAGTGAAGTATCCACTTCTGCATGTACAGTAGAAGTATGAAGGAGACAAAGTGGAAGCAGGTCATGTCAACAAACCAAAATTATACTTCAATATTGATAACTGTAATTTGTGTGTTTTGTCACGTCTGATTAAAACCTGAAATGACAGGTGGAAAATGCAGTTCCTCTTTAGATAAACAGTGGATGGAGGTGAACAATAGTGTATTATCTCTAGAGATGTTCCTCATATTTGGTCCACAAGAGGAAAGAATAATAGTAGGGGAGACCAGTGCTTGTTGTCACATGGGTAAGATGTCACATTGCAATTATCTTTGAGGGCGCAACTAAAAAGTGGAATACTAGTTTTCTTTCTTTACATGGTCAGGGGTCGTGTCTGATAAGAGAAGAGAACATTGTGAGCTGAGATGAGCGCCAATTAACCATTTCGCACAATCGAAAGTAATTTTTTTTCAACTTTATATATTTTAAAACAAGCTTCTTCCAGATAAAAATCATAGCAGTGAAACATGTGGACGTGTTAGAGGAGAGATTAAGACATCCTGTTATACCTCAGTCATTGTTCTGTTTTAAACTAACTTAAAGCTAGAGATAAGATTAGCAAACATGGTAGTTTGGGGCAACATGTCTCAGTCATTTTGACATCTTACCCCATGTAGTGAGACAACTTAACCGATGGTGGGACAACATGTCACATGTTCACACTCTCTATTTGATTGTTTATAACTCTGCACTGACACATGATATGAAAATGACATGAATACGAAATATATACCTAAAACGTTGGTCTTTCATCTGGTACACATTTTGTGTATATATATGATGTATTGATTCAAAGAAATAAATAAGAGTGTAAAAAGTGTGACAACAAGCCCCGGTCTCCCCCGGGCCTTGAGTTTGACACCTGTGTTATAAACAATATAACAGTAAAAATATAAGGAGGAAGGTGAGTGGAAGAAAGTGAATGCAAACAGTATGGCAGTCCTGATGTGGACACAATAGTGCAAATATGTCAGCGGCTGGGTAAGTTGACCATAGGAGACCACTTTTTTTGGCATTCTATATTATCAAGACAGTTGTGTTTACACTCATTCTGTTGGTTTGCAGGGAGGAACAACATGAAGAAAAACTATGATTGCCTTGATGTAGTGATCCGCAATATGAAAAATAGCTCAACTTACCCCGCTCCTATGGTCAACTTACCCCATACACGGGGTAAGTTGACCATAGGAGACCACTGTTTTGGCATGCTATATTATCAAGACAGTTATGTTTACACTCATTCTGCTGGTTTTCAGGGATGCACAACACCTTGAAATGTATGCAGATACGCTAGTTAGAGACAAAACTATGATTGCCTTGATGTAGTGATCCAAAATATGAAAAACGGCTCATCTTACCCCACCCTCCCCTATTATTTCAGGTAAAAATCACCCGGCGATAGTGATGGTGTTAAACAGAAAACGGCTAATTTTGACTCATAAATATTGAGATAGGATGTCTACAGCTTTCTGTGTTTGTTGTTGTCAAATTAAACAGTTAATTAAAAAGTGTTTTACCTTCATCCGAGTCCACCTCCGACTCCTCGGGGTAACGGACGAGGAGAGGCTCCCTCGCCCCAGCGTCTCGAGACATCCCCCCTCCTAAAAAACAGTCCGCTTTGACTCACAGACTCTTACTGAAGCTTCAGGAAGACTCTCTGGTTCCAGGTTCCTGTCAGTGTCTCCTCCGCTGGATGTGTCTCATGACTGCCCAGCCTTCCTGCTAAGCTAACTACCGGTTGAAGCTAACCTGGAAAGAAGGAGGAGGACCAGGAAGTGAAGAGAAGCAGCGAACAGCAGCAGCGAACGGCGGCGGTTGGTTTGTTACACACGCCTCGAGCGTCTCCCCCCCTCCGGGTCAGTTAGCAGAGTCTTGTTTGTCCTCAATCCTGAGCGGAACCACCACCACTACATTCACAGTGAGCTGCACTGCTTTTCCTCGGTTAGCTGGGGTAGTGTGTCCGTTTGCGGGAAGCCGTTGACGTTTCCTCTAATAATAATAAATAAAAAAAAAAAAGAAAAAGATTTGAGGAAGATGGCGACCAGCTCCGAGCGCAGTCCTCCTCCGTTCCCGGACTCCGAGGACCAAGATGTGCTGGACACTGAAGAAGTGGGAGGCCGAGATAGTGATGAGGACGACGGGGAGGACCTCTTTATGAGCTCGGTATGTGTCGGGGGGGAGGTTTTGTTTTTACCTCAGAGGTATTAGAGGAAAGAAAGCTTAGCTAACGTCAGCCGAGAGAGAGCTAATGAGGCGCTTTGAGCCAAAACTTTGCAAAGGTAACATTTAGCTCCTTTAAACGACGAAAAAACAGTTAAATGTTGATTTTTACACAAGCTTTTCATCATCTAACACGTTAATATAGTTTTCCACTCGAGACATTTCCTGTAAATGTGAGAGTCTTCTTCTTCATGCTGTGAATCTTCTCTATCTAGCTCCAGTTTGTGTCTTTTTAAAGCTTGTAGTGATCTTTGACTTTGCTGCAAACGCCCATAGATGTATTGATTTCTTCCTGAAAAAGTTGCAGTGTGTGTAACTGTGTCGCTGGGATTGAACCAGGTCGATTTGGAAACTGGATGACACCAAATGCATCCAGTAGAGTTCCTATTTGGCATCTCTCTTCTGCTCAGGCCCGCATTTGCCCAAAACAGCAACAGACTAAACCACTGCTCATTGTTAAGGGTTATATCTCCATGACAGTCCTTAAAACCATGTTAATGTGTGTTTTTAAACTCACATTCACAGATTTGAATGAGCTGTAAAAATGCTGGCTCGAGCAGCCTCCTGTCATGTGAGTGAGCTGTGGTCACATGGTCAGAACCCGGATGTTTTCCTACAGTCAAAGTTCAGAGGAGAGATTGGAAAGTTGCTGTCTTTTGATTTTCTGCTGCTGGACTGAGCTGCTGCTGCTCCTGCTGCAAGGAAAGAAAGAAAAAAAACACCTTACTCAGCAGTTAGAGATGTTACACTTAACAGAGCCCTGAGCTGAAGTCATGTTTGAGCAGGCGGTGGTCATTGGGAGATGAGGAGTTGCCTTGTGCAATAAAAAAGCAGCTCAGTTTGGACTTTAGCTGCACAATAGTTTAACTTCTCATTCACATGTTTGTATTTAGGTTACCTTGATCTGCAGCTCTGCTCATCCATTTTATCTAAAGCCAAAGGTTGCAGCTATTTATCTGTAAACTTTGCACAACTATGACAAGCATTAAACGTTAAGTGTTAACATCATTTTGTCTTAGCCAGTTTGTCTGAATACAGCTAACTAACTTTGAAGCTCATCCCTTTGGCCCCTGATGCCCATATGATATATTTTTTAACCATAAAGGGGTATCCTGGTGTAAAATTAATTTAGGGTCAAACACATCATAACACCGAGTTAGAAACCCCCTCAAGAGATGAATGTTGCAGACCGCTTGCTTCTCAAGTTATACCAACTTGAGCAACAAACCTCAACCAAAAGGCCACTCTATAGCCAAATAATGCTCAGAGCAGCACCTAACTTCATCAACAGTACATATAGGGTCCCAGCCACAGTACTAGCCACCAAACATCTTTTTAACTTTGCCTAATTTCTTTAGCAAAGAGACTAAACACAACTCACCTACTCTCTTCTAGCAGCGGCTTGTTTGTAGCGAGACCTCGGGCCAGTCCATTACGGACTGCTGTGGGGTGACGCAGCTCAAGGAAGAACATTTATGATCATTACTTTATCATTTCCTTGAATTATAATCACCATGTTAATTATTTTGCACTGCAGACGCGGTAGTTCTCCTGCCTTAGGGTGTCGGTCTGATCGCATTTCCATGAAGAAATGAAAAAACAATATATTTTTTCCATATCAGTCGATATCGATATATATCACAATATAAAAAATGAAATTTAACAGTGCTTATTGGTAGCATGTCTTTTGCAATGCAATAAGCTACTGCATCTGTGAGGTCTTTGTCGTGAGGCGTTGCGCTAGAGAAACTGGACTGAATGGTCGGCTGTTTCGGCTGCACAGGCGCCGTGGGCTCCTTGCTCCACTCGGGGTTTGTAACCTTTTGGAATGGGCGTGCTCGGCCGCGTGGCACTGCCTTAGGTGGTGAAAAAGATTTGAGGTATTCCCTGACTTTGCGAGAATATGTACTTGATGTAATTTGCAGTGCACACTTGCGTTCGTCTACAGAGCCGCACCCCATGTTTTGTCTACGTCAGACTGTTTTGTTGACAAAAACCCTTAAAGTAAACAAATTACCCACAAGATTTCTTCATGTGATGGGATCATGTGTGCAGTGAGGCTCATCAATCATACTGGATAAGTACCAGAGCTCCAACTGCTGTAAAACTAACAGCAGGCACATTAAGTTTTATATCTCATCATATGTTGTACAGATTTAGTGAGTGTGAATCGAGATGGCAGGACAAAGTGTGGATCCAGAGATGGCCAATAAAACCTGTAACCTCCAACACAAAGACAGGCTGGTCTCCAAAGTGATGAATTCAATACTGTCTGTGTAATCTGTTTGGACTTTTGGCTCTCCGGAGGTTCTTTATCCTTCCTCTTCACAGTTTGTCACTGTGAAACAGCAATCTCACCTCTGTTAGTTTTGTGTACAGTTGTCTAGCCGATGTATGTTATCTAATCCCTTAAAGATTTTATTCTGCTTGTATAACTGTTAATCAGTCCACTTTTACATAATTGAAGCTAGTTATTCTGTCTGCTCACCTGTTATTCAAGCCGACTCTTACAACTCTTGAGCTTCATGATGCCAATAAATCCCCATACACAGACAATTTTACCTTAAAAACCTGTAATGGAGCAACAGGAAATCAGATTTTCACACCGTAAGAGTGTGGTGAAGCAAAAAAGGTCACTGTGTGAGTAAAATCCAGGCCTTTAAGATTACTTTTTTCAACTTTTTAAACCTATAACTTCACTTTTACTTTTGGTGTTTTTTCGTCCAATACTTCTAGTAACTCTTTTAAACATTTCTGAATGCTTTAATTTAAGACATCAGGCGCATAAGGACAGAATAAAATTCCTGTTACTCTGCTGCATTTCTCTTACTGTGACTTTTAATAAGGCCCCACATTTTCTCCCAGTGGCTATGTGTTATAGCAGATTATTTCAGACTGTAGAAAACAAAAATAGAAAATCAGGGTTATTCGTCAGCTCAGGGCAAACCCTCCAAACTTGATGTGTAAGCCACCTGTTGGAACACCACAGAAAAATTGCTTCAGGTCTGGTTTAAGGATTACATAAGTATGAAGGCAGGTTACACAGTCAAACAAAATCCTTTTTTAAAATCTCCTGAAAAAAAAAAACTGTACTAGAGAACCTTGATTAAAGTAAGATTTATTTCAAGACTTTTTCCTTCGAAAGCTGTGGTTTTACTTGATTACTGATTAGCAGTCATTTTCAGCATGACATTGCTTTTCTTCAGTAGCAGAATACATAATTTGTGATTTCAGCAGTCTTGTTCTGGTAGTGAAAGTTGGTTTTCAGTTTTGTGTCAAGATGAGGAAGAACGCTGTCACTCGAAATAGTCAAACAACAAACATGAGACCGCTCACTTGTAAATCCAGGTCAGCGTGGAAATAGGAAGCCACAGTCACCACACACATCACACTCAGTAAAACTCACTGAACAAACATTTTCAAAAAGTTTCTTTCGTTTTTTAAAAATTAATAATACAAAATACTTTGTTTTGTGGAAATCTTGTGTCTAATAAACAGTAACAAACAAATTTTATGAACAATTGATAGTGGAAAATAGTGGTTGACATATCTCTTGCAGACCATAAACATGATGGCCGTAAAGAAAAGGTATCGCAATGAGAAAAAGTTTAAACTTATTAATCCAACATATCCTGTTACACAACATTAAGAGGTATGCACTTCAGTGACCAATTCATTGGTTTGTTAATATACTAAGTATTACACAATTTACACAACAATGCCAGTTTGGATTGTCAAAATGTATGACCCTTTCTGTTTATTTTAACTCTTGATTTAATATTGTTTTAGTCAAGTAAAGACTAAAGTAGTGCAATGTGATCACAATTAAAAAAGCTGGTTTGGGGATTAAACATAAAAAAGGATACAATTAAAATTAAATTAGAGAGAGCAGTGTAAAAACAGTCACATAGTGCACCTACTGCATTTTATTGATATACACAACAAAATGTTATTAGTCAAACACAAAGCCTGTTATTACTTCTATCAGTTTCCTTTAATGGTTTGACAACACTATTTTTATTTGAGGGATCCTAAAAACTGTCTTTTGTTATATTCACCTCAATAAAGAACAGCTGTGGAGAACAATTTGTATGGTGATAAATATTGTATCGTGATATGCTTCATATTGGGACGTGTGTCATATCATGATATGTATTGTATCATATTGTGGCCTCTATATTGTGATATGTACAGTATTATGATATGCACTGTATCATGATAGGCACCATATCATGATACGTATCATATTGTGGCCTCTGTATTGTGATACGTGTTATATCGTGATATGCACTTTATTGTGGCTTCTATATTGTGATATGTACTGTATCATGACATGAATTGTATCATGATATGTATCATATTGTGGCCTCTGCATCATGATATGTATCATGTTTTGGTCTCTGCATAATGATTTGTATTGTAGCCTGAAGCTGTGGGAAATACCAAGTACCAGATGAACTGTAGGCAGAGCTTAACTTCATGGCCTGCCTGGAGTACGCAATGCTCAATATTTGCCCTTTTTTCATTTCTCATTATGACATTGTCTTTATAATTAATCTGACATTAGTTGAACCAGAGCCCTTTTTGATATTTTATGATTTTTTTTTTCCTCCTGTTTTTTCTAGAGCGACCCTCTACTAACAGAAATGGACCCTCCACTAAGTGATGTCAGCTCTCCACCGACCGAGATAGACCCCACACTGCCACCAACCAGTCAGGCCAGTGATGTTTTAATGGAGCCCTTCGACCTGAACGAGCCTCCCGTGGACATCATGAGCGAGCCTGTCAGTGACATCATGAACGAACCCGCCGTGGACATCATGAGCGAGCCCGCCGTGGACATCATGAGCGAGCCTTTGATTGAGCCCATCATAAGCCAAACAGAAAAAATAGAGAGTGAAGTGACCAGCGAACCTTCAGATGATTTTGTCGACCTCACAAACAACATCATCGACTCTCCCGATGACTCAGCCGCTGCTGAAAGTGCCGTTGCAGACGCAGCAAAAGACTCAACTGAAATCGCTCTAGACGAACCCTCAGAAGAATTTGTCGACATATTTGGAGGTGAAACTGAAGCACCGCAAGAGGAAGTTGTGGCGGCAGATATGGAAGCCGTAGAAACGGCCATGGTTGAAAGTGAGGCGACCACCGGTGTTACAGATCCACCCAGTGATGAAAACACAGGAAGTGATGCTGAACTGGAAGTAGAAGAAACTCCTGCTGCTCCAGTTATTGATTTAAGCGTTGATTTGCCAGCCACTGAGACACAGCCGGCACCCAGCAAAGACACATTCGTTGACCCGTTGGTCGACCTGCTCAGTGATACCCCACCCGCTGCTGCTGCTGCTGCTGCTGCTCCTGAAGCCAAAAAATCCACCCTCGCAACAATCGATCTGTTCGAAGATGAGGGGAGCGACTTGTTCTCAGAGCCGCTGCAGACTAAACCTGCTAAGCAGCCACAGAAAAGCCTCTTTGGTGAAGCTGATGAGGATCTGTTTGGGGAGCCGCTGGGTGCCACCACAAAGAAAACCGTTATTACAGAGCAGAAGGAGGTATCTGTCACAACCAAAGCTGCTGTGGAAACTAGCGTCATTGGGGGGCCTCTGCTGGACAGCAGTCCTGTGGAACCTGCCGATATTTTCACAGAGGAGGCCGTCACCACAGTGCCAAGCGTCACAGCCCCCAGCACGGTCAACTCCAAGACCAATGGAGTCCACTCTGAAGAGGAGCCAGATATTTTTGCAGGTAAGACCGCCAAGTTTACAGGATTTGAGGATTTCAGGGTCTGAAGGGCGTTTGTAACAAATGGCGTTTGTCACCCAAAGGACACTTAGCACTCACAAAGCATTTAAGCATTCCACGCTGTTTATCCTCTTATTCTAATTATATTGGACTTTTGAGATTTATTTCACTCAAAATCAACACGCGGCACAAGTGTCTGAACTTTGAGATGAAAGTGTGACGGTTCAATATTTGGTTTCAGCGAGAAAGCAAATAAAAAAAAAACCCTGAAGCAGATAGCATTGTTGTAAAACACCAGATCAGCACAGTAGAGTATATTAGCATGCTCTCAGTGCTTTAAGGACACATATTTGCCTTTTATAGGACAGCGGATGGTTAAAAGTGAACAGGAAATGAGGAGGAGACAGATGGTGGATGATACGGGACAAAGGTTAACAGACAGAGATATAAACTGGATTCACTTTAGTCCATTTGAATCAGCTTTTATTCTTCAAAAACACTTGTGAACTTCACTCTGCGAGAGACTCTCCTCAGTTGAATTCCTCTTCATTCAAACTTAACACCTAGTATTACCCACAATGCAACTGTTGAGCTGAAAGTGCGTTTGTAGAGTCAGGTTTGCCTTGGCTCTCGCAGCCTTCAGCAGAAGTGGAAGATGGAAAACTCTGCAACTTTTTGAGTTTTTCAAACCTGCACCCCTCAGCAACTTTGACTCACGTTGCATCATACAATGATGCAATCGATGGTATAAAAGCTGACTCTGCAGTGACTAAAGGCTTTACAGTGCACAAGCAGAGGACTCTTTCTTCACCGACTTGTAAAAAATCAAGACAAATAACCAAAGTCTGACATCTTGAAATGCTTGACTGGGAGCTGTTTGTGTCCGTACCCTGTGCTGACAGATCATCTGGACTGTGCACAGTGAATTAGGAACTTGTGACTTCTGTTTGCAAATGCCAGTCACAGAGTTAAACCAAATTTAGAGAGAAGTATGAAAGATAGTTGTGGGTCCACATGCATGAACTTGCTCATGTGCTGAGGTAAGACGCTTCAGTTTGATTCACACAGAGACATTTTGCTCTCTTTCGTTTGCTGTTCTCTGAAAAAACCACACATGTGCACAAAAGGAGGAAGAAGAATAAACTATATTAAACAGGCCTAATATAGTCTGAATCACACCTGCGAGACACGTTATGCAATCCTGCACACAATCAACACAGACTTCTCTGCAGTGTGCACAAGTCCAGAACTGACACTGAGAGACCCTACAGTTCAGAGGGTGGGGCGAGTGAGTCTGTCATTGGGATGTCTGCTTTGAAATCCCCCTCCTGCCCATGTGTCAGTGAGAAAGACACCAAATCCCATGGTGCACTTAATGAAAAATGTGTGCAATGAAATCAGTAACATGACAAAGAAGTCTGAAAATCACCTGTGGTTGTTCACTCTGTTTTATTTCATTCAACTCTTAGCATAGAGAGCCCGTTCATTTCTATTTCCAACCACAGTAGCTGCAGATGTAAACACACAGGGCCAGGGAGGACAGTCTCTTCAAATGTCGGTGTAATAACATCTGAGAGCTTCTCTTTTCTCTTCCTCTCTTAACAGAAGCCACAGTGGAGCTTTCCCTCGACAGCCCGCGAGACGAGAGAAAGACGGATGTGACAGCCAAACCGTCTGTGTCCGCCCCCTCCTCCCTGTCAGCTGCTGCCAGCATGGCCAAGCCTCAGTCTGCTGCCCTGGAGGAGGTACACACACATCATATACCAGAGTGAAATTCCCACTATGACTGCAACAGAGCAACAACTGTGAAATGTTTTGATTCAGGGCTTTGCTGTTGTGTTTTTCTGTCCTGAGTTTGAAGTCTTAGAGTTTTGAGTGATTATTATCCAGGAGGGGAACAAATCAAGACCTCAGGGTTCGGTTTGATTCAGGGGTTGAAGATCATAGTACTGATCACTAAGGCTGTCCTGATACGAAAATGATGTCGGATTTCGGTCCGATATCAGCAAAAAAACTAATATTGGATTATATTGACCTGCATCTAAAATCTCCGATATCAGCACTCTGTTACAAGGAGTCCATTCCAGACTCCACTCCAGCACCTCTATCTAGCAGCGCCCTGATCCAGCATGCAGAGCCCATGTGATCACAACAACAGTGTGTACTAAGATACAAAGTACCAAGGAGTAGGAGTGATGTCGGCTGTGTGGTAGTACTTCTCATTTAAGTCGAGAAAGACATTACAGCTGAGTGCAAAACCTGTCATGCACAAGTTTGGGCTAATATTGGATCAATATCGGTATTGGTGATACTGAAGGCTACAATACTGGTATAGTATCGGAGGTAAAAAAGTTGTATCGGGACACCCCTACTGATCACAAAGGCTCACTCATAATACAGGACTTGGAAGAGGTTTTTAAACGTTGTTTTCACGTTAAATTATTCATAATGAAAATGCTGACTCACTCGACTCAAATCAGGAATCGACTCTCCTCTCTACCTCTTTACTTTATCCCTTCATCCATAAAGGCGTGTTGAGGCAACTTTGTATGCAGACTGTGCCGCATTATTTGGCTCGTGCTGTGGTTTTTCTTCCATCTCCCCTTTGCTCACACTTTGGGAGCATGCAGGAATGGGCTGACACAGACAAACAAACAGGCATCTCTCTTAGACTCGTATTGATTTAAAGCTGAGTCGAGTTGTTGCAACTTTATATAACTTCTCGTACACCTGTCTGACTTGTGTATTGGTAGTTTGCACTCGCTTTTTCACGCTAATGTAGCATCTCATCGGAGCGAACATGACATAATTACATACTCTGTTCAAACTGGAGGTGTGTGGCTGCGCCAGGACTATCATACTGACTTCCACTTTGTTTGTTTCAGTTGCAAGAAGAGGAAGAGGAGGAGCATGACAAATTTGACATATTTGTCTCTGTGAAAGACCCCGAGAAAATAGGTGAGACTAATGACAGTTAAAAGGAAGCGACGTCTCCTCTGAGGCGCTGAAGCTCGTGAAAATAATAAATGTCAATCAGCCGTAAAAGAGACACACAGAGTGCTGCATCTCGCTGAATGTTTCCTTTTTTTTCCAGGGGATGGGATGACTGCCTACATGGCCTACAAAGTGGCCACAGAGGTAAAACCAACATCCCTTTATTTTTTTATTTAAATTGATCTGAAATCGTTCATTTCCTGTTTGAAGGTCAGTGCAGATACTCATTAGGTACAGACGATAACAGCAGACCCAAAGAAGAAGAAATACAGAGCTGAGTTTTCTGGAAGACACGCCTACCAGCTGCTCAAATTCGATCACAGTTTGCCAAACTAACATCTGCTGGTTCCGTGAAATCCAATCATGAAACCCTAACAGGATTGTGTGAATTTGTGTCTCAGACCACACTGCCCATGTTCCGCAATAAGAACCTCACAGTGAGGAGACGTTTCAGCGACTTCCTCGGCCTTTACGAGAAGCTCTCAGAAAAACATGGACCAAACGGATACATCGTGCCTCCTCCGCCAGAGAAGAGCATCCTGGGTAAGTCTGATGAGCTTCACTGTTCACCGCAAATACCGCAGCTTTTAGTCTCCATCAGCTATAAGAAGGGATGCTGTCTTGTGCAGGTATGACAAAGGTGAAGGTGGGGAAGGAAGATTCCTCGTCTGCTGACTTTGTGGAGAGAAGAAGAGGCGCCTTGGAGAGGTAAGAGAAAACAAAACGTTAGCATTGAGATGAAGTTGTCGTTGTTGTTTTCTTCTGCTTCATCTGGGTCCGGGTCGTGGGAGCAGCAGCAACCTCAGCTGACTCCTCTCAATGTGGAGGAGCAGCAGTTCTACTCTGAGCGCCTCCCGATGAGATGAAGTTACAAAAACAATTATTTTAGTAAAAATAAACCTTTAAAACATCAAACTTCCAACACTTCTTATTGTCTGTTTAACAGGTATCTCCAGAGGGTGGTAAATCACCCGTCACTTATCCAAGATCCTGACGTCAGAGAGTTTCTGGAGAGAGAAGATGTAAGCCTCACATCCTCACTACGACACATCTGCTGATTGAATCATCTACATTTCATTGAGACATCTGTTGTCCGATTGAGGAGCCGGTGTCAGTTTCCCTCTGCCCACCTGGAGTTTTACCGTCTTTGTTTGTTTGTGGTTGTTTTCTTTTTAGTTGCCGAGAGCTGTGAGCACCCAGGCTCTGAGCGGCGCCGGCTTCCTGAAAATGCTCAACAAAGCAACAGATGCTGTCAGTAAAATGACCATCAAGATGAATGAGTCAGATGTGGTGAGTTCACTCCTGCTGTTTACAACAGTTCGAATTACCAGGAAGCTCTGATGCATGAAAATGAGTAAATGACCGACAATCTGTGAGTCAATCAGGGAGAAATCTTCATCCTGGAGGTCAGAACTCTGATTTCTATGAAAGAAAAGTTGAAAACTTTAGACCAACTGGATGGTAGGAATTGAAATTTCTGCTTACATGACTGGGAAACTGGTCTCAGCCCATAATGTCAACAACACACAAGGTTGACATCAAACACTGAGGGTGGGGTGATCATGGTTGGTGTTTGTTCGCCTCATCATTAAATATTAAACTAAAATTAAATAAAAGCAGATACACTCCAGTAGAAAGTTAGTTTTGATACACCGCACCATCAGCGAATGATCTAGTGTGCGTGAGACTCTCCTGATGTTGACTGTCTCCCTCACTGCTGAAGAAGAAAGTCAACAATGTGGGGAAATGAGAGACAGACAGTGGGAGGATAAAGTGGAGTGTGTGCAGGTATGTGGGGGATGAAGAGAGTGAAGTAAAAACTGATGAGAGTGATGCAGATTTTCAGCTGTGAAAGTGTTCAAACAGAGGCATCAACTTCCCTCCTGACTTTGCTTAAAGAAACCAAGAAAACATGCTTCACAGGGTTCCTACGCAAGAATGGAAAGTATGGAAAAATATGGAAATAAATGTTATAAATTTCCAGGCCTTAAAAAGTATGGAAAAATATTGATGTTTCCAGACTATTACCACAGTTCTAAAATACTCTTTTCTAAAATTGAAAAGTAGGAAAAGTAGGAAATTCCACCTGTGTGGGAACCCTGTCTTCAGCGTTCACCTTTACTTCCATGTGAACAAGAGTCAGCGATCCTCTAAGAAGTCTTTTTCGGCGGTCTTGGTTTGTGAGCTTTGAGACTAATTTCACACCTGGTCTGAGTTCAAAGTGCCACAAACAAGCAAACAATAAGCTTAGCTTATTATCTTCAAATCAGTGTTTATTCCCGCAGATTAAAGGCCAAAGATCTTAAGTGGTTTTCCCGGCTTAAACGCTCTTTGGTAGGCCCTGTTTACACCTGCTGTTGATGTGCAGGGAGCATTCAGGTCACCAGGGGACAGTCACAAGTGGGCACGTGATCAAACCCAGACACCTGATGACTTGGACCACACTTAGAGGTGACCTGGTGTGCACTTGAAGTGTGTGGGAGTGTTTTTATCCAGGACTACAAAGTCTCTGTGGCCATAAAAAGACCAGAAACAGATCTGGGAGTCTTTGTCTGCCACCTCTGCGTGAAATATTTCGCTGTGGTTATTATTTCCAGTCATTTCCAATTGTGCAAATCAACTGTACACATTCAAGCAGGGTCTGCACATATAAACAGACCACAGGCAGAGACTAGGCAGCAGCACAGAAGGTCCAGGATCACAGAAATTCAAAATAAAAATAATATCTTCATCAAATTCTTGACATGATGGGTTTAAAAGAAGGAGACTTGAAGACTTGATTCTGTGTTTTTGTGCTGCAGTGGTTCGAGGAGAAGCTGCAGGAGGTGGAGTCTGCAGACCAACACTTCAGAAAGCTCCATGCTCTGGTGGAGTCTCTGGTCCTCCACAGAAAAGGTCAGTCATCTGTAGAACTCAGAGAAAAGGTTCTTGGCTGAATGTTAATGGAGCGGGGATCAGAATCTTAGGAAAGCAGTGTTACCAAAGCTGAGTCTGTGCTCTACCTTTGTTAAAAAACTAAGTCCTGGATCTCTTACCCAGCATGCAGATGAATTAAACCAACTCTCTCTAAAGCCTAAATGGATTAGAAGTCGCACTGATTATTTCTCCGGCCCTTCTCCCCCAGAGCTTTCGTTAAACACTGCCAGCTTTGCAAAAAGCGCGGCCATGCTGGGCAGCGCGGAGGACAACACGGCTCTGTCCCGGGCTCTCTCTCAGCTGTCTGAGGTGGAGGACAAGATCGAGCAGCTGCATCAGGACCAGGCGGCCAACGACACCTTCAACTTTGCAGAAGTCATCGCGGATTACCTCCGTCTGCTGGGAGCCGTGAGGGTACGGAGAGAAATCAGTTTGGCTTATTCTGCATTAGAAATTTAAACTGAGGAGGACTGAGGCTGCAAATAACCGTGCATTTCTCTACAACAAGCAAAACGTCACATCTGTGTGATGCAGTTTCTTTATCGGTTTCTTGGCTTAAGCAAATATCCAAATGTAAACAAGATGAAATCCTGACCTGCAGGGGTCGTTTGATCACCGGATGAAGGCGTGGCAGCGCTGGCAGGATGCTCAGGCGGCGCTGCAGAAGAAGAGGGAGACCGAGGCCAAACTGCTGTGGGCCAACAAGCCGGACAAGCTGCAGCTGGCCAAAGAGGAGATCGCTGAGGTACGACACGGGCCAAAAGCAACAGAGTGAAAATAAGCCAGAACAAGGGGAGGGCGCTGGGGTTTGGCCTGTTTTCTTACAAGATTGAGAAGGTTGAATTAAACACTTGAAGAGCCGGCACAGTTTTATTAATGCAAGACTTTTAACTTCTGTTTTTGTTGACAGTGGGAGGCCAAAGTGACGCAGTACGAGAGAGATTTCGAACGAGTTTCTGCAACTGTTCGCAAGGAAGTCGTCCGTTTTGAGGTACCGGTGTTTATCCTTTTTGTCGTTATGATACATGAGAGCTGAAAATAAGAGTTTGTTTAACTCTGAGTTTGTTTTGATTTGATCCTAACAGAAAGAAAAGGCCAAGAATTTCAAACAACAAGTCATCAAGTACTTGGAGGCTCTGCTTCAGTCTCAGCAACAGGTGAGTGTCTCTGCAGTCGAACAGGAATTTTCTGATATTTCACATCCATGGCATCGTCATTGTTCTGACTGTTTCATACACTTGCGTGAATGCTGCAGTTTCTCAGGTTAGACTGAAAATATCTATCTGAAAGGGACAAAAAAGAAAAACAGACAAGGCCACAGATGTGTTTTTATAAAATATTTAAGGAAACCAGATTATAAATTGGAGTATTTGAGTAAAAGAATCAAAATGACACAAAAAGTGAGGATTAGTTCTTTGGTTTGTTGATCTTAAAGTTAAATACATAATCTTCAGTTGTTGAAGATGTACAGCGAAGGCAGTCTCATCATTTTTTATACACAAGGAGAATCTACTAGATTTATTTTTCTTGATAAAACTATCCTGTAGTTCTCTGTCAGTGAAGTACGAGAGCCCTGAAGGTCTCAGCATTCATACTTTGAAAAATAAACTTTCAGTGAACACAAAGAAAAGGATTCTCATGTGTTATTAAAGGCTGAAGTAGTCACAAAAATGACAAAAATTTCACACAAATAAAATAGATTTTATTTTAACAGCTAAAACATCATGTTGCCGAAAAAAAATCACAGAATTATTTCACACAAAATAACTTTAAAAAACATGAAAAGCATAAAATATTTCTAATGTACTAATGGAAATTTTTAATATTTTGTCGAATTTTTTTGACAATTTCATAGAATATTTTTAAGTTCTGTAAAACCTTTGTTATAAAATTGTTATTTTGCTTTTAGAATTTTTTTATTTTATTTTCAGAATTTTTATTTATTTATTTTTTTAACATTTTGTAAATATTTTTGGTGTTTGATGGGGAAAAAAAACATTTAATATGAACCCACCTCTTATCATAAGCTCATTTGCAAAGCCTTATCAATGCATCTAGATGATAGTATAGCAACCCTTATGAGTAAGCATTTATACCAGTTTATTGCAACATTAATGAAGTGTAATAAGGAGTGAGAATAATTCTTAATTAATTATTTACTCTACATGTGATTGAATATTTGATTGTTTTGTCTTTTCTGCTTAGGAAAAGTTTGTGCAGCTGACCTTCAGGGCCTGTACTGAATCAGAGCCACAGATTGAAATCAGACTTTAGTTCACTGCCAAAAACATGCAAAGAATCTGTCTTCATTCAAAAACAACAAACACAGAAATCAAATAGAACAATAGAGAGCTTATAAATGCAGAAACTGCTGCTGTGGAAGAGCAGAACTAGAGTCAGAGGAAATAAATGAGAAAGGATAAAAGACGAAACTCTCGAGACGTAATCTTTGCTTCTCGTCCGTCCATGATGAGTCACCCTTACGCTGTTGTCTCTTTTCTTTTGCAGCTGATCAAATACTGGGAGGCTTTCTTACCAGAAGCAAAAGCAATCGCCTAATCTCGGAGCACCAGCCTTTAGGACGCTGAACAGGCTGCCTTTTTCTTATACACTTTACCTCTTGCCTTTAAACCAAGGAGAATGCATATTGTAAAGGGAGATACAATCAGCCAGTTTTTTAATCACCTTTAACATATAGCTCTGTATTCTATTGTATTAATAATTGTATATTTTCATTTAACCTTTCACAAATATTTTCTTATTAGATGAAAAAAAAAAAAAAGAGTTTGCGTATACAAAGATATGGACGCGCGATAAAGAGAAAAGCATAGAGAGGAATTATTCTGTTGTTTTCCACCAGAGAAGGGAAATTAAAGCGAGTCGGTTGATCTCAGGATTTTCTCCCTCGTGTGATCAGGATCTCCTTTTACATCAGCAGTGGTTCATTGTTTACAGCGGCTGCGCTCTCATCAAATCTTTCCGGGGACCCAGATGTAGAAAGCAGTCAGAAGTCGTCTCACTCTGTTTATTTTTTTTAATGACTCAAAGGGATAAAAGAAAAAAGAATGAAAACGAATAATGAGCACTTCCACCAGGTGGATAAAGTACTTAATTACCAGCCATGTTTCTTTATTTTCTTTCACTTTAAAAAAATCATGTCGATGCTGAGGAGGAGGGGGAGGGGCTGCGGGGTTTTGAGAGGCATTAGATCAGCAGGGGTCAAAGGTCGCATCGTAGGTCAAGCTCATGAGTTAAATGTTTTAGATGATGACTTCAATCTTTGTGCAAACTCTAACTACACATGTCTGTGCCTTTTCAGTCAGAGCGGTGAATTTGGATAGAGCTCGGTTTGGGAGGAAGTCATGCACAGTGTGCTGAGCAGTGCAGCGGCCTGAACTGTTACTTCCACTACAGCCATAATATAGAATAATAATGATTGTCGAAGCTGAGATTGTAGAGAATAACGCTGGTTTTTTCACGTTTGAGCCCATTTACTACAAACCATCTTTGCTGTCATCTTCATTTCTCGCTTTTTGTGTCTTTACCTGCAGAGATTTGAGACGTTACTGTAAACGGCATGTCTGTCAAAGTTGCACCGTTACTTTAAGGGGAAGCATCTAGATTAAAGCTGCTATAGGGAACTTTTGTCCATGGCAAGTTTGGCGCCCCCTGTGAACAAAGATGAACACATTCACGCCTTACCTGTACAAACTTAAAGCTCCTGAAGATGATAAATGAAATAGACTGAAATTCATATTGATGTTTTTTCATGGTACACAAAGGTAAACAAGACCATCAGTGACAAGACTGGAGAATTTTGTCTGGTCATTTTGAATGCCTGAAACTTGCATGAGGGTTTGGGTGTCAGTCGAGCACTTAAAGAAAGAGACATGTTCACAATAAGTGATCGATTTCACCATAAAAAATTAGAGATTTTTAGTCAAAGTCAATAATCAGGATTTTTGAGGTAAAAACTGATTTGTCCACAGGGGGCGCCAAAATGGACACAAACTGAAAAATCCTCACAGGAGCTTTAAGTTGTCATTCACAACAAAAAGAATCTCATTTGGCGCTCTGATTGAGGTCAAACAGTTTCAGTAAAAGGCTGTTTATGCAGCGTGCTCTCAGTTACCTGGGTTGACACCTACCTACAACGCTGAACTTGTTGACCTTGTTATTTATGGTCTTGTTCGCTTTCAAGTTTTAAACTTCTCAGAGGTGTCTCAAGGGCGCTGCCATGTCAAATTAATCACAAAATAATGAGTCAAGTACGCGGTTTTTCAGAGTCTGATACTGACAGTTATATCGGGCCTTGAGGTCACGTTTGAGACCAATTACAGCATTATGGAGCTTTTTTTACATTACATTTTTTTGTTAGTTTCTCATGTTGAATATTTTGAATTCTCTATAAAACAGGAACATAAGCTGTAGATTTAATATTCTTCCAACTAAAATTAGTCTGCAGATGTTGTCAGAGGAAGGGAATGTATAGAACACGCTTGTTTAACCTGTAAAATTCACAAACTGTACCAAGATAATGGATGTAAACTGAGCTGTATTAACAAAATAAAAAAAGGACCTTTATTTTGAAGGATGAAAATAGCTCACCCTAGTGTATGACTCGGTAGAATCAAGGAGTATGAGGCTGTTTTTTTTTCATTAAAAAGGATAAATAATCATAAATCAAAGAACTTATCTGTATGAGATTTGTAGAAAATGGGCTTCAATAGTGGAAATCAGTCCAGGATGGTGCTGGTTCTGTTTCTGGGTTAATGTCGAGAACTCCTCCTGATTTATACTGAACCTAAATCTTCCCAGGAGCCTCAGCTTGTGTTCGAAATGCTGTTTTATTTTTCAACATCAAACCTGCATCACCTTTTTGTTCAATTCCAGCTTGAATTTCGCTCGCTCTAATTCAAACCATGCAGTGAGGAGCTGCACTGTGTCGTCTGTCGTCATCGTCACTTAACCTGCAGACTGTTCTGTTCTGTTCTGTGTACCTTTTTGAAATTGTTTTACGTTTGGACATTTAGACGCTCGCCTGTCTCTCAGCTGTGTTCAGACAGCAGTCACATGAATGTGGTTGTCGGTGCGGCTCATACTGTTCGTCGTCATCTTTCGTCAATGTGCAGAGCAATGTCAGCAACGCGCACTGTGTCAGAAATCTCTTCTAAAACAAATCAATAAAAGTTGCACTGTTTACACTTGGAAATTTCATTCAGACTGGAGTGTCTTCTTCCTTCTTCACTTTTGTTTTTGAAACTCACATATTCTACCTTTTAACAGTTTTGTGTTTATCTAATCTTTCAAAGAACGGTAACTGTAGGATTGGTATGGAAGTAAATCTGTGCCATCTGATTTTGAATTTAAATTTCTAAAGCTGAATTTTTTTCTTTTGCATCAAAATCAGACTTTGAATTTCAAAACCACTGGATTTTAAGCATGTGTTTTTATCCCTGACACTTTTTTTTCACAGTGATGAAATAAATTCAGTGTAATAAAAATCGTTTTCTCAAAATATTCATTTAGAAAAATTCACAGATTTACACTGATTTTTTGACAGAGGTTTTTTTCATGTTTAATTTTTGTTTAAATTTGAATTTAAATGAAAGTTGATTTTTTATTTATTGAATATTTTGATTAACCATTTTTTACACTGAATATATTTCATCATTTTGAAAAAAATATGTCAGAAATGAAAATATTGTGCTTGAAATCCAATGGTTTTGAAATTGCAAGTCTGATTTTGATGCAAAAAAATAAAATAAAAATTCAGCTTTAGAAATTCAGATTTTTATTTCTTGACACATTTTTTTTTCACAATGATGAAATTCAGCTTTAGAAATTCAAATTCAAAATCAGATGGCACAGATTTACTTCCATACATTGGATGAATGCTCACCTGAATCTGTGAGGTTGCAGTTACTGATCAGTCGATACTCGCTTTTTTAATCATTTACAGATTTTGTGATGCCCAATCATCAGAGTTAAAGATAAACTCCATCAAGAAAAAGGTGAAGTAAAACTACACCTGGACTGTGAATTGGCTCCTACCAGTTTGATGATTTAGACCAGGTATGCCAGGATAAGCAGAGTCTGCCTGGGTCTCTCTTAATAGGACTAGTTTGGCAAACAGCAGCAACGCTTGGTAACGACCTTCCTTAATGGAAACAGCGTCCGTGAATGTCACATTTTGACAGGAAGTGGAGGTAGGTTCACGTGTATGGTTTCTTGTCTCACCCTACATTTGTGAAAGCCACAGACAGTGGTTTTTTGGAGGTGATTTTGAGACCATGCAGTGATTTCCACTTCAGAGTCATGTCTGCACAGGGTCCACAGTCATCAAGTTTCGAACTCTGGTTTCCTTTTTGTGCAGAGATTTGAATCTTTGAACTAAATTTTGTAAGATTGATTACAACAGAGTTCAAGGGCCACATTCAAGAAAAAAAACTAGAAGATTTAGGTGTAATTTTCTCACAAGAACAAAGTTGTAGTAAAATTGTATTCAAAGTTGTTGGTTTAGTCAGCGATTAGCAGCATAATACTGTTCTGATTACACACGTCTCAGCTTTTTACACAACCGGTCCAGAGTCCTGATACTTCCAACAATGCGGGGCTGAGACGCCAAAACATTAAGTACAGTTCAGCAGGTCGCTCATAGTTCCTCGTTTTGACCCTGGCAGCAGCTGGCTGTTTATTTTTTCATGACTTTACTATAACTCTATTTTTTCAATAAAATAACAATGCTTTGCAGATTAAGATGAACTGAGTCTTCAAACTTCAAAACTTTTGTAACTGAGCTTTAATGTGATGCAGGAGACCCTCCATTGTTATAGGAGACATCTTTGAGCTTTTTGATACAACAGCAAAAAAAAAAAAAAAAAAAAAGACTTCACATTTGCACGTAAGAAAAACATGAGTGTATTGAGACGTATGTACTTTGCAGAAGGCCATTTGATTAAAGAAATATTAACAAAAAAACACAATTTACACATGATTGTTTTGGCCACAGTAAGCTGACATCAATCCTGCAAATGTTTGAAGTTCATGAAGTTAAACTCGGATGTTTTGGAAAACAGGCGTCACTGCATCCTAAAAACAGAGAATTCATGCTGTAGTACCTAGCACCATGTTAGCCTCACTAGGCAGAAGTGTTTTGGAGTTCATCGAAGACAGACGCAGAAAGAGTTTTTCCCTCTCCAACCATAAAACACAAGAACACTGTTGAAGAGTCGCCCACGCTTGAATGAATGTCCTTGTAGAGCCGACGTCACCGGTTCCTCCTGGGCCTCTTTAGTCTGTCCTGCGAGGAGAAATCCTGAACCAGCCGTGTGTGTGGTGAGTGACGGAGAAGCTGCTTAGCTACGGGTCCAAAAACTGACGTCTCAGTGTTGCTCCGCTTTAGCTGTTTTTTCATCCATGCTGAAGACAAACCGGTGAAATAATGAGTGCTGCTGTTGTTGATGCTTTTGAGGGCACATTCAGAGGCTGTTTCAGAGCAAAGTCCGAGCCACGTATTTAAGGAGGCCTCCGTGTCTGAAAAATATAACGTCTGTCTCTGTGTCAAACAGTGCGGTGACCAGGAAGGACTTTCCTTGGCTTGTCTAAAAGAAAACACACACAAAAAAATTCAGGATTCAAAAAGGTGAGCAGATTAAAGACCCAAACTTGTACAAAAGCAGCATCTGCACTTTTTCTACCTTAACGCTGAGCTGCTGCCTAGGACTCAGACTCTCTGGCAGAGTGATGGTGAACCTCTCCTTCCCTGTGAGCTCCAGAGAGTCTGCGTTCTGACCCGGCAGGAACTCCAGCGGCATGATGCCCATTCCCACCAGCTGGTTTTTATGCAGCTTCTCAAAGCTCTCGGCGATGACTGCACGTACCCCCTGGTTAACCAAAAAAACACCCATTTAGTCTTTTTTTTTTCTGGAGGTGAAAATTATGATTGGAATTTTCCTGTGTGAGCGTTTACCAGCAGATATGGTCCTTTGGCGACCCAGTCTCTGGAGTTTCCAGAGCCGTAGTCTTTTCCTGCGAGGATGATAAGGGGAATGCCGTCTCTCTGGTAGCGATCAGCTGCCTCGAAGACGTCCAGCTGATCGCACAAACAAAGGAAAGGATGTGTCATTAGCAGAAGGTCTGATAACACACATAACAAACCGGCTAGTCTGGATTAAACGTGCTCGAGACACATGATACCACACAGACTGAAGGTCACATTTATGCAGCAGGATAGAACTTTGCTGATAAATCCACCTCCAGGGGGTCACACTCACTGTCTGGCCTGAAGGAATGTGCCCAGTCTTGGGGCCTGCTTTGCCAATAAAACGGTTTTGGAGCTTGGTGCTGGCGAATGTGCCCCTCGTCATCACTGCGTCGTTTCCTCTGCGGGCGCCGTACGAGTTGAACTCTCGCGGTGTCAGGCTAAAAGGAAATATTCAAAGTTAGAGGTGAGCACATTTGCATTATTTGCTGCGTAAACAAACCAACAGGAACAACAATTACACCCCTTTGTTTACTTAATGCAACCTCAATTCCAACACAGTTTGAATGCAGAGTAAAATAATATGGATCCATTACTAAAACTGCTAAAATTTACAGACATTGTGGACCATCAAACAGCTCAAATAATGTTTAAAGCTAAAAATAATCTATTACAAAGAAATACACAGAAATTATTTAGTATTCATGAGGGGATCTGTAATTTAAGGGGAAAGAGTAACTCTAATTTAAACGTATTTCGTACAAACAAGAAACGTTTTTGTGTTTCAGTCAGCGGGGTGAGACTTTAGAACAAACAGAGTTGAAGCATTGTCAAAACTTGAAGCAGTTTAAAATGAAGTATAAAGACACTATTTTCAGGAGCTACAGGGATGAGGGAGGTGTAGGTAGCACAATGTGTTAAAGGGTTTACTGTGTTGTGCATAAATGTTTGTATGTATGTATGTATGCGTATGGATAGGACTTGTCTCCACAAGTGTATAATTAATCTAGTGGTGACTACAGCATGAGTGTCTAGACAGGTCAATAAGGCAGAAGATTGTTGCAAGTTATTTAAGGAGAAGGGGTGGGAGCTTAGAAGTATTACTTCTTCCCACTCATTTCAAATATATACTTTTTTAAAAATTATTTTAATTGTTTTGTTTTTATTTACTTTCTCTTTAATATTCGAAATAAACAGAATTCAATCAAAATGAATCAAGTATTGAAACTGAACATGATCCAGAAACTTTGGCGACTTCTGGGACGGAGGAGAAAACTGTTCTGTGGTCTGACTGATCAAAACAGGACTTTCTTTTTGGAAATCATGGATGCAGCAGACTCTGCTCCGAAAACAGGGGGGACCACCTGCTCACAATCTCAGACAAACAGCCATCCTTCCAGGTGGTGTCCTGAACACTACATCAAGCTTTTGGACAGACATTACGCTACCAGACAACGCCTGCTTTCCCCTGCTCTATGTGTTCATCCATGCATCAGTTAGAGTCACATATTCTCCAGACTTGGTGTCTTATACTCTGTCTCAGCCTCCTTGTCTTCATATCTGTGTTCTGTGACACTAACCGTTTGCTCAGCAGGTACTTGGCAGCGGCGCTGACCCGGGCGATGCTGCCCGCAGGTGAGATGTGATCTGTGGTCACTTTGTCGCCGAGGAACAGTAAGACATGAGCGTTTTCTACAGACTGAGGAGGTGGCACTTCTTTACTCTGAGACAGAGAGGGAGAAAAAAACAACCTTATTGTTTGAACAGCTGCAGTTTGTGTTTTGTTTGCTCACTTTTAATTATGTGACATCAGGAGACACTGTCAATAGACGAAGACTTACCAACTTGCTGAAGAAAGATGGTGAGCGGATATATGTGGACTTGTGATCCCACGGGAAAAGCACTGAGTCTGAACATTCAATGTTGTTCCAAAATGAGTTCCCTTGCTGGAGAAAACACAGTGGGGAGGACATTCAAGTTACACCATCAATTCACTCGACTACGAACACACTCAGAGGAAAGAGAGAGAGGAGGAATCCTTACCTTCATCCTTCCCCTGAGATCTTTAAAAATAGTGGAGATGACTGTGTCCTCTTCAGTCTGCTGGACCTCCTCCCTGGACGGCCAGACATCACGCAGGTACACCTCCTTCCCCTCTGAGGTCAGGCCTGCACCAAAAACACAAAAAAGAGATAGAGCAGTAAAACACAACTCTGTAAACTTCTATCATGTTAAGATTTGTCTGCACCAACACTGGAATACCAAGTGTTCAATCACTCTGATCAGCCAACTCTATTTTATCTTCTATCTTTGACGTCTTCTCACCCAGAGGCTCTTTCTCAAAGTCGATTCCCACCGTCCCGGCGAGAGCGTAAGCCACCACCAGCGGGGGAGAGGCCAGGTAGTTGGCACGCACACAATCACACAGACGCCCTTCAAAGTGTCTGTTACCAGATAACACACCGCAGGCCACCAGGTCCCCCTGAAACACGGCAGAATCATCCAGTTATGATCACAGGAAGACGTACATTTTTCACAGATTTACAGGCGCAGCATGACGTGGTCTTACTTTACCTGTTTGATAGCGTCCACTACAGCTTCAGGTAACGGAGCCGTGTTCCCCACGCAGGTGGCACAGCCGTAACCGATCACCTCAAAGCTGAAAGAAAAATCAAACCAGTCAGTCGTAGTTTTGTGTCACACAGGATGACAACGTACCGTATTTTCGGACTATAAGGCGCACTTAAAATCCTTAAATTTATGCAAAAATTGACAGTGCACCTCATGTATGATTCCTTGTTGTGCTTACTGTCCGACTTTATGTGGTACAATGCGCTCAAAAATATTTCGAAATGTGTAAGTACGACTTCGGTAAGCAACAAAACCGCTCTGATGGATGGATATTTGGAGCATTACGGTAACTGTCGTCTGGAATCATCACTGAACAGCCGAGGACCGGTAACAGCAACGAGACTGACTCAGATAATGACAATCGCATGTGTGAACACAGACACGTTAATGCATAGTGCGCCTTACTAACTTTGTCAGTTACGCTCTCTACAGTGAAACACGACACCAGAGTCTACTCAGGTCACCGCCTCGGGCTGTGTGTGTATGTGTGTGTTTTTGTGTGTCACTGTGTAAACATGCTTACCCAAGCTGGTTAAAGTAAGGCAGGACTCCACTTGTACTGAGGTAGTGAGTGACCATGCCACTTCCAGGCGCCAGGCTGGTCCTGATATAAGGCTTTACAACAAGCCCCGCCTCCACAGCCTTCTTCGCTAACAGACCTGTCAATCACAAAAACAGCTGTCATTTTTATGTATTTATTAAACAGCTTAACCAAATCTGCTGCTTTGTGAGGCACGGATCACAGAATACAGGGCGTGAAACTGCAGACATGATTAGGTTAACAATACGAGGATATCCTAGAGTCAAGAGGAATTTACAACCTCAACTTTTAATGTGTCAAATTTCTTCTAGATGACTGAATTCATGAGGCAAGTCTGAACAAATCTGCATGAAAATAAAAGCACTACTAATGTGTCTCTGGTACATACCTGCAGTCAGCATGACAGCCGGGTTGCAGTTGTTGGTGCAGCTGATGACGGCGGCGATGACTACCGAGCCGTGTGCCAGCTGATACTCCTGACCACAGTGCTGGAAAGGGACCTGCATGACCTGCTTCTCCTTAGAGATGTGGAAGCCTTTGAAGCCGACCTGCAAGAAAACAGACTACTCATGAGATCGTTTATCACTCAGATGTATCAGGTCACAAAAAATGCAGACAATGCGTCACCAGCATCGACACCGACTCCTACATTTGATCAGAATCCTGAATACATGACAGGGTTGAATTTATGACTGTTTTTGTTCGTTACCTTCTCATCCAGACAGCTCTGGAAGTCTTCTTTCATGCTGCTGACCGCCACTCTGTCCTGAGGCCGCTTGGGTCCACTCACATAGGGCACCATGGAGCTCAGGTTAATCTCTATCACCTGAAGACAGATAGATTTTTCTTTATTCAGCTCTGTTACTACTGAACGCCTCGCAACCAAACTTTCACAGTAAAAGAAGCTTTAAAATTCCATTTACCATCTGTCATTGGTTCTTTTGGACTTTGAGAGAGCTTTGACACGTTACCTCAGAGTAATCAGGGTCTTCTGAAGGGTCCTCATAGCTTCTGAAAAGTTTTACAGCCTTCATGTACGACTCCAGCAATTCAAGTTTTTCCTGTGTAAAGTCTGGGAGGAAAAAAAGTGAAACGTAAACCAAAGCTGATCGGAGTTATCTCAAGAAAATCGATATTCAGAAAAACGGGCACACAGCAGGAATAACTGAGTGCACGACTGTCAAAAAGAAGAAGACTCACTTGTCTTTTTAAAGTGCTTTAGTGTGACTTGGTCGACGGGGAAGAAGCTCACAGTAGCGTTGTACTCCGGGCACATGTTGGCGATAGTCGTTCGGTCAGGGGCCGATAACTGGGAGACACCAGGTCCAAAAAACTCTACAAACTTTCCAGCGATCCCAGCTTGACGTAAGTGCTGGAAAACCAAAGTGCAGGATGTATCAGTGTGCGTCAAAAGGCAGGGTTAGGGTTCGATCGATGAAGCGGTGAGTTACCTTTGTGATGCCGAGGACGATGTCTATGGATGTTGTTAGAGGATTTATCGAGCCCACGAGTTTACAGCCCACCACCTCAGGAAGAGTCAGAGACACCGGCTGGCCGAGCATCACCGCCTCACACTCGATTCCACCGACACCTGATGGAGTAAAATATAACAGTTGAACAAACAAACAAACAAACAAACAAACAAACAAACAAATCCACTCCTACTCCTCTTAACTTTTAACCTAACAGTAACCTCTATATTCAGAGTCCATTAGGGAACTTTTAAACATGCAGTACATGTCAGTGTGTGGTCAGAACTTTGAAAATATTCACCCCAGCCCAGGATGCCGAGGCCGTTGATCATGGTGGTGTGTGAGTCGGTTCCCACCACACTGTCCGGGTAGATGAAACCATCGCTGAGTTGGATCACTCTGGACAGGTACTCCAGATTCACTTGGTGGACCGCGCCAACGTCCGGGGGGACGACGTTCACATTTTTAAAGGCTTTTGAACACCACTGTTCGAAAGAGGCAAAGAGAGAGACGAGTCAGTCACAGAAGAAAATCGATTTACGTCTCATTCAGTGTTTCTTCACAGACACTGTGATGTTTTAACTTTTCTTTTCAGATGTTTCACTTATTTATAGCTCAGCTTTATTTAGAAAGCACCTGTCTTACATGAACACATGCTGTCTACAGTGCTTCACGGCTAAAGGAGAAACAACAGGGATGACAGACTACTGAGGCTGCAGGTACCACATGGGATCATTTTCTTCAACAATCTCAAACCCAAAAGGGAAAAAAACAGTAGAGATTTGTTAAATTAACCAAGTGCATCCTCCCTAAAGAGAGATAGTTTTTTCTGTACCTTAAAGAACTGAAGTCTCTCTTTGTTTCTGATAAGTTCCATCTCCTGGTTCTTCAGAGCTGTGTCAGTTCTGCAGAAAAATCAACAAGAAAATGAGTCAAGAGGAACTCTGTGTGTTATCTGAGCTGTGCATGTCTGATACTGATGTGTCCTAGATTTCTATTTTATTCATGAACTCCTCAGTCAAATCTTGAAAGAAAATATTTAAAAGCTGTAACCTCACAAAAAGGTTTACTCGACCCCCTCAGATTTTAATCATCTTTCCAGAATCAAAAATAACACAAATATTTTGAACTATCTTGTCTCTGCAGTATCATAAATAAACAGCTTATTGTCAAACTCACTCAGAGACGGGTTTAAGGTGGAAAGGACAGAGCAGAGGAGTATTCTCGATCTGCTGGACAGAGGCTGGAGGTCGACCCGGGGAGGCTGGTGGGTCACTGCAGGTGGCTTTACTACAGGAGCCCCGCTGGCTCCCACACTGCGAGCCTCCTCTGGACGGAGGTCGAGAGGAGGGACGAGAGGGACCCTGGTTTGTGCCTTCTCCTCCTCCTCCTCCTCCTGGGTTTGGAGCATTCTGTATGGCACTGTAGATGAATGGAGTGAAGGTTACATGACAAAACTAATGAGGACTCATGAGAAACTTTGAATAATTTGGCTTTTTAGGAACTAAGATATGAAAAACATCCACTATGACTGTCACTACGCCATTGTCCTCTGTTATTTGAAGGTGTATAAAGGGAAACATACCATTTGCTATAATCAATCTGTAAAGAGTGGTCTACGATGAGGTCTGTGTGACATTTAGGATTGACCAGGCCGGGGTCGACGCCATGTTTGGCAACAGCATCCCTCATGGCAGCCAGGTCCACCATGGCAGGAATACCACTGTGATGAGGGAACCAAGAGAGAGAGCCAACAGGAAAAGCTTGAGATTCTTAATAAGTCATGTACTTATAACTTGTGCTTTTCAGGGAACAAAACAAGTCACGATGACAGAACACGAGCTGTCTTCATAAATGTTAAAAACTCACGTGAAGTCCTGGAGGAGGACCCGGGCTGGAGAGAACGGCACCTCGGCTTTTTTCTGCTGCTTCTGCCAGTCCAGGATGTTCTGGACGTCTTCTTCTTTTGTGTAAAAGCCATCACAGTTTCGAATCGTCGTCTCCAGTAAGACACGTATGGACAGAGGCAGCTTGTCTATGAAGAGTAAAAAGAAATGTTATATACAGCTTCTCTTGAAGAAGTGAACATAATATACTACAAGATGCCTGAAAAAGGGTCTTACTCTCTTTTACTCACCATATCTTGGATCATTTAATTTATCTGGATTGTAGAATCTGATGCTCCCATCTTTGAATGTGTCAATTAGATGTCTGTACGGGTGCTCTGCGGGGTTAAACAAAGAACATTTATCAGCACATACATAGGCAGGTGCAGCATGCTTGTTCCAAGGGCATGAGACTTCCAGATGTTATCATCTCATAATTGTTTTGATCATAACTTCATTTGCTTTGCAGGTTCATCTGGTTTATTCTGTGTGTATCAAGCCTGGCCTGTCTTTCAACATTTACCCAGCAGGAACAGCTTCATGAAAAAGTAAGGTGTAAAAACGTAAGTGCAGGCAGGAATCAGAATCAGAATCTCTTTATTGTCCCATAAAGGGAAGTTAGTTTTGCAGCAGGGCTCACAAAAGACAAGTGTGCAATGACAACATAAATTTTAAAAACATAAAACAATTAAAAACATCACAACACAATATCAGAAACACATACACAAAACCACCTAAAATTCAGTCCAGAGCTCAGACCAAAAATGGAAAAAAACTAAGGCTGCAACAACGAATCGATTAAGTCGATTCGTCGTGACGAAAAAATTCGTTGCCAACTAATTCTGTAATCGATTCGTCGGGTCTTTATATATGTTCATGGACACCGGCGTGTAAACATCAGCAGGACGCACAGAAAAGAAACAGCCATGGCCAAGGCAGCGGCTGAGAAAAACATGGACACAACCCAACCCAAATCCCAACCTAAAACATCAGTGGTGTGGGAAAACTTTACCAAGACTGAAAAGGAAGGCGTTCAGTGCAACATTTGCAAAGACCGTTTTGCATGGCACGGGAGTCTATCGATGAATGCGTGAGCACAGGGCTCTCAAGTCTCACGCATTCAGCGTATGACACACGCATTCCCAGTCGTTCACACGCTCACACACCACACATTGTATTTCTCACGCATTTAAATGAACACGGTGATGTCCACCATGTTGCACTTCTTTAACTATGGAACAGGGGGAAATCAACTGAGTTCCTCCGAGAGTTCAGAAGCTGCGTGCCACGCGCAAGCCAATCAAATAAAGTATATCTACTGAACAGCCAATCAAAAAGCAGCATTGCTTTATCCGGGTAGGTTTTGATATCTTGCGGTTTGACTACAGAAGAAGACAGACACTCGCCGTAATAGAGCAGGTTTTTATAAGGACGAGATAGACCCCATGATTACAGTAAGTCAGTAACCTACACATGCAGAGACCTCAACACCTCATGGCAGATAAACTCATACGATAAACTAAAGCCCTATTCTATTGCTATTAACAGCTGCATTGATGAATTTAGCCTGTTTATCCGATTAATCGATTAGTTATTAAAATAGTCGGCAGATTAATCGATTATCAAAATAATCGTTAGTTGCAGCCCTAAAAAAAACTTCTACCAAGTAATTAAAAGTGCAATGTGCGCAAATGAGCAATAATGAGCATAAATTTCACGTGGGATAAAAGAGACCTGAAATCTTTTAGTCCTCCTCATAGGGGCCCTAAAACGACGGCCTGAAGGTAAAAGCTCAAACTCGCATCGAAGTGGATGATTGGGACAACCCAGAATGGCATTTGCCTTCCTCAAGACCTGTCTGTTGTTGTAGAGAGACAAAACCCCAGCCTGCTGATTTCCAGAGATCTTACCAGCAGTTTCAACAAGAGAACCAAGATGATTCTTATTGGACAGGTTCAGGTTTCCAAACCATGCCACAGTACAAAACAGATTCAATAAAACTTCTATGAAGGATAGTCATCATCTCATTAGAAACATGGAACGTTCTCATTTTCCTCAGAAAGAAGTCTCTGTTGGACCTCCATTTTACCATGCAGTCTGTGCACGTACCTTATCCATACAGTTGCCTCATAACATACCAAGACGCATGACTTATTTTAAGCAGATTAGTGATTGTAGTCATGAGAAGCAGAATTTTACATTGTATTATTGCAGTAAAGAGTCGTAAAGTGAGCCCACACAGGATGTGGTCACCTCAGGGTTTCTGTCGCTGCCATATCTGTCCACCATGATACTTACAGTGTCAGATTGATAAATTTTGGTTGTAACTGCTTCACATTAGTGAAACTCTCCTTTTAGACTCACAACACAAAGTTCAGAAAGTGCACAGCCCTTATGTAGTGAGGTTTCTTGGCACACTACAGCTCACCGGTCTCACAACAGGACATCATGTTGTAACTTTTGCACTCAAGTTACCAGCTTGAAAGCCACACTCTGGATCACTATCGGACTAAAGCTACTAAGAACATACTGGATTTAGTCTTTATAAAGCTTTTTTTCTGCAGTTTAGACGTCCACACACTCGACATGTGAATAGAAAGGAGGGGAATACCATCGAGAACAATCATTAAGGCTTGAAATCAATCAGTGGAGTATACAGAGGAGAAGGTCAGGGCCCTCACGCTGACTTAAGGAAAGGACAAACACTCAGCAGACCTAGTTTGGTGTATTTTCTTCAAATCAGATAATTAACCAGTATGAGTGAGAGTTGTTTTTATATCTGTTTCATCTGCACGGCATTTCCTCTGAGTATGTGCACCATCGGTGGGGACAGCAGCAAGAGGATTATGTTGTTGCATATAGAAATTATATTTAACATCATTTTAGGACCAGTTGTGAGGCAGTTTTTGTACTCTCAACTAAACAACATATTTGTTACTCAAATTATTCTGTATGCATGATGCATGAGTTTTTGCTGATATCTGATATGCCAAAAAAATGGACTGATTTCGGTTGATCCAGAATCATCACTGCCTGCAGAAGCATGTTTAATCCAGCTGGTTATCAAAAGAAATAGATTTAATGATTCTTCCAGGTTCTTTCACCTTACAGTGGTTGCTTCTACATTTCCTTTGCTGGATGATTAAAATAAGGGCTGCTGACAGGTTGTTGCTTTATTGTTTTCGCTTTTTTATAAACTGCAGGTGTTTCAGGGGGACAGTTCTTGAGTCGATCAGGTAAATTGGTGGTCTTAAAGGAGTCTTGTTTTGCTCTTTTTTTAACATCTCTTGTACTTTAAAGCATTGCAATAGGCTTATTTGGCTGTCTGTTTCTTGCTGACATGCTGAAGCTTGATGTTGATACTTGTACGCTGCATTATGTGCAGATAATTAAAGTAAATATTAGCAGTTACTTTGTATGTGCCCTAACATGTAATTCACTTCTGAAGCTTTTATCTGCCAACAGTTATATCACCCTGCTTACGTTGCGCAAGTCATAACGTTATGTCATAATCATGATCATGAGTCAATAAAGCAAATGCAAACTCATTAAGGTTAATGACATGCAGGTGTCAATTCATACATTTCAAAATCAAGCTTAAAATGGGCTCCCCATGGTCACATAAGTACAGCTTGCTGATCTCTCCTGTAAACAGATTAGGGATGCACTGATCCGATATCTGGATCGGCTATCGGCTCCGATATTGACAAATTCGGTATCAGATATTGGCCGATACGCTCAGCCCTGGTATCGGTATCGGATTGGATCAGAAAAAAATGGATCGGTGCATCTCTAATTCATGATTTTTCTCTCCTTACTGAGATGATATAATCAGCTTGTGTCCACCTAAATAACTGTATGCAAACGCCTTAATGCCAGTCAGGCAGAACTGAACATCCACCTGCCAAAACATTAGGTACACCTTGGCGCGACAACAACAACAAGCACCACCAACCATTAATTCTGTTTATAAAGCTTCTACATTTTCAGGTTTTGATGACATGATCAGGCAGGTGATAAATGACTTTGAATTAGTTGTTTTAAGTAGTAGTGGGTGTTAAGGACATACTGGAGTGCATTATACTGACAGGTGCTCCTAATAATCTGCTTCTTTTGTTAATTTAGAGGGCATACAATGAATGTGACTTGCATAATCTTTGCTCTGTGCACACAAATATTAAAAAAAAACAATGTCTTTATTTACAAATACAATAACACATAATACCAATGGAGGTAGGTTTTCCATTATTCCCACGAGAAACAGTGTGCAATGGTAAATGTCAGTTATAGGGATGCTTTCCATGTTTGCCCCACCAGACAATGCGACTGTCATGGTGGCCTAAAATTACACTTTAACAGACTGAGCAATTGTTGTCTTATTTAACACGATGTGCTTTGTTATATTCCTCTAAATCCATACCCTGTGATGACAGTCTGCTTTGTTCTTCTACATAAACTCTCCTCTGCATATTCCCCATCTGTTCGTGTTGCTGCTAACACTGCTCCTTATCGTAAAGCGCACTCTGGCTAACTAACTACTTATCGTGCTTTTGGCTGCACGTCGTGAGGAGATAACAAAATAGCAATGTAATTACACAAAATACGTTCAGTTGGAATAACGGAGAAGCCGTGACACTTAAAGAACAAAGACACCATCAGAGTGCGATGTTAGCTTATTAAACGGTACTAGTTTGGTCGAAGAGCAAACACTACAAGCTAGCTAATGTTAGCTTTTCCAGTTTAACGCCGGCACACTTCATGTAATATTCACAAAAAGCGAACGACAGCTGCTTTCAAGGAGAGGAACGTGTTTTTCAATCGATTCCTGACTGTAAGGATGAAGAGGTCGGTGGGATGCAGACTTCCTAGTTAAGGTTAGCAGAAGACACCTCTTTACCTTTGAGTGGAGAAGCGAGCGCCATGATGACTTCTGAAATCAACACGACCCGATCTCACCGCCGCACTGCCCCGACTGAGCTGACCAATGCGAACACGGGCTTCCACGGTCACGCCTATTCATCGATAAACCCCACAAATCAAAGAAAAAACATACAAAAATGCGCTTTATCGAAACAAACTCGGTCAAAGAGGTAATCGGTTCGACCGTCACTCATACAGGAAATCGACCAGTCGTTCGAGAACGTCTGCGTTACTAGGCAACCGTTATGTCCATCTTCGCTAAATGACGTTCCTTTATGACGATTTTCTCTCCAAAAAATGTTTTAAATCATCGTATACATTTTTATAAAGCAGGAGAATACGTCCACAAAACAACTGGTGCAACTTTTAGCCATGTTCCAGTAGTCTGTTTACTTTTTGTTGACAGTTGGTACACAAAAGTAGAAACTAGTACACAAAATGAGAAAATAAACTATAATTTAAAGAGTTTGCAAACTCAGTAGAAATCTGTTTGGGTTTTACATGGGCTATTTTGTTGTTTTACCAAACAGATATTGAAGTAAAGATGTTAGAGAAGCAGAGTGGCTTTAGTTGAGTGACTGATACCATGGCCTCCACATTCAAAAGGTTAAATGAGTACAAGTCCAGTTCACTTGTTTTATTTAATAAGAAAAATATCACGGTTTAACTTTAATTTGACTTTGTCTTTTTCACTTAATGATTTTTTTTAGTTCCCTGGAAAGATAAATTTGAGAACATGACTGTACATGTTTAGGGCCGACTGGGCCTTTAAAAGTGCCGTCGTATGACATCCCACGTGACAGTACGGTTGCAGCCGTGCTGCCTTCAGGCTCCCCCCGTCTTCAGAAAACTTATTACACAAATCCAATCTAGTTAAACTGGTAGCTCTTTAACTGGTAGGCCATATTTGATACATACTTTTATGGTACTTCTATCAAATTAATATGATCAAGAAATAACAAAAAAAAAAAAAAAAAAAAACACGAGAACACAGTCCAATAAATGATAAAATTGTGGTCTATCAGTTTCCAAAAACATCTAACGTATCAAACAAGATAAACAAGCTGTTTGTTAAATTTTAAGGACATTTTAGTTTTATTGTTTTTCAGTAGTAAGTGAAATAAACATTTCAGCTCCAAAAAAAAAAAAAAAAAAAAAGAATTTTCTGGCCATAATTTGTAGTTCCAGGCAAATGTCTCATTAACATCAGTTCAAACAAACAAAAATCTTTATTTTTAACTACTTCTTTTAATAAACACAAAATGACTGTGCTTGGTGGAAAGAACATGTGTAAAAGGCAACTCCACTGCCATTCTTACCGATGAAATGAGTGCGGGTGAGTGTCCACAGTCGCATACTCAAAATCTTGACCGATTTGAGTACGTCATCCGGGTACTTTTGCATACTCAATTTTTGCATACTATCCATACTTTTTTCCATTTTGAGTTGAGTAAAGTCAAAATCTTAAGTATTTAGTATGGAAGTATGAGATTTGGGACACACCACAGGTCCCCCAAAACAAAGATTTATGATTGGTCAGGATATATCTATTATTCCACAAGGGTATATTCCAGTAAAGGAGAACTTGTTGGTGATAATCTGAAAGTTTCACAGGCAGTTTACATATATCACAGACACAACGCAACAAAAAATCATTTAACGTTGTGGTTGTTGAGTTTCCCTCTAAATTCCTACGCTAGAACTGGGACCCTGAATGCAACACTATCGTCAAATACATTAAACCTCTTGCTAAGTTAACAAACTGTCCCAAATTCATCCTTGGTGGGAAACTGTTTACAGATTGCACAACTTTGTTTCACCTCGGGATAATTCCTGGTCTTAATTACGGTGGAATGTTATGAAATTTACCTATGACCTTTCACCTCAGACCATGTTTGTTCGCAGCAGTAATGGACGGAAGCTTTGACCCACCTTGCAGCAGCAGCAGCAGCAGAAGAGGCCGTATGAGTTCAACACAACTGCTGCGACTGTGGAGGCGGAACCGGAGTGACATGACCCCCTCACAGGTAAGTTTAATCGGTGTGTTTCATAATCAATGTGCTTTTTTGATTTCCTATCACTTGTGTTGTTAGCCACATTAGCTGGTTAGTGCACACACCCCACGGTACACACTGACATTGCACGTGCTTCCTCTTTGCTTCGCCAGCTGTTGCAAAACAATAAAAATGTCTGGTTATCACTCAGGATGATCACACGGACATGTTAGAGAGCTGTACCAGGTTTCCAATGAGAAATTCAACATTTAAAAAGACAATGATTAATAAGGGGTTTGATATTTAGACACCAGCTGCAGTGAAGGCTCCATGCCTCGCACACTTGTGTACATTTTGTTCTAGTCTGCATGCTGGTCCATGCACTCAGTCTTGCCCTCTTTCTACAGTATTTTCATACAGCAGAGATCTTCACCAAAGCATGCAGTTTCCGCGTTGATCCAGGCAGTTACACGAACCTGCATTCTCCTCTGTGGATCATGTGTGATAGGTTTTGCTGATAGCGCAGGTCATGCAGACAATGCTTTGCGCTGTGACATGTCTGTCAGGTCTATCAGGTTTTAACTTGTACTCTAATCATGGTAGACATTTAAGTCTTTTAGGTGAAGTAAGGTACGCCAGTATTACACCTAGTGTAATGCAGCAGTGAGGAATGTGTAAAGGGTTAATGAAGGTCTGAATGAATTAGAAGAAGCTCCTACACTGTGGACTCTAGTGAACAGATGTCTTGTTATCTACCATCTGTAACAATACGTGGTATAATAACCTCATAATACAAATTTACAAAGGTCTTAATCTTGTTGCAGTAGTTAGTCAGGACTAGGGCTGGGCGTTAAAACGATGACGATATATATTTTAAATTAATATCCCTCAATATCAATATAAAACATGGTTGATATCCTTTATAATAGTCGGCATTCTGCCATGTTTTGGTAGACTATACGAATAGTCAATGAAAAGGGGAGTCGCTCCGGGTTTGCTTCACGCTGAACCAATCATGTGCTAAATTAGAGCCAACCACGCGCAATGCAAAAGGTTACAAACCCCAACCGGAGCAAGGAGCCCACAGCGCCTGTGCAGCCGAAACAGCTGACCATTCAGTTGGGTTTCTCTAGTGCAATGCCTTACGACAAAGAACCTCACAGATGCAGTAGCTCATTGTATTGAAAAAGACATGTTACCAATAAGTACTGTGAAATTTATGTCACGATATATATCAATATCGCCCAGCCCTAGTCATGACTCAAGGACTGAAGCAGGCATGAGGAGGATTGAGAAGGTCATCAAAGCCCCAGAGACGAGTTTTTTAATGTTTATGAAATACAATGAAATCCATGTTGATGCGTTCTTATGACAAACAAAAGCAAACCAGACCATCAACGACAAAACTGATGATTTTCATACTTTAATTTTTAAACCTTAAACAGGTGTGAGGGGGAGGTGTTAATGAAGAACCAGTGCTGGTTTACAATTTCCACATTAAATATTCATGATTAAAGACACACATGACTGCCGAAAAGCAGCAGGTAGAGATTTTCTGTCAAAAGTTACTACTCAAGCATCGAGAGGACACGATAAGCAACGATAACTTTGTCTACAGGGGGCGCCATACCGACACAAACTGGTAGTTCCTCAAAGTAGCTTTAAAGGGATATTCCGGCATAAAATTAATTTAGGGTCAAACACACCATAACACTGAGTTAGACACCTCGAGAGATGAATGTTGCCGACCGCTTGCTTCTTCAGTTATACCAACTTCAGTAACGACCGCAGGATAGCGATACACAGCGGTCTGAGGAGCCATAAACAAACCTCAACCAAAACGCCACTCTATAGCCACAAATAATGGAATATCCCTTTAAAAATCTTGCCACATTTTCACTTTTTTTGAAGGTTGAATAATATCACCAAAACATTGTTTTTTAAATCAACAGAGCATAGTTATTATAACTGTAGCCTCTCTGTGTGAACTGCATTGTCCATGCAGTGGTCTTAGTGCGCAGATATGTGGTGATAATGAGGCGCTGAAATCAATAAATAAACACTTTGTAGGTTATTTTGTCTGAACTTCACTCATGCAGAATGTTCTTGGTTGCAGGAGTGATGGACATTGGATGGTTAATAGCTGCAGGTTCGAGGCTTTAGGGGTGCAGCACTGGCCTGGCTGGCACCATGCAGCAGAAAGGCGCGATCAAAATCATAGAATGGGAGGACCTGGACAAGAGGAAGTTCTACTCCCTGGGTGTGTTCATGACCCTGACCACCAGAGCCACGGTCTACCCGGCCAGCCTCATCCGCACCAGGCTCCAGGTGCAGAAGGGAAAGGCCCTCTACTCCGGCACCTTCGATGCTTTCTGCAAGATCCTGCGAGCTGAAGGCGTGCGAGGCCTCTACCGTGGATTCATGGTCAACACATTCACCCTGGTCTCAGGACAGGCTTATATCACCACCTATGAACTGGTGCGCAAGTATGTGTCCCACCACTCGCCCAGTAACACAGTGAAGTCAGTGGTTGCAGGAGGGGCTGCATCCCTGGTGGCGCAGACCATCACTGTCCCCATAGATGTGGTGTCTCAGCACCTGATGATGCAAGGACAGGGCGAGCACCTGACTCGCTTCAAGGCCAAACCCAAGATGATGCTTGCAGCAAGTAAGCGCAGACTGACTTTCGGGCAGACCCGGGACATTACAGTGCAAATATTTGCAGAAGATGGCTTCAGGGGGTTTTACAGAGGCTATGTGGCGTCTTTGCTCACGTACATCCCTAACAGTGCTCTCTGGTGGCCTTTTTATCACTTTTATGCAGGTAAGACAGTCAGGTAGTTGTGGATTAATAGCTACATAGATGTAAGACTGTGACAGAAATCTCGTACACAGCTCTGACTGTCTTAGTTTAAGAGCTTTCTACAAATATACTCACTCTGTTTTGTCTTCCCTTTGTGTCCTCAGAGCAGCTTTCCTATTTGGCACCCAGTGAGTGTCCCCATCTGATTCTGCAAGCTTTGGCCGGACCAATGGCAGCAGCGACCGCCTCCACCATCACCAACCCCATGGATGTTGTTAGAGCACGAGTACAGGTAGATACCACCGCCATGGTGCAGCGCAGAGACACTACAATTTCACCTCAAGGCAGTAAAACATTAACTCATTAGTTTGACTTTTTATCTAACTTTTGGAAGAAAGGAAGTCTTGAAGATGGCTTGAAACTTTAATTTTTACAGCTCCAGTGACGCAATATCTCATAAAGGAGACCTATTACACTCGTTTTAACCTTTTATTATCCACTAACACACAGGTGCTTGGCTCTGGGGTTCAGGTTTTTTACAAAATTTGGCCCCCATTCAGAGGTCTCTCTCATCCCAGTTAGAGCTTGAGTTAGCTCCGCTTCTCCAACTCTCACTTCCTCTCTTAAAACATTACTCAACAGTTTCTCAACCAGGCTGTGGTTACAGGCTGGCTGGACAGCTGACGGGCATGTTGAGCTGGTGTTTTTGAAGATTATCAGTTTCCATCTGGCACTCTAAGTGTAAAACAGGCATGTCCAAACTATTCCACAAAGGGCCGTGTGGCTGCAGGTTTTTCTTCCAACCAATCAAGAGCAGCAGTCTGACCAATCAGCTGTCCGAAGACTGAGGGTACCGTATTTTTCGCACTATAAGGCGCACCTGATTATAAGGCACACCATCAATGAACACGTCTATTCGCGTCTATCTTCATACATAAAGCGTGCCGGATTATAAAGCGCATTAAGCCAAATAAAACAGTTAGATAAGTCAAACTTTATTTAACTCATTCAATAACTCAGTGAGGCTACGGTAGCTGCAGTGCTCTGACAAGCTAAAAGGATTTTAAGTGCGCCTTATAGTGCGAAAAATGCGGTAGATATTGTCCTGATTTTTTTTAATGATTTTGATTGTAACATTTCTTTGCATATAACAGGAAATGTAACACTCTTTTGTTTCAGGTGGAAGGTCGATCATCTGTTATCGAGACGTTCAAGCAGCTGCTGGCAGAGGAGGGCGTCTGGGGGATGACCAAGGGGCTGTCCGCCCGCATCATTTCCTCCACGCCCACGTCGGTGCTCATCGTGGTGGGGTACGAGACTCTGAAGAGACTGAGCCTTCGCGCTGATCTGATCGAGTCCAGACACTGGTGAGAAGACCAGAGACGAACCAGAATTCACCTCAGTTTAGGCGGGGAGGTACCCGGGTCTGAGTCCCAGGTCTCGCTCGGCTGTGTAGCTGCTTCTGTGAGCCGTTAGTGGATCCGTTAAGTTCTGATGTGACGCAGCAGAGTTCAAGTGTTGATGTTTGTCTTTGGGTACATTTAGGAGTTGTTGTCATCATGTCTGTGTTTGCTGTTTCTTCTGACCTTTTTTTAAATGAAAGGGTTACCGTGAAACATGAAGATAAAAGTGAAAGCACTGATTGATAACAGAGTAAATTATGTCTCCTTCTATGAATGTAGTTGAATCCAGCCCCCCTTTTTGATCTCTGCCTCCTGTACTCTTCATTTGAACCTTATGATATAACCTTATATGTGTAATCTCTAATACCTGGACTCTAAGCAGTTGAGGGTTTTTATCTTTTTTCAGATATTAGTGCATCCAGGTCGCTTAAGCTTGTGCACAGTTTGAGTTTACAATCAAGCCTCTGCTTGTTTTTAAAAAAGGCAGTAAATCACGACGTGTGTTCGAGAGTTTCCAGTGTAATGATGAGTTTTTCGATTTGCCAAAAAGCGGAAACACAAACGAAGAGCAGAAAAAGCTTGAAAGCTGTGTGCATTCCAGTGAAAAGAGGATTTTGTGAAACACTTCACCTTTCTCGAGGCTTGAAAAACAAGATCTGATATTGATTAAACCAATCAGTTATCCTCAATATATGATGAGTAAATTAGAGTACTAAAGGTGTATTAAAACTAGCTTTTTCTGTACACTTTTAGGGGGAAAAAAATCATGTTTAGCACAAGTATGTATCTTAAAATGTGGCCCAAGTGTAGCTCAATCTTAAGCCTTTCTTTATTGAATCTGTGTCTGTCTGTAAAGTAAGCACTGCAGGTTTGGAGATGAAATGTTGTCGGGGCCAATCAGGCAGGTTAGTTTCTGCAAAGATTTTAGTTTCTGTCTGTGTATGTGGACTAAAAAACACAGTCTGGATCTTCAAGAGGTGTAGAGACTCAGAGGTCCAAACTTCATCAACAGGAGGGATTCAGGATTTTCAAGTGGATCACAAGTCGGCTGTGTGATTTCAACAATTTGGGTGATTTGGGGTTAAATCTGCCGTCACTGCACTGCCATCCTGCTGCTCTTTCAAAGTGAATCCACAACTCCAAAACCAGCAGATACAAGAAGACTCCACAGTTGCCTTCAGCTTCAACGGAATGAGCGAGAAGTGCATCACAAGGCTCCAGTGATAACAGCCGTGAAATGCAGTCGGAGCGGCACGTACACGCAGCCACATTTAGCAATGACTTGAACTGCCAGGAAAACATCTCCACTGAGGTTTTCTTCTTTTTATAAACTCTTATTAGCAGTGTCACAGAAGAAACTTGGACTCTTTATTTCCTCCAGTACCTGAACTGATGTGATTTTATGTCCTGAAAATTGAATATGATGAACTTTCACCTGTCTGGAGGAGAGGTGCTACTTATTTACCAACTACCTGCTGTGTGTGCTGTTATAGGAGGATTGTAAAGAAGTACAGTTTGATGTGTTTTAAACATGCACAACTTGTGGACCTTTGATGACATGTAATAAAGAGTTTTGAATCACTGCAGAGGTGCTTTTGTTGGATTTATGATCCGTTTATCGTATAAGGAGTTTTTCCAGGAGGCTGCAGTACATCTGCTTTGCCACTAGAGGGGGAACTTGGTCATACCTTATATTTGCACAGTTCACAAGGAGCTGCATTTGGTAGTTTTGCTTTAGGTTATTTAGACACAAAGCAAACAAACTAGGATATTTACTTTTGAGTCTAAAACATAAGAGAGAAAAAAGTTCTTTTATAGGTTTTATCTTCAATATTTTATTTATTTTCTGGGCTGTTTCAGCGCTCTGTACTTTATCTACTCCTAAATCCACCAAAACTTAATCCACAAATAAACTGCTTTCTTTAATCCTGTCAACAAATTGGATTATGAACAGAAAACAAACAGAAATACAAAAGAAACCCCTTTATTTGACCTCAAAAGGCCAGTGCAAAAACGATCCATCATATTTTACAGTTTAATCCTCCACATCCTCTACATTTATCAACTTTAACTGCATGATCTGAATCAACAGCTCGGACGCCTCTTCTCTTCTTGTAGCTTGCAGGCTCGACTCCTTCGATCACATAGGACAGTCGTAGATGTGGATGGCACGGTCGTCTCCGGCTGAGATGATCTTTGAGCCGTTGCTGTTGTACTTCACACTCCACACCTGAAAGGGAAATGAAAAGGACGGATATGAAATTAGGAGTTATTTATAAAAAGGAAACGCTGCAAATCCAGAGTGTTCAGATGCAAGTCTGAGCAGAGGGTTGAGAGTTAGAGGAGGAGGACCATCAGTAGACAATTGTAGAGAAGTTTATCATTAACTATCTTCATAACAGATTTACCATTAAATCATCTGCTTGGAAAATATGCAAAATATTTGCTCAGTGCAGCGTCTTTAATGGAAAGATTTCTGCTTTCTTTATCATTCTTGAAAGTTACTGAAAAGTTTTATCAGTCTTTGATTCAATTTTCCTAACATTTGAGGACATGCAAGTCTTCAAAAATGTAATTTTTTCATGTGAGAAATCTTGAATTTAAAATGGTACTTTGAGACGTGTCAGTAATGTCATCAGATCTACAGGTGCATCTTTAAATCGTCATTCAATCACAACATAATAAAAAAGTCTGTTTTCCATCAGCTACTTAAGGCGGTGATTTGTGGAAACTAAGCATTGAGTGAATAAATGAACTAAGGGTGTCCCGATACAACTTTTTTACTTCAGATACGATACAGATATTGCAGCCTTCATATCAGCCGATACTGATATTGATCCGATATTGGCACAAACTTGTGCATGACAAGTTTTGCACTCAGCTGCAACGTCTTTTTCGGACTTCAACGAAAAATACTGCCACACAGCCGACATCACTCCTACTCCTTGCTACTTTGTTAGTACCTCAGTACACACTGTTGTTGTGATCACATGGGCTCTGCATGCTGGATCTGGGTGCTGCTAGCTAGAGGTGCCGGAGTGGAGTCTGGAATGGACTGCTTATATCAGAGATTTTAGATGCAGGCCGATATAATCGGATATTTGTTTTTTGGATGATATCGGACTGCTATCTGATATCAATATCGTATCGGGACAGCCTTAAAATGAACATACTTTCCTGAAGTTGACTATTTTTGTGTTTTAGATCCTCTTTTTGGTTTATTTTAGGGAATATTCTGATCACTCTGAGATACTGAGCGTGTGTAAAGCGAACCTCTTTAAAGAAAGAACATTTCACAATAGTGTCATTTGTTGAGACGCTCCTGTACACGTTCTAGTTTGTGCTTCACTTTTGCGAGTCTTTATGCCTCATCATGCAACAGTTCACATCATTCAGGGTCGTGATTGCGGCAGCAAATATCAAACCTCTTTTTAACTGTGAACAGAAGAGGGAGGGATGATGACGGGGGAATGCAAGTTCATGGAAATTTGGCCCTGAGAGGAGCTGACAGGGACAGATGATTTTGATTTTCACGATTGGATGTTTGGCTCAGTAAACAGATCAACAGGCTATAAAAGAGATCACGGGTTGCAGCCGCCCAGTTTGTAACAACGTTTCTGATGAGAGATTAAGAAGAAGCTGAGGTAGTCGTTGGCTGTGAGCTGTCCCTGTAGATTTACTGGCTTGGCAGTCATTTCATGATTTAACACAAAAACAATAGAGCGGTCAGCTGTGTCTGATCTCTGAGGAGCCGAGCTTTCAATTAGAGGCCGAGCTGGAGAAAGAGATCAACCTCCCCACAGGCGCCTGCAACCAGAGATCTAATGACAGCTGGGATTATTGCTTTAGCTCCAGCTGAAACACCAGAGACGGGTCATGTGAGAGACATTGGATGTATTGATTTCCCTTCTTGACACATCAGCACCTTCAGAGAGCGTCTGTTCTCACTTTGGATCTGATTAGAAACACTTTAGTGAGGATGATTCGAGGTTATCTGCGTCACCTGGTCCTGATGGTCGAAGAAGGTGTTGATGCAGGCTCTGGAGCTGGCGTCCCACACCTTCACGCTCTTGTCAGACGAGCTGAGAGGAAAAACAACCGACATGTTAGACACTTTTTCTAAAGTTGAGTTTTCTGTTTGGGCTGCTCGGTTTATTTTGGCACGGTGAGCTGGAAACTTCAGCTTCAGCAGACAACTGTTTCTCACACCAGGAGGGGGAGCATGGGAAAGCAGACAGAAGGAAAACACGCCTGGTGCTCTTGTGTTCACTAAAGGGAAGGTGTAGCGACTGCTTTCCTTCAACACAAAAAGGCAGCAGGGGTTTACGTTCGCTTGCATCTGTGACTCGCTTGAATGATCAGTTCGGTTTGAGTGTTAAAAAAAAACAATTTATTGTTCAAAAAAGGAAAGAAAACACGCTGATCCGGGTCCGATACTTTTGCCTTCAACTAAAAGGTGATATGATGAAATGAGGTTATAACAGGATGAATGAATGAAGCGGTGAAAAACGATGAGAAACGGTCAGAAATGGTCAAAATCCCGGAAGTGACGTACCCATAGAAATAAAACTTTCAACAAACATATTTTGTCTCCTACAGAAAGTTTACTGCTGGATTTGAACAGGAGTTGTCCGCTTCAGGTTTATGAATATCGTTTTTAGGTGCTAATTCGACAAGCACAGAAAAATAAGAGCACTATCAAACTAAATCTTTGATATGAAGCCACTCTAAGCTGTGGATTTTACCTCGAGACAAAGTGGGTGTCATCAGGGGAAAAGGCAACATTTAAAACCCAGGATCCATGTCCACTCAGCGTACCAGCCAGGTTGGCATGTTGCCTACAAAACAGAAGTAAAAATATCGTGTATTGAGATTATGGAGCATTTTTAGAACAAGTGTTTTCCTCAGAATTATCTCTCATGGAGAATTTAAAAACCAGCAGCTTCCTGCTGCACTCACACATCGTATATTTTGATGTAGCCGTCGTCGGAGGCGGTGACCAGCAGCTGGGAGTCAGGGGAGAAGGTGAGAGATCTGATGGGCATAGCGTGACCTGGAGAGAAAGGAGAGTCACATGACCATCGTGCATGCCTGTGTGGATCAAAACTCTTCAGAGCCCTTTATACTCAAACAATTAGACTAAAATATATTAATGGTCTTATCATGTTGGATGTCTGAGCTGAAATTCTCAAAGTGATGAAGTCCACTTTCTTTACCTGAATTACTTTACTGCTGAGCCTAACTTAAATCTGTTTATTTAAAGGACAGGATAAATGATTGAACCCACCTTCCAGTGTGTGGAGCAGTTTCCCTGTGGCGATGTCAAAAATATTGATGATTCCATCAATAGCTCCACTGGCCAAATATTTACCATCAGGGCTCTGAAAGGGCCAAAAAAGAAGGAAAACCTTTCAGACTTAATTATTAATAAAAATATAAAATCAAAGACACGTGAGACTGAATGAGCTGCTTTTTAAACGTTTTGGACCAAAAGATAAAGATCAAAAAATTTGTAACTGACAGGATACACACGTGAGGATGATTTGTTATGTAAAGTCAAAGCTGAGAGGTCTCAGGCTGTTGAGGACAATCTCTGTCTCCTTACGTAAGCTATACTGAGGATGAATTTTCCTCGAGTGTCCAGGGAATACTCCTTCTTGCCGCTTTCCACGCCAAAGATGTTGACCTTGCCGTGATGGCTCCCAGTGGCGATGTATTTGGAGTCCGGGGAGAAGGCGACCGACCACGCGTCGACTGGAGAGACAGACGGAGGACAGATTAAACTAACTTTTTTAGAGTTAAAGTCGTACTGTCTGCTGTTTCTGCTCCGTCATTCAGATCAAATCATGTTTGCGTTCGCCTCCTCTTCCTTTTACTGACTTATCAAAGTGCCACAAAGCAAACAAGACATTACTTCCGCTCTGTTGAGTCAATCCTTGCTGTACACTAAATATTAAAACCTAAAATTCAAACTTGAATAAATAAAACATGTTTTGTTTTTACGAGAATCCAAACCCGCACAAATACAGCATATCTGAAGAGGGGAAGAAAAGGTCTTACGTCCAGTGACCCGGACCACCCACTGCGTGAACCGGAGTGTCACTAATAGGAGGCGACATGGCATTTAGATGAAGTACAGCTCGGCTCGAGATACACAACCAGAGTAACACACATTTGTGGGTGTGGGGTCTCTGAGAGGTGAGGTATAAAAAAAACTCACTCAAGCTCTCAGCCCCTGAAGGTTTGTCTGAATATCAAAGAGGGTGACAATATTCTCTGTAGTGACCTGATTTCAGTGATGAGGGTCTGACAGTGAAGAAGACGAGGACGAAAAATACTCTGTATGACTTAGAAATAACACATTCACAAGGTCAAGATCAAGTTTAGGAGGGTTACAACTCTCCATCTTTGAATAATTTTCAAAAGGTTATCATCGCCACACATCGATTTTTGTTCTTCTCTTTGTTTAGCTGTTAAACAAGCGTCTCTGTCTCACCTGGAGCCTGATCAGATCTCTGCCGCTCATCTTTTAAACGATTAACAAGAACAAAAGGAGAGAACATCCACAAAAGCTTCCTCTCATTGGCTCTGTGTGCATTAAAATCAACGTTAAAGCTCCGTAGTTGTTTATGATGTAAAAAACACACAGCAGCACTTTTCCCCAAAAAATAAGCAGCTTTCTACATCAAGTCTTACCTGGTCCAGCATCCATGGACTTGATCTGTTTCCCTGACTCCAGGTCCCAGAGGCGGATGTGAGCGTCGAGGGAGCTGGAGGCGGCGATGGCTCCGTTGTGGCTGATGTCCACTGAAACCACGCCCAGCTGGTGGCCCTCCAGAGTCCACTGCAGCTCCAGCTTCTCATCCGACCTACAGAGACAGAGCGGAAACCAGATTATTGTACCGTGTCAGCACAAATAAACTCAACTATCTAAGATCATCATGATGTAAGCATACTGAGTATTAAATATTAAATATTCAGTTGAGCAAAAACTGGGTCATAGATATCATGACAGTGACGTATAATCATTGTGTATTTACAGATCTGGGTTTATTTAAAGGACAGAGCGGATAATGCTTCTCTAGAGCTGATAGAGCTCATATTACCAGAAAAATATTCGTATGGCCATTAAAGGTTCAGGTGCTGCTAACAAGGTGTCACTCACAGAGGGTGTACCACTGCAGTCACTATCTAAAGTTAAATATACACATATTTATCCTACCAGCACAAAGTTCATCCAAAGGGAAACAACGTGAGGGAACACTTGGGAAACACCCATCAATATGAGGCTGTAGTCTTAGCAGAAAGCGAATTTCTTCTTTTTTTTCAAGTATATAAAGAGGACAGACCAGTTGGATAGAACATCAGAGAGAGAGCAGGGAGTGACACACAGGAAACAGGAGCTGACTGCTAAAGGAATAACAGCTACTCCTGGACTGAAGCTGCTTTGTGTATCATTCATTATATTTTTCTTTGTAAACCCTTTTTTTTGCATTCATTTTGTTAGTAATACTCTTTCTTTCAATTTTGACTTTTGTTTTTAGGATTAAAAGTAAATCTACACTTCCTGTTAAGCACAATGCTACAAATGAAAAGTAAAACACGACTACAATATCAGTGTAGGAAACAGCAAAAGCCAGACATGTGTGCACTAGGAAAATAAATTAACACTTCTACTGTCATGAAGAGAAGAGAGCAGCTCAAAAAACATACTCACCATTTCCAGACTTTCACCATGTCGTCTAAAGAGCCTGTGACGATGGTTTCTGTCCCATCCGCCTCACTTTTACCCCACGCTGCCGTCCAGATCGCATCATCGTGTGCTGACCAGAGAAAAAACACAAGTTACTATCAATGCTGATTTAACTTCAAGTAAAAAACTGGAAGATAATTTTTGTTATTGTCAATAAATGTCATAAAATTCTTTAAATTCTTGTTGATTAGGTTACTCTGTGGTTTTAAGGTAGACTGTGATGGACCTTTCTGTCCATAGACACATGAACAATTTCTCCTCCTCTGATGCTCGTCTCTTTAATAACTCTCTGACTCTAACCACACCCTCTCCAACAGCTCCATCTTTAGTCAACATTAGGCTCATGACTAAAATGTCAAAGCTCTAAACCAGACCTATGTTACATTTACAAAGAGTGTTCACTGTCAGATATTTGCACTCACCTGCTCATTCCTGCACAATAGGGAAGCTTTCCCATTATATTACAATGCAAATATTTCTTAATACATTGTTATGTGTTCTTGTTTTTATAAAGTACTTATTATCTCAGTTCTTTTAAGGAGTACTTCTCTGTTTGGTCCAAAATACAAAGAAAATGACTTTAATTTGTAAAACTACTTGTCAATAATCCTGATCCTGCAGCAAATGATCTTCACAAACATGTCATACAGAGTTTATTTGTTTATTCGAACAGGTTGAAAGAAAAACAAAATAAATACAATTTTCAATGTGCTTTGGCAGAAAAACAATTAAAGAGACAGCTCTGTACTTAGTTCGAAAGAGTGTAGGATGAAGTTGAAAGAACTTATCTAGTCCTTCCCCTTTATTGTTGTGTTACTGTAATTTAATCGGTCAGAGCATGTGTGGGAATAACAGCACAGAAGAAAGAAAATATATCAGACAAAAAGGCTTGTTGCCCATTATTATAAATTCATGTTTCCGTTTCTCTCTTATATCCATTCAGAATGTTGTTTATAAAAATAAGTTTGGACTTGCTCAGTGATCTGCAGGTTTTCATTTCTTTGCTGCAGCTGTTCCACAGATTAACTCCTTTGACTGATATACAGAGCATTTTTGTGTTTTTACGTACAGGTTGTTTTTTAAAATGCATATTCCCCTGAGATGATGTTTGTTTTCTCTTATTTGAAACAATTTTTAGATGCCCTGTGGTAACTGATTCTGATTTGCTTTGTACATGATCTGAGTTGTTTTGAGGTCGACCAAATCCTTGAACTTTAGTGCCTTCAGTTTGATGAAGAGTGGGTTTGATGGTTCTCTGTAGGTACTTTTATTTACTTTTTTTTCTCTTTTTAGAGTTTGTATATATTATTCAACTGTGAGTTTTCACTTAATATGTAAGAAACAAGCGAAATTATCTAAGTTTAAACAAATAGGACTGTTAGAGGGAAAAGAAAACCCTGGTTACATGTTACATGATTGTTCAGTGGTGTTTGTTTATAGTGTTTTACTCACCATGTTCCTGCTTGAAAAGGATGCTATACTGAAAAAAGAACACAAACCTAGAGTTAATATTGTGATTCCTTTGTCAAGTAAACCAAAGAAATATAAATAAGATGATAACTTGTGAATAAAGGATTGATTTCTCTTACTTGAGTGCTCATGGTTTTGGTCCTTAGAGAGTCCTGCAGACACTAAAAACATCGTTTTAATGTGTTAGTTTGGACACAATAATGTCACTTCCTTCATTATAAACTGAACCATAAGTACATAGTATGGTTTGAAGAAAGTATAACCTCTTTCTAAAGGATAAGTTGCTCTTTAAAGCTTACAGAAACATAGATGTGCAGTTGAATTCATGCAAACATCAGTTAGCTCAGACTAGCAGCAGGTTAAAACAGGTTAAGACGCTGCAGCCTCTTAGTATTAAAGTGTAGTTTGTCACTATATTAACAATAAGATTCAATAATACAACTTACATATAAAATGTATCAAACGTACCTTCAAATCTCCAAATAAAGACGTTTATTGAATCTTTGAAGCTCGATCATTTACATGTGAGACGCCATGACAACATTCAACGTAACTACCGCTCGATTCTTCTTCGGCTGTTTCAATTGGGTAGGAGAGTCGCGTATGAAGCACTCTAGCGCTGTCGGTAATATAGTGGAGAGAGATCGATAGATAGATAGATAGATAGATAGATAGATAGATAGATAGATAGATAGATAGATAGATAGATAGATAGATAGATAGATATCACTTGCAAGATGAGTTATTTTGAGTTATTTGCTTATAAAAATGTTAAGCTTTTTACAGGATTTTTTTCCAAGATTTCTGAAGTTTTTATTTTATTATTGTGTCATACATATGTTTATATATCCAGCCCACATGGGATTACATGAGTTCATACAAGCCAGGATCAGAGCGTGCAACAGGATGATCTCATGAAACATAAGAAGAAAAATTAAAGAAAACACATCATGAAACATAAAAATCTAAGACATTTAAAATTAAAAGTTTGAGAGGACATGATAAAGTGGTTTGCTAAGTTTCTCTTGAGGAGAAAAAGTTTGACAAAAATTCTCCAGGGAACTGTTTTACCATATTTACATTCATGCTAATGATAAACTCTGTCTGTAACTTTTTCTTTGCTCTGAATCACTGCAAAACTGCAGAAATACAATCTTTTCAGCATTTTTTGTCACCTTTTAACCAAAGTTATGGAGTAAACTGATCAATATGAAAAGTTTCCTTCCAAAACAAATTATTGATCCAACTTCAAGTGAAATAATAGATGTTTATTTTTTCAGGCTCTTGTATGTTTCTCTTTTATTTGCCTTGCAGGCAGTAATGATCAGAGCTGCTATTTTCAGCCGAGTGATTCATTCCTGTTTTCAGGGCGTTGATGACGGAGGGTAATGAACCTTATGTTGAGGCATTAGCTGCAGCATCTGCTGTTGTTATCTTTGAGAAGACAGAATCAAGAGCTTTGAGAAGTAGAAACATAATGATTGAAGCATCTGTGTGGTTTTGTAATATGTCTGTTTGTGAATCATTTTGAGGTACGATTTAATCAAAGAGTAAGAGGAAGCTAAACTCGGGGTATGTCAAACTTTTGGACTCATCCTTCATATTTATTAGATTTTCATGACTGACTCTGTGTCTCTGTTTTACCATTTAAACAAGCATATAGTGTCTGCTAAGAGTGCCAGCTCCTCATTAAATCACTGTTTAATTTTTTGGCTTTTAAATGATCAGTCTAACCTGATTATGGGATTTGGGTTCTGCTCGCTACATCAACTGAAATGAAAATGACTAATCCATGAACAAGTTTTCAGCAGCAGTATCAATTTCTAAGAGGTTTTGGATCATATAAATCCTTTTTGATAATCAAGTCACTAAAGAATTAAGAAAAACTGGCACCAAATAGTAAAAGTTGCTCTTAGTTTAACAGCTCCTGGTTCACTTGATGCTGTCGTGTAATAAGAAAATACAGCAGCAGACAGTTCTCATACATACAGCACAGATCTATTTGGTCTAAACGTTGTTCTTTTATGCAGAGGGACAGAATATTTATTCATACATGAGTGAGCACTTGTCAACAGAAGCACAGAAAACTCTCTTTAAATAGACGGAAAGGTCAAGAACAAGCAGCCAAAACCTTTAGAGCTCCCCCTGGTGACGAGCTGCAGTATAGGTGTGAAGTAAACCCCGCCTCCTCCATTATTGCTAAGGGAACATAAGTCAAACTAAAAGAATTGGACACACACACAACATATTTTTCTGTCAATACAGTCGTCTCTTTTTACGAAAGTTTGATTCTAATTGATCATTAAATTTGATAAAAGATGAATGACTGACAGATCTGATATCAAGTAAGGCTGTTTCTATGTTATTTTGCTGGATTAACAGTGACCTGAGATCACTTTGGCGTTTTATTTTTAAGTGAATTATGTGTTTCAGTTTGCAGAAAGGCAGTGACATCAATCCTGTAACTCCAACAGCCATGTAATGAGACACTGATGACAAACACTGCAACCACACAAAACAGCAAAACCTCAGAAGTTTGCATCACAATAAACAACATAAAATGCCTGATTTGTTACCTTTATTATGTATGTAATTGGTGCTGGACTTTAAACTGACTTGTTTTAAATGTAATCTTGATATCAGAATCCGAAATACTTGTTATAGGAATAATGAACGATTCTGACGTCCAGCACCTCTGCTGTGCTCAGTGAGTCCAGTGATTTGAGGCATTTGGTGCTTAACACTTAACACGCCAAATCACCCTGAACAAGTCGCCAGTTCATCGCAGGGCTGACAAGTAGAGATGAACAACCATCCACGCTCATATCTACACCTAAGGGCAATTTGAAAGTGGCCAATTAACCTAACCCCACTTCTACATGTTTTGGGGATGTGGGACAAAACCAGAGTACCCGGAGTAAACTGACCCGGATTTGAACCCAGGACCTTCTTGTCGTGAGGCGACAGTGCTAACCACTACACCACTGTGCAGCCTAGATTGGCATCCATTGTGGCTAATAAACTTACTTCATAATACTGAAATTCACCTTTAAGGTCGGTAGGTTTTGGTAGGTTTTGGTAGGGCAGACTCCCTCCATACAGATGGTATATTCCATTGCACTGGTTGTCAGATTGCTTCCTGGTCCTGGCTTGATTTGGTGACTCTTTCTTTCTCCACATTTTTTTCTTCCTTTCTTAAGTCCGATCAAATAAAGGTGAAATTAGTTAAAATAGAAAAATAAGGTCTAAAAAGAAACGACATTTAACATAAGCCCCGCCCTCAATAGCTCGTCAAAGATTCTTGGGTGACCAATCACATTAAGAGGAGGGGCCAGAGCCACCTGTGGCCTCTCCTATGGACACGCCCCTGCATATGTAGAGGTACGAACAAATCAGAGGAAAGACTGGCCTGCGAATACAAAAAACTCTGACTTATGACTTGGGGAAAATATCAACAAAACTCTGATGGTTTCATATCAGTGCAATAAGGAAACTCTCTATTCTAACTGAGTCTCAGGATCATTTATTCCACAGAGCAGAACACAATTAAAAAAACAGATTATAAGACAATGATATATTTTAAGTGCTCTTGTAATTTGATGGAGAGTAGTTTAGCTGTCAAAATGTACATATTGGTTAAGAAGATTATTAAACTTTGTCGCTTTAACAACATTTTCCAATAAGTAAAAATAAAATAAAACAACTCTGTGACCTCAGAGGTCAGCTTCCTTTTATTTTTATATCAGAATAAAAGCCTCTAAACAATCCTGTCCAAAAATGTGCACAAATTTAAAACCAAACCTCCCAACTTTTAGATATTTATAACCAAGTTTTTAGACAACGTGAAGCACTATAAATACTCTCTTAAAGAATGAATTTAGTCGTCTAAATCCCCAGAGAAAGCAGACGTGTCAGTCCTGCTCAGCTGTGCTAATGGGACAGAACTTTCAGGGGGAGGGACCTCCTCTGACTCCCATTAAAGACAGCAGCAGCTATAAAGGAGCCCAGGATGAGATTGCAGCCGGCAAACTAAGACTCACAGCTGCGGTAAGAGTGAGTGAAGAAGAAGAAGAAGAAAAGATATAAAAGAAACACTCAGAAACACGCAGTTGGGTGTACCAGTGTGAGTGAGGGGCTGAGAGAGGAGCACAGGGAAGGAGGAGGAGGGTGAGAAAGAGTCAGAGAGAGACACGGGGAAGAGAGAGGACAGAGAGAGGCATCATCACAGCGTGGAACAGGTTCTTCTTTCTGCAGCTCTCACACTCAGCCTCAGCAGACATGCCTAACTTTGCCGGCACCTGGAAAATGAAGAAGAGTGAGAATTTTGATGAACTTCTCAAAGCCCTGGGTAAGCCCTCTTCTCCTGCCTCTTTTCTCCCCTCTCCTCTCTCCCTTTCATCGCCCGCTCCACATCCCTCCCTGCATGAGGTTTACTATCCATCATGTCCATGTAGAAAAAGGCTTTTCTTGTTCTTTGAGAGCGGCGTGCAGACTTCCAACAACATGGTTTTTTGTTTTTGGAGGAGATCCCTGGGAAAAGAACGCAGAGATCTTCGGGGAGATGCTGCTGAAGGGAAATCCCTCGGCTTTCCAGGAGATATGAAACACTGGATGCTGAATTCCAGCCTAAACAGACGTGGTATTGTTACATGAAAAGAGGAGGGGGGCACAACATTATTCATGTTAAGCATTTAAGTAGGGCATGCATTAGCAATGCCAGGGGAGGTCTCTGGAGCCCGGTGCTGTTCTCTTGTGTCCTATCTTTTTTCATTCTTTTTCACCCTCCTTAGTCTTTGCTGATGATTGTGATGGTTTAGATCTGGACCCGTTTAACTGGGTCAGTCAATTGTGTTGCAGCGTTTGGTCACGCCGGCACTTCTGAGACGGACAGGGCACAGCCAAAGGGAGGCCGCCTGTACAATAACGTAGAAATCTATAGGGACAAGTCTCACTGTGAGCAGAGAGCTGCTGCAGAAACTCAGAAACTGGAGATATAAAACAGAAGAAAACTTTTGGGATGTGAGTGCTCCTTGTTTGGGGATGCTGGAAGTGACACTTTTGTACGAAGTAAACCGAAAACAATTGATGGATTAGTTGTGCATCACTGCAGCGTGTAAGCCTGATGCACTTGAAAGGTTTCTTCAGTTTCAGAGTATTAATTCATCCCTGAAAGCCTCTGCTTTGTGACTGATACCTTTAAATCTATCCAACAGTGAAGTTTCTTAAGTAAAAAGCCTGTAATAGTCTACATTTTTAAAGCAAATAATTATTATTCTGCTCAATAGTATTCCCATCTTTGTCAAAGCCTGGTCTGCTGCAGGTTGTATTATTCTTCAGCATCATAGGTCTTAAATTCTGTCAAAAATGGTAAGTTTTGCATTAGGAAGCACTTTTTTCATATAATGCTGTACATGAAGTTGCACCAAAAGTTAGAAGATCCAAACTTGAACACATCTGAACCTGCGAATATTGTTTATGTCCTTATTGTTTATAAGTGGGTGAAAATTAATCCCAGCAAATCAAGGCAGTCCAAAGGAAAAATACATAACATTGAAGAACTTCTAGAAATAAACCAGTACAACAAAAACAACACTGATTATAATTCACGTAATGACCAACGATATAACAGTAAAAATGACCTTAGATGATAGGAGTGCATCATTGTGGTCTAGATCTAATAAGCAGAGCTACTTTAGCTGCAGCACTAAACTGTTGTTCAGATTTAATTTACTGTTTTAAAAAACTACAATGACAGATTGCTAGAAAAAACTACTTACATTTTCTGTATATTATCATAATTATAATAATTATTATTTTTTTAAGACCCTTAAATCGGTGACAAAGTCGTCAAAATTCATCCTGACACACATTTACTTTTTAAAGCTCCTGTAAGAAGTTTTCATTTGGTTTTGAAACAGATAAAACTTGCTATCGACGCATCTATCTGACCCTCAAAAGCAAAACCAGAACGTAAGAAACAAGATTAACAGTCTCTATGTCCTTATTTTTGATGTCCAGAATCACTGGCGCAGGGTCGGTGTCGGGCTAACTGCACACAGTCTAAATACCTTTTTTTTTTATCAGCACCACATTTGGCTGTGAGACTATCTGAGTTAAAGGTATAAAAGAAAAACACAACACAAAATCTAAGGAGACAAGAGATATTGTTTTTTCCTTAGGGGGCGCCAAAGTTGGTGCTAATCTAAAGTTGCTTACAGGAGCTTTAAGTCTGAATAAATTGGTCTTAAAAAATCTTCAGTGTCCCAGCATCAGATGAAATCTCTTAATTGAAGAGTAGATGCAAGAAAACTTTCTCTAACAATGTTTAGTTAGGGTGTTAGATCCAAAAAACAACCACCTAATTAAGTTAGATTAGGTTAAGTTAGGTTAGGTTCAATTAGGGTTAAACTTAGTTAAGTTTAGTTTAGATAAGTTTATTCAGTTTAGTTTAGTCTATTTCAGTTTTTCTTAAATTCAGTCAAGTCTAGTTTTGTTAAGTCTAGTTTAGTTTAGTGCTTTGGTTTACATTAATATCAATAAAACAGATTAACACACACTTAGGCAATAATAGATCTGACCACCTCTCTCTCTTCACTTTCTGAGTTTACCGCCTCATTATAGTCAAATACGCCGTACACTGTCACCCATTCATGCTCACATATATTCAGTCATATAACTGACGAGCTGCGTTGGGTAACTACAGTAAATTCCAGTGCTGCGGGGCCGCCACTCTCCATCAACATCTTCATAATCATCAGAGGTTTCCCTTCAGAAGGAGAGGGCTGTTATAGTCGGGGCTGCAGATAGAGGAGCAGCATGCTGAGTGAACCGAGCTGTACAATCTGATCAGGATCACAGTTTGCTAAATGAGATCAAAGAATGAAATAAAAGGCTGTACGCTTCATGAACAATTTCACCGCCGAACCGAAATGTGGATTTGATCAAGTTAATATGACTCTAGTTAAAAAATGGGAAAAGTAAACAAACTGCAGGAGCTTGAATCAAAGCACAAGAAGCCCTTTAGTCTCAGAGTTAGCGGTGTTTTGGGAATTTTCTACACTGTCTGAATCTAACGAGAATTAAAATTTGACATCATATCAGGTTTCCAAAAATGAGCACAGACGGTTGGCTCGCTGATGCTTATACATATTTAATGTTAAAAAAACACATGGCGTGATCCCTCAGATCATGGGTGGGGTTGGGTGCGAGCTGTCAAGTTGATGCTTTTCTGCCTGGGTGTGGACTGAACAACACCACAGCGATTTTGGACGAAGATGATCGATCATAGCTGATTAAAGGCAGATGAAAACTTAACGAATATTTAATCTTATCGGAGGATTCCCTTTCTTTACGATCGTCTGGTTCCATCAATGAGGGACGACCGAGTAAAAGATCCAGGACTTTGGCATGACATAAAGCCAGATGGCCCTGTAGTGTCAAACTGGGTGTGCCGAAGTGTTGCCACAAATGACGGTCAATGCCACACGCAGGATCATTACTCTAAGAAGAGCCAGCACTGACCTACCCAAGGCTTTCCTTTCTTTCCTCTGGACATGTCCAAATCATCCCTCACCCGGAGTCCAGCGCCAAAATACCTCAAATTTCTCTCACTTTAGGGAAATAGTCGAGGTTCTTGTCTGAGCCACAAAGCCTTTCTTGTGTTTTTCTCCCAGACAACCACATTTCTGTCATTCTTTGTTAAAATTTAAGCTTATGAGATGTTCTGGTTGACCACTTACAAAGAAATACAGGGAGACACGCAGCCAGCATGAGCTCCTGTATTTAAGGTCCAGAGTCTGATGGAAACTGGCATGAGGGCCTGCAGAGGTCTGAATCTGGGTGGGGTCGAGGGGTGAGGCAGAAAAAGAGACAAAAGACGATGAGCTACGGGAGAATTTTCAGTGCAAAATATTGAAAATAACATGTGAAATCAAATTATAGCTTAGTTTTTATGTTAATTTTTGCCCATTTAATTCTATTGTGACAAAAACAAAAAGACGCAAATCTCAATACTGACGTTTCGGCCATTGTTGCTCTTCTTTCTTTCAGTTTTTCATCGATAAAAACAAGTATTTCTCTTTTTTCTGTGATTTCTTTGACACCACATACAGCATATTTAAGCCCCAGTAGTCCTATTGATCATTTACAATAGAATCAAAATGTTTGTCTTGTTTTATGTCTGTTTCTACAATAAATAGACTGTCATGAAAAAGAGTCACAGGTAGATTCTTGTGCAGGAGAGACAAAATCTATATGAAAATATGTGTATAAACAAAATTACTATATTGTGTATCCCTTGTCTTCAATGATGACCTCAAGGTACAACAAATGTCATATTCTGGGTCATGAAACTGTATTTTAAGGTAAAAATTTAAACAAAGAGCAAGAAAATTCAACATTTTGTATATTGAAGTTTTGTAACTATCAACAATTTTTGAAGTACAAAAAGTTTGTTTCTTAGAATTATTTTTTCACCGTGGCGTCGTAGTCATCCATGATTTGCTGTTTCCTTGGCATTCAGGAGTAAACACCATGCTGAGGAAGGTGGCTGTGGCAGCGGCCTCCAACCCCCACGTGGAAATCCGTCAGGACGGCGAGCAGTTCTACATCAAAACATCCACCAGCGTTCGTACCACCGAGATCAACTTCCACATCGGTGAGGTGTTTGACGAAGAGACGGTGGACGGACGAAAGTGCAAGGTAGGACTGCGACAAAGAATACAGAGATGTGTTTCTGTATGATCAAACACTTAAAAGGCCTTTCAAGTCGTGTAAATCATCTTTACAAATAAATCATTTGTACGGATAATTTGATTAATTTGCCTCCCAGTGTGGGAAGAAATGAACCGTCCTCAGTGGATTATGCAGACACACTTAAAGGTTCAGGTTAGGATAATATTTTTGGCAGGGCAGTGATTAGATTTGGTTCAGTTCCAGAGTTCATGTGACAACTGTGGTTATTGTTGAAATTAGGGTGAGTCCTCATGGGATACTCAAGGCATTGTCCCCGTATGTTGCCAAAAACAAGACGGTATGTGAAAGTGGGTTTCATATTCTGAACATTGTTAAGAAAAAAGATGGGCAAACATTTAACACTCATTTGTTGATAGAATAAATACTAACAGAAAGGACTCATAAGTGTGGGTACTCGTTTCTGTCACTGGTGAAGTTGTTGGTCTCTAAATGGGACATAAACAAACATCAGTGTTAACACTTGGGATAAGAATTTGTCAATGTCCTTTTCGTGTCAGAAGTATAAACGACAGAAAACTGCACACAGTCGAGCAAGAAATAAGATGGATGTAGTTTAGTAAGGTTTCTCAGGACTTCTTTTTAGTCAGTGTCATAACTTCTAAACCAATCTACAGTGATTTTAAACCAGAGATATCAGTCTTTGTAGAACTGCTCCTGTATTAACAAAGGGAACAGCACTGTAATCCTACCATATACCATCATTGCCTAAGTGTCCACATCATCGGGATCTTCTCTGAGTGTTTGTTTCAGTATACTCACAACCCACAGATCAGATCTGTATGCTATTGTTGCCGAGGGTTGAATGAAAAATTTATAACTCCATGCAGTTTCACCCATTTGTATCACCCTCACGTCCTTGCAGTTGGATTAAGGACAGCTTGAGTTTCTCTTTGAACCTCCTCAGTCCCGGAGGGGGATTTCTCACATATTCACTGTCAGAGCTACTTCACAGGTTTGAAAAGAAAGCACAGAGAGGGTTGTCTTTTTTCAGGAACATCAAAGTTTCTAAAGGTGATTACAGGGAAGACTCTAAGTCAAATAGCTGTCAGCTTTCTATAACTACAAAAAAATGCTCATTATTAAATACAAGTGATCAGTGTTGGGCAAGTTCTTGAAAGGAAGTAACAAGTAACATCTTCTTGTCAAAAAGTAGTTATGTCACTTATTGATTCGATTAAGTATAAAAGTGATGAGTTTCTGCAGAAATTAACTTCAGCATCACTTCTTTTGGCTTCAGTCCTCTTATTAATGGACTCGTCTCACCAGTCCTTCGCTGAATTATTCCCTGACTCATCAGCTGATATAGGAAGCATGTCTTTGACAACATACCTGACAACCAGCCTGTTAAGACCTTCCTGGATTACAGATTGTGGAGCTGGCAGTGATTTAAAATCAAGCACTGGTTGTTTGGAAGGAGCAGCTCCTCTTTGGTGAGCACTACTTCGGTCACAGGTGTTTTATTTAGCGCAGGCTCTGTGGGAGTTAACTTTGGAGAAGCGTTTTAGTCAGATGCTTCTTGAGGTTAGAACGACTAGTCTGCTGTTGTTAGCAAGGAAAATGGTTTTCCATCTTGGACATAGACAAGTGTTTGGTACTATATTCTTGTCTTTTACCTTGAGAAGGTAAAAATAATGTGATTTCCAAAACAGTAAGGTTAAAGTAAATTAAATAAAGTTAAGCCTGGTTAAGTTCACTTAGATTAAAACAAGTCAAGTTAGGTTAAGTTAAGTTCAGTCAACTTGTATGATGTTAAATGAAGTTAAGTCAGGATATGTTAAATTATCTTAAATTAATGGAAATTAAGTCGGGTTAAGTTAGGCTAAGTTTAATTAAATTAAGTTAGTTAGGTTAAGTAAGGTTAGGTTAAATTAGGTTAAGTTTATTTTATATAATAAGTTTGTTTCAGTTTAGTTAAGTCTATTTTTATTAAGTCTAATTTAGTTTAGTCCATTTCATTTTTTTAAGTTTAGTTAAGTCTAGTTTTGTTAAGTTTAGTGCTTTGGTTTATATTCATATAAATAAAACAGATTAACACACACTTCTGCAATAATAGATCTGATTGAGGGCTGCAAAAGACCCTCTGATGGGATTAGTCCGGGTACTTTTCACTACACATTTGACATTATTTTAATTTCTTTTAACAAAAGAAAACAAGTAATCTGTATCTAGGTCTAAGTTAAGAAGGCTAAATTAAAAATCTATAAAATTAACTTAACACTGATTAAAAACTCTGCTTAAACATTATAGGACTGACAGAAAAACAAAATATGAGATAAACCTTAAAAACTGAATCAGTTGGGCTCTTGGTGGAAGAAGTTGCATCATGAGTCAATGTTTTTTGCCTCTTTGAGGGGGTGTTTTGATATAAAACTTGTTGAACTTTCACGACTTTACCTCCTGCAGAGTTCAAAGCGTTTGCATCAGATGTTGTCTGCGTCTTGTTTGCGGGTATTTCTCATCCATAAATTTTACAGCACCCTTTTTAACAAATGGAAGAAGGTCATGACTTTAAGATTAATAATTTAGATAAAATGTGTCGTCACATGTTTGTGCGAAGAACTGAGATGTCCCTGCAGAGGTGGACATCTGTTTATCCCCCCACTGCTTGGCAACAAGAGTCTCAGTTAAGGGAAGAAGAGTCTTGTTTGTTGTAGAACACGAGTAAGCAATATCAGCGGGTAATCCAGAGGTACTCTCCTGACACGAAAGGACAAGAGGGGACAGCGAAACATGACGCACAAAGTAGGAACAGCAGAGAGAGGCTAGGAGAAATGGGTTTATGATGCAGTTATGTGATCATCCTAGAGGCTATATCATCTGAACAGTTTTTTGCAGGGGCACCTAAAATGATAAAAACAAAAAGACTCTCAAGACTTTAAGAATTTACTTATCATCGAAAATGTAGGGGTTCTTTTACTGCTAAAGCTGTACAAATCCTATTTTGGAGAAAGTCATGGTTTGGTTTGGAAATGTCTCTGTAAACAATACGTTACACTGTTGGTTAACTCTTCAGACTGTAGAGGCTACTTTCTGCACATTAATAAACAGGGGTGAGTTACAATCCGGTTGCAGATTGGGGGATTATTGACAACCACATGAATTTTTTGACTTGAGGGTGAATTTGGGGTATTTGCATCATATTTTCCTAGTTTTGCAGCTGCATCTGGAGGATAGGTCAGTAGACAGAGCAGACAATGGTGGGAGATACATGGGAGCGGAGCTGCAGGGTGGAATCGAACCTGTACAGACCATTTTGGACCTGCAGGGCTCTGAAACCCTCAACCTTTTAAGTGTTAGACTTGCCAATAATAAGTTCACTAAGATAGTTTTAGAAATAAGTTTGTTTTTGGCTTTGATTTCTTGATTTGTGGGAATTCATTGCCTGTCGCTGTCCTCCACATGCTTAATTAATGTCCTCTGACAAAAATCTCATCCTGCTGAGTGTTGACTGTCAAATATCTCGGCATCAAAAATGACAAATTCGAAATCATGTTTACTTTTGTACATCATAAAAAGACATGAGTTTGAGTTAAAAAAAATCGTATTAAAGACATTTTAAGAGAATTTTAGACATTTCAAGACCTTAGAGTCAAATAATTGGATTTTAGACGTTTACTCTGATACTCTGATCACAGAACTGACTTTTAACCAAGTCATCCACTTTATTGAGGAGCTTGTTCTAACTGAGTTTCACATTGCTGCTTCATCACCCTCAAACTAAACTGCAGTTTCTCCTCAGAAAGAGCTTCAACATGGAAATTTAGCATCTGCAGAAATATGCCCGGGTTACAGAAAGCTGTGATATTCATGTTTGTGGAGAGGAAATATTGCAGACTGCAGAGGAAAAATATGTAATTGCATGTGTGCTCTAAGCAGAGTCAATAACAGAGGGCCAAAGGAGAAGCAATCTGGCGTTTATTTTGTAACACCAAAATCATCGGGAATTGCACACATGAATATCAGCTATCCTCACCACTTTGAATCTGACATGTGTACAAAATGGTCACACCTACCTCTCTCCTCCTGATGGGATTAACATGTTGCAGTCAGGCTGGGCTGACATGACCTATTTCAGATTCCAGGAGACAGTTTTGCTCCTTCTGTCTGTGCCCCGGAGCATGCTGGGTACTGGGCAGGGCTAGACAGCTCTCAGTGTGACTCCTGGCCACACCAGGCCGACAAACCGAGTTGTCGTCACTCTTTTGTCACATCCACTGGTGAGGGTATTATCCTGCAAAGTGGCTGTGTTTATAATTTGCTGCAGTCAGTTTTTCCTCTCTTAGATTCTCATTCATCTTGTAGGTTTCAGTCAAGAGTTTTACTTCTGAGAGTCGGCATGAAGGCAGGGAGCTTCTGAAGGGAGCGGAAAAGGTAAATATAGCTGTAGCAAGAGAGGGCACAGCTTGACTGAAGAAGATTTGACATTACAGAGTCTTGAATGACGTGCCAGACTGCATTATGACGCAGGGACATCAGGACAAGTGTACATTATAAAGCAGAAGTAGATCTATGTGGGTGTGGAAGTACAAGACAAAAACATGAACTTCAGATTACTTTAGGTAAAGGCCTTAAAGGCATGGTTGACGATCTGAGAAGCAGTTGAAAAAAACTGAGCTGTTGAGGGCCACCCCCCACACACAAACCTCCTCCCTCTGTGCTCCATGATAACTCCCCCCAGACCTCTATCGCCCTCCCCACGACACGCCCCCTCTGGCAAAGCAAGAAGCTGGCCGGCAGAAGATCCTACAGTACGGCAGTAAACACCAGATCTGCTAGTGAGCACCGTCTGCAGCTGCCTGGACAGCTACCATGTTGACATCGCAGAGACTAATAAGAGTTATTTATGTAACATGTGCCACGATAAAAGGCGATAAAAATGACCTGTTCAACAAAAACTGCTGTCTCGGCGTCTGTTTTCAGGCCCAAATCCTGGCGAAGCTTTCTCCACCGCTTGAAGGATGACCCGATGTTTATTCGAGTTAGATTCCTCGCTTGGTCACATTTCCTCTTCGACTCCGCCCTTTCTTCTGTCGGCTTGTGTTTTCTTAGCACTTTTGGCGGTGGGGCAAGCAGAAGTGTTTTTTTTGCGTCCTTCTCCATAACAGCTCCTGTAGCTAAGCTGCTACGCTACTTTTAGCCGCTCAGAGCTCCGGAGGGCTGGGAGAGTGGGAGGGAACGAGTCGGAACTACCGGAGAGGGGTGTGTCGAATACAGCGAGGTGACTGGATGGAGAGGCAGAGCAGGAGATTGACCAATAGGAGCTTTCCGGGACGCTAAATTATTATTATTTTTTTTTTTGTAGGATGTAGGGGAAGGTCCCGCCCTCCTTTGCCTCTGATTGGCTAGAAGTGCTGGGCTCTGATTGGTTATTCCTTATGGCTGTGAAATATCATCGTCTGTCGGGTTAGGATTAGGATTAAGGTTAGGGTTAGGAGATTCAGAAGTGCGATACTGTCCTGTAATGTTCTGTTTCATGTACAGAGCCACCAGCCACGTTTGGCTTGAGCGTATGATGACATTTCCAGCTTTTCTAGCTAATCAGAGGCAAAGGAGGCGGGACTTTCCCCTACTGTCCTACAGAAAAAAAAATTCGCGCCAGGGGCGGATGGCTCCCATTGGTCAATGTTTTTGCAGCCCTGCACCTGCTAGGGTGAACAGATTTTTTCCATTCTTTTTTCTCTTCACTTTGTGGAGATCACGCTATAGGACCATGATCGCCATAGAAACAAGGTTCATAATAATAACCAATCTCTCCAATTGTCAACCATGCCTTTAAAATTACAACAAATTCTTGAGTCAAATCCTGACCTTGCAGGAAGTTGTTGCTTAAACCTAAAAACACTTCAAGTTCTGGAGCTGCTCTCACCACGGTGTTTGTATGATCACGATTTTATCTCATATCAATACTGAGAAGAAAAACTTCACTCTAAATCCAAAGAGTAAAAGATTCCACCCCCGATATTTTTATTGAATGTATTTTTCATCAAGAAGAAATGAGCGAGTAGCTTTCAGCTGCAAAACATTGTGCTTTGTGTTGCAATCATACGCAAGAGCGGAGCACGACCTGCAGGAAGTGGCGCCCACTGACACTTGAACATGTGCCGGAGGGGCAGTGTGGGGGTGTGTGGGGTGTTGGCTGATTCTCATGTGGTGTTTGGCAGGAGAGTCCTTTGTGGGTTTTGGCTGAGGCCGGCCGCCCCTGTGGTTAAAGGGATTACACGCTGATCTTTGCCTGGCGAGGAGCAGAGGTCTGATTAACGCCGCCACGAGGTTAAAAAGCTCCGGTTAAGCTGTTTGAGTGCGGTGGGATCAGGCGGCTTCTTCTCACTTTCAAGAGGAGACGGTGATAAGACACTTCCTGTCGTCTCAGGGGGGGACAAGAGAGACACGGATATCGGACAGGCTCCAGTGCAGAGTCGGAGTTATACTGAGAGGAGTTTTTACCTGCTCTGATGAGACATGAAAGTTTGGTTTTAGGGAGTGAAACAGCAAATCAGACAAAACCGTATATCATATGACCGAGATAAAAGTCCAATACGGGCTATTGTGCATCCTGACAGGTGATCTTATGATGAGTAGATGAAGTAATTTTAATCCATGAAGGTCTGCAGCCTTGAATTACCAGAAAAGATTTGTTCCTGTGTTTGTGTCTGTGAACTGAGTGTGATTCTTTGGCTTTTGACAGTGTTTCATTGAGCGTGGAGGAGCAGGAACAGGCCTCAGGCGAACGACAGTCAAATCAAACATCCGCTGAAGAAGAGAGAAGCGGGGAGACAGACTCTTTGGGCTGAGTCTTATATAAACTGAGGGCAAGATTGAGGATTCTGGATCTGCAGCTTCCTTTTGTAGAAACTGTCTGGTCAGAAAAAAACTCCTGTCATTCTGTCTGCGACTTATGTTGATTCGTAATTAGAGACAGATTAACTGACAATGCGTGAGATTAGCAGCTGATGTCACACGTTTATTCCTTACAGGACATATTTCAAATGATAATCTCGGTCAATTTAGAGTAATAATAACAGCTGAGAAATGACTTTTCACATGTTAAGTAAGCATAGCTAATAATTATAGATTAGACTATTACAGAATACTGCACCACTGCTTAGCCCTACCAGTTGGATCCTGCTGCAAAATTGAGAAATTTATGTGAAGCAGGCATAGTGTCGTCCACGAGCATCTCAGCAATCATTTAATAGTTACTCCGCTTCAAATTGTGAAGGAGCAGCTGGTAAAAAAACAGCAGTACAGAGACTTTAGGACCCACTCCAATGAAAATCATGTTTTTCTTGTTGTCTACATGTTAATATGGCCTTTTTGTGATGCTACAGGGTGTATCATGAGAGAAAAAAAGGGCGAAATTGTATTTCTGAGTATTTCTGCATTCAAACCGCTGTGAATCTCTGGTGGATCCAAACAGCCGATCCAGAAACAGTGAGATTTCTTATGTCACAAACCCAAGCTCCGCCCCCGAAACCCTGTTATGCAGGCTAGACTCGGAGAAATAAAGAGGACGATCACAGAACAACCGTGTGCGTTAGCGGATTGCAATGCTCTTAAGAAAGCTAACTATGATGTTAGTTTTCATCATGTCCCCAAAGACATCTGTGTCTGAGAGCTGAATAGCTCATATATTACCTGTTACTTCTTCTACAACAGCAATGTTAAGCCACGTTCAGACCAAATGCCAAATTTGATTGATTATAATGAAAAATAGTTGCTGCCAGAACAACAAAGTTTCATATCTTAAAAATAGTGGTATGGTAATGTGAAGTAACGTCAGCGTGGTTCAAGGGCGCCGAATAAAAGCGGGGTCAAAAGGAGTGTGAAGGTCCATCAGAAACTTCAGACCATCTATGGACCACCTAAAATCATTGTTTTTGTAGGGTCCCAATTCTCTGATGTAGATTTTTGCTCATTGTTTATGTATTTTTTTCACATGTATGTCATGTTGGACGCTTTGGCTAAAAGTGTTTAAGATGTTACATGATATCTTTACACAGACCTACGTTAGGTTTTGAGTTTTTTTGCTGCGCATGTAGAGAGCTGATCTGAGAATGTCGAAACAGGTTTTTCAAACACGTCGTGAAAAGATTTTTAAACAGATTTTTACTATTTAAGACTTCAGATTTTTCGACTCTGGGATATTTAAAGAAAGTCAAATTGACTCTTAGAGACTTTCAGAAAGTGCAGCTCGAGGCACTTCTGCGTGTCTTCGCCCCGCTGATGTTTCACCCTGTAAGAATGAGCTGATCTGATCCAAGAGCGGCAGTGTCTCAGATTTGTTCCCTGAGGTTAGAGGAGCGAGTTCTGGAAAATTGATGAGCAAACACTGACATGGGGAGGGATAATGTGATCAAACTGTGGGAAGTCTCACACAGGTCCGGGAGGCAGTGAGGGTGTTGGTTCAGTTCAAAGAAAATCCAACATTCAAACCCAGCAGGAAATTAGATGTTGTTCCTCACTTAGCCGTGGTGTTTGTGTCAGATAAGCGGCCGATACTTAAAAGTCTTCGTTCGTCTGAACTAAGGCCAGAGGCAGCACATGCTCGGATGAGTGAAAACCTGCAGAAAAAGCAGGATGAGTTTGTCTTGGTCTCACTTTGTGTGTGCACAAGCTCTCGTGTCCTGTTTGGAAGAGAAAGATGACGCGTGAGAATTTGTCTGAGACTTTTTTGAGAGAGAAAATCCATCCTGGGACTGATGCTAATGTAAAAATGAAGCCGTAGCTATTCCACTCTTTGGGTTCTGGCTTTAAAAAAACAAGGAAAGAGCTGGAAAACCTGCTGCTGTTCAGCTTGGCAGAGTGTGTGGAGGGCAGCCTGCAGGGATCCATGACGACTCTTCTTACCTTTGATATGCTGATTAACACGTGAAGCACTGCGGCGCACGGCTGCTTCGCCTGAAGTCAAACGAATCATTAAACAAACTGTTGATGAGCGAGAAGATTTACATGAAACCATGCGTGAAAATGCCTAAACAAACTCTCATTGCCTGCCCAGATTGTAATTTTGTTGGATGAGGATGTTTTGCTTGAGTTGGATGAAGTAACCTCAGCTTTGATGAGTTTCAGGCTTTGGAGCTTAAGATGTGATATTGAAGAGGAAGAAGAGGCTAGACGTATTGATAAGAAAACAAATTTCATCAGGGAGGGAAAATATAATTAAATTCAGATACCATAGTGAAGCCAAAAACAGAGAGAAAATGTAAGAGATGATTAAAGATTTAATAAGAAAATTCAACAAATATTTTAAGGGATAAATCATGTTTTCTTTAAAACTGAGATTGACCCAAGAAAACTGTTAATACTAGGGTGATTATACGTCCTCTTTTACCCGGACATGTCCTCTTTTTGGAGGGCTGTCCGGCCTTGTCAGGGGAGTTTATAAAATCCTTTAAATGTCCGGGGTTTTGTATGGAAGTTTTAAGTTTGGGTCGAATGGACTTACTGAGTTAAAAGTGCATAAAAAAGCTCCAACCGACCCGAAAAACCCTTAAAATTAACTACATGCGACTCTGTAACTCTGCCCCTGCGTAGTCGTGTCCTCTTTTCGGGGAATCAGAATATGGTCTTGCTACAAACAAGCGGCTGATGAAAGGGAGTGGGTGAGTTGTGTTTAGTCTCTTTGTCAAAGAAATCAGGCAAAGTTAAAAAGATGTTTAGTGACTAGTGCTGTGACTGGGACCCTATATACTGCTGATGAAGTTAGGTTCTGTTCTGAGCATTATTTGTGGCTACAAAGTGGCTTTTTGGTTGAGGTTTGCACGTGGGGATGTAGACCTCTGTGTATTGCTATTGTGCGGTCATTACTAAAGTTGGTATAACTAGAGAAGCAAGCGGTCGGCAACATTCATCTCTCGAGGGGGTGTCTAACTCGGTGTTACTGTGTGTTTTACCCTAAATTAATTTTACGCCGGAATATCCCTTTAAGATAAAGGAGGATACAGGACACATTGTTTTACTCTGACACCTTTTCAAATTACAAAATATGTATTTGTTGTTAATAGACACGACTTAAGCATGTGGAGGACAAGGTAAGCGAAGACAGCTTTGTCCACAGGGGGTGCTCTGTGTTTGAAGTGTTTGGTTGTATAACTGTTGTCACTTTTGATTTCCCTTTGACAGAACCAGACTTGTTACACAATATCTGTTGCGATAAGCTAAATATCTGCCTGTACTTTTATATGTGACTGACATGTCCACTGGTAAGTCAAGCCAAGCATACAGGAAAACAAAATCGTCCAATCAGAGCTGCTAAAGGTCCGCTTACTTGTCTTAATACTTCGATATATCCTGTTTCTGGTTATGGTGGTTTCATGTAAAACCTGAGGAGGTAAAAAAGCTTTAACAAAACTCTCATCTTGGACTTACAGTGAGGAAGTTGTGACGTTGGACGGTTGAGGTAATAACAAAGGAGGTGGCTTAATGGACCCTGAGCCCACCAGAATGATGAAACCCTCTCCATTAACACAAGTAAGCGCCACAGGGTCGCTTCAGTCCCGCTCTTTTATGAATTCTGCGCTCCAAAAGAGGTAATTTGAGTCGATTACTTCAGGAAAAATGAGTCCTGAAGTGAAAGTCTGACTAATCCTGTTGAAGTCATCTGAAATATTATTAAAGCGAATTAGCAGAAGAGGGGGGAGGACCATACCGACCTGATTGTTAAGAGGATTTTATGACTTTTCTCAGTCTGCTAAAGACTCAGGTCACTGATTTATAATATCATATTTCTTTGTTCCTAGAGGTCTGGCTGAGGATTAATGACCACATGACAAATATCATTTCTAAGTAGCTGGGATACATGATGAGAAATATGTGGTTTTTGCACCCATACTGTGTGAGACTGTAGAATATGTCACACCGAAAGTGACTAAATTCATCTGGAGGGTTTTTTCTTTTCTTAAGTTGGCTGAGAAGAGGAAATATCAGCAGCTGGATTATGGAGTCGAGCTCAAAGTAAATATAGTTAACAGCAAATTGACCTCTGAAAAAGTGCGACTATGACACTTTTGACCAGTAAACGAAAGAGTTGGTGTAAGAACTTTTTAAATTATTATACTTTTTGACAAATTAAATGATGAGTAATGTTACATTTTCAAAGCTATTGAAAAAGTTGATTCCAAAATGAAGTTTAAGAAGTTATCATTATTACATGTTTTGTATAACTCACTCTCTTTTAGGTCTGTATTTAGTCCTCAGGCAAATATTGATGAAGGTTAGAAGTCTTAGATGGAAGTAAGACCCAAAAATAGATTTTAGGGTTATTTAATTCACAAGAACTCTCGCAATTAATAGGTTTGTCCAAATCCAGAAGCATCATGTTTAGGGTAATTAAAGATGTGTCCTTTATCACCTTTGTAGATCACTGGGGTGGAGCTTAACTGAGACAATCATGTCCACGTTTCAGTCACCAGCCATCATCTTTCCCTATTTACTTTAGCATGACAAAAAAGCTCCTGTCTCCAAGCAATAGGTATCTAAGTAGCTTTATTATGTCTTGTGTCCACCCCCTGTGGACAAAGCAGTCTTTGCTTATACAGTCTTCTAAATATCCTTTGGCAAAAAATCTCATCCTGCTGACTTTTGACCATCAGATGTATAATTTATTCTTATTATTTCATATGGAAACTACCAAGAAACCACCATCAGTCTTGTCCCTGATAGTTTTGTTTGCTTTTAGATACCAGGAAAAAGCATTAAGATTAATTTCAGTCTATTTCATTGATGACAAATCTCCTTATAGTAGCTTTAATCTTTATTTCACAAGACAATTTTAGAGTCTCAAGGCCTTTTGAGTTTTTTTCCATTTCAATCACTGACGATATCATTGAGTTCAGCAAAATACTTGCATTTAATTGCATAATTATTGTATTTATCTTATTTGAAGTGGGGACCCATGGTAAAGGATGCATCCATCATGTACTTTGTGGCCGGGAAAATGAAGGATGTATTTTCTGCCTCTCAAAATAGGACAGCATCATTCTCCCGCTGTAATATAACTAAATGGACTCTTTAGGGGATGCAGCCTATTACACAGGCAAGTAAGGCAATAGTACGTAAAAGGAAAGAGAACAAGAAATATGACTCTGTTTTTTTCTGCTATTGGAAGTACAGAGAGCTCTGTACTGGACACAAACTGTTCTAAGTATGGTCGTCACAGTCAGTATGTTCAACTGCACAGCTAAACTAAGAAAAGTTGACCCCTAAATAAGATCATTTAACTGGACTTTTACAAGCGCTGGGCAAGAATTGATTTCCTGCTTATCAACGATGGGGCAACATGCCCCCTTTCAGCTTGTACAACTGGACTGACTCCCATTTAACCTACTAACTCAGGTACCAAAACAATCGACAAACGTGGTAACTAGTGGCTAATGGGATGAAAAAACATCGCTTTTACAGAACTGGACTTTTTGGATGACTCTAGAGCTTTTCCTTTATTTTTACATCCTTATTTCTTACTTTCTTGAGGTTTTGTTTACAACTACAGCCAAACAATGGCGGTTACCATATTGGAAATATTAACTCAGTGTCACTTTCACACCTAGCATGAGGCGAAGAGGCGAAGTTAAGGGCTGTTCAGACCCAAACTGTTTTCTTTGTATCTATCTATCTATCTATCTATACCTTTTTTTTTTTGCACAAGGCTGTATAAGTGTATTTTTTGGCTTTTTAACATGAGTGGTAATGGGTCTCTATGGCTTTTGGAGCCAGCCCCAAGTGGACGTTTGAGGAACTGCAGTTTTCAAATTTGATTTAATTTCATTTGGTGCACGTTAATCACTTAAAGAAACCTTTTGCACACTGTCATTTGATACTTTATCACTATTAAACGTCAGTAATAGATGTTATGAGTCCTTGTTAGACTCTAGTGTGTAACAGGTTGACGCCACATCTCTGTTTGGAGCGGTTATAAGCGCTGTCCAATTACACTGATTAGTGGTGCACTATGAAGTCACCTTTTACATATATGTCTTTCTAATGTGTTTTACTGTCATACTGACCTTTAGTCTTCGCTGTCTGCAGAGTCTCGCCACCTGGGAGACGGAGAACAAGATCCACTGTAAGCAGACTCTTGTGGATGGCGACGGCCCCAAAACCTACTGGACCCGAGAGCTGAACGGAGATGAGCTCACACTGGTGAGGGCACGGAAATGATTCATCATCTTACTGAAAGCTTCTTAATAGATTACTGCTTAGAGAAGAGGGGAAGACGGAGAGAGGGACTTCACTGGAAAGACAAAAGCTCGGAGGCTGGGTAGATTAATGAACTCACTTTAGGCTCGGCTCAACAAAAGAAGACAGAAAATAGTTTCTAAAATGTTATTCCCTGTGCGGAGAGAGCATTTCTTGATGGGTATTTAATCGGTGTGATTTGTCTGTTTTCTCATAGAGGGTAAACATACTTTAGGATGAGATTTCGAGCAGCTCTGTTTGAGAAATGGTTACCAAAATGAGGCAAGGGTGTGTATGAAGTCACCCAGGAGATTCATCCGTAAAGGGAGTAAGAAAGGCTGTTCTCCGAGGAGCCCAGCTTTCATCCACCCCGCTGAGAGAAGTGAAAGGAGAACAAGAGGAGCTGCTACACTGACATCGCAGTAATACCCCGGTATTTAGCCAGATTAATATGGGCAGAAGTCAATGGGTCTAAAGCCCCTCGAACGATATGCAGGGGAGCAGTCCAAGACCAATGGACAGGGCGAAGAGTTCTCAGGGACTCAACAGCTTTCCTCTCCCGTCGTTCTTCGCTCCCACGCTCTGCTTTGTTGTTCCTCGAGTACTTACAAGATGAATGTTTGAAAGGAGAAAGCTTGAACCAACAATATAGAAGGTTTAGATGCAGCAAAAAGAGAGTCACAGGATGTTTGCACAGCTTCGTATTACCTCCCAGAAGAAAACACAGAGAAAGGAGCAGCTTGAATCAGACTTTTAATGCTAATGTGGATCTCCATTGTTTGGAAGAACTGTGAAGAAGGCAGAAATCTCTCCTGATCTTTGGGCGATAAAAGCAGAAGGTGTTAAAGCGCCTGGCCCTGTGGTGACACTCTGGCCCGGCTGCCCCAGAGGAGCTGAAAACATTTGTGGAGCGGTGGAGATTGATCTGTCCGAGCTGTGACTGTGGCTCTTCTCACCTCAGAACTATTAAAAAACCCAAAGATAGACCACATTGGGGTGGCAGTAGCTCAGGAGGTAGAGCGGTCGTCCAATAACTGGAAAGTTGGTGGTTTGATTCCCCACTATCCCGAGCCAGTCCATTGTGTCCTTGGGCAAGACACTTAACCCACCTTGCTCCCAGTGTGTGTCCTCCACTGGTGTATGATTGTGAGTGTTGTGTGGTGGTGGTCGGACAGTCCAGTTTTTGTCATCATTCACCTGTGACATCAGTCCTAAATTTTCTGCTACAGAAGCTCTAGAGGGTCAATTCAAGCAAGAGGGACAACCCAAGAGATGTAGAAGATGAGTCATATCAGTGGTGGAGACATTTACACATTTATCGAATACTAAATAGTAGGACTGTCAGTTTAATAATCTCTGAATGTAATAATGTATGAAATAATCAAGTTTTGTTCACATATTAAAAATCATTATTTTGAAATTTAAAACAGATTTAAAGTGTAAACCAACAGGGCAGTTGTGATTTCTCACTGATGTCCTGTGATCCTGGTTAATGCAACAGCTCTTGAACTTTTCTTGTTCTTGTTCTTTTTCTTCTTATTATTCTTTCCCCAACAGTAAGACAAACGAACTGATCGCAAACGAGCAGCAACGTCTGGTCATAAATTAAGCTAAAGTGGAACTGCTAAAGAAACCATGCACACACTAATCCGAAAACATTACTAAGGTTACAAGATTGACAAATCAGAAGCACAGCTGACTCGACTGACAGGCAAGCAAGCTGTTGCCAATTGCGATGAGGCCAAAGACTCGCCTCTGGAAAGTTAGGATGAGTCAGCACCAATGTGACGCCAAAAGGCATCAAAACACGTATAATCATGACATGCGAGCCTGAGGAAATCCTGCGTCTGTGATGGTTATCCCACTCCACAATAATGAGTGGTGACTTTTGACACTTATCTGCACCTGTAGGCTCTGTCCAAAGTTGCTCAAACTTTAAAGGGATATTAAATCTCTGTTTGTATCAAAGTGCACATTACTTTGGGTTTAAACGTCTTCCCTGAGACATCTGCTACATGACCAGCTCCATCACAGAGCAAAAGCAGCCCTGTATCCTTCAGGTGCTGATATAAAGTATCTGCATTCCACCTTTTTTCATGAAGTATCACTCTGCTTTAAGAGGTTTGACATTTGACTAAAGTTAGTCAGCTAATTTTGTGAGTTGTTGGAGTTGAAACGAATCAAAAAGTGTCCCCTGCTGTTGTGTCTGTTCACTAATTGTCCTGTTGAACTTTTGCACACAGCATAAGCAGTATCACACAATGGGCACAGCAGGGATTATGCTGATTTACTGCTTATAATCCTGCCGGTCGGCTAGTTTGCAAAACTTCAACGAATGCAAAACATCACTTAAAATGGTCTGAATATTTAAACAATTATTCACTAAATCATTGAATTCCTGGAAGTTTTTTTAGACCCTGTAGGGGAACCGTGGTATGAGTCATCTTAGTTCCCAGCAGGCCTCTTTCTGCTGGACAAAAACTTCACAGTCTGACTGAATCTGAATCACATCTGTCTCAAACGGCCGTCTGACACAGAGAGACAACCCCAACAATCACAGGGCTTTAGCTCAAGAATGAGGACCGGGGATCATAACGCAGTGGTCTGATTGTCTGTGGCGGTTCACACTGTAAGTGGGCCACATTTCCATACAATTTGCATGATCCGTTTAATTGGTTTAGTCTGAAAACACATTAGGGGCAGAGTCGTGTGGATTTTCTCCAGTAGCGTCAAGCCTGAACTAAACCCGAAAAATGAAGACGATTGGACTCGATCAGTGGAAGCTTATGCATTTAAGAAAAGCAAAAAATCACTTCTAAGGGAGTTTCTTCTGGTTTCATCATCAACAGTTTGCAGTATGGTCCAGATTAACTCGGGTTTAGTTTGAATGAAAGGATGTGACACATATGTCACCGCTTACTGGGATTTCTGTGAGGTTTTAAAATTAATCATAACTAAGCCAACTAATTTCACATCCCTCATACTGCAAACAAGACGTGTGGGAAGTTATTACGTTTATTTGTACCGCCCTGCCTTCTTATGTTTCTCCTCTCTATGTGTCTATTCTGTGACAGGATTTATCATCTGCACTTTATACAAAGACGCTCAGTGAACAACTTGTGTTTGAAATATTTACTCTGATAGTCTGATACCTGGAGGGCAGATCCACATGTGTACAAGATCGGCCAATGACAGCATTTCACCACAATCCAAGACTGAGATGGTTTTGCCGTCAGCCAGCAGCTGCACACAAACTTTTAAACTTGCTGTATGAGTGGGTTCATATTGAACAATGATTACAGATGGTGATTGTTTACAGATAACCGTATTTTTCGGGTGATAAGGCACACCGGATTATACGAAGCAAATTGATGTGGCTAAGTTCACACATAAGGGGCATTAAGCATTGATTGATTTATTTTACAGTCCGGCAGTCTTGTAGACAGCGTACCGTAATGCTCAGAATATCCATTTAGCAGCGCGGATTCGTTGCTTACCAAAGTCGTACTTACACATTTCGACAGAGTTTTTAGCACATCGTACCGCATAAAATCGGTCTGTAAGCACAACAAGTAATCAAACATAAGGCACGCTGGATTATAAGGCTCACTGTCAATTTGTGATTTCACGTGTGCCTTATTGTCCGAAAAATACGGTAGGTGAAGTACAGAGACTACAGCTCAAACTGGATTAAAGCTCCAATGAGCAACTTTAGGTTTGTGTCAATTCTGGCGCCCCAAGTGGAGAAAGTGGAAAGCTAAATCTCATCCTGTTGACTTTAGGCGGATAAAAACATCATTTATCATGGATGTTTTCTGTAAAATTTAAAGAGACGGGGCTGTTTTTTTAGCTGTTCAGCTGACAAAAATGGCGTTTACTAAATGGGCCTTAATTAAAAATCTTCACAGTTCAGACACACAAACTGAAAGAAGCAATTATATTAAGTGAAAATAGAAATACAGAAAGATTGCCACACTGCCTTATTCTCGGTCAGTCTTGTATTAGGTGATCATGGATGTCAACAACTGGTTTAAATGGACAAAATAAACCCCAAAACCAGGTACTTTGATCTTGGCAGTGGAAGGAGTTTTAGACATTGTAAGTAGGGGTGTTAGATGTTATGAACCACCAATCTTACCATATTTACAACTGTGTTTTTGTCGAAACAATGCAACAACTTGATGTGGTAGTTTTCATGTTTGATTTAGGTGGATTAATGTAGAAAAAGTAAAGTTTTAGTAACAGCTGCTTGGATTAATTAGAAAAGACCAGGATTTTACAGGAATGATGACACTATGTTTTTGTTTCCTGCAGATTTTCGGGGCAGATGACGTAGTCTGCACGCGGATCTACATCCGGGAATGATGCTCTCCAACCTTCATCAGGGCAAGGCAGGAACCTGATTGGACCACAACCTCTTCTTCTTTAAACCCAACAGTGCTCCGCCACGCTAACACGCTTACAAAGTATTCTGTGTAATCACTCAAACTGCTTAGTCTCCACAAACAATAGCAATGTCTCTGTAATCTGGTTATTTGTAGTGAGTGTCGCTTCAGCAGGACAGTAGCTGGATATGTCGGTGTTCATATTCTGCAACCCTGGTGTCAGATGTTTACGTAGGATTTAGTCATCAATAATGCCTCTGTGTTCAGTTACAGGAAACAATAAAAATGGAACAAACAGCGGCTGAGTTTCTTTTTGTTTGACATTATATCCACCCTGTTCAATATTCAGGCTCGGAATGACAACAGCCAAAGACCTCACGTCCCATCATGCTCCAGCCTCCCCGCTCCCCGCTGCCCAACGTCACTGGCTCAGCTCCTTCCCAGACGCTCCCGAGAGACGTGTCTTTGTGTCTGATGCAGTTCTGAGGCAACAAGATTAGAGACAGAGTGGGGCTGCGAGATAAGAGCAGACAGACTGGAGCAAATACAGTCAAGAGCTTGAAAGCCGGGGCCCTATCACTCCGGCGTGACGAATGCCACAGTTTCACATTTCCATGGATCGTCTATTCATGGACACAGACGGCTGGGTGTTAAATTCAGAGGGGCACGAGGGGACGTATGTTATTTTTTTTCTACATGAAGTATTTTGGGATAAGGATTGATAGAAATCAGTAAAAGATGTCTCCTCACGACTCGCCCTCAGGTCTCGTCATGAAGGGACGATGTTATTGGAGTGAACAGACACTGTGGCGTTTGTGGTCATTTTGTTGATCTGACCTCTTTTGCTTCACTTGCCTTTCAAAACTAGCTGTCTGCTTTGGTTACCAACAAGGTGGTCGAATTTTGATAAAAACCTGCAGGACGAAGCTCAGCAAAATGAAAGTCAGAGGAGCATTATTAGACATGATGAAAAAAATGAAGTATTTTTACCTTTAGTTTGACAGTCAGGTAGAAAAAGGATGGGCTGAAAGGGGACACTCCATTTGGTCTTGGTCTACAAAGAACTACGTTTAGTTTCCTACATTTCCTTTTCTTTCTACAATAACTGTGAATAAAGAGCTTAAAAAGGTTTGTCGAAAAGCTAGCTCGCTCACAGATACCACTGCATGTAAAACACGATCTTAGCCAGGGGCGGAGTCAGACTTTTAGACTGAGGTGGCCAAACTGGGGCTCTGTTATCTGCAGAGGTGCTACTAGGTATGCAGTGCAGGTTTTTTGATGGGGGTAGTTTTGATTCTACTTGATTGGACAACTGATGTAGAAAGTGGACGAGGACAGGTAGCCAAAGGTGACATCAGGTTAGCACTGCACCAGTGACCGCTGCAACAAAGACATGGGGTGTACTTAAGCCTTTGGGGCTTTGCCACCCCAATCATACTCACTTTACCAAATTATTTACTTCTTATTAAGAATTTAAAGTAGGAATAAAAAGAAACTAGGGCTCTCAATAGTGTATGCAAGATCCAAAATCAAGGACAGGCACACCAAAGGCTGAGTGAAACGGAACTTCGAAAACTTCACTTTTCAAAGTTCAAACCCGCTTTAACCATTGAACAGACGCTAAGGCCCTTGTGGTTGGCTGAAAGGGATATTCTGGCGTAAAATTAAGTTAAGGTCAAACACACTGTAACACTGTGTCAGACACCCCGTCAAGAGATGAATGTTGCCGACCGCTTGCTTCTCTAGTTATACCAACTTAAGTAACGACCGCAGATAGCAGTACAGAGAGCCACGCACTCAACCAAAACGCTCTAAACACTCTATAACCACAAATAATACTCAGAACAGCACTTAACTTCATCAACAGGACATATAGGGTCCCAGTCATAGTACCAGCCACCAAAAATCTTTTAAACTTTGCCTAATTTCTTTAGCAAAGAGACTAAACACAACTCACCTACTCTCTTCCAGCAGCCGCTTGTTTGTACAAAGACCTCCGGGTGAGTCCATCGACTGCAGCGGGGGGAAGCAGCTCAAGGAAGAACATTTATGATCATTATTTGTGGCTATAGAGTGGCTTTTTGGTTGAGTGCGTGGCTCTCTGTTTTGCTATCCTGCAGTCATTACCAAAGTTGGTATAACTAGAGAAGCAAGCGGTCGGCAACATTCATCTCTTGACGGGGTGTCTAACTCGGTGTTAGGGTGTGTTTGACCCTAAATTAATTTTAGGAATATCCCCTTAAGCCAACCACAAGGGCTTTAGCATCACTTTGATGGTTGAACCAGGTCATAAAGATGCTCCACCTGTGTCCTTGCATTTGGGACATCTGACCCAGAGCTCATGATGTCGCCTTGAGAATCTGACAGGAAAAGCTGCATGATGTTAGTGGATTATGGCGCCATGGCCCTCCATATGGCTTGGGATTAGATATGGTGATAATGATGTTGTTAATTTGATGAACATTTCATTGGGTGTCTCATTGAAGGTGGTCTGCTGAGAAAGTTCCCTGTAACTCGAGGCTCATTCACAGTCTTTTAAAGAGACGTGTTGTTGTTCCTCTGATTGCTCGTAGGAAGGGGACTCCTGTTTTTTTCCAAGCTGGGGTTGTTGTTAGCTTTGCCAGTAAGGTTTTTTTCAAGGGGGGGGGGTGCAGGGCTGAGAGAATTGGCTGACTAAAGAAACGAACCCATTCACACTGTTTGTGCTCCATGGCCCAGTTGTTTAAATTGGAGAACCATATGTATTTGAAGAAAGAGGGTGAAGTGATCCATTTTTCGTCTCTTCTATCTCGTGTCTCAGAGCCGCTCTGAGGCTAATTTACTGTTTTGGCGAATAAGCCGAGCTCTGTCCCGATACAACACAAATGTTACTGTTGGAAAAACCATTGAGGAACTTATTCAAAACACTTCCCCTGAAGCAGGTGCACAACACACAAGTCTGTAACCGAGGCCAAAGCAGCCACAGCCTCTCTGTGGTGGATTTGTTGCTGCCTCGTCACTGGTCTTGGCCTTGGCCCGGACTACGCTCATGTCCGCGGGGTGGATGTGGCGAGAAAAGTGGCACGACATCAAAAACAAAAAGCAAATCTGTCTCTGTCCTTCACGGCTGCCAGAGATTAAAAGGTAGTCCTTTCAACGCCGGGCCTTGTGAGGACTAACACTGCAACAAGGCGACTGCTCCCATTCCTCAACGCCAAGGCTGCTGGGTTGAGTCTATACCACCCCTGCTTTTTGACCTGGTATCCCCTGAAAGAATAAGTTTCCTCCTGAGTGCATCACAATGCTCGGGGAAGCAAGGGCCAGGGCGCACTCCTGCTGTGATGTTAATTTAATGACAAGCCGCTGTTCAGATGGCAGGTCCAAACAGCCGAATAAAGGGATTGTTGTGTTTTTTTGCTCCAATTCGAAGGGGAAGGGGGCCCCATCCGCCTGTCTTAGTGCTCTCTTCTGGGCACCAAACAGTGGAGCCTCTGTGAGTACAGCTGAGTCCAACATTACGTCCTAAAGAAAAAACAAAAGTTCCCCTCCTCTTCTCCACTTGGTGTCCCAGTTTAACTCCTCCAAAGGTTCTACCGGGTTTTGGACGCTTGAGAAAAACAGCCACTTTGGTTTCTTTCATAATGAGACTCTGGACTAATTGGAGCAGACATAAAGGAAAATACCACATTCAGTCTGTCAACCTCGGTCTTAATTTTCTTTACTGTTCACTAAATGCTCCCAAGTTTGTAGGAAAAGCAGGAGCAACTATGAAAAGCGGAGAAGCCAGATGGTCTGACAAGCATTTCAATAAACACAAACGTTCGTGTTCAGTAACTTAAGGGACAGGAATAAATAAATAAGGTAAAGTATGCGCTTTTACTACAGAGTCTTGTAATTCAACGAGAGATTATTCCTAAATTATGATACATGTATTAAATACTTGATTCTGATTGGATAGATACCTATAACAGGTTTGATTTGATTTGATTTATTTTGGATCCACCATTAGTTACAACAAGATATGAAGTAACGATTCTTCCTGGGTCTTTAGCTTCTTTTCCATTTCACATACCTACCTTAAACAGGTGTGCAGTAAAAGGCAGATCTTTTTTCTTTAATCCACTTTTAAAAACAAAGCAAAAACTTAATAATCAGTCAGGAGTTGTTTTATTTCTACGAGACAGTCTGTCAGATGCCTTATTGACTTCTCTATAAACCCAGGAAATTTAAATCTCATATTGAGAGTGCTTTTGTGAAACATCTAAAGCTGGAAATCTTTAACTTTGGGTCCTAAAAATCTGCTTGAATGTCTAGGACAAAACAAGAGAACTGTCTTCGTGAAAACTACAGCTCTTTGTCGCCCAAAAAATACCAGAACTCCAAAAACGACATTTTCTGGTTGGTGCTCAGGCCTTTTTTTTTTTTTAATTTAAATATATTTTGATACCAAATTTGAAATTGATGCTACTTTAAATCTTTGGAGACACAGCCTCAGTCTGTCAAAATTCTTCAAAGGTGTCACAAAATGCTAAACAGAGCACCTGTGTTAAAGTCACCGGGCAGATGGTGCTGAATAACCATCCACTCTGCTGTGGAAGGAGTGACATGCAGCACATTAGTTTACATCTATCAGAGATGAACACCGAGGGAGGATGGGGAAAGGTCAAGTGTGTGTGTGTCTGTCACATTGAATTACAAGGCAGGCTTTGTGCCTTTTGACATCCATGGTGTGAAGGGGAGTCCATGTTTGTGTGTTTGTGGTCTGATTTTCTGTCTTTTGTGCTGGTTTTTGGATGTGATGACTGACCTGCGGGGACTTGATCTAAACCGTGTGCCTGTCACTTGCCTTTTGTGACAGCTCCAGTGATTCTGGCATCATCGTGCTGCATTCAGACCAACTGTTTTTAATGACAAAATCTTGATCAGATATTCACATTTTGGGATTTAAACTACAAACCTTTTCTTACATACCTCGATTTCCCACTCACAGTGGATCCTCTGAAACTTTTCCAGTGACGTCCAGCCGTGCAGCCTGAGTGTTGCTTTCAAGTAATCAGGTTCCCTCTCTGCAGAAGCGACAACATAATAGAGGGGAACTATATTTTGTTAGTGGTGCAAAAAGCACTGACAGATTAAATTTAAAAATCCCAACAGAGGCCTGTTTCCATAAATAGCGGCCTTGTGGTGTCTGATCTAATAAGACCAAAGAACAAGGAGGTCTTTGGGTAACAAAATATGGATTAACCTCCACTGTGTCAGACATGGAGGAAGTCTGAATATACATTGAACAACAACACTTTTGTTTTTGCTCCCATTATTCATGAGCTGAACTCAAAGATTGAAGACTTTTTTTATGTACACGCTTCTTCTTTACTGAGATAATCTATCCACCTCACAGGTGTGGCATATCAAGATGCTGATTAGACAGCATGATTACTGCACAGGTGTGCAACAATGATCTCGTTATTGTATCTCTGTTCATTCAAAATGCCATCAATAAAATGCAGCTGTGTTTGTTGTCTATAACATACACCTGCTCATACATAACCCTACCACCACCATGGATCACTCGATTCACAACATTGACATCAGCAAACCGCTGACCCACACGACACCAAACACACTGTCTGCCATCAGATTTTGCCCACTCAAGTCGGTTATGACAACAAACTGCAGTCAGGTCAAGACCCCGAAAAGGACGACGGGTATACAGATGGGCTTCCCAGAGACAGTTTGTGCAGAAATTGTTTGGTTATACAAACCAATTATTGCAGCAGCTGTCCAGGTGGCTGGTCTCAGATGATCTTGGAGTTGAAGATGCTGGATGTGGAGGTCCTGGGCTGGTGTTGTTATGCGTGGTCTGCAGTTGTGAGGCCGGTTGGATGTACTGCCAAATTCTCTGAAACGCCTTCGGAGATGGATTATGGTGGAGAAATGAGCATTCAGTTCACAGGCAACAACTCTGGAGGACATTCCTGCAGACAGCATGCCAATCTCACGCTCCCTCAAAACTTTAAGAGTGGCCAGTCTCAGGCACACCTGCTCAGTAATCAGCAAAGGAGAATTGTTTACTAACAGAGATATAGACAATATTTGAGAGAAATCTGTCTTTTGTTGACATAAAAAAGTCTTAGATCTCAGAATTCAGCTCATGACAAACAGGAGCAAAAACAAAAGTGTTGCGTTTATTTTTTTGTTCAGTGTATTTGAAGTCAAACAGCTATGATTAGCTCATGCCACTCTTTAAATGAGTCAGTGCCCTAGTTGGGCCACCCCTGTCAAAATAGTCTGGACACGCCCCTGCCCGTTATAATAGTGTGAGAACCAATGACTCCTGACCCACCCCTCATACTGTTTTTACAAATAAAGAAATGAGACGAGGGGAACGAAAGATTTTCAGTAAAGCCGTAAGACTGCAAACGTGTTTCAATCTGCTGGTAAATCAGCATTTTTCTAGTCAGGGGAAAGAGCTGAGGATTTCTTTCTTTGTTTCTTTCTTCTTTAGTTGAAGTTTTATGGAGTTGAGCATCAAAAACCTGGCTGTTCAGCGCAGCAGCTTGCAGCTGTTATGTAAGAGTGCCAGACTCCTGTAATCCATTTACAGAGGAGAGGAGAGGAGGCTGCGGGGTAACTCACTTTCTCATCATTAAGACAAATCAGGCAGTACGGCAGACGTCTCAGCTGGGCTCTGCCTCCACCAACACCACACACAAACATCCACTCATGTTCACACAAACAGCCTCTGGATGCAGCAGGTTCGAATCAACAGCTGTAGTGGATATAAAGACAGAAATGTAAACTTTTCGCCATGATTGTCTGCTCCCTCAAAAGTACAGGACCAGCACTCGGCAGGTTTTGCTCCACAGTGACCAAGTGTGTAAGGATGACAACGCCTGTGTAATTTTGAAATTCAGCAAACTCTGTGAAAGCCTCTGCCTCCTCCTCACACACACAGAAGCCCTACAGAAACGTACGTGGTCCCTCTCAGTGAGTTAATTGCTGTACATGTGAGTGCCAAGGCCTCCGAGTTTGAAGGACAATACCGGCTCTGTGGCTGTGACAATAGTTCGGCTCTCTGAGTCAGAAGTTGCGGAAGCTCCGACATTTAGGGAGCCGAAAGCTATTGAAAGTTCAGGAGTGTGCACTCCAAGGAAGAAATCACGCAGAAGAGCTTTTGGGTGGGGGGCTTCACTCCCCCTCAGCCGGTGCTGCCTTTGAGAAACTCATTGTTAGCGCTGCCAGTGGGAGGCATGGAGGGCTCTGCTGGCATGTGTCGGCCTCACTCCTCGTCAGGGCCTCAGCACCGCGGCAGCCAAGTGGGTAAAGGGTGTGTGTCCTGAAGAGGATGTGTTTTGTTAAGGAAGTGAAAGCTGCCGGTTCTGTGAGCGATGGGAAGTTTGGTTTTGGTGGGGGGGGTTCAGTCAGTCTGTACACTTTATTTACTGTACAGTATGTAGGACCACACACAGAGACCAGCTGGAACTGAGCGGGTTACTCTGAGGAATTCAGGTTTTGCATCATTGTATGATTGCCCCCTTTAGAGCTGGACTTCACCCAGATCTGCTCCATCTTCTCCAGCAGTCACAGATTAAACCGCACAAAGTCGTACACGTCTGAATCCTGTAAGTCTATATCAAAGCAAACATGATTACTCAGATTAACATTGACGTAGATTTGATTGACTGTTTTCAACAAAGTGCAACCTCTTAACTTGAGAATTGAAGCTGATGCCAAAGTGCTAAAAACTGCAGTTCCTTGAGTGTCCACTTGAGGCCTCCTCCAAAAGCCCCAGAAGCCACATACACACCCATTAAAAACGAAAGCCTACATTTAGAGCAAATATAAACATGTTTACAGTCAGGTGAGAGAGACGACTTTGGACTAATCAGTTCTGAAGATATAAGGGCCAAGAGGTACAATCAAGGAGTTCGGCGGACTAGACTGTAGCTGGTATGAAAGAGTTATTAACTGAGCTCCTTTACTTCATTCTTGAATGAAAATTGAGTCAACATTTCCAACATGGCAGCTGTTGTCGATCGGCTTCAAAGCTCTACTCCAGAAACCAGCGAGAGACGTCACTCACTGAATCTAGAGCTGTGACCTGCTCGTTGACTTTCTCCCTAAAGGTTTAAAAACATTGACATTTTCCTTTTAGCATGGAAGCTGTCGACTAATTTTGCAGTCCTGTAAGTTTTTGTTGTAGCGAGCAGAAACCCTGACATGTTGATTTTATTTCTCAAAGATATTTATCACATAAGTTTGTCGGTCAATAAGTAGTTTGAATAAAAAGTCACTTAATTGGCTGTTTCTCTGATTTTCCTGCAGTATTACACCCATTTGTCACACAAAATCAATCATTTGGTAATCATGTGGTTGAGGTTTAAAGTAAACACACATCAGCTCATTGTGTGTGAGATTCAGGGAGCGCTTCACAGTGGTTTGACAGTAAAAGGACGCCCCCTGCAGGATTTAAAGGGATTTAATAGTAGTGGTTAGAGAGCAGAATCCACGGTGCTCATCTGTTTTTTGGGGGTTTATAAAGTAGAATTTAGGACGATTTTGTACAAATACAAAGGATTAAGTGTGGTAACTCCTCCTCTGTCATACAGACTTAAGTATAAATCAGTGCAAACCAAAAGACACAAAATGCTAAAGAATTATAAGACCAATTTTCAGGAAGTTGAGGTGTTTTGTTACTACTATGTATCAAAATTTACAGCAGGGGATGATGGGATATATTACTGATTGGAAACAGATCACTTTGTTGGGTTTAAGATAACTTCATGTTTTAAAGAAACAACAATGCTTTTCAGACTGATGGCAAAGTCTAAATCAGACCTTTTATCATTTTTACTAACAGTATGAATAATAAACACAGTTGATACACTGTGCATGTTTACATATGCGGTAGAATGGAGACAAGAAGCTCCTCTGATGTATGAGTATGACCCTCCATTTGTCGAGATTTATCCGTCAAAATGATCAGTACTAATTATTTTGCACACACAACAACCCCCATGCATTAATGTAGCCCTTCACTGAACACAAAGCTGCATGTTTCTAGTTTGTCCTGCTGCAGAGATGACCGTGTGTGGTGACATCCTTCAAAGAAAGTGACCTGCTCTTCTTATAGATGTAAAAGGCTCAACCCAGTTCAAAACATTTTTAGTAAAGAGATTAAACACTAGTTTTAGCATATCTTTTAATATTATATGTAATTTAATACCGCTATTCATGACAGACAGAACCGTTAAAGTTGAGGATCGTTCATCTGGTTTATGTCTGAGTTTGTTTACTTTTTTCTGCAGCTCATTAAACTGGGTAATTGGACATCAGTGGCTTTTTTGTGTGTGTTTGTTTCCATTTAGACACGGTACTTGACAAATATGCCAAGAGACCAAACTGTGTAGATGTACTGAATGTTTGATAGGTCTCAAACAGAGACCTTCTTCTTTCTCCCTACCACTTAAACGGATCATCGATAACTCAGGGTAAAAGGTGAAAGTGTAAAACAAGGGACTCAACCACTCCACAGCTCCGTAGGCTACAAATGTCATTTTTATTATTACTTTAAATAATGTCTAAATAAAGGGACTAAAGACATGCTCGAGTGACTTCTTCCATTATCAAAAATATGGTGTGGGGTGAAGTTTGCAGCAGAAATCTATCCAGGGAGGAAGGAGGCGTGCATCACAGGGTGAGACCGACGTGAAGTCCGTTCGTTTAGAGACTGAACTTTGAAATGAGTCCCACCATCAACACGGGACGGTGTTTCAGAAAGGAGGGGCAGTGATTTGAACCAACCGAATGTCACATTCAGAGGAGAGAGGGAAAAAAAAGTGATTTTCTTATATAAAAACGGAAAGACCTGGATACATTTCTACTTTTCCACGTGTTTACTACAGAAATTAAAAAGAAAAGACATAAAGGAACTCACAAAGGGGGGAAAACAGCTATTTTTTTTTTTATAATCAACTCCCTTTGGTAAAAACTGTAATAAATGGTCTTGCATTTGTCTTTTTCATATACATACTAACTTTAGCCATTTATCACTAAAGTCCACAGTAAGCTTGGAAAGTATTACTAGCACAACAACACAGATCTGTCATAAAAAGTCTGAGACTATGTACAGTGTATTTACAAAGTGAGCGGCGTGTGGACAGTCCTCCCAGAATGAGCGTGTGTGTCTGTGTGTTTGTGTGTGTGTGTGTGTACAAGCTGGTGTATTGGCGGAGGGCAGTTTTAAAAGGTTGTCACTCAGGGCGGCGAGGATCATTTGTGTTAATAGAACTATATATAATATATATACACAACACATACACTGGAATACATGTCAGTATCTGACATTCACAAGCTATACAGTTTTACAGTCTGAGACCAAACAGTGTTGTGAAGCTAATTTTTTTGTCTTTTCTTTGTTTTTGTTTTTTTACAGAAATGCGACAGTGCTTTTGGATGTTAACCCGACAATACTGTTTGGAGCTCAGGCACAGTTTCTAATAATAATGCTGCCATGTGTTTCGGAAAAACGAGAACGCGTCCCTCTTTCCGTCTAGTGAGAGATACATTATTGTGATTTGGCCTCAACGCAGGAATGTCTGAACCAGATCTCTCAGACTCGGTTGTGCTCCCTTCCAAAACCTTCAAATCTGGGAATCTAACCTCAACAGATCGCGTGTTCTTCGTCCTAAATAAGTGCACTTGTCCACCGTATTGTTCTCCATTGATACTTTAGAATAACACTTCTGACAACAAGTCCCTGCTCTCTTATTACTCTGATGGCTTCAGACCGATGAGTCAGTCGGAAAACTAAACCAAAGCTCAGTTGTGATAAAGTACAAAAAGCACCACTCTACCTCTCACGGGCTCACTGTCTTCATCGCTAAGCCCTGCTGTAAAAAAAACAACAAAAAAACAAAAACACACACACAAAAAGGCTCAAGGGAAGTTTGTTTGAGAAGTGGCTCCGAGTGCTGGTACGAGCTCAGGTCTGTGACTGGATCAGGACTATTCCTAAGTTTTGGCACCGAAGGCCCTGTGAAAAAATGGGCCCAGCTAAAAACGCTGGTAAAATCAGTAATCCTGCCGCCCCGGGTGCAACACACACGGTAGCTAGCTTAATTGTGCTCCCATGTGGGCTTTAAAAACACGCGAACGAGCCCTCGTCCCTACCTCTAGACTCCTGACCTGTGTGACTTGAGACCAAACACTGAGAAATCAGTCTCTCTCTCTCTCTTTTTCTCTGATCCTCCTCGGCTACGGCGCCTTGCTGGGTGCGCCGTACTTGACGCGGTATTTGTTGATGTTCATGAAGTGAAGGACCTCCGGGTGCCGGCTGGTGGTGCAGGGTAGGAGGCCGTCTCGCCCTTCGCCCATTAGCCACTTGTTGGTCTCACTGTTCATGTCGCGGGTGACGTGTTCCTTGACCCACGCCTCCACCCAGGCGTGGAAGCGTTTGTGCAGCCGCGTGCTCACCCTCTCATGTGACTGAGGAAGAAGAAGACAGACACTTATCAAGAATATTCATCACGCTGCCTGTGCAGAAATTAAATCTAAACTTGTATTAGCATTTTGATTAATAACAATAATAATAATAATTATATCCAGGCAACCTTGTGGAAACCAGCAAGAGGAAGACATTTTTGTATAAAAAGGGACCAGAACTACTGATCAGACTGATGTGACGGTAAATTGTATTTCTATCTGGCGCTGTAGGTACCTGGTGAGCTCGCAGCAGGGCGGTGCGTCGGTACATGTAATCCTCCGACTTAAAGACGTAGACCATCTTGTAAGAGTTGAGTTTAAACATGCACTCCATTTTCTCCTTCTCCAGGGATTTCTTGCCTCCCTCGCAGGCCTCTTTGTCCAGCTGCTCTCGGCCTTTCTGGTACTTCCTGATCCGTCTCAGATTCCTGATTTTCAATGAAAACACAAAAGGAGATGAGAGAGGCTAATAAGGGCAGGAATACGTCAGAAGATCATCGGATTAAAAGAGTCACACTTGACTTTTGCGTTTGATATTCATGAGAAAAGATGAGTTAGATGTGCCTATCAAACACTGTGATACAATGTGTTAATAAACATTACAATGACTATTTAAAAAAACAGATCAGGATGTCCTAAATTTAGAAAAACAAAGCCTTACCTCGGAAGAAAAACAGGCTTCTGGGCGAGATGTTCCCTCAGCTCAGGCGTGGTGGAATCTGAGTTCAGGTAGCGCCCGACGTAATCAGACCAGCGCTGCACACACACACACAAAAAACTAGTTGAACTCAGTGAATCTGACACCAGCACCGTGGATGTACTGGCACCGTGTCAAGACTAGTTTCTCTGTGACAGTTGGACCGAATTCTGTGATTTTAGTTTAAGAGACAGTATGACCTTAAGATGCACAGTGATCAAACGCACCAATGCTGGAGCCAATAATGACAATTTCATTCTTACTTTCTGTGCATTTTGACATTTTGACTCTTGTTAAACAGAGCTATGCTGATGTACTCAGTGCAGGGTGTATTTTGGGGCTGTCTCGCTGAAATCTGCAAAGTCTCCCCTAAAAACACAATCTAATCAAATCTGTGTGTCAGAATACGTTTCCATTACCTGTTTATACTGTTCAGCATTAATGGGAACTTATGAGATATGCAAATGAGCCATGTTGTGAGCACTCATACATCCCATCACTGTTTTTTAGGGTGATTTTGAGCCCATAGGGTCCTGTTGATTTTGCACTCAGAAACTCTTTGCTCTATGACTGGACCTTTAGTATTCAGTGAAATGTCTTACCTCGGCCTCCATGGGCTCGTCTGAGTTCTCCTCCTCCGTGTCGAGCAGCTCCACGGTGAGCTGCACCTGCCCTCTGTTCTTTAGAAACATCACCTGGGAAAGTGACAGACACAAATTAACTCAGTGGCGATAACAGCGGAGCGTGGCGGTAAAAATAATCAGGATGTCCTGAAGGCTCAGAGGGTGATAATCAGAGAGCTGCAGGGGCAAGATATTAGGGATGGGAGAAAAAAATCATTACAACATGGTATCGCTACATGTTGTCTGGTGATATATAGTATTGTCTCATTTACAAAGTATCGATTTTTTAAAATTAATTCATAATGTGAAGTCAAATCTATGATAATGGAAAAATAAGATCAACTGTTTGTCCAATGAGGTTTGCAGAGGTGACATCATAGAGCAGGAGAAGTTAGTACAACAAATATATATATGAGGTTTGCAAGATGTGCTAAATGAAAATAAAATACAGTGTAAATACGACAAACATAAAGGAAAGACAAATACTAAATTAGCTAAACAGTTTAAAAAAATTGTATAAATCGCAATATATTGTATTGCAATACTCACTGTATGCAAAATGTTAAAAATCGTGATAATATCGTACCGCAGCCAAAGTATCGGGATAACATCTCATCGTGGCCAAGTATCATGAAAACATTGTGTCCTGATAATATCTCATCGTGGCCCAAGTATCGTGATAATATCGTATCATGGCCCAAGTATCACAATAATATCATATCGTGGCCCAAGTATCGTGATAATATTGTATCTCGGCCCAAGTGTCGCAATATCGTATTGTGGCCCAAGTATCGTGATAATATATCGTATCGTGGGGCAACTGTTGATTCCCACCCCTACAAGATATCATGGTTAAATTGAAGCCATTATTATCAGTCATGTTGCTTTAACTTTTAACTTCTGAATAAGTGAAAACAAAGAAAGAGAAACAGCTTCAAGAAAGTATCCTCCATGTTTTCATCACAGCTGCCTTGTGTCATTATTTAGAGTCCTGTTAGAGCAGGTGGACTTCCTTTCCTGTAATTTATTCCCCAGATGAACCACAAACTCCTGTTTAGACAGACAAGGATGCACTACTGAGACTCAAAGGCGGGATTAGTTCCCTCATGGACTGAGCTAAATAGCTGACATTTCTGACAGCGTAGATGCTAAGGGACAAGATGATCTGACACTGATGAATGTGGTTTTGTCAAACAGATAACTGCACACAGCACTGCTTGTATTCCACACATAATATCTGAATTTTTCACTATGTAGAAAGGTGTAGAGAAGATTAATTGGTTGCAAACACACCCAAGCAGAGAATTCAAATCAAAAACCAACGAGAGAAATCCTCGTGGTCTCAGCTGGCAGGGGGTGATGGGAAATCTGGATTAATTACAGCAACGGCTCCTGCAGCCTGGAGGTGAAATGTGGTTTCATGTATTTTTCTCTGCAGCTTCTTTGTGCTCACCTTAAAGCAGTTCTCATCAGACATGAGCTGCTCGGCTTTCCGCTGGTAGATGGATTCTGCAGAGCTCCTTGAGGACTGGGTGGACATGGCTCCCCCGCTGGCTCCGTTGGTGCTCTCAGAGAGGTAGAGGTCCGTCACTTGGACGCAGATCTCATCGCTTACGATGTGCTGGAGCTGTGTGGAGAGAGAGGATTGGAAGACTGCCTCTTACAGAAAGGTGACTTTTTTCCCCCACTGAACCAGCAGAGGATAAATCTGACTGCCAAGAAAATTCTACAAAAAATCTGAGCTGTAAGTTCTAACGCTTCACACAGAGAGGTCTGTTAACAGGGGCTCCCAGAGGGAAACCTTTTGGAAGTGTAGAGTCCACAACATGTGGTTTCTGTTCAGCTGTGATGCTTTGCCTACAGTACCATCTGTTTATGCCATCCTGCTTATAACTGTTGCAGCAGCACAGGTAGCTGGTAAGCTTGGATGGACCCACTGTGTTTGCCTGAGACTCATTGGGGTTTTACATCTTAATAACTTGCTGCAGTTTGTGTTGGTTTATGTTGATTGCAGTGATGGTACAAATCCATTGTTGTAGAGTAAATAAGTAGCAATACTTAAGTACAGTACATGAGTATAACTTTGAAGTATCTGTACTTTATGGGAGTTTTTTTTGTGCCCTCGACTTTTACTCCACTACATTTCTAAAAAATAAAAGTATACTTTTACTCCACTACATTTCACAGACGCATCTTCGTTACTACTAATTTTACTCTGTTACTATGACAGAGGGTAGGTGGAAAAACCTTTTCTCACTTTAACCAAATGTTGATTTGCATTGTGCTTTATCATCGTCAATCAGTCACTCAAACTAGGGCATGTTTGCAGCCGCTTGTGGGCTGTGCAGTTGCTTACACCCACCTAAATGTCCAGTGTCTGTTTGATGGTTCTCGTCATGCCCAACCTCTGTCCTTAGTTCCCCCCCTTACTGTAGGAGGACGCACTATTGTTTCTCCTGAATGGTGGTGTGTCCCCCTCTGTGTGTGTGTCCATTTTATTTTCTAAGCTGTTGCTTGCACCCACCTAAAATCTTGACTTTTTACTTTTACTTGGAGTACATTTACTTGAGTACTTTTGATACTTTAAGACTTTGACTCCAGTAGAATTCTTATTGGAGACTTTCACTTTTACTTGAGTCATTTTCTGGGAAAGTAACTTGACTTCAACTCAAGTATATTTGTTTCGTACTTCATACAACACTGTACAAACCTGCCGGACGATGCTTTGGATGAGCTTGTCCATGGTGAAGGCGGTGTAAGCGTGAATGGTGAACATTTCCCTCAGAGAGTCCTCGTACTGAGAGGCCTCCATGTTCCCGTCCAGTAAATTCCTGACCATCTCCAGGAAGGCGGAGTAGTAATCCTCCACCTCGATGTCCACTAAAGAAAGAGGAAACAATAACAGAAGGTGAGCGATCAGGACAATCAGGAGCTCTTCTTCTTCTTCGTCTGTTACTGTCCTTACAGCTTTGTTCGTTCTTTTGCAGACTTTCTCGTTGTTAATCGGTCTTCAAACATTTTTTAAATACTTCTGAGATTTTCTCTCAGACGTGAAAAAAAGAGGAATGTGAATTATGTGTTAAAGCGCAGGAATGTGGCTTAAAGTCAGAGGAAACAGGATTTATTTTGTCTTATAAAGGAATTAAACAGACCGGTGTGGTTTCATTTGAAAGGAAAACACAGAGAGGAGTAAACAAGTCTGTTTTGTTGGACTCACTGGGCTCCTTTAGTCTCAGCTGGATGGCCGGGTTGTCGTTCTTCTCCTTCTTCAGCCCCAGCACCTCCCTCTCCCAGTCTCGCTCTCTGACCTCCTCCTCGATCTGCCGCTCCGCCTGCCCGTACAGCCGCAGCAGCCGCGAGCATAGCGTCTGGTGCAGCCGCAGGAAGATATACCAGTTGTTGTTGACGTAGAAAAGGTTGTAGGCGTCGTCGCAGCCTCGCAGTTTCTGCGCCGCCGTGTTGCTGAACAGCAGCTTGGACTTGGAGGGGCTACCACTGCCGGGGACGCCGTTGTGCTTTTTGGAAGCGCCTTCCTCCAGGTCCATGTCTTCTTCTTCCTCCTCCTCTTCTACATCAGAGAGCTCGCCTCGCTGGGAGAAGAGCATGTCAGGGATGAAGTGGTAGATGATCTGCTTGATCTTGTATTTGTCTTCTTTCTGGATGCTGGTTTGCCGCTTGACGTGGTGGATGATGAGAGCGGCGGCGTCCTCCAGGATTTGGCTGTCCTCGTACGCAAGCGTCAGGTGGGGGCCTGTGGGTGGAGTGGCGTTCTCCTCAGATGCCTGCTCCTGACGCTGCAAGGCAAAACAATTTTTGTTAGCTAGTTGAGAGCAGAGGTTTGAATAACTGTGCAAAAGGAGAAAATCTACCTCATCGTAAATGCTTTCAATTTCGTTCAGCAGGGACTTGGATCGAAGCACTTTGGTGTCGTTCTGCTTGAAGTTGATGCCTTGATGGTCGAGAGATTTGAGGTAATACTTCTCGTTCTGCTCCCTCCAGATCTTGTTGAAGCCTCGTTGGGCTTCCCGCCACTCCTCCTCCTTCGTCTTTAACCTGATTGGACGAGGAGACTTTCTTTTTATAAAAGCACGAGTTGTTTCCAACCTACTTTCCAACAAGCCATTATTTCAAAACTACATTCAGCATTTACTCAAAGAACAATCACATTATTTCCATTTACTAAAGTACTGATCAGCTCATGACAATCATGAGAGAAAACAGATGAGATCTGGAGCAGATGTTCCTGATCTGACCTCTTCAGCACGATGGGAACAGACACGGCGGGGTTCTTCTTCAGGCCATCGATGATGTCCGGCGCCTTGTCGCCGTATATCCTCTGGATGGCTTTGCGGTGTACGACCTCCGAGGAGCCGCCCAGCGTGTTGTCCAATCTGAACTTGGCCTGCTCCTCTGCAGACATGCGGGACAACTTCCGCTGCACCGTCTCCAGGACTCTGATGGTGGCCAGGTTCGTCTCCAGAACAACATCCAACTGTGGACAGACGTCACAGCGGTCTTAGCATCCTTTTCAGCGCGCTCCTCGCCCTTTATTTTAATTATATTCTCATACAACGGGACAAAAGCCTACAGGACTATCTCATCAACTTAGAATATCCTGAAAATATAGATAATGGAACTTTTGCTGAATATTGGGATCTATCTGTAAGTCCTGACAAAGAGAAATGTACAAGTCCGACAACCAACGCAGAAGTCATGCGTGTTTAACGTTCCTGCTCACCTCAAATCGCTCATCTTCACATCTGTAGATATGCTCCTCATACTGGGTCTTTTTGGAGCTGACAAACGTGGAGTCTTCAGACCAGGAGGGGAAGGAGACCCAGGTGTCATTTAAGACCTAGAAACCATAGAGAAGAAAAAGGTCACGTCTTACGTCCACAATCAAAAATTCACACATTTTCTTAGAGAAACCAGTCGGAGGAGTTTTGATCAGATTACTGGAGTTCCGGTATTCTAGAGTTCAGACACAGAGTCCACTTCACAGCGTCCACTCTTCACTCTTCCTCGTCTTACCTCTTTACAAAGAGGAGTCCGGCCGGTGCACTTGGGCTGTTGGTAGCTTTTTGGCAGAGCTCTGTAACTGGATCCAAGTCTCTTACAGGAAGCATAATCGATCTCCATGGCGATGCCCTCGGTGGCTCGCTCTTTAGGGTACGTCTCGATATGGGACATTTCCCGATATCCCAGGAAGTTTTTAAACCAGTTGAAAAGCTCAGGGAATTTTCTGTGTAACAAAACAAAGAGAATGATGTGTAAATGATATTGATAATGTATAATATTAATCTAATGTCCAGCTGAGGAGACCGAGCACTCACCCTAAGAAGGGCAGCACCAGCTGCACCAGCTCAGCTCTGGAGATGACCTCCTGGTTGAAGATGACCAGACATCGCAGGAAGTTGTCGTAGGCCTCTGCACTTCGCAAGGCTTTACGCACCTGTGGCAGGAAACAATGAGACAATGTTGTGGAGCTGAGTGGACATAGATTAAAATGAACAATATTTTCACAGTTTAGAGCTGGAATATTAGCGCATTCAGTAAGAAAACAGGGTTCACTTTGACTTCAGTCACTGCTCTGCTTTTTGTGATCGTAGTCTTCTCATGTGATTAATGAAATGAAAAAACTCAGTCCTCACCTTCTCAAAGAACAGAGATTCTGTCCCAACTCCGTGCTTGCTGGCCTCCGCCACCGTGGAGTCTTTCAAATTCAGTAACTTGGGCTTCTTCTGCAGCAACACCAACACAGGGACAGAAACACGCCGGAACCATAACATTAGAGACATGAAACCACAAACGTCAACAATCACAGTGTGCAGCTGTGAGCATGCAGGCTCGTACCTTGACAGGGGGTGTGGCCCCCGGTGTTGGATGACGACGGATCTGGCAGCCGTTCTGATTGGGCCTCTGCTTGTTGTTGAGCTGGAGCTTTTTGGCGGTACCACCGTGGTCGTTTCGCACAGACTCCGCCTTCTCTGCTGTGGTTTTACTCAACAGCTACAGAAAATACACAACAGGGATTTAGACAAAGGTACATAAATACCCTTTTTCCTTTTTAGGAACCCTCAATATGGACACTTTACTCACCACTGAGCTGTTGGCATCAGGGAGAAACTGACCAAACTCTGACAGCAGGTCTTCCTGGTTCTTGAAGAGTCTCGCCACCTGAGCGTAGACCTCCTGCTCCGTCAGAGCCGGTGTGTAGTTCCCACCAGCCTCTTTAGCGTTACGTTGCTCTTTCTGTTTACATTTCAGAATTTCAGGGAGGAAACAGAAAATAGGAGAGGTGTTTTTAGAAAACTGTTGCTATGGTTTCCAGGTTGCTTTGCTCTTTGACTGGGGTTTGAGTTGCAGTGACTGACCTGGTATGTGTGGAGGATCTCCAGGAAGGCTTTGTAGATGTCGGGCTGGCCCTGGAAGCGGTTCTTGATCTTGTTGACGTAGTTGATGGCGTGGTTGAACTCCACAGGCTGGTTGTTTTGGATGGGTGGCCCGGTGGGGGTGCCGCTGAGTGGAGGATGGAGCTGCATGGGCGGGGAGCGAGGAGAGGTGTACGCAGGTATGGACGGATTGCTCTGACTGCTTGGTGTTAACGCCTGAGGCTGGAGAGGCTGCGAAAAAAACACAGAGTGGAAGTTTTAGAGAATACACAAAACTTTTCCTGAAAACCTGAACCAGTGCTTTAAACTGGCTTTTCGGTGTTTGTGGATTACTGCCCACTCTGACTTTCTCACCTTGCTCATCTTGGCAGGAGTTGGCTGTGTCAAAAGGGGTGGAGCTGTGGTGGTTGCAGCAGACGGGGGCTGGGCTTGGTGTTGGGTGGCTGCTCCTGTTATGGGGATGTTCTGGACTGAAATGCCGTGCGGGGTGATGTGGTGGATCTGACCAGGGGTGGTCACGTTGACCAGGTCGTTGGTCTGGACCTCGATCTTGTAGCCGGGAGGCAAGAAGGTGTTAAAGCCCATGATGAGGTCAGGGTGACCTTTGAAAAGTTGTGACACTCTGCTGATGACCCCAGGGGTGTCGATACTGAAAACAAAAACAGGAAGAAGAAAGTCAAATCCGTCCTGGTGGTCAGGTCTGAAAGTTCAGCCCCTTTGGAAGCGGATCACTTCTGGATCATCTGTCTGTCGGCTCTGATAGCTGTGTTTGTGTCTTCAGTACTGTAGTTATTCTAATAACCTGCTCACGATAACAGAGTATTGTCTCTGTTTGTCACGGTTAAACAAACACCTGCACATGCAAACAATCTGCTCTCTGTTTACTCTGTCTCCTGCTTACAACACAGCAGATATAAACTCAGAAGTCATATTGTCTTTTGTTGATTTTATGTAAGATTTGCTCATTTTTCGTCCACCATACTTATGTTTTGTACTTTTTAATCCTTTCTTTGTATTAATTAGACACCAGTGTTTGTTATCGGTTCTAAGGCACCCTTTGGTTTTGGGGTTGATATTTCTCTGTTATTAAACTGTGGTGTTATGATGATATTATCAAGTCTCAGAAGTCTGAGCTACTGCAGAGTCCAAGGAGTGATACTTGATACGCGGGCACACCGGTCAAAAGATTTCTGTGAAGGTTGCTCTTGTGTAACCTTGTTACTGCTGATCTGATTTCCCTCCCCTCTCCACCGTCCTCTCCCCTCTGTGCCGCAGTTTGAGCTTTAATGCTGCTAAACATGGTGGGTCTGTCATGGCTTCTTCATATCTAAATTCTCCAATCTATCAACAGGATGCCATCTTTCTTGCATTAACTACCAACCTTATACTTCTAATTAAAGTTAAAGCGTGTGACACTAGTTTCAATTGTGCTTTATTTTGTACATAAGTTGTGCATGGCTGCAAAAGAGGCCGCTTAATCTTTCAAATATACACTCTGACCCAGAAATTCAGCTTCTGTCGGTTTTGCATCCTCATAATTCACATTATCTTTCTGTAATATCAAACACTGCCCTCACCTTTGGGACTTGAACTCTTTCATAATATCCAGGAAGTCATTGTAGACCTGAGGCTGGTTGCCAAACTGCAGTTTCACTTGGTCCAAGTAGGACAAAGCATCTTCCACCTTCAGGAGAAAAGAGGGACCATCAGCGATATGTGGGTTTGTTTTGTACATAAACATTCTTATAATAAGAGAAGTGTTGCTGAGAAAAGTGTACAAGGGATTAAAAACACATAATCCAGCTTTTACAATTTAAACACAAACAAACCATCCTTTTCACAGGCTATAAAGAAGAAGAATACGTGAGTGGGGTATTACTCTGTGACAAACCTCCAAAATGAAACAGGTCGACTAACCTTGAGCCTCTGGAACTGCTGCTGGCCCTGTGCAGAGGCTGGAGGAGCAGCTGTATGGCTATGCCCTGACATCACTGAGGGCCCATGGGACTGGACTGCCGGGCTGTGGTGGTGAGACCCGCTGTGGACAGCTGGGCTTGGAGCATGTCCATGCCCTCCGCTATTCTGGGCCACAGTGGGAACCTGGGCAAACAGAGACGCGTAAAAGCACAGGTAAAGAGAGATGATTAGCACTGTCACTGTATCATTAAAGTTAAGTTCTCATGTAAAAATGACAACATCAAGCAACTTGACCTAAACTCTCAAACACATTCAAGTTGAACAGAGCAGCAGAGGACGGGCAGGAAAATACCTGGTATCCCTGGGGGACGGAGTACTGGACGCCTGCTGTGGGCTGCATGTTGTCAGACACTGCCTCATACACAGCCGGGGCTGGAGCAGGGGCCAGGACCCGATGCTGGAAAGCCTCCGCGTTGCCAGCGAGGCGCCGCTGCTGGGACGCAAAAACCGTTTCCTGATCCTCCAGACGCCGCTTCATTATGAACTCATACTCGGAAGAGCTGAGAGACCTGGGAGGAAGGAGCATATGGATCCCATTTCAAACTGGCAGACCTCTGTCAAGTCATCAGAATACATTAAATCAAATTCTTGATGTCTTTCAATAATTTCCCCGGGAACATGTGGAAATGATTGTTACACTTTCACTGTAAATTTATGGACACGCACTCTGCCAGCTAGCCACTTCTACACTGCGGCTTTTAAAAGTGATGTTAACATCGTCACTCAGCCTGCAGCCATGGAAGCCTCTGATTTTTTCAGCTGCATGAGCATGCCCGGGGTAGAAATTCTTGGAGCTGTTTTGACTTACAGGCTTGTGGTGGTGCATGCAGAACTTGGTTTATGTTATTGTTTCTTGGTTGTGTGGAGCTGCAGAAGTCTGTGCACGTCACTGCAGACTGACTTCAAGTGTCTTATAATAGCTCTCCAGCCATATCTGTGTACATGAGAGATGTGCTTATCAGCCCCAGACCTGCTGCTTCACTTCACGCCGCAGCAAAGGAAACAAAAGATCCGCAACGTCGCCACTGAGAGTGAGAAGCAACAATATGAGCGCATGGATAGATCGTACTCTTTCTATAGTACACACCTACATATGTAGATGCAGCAACAAGCTGTTTTCACAGACAGGGAATGACTTCTACTCCAGAACCATACCTGTTTTTAATGCAGTCCCACCTGAGAGCCAAAAGGTCAGCACTAGTTTTGTACAGGTTTCTCCAGATTCTCTTTGTCCAGTAGATGAACCAACTCCCAATTTCCATGACACATTATTTTGAAGTTGTTGAGCTATTTGTTCACGCAGTTTCTCACAGAGTGGTGGACCGCTTCTTTATGACATCTGACTTGTGAATGCCTTTTCGTATAAACAAGTGTGATGTGTAGGGGTGGGAGAAAAATATCGATTCACGTAAGTATCGCGATTTTTTGTTTTACAATTTTTAAATCAATTTTTATGTTAAAAAAATCTTTTTTTTTTCAAATTTAAGAATAAATTAGGACTGAAACGATTCTTCCAGTACCTCTATTACTCGAGTAATCAGTAGAATATTCGGTCGAATACTCGATTACTAAAATATTCAATAGCTGCAGCTCTAGAATAAATGTAAAGAGGTGACTTACATGTGATGTGTACTTTTTGGGGGAAATATGTTTCCTGTAATATTCAGTAGACAATCATAATCATTCAACTGTTTCACTGGTGTTAAATATCAAGAAAATCGACAATATCGTAGAATTGCAACTTAAATCGAATTGGCATCCAAAAAATCGTAGAAGAATCGAATCGGAAGAAAAGCATATTGTCCCAACCCTAGTGATGTGTATAAACAAATGTAACCTGTTACAAATAAACCATAATCTGATGGGAGATGTCCTGCAGGTGGGTTTTTGCTCTTATTTACATCACTTTTTCAGTGTTTTCCCCACTTGTCTCAACTTTTTTAAACTTAAAAAAGACCTTTAATCTGCAATTAAACAATAAATTATTTAAGCTTTAACATTAAATTTGTTGTCTCTGCACTTTTTTTTAATTTAATGATTTGTGACCCATCAAATTATGTTTTCAATCATCATTTTTTGAAAGGTCTCAGCTCTTTTGGAATGGGTTAAGTAGAATAACAGCACAGCATTGACATCACACTTTCCCAGGGTGCCTGTCTCAAACTCTCAACCATGTGAGGCTAATAATACGAAGCACCTCTTGCAATGCATCTCAATGTTAACATGCACTGAATGCAAAACTTGCCGTGTCCAACACGCTGCCTACGTCACAGATGCAACAAACAGGTGCTGAGTGAGAGTGGGAGCCAACCGAAGCACTTTACACCATTTACAACTTCCTCAAGACAGGCGTGAGTGAAGAAATACAACACTGGGGTTTTCATTATGTTTTAACACTTAAGTATCGAGTGAAAGTCAACTAATGAGTGGAAAACTTGTATTTGTTACAGCGCGACGCCGTTAAACTAAAAGTTCACCCGTTAACAGTTGCCGGTGTTCCGGTTAAAAGCGTGACCATGTTAACTACTGACACTCAGTCGAATGAGTTGTGGTAGCTACAACCGCCGCTGTCCTCCTTGATTCCCTCTTGGTTCTTCATCGGAAGTCTAGCCGATGAGTATGCTTTGATAGTGGAATTGAAAACCAACCAGGAGACATTTGCAGTGACTCTCTCCGTGTTTCAACAGCTGTTGTAACTACGACAACCACGGACGCATTCAGCTGAAAGTCGCCAGTTAACACGGTCGCTGGTTCAACCGAAACACTATCAACGGCAGCGACACTTCAGTACTCAAAGATAGCCTCAACTAAAGTTGTAATAGTGATGTTACAGTCATGTAGGGGATTTGAACATCTCTGTGTGCTAAATGCTAACAGTAGTTAGCCGACTACGGCGATTCAAGCACCCCGTTTATGGCCTGGCAACACAAGCACCGACCTCGAGTTACAGCACGACGCTTTCCCCCACGCCCGCCATTTAGAGCGTGGCGCAGGAGAGCAGCCGTTTACCCTCCATTTCAGACAGGTAAGCACGAAATGCAACAAGCCTGGTCGTTTTCTAGCTGCCCACCCGACCTCGAAGAAAACCCGCCCTTTATTCTTTCTCAATAAACACCAACAACATGTTTGGTCGTCAGGGACTGTGTGCTGCCAGTTAGCCGCTAGCTAATGTAAACAACATGAGCAGCCCGACACCGAGCTCCGTTTGGGGGGCTAGCAGAGGGAACCACATGCAGCTAACTGGTGACGATTGTTGATGTCGAAACGTGCAATCCAAAGCAAGCGATGAAATTGATTATTCATACACAGTTTAACTAAAAGTGATTGGCAGGCAAAGGAAAACTCGATCCCTCGTATGATTGACTCAAACTGTCTGCTAATGATGGGTAGCTTAGCTGTGTTAGCTTGCTGAATGAACTCACCCCTCTCCTAAAGAGCAAGCTGATGATCCCCGAATGAAGCTTTAGTAATCCCGTTAAAGATTGTGTTTTAATCGTTATATTCCTGGCTGTAAAGAGTCCACAAGTGAGTGCACAAAGCAACTTATCAGTGGCGTGTGATTTTAAAATAAACAATTCAAGCTACGGGGCTGCAAAGTGAAAATCTCCCCGAGAGAGGAAAACAATCTCCGTTCGGTTTGGCTGTAGCAGGGGGCGTGGTTTCTGGATATAGCCCCTCCTGACAAAGCAGGCCATTGGTCAGTTCGTTTGGTTGACCTAATAAGGGGCGGGGCGACAAGGCTGGGTTGTGAATTTGAGCTGTCAATCAAGGATTTATCGCACAGTAACCATGCACGCCCATTTTGACTTGGAGCGCGACAATGCCAGCAGTGAGAGGAGTCCCGCTTGGGTTCTGCGTGGACAGTGTTACATTTTAGGTAACAGTGTGACTGTGCAAGAGCGCTGGAAGTGTTATGTGTGACATAAATTGCCACATTGTGTCTCAACGTGTATTAAAACACGTTATTTGAGACTATTGATTAACCTGCAGATGTTTGTTTTTTTTATTGGAATTTAGTGCAAAACAACATAAGAATCAAAAATTTGCCCGTGCATTGTGAGGTGCATGCATACACTTCCATGTAGCATAAAAACATCTGCATATGTCAGCAAGCCTTCACTGTGACAATAAAGCTGATACAAGCTTAAAACACTCATACCACACCCTGCAATGTTTAGTTGAACACTTTTGTGTTATTGTCATTGTTGATATTGCTTTTTATTCTTAATTTCCTGTTTCTGCTTTCATTTTCCTTACTTCTTAACTATTTTATGTTTTCATTTTGGTCCTCATGGTCTCATTTTATGTTGCATGGTTCTTGTATTATCTGGGTTCCTTATGACATGAAAATGGCCTTCAGTTCTGTTTTTTCTAAGCTTTTGTTTTTATCTGTCCTTTTCCATGTTCTCTATGACTACATGTCAAAGCACTTTTTTAAAAGTTATTATTATTATTACTTTGTTTCCCCACAAATCTATGTTGGAGTTTCAGGAAAATAAATGGTAAAACCCCTGGGTGTGTACATGTCCCCACTGGAGAGGTTAAACTAATCATGTTTTACACAAACACTCCAAAACAAGCGTTTTATTGTGAAAAACCAAGTAACAAGAAACTAAAACCATATTAACTACACTGTAGATCAGTTTTTGATAAAAGATTTTACCAGATATTCAATCACTGAAGTCTTTAAAGCAGTTGCTGTGTCAACAAATAGGCTTTAGGCTAAAATGTTGGATGGTAAAAATAAACTCGTGAGAAAAGCATGTGTTGGATGAGGCTGCAGGCAGCTCTGAGCGAGTTTTTCAATGAAAATGACACAAAATTTAGGAAAATCAACACAAGGTTTGCTCAGTCTGTGATATTACCAGTTGGTTTACCCCCTGTAAGAAATGTATGTGGTTGCAAAAAGACAAATTTGAAGCATCGCAACAGTGAAAGAGGCTTCTGGAGAGTTGAGACAGTAGCTGATATTCAGCATTCCAGACAGAGGCTGAAATGAGAAGCCAATCTGAGATAAGTGAGGGAATTTGGGGGCTGTCAATCATGTAAAGCTGCTAAAAAGCCTCCAGGCAGACAGTTAATAACCTTTAAAAAATAGTATAATACCCCCTTTAAAGCATGCTGGAATATGTCTTTAGGCACAGGTAATCCATCCACTAAAACACCAACTGTAAATTTAAATTCCACTTAATCCAGGTTAACTGAATTCAGATTAAATCCATACAACCAGGTACTTTATTTGAGCACACTTTGAGTTCAGTTTTCCCCTCCATCCATCCACTTCCAGCCTTCTACAGGACCAGATACTTCCTGGAGTTACAGACACGTGACGCCGTATAGGAGGGGGTCTGCCCTCACTTATGCGCCCCGCCCCTTTGTGGACATTTCAGCCAATGATTACATACAACCGTCATTGCAAATCCCAAAAAGGTGGAACTTCCAAAATAAACCCTCGCCCACGACAGGCGGAGCTGCAACACCAGCCCGGGATTCCTCCCTCCAGCCGAGGCGGAGGATTCAGCAGCGAGCAGCGACCGTGGGCTGCAGCAGCACACACTCACACACACACATATCCTCACGCACACACGCATAGTACTCCACTCTCGACTGGTTTCCCCTTCAAAATTACGCACACCTTTGCGCAACACACGACGCCAGCTCCTGGCTGTCTAAGGGTGGGTTTTCAACGCGTGAATAAAGTGTGATTTCTGGTCGAGTTAGTGCAAAAGCATGCAAGACAACGCAGTGCGGGGCTGAAGAGATCCCCACAACACCGACACACTCGGTCGGGAGGATCATCCACTCAGTCGACGTGCACTCTCCAAACAAAAGGCTCATGGCACCTAAACGCATCAGCTGTGGGGAGCTAACTCTTTGCATGATCGAGAAACGGGGCCTGTGCGAGCGAACACTGCATCTTTCCTGGGCGGCAAAGAGCTGATCCAGTTGCCCTTACTAAACAATGCCAAAGTCAAACGAAACGGGAACTACGGCGGCGACGCGGTGTTGGAAACACGGCGGTACCACGCCATTCCCCCCTCCGCGAAAACACGCAGCCGTGGTTCTTCCAGCGAACCGGACGACCGAGTTGTTAACAAATCCGAGCCTATTCTTTGTTTACTTCAGCAATCGGGAGTAAAATGTCTAACCTGCCTCACCACAACAACTCCCTCCCTCCCCCCTACAGATCCATTAGCGTTACATGCTCACACAACGCTGCAGACAAAATGTTTGCACTTCCACACCGCGGGATGCCTCCGATTACACGCACACAGCCCCGGGGACTGACTGTCTAGCAGCCGACAAAATGACGACCCCAACATTTATCCATTTACCATGTTATGTCTTTGGCCATTCTTGTGTAGCCGTTTACCAGCACTAGAAAAGCCCCCACCTATCCATTTAAAGACAGAAAAGGCGCCAGAGGCTTCACAACACCCCCCGATCCACAGCGCGTGTCATCCGCTCGCTATAACACGAAAATAATAATAATAATTTAGTTTAAGCAGCTGTTACATACCCAGGAAAAAGACTCCTTACTCCGGATTCGTGTTTGTAACAAAATAGTTGGAGACGCCCCCCTCCGCCGGCATTGGCGGACACTTGAGTTCACGTCACTTTATTTTGAATATCACCCGCTAAAAGAGAGACAGCGTCAGGGACACAGCAGCAGAGAGAGAGAGAGAGAGGGGCTCCATTTCATAATACACAGGGAGGCACCAGAAAAGTCCACCTTAAACCTCTGGACTGAGGGTGAAAACCACCAGGAGCTGGTCTGGGAGCAGTTTTAACATCTTGAATTATTAAACTATTTTTAATATGTTGGTGACCAGTACAACATAAAAAATAATGTTTTTATATTCATAGATTTCTTTTGAAATTTGAACTTTCATCAGAACTCTGGGGTAAAAGTTCCTAATTAAACCATAATTATCTGTTTAATTTGTATTAAAGCCGCTCACCAGCGCACCATATAACCCAGCAGAGGGCACTCCCGTCGTAACCTGACCAATCAATGCACTCTTGACCTCAGTCGACTAACGTAGCTATATTACTTTACAAAAAAAGAGGACATGGTCAAGCTGAGCTGACACTGATGACACCAAAACATCTGAGAAGTGCAGTGTAGACGTATTCTGGGATCTACAGTGTTGATTGAACAATAAGAAACAAAGATAGCGATGGGTGTCAGCTTGCACCATAGACTGTATATAGATGGGACAGCGTCTGCTTCCTTGCTGGGTGAAGCAACCGCGAGTACAGCACCCTCTGGTGACGGGCTGCAGTATAGGTCATAAATCCCGCCTCCGCCAGCAAAGCTTTTGGGGCTGTGGACGAACTTTAGAAATTTATTACACAGAACATAATTTTTTCCCCTTTTTAAAAGTTATTAGGGGGTTCATGTTTTCTATGATTGACACCTGTTACAGCTTATGGGTGTACGGAGATTATATAGTTCACCTGGGGGATTCGTTGTTTGAGCCGAGCGTCATCACAGCGACTCTTGGTGACTCTCCCGCTGAATGCACACAATGCTACCGCACAAGTGGTGGAGTGCGCACAACGCTACTGCGTAATGTTGGTTTCAGGAAATGAAGAAAAATCGCGGAATTACCGAGAGCTTTTTGGCTTCAAATCCAAGTTGTCCATTGTATATACTGTCTGTGGCTTGCACAAAGCAATCAACAACAACACATTTTCAGGCCCACCCAAAAGTTTTCCACCCACATGAGGTGATGACGACAATACAAAGTGTTCATTACAGACTGACAATATTTTTTACAGCAGGCCCCGAACCAGAGGCTCAGGAAAAGGTGAATACTAATACGTCTGAATATATCTGAAGATTTGTACATCATATTCCTTATTTATACGAGGTTGACAGCCCGATAACATGCCAAGGTAGTTGGCTATTTTCTAAAAAAGAAAGATATGATCTTCTGCTTTCCCTTAATAGTAAAATGTGTCACTCATTGTGAATATTTGCTCTCTAAGATGTAAGAAAAAGCTGTGTCCTCACTCTGCTGTCAATGTGCTCTTAAACCTACCCCCATCTGGTGGTTTCGGGCTTTAAAAATTACTAGTACCTGTCACTCTTGTTGCTGATGGGTCTTTTTTTGCTTTTGTGGCTCACAAAGAGGCACCTGTATGTTTCAATTGCAGTTAAAAACTCCATACAGGGACTTTAATAACAAGTGAACAAGTGAAATCTTTTGGACTAGAGACTTCATTTGCGCGCTTAAAGGAGCAGAGTTTTATTAAACTTTATACTCAACTACCTCTAGTGACTGTGAAAGTTACAGCACTTAGCAGTTCTGTATGAAAATTGAAATTTGCAAATTGTAAGGAATTAAAACCATGATAGAGTTGCCCATATTTTTAGTTTGGTCTCCAAAAAACAAAATGTTTTTCTTATTTTATGCAAAAGTTTTAAAGCTGTATGAATAAAAAGTAAGTTATTTTCATGGGAAGTGTTTGCTTTTACTGATAGGACAGCTGAGCAGAGACAGGAAGTGTGAGGAGGAGATAGTGGAGGGAAAACATGCAGCAAAGGGTCGTGGCTGGGAGTTAAATCTGCAGCTGTTGTGACAAGGATTACAGCCTCTGTACCCATTCAAACCACCGAGCCAACTGGTGCACCACAGAAGATAATCATCAATTTTACTTTTTACAGAGTTTCATGGCTGTAGTTACCCACATTAAACATCCTGTGGGAAACTTTAAGATTTTGTCAATTTTGGTGCCACTTGTAGACAAAGCAGTTTTTGCTTGACTTGTCTTAAAACAGCTAAAAGTAGCTTTCTTGTGTTTTAAAAGTCTGCTCTAAATTGATTGAGTGAAAAGCTAAGTAGAAGTAGAAACAAAAACAACAATATTTTATCAGTTTGTTTTCTCAGGTTTTGATGTGGAGGGGAGGATAATTAGAGGTCGCACACTTCAGACGAATCCTTCTTGTTGTTTAGTCTGTGATTAAATCATCAGGTGTAGGGTTAGGCTGTTGATACTGTGACAGATGTGGAGGATAAAGTCTTTGATTAATTTGGAGAACATGCTTTAAAACACCATGACAGCTCTGCTCTGTAAATGTAGTGACCCCCCTGACAAGGCCGACAATAGATGGCAGTCTTGAGTTGGAGGAGACAGCCAGCTAAAAACATGAAGTGGATCTTAGCATTGCATTAGCATTCATTCTGGAGCATTGCCCAGTAAAAAAAAAAGCCTCATTTACAGCCAAAAAACATTTCTCCAGCTTCAGGGTGAGACCAGTTTTATATTTAGAAAGATAACTGCGCTCTGCTGAGTGAGATTTACTGCCGCAATATCGTGCAATAATTTGCCCTGAGAACATTTTACCAAACCCACAAAAAGATCTCATTGTTGAAAGAGAGATACCCTCACTCTGCCAGGTTCAGCTCCCAGCATGCTTCACAGCAGCAGGCTGGAGTACACATCCCTGTTGCTTACACTGCTCTCTTTGGTGTGGTGGTAAACCCCACAGTGGGACTAAATTCAGTCTCATTTGTTGAGTGTACTCAGCAGAGTAGGAGTCAAACTGTAACCACCAGCTCTGTATTTTAAGAGCAAAGTGATGTTTTGGACCTTCAGCCGTCAGCTGAAATGACTGGTAATCATTACCCAGCCTTGTAATTTGATATAGTTTAGTTAAGGCTATAAAGGATGTGAATAAAGCTTTAGATCGTTTTTGACATCTACTCGTACAGAGACTGATACAGAGGGTCAAAACCAAGAGTAAACCCTATTTAGAGAATAAATGGTGGGAATTAAAAAATAAAAATTAAATAACAAGCTTTGCTCATGGGCTTTTTAAGATTTTCACTTTAATGTAATCAGCACCTACATGGATCAAACTTTATTGGCCTCAGCATCACACATCATCATGTGACCGTTGGAGCTCCGTGAGGAAGTACATACAGTAAATAAGTTGCATTTCAGTTTATTTCAACTAGGAGAAACTTTAAATGTAAACTATTACCACCTTTTAATCCATCTTTCTAAAAATGTAGGCAGCTTTAGAGCAGCCGCAAAGCTTTCAACATATATTTGGCAAAGTTGCCTTTTTAAAAATTCAGAAAATTCTTGGTTTTAGACGCAGAAGACAAATCTAAATTTCAGAATCAGTCTATTATTCCTCCTGCTTTTAGCTCCATTTTGGCCTCCACCTACAGCTTGATGATCTATTATGTCCAATCTCTGATCAATACTTTAGTCTGGGTGCTGTTTTAGTCGACAGTTTAGTGAACAGTTCGGCAGTGTTTTGATCTGGAAACCAAGGTTAAGTTCTGTACATTTGGTTAAACTAGCATAAAACCACTCAAAGCTTAACTAACACAGTCATGTGGATGCTGATGTACAATCTGACGTTTATCTGTTATCTGTGTTCAATAATCTGTGCTCAGTTTGAGTGCTTTTTTACCTTCAAATCAATACATTGGAATCGACGAACTCCATTAGGGTTGTCTGGGTGTCGTTTGATATAAGGCTGGATTTGTGCACAACTTTTGACAGTTTTATAAATCAAAAAATAAAGCAACAAGCCAAAAATCCCTGAAAGCAGGAGCAGGATTGTGTCAAAATGGCTAAGCGGTCTAGATGCGCACACTAAATGAAGGCTGTAGTCCTTGTCATGATGGTCACTGGTTTGACTCTGGTGTGCCGCGTGTCTCTGCTCCCAGTGTTTCCTGTCGACCTTCCACTGTCCTGCAAAAAATGCTCCAAAACACACCTGAACTATGTTCTTAAGGTGACACCTATCATATATAATTTGACAAATAAGTAAAAAGAAGCTTGTGTCAATATGAAGTGGGATTGTAAAGCTTAAATAACATAAAAAAAAATCAACTCTGCATGTGTTACAAACAAAACAAACTCAGTTAAAGCTCCTGTAAGGGACTTTTGGTTTGTGTCAGTTTGGCGCCCCTGTTGACAAAGCAGTCCTCTCAATTCAGATGAAAAAAAGTCTCATTTTGCTGACTTTTAAATGTCTCATATATGGTGAATATTATATGTTGAATTGTAAATACAGGGCTAACACCTACCCCTTTCCACTCATTTTATGCATAAAAAAGTTCGTTATAAAACTCATCGATCTTGTTGTTGATGGTCTTCTTTGCCTTTGTTTATCATAAAAAGACATTAAAATCAATTTCAGTCAATTCCATAAATGTCAAAAAACTCCTCAGAGGAACTTTAAGAAACAAAAAATGTTTTTACAACATCAGGGCGAATGACGACACCTTCTCAAACATCTACATTGACATAGTTTTATTCAATACAGTATAGCTTGATTCAATAGTCATACGAATGATAAAGTAACAGGTTATAATAGAACAAATATAAAATTAACGTAGATAACTGTATAACCTGGGTAATTGTATGAAAACAGCTGCTGAATACAATAGAAAAATAAAACAGGGCACATTTTGCGTCCATCATTGAAAGGAAAAAATAATTCTTAAATCAGAGTGCATGAAGATGGCAGACTTAAAAAGGCTTCACTACAAGCAAATTCAATATGAATTCTGTAGAGAAGAACACATTTTTCTTTTCACCTGGTAATGCAACATATGACACAGACACTCAGGTTTTGTACATTTACTCGATTAATGGCAAGATACTTGGACCAGATGAAAGAACAGCTTACAACCACAGTCTGTAGAACTTAATCATAACCATAAAAAAAATTAAAATAAACTCCAGACAAAATTTTGGATGTGCCCAAGAGGGGCTCCACGGGGTGTAGGCACAGATTTATTCATGCTAAGCTTCTAAATTAGATTTGTCCCCACAGAGCTCTATGCAGATGTTTACATTACGTCCCAAATGTCACTAACTGTTTAATATTAAAGCTTTACTAAATTTAACAATCCAGCATGGCAGCATGAAGATCGACAGGATTACGATAAGGTTTAATTTGTAATCCAGCCCTAATTTATGACAGCTAATCTCAGAGCTCACTGGGAATAATTATTCAAAAGTGCTAAGAAACGATTTGAGTAAAAAAAAGAAACAAAAACAAAAGTATTGCACTACTCATGAGGTCTTAACCAATGTCTCCCTCAGATAAACACTTTGATGGCATAGTCACTGCAGATTGCTCTAAATGTGTGCATGTGTGCGGGCACTTAGCATTACATTCTCACTATCACCGAAGCATGATGGCACTGCTAGTGAGCGAAGACAAGTTTGTACTGCACGACAGGAGATCTCAATACGTAGGGGGGAGACAGAGGGTCCGGGTTTTCAGCTGATACATTTGGAAAAACAGAACAAAAACAGAGGAATTCACGTGTACAGCAATTTAATGAATGATAACAGATGGGAGTTTACAGCTGGATCGTTTAGGATGTGCTTAACCCCTCTAAACTTTCACTCGGGGATGCTCACTGTGGCAAAACAACAACAACAACCTCCTGGCAACAACCTTCTTCAGACAGACGTAACAGATTTTAGCTTGTTGGGCAGTTTCACCTCCTTGAGCTCGGCGTGACACTCCTCTAGAGCGCAGAAGTGGCTCGTACCATCTACATATATGACCGACATCCATGTGCTTAAAATTCGCCAAAGTGGGCGCGATATTTCCTGCAGACAGGAGGTTGTTAAAACTAACACCCATCTAGCTGTAGCATGGCAGTGGAGATCAAGCTCCTTATCTGAATTAAAGGAACACTGAGCGGATTTAAAGGAACAATTCACCCCAAAAACTCTCAAAAGGAGATGTCTGGATACAAAATGCATGAAATTAAACCGTCTTAATTCAACTGCAGAATTAAGGAAAACTATAAAAGTAAGTTTCGTGCATTCATAAAAGGTTATTTTGACTTTTTATATCTACATAGGAAACACCAACTTGAGGGTGAGGATATTTAAAGCTCCTGTGGGGAGTTTTTATCAGTTTATGAAATAGACTGAAATTCATCAGTGATAAGACAGATGATTTTCATGTCGTAATTTATAGTAGTGGAAACCATTGTGAGGGGTTAGGCGTCAGCCCTTTTTTCCATTATAATGTATTTAACAGTCAAAAGTCAGCAGGATGAGATTATTTTGTCAGATATTGCTACTTGAGCATGTTAAGGACCAGATCAGCTACAACTGCTTGTCTATGGGGGAAAGTCCCTCACAGGAGCTTTAAACGGAAATGCTGATTTCAGTCAGTGTCATTACTTTGTGAATTACTGAGTTGTTAAAGCAGGTGCCCTACATACAAAGCATGCATGCCTTTTTTTTCTACATTTCCAGCATCAAAACCAAGACATGAGGCTCATCAATAATTAAAGAAGACATTATTTGGCTGAGATTAAAACTCAGGCGACAAAAGAAGAGTGGATAACTTTTGTTTTGGGGTGAACTGTTCCTTTAAGGTCACCTCAACCATCAGTTTTCTGAGGCGAATGAATAAAGAACAGGTTAATGAACAAAGTCGCGATCGTTCCCCTCGGTGTGCCTGACCACGAACCTCTACGACAGAAGAGCAGCTTGTTTTTGCTGCCTCACACTTCTGAGACATGTACAGGAGGATCAAAACATCACATAGCTGGGACGTGGAATGTTATCACACTGAAACGCCACAAACTCAACATTCAGTCCTTATCTTTTCACTGTCTTGTCTTGTCTGGCTTGCAGATGAAGAGTTGCCTTTCTCTGTGACGAAGAAACAAACTTTCCCAGGTGCACAAGTTGGTCACACAACACAGCTTGTTTTTTTTTTCTTTTTTTTTTTAACAGACTGACGGCAGAAATTTCAGGGTTCATGGGTTGGGTGTGGAAGTCAGGGGCTGAAGCTCACTGATTGGATGGCAGCAGGCCCTGCCTTTGGGCGTGCTCCAAAATGGCGTTGTAGCAGAAGTAGTACTGGTCCGGGGTTTGAATGCTGAAGGCCCTTTGTGTTCTCATGCGCCGCACTGTCTGGCATACGTTTAGCGAGCCTACGTCTTGTAGCTGGGACAGACAGATGTCCAGGGCGCAGAAGGTACCTGACAAGAACATGTTTCATCAGCACTAACATTTTTCAGAGAGGAATCATTGGCGAACAAGCAACAACTGATCAGAAAGAAGAAGAAGAAGTAGACAAACTCTGTATCTCACCTGTTCTACCAATCCCTGCACTGCAGTGGACCACCATTGGAGGTCCAAGCGGGTGTCCCGTCCACTGAGGTCCCAAAGCCTTCACCATTTTCCTCTGTTGTCTCTTTACAGCTCCCAGGAAGTCAATGAGTGTCACTGCGGAGGTGGGGACGCCGTAGTCAGGCCAGCTCAGGTACTGGAAATGACTAACGTGTCTCTGTTCACATGTCTGCGTGAATAAAAGATACTTGGAGTTACATTCCTGCTGCACTGCCAGGGTACAAACGCTCTTACCAGTGTTGTTGCAGAGAGTAAAACAATAAGACCTTTAACAGTTTCATTCATATCTCTATGGTTTATGTGCAACTGATTTATGACAAACTGCTTCGTCACACTTTAAATCTGGTTATTTAAAGTCTGTATGTAGATTAAAAAAAAAACAGGAAATATCATGAAAACACCTTGAAAAGTAGGAGTTGAACATCTGGGCTATTTTACTGCCCAGATAAACACAGAAAAGTAGATCCCACAACAGAGCTACGTTGACTTATTTCCTTTAAGTTGTTTGTTGACAAACTGAAATTGTTGCCACATGACAGACCTCCTCCAACTGCTCTCTTTTGTCAGATCACAGATCCCTGCATTGGTCCATAACTGTACCTCTGTGTTGTGCAATTCGAGGGTGGTGTGGTTGTAATGGGTGTGGTGATCAACCCTCTGGTTAACCACTGCAATGTGGCCATAGACCTCCTGCCCCCCCTCCTCCAGGGGCCAGTACTGTCCACACTTCCTCCGGCTGCCCTCGTCTGTCCTAAAAACACAAAACACATTTCTGTTCAATAAATCTGAATCAGTTTGAGTTCTTCAATTGGAGTCGTAGAGACTTTTTGAAAATGAAATAAGCTGCTGCTGAGTGTCTGTGTCATTCTCAGCTCAGATTACCTGGTTGTCATCACAACCACGAGCACATTTTGTTCCCAGACCATTCTCCAGAAATCCCCGTAGGTCTTTTCCAGAGGTCCTGCAGAACAGAACGAAGATTAAATACATCTAAAAATGACTTCAGTCCGGTCATCCATGAGTTTAACGAGGCATATCAATTAAATAGAAGGTACGCTGGAGCCAGATACTTCATCTCTTTGTGGTAAATTCTCAGAAGTTAATATTGGTGTACCACATGGCTCAGTTCTTGGCCCTCTGTTATTGATCATTTTCTGTGATTAAATTTGTACACGTCTCGAAACCTTTGGTCTACTCTTCGACGGTATCCTGTTGACATGATGGAAAAGTATTTGTAGGCTAAGGGTGAAACCAGCGAAGAGTCTTCTGACACCTACAGCAATGACTTCCTTTCCAGCGTGTTTCCGTATTTTAACGGTATGACTAATAACTTGGAAAGCTTGTGTTGAGAAATGATGTTAAAAGTGTTAACCACTCTTGCATGCAGTAGATTTTTGTTTTTTATCTGGATATGGAGGTTAATCGTACATCATTTGCAAAAACAACCAAATATATTGTTGAAATAAACCAGTTTTCTTACCTTGTGTACCTATGTATGCGTTCCTTTGTTTGTAGCCGTCCATGAAGCTTGCGTTGATGTAGTCAGATCTCTGTGGGAACAACATAATAATACTAGTAACCCTCGCTCATGTTAAGAAGAAGCAGTACAAGGGCTGCAGTAACCTAATGAAACTGCGACGGGGCTGATGAAGCACAACAGACTGATCTCAGTGACTGTCCCTCAAGCTGGACGAATACCAGCCTTTTTGTAAGGCCGAGTGCTGGCAGCCTGACAGCCTTTCAAAAGGATGAAGCTTGGCACATTTCTTGGCAGACGAGAGGAACCACAAAAGGAACTGCTCGCTGGTCAAACTGTCTTTTTTCTTTCATTGTGTTTTGGATGACACTCGCGGCGAACAGATTAAAAACACTCACTTCGTTTCTTCTGGGTTTCAAACGGACTCTTGTTTGATCAAGGCACGGCACGTCTCCATAGCGATTCCTCTCCTGATTGTAGACAGATCTGTGGGCAAATGATAGGAAACAAGTTACTCATGACCCTCACTGCTGCATGAATTCAAGCTGAGGTATATTAATTATAATAAAAACCCTTAACTACAAGAAGACAGAGACAGATGTTTCAAATGAGCGTGAACTCACTGTGCACAGTGAAAGGTTCCAGGTGGAGGTTCTTTGCGCAGCTCCTCATACTCCTGATGGATGCCTGAGCGCTGCAGCCGGCCAAGGTGTGCCAGCAGCTCCTGTGGACGCATCGACTCAGGTCCGGGGACGTGTATGGAGGCGTCTTCAACGGGAATGCCAACCAGCTCGTCCACTGGGTCAACCCGGCCGTTCTGACCCGCCAGCAGCTGCTGGTTCCAGCTGTATGAGTCGAGAGGCAGCAGGCCGCCCAGGTGCTGGGGGAGACAGTCTCTGGGGAGGTGTTGTCGCAGCTCCGCCATTTTCACCATCTGAACCTGGAGGCAGACAGTGTCAGCGAAATTCAGTCTCTAGCTTGTACTTGAGAAATAATTTGATTAAGTTCATGTTACTGAATATTGAGTACACTTTGGCATCTTCTGGAGTATTTTAAAATACTAAAATGTAGCAGAAACAGGATGAACTCCTCCTATGAGAACAGTCCCAATCACTCCGAATTAGGTGAAACACCAGAAGAAACAATAAAGAGAAAAACCTCCTCAGCTTGTGAACAAAACTCAGAGGGTGTGGCCATGGTGGTTCGTCAAAATTTAACATCTGAAAAACTGTTTTTTTCCTTTAAAAGTTGGATTTGTTTCTCTCATGGGGTCAATCTAACCCACCTCAAATTGTCTGCAGCACCAGAGAAAACTTTGAGAAACAAAGGTTCTTAAGTTTGAGAACAAAACTTGGTGGGAGTGGCCACGGTAGACGTTGTAAAATTACTCATTTGATACCGATATTTGGGACTTCTTTTATTAGACTTCATATGTGAGCTCTTGTGTTTAACTTAAAATCTGTTCCTGCTCAGTATAATTTGCCCCTAGAGGGATTAATCAAAAATTCTAAATTAGAGTTAATTGAATTGATGTGACGCCATACAACAGGAAGTTACAATAACACAAACATACAAAGTAATGTCCTTTACTAAAAATATCTATATGCCATTATTGTACTTTTTTCATAGTGCCACCTTCTGGCGAAAGGCAAGAATTACATCAAGTTTACAGGCTGCGCTGTCAATTCAGGGTGAGTGCTTAAACAGGACTATCTGCAGCCATTATGACTATAACTTTCTTTCTTTTTTATTTATCTCAAACTTTAAGAACAACAACAATCAACTACATGTGTACACCAAACAACTGTACATGTCAAAGACAAATTTACACAACATATGTATGTCAAAAACAAACAGTTTCAGAGCCAATAATGAGTGAAAAAAAATAATAAAGTTGTATAAATTACAAAGATCTGTATAAATACCTACATATTATACACAAAGATATCTGCTCAACACTATATACATTACTTATTATAATTATTTGCATATAATAATAATAATCAGAGTTAATGAAGAATTAATTTTACTTCTATGCAATCAAGTATATTTAGTATAAAACCATACTTTTGTTATTTTACTTATATGAATTTTTTAATACTTCTCTATAGCTTGATTTAAATATTTTTATGTTATTGGACTTTTTTAAAGTGGCTGTTCTAGAGTTTAACACCACAAACAGAAATGCACATACTCTTCAGAGTTTTATGAATAATCTGACAAGTAAATTTATGTTCACTTAAAAGTGACATTTGCTAACATGCGTCACACCCCCCACGTAGTGAAAGGGCTGTTTGCAGATGTAATGTTTTTTTCCCATCTTTATATCAGGCAGCACTTGTGTTTTTTTTAGTCTTGTTTCTAGTCTTGGTTTTTATTCTATTGACCCTATAAAAATCACCGTTATTGCAGAAAAAACAAGTTGTAATCTTCTGTACACAAACAACGTCACATTTTTTGTTGCATTTCATTAAAAGAAATCTGTTCTAATGAAACCCTTCAGGGACGGTAATGTGGTGGTCTGATTGACTCCAGTTATTCCAGCATCAACATCCCTGACAGCAGGCGGGATTAGCGGTCACAGAAAAGCCCCAAACCCAATGATCACTTGTAGCGATCAATGGCACTGCATTGCTTTCTCACTCACTCACTCACTCACTGCATGCTGCTTTTTGAAAGCGTTAACACAAACATGAAGCATTTACCCTCTCTCTGAGTTTCTCCTTCAGCAGCAGGCTGAGCAGATTGTAGGGCACTCGAAACCAAACAGGGGCACCCACGATCAACACCTTCTTCAGCCTGGCAGGGAACGCCCCCTGGTGGAGAGACACGGCACAATATATGATCAGAGTCGTTTTTTGAAGTGTGCCCTAAAAGGTCACATTACAGACAGTTATATGCTTGTTAAAATGACCTCACCATTCACAGTAGAGTATCCACTGAAAGACAAACTCACAGTATCTCCATGTTATGAAGACACAGTCAAAACATTTGATACCTGAGCTCTAACTCTGACTCTTCGTCTAAAAAGCTTTTTCCTACTGAACATAACTCAGCGACAGAAATACACCAGCATTGATCCTGATGCAACCACTAAAGCGTCCGCGCTATTGACTCCAGATGACAAACTGCTAACCTTTAAAGCACAAATCACAGAGAGGGAGGCAGACTCCCGAGTACCTGCGAAAATAATCACCAGTCCCTAAGGAGAAGGAATAGAATAACACTTCTCCGCTTATTCTGGGAGACATTTCTTCTGCCCTTTAGACAGGCCTTGAAGATATCACCTCTCAGCTGCTTTACAGGATCAGGGACATAACTCAGGAGTAATGTAGTTACCTGGCTCAGGAAAGGGGTGGATCAGATCCAGCGCAGGAAGTGAATACATCTAATGTTCTTTCAGTATAGATAAGAGGTTTGTATCTAATGGTGTGTGTACAGGACACTGTTCTCAGAATAAAGCATCTATTTTCATCAGCCTTTTTGCACATGATGTGAAAACATGTTAAAATCAGACAAACCTTGAGCAGGTTGAGGATCTTCTTGCTCAGGTCCAGCTCAAAGTTTGTATAGTTGGAGCCGGCCATGTCGTAGATGAACACCAAGCCGTTCCTCTGGGTCTCAAAACTGCAAAAGGATGGAGTGCCAAGCAGATATTATATAATATTTCACTGTCATTTCAAAACAAAATGTTGCTGTTTTAGTGCAAATATTGTGTTGAGAAAATCAGGTATTGAGGTTTTTTTTTGAGCAGAAATACACATAAAACACACAAAAAGGTCACTAAAACAACATCAAACTGAGAAACTTTGAACAAAATCAACAAAAATACAAAAATGTAAAGTGAATTATGTGAAGTCCTCACCTCTCCACAGCCCGGTCCAAGAGGTAGAAGAGGGCCTGAAGCACCACATGGTTGCCTGTCTTGTTTGGGTGATGAAGCTTGGCCGTGTACAAGGCGATGGAGGCCCCTGAGGGGTCCCGGACACTCTGAAATACACAAAACTAACAGGTTATATCAGCTCTCGACCAACTCTTTCAACCTGAATTTTATCCAGATTTACACTCAAACAGAAGGTTACACATCGTCACTTTTATGAATCTATGATAAATATCATGAATTTCTTGTCAGATCCATGAATCTTGATGTCTGCGAAGGTCGCTAAATGCCTTCCGTAGCTCACTGAGGCTGACTTAAAATGGGTCAAAAAGGCAGCTGAATGGAAGCTCTGCAAAATTGAAGGATGAATACTGACCACAGGGGGGCACTTAAGTTCATTTTCTGGTTTCTGGCCTGCAGCCAAAGAGGGCTGTCAACAATTCAGCAGGAGGAACAACTGTTGTCAATGATGATGCTGCAGGTCTCTGAGCTGCTTTTTTTCTCTTCCAGATGATATTTTTCACGTCAAACTGGATCAGTTTCAAGGCTGCTGGTGTCTATAAAACCAGAGGCTGTGCAGTTGGATGAAGCTGCTGATCAAAGGTACCAAAGAGACGTCCTTTGTAAGCAAATAAGCCCGAGTTCCTGACCGTGGGGGCTATAAATACCTCAGACAGGATATGAAGCCTGCTGGTGAGGCTGGAGGACTCGGACGTCACACAAGAGGATGTGCAGCATCAATGCCACTGTGGCACGTCAAAGAGGAAGGAAACACAGGAGAGTGGCAGAGTGTGTTCGTGTCTGTGTGCTGAAAGGGGAGAGCGTCTTTTATGGTCACTACTTGGCTATTAAAAGGCTAAATTTACCTGGTACAGGAAACCTCACATGAAGGAGTCAATCAAATGAAACTCTGAATCCTTATCGGTGTTACATTACAGCCGAAATGTTGCACTCTAACATGTTTTGTGAAACTTGCACACAGACAATAACCAGAGAAGAGCGAGAGGACAGTTTCATTCAGGCCGAGGAAAATGGAAAACACCCACTCTCCTGCACATCGTACCATAAACTCACGAGTCTATGATATAAATGCAATTTTTCAATACTCATCTAAATGTGGGTAAAAGCTTGAGTTTCATTGTTGAATTAAAAAATATGTCTGATCACGTATCTCACCTATCTTCAATAGGTTTTGGTGAATAATAGAGGAAGAGGTTATAACTGGGATCTGGGGAAAAAAACAGATAACACTGCCACACTTCTCTCCATTTTGGTTTAATTTGACTGATTTAATTCTGCTGCCTGAACCATCTTGGGTTATATTGTGTTGTCCCCAACAGATAACACCAAAAAGCAAGTTTTTGGTACGAGCAGATATGAACAATTCTGATACTGACTGTCGTTAAGGTGACACAGTGGAAACTTAAACGACAAGCATCGACTTGTTGGCTGGAAGATTTACAGCTCAAACGTTTTCCTCCTGTCTCTTTAAGGCCTCTCTAGCACTCAAGAAGCCTCCTCCACTGTTGCCACACTACGCAGTTGTGTTTCTCCATTTAAAATGAATAAAAATGGGATATGGCTGCATGTTTAGGGCCGTGCAGAAATAACTAGAAATAACAGAAACAGCTATAATGTAAGAAAAGTGCTGTGCATAAACAAAACTAAAGACTAAATAAAATAAAATACAATAATATTTAATATATAGCAAATTAAAAGGCTAAATAAAAATGACTGACAAATAGAGGAGGTAGAGGAGATAGTTTCAGCTGGACTAACATGTTTATACAGATTTTTAAAGCCCAGTTTTTAGTCAGAGTACTGCGATAAATTGATTCTTTGAAGAACAAGTAAATGTACTGAGTGACATCCAACACTTTATATGTACTTGCAAAATATTGAAGCATGAAACCCACTCTTAAAAACCACAGATTTAATTGTACTTTTAAAGAAGCGTCATCTCGAACAGCACCAAAAGTTTCTGAAAAGTAGGAACAAAAAAAAAGCAGCAGAACTGGCAAAAACCTGCCAAAAAGTGGAGGAGCGTAACATTTAATCAATCCCTGAATTAATTAAAGCAAGGTTGATGTATGATATACTCGCATCAGCTTTGGTTTCAAACTATCTGCATATCATCAAGAATCCAATACTTCGCATCCCCGGAATAACTCTTTAACTGTTGAGTAAATATGGCACGACTCAGGACTTTTCCACTGTAAGGATGATGAATGAAGAGGAGGTTTACTGGAGACTCTCACCAACACTGTGAACTTTCCACTGAGCAGCTCTGAGCGCAAAGGTTCTTCCTGCGGCTGAAGGCGGACGATTCCTTCTTTCAGACGTGTTTCCTGCCGGAGAAGAAAAGAGCACAGCAGGTGAAGTCGGGCTGCAGAGTAGCTCTATAACAGACCGTCACTTTGAGGTGAATTCCTCTCTGTGAACAATAGACAATTATCCGCCTGACTTTTCCTGTCAGGAGGATCCCTCTCTTCAAGGTTTCCATTCCTCCCTCGAGGAGGCTGAGTGGGAGTTTCGTGAACTCGCTCTGAGGCCGGAGCAAGGGAGGTGTCATTCACAGTTAGATTTGAGGTTTCTTTGTTTATTGAATAATGTGGGCTCTGTTAAAGGAACATTCAAACAAACTTTAACAGGAAACGCTCGTGAATAAACCATCCTCACCTGGAGCAGCTGTCACCTAAAATATCTTCCTCCTGATTTCATTTGCTTTGATTTAAGTGGGTTTAGTTTCTCCACATGATGGAAACAGCTTCTATTTATATCAACCTAATGCAGGTTATTAGTAATGGCTGACAAATATGAGAGAAAGATATCAGATATAAGGAGTATGAAAAGATAAAGAGTATATTACACCACTGGGCAGTGATTTTCCATGTAATGTAATACTGGAGTCCTGCAGATAGACCTGATACCTGACAGCTGAGAGTCCAGCTCAGCCTTTCAGTAATGATTGACAACACAAGTTAAAATGAGCCAATATTTACCTGCTCACACCTCTAAAGTATAACTTATTTACATGCTTTTTTTTGTCTTAAAAACTATAACTAATTTACACGTAAAAGCCTTCAGGGGGTTTGTGCTCAGCTGCCTCAAAGTAAGGACAACAAAGTAAGTTGTCATTTACATTTTTGTAAACCCTGATTTCCAAACTAAACATCACATGACAGTCATTTACCTCTAGCTATGTTGGTAGTTGTGTGTTTTTACCTTCTGGCGGAGTAAGGCCTCTTGGTTCTGGTCTTTCTACTCTGCTAAACTAACAGGATTAAGGCTATAGCTTAAACTGTTGATTATATTCACATGGTTAATCTGTTTCTGTGTTTCTTCGTTCGGGAGGTTGAAGTTTAAATCGAATAAGCAGCAACAGGTTGACATCACTTGGAAGAGCGGATCCAGTGTTTCCACTTTTTTATTTTAATTGGAGCTGCATTTTCATTCATTTTTTTCCAACACACTAGACTTTGTGTGTGTTTCATGCCGTCATTTTTTTAAGACGCTTATGAAAGTGTTTTATAACATTTCTTGTAAAAAAGTCTTATAAAAGGTTATATCTAATCCACAATTCCAAAGATAAGACTTGACTTGATTGTAAAAAGTCAAAAATGAAATCGTCAATTCTTCACAAAATGAAATTATTTTTAAAAATTAAAAGGTTATTGGTCGGTTTATTTTTGACTTATTACAAGGAATTCAGTTCTCATTTTTAGCGTGTAATAACTTGAAACAGGATCTTTATTCTGGACTTGTCGGGTTAATGTGGCTTAACTTAATCCTATTAACACACTTTCTTTTCCTGGAATTAAGACGAAACATCGACTTGCATTGTGATTGGCTTTTGTGCTACTAGCCTTAAACGACATTCAAGTCAACAAATATTGTGTTTTATTTTCTATTTACTCCCATCAAACAACTTTGAGCATCCATCATCTCTCACTCGACTCATTTTTTAAACATAATTCCTGGAAATTTCTGCCTTTTAATTTACAGTCTGAATTATTTTGCGGCATTTAGCAGACCAGACTTGGTAGAAATTGGATAAAATATTCTTTAGTATGTTTAAATTAAAGTATGATCACCAGGATATACAAATATTTGTGTTTGTTGCTTGAGATGAGCCTTTTCATATCTTCCAGTGAGGCCGCCATCTTGTTTCTACAGTGACACAGACAAACCAGTATAATATATATGTGTTTTTGATTTAAGAATAAGAAGGACTTTATTAATCCCCGAAGGGAAATTCAATAAGTATGTAAATGACTGCATGGACAGCTGCTAAAAGAATCCATCCATCCATCCATATTCTACCGTTTAATCCCGTTAGGGGTCGCGGGTGCTGGAGCCTATCCCAGCATCTTTGGGCGAACGCAGGGGACACTCTGGACAAGTCGCCAATTCATCGCATGGCTGACAAACAGAGATGCACAACCATCCACGCTTACATTCACACCTACGGGCAATTTGAAAGTGGCCAATTAACCTAACCCCACTCTTGCATGTTTTTGGGATGTGGGAGGAAGGACACAGGCTTCGAACCCAGGACCTTCTTGCTGTGAGGCGACGGTGCCAACCACTACACCACTGTTCCGTGTCCGCTGCTAAAAGAATTTTTGATAGAAAAAAAAGAATCTTTAAAATGGAGGATCATACTTCTCGTACACCATAGAAGCTTTTTGTCCTCTAAGGCCACCATTGCTCACCAGTTAGAGGGGTGAGCAAAGGAGTCTGACGGTTAGATATTGTTTGATACTGCTATTTCTATATGCTGAACTTTTATTTAAGGGACAGTTAAAGAAAGGAAATGAGGTAAGACATGCAGCGAAGAGTCACAGTTGGGAATCAAACCAGGAACCAACCCCGAGAAGGACTGCAACCTCTGCACATGGAGCATGCACATTTTTATTAATTGGTTTGAGTTTAAATAGCCTGTAAGAACAAAATAAGTTGAAAACAGTAATTCTGTTAAACTACATTAAGATCAACGAATATTAATATCACGTGAGGGTATGTGTGAATATCTTTGAATCTTGCCTTCTCAAACATCTGGCTCTGATTTATCTCTGAATCATTCAAAGTAAGGAAACCTCATCTGAAACTACTCAGACTACAGCTGCAGTAAAAAGTTCTTCGCAGGTACAAAGAGACTTTTTTTTCCACTGCATGCTCGGCTGGCAGCCTCTCCTTTAATGCCAGCTTCGTTCTCTCTCAACAACCAAAACACCATTTCACCAGGATCTTTGCCTCAATGTTCGTCCAGATGAATTACTCGTACCCTGCCTGTGTCCGGGTGTTGACGCAGCATTAAACCGAGTTAAATGAACCATGGGTACAGGCAGGGGGGGGATAATCCTTCTCAAAGTCACATTCATTAATGAGCCGCGTTTATGCACGGAAACTTTTCATTGCAGAGACCCCACTTTAGTGAATGAGGGGAATTAACTTCAATCCTGCCATGTCTTAGAGCTATTCAGGTCATTAAGAGCCTGAGTGAGATCATTGGAGAACTTTCCATGTGCTGCAGTAGATAAACCAGAGCAGATCTGAGCTGATAGATCTCATTTAGTACGCTCAAACTCGACCATAATGAAATTTAAGGCGGTATAGACCATTTAGAGACAAAATGAGACGTTACACTCAACTCCCTGGTTGTTATTACGTGACTCATAGGAGGAAGTCTTGATTATGTGATTATGTAGATGTTATTTTCAGATCAGAAACTAAATGAGACCTACAGTCTGATCGATGGCCGTCTCCCTGAAGTTGATTGCTTTCATCATTTTCCATTTTGATGGTAATGGTACCAGCTGCTACCTCAGGGATGCGTCAAGAACAAATACATTTGATTATGCTCTGCCCACAGTGAGACCTCAAACGCCATCCATCTACCTTTCAGCAGAATTTCTTTGAATATTACTTTTGGAAAGGAAGGAGTGAGGAGATGAAAGTTCAAAGGGAGAGTTTTGAGATGACGCACGCACAAAAAAAAGCCAAAGGTCTGAGTCAGACCAGGGCCAAAGTGGCGAGGACTTTGAGAGAGAAACTGGTGCCACGCTGTGCCCTCGACTTGATCCAGATTAACACAGATCTGTTACCCTGGTTTTAAGACACTTTAGTGCCATTTTTAAAGCAAAAGCTCGGCACATAAATTTCAAGAAACCAGATAGAAACAGTCCCTGTTGGATCAAGGCAAAAAAATAAGCCATTTACAGCATGTCAGAGTTGTGTTTTTAAGCAAGTTTTGAATTGATTTGCTGAAATATCAACAATTCAGCCTTAATTGGAGATCTGCAGCCTCTCAGTTCGTCATGAGCGGGTGATGATTGGCTCCCTGGGTTTTGTCAAAAAGGGAGAGGGTGCAAAGTCAGTGCGTTTACATACACAGCTTAATTGGATTAAGCTTATACTTCAGTTTTCTTTTCGCCTCCTCCCCAAAACCAGGGGGCGATATGGGTCTTTTCAGTGGCGCTGTTTCCTACCCCGTACAACCGTCAACAACAGCAGCAGATCCGTGCCAGAGGTCAGAAGTGGCTTTTTGTCGTACATGATGTTCGCGCTGCTTTTTCTGCAGATGAGATGCACGCTACTCCTCTTCTCTGATTATAGTCGGACTAAGGTGTTTACATTTACTTCAGTTATCCGGTCTTTATCAGAGTAAGGCAATACTTTTGTTTTTTCAAGTGTCATGTAAACGTACTGACTGACACGGACGGATGCAGAGGCGGAAAAACACCAAAGCATACAGGACAACCGTTGCCCATGCACAACATGTCATCCAGAATCTGACCCTGAACAGAAGTGGGGCAACTCCATAAGTGTTGCAACAGTGGTTATGACAACATGTCAATGTGTCTACAAGTGGTGTGTTAAAATATATTATGCATAAATCACCACAAGAGCTTGGTTTTAACTTCCAGTTTCTCAGCGTTGTTAAGCTTGAGAATAACTAAAGAACAGACTAATGTGTTTTTGTCGAACTGGATCCTAAAGTTTGTGTTTTTTCCTCGACAGCTACATACTGTGAGAGTGCTGTCTTTCAGGTTTGCCCTCAAGGGGGTGGTTAACAGTTGAGTAAACACAAAGGAAACAAAAAGAAGAAGATCAGTTGAGTTAAGTAGAGGTACGTTGTTGTTTTGCATTTTTCACTTTGAGAAAAGCTCAGAGAGTTTCTTAAATATGAGATCAAATATGAAGAGAACCTCAATCTCACTCGTATTTGATTTAACACATATAGATACTCACGTTCAGGTCTGTCATTAAGTTTGATAATAATAAAAGTTTGTATTTGCACACAGGCCAAATACACCCTTTCCTGAGAAAACTTGAAGTTCCTCATTTCCACTGACCTCATAACTCATAACCTCAGCTGATTATGCGCTAAGTTTCAAACTCACTGGTGTAAGCCTGCATGCTTCTCAGGGTGTATAATTCAGTGTGTGCGTTTGTGTTTATCTGTGTGTGTCTGGCCCAAGGTTTTGGGTGCATCTGCTTAGGCGATCTGTTGCTCTGAACCACTTCTGAGAACCTTTGTTCAATGAAAAGGTCTTGTGTTGCTGCGCTGTGGGCGTAGTGAAGAAGCTCTGCGTGACCTCTGCTCTTCCACCTTGGAGTCAGCATGTGGCTCTGTGATGTCTGACTGCTAACCTTTACTTTGAAATGACTTTTTATGCTTTTTAATCAGGTGCAGGTGGATCTTAAATGCACCAAATTCAGCAGATACAACATCGTATCTTCTTCTTCTGCTGCTTTTTTCATCTTAGCCTTGATATTTGTTGTCCAGCAAAATCACAGAAAAAAATGAGTTATTTTTCAGAGAAAACTTGCATAACCACACAGTTAACAAAATTCATGGTTATGTGGTTTAATGAAAAGATGAACAGCATATTTGTCTACGTACGTGTAATTACCAATTTATTTACATTAGTTGGAAATGTCTCTTAATTTAGGTTTCAGAGAAGCTGAGTTCTCCTCAAAACATCCTGAGTAACAGCTCGGTATGAATCAGCTCCTCTGAAAACAATCTCATGACATTAGTCACATTATGCTCTGCTGCAGCTATAATTCAGCCTTGCATTGTTAAGCACACAGCCTCAGGGTCTTGTTGCTTCTCATAAAACCTGTTGACAGAAGCGCTCTGCCGTGCAAGTCACTCTCACTATCTCCTTTCATCAACTGACGACCCTGAGCTAAGAAAAGACCTACACAAATGCAGTCATTGAGAATAAAAACACCTGTTTGCACAGTGTAAACGGGCATATCTCTTTTTTTAACAGGATATTGCATGGTTATCATTTAAAGCTCCTGTAAGGAATTTTTGGTTCATGTTGATTTTGGCACCCCTTGTGGACAAAAGAAGTAACTCTTAACTAGCTTTGTCTTGTACATTCAAGTTCAAGTCTGAACACTTATTGGACATCTTTGCCATGGATGGAAAACATAAAAAAGGCCATTTCTGTGATTAATTAGTCAATTTATCTTACCCTTGTACCCTGCCAGAGGTTTTAGACGCCTTAAATGACTGAACAGACACAGGAAATCCTTTCGCTTACTGTCTGGTTTGTTTTTGTGCTTTATAAAAATGTATCAATGACAATTTGTTTTTGTGATCGGCTAGAAAATCCTTGCAGTAGTTTTACGTTTGACAGGCTTGAGTATAAAGCCTTTAACTTCACATGTACAACATGTGTCATTGCATGATTCGGCTAACTTCTTAACTTAATCATAAACTGTGTAAAACATATCGTCTCTGTAACACCACCCATTGTTTTTTAAAATGGGGATTTTAACATGAGTGTTTACAGGGATCCCTAGGTTTTTAAATCCAGCCTCAAGTGGACACTCGAGGGACTGCGCCTTTAACTTTTCGGAAAGTTTTGCAATGTCTTCATTAGAACAAAAAGGGTTAAATGAGTTTGTACATGTCGTGAGATGAAGAAAACTTTCAATTTCAGGAACTGTTTTTTTTTTTTTTCTCCGTAACTGACCAGATTTTAAGACAATGCAACAAATGCACTGGTATCAGATTTTATTTGATTACTTGTCTCAGAAATTTTGATGCACTCTGCAGATTGACTGGAAATCACTTTAAAATCTGTTAAGAAAAAAAAAAAAAAAAAAACAGTTTTCCGGTCGATTTTCTCATCTCTTCAACCTCGCAGCTGAATAAAACTTGATGATACCACAATTCTTATCTAATGCTTGAAGTGGGCTGCTTAACAGTATGCAAGACAGGTATTAGGAGATTGAAGTGGTTTTAAGAAATTACTGTGCTGACATTGAGATTTGTGTGAAACAGCATTTTCAGAGTCAGCCTTGAAGTGACTCCAAACTGGCTTTTTTAATCTTAAAAACTGCATTTTAGGAAAAATGCATAATTATAATGGAGTCTTCAAAAAAAAGAGATGATATCTTGCAAGCTACTGGCACAGCCGTAGAGGGCCGATGTTAGCTTCTGCATCAGTGTTTGATTATAAGGAGATCACTGGTCTAATTGAAGGCTTGTTCGTAACTTCATTGATCACGTATGTTTTGTGCCAAGAGTGAAAATGCTGATCATATGTTGTGTTTAAGCTGACGGTACTAGCTCTGCTAATGTTAGCCACACTCAATGAACCAACATAGCATAGCTCACCTACAGACTGTGTGTTCAGTCATGTTAACCAACTGCTTCCTACAACAAATTTTCCTCCCTGTTGAACTGCACATTCATCTTCTTTAAATTGTGTAAAGTGTAAATAACCAGTAAAGGTACCAGGTGAGCATAAACTTCCGCAGGTTAGTCTAAATTAAGCGATTCTCTTCTGACGTCTTACCCTGTAACTGTGGAAAAGCTCAATAGCTCTCAGGACGTCAAACTTGCGAGCCATGAGGAACTTGATGGCCAAATCCCTGGACAGCGGTGACACCCCATGCTGACTGGTCCACTTGTTGATTTCCTCCAGAAACTGCCTCGTAGCCTGAAACAGACACAGATGTGGTCACTAACTCGGCGCTCCCGTAATCGAAAAGGGTCAGAGAGGAAGGAAGCGAAACTGGACTTTAAACTTGATACATCCTCAGAGGAAGTCGATCTGCAGCCCCACAGAACATTTTTTGACCATTTTACAGCACAATAGAGTTTTATTTATCATACGTGAGATGTAACTTATGCTCAAAATCGAAAGTGTTTACTCAAGTCCTGAGTTTTTCTGGTTCAACTTGTTTTTTAGAGTTGCCTCAGAGGAAATTTTTGCACTTTTTGGACACTAGAAATGACCTTGAAAAGAATCCAGCTGAAAAGTACAAATGAAACGCAGGTAGATGAATCAGGAGTAGGATTTAGCAAAAGAAAGCTTGCCACAAAACGAGGAAGGACCAAGGAGGAATCCTGCTGAACTGGTGCTCATGACGCTGTGATAATGACAGGGCAACACACTCAGACATTTCCATCACACCTGACAGTTACACACGTCACAGGTAGGCATCAAGTACTTAGATAAGCTAATGAAAAAGCTGTTCATTGACACCAAAAACCTGTTTGGTGTTGGAAGGGAGTTTAGATTACATCTGTTTTCATAACAAAATCTGCTCTTTTATTCTTCCAAACCAAGGAGGAGAATAGGAGGTGAGCAGATTAAGACGCAGACTTCATCTCGAACAAAGGGAGACGGTGAAGCTTACCCCCACGCATCTGAATATTTCAGAGATGAAAATGCTGATGACTCTTTTTTTTAAATATAATTTTTAAAACCTCAGCTGCAGCCAAAAAAACAGACAAAAAAAAAACCCTTGAGAGCAGAGAAGAAAAATAAGATCTGGAGTCTTGAACAAATGAAGAACTAGAAATGCTATCATGCATTTTTTTCAGACTCTATATTTCTTTTCTGATTCTTCTTTAATAGCTTTACATGACTTTTAGACTCAAATTTCTTACAGTGGTGTATTAAAATATAATTACATCAACCTCCGTCTGGAATGCTTTGTTTTAGCTACTGTCTATTTAAGGCCCCGCCCCTCCTCAAGCCTACTGTCTTCTGATTGGCCACCTTTCTGGAGGCTTTCCAAAAGCCTGCCAAGGGTTAGGAGAGTCAATAATTCGTACATCATCTTTAAGTAAATCTTGCACATAAACTGCAATCTCGCATTTTTGCGTTTGTCTGAGATTTGAGCAGTTTGCGTCTACATTTTTAGATTTTGATAAACTAGGTTTACCTTGTGATTTGAAACTTTGCATTCATATAGTATGGAGACTAAACTTTGTAACTTTGCAGTTTTTATTGTAAATGTGGAAAAGCATGATAACCCCCCACCCACTGTATACTGTGTTTTTGATTTACCAGCTCACCACTCACTGTGTGTCTGAGAGTAATTTCTTACTGGTGAGACAGTGTTCATAGTTTTCTTTACAGCTTTTCCACTTAAAACGGCACAGAGAGTGAGGAAAGCAGTGAAGTGGTGAGGTGTCAAAAAACAAAAATAATGAGCTTAAAGTCTCTAAAAAGCTTTGAAGAACTCGAACGAGACTGCAGAGTTGGGCGACACCTTTCACCTTCTTAAAGCCGTGTGATCCACTGTTGATATAAAAACACTTTTGCAGAGATAACTCTGAAGATGAAAAAGGTTCGCTTGCATACAAAATATGTTTCCTTCTTGTCAAGCTTTTTCAGCGTCAAACACCCACATGATACTCTACACTTGTGATTTGGAAAATGTGTTTACCATCAAGGCCTTCCACCCATCTTGCAAATAACTTATGCATTTAGCCAGCAGTCTTTTGAGAGCTTCCTGTCCTCCCCTCTGCTCTTATTATAAAGTCCCTCAGGATCCCACCCCCACTACCCTCAGCACCCGCAGAGTTAGCGAGTCAGCACCCAGTGAATCGTCAAAAGGCGACAGAGGAGGCAGTGAAAGCTCACACTTTAAACACAGGGTTCCGCTTCTCTGTGGAGGCTCACAGCAGTGGCTGTGGGGCATGCATGGGAGACAGGAAGTCAAGTTCTGGGAGTCCGCGGCTCTTCGGGAATACAAAACGATCACTGACGAGCACTGAGCCTGAAGACAGGATGCCACTGTCTCTCCTCAGGAAAGCCTGGGCTTTCACAGGCAGGAGGGCCTGCAGCTTCGGCTCTGTTCAGACGCCTTAGCATGCAAGGGATGAGGGATGATTGCACCTGACAGGCCTGACGTCGATTCATATCCGATTCTCATGGGAGGGGGCCGTACAGGGGGGGTCATTCTGAATTCTGAGCTGTTCAGTTGAGGAATGAGGGGATCACTGACCATTTGGTGCAGATACCACAATGTTTGCGTCAGATATCGTCCACTTAAACAGAAGATGGACGAGTGAATGTTTCTCCCGACACACAGCAAAGTCCCTCTATGACCTATTTTTCTTTAACTTGGTGCCTTACAGTAGCAGAACAGACCCACTCAGGAGAGTCTGGGGTCTCTTTTAGGACAGTGAAGTAAAACTAGAAACACACAGATTCTTTCCCAAAAGGTCTACTACTAGATATGTTTTTCCATAGTGTTGATCGAACCTCAAAATCTTTTAGCGAAATATTTCAGAAACACAGCAAGACCTGACTCAGCAAAATACAAGACAATACAGTATGTAGGGCTGGGCGATATGGCCTCAAATCAATATCACGATACATTGAGCGGTTCACCTCGATAACTACTCTACAAGCAGCTCACCCCCTCCACATTAAGTTTGTCTACTTCAGCCTCTGCTCCAGCCGCTCTAACTTTTGAACCGTCCTCCATCTCCTCACCTGTCTTTCCCTCTTTGTTACAGACTGGATGGGGTGGAGTCATGTCTCTGACGTAGGACAACGTCTTAAAGGGACATGAGACCATAGCCTACCTACACACATCCAAAAACAACTTTCATTTATTTAGTTTTTTGACACTGAATATATTGGCATGGGCAAAATGACGCTGGTTACTGTCGTAAATTTTGGTATCAGTAAATTTTCGGTTTATCGCCCAGCCCTAGCAGTATATATACTTGTATATGTAAACTTTGTACACAGCATCTTTTCAATATGAATTATATACTGTGCGGTATGGTATAAATGAAAAGGTAAGACACACCGTGGTACATTTGATTCAGTAGGATATGATACAACATCACAAAATAAAGGTACACTCTTATGTTACTCACTACATTGAGAATTTCCCCTTGTGGGACTAATACAGGAGTATCTTATCTTAGTATGTAATAATATAATGAATTTGACATGGTATGACAAGATCCAACAGGATACGATACGATAGGATAAGATATTTGGCACAATTCAACTCAAATGGTCACAACAAGATTCGACACAGTATGATTGGACAGATACAGTATGACACGGAGCAATAGTGCACCATAGCCTGTACTGTTACCGTAGGAAAATCAGTATATTACAACCTAAGTCAGGAGAATGTCGACCAAGTCTCTGAGCAGATAACAGTGAGAGGCCAAAGACAGATTAAGTAGGTTGTGGACATAACTAAGAACCTTTATAAATGCTATCATGTGAACTCTATAGGCCTAGAGAGTTCTCAGACTTAATGTCAAACTTTTGAAATACATTTGCATAACTTTCTATCTTATTACTGTTTTTTTCATTCTTGGAAGTTAAGAGGATGTGACATTTATTGGCGCCATTGATCCACTTGGGAGATGATGACTCAGGACTTCAGCAGCAACTTACTTCCTGACTTAAATCTTCTTTCCTCATGAAGTAGGATTGGCTCAATCTTCGATTCTGCAAAATAGACCTTTGACAACCTCTCTCACATGATACTGTGAATTATTTACAGATTAACTACAGTCACAGCAGTATATGTTCTCGCAACAAGACCATAAATCTGGATCCTCCTCAGGAAATGCATTAAGGAAAGATGTATCAAGGTTTTCTCGTAAAAGTAGGTTTCTCAATTGCCATTTCAGGATGTTGGCCTTAAATGTTGGTTTTGTGGTTCTGTCCTTTCACACAAAGTCTACAAACACAATCCAGTGTGGGCTGTGCGCTCTTTGTTGTTGCACCACGAAGCGTTAATCCTTTGCTGTTGGCCAAAGACAACTTCCTGTCAAACTGCTATCAGGTACGCTTCAGTTTCCAAGATTTCAATTCTCTGACAGCTGCTCTTTCTCTCTTAGCCTTTTAAGGAGAGCTTGCCAACTGGAGGCAGTGACCCTCTGTTCCTGGAGAAGCTAGTCTTGTTTGGTTTTTCTGCACTAGGGGCCATATCCGCCAAAGTGGAATTTGAGGATGAACCAGTTTGTTTTCATGATAGCAGAGCTGACTGCAGAGGAAGAATCGCTGCGGAGGAGTGACTTATTTGATTCCTGGAGGATACATAAATATTTGCTTGACTTGCTCCAGTTTTGATATTACAGGAGACTTTCCCTCGAAGTTCTTGCTTACTTTTTTAAAAACATTAAATCCCAGCTGAGCTTACTGAGGTATTGCCAGATGTGAATCTTAATAGACTCAGAGGTCAGAGAAAGCAGTAAATTATCAGATCACAAGTCTTCATCATGTATTCAGTTCAGTTCTCTCCTCAGTTAATGAACACAGCATGGGACGTTTTAAACAAATGGTTTCAGGCCTTCCAGTAAACAGCTGGCGTTACATAATCCTGTTTGTTGACAGGGCCTGAGTTCATGGGTGGTGTTGACGGTCACCGTCGATAACTGATTGATCAGGTTCATTGTGGTAGGAACCAGCTGTTTCCACAGGTGACGTTGCGTTTGGTCCTTTGCCAAATTCTTCAGAACCGAAGAGGTGAAAGACCCTGACCTAGAGAGCTCACTAGTACCAGGAAAAGCCCTGACGTCACAGAGAAATTGCTGTCACATGAAAGAGGGGGCAGAAATCGCTTCCTTCTTCATTCAGTTACGTCCATCACAGTGATGACAACAGTAAACACTCAGTACTTGATTTTGCGGTGAGGAGTTTGTGAGGTTTCTGGGTAATAATTAGCAACGGCTGGTTGGCTAAAATGATAGCTATGTAATCATGATAGCTTTACAATCATGATGGCGACTTATCAGTTTAGTCTAAGTTTATTACCTGGTTTATAAAAAGTCTAAACACAACGTCAAAGAGTAATCAGAAATCGTAAACAGCATCTTCAACTGGCTTTTTGTTCACAGATATTCAGACGAGGAACAGTAATTATCTCTCCTTTCAAGGGGCAAAAAAGGGTCATCTGAATGCTCAATACTCCCATGCACACATTCATTTTCAGCTGCTCTATATTTATATTCATGTAAATTTATAAACCGGCAAATCGACGCCTACATCCGTGGTTCTGCGCTCCATCCCACCACTTTCTATTCAGGCTTTTCTATGCAACAGCTGCCCACAGTGTTGGAGGAATGGACCACCGTAAGTGAGGATTGATCCATTATTGGGTCAGGGGGCTACATTTGTTGACTGTTTTTGTAGTACATGGTCAACTGGGATGCTGGGGTCTGCAGAAAACATTGTCTGATTACAAAGTGAGGACAGCTGATTGGCAGTATTAGTTCTAGTTGTGATAGTTCTATGGTTGGAAGACTCTCACCTTTAGTGCCGGTTGCTTTGGGTTCTGCACCACATTAAGTAAGATTGCTAAAGGTGCAAATATCAGAATAACAGGGTCTAATGTGAAAATAATGAAGCTCCTTGTGGGCCTAGAAGTTTGGATTCTGCGCCCTCGTCATCATGGCCCAGGTTTGAGGGAACACGCCATCTCTAAATATCCTCTTGGGCTAATCTGGGATGTTAAGTGGAATTTCAAAAATATCACCAGAAAAGACGTTATTGGCCTGGGAACCAGATGACTCTGCACGCCAAACTCATCTCAGTCAAGTCAATCCTAAAAATACACTTGAGATGGGTTCAAAAAACTATGACACCCCATTTGGACATTCTCAAAGAATAAACGGTGTCTTCTGCTGGTGTGATAGGGTCTGAACCTGCACACAGATCTGAACTAAATGAACCTAAATGAAATTAACGGTGCTTAATAATGAAATCTATGAGTGATGAACTGAAAACACTATCAGTACTTTGACCCAAACATTTGTTGGTTCATCAAAAGGCTGCATTATGACAAAATTTGCAAAAGTAAGAGGCTTTGAAAAAAACTCTGATTTACTTATTGTACATACCAACTGATATATACACTCACCGGCCACTTTATTAGGTACACCATGCTAGTAACGGGTTGGACCCCCTTTTGCCTTCAGAACTGCCTCAATTCTTCGTGGCATAGATTCAACAAGGTGCTGGAAGCATTCCTCAGAGAGCTTGGTCCATATTGACATGATGGCATCACACAGTTGCCGCAGATTTGTCGGCTGCACATCCATGATGCGAATCTCCCGTTCCACCACATCCCAAAGATGCTCTATTGGATTGAGATCTGGTGACTGTGGAGGCCATTTGAGTACAGTGAACTCATTGTCATGTTCAAGAAACCAGTCTGAGATGATTCCAGCTTTATGACATGGCGCATTATCCTGCTGAAAGTAGCCATCAGAAGTTGGGTACATTGTGGTCATAAAGGGATGGACATGGTCAGCAACAATACTCAGGTAGGCTGTGGCGTTGCAACGATGCTCAATTGGTACCAAGGGGCCCAAAGAGTGCCAAGAAAATATTCCCCACACCATGACACCACCACCACCAGCCTGAACCGTTGATACAAGGCAGGATGGATCCATGCTTTCATGTTGTTGACGCCAAATTCTGACCCTACCATCCGAATGTCGCAGCAGAAATCGAGACTCATCAGACCAGGCAACGTTTTTCCAATCTTCTATTGTCCAATTTCGATGAGCTTGTGCAAATTGTAGCCTCAGTTTCCTGTTCTTAGCTGAAAGGAGTGGCACCCGGCGTGGTCTTCTGCTGCTGTAGCCCATCTGCCTCAAAGTTCGACGTACTGTGCGTTCAGAGATGCTCTTCTGCCTACCTTGGTTGTAACGGGTGGTTATTTGAGTCACTGTTGCCTTTCTATCAGCTCGAACCAGTCTGGCCATTCTCCTCTGACCTCTGGCATCAACAAGGCATTTCCGCCCACAGAACTGCCGCTCACTGGATATTTTTTCTTTTTCGGACCATTCTCTGTAAACCCTAGAGATGGTTGTGCGTGAAAATCCCAGTAGATCAGCAGTTTCTGAAATACTCAGACCAGCCCTTCTGGCACCAACAACCATGCCACGTTCAAAGTCACTCAAATCACCTTTCTTCCCCATACTGATGCTCGGTTTGAACTGCAGGAGATTGTCTTGACCATGTCTACATGCCTAAATGCACTAAGTTGCCGCCATGTGATTGGCTGATTTGAAATTAAGTGTTAATGAGCAGTTGGACAGGTGTACCTAATAAAGTGGCCGGTGAGTGTAGGTCTGTCAGATACACAGATCACTACATAAGCTATAAACAGGTTTCTAGAGCAGATTGGAATCTCAACAAGGTGAGCAGGACGCTCAAACCTCAGGGTTCCTGCCTTGTCAAAGCACCTCTAGAAACAGTCTGTTCGTCATAGCAACAGTCTGTTATCAAGAATGGATGCAGTATGTTTACATGCACAGTTAAGTCAAGCTCCAGTTAGAGCTTGATTAGTTGATTTAACTGGACTACCGCCCTTATCCCAGTTTACATGCACTGGGGAGGAATCGAAATATTGACTAAAGCACGTCCGCCTCTGCGACAGTAGGTGGTGAATCCTCCTGGAGGATCTCCCAGTTGATATGTTAGGTATTAAATCAGCTGATCCCCAACAGCATTATCCAGGTATGTTAGTCCAACTATGCAAAGTTCAATTTCAGTGCGATTCCAATCACATTAACACGCTTACATGCATTTTTAAGTCCAGTTTCAGTCAGACGATTCAATGAATCAAATTTTATAAGAGCATGTAAACATACTGAATGTGGTTCATACACCAACCAATCAGAATCAAGCACTAACACAGCCATGTACTTATGTGGTTCTCATTCATACTGCCAACTGCTAATAAACTCTCCAGGCCGAGCATATATGAGAGATGGTTTTATTAATAGCTGCCTTTTATTTAAACCTGTCCGTGCCAGGATCAGGGTATTGCACATACCGGCACAAATGGATTTATTTTATTGTCTCGCTCACTTCCATCATGATCCTTTGTTTCAAGAATGGGTCATTGATGTCTCTTTAATGATATGGTGTCTCCCGTATTCACATTCCAGCCAGAGGCAGTCATGCTGTGCAGGCTGGCTGTATAATTAACGTCTCAGCTGGGAGGAATTCTATATAAGAGTTATGAAAGTCGCGCAGGGTGTCTGCAGCATCATGACTCGGGGCTCTATGTGTTTCTTTATCAGTATGTTTTTTAGGATTCAAGGATTCATAGCTGCCCTTGACATTTTCTATCCACAATCTAGCTGATTACAGGGTCTATTTACAAACACAGAATTGCTGCTGCCAAGTGGCTTCACTTCAGCGAGACCCATTCGACACGAGTCAATACCAAAACAGGAAGTCAATAACGTCAGTCTCTCCCTATTCCCCAATTTCCCTCACTCCACTGCTTCCTGGGAGTAGACTCAAACACACACACAAACAGAACGCACACATGATACACACACATTCACACAAGCTCTCTGTAACTCATAAACTCCCCCCTCTTACCCCTGAGTCTAGTAGAAATGCTTTTAACAGCTGCCTTTAGAATGAAGTTCCACTGCAGCCCTGCATGCTCCCGAGAGAGCCACCCTACACACACACACACACACACATGCACACACAAAAGACACACACACACAATCCACCCAAACACCCCCCGCTAGGCTGTGGATGTAATGAGGGCGTCCGGTACCCTAGCGGGGGCCCTGGCTCACACAGGAAATGGAGTAGCCAGATAAGGCTTTCTGCTGGCCAGATGATGAGAGGAGTCGGTGGGAAGAGAAAGCACGAGCCAGAAGAGCACCACAGAAGAAGAAAGCTTCAAGGAAATCATACATATATTATAAACCTAGCTGCTGCAGACCGACTCCCCTCTCCCTAGACAGTAACGTACATTAGCAGGAGAGAAAATAACAACTTAGAGAAACACCAACTCTGTCTGTAATACCAAACCAGACTGGACTTATTGTTGTTCTGCAGGGTTGATGTGCATTTATTTATGTGGATGCACAATACTGGATTTTTGATATCATTTTAGCCCTTACTGATACTGTTTAACATTATAGGCACATATATTTTTATCATACAGAACACAAAGTCTCTCTTGCACCAGATCTACCTGAATGTACTCAAACATAGACACTCAGTCATGTGTCTGCTGTCTCTTCCATACAGTTGGTATGTTGAAGCATGTTGTAAGATTATACACTCCTACATAGTCAAAGATTTTTGTATGTATACCTCTAAATATATGGATGATCAATTTTTGATGCTTTAACAATCATATAGTGCATTTTGAGCCCAATAAACCAACCTGCGATGAATCCAAAACTTCATATATGTGTTGAAACAGTTTGAAAGTGTAGTTTATTTGACTATTTTTCTACTTTTGCTGATAAAAATGATGTGGATACAAGACAACATCACAGAGGACACACCTCTACAGAAGACAATGCGAGTTTGAGTCGATAATATGAACATTTCAAGCAACTAGATTGAATTATGGATAACAGCTTCAATTGAAATAGACATAAATCAGTGCATTTACAACAGCTAATCCAACTATAGGCACATGTATTTTTATTATACAGAACACAAAGTCTCTCCTACACTAGATTTACCTGAATGTACTAAAACATAGACACTCAGTAACGTGTCTGCTGTCTGTTTTTGATGCTTCAAAATACTTCCATACAGTCCTCATGTTGAAGCCTGTTGTAAGATGTAATACACTCCTACATAGTCAAAGATTTTTGTTTGTATACCTCTAAATATATGGATGATCAATTTTTTAAAGCCATCTGCCAATACTGATGCTTTAGCAATCTTATTGTGCATCCAAAACTTCTTATAGGTGTGCTCCAGTCTCATTGAAACTGTTTGAAAATGTAGTTTATTTGACTATTTTCTACTTTTGCTGATATAAATGATGTGGATACAAGACAACATCACAGAGGACACACCTCTACAGAAGACAATGTGAGTTTGAGTCGGTAATATGAACATTTCGAGCAACTAGATTGAATTATAGATTACAGCTTCAATTGAAATGGACATAAATCAGTGCATCTGCAACAGCTAATCCAATTAAGGGACCATGTTAGACCTAAATCCTCTAAATGAGGGCATTTAACTTTGATGGTTAAACTACTTAACAGTGGGTTTTGGACTGTTATGTGAGGGCTTATGACCCAAATAAAAGGGAAATTACATTCCTGCCCTGGATATTGGTCTAAATGGGTGAATTCATGTCTAGAAATGGTGATATTAAGTTTTTACAGCAATACTACAAGAAGAAACCAAGTTTTTAACATAAACATTCCTGAATGAGCGTTTCCAGCTCTCTCTCCACGAACTCCCCCGGTGTAATATCACGGTCTGCCCTCACGATTAACCAACTTTAAAGCCCCAAAGTGAATATTTTACATCTGTAAAGGCTGGTGATGAATGCGAGCTCGGCCCTGTTTCGCAACCCTTTAGCCCAGCCGCTGGAGAAGAGCTGACAGTGATGCAATGAGAGCGCCAGAAATCGATACAATATTTCCGCTCCGCATTCAGGAGCATTTCGCAACAAATCCATTGCGCATAGCCCCATCGCCACTCGCTTCAGTGCGCACACGCAATGCCAGCCACAGGGCCACAGAATACCTCCAGGTGAGGCCGAGGCTGGGGCACACAGGGCGAGACACGAACACAGAAAGAGAAAGGAGCAGAAAGAGTCTCAAGGCCTACCTGTTCTTCCTCCACCGATAAAGTAGCTGCCATGGTCCCCGTCGGTTCTCTGATCACCTTTTACCGAGATGCGTCCTTCTCATGAAGAGGAGGGGGACGTGTTCGTGTCGGTCCCTCGTGTAAAAACGTGCTTTTAAAGGTTCTCCCTCTCGCTTAAAGTTGAAGGCATCTGAATCGCTGCAGCCTTAGCTCTTATTCCTATCTGTTAATGCGCCTAAACCTGACATCCAAAGTAGACAGAGAGAGCCGCTGATGTTGTGTCGGATTTCACCGAGGAAAGAAAAAGAAGACAGGAAAGGAGGGGAGAAAAGAGGACAGCACACCGAGCAGCTCAGACGAGGCTTTTTTCCTTTTCGGCTCGATGATAGCAGAGTTCAGACCATGATCTGCTGCTCATCCACCGTGAAACCTCTCGCAGATCAGAGGGCTGCTGCTGCGGCGGCGGTGGCGGCGGCCCGCTGGGTCCTCCATGCCATGAATTGCAAGTTTTTAGCCTCTGAACGTCGCCTTTATGTTGTGAGGGAGACACACACACACACTCACACACACGCAAACACGCACACAGGCACACACAACCCTGAACAGCGAGAGAGACTGGAGGCTTTCCTTTCTGCATGTTGCTCTACCCCCTGGTGGTTAAGAGCAGAAACAGACAAAAGCCCACGACCTCCGCCTTCATTCATAAAAATAGGAAACCAAGTGGAAAATCACCGTTTTAACTCAGTTACTATGAGCTAGACAAGGACTCTAATGCGTTTTTATGAGTTTTAACCGCAAAACAGGAACACAGTGTGTTTCATTAAAGGTGCATTTCCACGAATTATTACTCAACTCTGCTAAATTGGAAATGTGTGACTGTTTAAAACTTTTCTACGTAATAAACTCTGAAGGACTATCAAACATAGACTGTAGATGCTATAGACAACTTGGTTCCGCCTTCCGCCAGTATACAGATTTGAAGCCGAAAAACTCTCGGTAATTCTGCGTTTTTTTTCTCCACTTCCTGATACCAGCATTGCGCAGTAGCGTTGTACGCATTCGGCTGGAGAGTCGCTGTGATGATGCTCGGCTTAAACAGCGAATCCCCCTTGGGTGGCAATATTTTTTTTGTAGGATGGTAGGGAAAAGTCCCGCCTCTTTCGCCTCTGATTGGCTAGAAAAGCTGAAATCGTCATCACACGCTCAAGCAAAAAGCGGGGTGTCGGCTCTGTACGTCGAACAGAACATTACAGAACGTCATCGCACTTCTGAGTCTCCTAACCCTAACCCTCATCCTAACCCTAACCCGACAGACGATGACGTTTCACAGCCATTAGGAATAACCAATTGGAGCCCAGCACTTCTAACCAATCAGAGGTGGTGGAGTGCAGGGCCTTTCCCTACCACCCCCGGTATCGCCCGGCCCTATATCATAACTTAGTCAGCCAATTGACAATTTTGACTTTTTTGGCACCTGGCTAACTCAGTTTTGTTGAAGTAATAAACATGTTCAAATGAAAAAGTTACAGTCATTTGTGAGGATTTCGCCCCATTAGTGACCTTTTCTCATTTTTGACTGGAGCAGGACTGGGTGATTTTCTATTCAGCCATCCGTAGCCTGATGCTGTAAATCTCAGTTTCTCTGTAAGAATTATTCAGCACCAGTAAGCCCCCAAAAATACATGAACATACGTCATTCTTCTTATCTAACCCTTCACTAGAAAACTAGTAAGCCCAACACTGGGAAGTGATGCTTGTAAGGGCTGAAAAATGTGGATATTGTAGCTATTTCTGGGGCCAGTCCTGTGGTTAAAAAGCCAATTCACCCGACACAAACGTGATGCAACACCATGAGCCTCCTCTGTGACTAAAGAATATTATAGTAACTCCTCTAAAAGCTGAGGTATTTGTATTTTTATATGATGCAGGCACACTTTAAAGGAGATTAAAAATGACCTGGCTCCTAAATTAGTTTAAAATTAATGTGCATTACTTATCTTTATCACTACACTTCAGCACCGCTCTCCAAACAATCTCTGCACATGACTAATGTATAAAATAAAGTGAGAGGAAATAACCAATAACTGGAGCAGGCCCCTTCAGCAATAGCGGGTTGCAAGAATTTCAATTAAATTAGAGGAACTCTTAAGTCATGCATCCCTCTGGCTGCATTAAAACCCAGCACACTTTACAGGAATCGAATGACATCATAGGAAACAGAAAATACCCGCCTGTCTGGTAATAGGACCCACAGACCCACACACTACAGGTCTCTGTAGGAGTATGATGGGATGCTGATTTATATTTCAGCAGGTAAATTTGCTCAAGTCAGACAGGAGATTGCACTTCCTGCTCGATTATTGATGGCCTTTAATTTATACCCTGATGTGGTTTTGATGAGGCCATTAGAGCGATCTGAGTCAGAGCAGGTAGCATGTTTATGAGGAGTTTGTAAAATTTTAATAATCTTGTTTTAATAATACCTTCTGCGGGTTTTTGGAGATATGTTCATGTATTTTTTGAGATCTTTTGTAAGAGGAGGTTTGAAATAAAGTGTGTATTTATGCTCTGTATATGTTTTTCTCCGCGCTAAAAAAAGCAAAGATCCTGCAATAGACCAACTGTAAATAATCAGGCGTGAGAAAGTCTGGACTGGACACTGAAGGGAAAAGGGAGTGGACAACAATAGACTTCCTGACGAACCAGCTGACATCATGTCATTTGGGAAAATGTGATTGGTGAACCATTAACCTGGCTTTGGTAATGTCAACCGCCAAAACACTTTTGGAGCTCGAGGCCTGGTTTAATCTACTGAAAATAAAGAGGAACATAAACATATTCATAATATCACAGAGATCCTACAGTGTCTGCTGCACTGTCCTCTGTTTTCATAAAAGTTACCTCAAACTCTTCCTAATAAAGTTTCGAGTGTGTGGTATGTTTTACGACTTCATAGGATTTATCACCTTTGAGAAAAGTCCTTTAAGTCAGAATTTAATATCTTAAAGGTTTATGCTGACATTTCAGAGGTACCTTTATTTGTTTGCTTTGAGTTATATAAGAAAAAAAAAGATAAATACAACTAAAATTTCTGAACCTTAACAGCACCAAGAGTGAAAAAGTTACCTACAGACTGGACCAGTGTGCCAGTTTCCTTCCATCAGTGTGCCACGACTAATTTTAAGTCGTCATGGACATCTCATGTAATGTAATGATGTAAATAATGAAATGTATGTTTGTCTTGAATGTCTGTTAGCTCAGTTAGATTAGCTAACAGCAGGTAAACTGTGATCCCGAATCATGGAAATACTCTTTGTGGACTTATTGTTGTGTACTTGTATATTTTAAACTGCATGTTATGAAGCAATAGGAGATAAGACATTAGCTGATGATGATTACTCTGAGTGGTTTTGGAGGCCAGGCTAACAGACTCGCCATCAGCTGAGGCAACATTACTTTTATTTAACTACAGATGTTCCCAACACATGATACAGTACAGGCCAGAAGTTTGGACACACCATCTCATTCAATGCATTTTCTTTATTCTCGTTACTATTTTAATTGTAGATTCTCAGTGAAGGCATCAAAACTATGAATGAACACGTGGAATCATGTGCTTAAGAAAAAAGTGTGAAATAACTGAAAACATGTTTTATATTTTAGATTCCTCAAAGTAACCACCCTTTGCTTTTTTAATAGCGCTGCAAACTTTTGCTGTTCTCTCAATGAGCTTCATGAGGTAGTCACCTGACATGGTTTTTACTTCACAGGTTTGCCTCGTCAAGGTTACTTCGGAGTACTTCTGTCATCAAAAGCAAAGGGTGGCTATTTTAAAGAAAGTAGAATATAAAACATGTTTTCAGTTACAGTTAGTTACTTTTTTTATAAGTACAAAATTCCACATGTGTTCATTCATAGTTTTGATGCCTTCACTGATAATCTACAATGTAAATAGTCATATAAAAAAATAAAGAAAAGACATTGAATGAGAAGGTGTGTCCAAACTTTTGGCCTGTACTGTAATTTACTCAAAAGTAGTAGTGGTGGTACACCTGGTCTAGAGACTGTAACACACTGCAGACCCAAATGTTAGTGACTTAAGCGCACTTTTTTAAACGTATAGTAGAATGAATGGGGGTTTAATGTTTTATCTCCAAGTTAAATTGTGTTTTCCTTTCCTCTAAACTAAGCGGCTGCCAGCTGTTTTCATGTTTACTATAAAAGTGGGAAAATTATGTTATTCTGAGTACAATATAAATAACTTTTAAAAAGTCTTTAAATCACTGCCAGTCTTTATTCTTTCACAGTTTTGTTTTTAATTTGGATCCGACCTCAGTTGTTCACATCCAGACGTAGCTCTATTTGTTCTAATATACACGTTTCTTTAATAAATACCAGTTTTTACCAACCATGCCGGCTTTATTTCACATGTTCAGCAGTTGCTGGAGAGTTTCAAGAGAAACACAAATCTCTCTTCCTCTCTCGAAGTCTTTTGTCTGTGTTTTCACGAGTTGTTTAAGTTGTGTGTTGGTGTGTACGTGTGGGAGACCAAATGTGCTCTAAGAAGTGCGATCGTGGACTCAAAGGTAGGTGCACGGTTCCTGGAAGGTGTTGCACTGCTGACTAATAGCTGAATTCCTGCTGTAACCACATGCCTGACTGTGCTCTCTTTTACTGGTCTGCTGGTTCAGATGTGACTAAATGTGAAAGTGTACTCGATGAACAAACACAGTTCCAGGACACGATTTGACTGCCTGGAGGAGTGAATTCTGAAACCTTTTCAGAGTTTTTTCAGTATTTAACCACATGTGCAATAACACAAAGGCGGTACAAACCAGTACAACATGGAAACTTCACTTTATGACTCATTTCAATCAACCGTGTTGTGACTTATACATTTTAAAGTCTGTATGCTTTGAATTAAGACAGAAGCACACAATCAGATTATGATAAAAACCTTACTTTGTTCCATTATTTACGGCCACAGTGATAAAATATCAGTTTGAAAATACTTTCCAAGACTGATCACGCGTTCAGATTTGTTACTGAGGTACACCAAGCTTCCTTCAGCTGCATTGTGCACCTTTCCACTCCTTTTATCAGCGAGCACATTTCCCAGAATGAGTTATAAGTCTCTCCTCAGAAATGCTGTGAGCGTGTTATTTTCACCTGTCGATATTCCGCGTAGGTGGTGAGAACAACAGCGATACTATTACACGAGTAAGACGGGGACGTTTTTTTTTTCTTTCCAGGGTAGAAAAAGTGACAAAGACAAAGAGACATCTCGCCTCTTTTATTTTAATTTTATCATCACAGTGAGCGCTGATAAGAAACTGAATCTGGTGAAGCTTCTCATCCTGCCGTTTGATTTTAAAGTCTTTGAGCAAAATCTTTGATTAAAAGCATCAAACACGAAAATAAAAACTCAAATAGTAGCAGCAAATCCAATCTTATGATTGTCTTTTTAATCCTTAAATGAGGCACAAAATTGAAGAAACAAAGCCCAGAGTTGGTGTGTCTTTGCTGATCCTAATTCTGATTATCTCAGTAATTATATTTTAATTGTTTTTAAGTATTTGGACCTCTTTCTCGCTTATCGACATACACTGATGTGACATATAGGGATTTAAAGACAGCAGGTGAACGCTTTGTCCTTTAAAGCTCCTGTAAGGGGTTTTCAGACGGTTGTAAAACAGACTGAAATTAACACGGATGTGTCTTTACGACCTTAAAGAACAAACATGTCTATTAACCAGAAGCGTAGTTATTTTTAAGTCGTCACTTTTAATGCCTGAAACTCCTGATAGAAGAGCAGGTGTGTCAGACAAAGTGGTTAACCCACTTTAAGGCACTCTGCAGATACACTTCTGCAGAGAGAAATACACTTTCTAGAGACATGTGAAAGGTCAATGAATAGGAAGGAATGAGGGCAGGTACAAATAAGATAAATCACTTCTACATACTCCTTTCCGATCTCCAAAAATCTGTGAATATCTTGTCTAAAATTCGACTCTATGTATGTCTGATCGAATAAACAATATCTCTCTCTTACACTGACTCCTCTCGCCATAGTTGTTATGGATTATATTACATATTTCATGCAGTAGGACAAGACTTTTCTGTATTGATGAAATAAAAATAGCATGTTTTAAAAAAATGAATTTAACTGGGCAGTTTCTATTATGTTACCAATGATACCACAGCTTCATTAAGAGTCCTGTTTCTAGTCTATCACTCAAAAACAGTTCAGATCTCAGTTTCTAAAGCGGTTCAGGCTCTCAGGAGGATCTAAAAGCGAGCACTTTAAGTTAAAATTAAAAAACTCTTAACCATAAAACCTCTACTAATGGGAGAACAAATTGCTTCTCAGAGTGAAACCTGTAACCTGAGGCTACGATGTTCTCTCTCTCTCTCTCTGAGGACGTGTTGGCACTGGTTGCTGCAGCTCAGTTCACAACACTTTCACGTCTTTTCCTGTTGACAGTTTCCGCCCAGCTCTCCCGCGTTACTAAAATAACAGTAAGCTAAGAGCGCAGAGGGGAAGAGCTGCTCGTGAATATCTGCTGACGAGCGCCGCCATCAGCAGAATGAGTCAGCGTACACTGTAACATCAGCTTCTCGCAGATACATTGATTGTGCGTGTACAGTAAAGTCTGAGGTGTTTGAGTTGAAGGTCCCGCTCCAGCCACACCTTTCAAAATAAAAGCAGCTTCAGCCTGTTGGATCATTGTGCATTTAAAAAAAACACCTTTATTAAGAAACACACATTTTAAAAAATTTGAAGAACAGTTTTCAGTTAAACGTAAAAATACTGCTGCTCCTGAGCAGGAACTTAGTTTGCTGCAGGGGGAATATCATTCAGCAGAACCTCATCAAGCATCTATGATAGTGGTAGAAATGACCGATGACAGTGAGATGTTTCTTATGTGCGATCTTTTCGAGTGCAAAAAGTGCAGAGCAGCAAAGCAACACTCAGTTCATCTCAGACGAGAGACCTGGTCTTTTATCTTAGGTGACTACTGACGGTGTTATAAAGTCGACTTGAACGTCAGACTTTGAGTATAGTGGCTGAATAGTGCACGGTTAATCTCAGGGTTTCCGTTCCCTGCAGCAGGTAAAAGTTCAGATGGAAATGTCAGACTTCAGTTTACAGTCAGATAAAAACACGTATGGAACAGCTCGACTAATCTGCACTCTGAGGGCGTCCTGTGCAGCGCCGGATTAGAATTAGCCATGCTCTGCAATTGGCAAGATCTGCAGAGGCATTCAACAGATTCTAAAGAGCCATATGTGGGCCGCCGTGATATTTGCATGTTTTTAACACCTCCCACTCAGAGCGCCGCGTCTGCCTCTCTATTCTCCTGGCGTGGACAGGTGCTCCAGCTCGTAGCTTCCGCTGCTGTTGGCCGGACGGACTTCACTCGAGGGTTTTTTGTGCTCCAGGATCTGTTGTAGCTGGTGGCTGGCGTATTCAGGCTTCTTGGTGAGGGGTCCTGGAGGAACCTCTACGCCCAGGATGTCTGTGACCATGTATGGGCGGAGCCAGCCCACAAGAGGGGTGGTGCCTGGGGTGTAGTGGGTCTGCCGGTGGTAGAAGAGGAGACCGTCCACCTGCAGGGAAATAAAAGAGAATTCTAACTAATGAATAGCGTGCAAAATGTATTTCTGTGTGTAATTTACTCGACAAAACTCTCTTTTAAGTCAATCATCATGTCGAGTATTGTTCTCACTCTACTTTTTGCACAGATCAAACACAATTCAACGAGCTTTACAGCCGTTAAAACAAAACAAAAAATGAGAGATAATGGGACAGAATATGCAGAGATTAATACACACAATAAGCAATAAAAAAAATAATTAAAACAGTAAAAGAAGAGTTAAAAATAATACTAAAGATCTTACACTGAAGCTGTACTCTGCTGCCAGGGCTTTCTGAATCAGCTCCGTCTTGCACTCTGTACTTTGGAGACTCACAAACCGGAACTGTTGGACCAAACAAAACCAGAGCACCTCATGTAAGTTCCAAACACAGTTTGTCATCTTGTCAAATTTGAGGTTTCGCTTTTGAATGGTGAGTTTACTCTGTAGAGGATTCGCCTGATTTGGCTTCTCATGGGCTGTACACAAACAAGGCAGACTAAAAAGTGGACCTTAAACTCCACTCCAAACTTTATTCAGTGTACTAAAAAGGACCTCCAACCTCAAGTTTTGTGTGTAATCATAGATCTAGAGAGCACGGTTCGAACCCAAGAGGCCAATGGGGGGCTTTGCTTTGAAATTTCCTTTGTCTCATTTTCCCCTGAGGAGGTTTGAGTTCATATTCAGGACTTTATTTATCCCATATGTGGAAAAAAAAGGTGCAGCATGAGGCACAACAAACAGGAAAAGCAGAAAATTTGAAGATTGAATAAAGATGTTACAGTGTCTCAAATAACAGAGCGCTAAACTAGGGAAAGAAAAATGGGACATGATGTGAGGAGGCTCTGCTCTTGGCTCTGTTACTCACAGGATTACGTTTGGCGATTTCTGATAGGCCGTCCACCTCCTGCACTTTGGATTGAAGCCAGTAGAAACGGAACTCGGTCTGTTGATGAGAAAACAAGGACTGTAAACAAAAACCTCCTTTTCTGAAGCCCGAGCCAGCGAGATGGGCAACGTGGCGAAAAAGCACATCTGTGGCCCAGACCTTACTACTTAAGCAATTAGACAAGCATTCCTGGATTGCTGGAGGATTAGAAGCAAGTGTTACCGGGCAGTCGTACACCGGGTGGCCTCTCCAACACATGACATCCAGGATGTAGTACGTTCTGTCCACCTCGCTGTAGATGCAGTCCAGGATGGTGTAGTCTGCAGGGGACAATAAAAGATATATGGTGTACAAAACTGGTCAAACATCTATTTTATTTACAAACACATAACCTCAATATACTTCATCTGAAAGAGGATTGTGGGTTGAATGTGATTTGATTGTGCACAGCGATGACAAACCAGATGAATAATTAGACACCCTAACCACAAATAGTTGCTACAACTGGATAAGTCTTTTGAGGATACCGTGCATGCATGCATGCGTATGTGGGAGGTTAATTTTCTTGTGTTGCTAAAAAGCCAAAGGGCTACTCTATTATGAACTGCTAAGCTCCACAAACAAACACGCTCGCCTACCTTTTCCCATGGCTGAGTTGTGTCGGTTCCCACCCGGCAGCAGGGAGGGGAAGCGGTTCACACAGTAGCCGCTTTTAGTGTACGCTGCAGTGGACCCCTTCAGGAGGAGAAGTCAAAAACAGAGATGATAAATGAGGAAAGAGACAACAGTAAGAACCACGCCACAACCTCCCCTGAGCGACGTTGTTTGATAACAGACCTTATATATTTCCTGTGCTGTGTGTTTGTCCTCTAGAAAAGGACGCTGTGTAATACAGTGTCATTTACTCGCAGGTATCACAGTGTTTACACTTTTAAAGGTATTTGTGTACATGCAGCACTGTGACATTTTGAAACTGGATAGTCACAATAAGGGCCTGTGTCCACTGACAGCATATTCTGCACTCAGTATCCTCAGTGTAAAAACACCCTTGACACCAGCTGTTTTGGTTGCTGCACTCACAGCCCTCTGTGTTGAACTCTAGGACAGACCTGCAGATGTTGGTTATCTCACTCCTCCATAGGTGACCAATCAAAATGAAAAAGGGGCGGGACTTCTCTCAACTTAGCAAACTGTACCCCACCTTGACTTTACTCAGGAGGGATGTTGGCTGTGTAATGGCCTCAGATTGACTTGATTTTTGGTGTGCACATCAACAAGCAAGATGGTTCGGACCAAATGTTTCTGCAAGCTTCATGAATTTCAGTCTCGAACACACCGAAAAATTACTAACTGAGAGTTTTATGTGCTCTGTGTCAGCTATGCTAACATTACAAGCCTTGAAAACATACAATGATGGCAACTTCCATAATGCACTGATAGAGCAATAGCTGAATTCATCTTATTATTGATCTCATTAGATGAAAGGACCCCTTATTTTTACACAATGCTCTTACTTTAAAGCTGCGTTCTGGACTAAAACATGGTGGGAAAAGTCATCATTAACAACGGCTGCAGATAAACTGTTAATTATTTAATTAAATGGGAGAATTTAATCTTTTGCTATTTTGCAGCCATCTCACTGCTTAGCTGATGTCTGAATGTTAATAATTAGCAATCCTTTAATTAACAACAGCATCTGCAGTGAGAAGTGCAGGGATATTGAGATTGGTGATGTTTTCAATCAAAAATAAAATGCGTTTAGTGGACACAGGCCCTGAAACACATGCCTGACGACTTCAAAGATTCAAAAAAACATATGTGGAGCCTCAGACTCCACATATGATCACCTTATAGGCTCAAAAACAGAGGTTTACAATCCAGCTCTGGTATCCAGTAATGATATAGTCAATAATAGAATAACTTGTATCCGAAATTAGTTTTTATTTTGACACTGAAATTACATTGAAGTCTAAAAATGAAACAATAAAATGATCTTTTATTTAATGATCTCGTCACTCCTGACAGCATCACCGCACAGAAACTTTAGAGTGACAACAAGTCGAAAGTGTCACATTATGTAACAGCGCCAAAAAAAATAAAATAAAAAAAAAACACAACAACTTGCGAGCAGATGAAACATATCACATTTAGTTTTCCTCAAGCAACACAAACCATCTGTTGTTTTTGTGTTTCAAAGGGCGCTCCGTCGTGGTTTTCTGACGAGCGCTGTGCCGCTGTGTTTCACAGATGTGTTGTGAATGAGGTCAAGATCTGAAATACTGAATGAGGAACCATATGACTGTCATTATGCTGCGAGAGATGGTTGCATCACAGGGTTTGAAGTGTCAGTTACAATAGGACAACAAAGGTTTGTGTGTACTGAGGGAGGAAATCTGTGATCAAGGACCACAGTGTCAGGACTCATGGATCCTGGATTTAACGCTGATAAGATGCTTTTTTTTTACTCATAACCGATTCAGGGGGATCGCTGCAGTTGTTTTGAGTTTTACAGTTTTTGTCAAGATGTTATTATCAGATGGAAAAAATACAACAAGCAAAACAAAACCAGAGTTCATGTTTTTCACAGCAAGTGTCAACGCTCATAAAAAACACAAACCCTGAAGAACATCATCTCTGGGAGTTATGACAACATTACTAAAAGGATTTTCTAAGGATGTTGGTGGAGTCGCTGAAATGTTTCAGGCCATCGAGAGCATGAAACATAGTTTTTATATAAAACAAATCAAATGCATTTCAGATCCATAACTAGAGGACTTGTCAGGTATAATAGTAATGGGTAATATACTTCTTTAATTTGTGCTATACTCCTTCGATGTTTAATCTGCTAGTTGAAATTAAATCTTTGTGTTTATACCATGGAGTAATACAAATGTCATAAAACACTAAACCAACAGCCTCCCATCTGTATCTGCAGCACAGAGGCAGATGTCTTCCTCCTGAGTGAGTTTCTCTCTGTCATTATATCTTAATCTAGTGGGGTAAGTCATATTTACATCAGCATGATGGTAAGTTCCAGTATTTCCACATTAATGAAACGGCAAACTGTGACTCACAAATGTCAGCGCATAATTTGGCCTGACTGTGTCTGACGCAGTGAACTTTCGGTTAATTTTCTTCTTCTTAGTTTTCTTGAGGTTTATCAGAGTAGAGAGCAAAATTTTTCCTACATTTCGTAGAGTGCAAGCCAAGAGGCAAAGACGTGTTTCTCAGAGATGAACAATTACACACCAACAGGACAGACTGGAAATGACGCGCAAGTTTCACTTGTAACAGCGAACTTTGAGCAAAATCCTGGAAGTTTTGAAAATATAGCTCTGATTTTGAACTTTTTCCATTCACAGATGCATCTTTACAGTATTTGGAAAAATTCAGTATTCCTAATCTGTTTTCCATATGACATTTTTCTCCAGAGTTACTTAGAAAAGGCTCATCAAACTGAGGCACTCTCCTCCAGCAGCTGCTTGTTTGTGGGGGAGTCCTGACGAGTCGATTACTGGATGCAGCGGATCATTTCCATGAAGTAACGATCATCATAGAAATCATTTTGAACTACAGATGCTGTAGTTCTTTTGCCTTAGCATCTCAGTCTGACTGCATTTCCATCAAGTAATAATCATAAATGTTCTTCCTTGAGCTGCGAAACTCCACTGCACTCGGTGATCGACTCATCAGGGCTCCCCCACAAATAATAGGCTGCTGGAGGAGAGTGGGTGAGTTGTGAGTTGTGTTTAGTCTCTTTCAAACCTCAACCAAAACGCCACTCTATATCCCCAAATAATGCTCAGAACAGCACCTAACTTCATCAACAGTACATAAAGGTTCCTGGCCAAAATGATTATTATGATGATTATTACTCCATTTAAATGATCCACTGCACTCGGTGATCGACTCATCAGGGCTCCCCCACAAAGAAGCGGCTGCTGGAGGAGGGTGGGTGAGTTGTGTTTAGTCTCTTTGCTAAAGAAATTAGGCAAAGTCAAAAAGATGTTTGGTGGCTAGTGCTGTGACTGGGACCTTATATGTACTGTTGATGAAGTTAGGTGCTGTTCTGAGCATTATTTGTGGCTATAGAGTGGCGTTTTGGTTGAGGTTTGCACGTGGAGACATAGACCGCTGTGTATTGCTATCGTGTGGTCGTTACCAAAGTTGGTATAACTAATGAAGCAAGCAGTCGGCAACATTCATCTCTCCAGAGGGAGTCTAACTCCGTGTTATGGTGTGTTTGACCCTACCTTAATTTTACGCCGGAATATCCCTTTAAAGTTTCGAGATAGTCAGTGTGACACAACCAAAAATGCAAAGACAGATTCTTACCTTAGAGGCAACAATGAGAGACCTCTTCCCAACAGGACACACCACCATCAACCAATCAGTGTCCAGCTCTGATGGCACGTCCACCAGCCACTCTGACAGCATGAGCTAAAGACATTAAAACAAACTTTGTTTAAAAACTTGTCATTCAAAATGATTAACATTATATTCAGTCTCATCTGTTCACCTCTAACTCTCATTCAGGGCAGCTATTCTACAAACTTTTGCGCCCTCTGCTGGTCAGGATAAAGAATGCAGCAGAGAAGCAGTGGGAGTAAAAGTGACGTCCTTCACACATGAGGAAGAGTGTCTTTGGGTATTATGACACATCAAACAATGACCTGGTTGGCGTAATGTCTCGGCAGCTTCCTCCTCTCTATCTCCATCCCCTCCTCCTCCTCTGTGTTCCCTTCTTTCTTCCGTTCCCCTTCATCCTGTTTCTCCATCTCCTCCTCTCCATCACTGTCTGCCCCTGTCCAGTCCCCATCTGCCAGACGTCGAGCATGGTTGACGTAGTTGAGTCTTTTACTGAAAGAGAAATAAAGCTTTTTCAGAGAAAAATGAGAGCAAACGTCCCATTTTCCTTGAACTTACACCAGTAAGACTTGAATCTTTCTAAGCTGATCAATTCTGTCATTTTGATGACTTCCTTGAACTAGCAATACTGCCTCTGGGAATGTAAAGTTAATAAATATAAAAGGGTGAAAAAAGCCTCTGAATCATCATGTCATTAGAACAAAACTCAGTCCTTGCTGGTGTGAACTTCTTCAGTAACCAAACCTTCTCTTTACACTCTGATCCATCTCAAAACAAGAACTACTTGAAGTTAAATGAGTGAGCTATTAACCTTGAAGGGCTATAACACTTCACAGTTACCTCTTTTGCAGGTCGAGGAAGCGCCGCCGCCGCTCGCTCTGCTCCAGCACACTGTACTTGCTCTTGTACTGAGCCAGCCGAGGATGCGGGGCAGCTGTGCTGTTGGGCTCCTTGGACACAGCAAAGCTGGCCGAGAGGGCTGCGGTCAGGTCATCCATGGGGACTCTGTGAATCAAACACCACTATTAGATTCTCCTTCTCTCTCTGAAATCAAATATTCTTTTCACTAAATATACTTTATTTTACATATTAAGTTACAAAATCAATTAGCTTTTGACTAGTTCACATACCTTTGGTTATAATACAGTGTTTTAGGATACTTTGGATGGTAGGGTGATGGCCTAGGGGTTGGGGTTTTCTTTGATTTCAACAAATTATGTTTGCTAATGTGATCTAATGGTTTAATAGTTGTTGTTTAATGGTTTCTACCATCGGGAGGTCAAGGGTTTTCTAATCAAACCGAATATCTCTCTGGTGGGTGTTCATTTTGGACCCTGTCTCTAACTTTCACACTAATCACAAATGCAGTGATTTATCATTTATATACAAACATATGGACTTAATCAATTAGCTCTTGTGCCCTGCAGATCTTGAAAAGCTGTAACCTTATTTTTTAGTTTATATATAGTTTTATTAAGACATTACTGGATTTACTTTTGCATGTGGTCTGAATGGGACACAATATGAACTCTGTATTAAGCATGTGAGCTTTTTAAATCAATGGAGATATTCATTTTGGTCATTCGATGGTCAAGACAAAGTTTACAGACACTCAGATCATTCAGGTGACCATGGTTTTTGTAGCACTGATAAGAGGAATAACCGGGAGAGCTGTTGTGCAGTTAACTGAGATCACTTCTAGTAGCATACTGATCATACTGCTTGATAATAAGATTTTTAAAAAAATATCATGTCTAACATAAGGGCTCCAGGTCTGAGAACTTATTTGCGTATTTTGTACTGGAGCTTTTCTAAAGGGAAAGCACTTCCTTGAAGCACAGCAGAAACTGTAGGGCTGTATTTGACTTCCAGTTCCAAGGATAAGTCTGCAAGCAAGGAGTGACGCAATTGCTAAAGAATTTATTGTAAATAAATAAGCTTTGTGCCACGTCTCTGTGGAAATCAGGGACTGTAGTCTGTTTTACTAACGTCCGTGACAGCTGTAAATAACTAAATGCTGGATATCAAAAAAAAAAAATCCTTTACTCCTTTTGGGTGTTTTTTTAAACCCAAATATCCTTAATTTTCTGCATACCATTATATGACCATGACTAACAGATAACTTACTATCAGTTACTAAGCTGAGTAGTTAAAGTGTCTTCACTATGTTTTATTTGATGGACCACAGTGTCCTTTAGGTGGTCTGACAAATTTTCAATTTAAAGCTGAAAAATATTGAGAAAAGCAGGGAAATAGTCCAAATTTGAGTTTTCTTCAACAGTTATCTTGGTCTACATGTACAGACAGTTTATAATGGGTTTAGTGGATGTTGCAGGTGGACTGGACTCCCTTATACTGAAAGGTGTTCAATATTTTTGTACCCTTATGTATGTAAAGGATGTGGACGAAATATAAGGAGCACACATACTGCAAAACACCACCACCACCACCCAGGTGTCCACACCTTTATCCAGTATCTGTTCATTTGTCAGTTTATCTGTTTGTTCCATTTATTAACGTCTACCTATATAAATATTAAGATAGGCTTTCTGACAGCATCTTCCATCCAGACTCAGGTACCATAAATTCACATGAAAAGAAGACTCTTTAATGGTGTTAAACCCGTTTTGACAGAGTTATCAACTCTATAAAACAATCTGTAACTGATATGAACTTGTAGGCGGTTTAACCTGCTGCAGCTAACCGCTAAAGATGCTAGCACACACAGGGCCGACCAGCCTTTAACAACACTCATTCTTAAACTTAACAGCGCCGTTTTTATTCCACATCAGCTACATGTAGATAACAGGTCCAAACTCACCACTAGATATGAGATTTAAACATATAATATCTAATAACGTAAAATACAAACCTTGGACAACCAGGTTCGCTGCTCCAAAAACATCACGCTGTCATCCTCCCCACCAGAGGCGTTTTTTTGTTGGCCGACTCAACTGAGCTGAACTATACCGGAGTTACATAGCAGCCTCCTCTTAGTCATGCGCAAATACTGTCTTGCCCATAGACTGTCTATGGTCTTGCCGGTGCATAAATATTTACATGAGTGGAAAAGTGCTGACATGAATCAGTATAAGAAAAGCACTTCAAGTCCTGCTTCGAAAGTGCATAATCAGCACAACAAACTGTGCGTGCATCGTCCATTATTTGAAGTACTTATTATGGAGAGCGGCCCCTTTAAGTGTTAAGCTTTGAAGTATTGGGCCATTATTTTAGATGGATTCATTTAAATTGTGGGTCGATTGTTGCGCAGCTTGTCATGGAGGAGCCAAACAGAGAGAGCTAGTTTAAAACATTTTGTACTGCTGGACTGTCAGATAATACACTACAAATATTTATTTATTATCCGTAAAAAAAATATTAGTATACAAAGTGCACCTTTGGCAACTTTTAAAGCATTAAACACCACAAAAAATCAAGCTACAAAGAAGTGCGGTTAAAATATGTTCTCATTTTGCTTTAGGTGAGATTCAAAAGCTTCGCAGTGGCCTTTATGGTACAGGTTTTTGCAAAGAATTGACAGTTTATTGCTTTGAAAGATATTTTTAACCTATATAATCATCATTTATATAAAACATCTCCACAGCTACTACTAATAACCAGAGTCCCTCGTGCAGCTATAAGTGTTGTGTCGTTCGCGAACGATTCGTTAAAAAAACAGAATCTTTTAAGTGAGCCTACTGAACGTTCGTTTCTCACTTCAGTTGAGCTGTCAGCAGGGCAGATGCCATAGCACGCTGCACTGCCAGGCAAAGGAGGGACCGCATGCACCGACGCCTGAATCACTTGGTAAACGAATCACGCATTAAATTACACTCCAACTACACTTATTTTATTATTTTTTACTGCTAAATTGCCACCACAACTTGCATACAATAGGACACAGCATGTAACACATAGTGCACCTGGAGCATCCTATCATTGCAGCGGTTTGCGAGGGAATGATGCATGTTCAGTGAATTAATCACTCATTGAGCCCAATTTACCGAGCAGACCTGATAAATAGCATACTATAGGACAGTACACTTTAAACATCATGACTTATAAACAAGTTCATCTTTACAAACCTTTTTGCCAAAGAGACACAGCCAAATGATTCGATGATTCCACGAACGAATCTTTTGAACGAATCTTTTTAGTGAACTGATTCTAGTGATTCAGTACATCTAAAAGAACTGCCGTGCCCATCACTAGCAGCTATAACGTCTTTGTCCTGTTGAGGGCGGTGTCGAGCCAGTTTCCCTCTCTTTCACTCAGAGTATAAAGGAGCTGGTGAAAAAAGGCGAAGTTGCCTTCAATTGTCCAAGCCTAACGTCATGGAAAGAGTTACTTTTGTTGCAGCGCGCACAGGAATAAACCCAAAGAAACATCACTGACCCGTGCTGGGTGATAATAACATGAGGAAGGAGGCTGTTTGGACGCCGGTTTTGCTGTTTGCTTCAGTTTAAAGTATCGACCGAAGATGCGCAGGAACCTGTTTACAAGGAAAACGCTGCAAGTTTCAGACTGAGGGAATGCAGACGAGTCTCAATGCACAGGGATACCATTACGCATCCGTCTGTTTCTCCTCACGCCACTTTGTCTTGGAAATATTTTCATCTAGGATCGTTTTAAGGCTCCGGGATGAGAATCAAGTGTCTCATGAGTGAACAATGCGAGGCTGCAGACCAGTTTCAGAGGATTAAATCCACCGGCGCTGCTTTTGGAGGAGCTGTTTGGTGAAACCAGTTCTGCTTTTGAACCTGTTGTGTTTTGTACTGTGAAGAGAGGCATCGTTAGAGTCTATATGAGGGATTTAATGTGTTACAGGGCTTTTGTTGCATAAAGTTTTTGTTAGACTTTTGTTAGACTTTAGTTAGGCAGAAAGGAAAAGAGTGAGAGCCTGAATGGGCTGAGGATGCTAGTGCTCACAGTAGATTTGTTTTAGACTGTGTTGGATCACAGAAATAGTTTTACATAACTGCTGACTTCCTCTTTGTTTACCAAGTCAGGTCATTAAATTTACATAGAAAATGCAGTGCTGCTGCACACCTGATCCGACAGCTGCCATGTAATTTGAGTTGTTTGCATATTACAGTGAGCTAGAGTCAGATGTTTCCAAAACAGCATGAATCCAGACAGTAGCATCATTATAATCTAAGCACTATGTGGATGTAGATTTTTTCAAATTCTGCTTTTGGACCCACTGGATTATCAAGATGTCAGTGAAAGCCAAAGCACTCTACACTTTTCAAAGTGAGAACAAAGAGGAGATCAGCATCCAGGAGAACGAGGAACTGGTGATCTTTGATGAGAATTCAGTGGACGGCTGGTTTCAGGGGGAGAACAGCCGAGGGGAGAGGGGGCTCTTCCCTGCATCCTATGTGGAGATTATTCGCACTCGCTCCAATTCCAACGTGACTGACTGCTCCATAAGCCCAGCGGGATCTTTAGGAAATGACTCCTCCTACTTCCCCTCGACCCCAAACTCTTCCCTGCATATGCAGCAGAGTTTCTATGACGATGATGATGATGACTGGGACGACTGGGATGACAGGTCGACAGTTGTGGAAGATGCTGACCACACCAGGAGCCCAGGGGCCAATGGACATGCACATCAGAGCCCACTTTCCAACAACCCCAATGTCTACTACCGCTCCAAACCACACATGGAGCGGCAGGACAGCATCTCCAGCTCCAGGAAAGGCAGCATGGTGGGCAGGAACTTGAACCGATTCTCCAGCTTTGTCCGCTCAGGGGTGGAAGCGTTTGTCTTGGGTGATGTACCCATGATGGCAAAGATAGCTGAGTCTTACACCATCGACATGGCCCCCTTAGGGCCTCAGTGGAAGGAGAGCCCACAGCCTTTCTCCTGCTCCATTGAAGACCCAACGAAACAGACAAAGTTTAAAGGCATCAAGACGTACATTTCGTACCGGGTCACACCAAGCCACACAGGGCGACCTGTCTACAGACGCTACAAACACTTTGACTGGCTGTACAACCGTTTACTGCACAAGTTCACTGTGATCTCTGTGCCTCACCTGCCTGAGAAGCAGGCCACAGGGCGATTTGAGGAAGACTTCATTGAGAAGCGAAAGAGACGATTGATACTCTGGATGAACCACATGACCAGTCACCCAGTCCTCTCCCAGTACGAAGGCTTTGAGCACTTCCTAATGTGTGCTGATGATAAGCAGTGGAAACTGGGCAAGAGGCGAGCGGAGAAGGACGAGATGGTGGGCGCACACTTCATGCTGACCCTCCAGATTCCCAACGAGCACCAAGACCTTCAGGATGTAGAGGAGCGGATTGACACCTTCAAGGCCTTTGCTAAGAAAATGGACGACAGCGTGATGCAGCTCACACATGTGGCCTCGGAGCTGGTTCGTAAACACCTGGGCGGGTTCAGGAAGGAGTTCCAGCGGCTTGGAAACGCCTTCCAGTCGATCAGCCAGGCGTTCATGCTGGACCCTCCACACAGTTCAGAAACCTTCAACAACGCCATCTCTCACACAGGCCGCACCTATGAGAACATTGGAGAGATGTTTGCAGAGCAACCTAAGTATGACCTCTTTCACATGCTGGACAAGCTGTCTCTCTACCAAGGCCTGCTCGCCAACTTCCCCGACATCATTCATCTACAGAAAGGTAAATATATTCACCAGTAGTTTCGATATTTGTTCCAAAACTGATTGACTGGTCTTTAGGCTCCTGTCTGATGTTCACTCCTGCAGCTTCAATCACATTTCAAGAGGATATCCAACCATAAGGTGATAAGTTGTACCAGCCATGAGCCCTCAGAATGACGTACTTGCTCAAGTAGTACTGAAATGCTCAGTTACTACCACCATTAACTTGATAACAAATGAAGTACCTTATCAGATTGCGTGGCTTGAGAACTTACAATATCGCAGTTGTGAAGTGCATCTGTACAATAGTCACATTACAGGGTGTGTGATGTCTGTCGTATCACCTGAAGGACACTATACCGTTGCCACTTCCTTGTTGCCCAAACATCTACCTGAATTCACTTTAATGCAGCCCCTCATTTGATTGCATAAACAGAAAAGTGAACTGACTGCTGTGCAGGCAGTGTCAATTTGTAACAGGACTGTAGAACGTAAACATGTACGCTACACTGCTACCGTCAAAAATACCAGGAAGAGTCTTGATTAAGCATGATGAGTTATAAAATAGTGTTGTTTTGCTTGTTTTGGTGCTGGTGTAGGGAACACACAAACAAACAGGAACATTGTAGTTATGTGAAACTAATGAGCAAAAGAAGACAGGAGGGAATTAGAAGTTGCCATTACAAGGATTATAACGGAGATTAGACATAGCTCTTAACCTTGCCATAAATTGTTGATTACATGGAAGTAAGGCAGTGACTTTCATCGGTCAGGTTGATGAAGTGTCTCTCCACCTGTAATCTCTCATACCTTCTACTTTGCCAGCCCTCTGCTGCTTTCAGGAGTCTGAAAAGAGTGAGGTAAAAGAAGGAAGGGGATTTGATTTGAAACTTAAAGCTCCTGTGAAAAGTATTTTTGGCCTTTATAAAATAGACTAAAATTAATATTGATGTCCATTTATGGTATTCAAAAGCAAAGAAGCTCATCAGGAGACTGGTGATTTTTTGCGGTGTTTTTCAAAGTTCCAAGTTATAAATAGTGTCATTTTCATTATTGTGCCGCTCTATCAGATTGTGTTGCGCAGTGCTGGAAAATCCCAGACAAGCAGCGGTCACACTGGAAAGTGTTGCACAAGCTTCAGTCAAGAATAATACACAAAGTGTCTGCTAATAGGAACAAATTAAGTTGAAAGCCTATTATTACAATTGTGTTTCACAATCTGCGCAATTACTCTGTTCTGGATGACAGGTCAGATCAGGGTCTGCTTCCCACACCTCTCTTTAACAGCCATGAACACACATGCAGAGACACACTATGGTGAAATAGTGTGAGTATGTGTCAGTATTAGGTCAGAGTGTTAGCCTGGAGCAACCTCTCTGCCTCCTTGACCTCCACCCAACCAGACACACAAACACACCTACTGTACACACTGCTACATTCTCCGTGTTTAACAAATGCTGTCATAACAATGGCGGACTTTGACAGCCTGTGCAAACATGACTCTGATGAGTGGATGATGGAGTATTCGAGCGTAATTCACACATCATTTGCCTGGAGATTACCCCACAAATGGCTCATATTTTCAAGTGAATTTCATATTTATTGACGGTATAGATATTCAGCAGTTAGATAACATGAGAAACTAGTCCTTATCTCTTCTTCAGGATCTGTAGTCTAAATGGTGTGTTAGCTCACCTTAGATTCTTCTTGACTCTGTTAAAAGTTTGATGAGATAAACAGAGCTTTGTACTGCTGTTATACTGCAACCGTCCGCCATGATGTGACACTGATACCTGAGTAACACCTGCGGGGATGTGGCAGTCAACAAAGGTGACAAGTTATAAAGGCTTCTAGGAAGGAAGAAGTAAACTTTGTTCAGACCAGGATGAGGAAACTATCAGAGCCACATCTAAAAGCGTTTGTTCACATAGTTGCTCGGACTATGAGTGCACAGTGCCTGCAGGTAGGCAGCTAGGTATATAGCCAGACAGGTGAGTCATTTAATCAGTCATTCAGTCTAGATTTATTCCAACAGCCACATTTAATCATTTTAGGCTTAGTATGTTGTTTAATTTTATGATTTTGAGGAGATTCTTACAGATAGAACAAAAGGAGCTTCTAACCAACAGTCTAGCCTCTTAAAGCCATGGTCACGAAGAACTTGACTTTCTTTAAGTGTGTTAAGTTTGAACAATCACAAAGACTGGCAGTAAACAAAAATGGGTTTACAATGATGAAGCCCTAACCCTCTCACAACTCTCGAGATCTGCCTTGTTGTCCTGAATATGTTACCAAAGCTGGAGTTGGTGTTACTAATCAGCTGTCGAAGCCGTGGTTTTGTTTCCCAAATATTCCCTCTGTTCAGCAATAGTGATACCTTAACTTTTAGCTTTAAATATCTAATTATAACTTAACTTTTCATACATATAATTAATCAGGAATAAATCCGCATGAGCAAAACCTTGATTGAGAACATTTTATTTGACCTGTTATTTGATTTTAAAGTTTGACCCATGTCCCATCTGTTAACATGGAGGAAGCTGGCTCAGTTGCTTGTACTGCATTTCGTCAATGGAAGGAGCTTTAAAGATTTTGGCTTCACTTTTAAGGAGTTATCATGTTACCCATCTGCACATACAGTCTGTGACTGTGCCTCTTAAAGATAAGAGCATCAAAATACAGTCAAGTGATGTTTCAGAGGATTACTCTTCAACAAGTGGTCCATCCTTGGAGTTAAACACTTTCTAAACTGTGAACGACAACATAGTACTACAGGAGCGCAGTGAATCAATTATTTGTCATGTATTAGCATGGTGGCGTTTAATCAGTATCCATGTTGACATTCTTTTATAAAGCCTAACTTTGTCTTGTGTTACTGATTTTCATACTTTAATAGTCCAGTTTATGATGACTGACTTTCATGGTAAATTATTTGCTACTAATGTCTCCAACTTGTCTCTTTTGTGGCGTCTCTTGTGGCAGATTTCAGTCCAAGTTCATCATAGTTGTGGCGTGTCAGTATTCAGTGTCAGCCCTCAAACAAATATCTGTATCAGCTGATTGGAGTCGGTCCAGGAGGAAGGAAAAGGGCTGCTACCAGCGAGGAATAATACTATCGCCAAAACGTTATCTTCTTCAAACAGCTGGTGCTCATTACGGCAGAGGTCATCCCAGATACAATTCAGCTCGGTACATTCAGTCGCTCCACCCAGATACATAACAAAGACATCTGAATGATATTAGAGGGCCAGTCCATTCAAATCACAAAGTGTAAACATTAATTTTAGTTTCACATGCCGACACTTTGAGATATCTCGCTCTGACGTGTTTTAAATATTTGGACCTCACAGAGGAAATTCCTCATTTAGACAGGATGACAGAGGTGGATATCTCAAAGACCGAGCACACGAAGCCAGAAATATCTGCACCAGAAGTGAGGAGTAGAAAACAGCCTCTCTATCTCGACTTTTGGCGAACTGAACCTTGAAAGCAGCTCGCAGGAATATGTAACTTTTGAGATATGAAGCAACATGCTATTGCTCAAACAAAAACAGTTGTCAGGGTTGGAGATACACTATTCATCAAAAATGACTCAGCCTCACAGAGAGAGATCAAGAAAAACCACAAGACGCTGTTTCTGATTTGTGATGATGCGGATGGGTTTTGTCGACTTTAGGCATGATATATAAGAGATCACAAGAGACTAATGCAAACTGGAATTCTGAAAAGGTGAGCAGGACCACAACACAAACACATTTGATTCTCAAATACAGAGTTTGTTGTTATTATGAATTTCTGTCAAAAGACTCTTCAGAGGAGCTTCAAGTTACTCCAAAGAGATTAGCCTCATTGTAGCTCCACACACTCAAACAATGACCTCCTTCCAGCTCGCTCAATGTCATTTCACATCTTTTGCTCTGGGCATAAGAGTGTGTGTGTATATCATAATACCGGCCTGAGACATGTTTTTGCCACAGTGTTAACAGGCAAAGGTAAAACATGGACTCCTTCGTGGGGGCTGTTTTGATATAATGTATGTGACCAGGTTGGCTCTGGCATCGCTTTTATTATTAAGAGTTAATCACCACTTTTAATGGGTTTTAATGAATCAGATAAAGTGTTTAACTTAGCAGGGTGGTAATCTACTCCAGTAAGTGTAACAATTGTTTAACTTAATCTGAATTATGGTCTTGTTTTCTAATTTTTTAGGCAAGTAGATTAAAGTAAGGGGAGACAGAAGTGATGAAATTCACCTCTAAGCATCTTTTAAACTCACTTAAAGACATGCGGCTCACTGTTTGGTTAAAGCATGCAAGAAAAAGCGTACAATTCAAAGTCTGACAAAATTTCGTCCATCTGTATCAACTTCCTGCAGTCTTGTTGTTGTTGTTGTCGTTGTTGTGAGATGGTTAGGTAACCAGCACAGAAACATGGATCTGGAGACTGAACCCAAACTGACGTAACAGAGTGAACCAAAAGACAACAAATACAGTACAGGAGGAGTGTTTTTGTGCAGCCGGAGACCTTTCCCCTCTGCTGAGTCTCCCCTGCCGGTCCAAATATCTCCCCTTGATGTGACTTGTGTTCTGCTGAACCAGTCGCAGCTGTGGCAACACTCAGAACACACAGAACTGAGGTCAACCTTTTCCGGTGCGCTCCTCCTCCTCCTCCTCTTCATTGCTTCTTTCCTGCCTGACTTTCCCCTTTCACTGAGGTCTGTAGGAGCTGGTTTTTATTTGAACACTGATCCTGGTGAGCATGTGAACTGCAGGAATGTTAACTGTCTTTGAGATGCGGCGTTGGGCAGCGACTGCATGTGGCCTTGATAAAATGGATGTAGGGAGGAGAGGGTTTGGGTAATGTCAGAAAAATGTCAGGGTGTGCTCCTCACTGTCTTGTTTCGAGTTTTGCTCCACTCATCTTTGTCTCTTTCGGTCGGCCTGAGAGTCGTCTGTCACTGAAGCTTCACCTCTGTTTTGTTATCCTCTTCACACCCGTCTTTGTCCTTTTATCTCGTCCCTCTGAAGACACACATATCAGAGCTGTCTGTCTGGACAGCTGTCCTGCTGCTTTCAATAACGGAGGGAAGAGATCTATTCTTGATTCTTTCATTGTCATCCTTTAAACCTCGCCCCGAGCTAATCCTTTACTCAGGCCCCGATCTTGTTTGAATACAATTGAAAATCTTCATGTGAGGGGTTAATGAGGTTTTGTTGCAGAGGAGTGAAAGCTCCTCTTGTGTGAGAGGCAGATGTGAGCGTCGTTTATTGGTCATCCTGGTCTCTGAGATCATTGTTGTCTCCTGCTGAATCAGCCGTAGTTATTGGGAATTGTTGCACATAACCATAAAGTGAGCGGTGATTGTCTGGTACCAATCTAAAAGCCACAATAGTCTTCTAATTTTGTAATTTGGAGTCTCATTTACGCCGTTAATGTGGATTTAAAAGGGTTAATGTGAGGTGAGCTGTCAGGACTCGCACTAAACTGAACATTTCCACTCCAAGATAACCAGGACCACATGATTTAGCGCCACATCTGATTGAGCTTTTCTGCCTCATCACAGTCGGTCTGTGACATTTTCTTTTCCATTTGTCAGTCTTTAAGCACCGCCGTGTGTTCTGCCGAGTGTTTACGTCACGCGCCATCGTTAGGTCATAGCGGACAGTTTCTGTGCTGTCTGATTCTTGGTTTTCCTACCATAAACAGATATCAGATGTACCAAACTTCTTTCTGCACGGTGCAGTTTGCCTGCCAGAGTCTGGGATTAGACTCTTATTTTCTCTAGCAACAATTCAGCAACTCCAGGATAATATTCCTGAGTGTGAAATTGCAAAGATTAGAAGGATTTCTTCATGTACCGTGTATAATGCCATTAAAAGACAAGGCCAGAAACTGATACTGGACTGCTGGGATCTTTAATGGCTTGAAAAACCAATATGGCTCTGTAGTAGAACTCACTGAATGGGTTCAAAATTACCTCCAAAAACCATCAGACATGATGGTTAGAAATGAGAAGGACTTCTCTGGGCCCAAGCATATTTAAGATGAGACAGAGTGGAAAACTTTGTGGTCTGATGAATCAAAATATGACTTTCTTTTTGGGAATCATTGATGCCACATCTGCTGCTCTAACTCGAGGCTTGTTATCAGTGAACAGTGAAAGACAGTAACTCTTGTTGTGTGGTGGTGGTCGGAGAGGCCGTAGGCACAAACTGGCAGCCATTTTTCCGTCAGTCTGCCCCAGGGCAGCTGTGACTACTAAGGTAGTTTACCACCACCAAGGTGTGACTGTATGAGTGAATGAATGATGTATCCAATGTAAAGCGCTTTGAGGGTCTCTGATAAAGCGCTATATGAAATCTGATGCATTATTATTATTTTTAACCCTGATGGTATGGGGGGCTTGCACATCTGGTAAGGCACTATTAATGCTGAACATTATGTAGGGGTGTCCCGATAAAACTTTTCTACTTCCGATACGATACCGATATTGTAGCCTTCAATATTGATCCGATAGTAGCACAAAATTGTGCATGACAAGTTTTTAACTCGGCTGTAATGTCTTCTTCGGAACTAGACAGAAAATACTGCCTCAAGGTCAACATCACTCCTACTCCTTGGTACTTTGTTAGTACCTTAGTACACACTGTTATTGTGATTTTGTGGGCTCAGCTTGATGGATGTTGAGGGGCTGCTAGTTAGAGGTGCCAGAGCGGAGTCTGGAATGAACTGCTTGTAACAGAGTGCTGATATCAGGGATTTTAGATGCCGGCCGATATAATACGATATTTGTTTTTTTTTTGCTAATGTCGGACTGATATCCGATATCAATATCGTATCGGGACACCCCTAACAGTATGTACAGGCAACATCTAGACGATGGCTTTGTTATAGAGGACCACATTTTGGACTCATCACAATAGTATGGCTCTGTAGTAGAAGAGTCCTGGTGCTAAACTGGCCTGCCCGTAGTCCTGATTTGTTAACTGTTAGAGACATTTAGTGCAGAATGACCAAGAGATGTCAACAAAAGAGGCCTGAACTGAAGAGCAGGGGAAATCCTATACCAAGAATAGGACGAAATTCCTCAGAACTTCATAAGAGGATGTCCTTTGTTTCCAAATGAGGATGTAAAAGAAGAGGCGATACAGTAAAATGGTAAACGTGACCTTTTTAAGCTGTTTTGAAATGTTTGATATGTTGTCTTTGCCCCTTTTTAAGTTGAATGTGGGTTTTAAATGATTTGCAAACCATCAAATTTTGCTTTTATCAACATTTTACACAGCATTCCAACTGCTAAGGAATTCAGATCACCTTATATAACTCACTGTTTATGAACCACATTTAGAAGATAATCTTATTTCTTCATTTTCTTTCATTTTTTAACATTTTTTAAATCCAAAATTGTTAAAACAACAAACAAGCTCTTTTATTTTTATCAGTTTTTCCACTCAAACTCACATTTTGACAGATTACTCTCAAGAACTCAGAGTTCTGTTTGCCTATCTCCGTTCTCTGCCAGATTACAGAGTAGTTGTTATTGGCATCATTGAGTCTAAAGCAGATCTCATGTTCTGTAGTTTCTGTACCTGGCAACAGCCGAGGCACTAATCAGGGACAAAACCACTCTTGAGGCTTTGGGTAAACACAAAAGAGCGCACAATGGAGTGAAACCAACCCGCCCCGCTGTGTGGGTGTCAGCTCGATCTGATCTGATCACATGTTGTGTAAGATGAAATCTGAGGCGTTGGCTCACGTCGAGGTCTGGATCTTGCTTCACCTGTGTCCCCAGAATGACACGCCGAGCAAAGCAAGGCAACAAAAAAACTGTTAAATTCTTGCGGTAAAAAAGCGAAACAATGGAGGATTTCTGTGTTCAATTGGCCGGCAATTAGTGGGTGAGTGAGAGAGGCCAGTGATGGAATGATTGGGAGTTTAAAACCTTGGTTTGCAAATGTACCGTCTTAATTATATTGAATTAAACGCACCAGGACAAAGCTGTTTGCCATTTATCTGGACTCATTTTGAAGCATTTAGAGTGCTCAAAAGAGTAGAAAGTGTGGTTCTTGTCTTCCCGCCCTTCAGCTTTCCCTGATAGTGAGATAAAACCGCCTGTGATCCACACCAGAGCAGAGCGTTATTCAGAGTTAGAATGAGCTAACTCCCCTGGGACGCCTCCTGCACGCCGGCCAGACTTCTAATCTGGACAAGTGGTTAGTTGTCTCCCATATGGCAACACATCACGAACCCACATGTAGACTCCATCAGTTTAAGGAGGAAGATGAATGAATGCGAGTTTCTGAGGAAATGTGCGAACCAAATGCCCGTCTGATGTGCAGAGGTGACTCCGAGTTTGGCGACTGTTTCTGCTGTTTGGTCTAAACTCTTCTGAACTGCTGATCAGATTTTCAGATTGTGATAAACATGTTTCAGATTAACATTCCCAACACTGGTTACACCACACTGGAAATTCTGCACCGTCAGCAGGTAGACCTCAACCTCAATCTGCGAAACCTGGTTTTGGTTTCCAAGTGCATGTAGCGGCCCACTTATAACACCTTTTAAATGTTGATTGCATGTTATTTTTGTCTCCTTTTCTGTGGTGGCCATGCGGAGTGAGTGTTTTCTCTCTCCTGTTTGCTTACTCATAAATCTCCTCAAAGGCTAACCCCTCGTCTTCCTCTCACACGCACTGTCTACCCTCACGCTTCTGCATTCCTGTCTGTGTTGGCCCAGTGAACTGTTGTTTCACACTGAAGGAGATTACAGATGTTTCCAGGAACTTGGCCTTTACTGACACTGCCTCACTGCCCGTCTCAAAGAAGTACAGACTTTGTGTCTCAGTGAAAAAGGTTCGAGGTGTACGAGGGGATTGAGTTTAAGAGGGCAGCGATTCCATTTAGTTTTCTCATCCAGGGAGACAAATGAAATCTGACAAATAATTAGAGGCTTGTTTAAACTTTCAATATACACTGAGGCTCTAATTAAATGTCAGGTTTCATTTATCTTCTTATAAATAAGAGCTTTGTGGTTTTTATTTAAGAGCTCAATCCTCTAAAGTTGATTACAACACCGCCAATTATGATCTCAAGTGCAACAAAAACTAGGTGTTCATTCAGGACCACTCCCATCAAAAAGAATAGATTATTTAATGTAATAAGTGATATATGGAGGTAGAGAGGACCCGACTCTGCATTTTTTTAACCCAAAATCTAAATTATTTGAGCTAATTGACGCTGCTGTAGGGCTGCAGCTATCGAATATTTAAGTTATAGTAGTTTTCTACTGACTATTTCATTGATTACGTGAATAATCGGACCCAAACGGGTTTCACATACAGTGAGATTTCCTACATCACAAATCTGAGCTCCAACCCAGGGGCCCCACTATGAGGGCCAGGCTCACAGAAATAGAGAGGACAATCGCGGAACAAGCGTGTGCGCTAGCAGATTGCAATGCTCGCAAGAAAGCTAATTATGATATTAGCCTTTATCATGCCCCTGAAGACATTAGTGTCTGAGAGCTGAATACCTCAGATGCTACTTCTACTACAGCGGCAATGTTAGGATGTCAGCTGACATGAAGAGGAGTGTGCAAAGCAGCGCTGTCTCCGCCCACGACTCAGAGACGAAGTGCTAATGAGCTACTGGAGCTCTGCAGAGGAAAAGCCCCTCTCATCATAGATTTTTTCCGCTCCGCAAAACCAAAACCGTGATTACTCCTCCTTCTACCGCGGAGACGGTAGAAGGAGGAGATTCATATAAATATGTTAAAAGCCAAGGCAGGGAGAGCAGCAGCAAAGACATGCAGCAAAAATTCACAGCCGAAATCGAACCTGCTAGGCCATCCGTGCCCAAAAACAACTAAACTTGACTTTATGGCCTGCCTGAACTAGCTCTATGTTCACTTTGTGCTTCATCAGGATTAGGGATTAAACCCTGTTCTATTAAGGACCAGACACTGCATTTTCCTGTAAAATAAAGTCATTTTACACGCAGAAAAAATTATGGTCATTTGATGAACATTTTTGCGCATCAGTGTATGCATCAAAGTAAACCAAAATGCAGAACTGTCCGACGTTTTCAGGGTTTAAAATTCTCTGTCTGCTGCAGGAAAGTTGTCCTCCTCCTAAACTCAAAGCAGAAACACCCAAACTTTGAAGCAAGTCCACTGTAAAGATATCAAGTAGTAGAAAGAGTCATCTAAAGTTGACATCCATGTTGAAGATGACAGGTTAAAGCCAGCGAACCCAAGGAGGTCGCTTAAGGTTGCATTGAGATCGTTCTGGCCCTGTAGCCATCACAGACGACTGTTTTAGATCGGTCCATAGTGTGCATGTTTTAGATGAGCCCCCAAATATGTTACAGCCGCACTAAACAAAAAGCTAAGCCTCAGACCATATGAGAAAGGATACCGCATGAAATGTGAAGTTTAACCCACAAGAGCTTCACTTAAAACAAAACCTTAAAATGCTTGAAACAAGAAAATAAAAGAGCCCGGCCAAAACCAACAGAAGATAGAGAAAAAGAGAGGTGCCGGGCCAGCTGGGAAACAGAGCGTCACCTTCAGTACCTCTCTTTAAATGAAGTCCAAAAACTAACCTGTGAAAATAAGAGACCGATAACTAGACTTTGTGTGGAGTCCAGCTAAAATGAAATAACAACAGTCAGCAGTCTTAAACATGCTGGGGGATGTCAGTGTGGGGAAGGAAAACAAGGTCAAAGGAGGACACAGAGTTCCTCATCAAAATCCATCTGCCCAGTGAGAGAGCGCAGAACTGAACCACAAGACGGTAACAGTGATGATGAATTCAGGGTCATGACTTAGAGTGTTGATAGTTGAGTCTTTGTTTGTTGTGGAGCCTCCCTTTTTTTGCTCTCTTTCACTTCATTGTTGTCCTTTTGGCCCCAAAGTTTATACCCTGAGTTAATACTGAAAACCCTTTAGATGTTTGTATCCTCTCTCTTCTTGGTCCACCAGCCTCTTACTCAGCTGTCGCATGCTAGCAGAGGCTTCAATCCCCCCTGGCCTTAACAGGAAAAGTGGTTTTGGAGGTTGACTCTCCAAGTCCGAGCATTGTTTTGAATAAATGGAAAAATAAATCACTGCCATCTGTATTTGTTTATGTTTTGATCCAGTCATTCTTTGGCTTGATGCTCACTAGTTAGCTCAGAGATGAATCGCTCTTCTTCAGGCATCCATCATCAGTCGACCTCCAGTGCAGCTCGAGTGCTTTGAAAAACTCCAACCTCATCTCCTCCTTTGACTCTGTCATGCGACGACGAATGTTGTGCTGAAAGGCAGCGCTGTGTTTGTGTCCTAATCTGTCCCCTCCTGCTTTTACAGGATTGAATCTGTAACTGTCAGAAAGACTCTGGGCGTCTGCCAGCGGAGCTGTCGTCATAGTAACTCTGAAAAGATGCTTGTGGTTGGCACAGCGAGCTGGTCCTTCAGGGTGGAGCATTGTTAGCTCTGGAGTCTGTTTTTCTCAGCTCTAAAGATGTCAGTGTTTAGCAAGCTACATATGAAAGTAATGAACAGAGATACTTACAGTGTGTCTCTGGTTTACATGAGCTTCACATTAACTTGTTGTGCTTACTGACCGATTTTACGTGGTACAATGTGCTAAAAAATCTGTCAAAATGTCTAAGTACGACTTTGGTAAGCAACATAGCTGCTCCACACAATGGATATTCGTAGCATTACGGTACGCTGTGTCATTACCTGATTGGCCCCATAACAGGACCTCTGAGCAGTCTACAAGACTGCCTGACTGTAATGTCTTAACTATAAGTGCATTCATGTAAGGGAGCTCGGGCCCGGAGTATGGGCTAGGAACAATAAACCAATCAATTCTTAATGCGCCTTATAATCCGGTGTGCCTTACCGCCCGAAAAATATGTTAAGTGGAACGACTAGTTTAGTTGACTTCAGCTTCAGTCAAGGCCACACTGCTGTAATAGTTTACTACCTGTATGTAAACAAGCACAGATGACTGATGATGTTTCGTTAGGGTGACCAGGGAAATGTCCTCTATTTTTGGAGGCTGTCCGGGTTTTTGTTCAGCTTTGTCCGGGGAAGTTTATAAAATCCTTCAAATGTCTGCGGTTTTGTACGCAAGTGTTGATCTTGTGTCACCTGGACTTACTCAAAATTAACTTAGTGCGACTCTGTTACTCCGCCCCCACATAGTCGTGTCCTCTTTTTCGGAAGTCAGAATATGGTCACCCTAGTTTTGTAGTGTCCGAGGTTTGGCATCCAGGAGACATAGATATAGTTGTATGTGGGTTGTGTACGGTTTAGCTAACTCGATGGTAGCAGTGTGTAACTAGCACAAGCTCGTTAACTAAAACCTGCAGCACTGATTGTTACCGAGCATTCACTGGAGAATCTAACTTTCTTTTGTTTGCATTTTATCAGATAAGATGAATTTCCTCATTGCAGACATGATTTGATAGTTACAGGACGACTTATATCCTGTAACATCTTTGATTTTTCATGTCATGCCTGTTGTAAGTCATTGCAACACTTCAGTGGAGGGGAAACACTGATTTAGGACAGTACAAGTGTTATACAACCGAAGAGCTGAAACTGTTTGTACTGAATTATCGCTGCATTTGAAGAACAAAGCATCAAGATCCAGAGGGATTTAGGATGTCACAACTCTTGTCTCTCAAAGCGGAAAGTCATACGCAATGGAGTTATGAGGAGTAACAATGATGCGACGTTTATTTGACTTGACAATCAGCTTTGGTGGTGTCTGTTTTTTTTCAGAGGGGCTTTTCTAAATTAAATAACCAGGACCAGGGCGCAAATTTGGCTCAGATGTTTTCATATCCTTCTCAGTGCAGGCGTAAAAATCGGCGTTTGGTCACAAGAAAGCAAGACAGACACTTCAAACAGAAACATAAACCCTCTATTATTATAAATTATAATGCAATTGGTCGTTTTTTCCCAAACGGCTGCTGGAAATCCCAAATACTTTCACTGCAAACACAGTCCAACTTTTGAGTTTCCTGCAACAACACCCCTCATTTCATAAGAATGTTGAAGAGAAAGCTGAACTGAAAAGGGTCAAATTAAATCATTTAGCAAAAGGACACGGTGTGATAAAGCTGAAAATATGAACGAGGTTGATCCTTTGAGATCAGTGTTGAGTCTATAACTTCTGAAAAACAACAGTATCTTCATAAAACCACATCAGAGTGTGAAAGAGAGGCTGATGTAAAACTAATGTATACTCAAACATCTGCTCAACATCTCTTTGCATGGCTTCAATTAAGATCTTCAATGCCAGTTTTGCAGCTTATTGGAAACTTCATGTATTGTTGCATGTGCGCAAAGTCGTCTGGAGCGCGTGGAGGAAGTTACCCCGACACAGATTAAACATTTCTGGTAACTAATTCCCCATGCAGGCTGCAGAGGGTGGTTCTGTTTTGAACATTCCTCGTCCCTGAAGTAATAAAGAATCAAAGAATTGGAAATATTTGTTTCGGTAGCCTCTCCCAGTCCCACTCTTTATTTTGACCGAGTGAAAATTAGTCTTGCAGAGAGATAGAAGAAGGATACTTGAGGTTGGTTAAATCAGATGTGCACATTCCAGCTAAGGACGCAAACTCAGGCTCTGTTTTCGTCGGTGTACGTGATTGGCCGCTGTAAACACTGTCACTGTTAGCTTACTCAGCAGTTGGGTTTTTCCATGTTTGTGTATACTTCAGGCTTTTCAAACCCCCCTTTGAGGACTGGATGATTGCCAGATGAAGAGTACTTTTGACCCTGTCAGGCATCCGAGAAGCTGTCTCTGTTTCTCTTCTCTTCTCTTCCCGTTTTTTTCTTCCTGTTCTGTCTTCATCCTTTCTTTTTCTCATCCATCAAGATGAAGCGTCCGTGTTCTGCTTTTGTCTGTCAGTCCACTTTCGGCTCTATTGTTTAACATGGCAGCTTTCTGTCGGAAAATCAGTTCATTTTAATTAAATAACTGCAGTGAGTAATTCGACTAAAAGAGGAGATGTAATAAAACACTGTCTTTTATTGCTGCTGAGACAATCTAATTTAGTGCTAAGTTGGCGGTGCTTCCCTTCGAGGAAACAGCAGCGAGGAGGACGCTAAAGTAACTTAAAGTGAACCTTTCCACAAACAACAAATGCACAGACAGCGAAATGTATCCCACAAGAATGTTGTTTTCTATGATTTTATACAAGTTTTATTCTCATTTTCGAGGGTTCAGCGGAGGACAGATACAGCACCAGTTCAGCGCGGTGCTTGACACAGACGTCAGACTCACACAGACTCAAAACTCATGACTAAGGGTCAGTGTTTCTTGGTGACAAGCCTCATTTGTCCTCAGCTGCAGAATGCTTTTGTCTACTCATCATTGTCGGGTGTGAATAACCTCTATTGACCTTCGCCATCCTGGTTTTTCTTAAGTTTTAAAGGTGGAGTAGGCAGGATTCTGTTAAAGAAGCATCTTTTTTTGTGGTGTATATACAAAAAAGCTTTTAATATCAGTTAATAGCTGTTAGTTATTGATGACATTTGGTAATATAACGATATGACTGTGTTTTGTTATGTCTGTGTAGTCAACATTTTACATTTTTTGAGCGTCCCGCTTATTCTGACTGTAAACAAAGCCGTTCTCCACATCCGCGACCTGATTGGTTGTGAGCGGACATTGCTCCCTCGTGTTGTGAGGCACGCTCCATGTCCTCAAATAACGTTCATGAGCCCAAACAAAGTTAGCGTGCTACAATATCAGACAATAGAAACCAACCAGAAAGTATGGAAAGTTGTCTGAATCCTCCTTTGGCCACTACTGCCGACACAAGCAAGAAAACAAAGTAAATACCGGAGACTCTGGTGGAATAACCGGACAAGAGCTAAGAAACCGGGTCAATAATATAAATGAAACGATGGTGAATGGAAGATTGGGATCTCCTGGACCCTATAACCTTTTTGCTGGACAGATAAATCGCTTTAACAAAGTAAGCCAAGTGTCTGTAACAGAAGTGTTTCTTGTCAAACGGGACCTGCTGTTTGTTGTAGCGCTGCTAAACTGTTGACCTCGGGTCCTGGACTATGTCACTTTATCCTCGTTGTAGAAGTCCTGCAAACATAGTGTTTGCTGGTAGTCTGTTGGCATCTACAGTAGCACCAATGCTTTTGACTTTCACATCGACTGGGCCCCATTTGTAATATCTATCTGAATTTAATTGAAATGATACGAGCGAGCAGGAGCGTCTGTTTGTGGGCGGGGCTTTCTGGAGCAGAGAGGGGAGAGGAGGAGCTGAGGGGAAAACTGGTTAGGAGGGGTAGTAAGATTTCTCCCCAAAACTGGCGCTTCCTCAGATCCTGCCTACCCCACCTTTAAGTCTTTGAATCATGTTATGTCAGGATGATGAGTAAGCAGATTTACTTCAGATTCGATTTCAACGTTTCAGTCTGGGAGTTACTCGTGTTACAGGATTATAATATTCTGGACTTGGCTTACGGCTGCTATAGCTCACATTATCCTAGCCATGCACACGTCATACCGTTTTACCTGCCAGATGTTTTTCACCCTCTCCTTTGCGAGCGAGAATTAGGCCCAGTTTAAAGTCTTCAGGGAAAAATGGTGGGTGTTTGTGTGTTTGCGGTCGTATTGCAGAAGTGAAGTCATTACATACTAGTGGCTTTGCTTTCACTTTTTCAACCCCGAACTGACAGACCTCGAGAGGATTGTGAAGCAATGAGAAGTGATGTTTTCTGTAATGTGAGATCGTTTAAAACTTAACCTTTTGCAGCAAAAACGTGATCGTATCTTAGTTTGTTATGATTGAGTCAAGTTTTTCATACTCTGCTTCAAAAATGTGATTATAAAGCCAGCCAGGAAGTTAAAAAGGCGACTTAGTTTGTTGGAAAAATAAACTGTTCACTGCATAACCATGTCCCAGGATAGATCAGGAGCAGAGCTTGATTGTAGCAGGAAAAAACCCACCACCATTACAGCTAATAGGGTCAGCTGATATATACAAACTAGCCTCCGCTCAAGAGGCTCCACTCCATTTTTAATGATTCCTCTGCTTTATGGCTAAACAGGAAGAATGATTTAATTAGCAGTGACCGGCCCCAGATGAGTGTGAGTTAAAATTAGACACACTTGTTTTAAAACAGCTGTGACCTCTTCATGTTTTAATCTCTCAAAAATGTGCAGCCCTCGCAGGAATATAACGCTGGCTCTGCGTAAAAAAGAAACCGATTTTGGGGAAATGTTGTCGCCCACTCACACTTAAATAGAAGCATCCCGCAGTTTAAACAAACACAAATAACCTAAAGACTCACTTCCTCTCCGGGATTACACGTTAAACAGACACAAGATGGATTTAGACGCCGAGGAGAAGTGCCTCACTTCCTGATTTTCATCCTGCAGTGACCTCGGGCCCAGCGGGGAGGTTCTGCGAGGGAGAATGGGGAATTTAGCAGATGCATGAGTTAAGTCGCTCAGGGGAGGTTGAGGTCATACTTAATCTGCCGTCCTTGTTCTCTTTCTCTCCTATTTTACAGGTTTTCTGTAAAAGAATAAGAGTATCAGCAGGTCTTTAAAAGTTGTGATTGTTGCACGCTCTTTACAAGCCAAGTTTCAGCCATTAGCACCATCAGCCTGTTGTTGCTCCTCGCATGCAAGCTCATTCCTTCATAATGTGTAAAAACCTCACTGAATTGAAGTGTAATATTACCTGTACCAGGTGTTAGCCTGGAGGGGATCTCCTGTTACTTGTTTGAGTGCTTGTTTGTGTATTTGTCTGCTTTAATCTTGCAGACAGTCGAGCTTATTTGCCTGATATTGTGGAGGAATATTCAGCTTTTTCTTCTAATTCTACCTCAACTTGAATGTTTACTGTCTTGATTAATAGAGCTGTCATCTAAACTCAAGATAGAAAGTGCTTTACAAGAATAAAACCAAGCATTTCAAATATGAGGTACTGTTACCTGAGCTGTGATGAAAAGAGCCAAGCACTCAGTGAAGAAACCCAACTTACAGGTTACATAACATACCCCATGGCCCCTTATACTCCCCTGACCCAAACATGAAGATAGATGGGCAGCAAGAGCCAGTCCATCACCAGGGTTATCAAGTTGGGTCCACAGAACCATGAGGAAGGTCAACCATTTGTTCCCTGATCCATCCTCTTACATGCCAGCTCTCACTTCCAGCCATACCTAAAGATACGCACACAGATAGAAAGTAACAAGTGTGATTTAAAAAGTATAGACGGGTTTCTTGTGCACAAACAGTACTAGATGTGCGCGCAACCAGGGGGCAAAAGTCTGCTTCGGAGTGAACTGATATCAATGATGTTGTATTGTTTGCAAGTTTCAATGCCATTTCATTGAAAAATCGCGTTGTCTTTCATTGCATCAAAATCAGAAAAACACTTGCTGAAATGTCCATGAATTCCACTGAACTTACTAGGTTGTAAGTCTTCTTCTTCTCTTGGCAAAAGGATGAGATCTCCTCAGGATGTTAAACAGTTTCCGTCCATCCTTTTGCCGATTCGTACAGTTTACAGCGCAAAAGCTCTTTGGCTTTTTCTTTCTCTGTTGACTTCGCTGGTAAACAAATAAGAGTAAGTAATAAGTAAAATGTCCCGTTTTCTGCCCCCTAGCTGTGCGCACATACCTGTGACAACGTTTCACAGAAACCCGTCTTTTCAGGAGTCAGTCCAAAAACAGATACTCGTCTAGAGTCGTATTAAAATAAAACCAAACCAAGGTATTAAATGTTGTAACCTGGTCCAAATAGTTGATTTAATCACAAGCCCCGCCTCCTTCAAAGCTTTAGCCAATTAGAGTATAAGATTTTAAGGTTACACCAGGGGTGGCCAAGCAGATGTAAAGGGGCCCCTTGCCAACTCTTGCCCCTCTGAACACAGCCCTGGCATTAAACTCAGATTGTAAATATTTTGCTTCCCTCTGCTCACACCACTCTGTTGTTGTTTGATAAATCACCAGAGCCTGTTGACAATTTCGGGAGACTTGCTGCTTATGAGATCAAATTTACTGGAAAAATGGAATATACTTCATCCTCAGTACCACATTATAGGAAGATTTAGTGGCTGAAATCCATTAGAACAACTCTTATGCATGAACCCGGCACTCACCTGTTATGAAGTGCTCTGCCTCTGTTATTTTTTACTTAATTAATCCGCCTTTTTCTCCTATTTTCTTGATCTTTTGTGGATCTTTCTACTCTGATTCATATCATCACTAGAGGCTGTTATAAAAACCTGCTGGGAATAACTCAAATAAAGTTGCGTAACAGTAAATGATTTCGGCTCGTGTTATCCCAGCTGGTTTTACTGTCGTTCACTGGCAGGTACAGAAATGGGAGTAAAGCAGCACTCAATTTTTCATTAGAGAGATCTTATGTTTTAACTGTCAAACCCTGTAGAAAGAAACCCTGCAGCCGTCCTCGCCTCTGTTTCCTCGCTCATCCCCTACAGAGCGCTAATATCTCCTCAGCGCAGACCCATGAAGCTGTCACATGTGAAATAGTTCAATTCGCCTCAACAGCCTCAGTCATAAAGCATGCGGTAGCCAGCCTGGCTGGGCAAGATAAACAAATCTGGTGACTCCCCAGACTACCGGCCTTATGTCTCTGTATGTAGGAGCTGTAGCAGAAAGCCTTCAGTGGGAAAAACATGTATACTGTGAAGAAAAGAGCATCATGTTGGCCGAGTGTTTTTTTTATATACATTAGGACCCCTTTGCTGGCATTGTTTTTTTGCAGCTAGTTCTCAATTTTTTTTTGCAGATTTAGCTGCAGTGGAAAACACACTTCTGATAAGATAGTCCAAATTAGAGATGTTCCAATACTAATTTTTCCGTCCCGGTACCGGGACGGAAACTTGTGCTGTGGGTATCGGCCAATACTGAGTACCAATCTGATACCAGTACGTTATAAAACAAAATATTATACCAGGCCTGAATGACTGTGATATTATTATCGTTGTGGTGAGGTCTGGCTCAGGTTAAACCCTTAGTAAAACACAAATAAATACAGCAAATTCAATTCCATTTATTTTTAAATAAAACAGTATAAAAAACAGAGCTAACCAGTAAATAAATTACTAATTTAATGAATTACGTGGTATTGGATCGGTGCATGGACTCTAGTACTCGCCAGTACTGATGATAGCATTTCGATACTGGCATCGTAGTTGGAATAACTCTGGTCTAAATTTGTTGGACAGTTTAAGATCTGGATGACAAGAAATCAAAACTGCTTTGCTTTTTACACCATCAGTCTGAACTCCTGCTGCAGTTTTCTGTTTTTGCAGCTTTTATTTAACAGTTTTGATCATTTTCAGACGAGATTCTGACAATAAAGTATCTAACAAACTAACTAATAAATGATGTAAGAATTCTGCTTGAGGAATGAAGAACAACTCAGGCTTGCTTTGTGATGAAATGGTCTGAATTTGTTGCCCACTCTGAATGACTTTGATCTGAAAGGAAATTCCACTGTACAGCTTTTATCTTTACCTCGTTGATAGTCTGAAATTGTTGTAAGCAGAGACAAGTTTTTGTTTTGTAGCCGTATTATCATCATCTTGCAGAGGAGTGTACGTGTTAAGTTGTCTAGTCAACACTATAATTATTGGTCGGTTAACTAATAAGAGGTATTTTTATTATTACGGTCCAAAAATGCTGGTTAAATGTTGTTTGCAGTCACCCTCCCCTGTAGCTCTGACTAATAACTGCTATAATGCAATAATTCTCCACCACACTGATGTAAACAAGCACAGCTGATGGATGGTATTTGGCAGGATCATGCAGTACGGCAGCATTTTGATCAAGAAAATCTGCAAGGAGGTCAAAAGGCTGGTAGTGCTAGCTCTGCTACTGTCATCCACACTCCTTCAAGCAGTTTGACATTGTTTACTTTCAGACTGGAGCCTTGTTGAATATATTTGAAGTGTGTTTTCTAAATGTTTTTGAATGTTTAGACTAGTCAGTCAGAATTAAAATGTCTGGATAGGGTCAATGTTTTGCATGATTTTGTGTAATCAGATTGAGCTGCAAGTAAGAGCAATGTAAAATTGCTATGTGTTGACAGGACATGGGGGAAAATCCTGAATTGGATGGAGTGAGACACTACCTCGTTTGTTGGTTTGTTGACAGCACAGGCGTTAATACAACTCTTCTTCTGTGGTTGTTTTATCGAAATTTGACAACTCTGTGCATAATGCTTCTTATCCAAATAAAGCTTGGTGTATGTATACACACATCATGATTGGATTATTTGATTTTGCACCCATTTAAACAATGGACTTAAACAATTATCCAATCCATTAAACTTTTGATCGGATCAAGAAATTTTGCACATGTAAACGTGGCTATTGTCTGATTTTCTTTGAAGGAATTAGAGTTTGAAGATTGAAAGATGATATCATGATCGTACTGTTTGGATTCGGTTTAGCAGCATTAATATTTCATCTTGATGTAATTTCAGACATGAGATCAAGCTGCGAGGAAGAGCCGGTCAGGGTTTCTTTTGAATGAGATTTTGCATCACAGCTGATCCAAAAATGTTGATTCAACCCCCCATTTATTTCTCACACAGACGGACACACACAACCACAGCGCCCTCCCTTTATGTCCCACAGACATGCTATCTGGTGATGCACATTCTCCTCTCATGTGGAAAACAGAATACATGAATGTAGGTCAGCACCACAGACTGCAGTCCACACGCCTCCTCGCTGGAACAGACTGGAAGTGCTGTTCATGCTTTCCCAGACTTCTGCCAGGAATTCCATATGAAATCCAGGGCGGCATGAACTCACAGATACAGTTAATGGATAAAACCTGGACTCTGCTGTGAATACATTAAAGACCGGCATGTCCAAACGAGTCCTCGCTTATCTCTCCTACGTCTGACTGAGGAGCTTTTTTTTTCTTTCTTTTTTTTCGGGCTTGCATGAGGCTGAGACATCACAGTAATCTGATGGGAAATGCGGCGTGGCGACATGCCATCAGGCTGCCATGTTCTTCCCTGGAAAGTGACGTCAGGGCAGTCTGGGTGAATGTGGTTACAACTTGTCCACATTGCACTGAAACTAGACGTTTGGTATGCAATGAAACAAAAAGTAATTGTGCGGCGTGTTCCCCTCTTTACCTATAAAGCGTGCAGCTCTGCAGTAGTTAATTTGAGGAGGAAAATTTACAGTGTTGGTCTGAACTGCTGAGTGCCATGTAGGAGATATTTACATAACATTACTGCAGCAGTATTTTTCCTTATAGTTACATGTACAGTATAACACAGACCCGCCCAAAAGAGTCATAAAATCTCAGCTCTTTATTGGGCTGCTTTTTTCTTTTACTGGGACTTTTGTTTCAGGCTTTGTCTTTATTTTAGCAGAAGCACATTTTCTCTCAGCTGCCCTCTGACTTTAATAAGCTCATAGAGGCTCATATTTTACTTAAATGTACCATAAGTTTTAATACATCGTGTGATAAAGTTTCAATTTAGGTCAGTCAAGACAAAAAGGCTCAAAAATCTGAATTTCTCATTAATTTGCAGCAGATTTGTTTGGTTTTGTTTGGTGGACACTGTTGAGTTGCTTGGAAATTTTCATTCTTGATTTTCAGACAACAAAGAAGTCAAATATTAAATAACCCAAAAGAAGAATCAGTGCTTCCAGAGCTCGTGTTCGCCCTCTAATCACTGTGAAGTGCAGCCAGTACATCATGTTTCGGAAAAGTTCTGCTCGGGATAGACTTTCATGTATCGCTTTGCTGTGATCATCGAAATAAAAAGACAAATTATTGGATTTGAGGCCGTAGAAATTTAGATAGATAGATAGATACACTTCATTGATCCCAAACTGGAAAATTCTCAAACTGGGAAATTCTCTACTTTTTTTCTCTTTAAAGATCAATTATCTTTAAGATATGAAGATAAACTTTAATACCACATGCTTCACAATGATACAATGTTGAGTGTTTGAAGTTTGAAAGTTTTAAAAAAGCACCAAACTTGAAAATAAACTCTAGATCTACGGTCATATTTTCAACCTGAAGCTGAATTGTAAAATGAATGGATGATTTCACCACAGTTACACTTGGATGATTTAAAGAATAAGTCCACACCTCTCCTTAAGTCTGCAGAAAGGTGTTGGGTTTGGCACGTTTGCAGCTGTAGTTGCTCTTCTTCTCTGCTGTGTGACTCTCTGCTCTGCCCTCCATCACAGCCACTAAGCTGATAACTCTCCAGACAATAACAGATGTTTGTCACATCCTCTAATAGACACACATATGTTCTGTTAATGTCTGTAGTAGACAAGCAGAGAGCAGAGACCAAATTCATCTGGTCTCTCAATATTTACAGCTGTTGACAGGGAACTTTACAGCTCTGTATAATGACTGACACCCATAAAACGAGAGGGACCTGACTGCAGACACAGACCGCTGCCTGGATTTCAACTGTCAAGAGGAAATCTAGTGATATCATAAGCGAAAGCTGTTCTTCTCTGTAGTTTTTTCACAAACTTGTAGAGTTTAGACGTCTTATAAGATCTGCAGTATTCAGTATACAAATTCAATCTTAACATTGTGAAAAGTGAGAATATTGAACTTTACCAACTCCAAAGGTTTATGAGAAACACTCAAAAACGAACTTTGGCTTGTGAAATTGTTTGATTTCTTGATAATACTTGAGAGTCAGGCGGATATCCAACTTCTAACTTTGCTTGTTTGCTGAAGGAGGCGGGACTGCTCACACACTCATGGAGCTTCTGGACTGAAAACATCTAAATTAACTCCAAACTCTGCAAGTTAGAATATCGAGTCAATTTAATCTCAAAGTTTGTCAAAAAAAAAGAAATTAAATCACCATTATCTTTCTGAACATAAAACGCATTTGACAGCTAATCAAACCTTAGATAGACTCATGTATTATATAAATATTGATGGCTATTTGATAATGTCATTTTTCTTATTTTACTTCAATTTCAGATATCTGGGCCAAAATCCAAAAGTCCATTGCAGCCGTGTTTCACTGAGTCCACTATTTTTCTTTATATATTTACCAAATAAAACATTTACCTTGTTTTGCAGTTTTGTTGTAATTTGTTATTATTATTTTGAATAAACAGCAGTGTGATATTGGCATTAAAAATCAGCCACTGGCCAACCTGCTGTCCTACTATCTGTATCGGCATCGGCCGCTAAAAAAAACTGACATCAGTCGACCACTTATTGGTGCTCTTTGGTTTATCTAGATGGATGTCTCCTTTTGAAAACAACCTCAGGCACGAGTGTGCAGCCATAGCTTTTACCTTAAGTGTTCACAGTTTTAAACACGCACTGTCATGTAAAACTAAGTCCTTCTCACTTTGCATGGAAGCTTAAGACGAATAGACTAAAAAACAGCTTCTAACCTCGGGCTGTAAGAACCCTGAACTCTTCCACATCACTCCAGTTGGACGAGCACACTCTGAACGGATTGCACACACCTATTGATTTGCACTTTACATACTTGTTTTGCGTATATGTTATTTAGATTACCTCGTCTGTTTTACTACCTCACTTGTTTTATTTGAACTATTTGTGCACTGACTGGGCAGCTCTTAATCTCGTCATGCATCTGTTTGATGACAATAAAGTGTTTCAATTCAATTCAATTCACTTATGTGCACTCTGGTCTGATTTTGCAGGACACCAGCACGTTAGTTTTTACTGGGTTTACATTTTACCCAGTCAGTGACCCCTCTCAAGATGAGATGTGTTTTCACTGCTTTTGGGTGGAGGTAGAAACCTCAGAGATGAATATCATAAAAGCTGAATATGTGAAACAGAAACCATCTGCGTTACCACATGGTGACTCAGTCAGATGAACAAACCCTGTGACTTTTATCTGTTTGGCCTGAAACGAGTCTGTTGATTTTAAAACAATCCTCATACTTTGTTTCTTAATCCAGGCGCCTTTGCCAAGGTGAAGGAGAGCCAGCGGATGAGCGACGAAGGGAAGATGGACCAGGACGAGGCGGACGGCATTAGGAAACGCTGCCGGACTGTCGGGTTTGCCCTCCAGGCAGAGATGAGCCACTTCCATCAGCGGCGAGAGGTGGACTTCAAGGACATGATGCAGGCCTACCTCAGGGAGCAGATAGCCTTTTACCAGCGGGTCGTCCAGCAACTGGAGCGCACCCTGCGCATGTACGACTGTCTGTAAGGACGCCGAACTGCTGCCCGGTTCAAGATGCCAAAAAAAAACAAAAACCAGACAAGAGAAACAACACTCTGTGATCCAGTTCTTCTGTGTTGGTCCTGTTGGGTTCACTTTGAAGAGACCGCAGTTACTGGGAAGACACTCAAAGCCAGTCAGTCTTTCACTTTGATGGATTCAAAGTTGTTTTGTTTTTTTTAAGACCTACTGTACCTTTTATTCCTTAAGTATGCTTCACATAGACTGTGTCTCCACATATTGTTTATTTCATATAATTTAAGGTGTTTGTAACATTAAAATAAGATTATAGGTTTCAAATTCATAGCAAATCTATAGTTAATTGTTTTTTTTTTTTTTAGTGTAACACAAGCCAGAAACGGGTTCTGTTTTTAAAAACTGTCCCCTTCTCTCCAACATTGTGCACTTTGGCTTTTGCTGGGACGAACACGAGTTACTCCAAAAATCCCCCGAACCAGTAACCTGTTAATTCACCGACGTGTCAGTTTCTCTGTTTGTATTTTCTGTTGAAGACTCACTGATATCACGTCGTTCAGTAAATGTCTTTGAGATGTTTTACAGCAAGTGCCTTTAAGGAAAAAGTGAGGCTCAGAGGTGGAGTCATTTCAAGAGGACCGTTTGTCTGTAGCATGGCTTGTGTTTAATAGGAATGAGCTGTATGTAGAAACAAGTTTGCACATGTTTTTGTAGTCTAGTGTGTGGAGGTGTGTGTAAATGTATGAGAGTGAGTGAAATGAGTCGGTGATCGTGCAGATTTCACACGCAAAACAAAGAAATAGATATCTAAGCAGAAGCAGCCAGTTTGTCAAGCTCCATAATAACAAAATTAGATAGTTAAAGTGGGTTTACTGGTTATATTGGGCATTTCAGTTCACAAATTCTTGATGCAAGACCAAACTGGTTGTGTAATAATGGGTCCTGTCCCTTAAATATAAAGTTACAGTCAGCAGTTGGTTAGTTTAGCTGAGGAGAGGCTGAAAACAGAGGGAAATGACCAGCCAAGCTCCGCCCACCACCTTGACTTGTCCTGATTAGTTTAGAAAGTTACTTTTACTTTACTTAATTTGAGTAAAAAGCCAAACAATAGGCTTCTAATGTGGCTTGAATGAGAATCATGTCACAGTTTAGTGCAAAAACCAGTTAAAGGTACAGTGTGTAACTTTTGTTGACATTTAATACGATGTAATATGATTTAAATTTAAGTTCGTGTTCAATCACTGGAATATTACAAATTATTTTAGTCTTTCTCAACCTTGAATCATCCTTTTTATCCACATAGAAGTGAGACCCCTCCATGGAGACAGCCATTTTGCTCGTGTTTGTATGGAAGCACGTAAAGGACAAACTAGTAACATGTTTCTGAATTCAGTGATTGGCCGTGTGACAGAAAAGAATGGTTGTTTTTGATTGTAAAAACTTAAAAATTGGAGAATCATCATGGGTGCTTTTTGTCCTTGAGGGCCACCATCCTTTCATTGACAAGAGGGTTGAGTATTTCCCTCAACTGTAGAATCTGACAGCTGGATATAGTGAAGTTGTCCCACTTCTACACACTGTACCTTTAAACCACGACCTTTCTGGTTCGATTGACTTTACAACATTTAGCTTAAAACGTACGACAGTTAAAGAGTGAGTGTTAGAGGGGCGAGCGGGTAAAGTCTCTTGCTTGGAAAGAGCCAAGCTAGCTGTTTCCCTTTGTTTCAGCATTTAATTTGTCTTGGAGACATCAAAGTGTATTTTTAGGCTAAAAAGCAAAAAGCAGTTTATCTTAAATTCATAAAAGGACTCATCTTACTGTTTGCTCTGATCACAGTAAAGTGTTATTTCTACTTTTCTACATTTTCCGCTCAAAGTGAGCGTCTGTACTTTCACTCTTTTGTCCCTCACTCCTTCTTGAGTGAGTGTTAATTACTTAATGAGAGTTGTTCCAGTAACATTACTCATTCGCTTTAACAAGACAAAACCTTCACGGCTACGTGTGGTTTCGACGAGACTATCTTTAGAGTCAAACCAAGAGAGGTTTAATTTCGCAGCCTGTGTTGCATTTATGAGCATTACCTCAAAACGTGGTTTAGTCAGCGTCACACGCGTCTCCTCCAGGGGTTCCCAGATTTCGTTGGTGTCTTGTTTTGACGGAGGGGGTTCTGACCTCCTGAGAGGGAATGAGCATTAAAATTAGGAGTCAATTTGAGTCTCAGAATTTGGAATAACAAACTTTATTTGAGTTCCTGCAAAACAGAGATGAGCTGATTCAGAGCTCGGTAACTCAGTAAACAAACAGTCGGTGCGTCTGTGTGTGTGTTTGTGTTTGTGTCTGTGCGTGACTCAGAGATATCTGTTGTTACTGGTACTGTTCACTCCACATCTGTAACTCTTTGCTGTCTGAAATGTGTTGTTTCTTTTTTTTTTATGTTGAACAAACTTTTTCATTTTCATACATCAGCATTTTTCCGATTGCACTCACTGCAGTTTTCTCCGAGACCAAAGAAGTCAGACATTTTCTACTGGGCTTCCTCTTTTATTTTTATTTTTTTACTCTGTTTGGTTGTAGTGACATTCAACGTGCTCTCTGGTTTTGTAATTGAATCTGTATTGGGGGAAAATGTGAGGAGCACATTTGGAAAAATAAAGGAAAGTAACAAAAAAAAATGGACACCAAAGGCGAAGACAGATTTTGGCAAAAGAGAAACAAGGTGCAGATAAAATAAGTCGTGCTCGCTGTCCCGGTCAGATTTCATAAAGAAACGTTGCTCTCATGTTCCAAAGCTGCACGATTACTTAAAACACCAGGCATTTCACACGAGTGACTGTTTCTTTACATGGATGTGTGACCTGGTGCGCTGCGGGAGCTCGGTGCTTGAGTTTCAGGCTTGAAAATAACAGATGTGATTTGCAGCGAGTTATTTGTCATGGTTTACGGGAAGGGGACCTAAAAAAAAGTCTTAATAAAAGGATTGGTGGAGATCAGTTACTGTCTTTCGTTTCTTTGTGGGTTTCTCTGTAATAGGTGTATTAATCATTTGTGGCATTTGAACCTCCATATAACCTCATTTTTGAGATTATAAAAGGATCACAATTTATCGGAGAAACGGAGATGGAATATGTGCAGCGTTTCCTTATTTTTGTGTTTTGACTGTCCTTACTTATCCCATCAGGATATTAGCGGACAGGATGACACATAGAAACAGTTTGTCCTGAATATAATCAAAACAAGAGCAGCCAGAAGCTGTTATCCAAATTTATGTGTACATGTAAACATACTGACACAGTGATGTTAGAGCAGGATAAATGAGACACAAAGAAATGAGTTCACATGCAGCCAGATGTGTTAGATTTAAGGTTTGGGCTCCTGTTAGAACTATTATCTCAGTGTTTTGACCCGAAAAGACGTTCGACTGTGTTTTTAAACCATGGTTACTCTGCAGCAGACGTTATTAGTCTGTCGGTCCAGACTGAAATATGTGAAGACTCATTGGATGGACTGCTGTGAAATTTTATACAGATATTCAGTCGTTTCTGCAGCTCTGCTCCCGACATTAGAGGTTAAGTTTGGTTATGACTGAGTGACCTTCAAATTTGTTCCAAACACTCCAAAAACAAACAAGTACAGATAATACTCGATGTTTTAAGTGGTTTAAACTCCCACTCCGGTCGGTTTTTTACTACTTAAAGTGTTCTCAGTGGTCTTTAAATTTTGATTTGAAGTTTTTAGCCAAAATCAAGTTACTTTTGTCATTTTCAGGGGCTTTTCTTCTGCAGAGCTCCAGTAGCTCATTAGCAATTCGCCTCTGAGTCGTGGGCGAAGACAGCGCTGCTCTGAACACTTCTCTTCATGCTAGCTTGTAGTAGAAGGAGCAGGTAACATCGTTAACAGAGTTATTCAACTCTCAAATACTAATATCTTTAGGGTCATGATCAAAGTTAATATTATAATTAGCTTTCTTATGAACATTGCAATCTTCTCCTCTCTACTTTTCCAAGTCTGGGATGCACAGCAAGGCTCCGGGGGCGGAGCTTGGATTTGTGATGTAAGAAATCTCACTGTGTCTGAACCTTCTCATGATATGTCCTGTAGCATCAGAAAAATGCTGTATGAACATGAAGACAACAAGAAAAACATGATTTTCATCGGAGTGGGTCTTTAAGACATGGCACAGCACTGATATAGGTGACAGTAATGTACCAACATTATGGTAAAGGGGACAAGAGGAGGACTTGTGACTGCCTAGCACCCAAGGGGGAATGCCTTGTGAGCCAGAAATATACATATTAAAACTCAATCTGACTCATCAAATAAACAGATACTCAGAATTTACTTCTAGAAATAATATGTAGTTTTTGTCAGAGGTTCCTGTTAACCTAAACAAGTGCAAACTGTTTCTCCAGACCTGCAAACGAAGAGGATCATCATGATCACAGGCCGTAAAGTCAAGGTGAGTGATGCTGCAGGTGGCTCCGGGTCTCCCCCATGTATTGAATCCCTGTTGGAGGTTCACACGGACAGAATTCAAGAAGTTCAAATGAGAAAGTGAGTTCTGGTGTCTCAGCATCAATATTCCTGATCAGGACATACACAGAAATCCACATTAACTCCATGAACAGAGGCACTTTGCCCGTGTGACTGTTTCTTAGTCTGATCTCCTGTTCAAACAACATCACAGACTTTTAGCTCTAATTAGCAACAGTAAACTCGCCAGAAGGCAAAACAGTAGAATTAACAACACGCTGACACCAGGGTTAGCTTTAAAAATAGAGCCGTCTCCTCTCAGGTTTGTCTATTTGTGTAAGAGCAGAGTCATCTGAACTTATGACACAGCAAATCACAATGTCTAGAAGTCCAAAGACCTCGTCTATGTCTTTATTTAGCCTATGTGATGGGAAACCTTCTGCAGTTTCTCATGAGACTTTCTTTAAAGCTTGTCCTACTTCTGGTTTAACAATTTGGGTCTGAGAAGATCCTGTTAAAGTTCCCCCTGATATGAGCTTGGCTCGATAAATTTGTGGAGACAGCTTATGAATGCTAAACATGAGCTTAATACAAAGTCTTTCTCTTTAAAGGGATCCAGATGTTTCAGGAGCAAACACTTCATTTGTGAGGTTCAGATCGACGGTTTTGTTGTTCGAAGTGAATGAGGTGTTGGCAAAGAGCTCACGAACGCTCCCTCTTCTGCTTCCCTTCAGACAACAGGTGTTTAAATCGTCAACTCCTGCTCCTTTTAAAGCGAAAGTTTCCTTTGTGTCGACTTATCAGGATGCTAAGGGATCACAGCTGCTGCACTGTCTGTCAGGATCCCAGTATCAGTGTACGTTACAAATGGACTTGATGACTTGCAATCTCTGCAGCTCGGAGAGAGAAAAGAATCCAGATGTTTCCATTTGAACCCGGTGCCTGGGTCTGATGCTAATACTTGAGGCTCTCTCAGGTTTTGGTATGCAACTGGAGCGTTGAGGTGATGTCACCTTCGTGAAATGTGCCGGGAGAAGACATCATCCAATCCACCGAGGGATCGAAGACTGACAGGGGAATGAAGATCTTTAGCTCTCTTTAGCGTAAATCACAGCGCTCATTTGAGTGTTGAAAGCAAGTTTAAGAGTTATTTTGGGCAATTAAAGCTTTTCTGCAGCACACTTCTTCGAAGTACACCGCAGAGTATTAGGAGAGCTAAAAAAAGGCCTCAATGGCGGTAAAAGGACACCTCGGAAAAAGTCCCAAATCCTCAGAGCAATGCAAAAGTAATGCTAACAGTGCACTTCTTCTGTGCAGTGAGTTAATTTGTGTAAGTGAGGAAGTTGGGAAATGAAACCTGCCTCCTTTTAGACGTTTTTTTTACTTTCCACCAGACACAGCTGAAGCCTGCTGAAGCCAACTACCTCTTTTGCAGAAATGGAGCAGCAAAAATGTGAGCTGTACCGTATAAAACCTCCAAATGTCTGCAGGCAGAGCTGTGTTTCAATTACCACGGGTTATGTACCTGTTGCTGCTAGCCTGGTCATGCTTTGAGAGTCTCATTTACATTACTATGCACATTCTTAACTCCTGTTCATGCTTTCCAAATCAACTCAGCTTGGCTGGTTTAAGGGGCAAAGCGTGGATTTCTTTCAGGTCTGCAGTGCTGCTGCAGGGGCACATGGTAAAAGCGTTATGGCCCAAAGTGCCAGCAGATGTCTATAAAAGACGAGAGAGAGAGAGAGAGAAAAAAAACAAGATGCTGAGGGAAGGAAAGGAGGGGTTTCCATGGTAGAAAACAGCACCTCCAGCCTTTTGACAGGATATCTCAGAGGACACCGCGTACCCAGAGTCCTCATTTGTTTCCCTTAATGAAAAATCAGTCTGAGCCCCAGAGCACGGCAGCTGATGGAGTCAGGTCTCTGCAGCGGCGGCGGCGTGAGCAGCAGTAACAGTTTTTGATCTCAAGTTTCCGAGTCATTGGTAAAAAACCCCACTGCTGCGAGATGCATTCATGACCAGACGGTTTTGCTGACTGGCTCTGGTTGCATGGACTTGACCTCCACAGAGCAGAGGATTGCAGCGTCCTCCACCCAATGCATTTGAGGGAAACAAAGGCAACAGATGGTTGAATCAACACTCATGGAGGGTTTGGTATTCCCTCCTCCTCCTCCTCCTCCTGCTGTTTGCTGCTGAGGAAAACGCCACAGCGGGGCCAAAAGCCAACATTCAAACCAGATTTGTGGCTCCAGTGAGTTAATTTGGGGGAAGAGATCTGGCACTGCACATCTTCGGGGGGTGATAATCGTCCTTTCAGTGAAAAATTAGCTATAATTATGCAAACATCGGATCATCTCCTTCTATTAGAATATCAAGATCATTTCTCTCTGCAGTCGTATTTGCTTCTGACGCCATGAGGTAAATCTGTCTCTTATCGCGACTGTTAAACACAGATCTTTTGCTTCTTTGGAACCGTTTAAAAGTACTTTTCCTGCTCAGGGTGATTTGTTCGAGGAATTTTGATGACTCGCAGAGATACAGACGTTCCACCGGGACACAAAAACACAGAAGAGGTTTTTAAAGAGGAAAAACACACTCGTCTGCACTTCATAAACTGTACTCCATCGACGTGTGAAAGGAGTCAAATATGATTAGTCATGTTTCTCTGTAACTCGAACAATCATCCTTTCGCTGGATCAAAACCATCAAAGGATAAACAGTAGGCGGGAAACAGATGTACTTAGTCAAACTCTTGTTCCCGAAAATTTAGCCGGCGTTCAGCATGTCAGCTAATAGTTTAATTTACAGATGCCAACAACGACAATACACAGACTAAATGGATGTGAAGCTGATGAAAACATGGCCGCACTAGTGCTGACATGTGTCTTTACAACATATGGATATCATTTATGAAGACTTTGATTTTCTCATTGGCTAACTAACCCAGTTTCTTTTAAATAGCTGAATAAAAACACTGAGACCACAGCAAAGGACCTGTGCTTTGAATTTAATGCTAACATACGCATGGTAATACAGTCACAGTGACAATGCAATGAGGGTTTTTGCTGGTTTAACGTGTTGCCATTGTCATGTCTGCTAAGTTCCCTTTTACTTCTGTTGATTTATTGGTTGAGTTTCCTTTATTTTTGCACATTTATGTTTTGTTCATATCATGTATTTCCTGTTTTATTTTGTAGATAACTAACTCTTGTTTCTGTCTTCTAGATTTGTTCCTGTCTGGTCTGCGCCGCCCCCGTCGTCTCGTCATACCTGTTACCTGATTGTGTCCCCCCACCTGTTTACCATCACCTTCATTACTGCTTGTATTTAACCTCATGTGTCTCACCGTCTTGTCGCCAGTTCCTTGTACCTTGTTCATAGTTCTAGTCAAGCCGTTGTTGTTTACCTTTGCCTATCTTTTTGGACCTTCCCTTTTTGCCTCACGTTTTGCATACTTCTGCCTGATCTGACTGCCTTCTTGTGTACCGACCTCTGCTTGTGCTTCATTAAACCCCGTCTCTTGAACATACTGATTCGTTGTCTTGCCATTGTATCTTCCTTTCTGTGCTTCGTTTCATGACATGAATAATGAGACTTCTTGTGCCAAACGTCACAAATGATTCAAAACATAAATGTATGAGTTTACATGGACTTTCGCCAGTTTGATCAGGTTTACAAGAATCTTGATTTTGCGTTTGAGCATGTTGAGGGTGACCATATATATTTGTCCTGCGCATAATCGGCCGTCGGCTACCCAAATATTTGTTTTTCTCTGTTTGCATCCAAATGAAGGGTTCAAATAATGGTTAATGTCTCCTTTTTAAAAAATAATCAGGTACGTATAAACGGGGCCTTAGTCCGACCTCTCTCACCCCTCTGTCTTGTTGCCCTCGGCTCGCACACTGATAAGGGGGAAGGGTTCGCCAAGACTTCAGACTGACTGGTTCCAGATGCATCTTGTTGCCCGGGCTCGCCGGACAAATGCATCTCAGGTGGCTGAAGGCTTTCTTCTACACAGTAGGAATTGCATACTGGAGCAGTATCATGCCACCTTTACCTAAAAGCATATGCTGTCTGCAGGAAAGTTATAAATAAACATTTCTTTACTGCTGTTTAATGAAAAGATCTGCTCCTGTTAGTCACATTCAGCTGCACAAACCCCTTAAAATCCTCTCTTTCAGTCATAAAACTCAAGTTCAGCGACATTACCACCAGGATCCGTCTGTTGAGAGCAGATCAAAGGTGCTAACACTCTGAGTTTAAAGGTCATGACTCCAATGGCTCGACTTCAAATAATGTTTCATCTACTGATTAACCTGTATTCAGCTCTATGTTAACGCCTCATTTCTTAAAGAGCCAAGTACACGTGCAAAAACCAGAACCACACCATATGGCCACCAATCCAGATCCCAAGACTTTGGTCTTTTATGAAAGAGGACATTCCAGTGGGCTGGACTCAAATACCTCCACATTCTTCTGGAAAGTCCCAGCTGAATGTTTTGCTGTCTTGTCTTTCGTTTCAGATGTCCTGCTGAAGAATAAATCAAACCACAACCAACACACTCTCACTTTTAACTCGTCAAATACATTAGTCTGGTCTGCGGCCCGAAGTTTCACAATATGATGAATTATGTTCCATTTTAGCATCAGTTCAGGACCTGCAGGGCTCTGTGGTCGGGTTAGTAATAATAAACATGGAACTTCCAGTTCGATTTATAACAAACAAAAAAGTTAGTGGTCATAGATAGACTTTCAAAACAAAGCTTACTCAGAAACATTTAATATTATTTGACTATCCTTGGCTCAACAGTTAACATGTGATTAAAGTTTACTTGTGTTAAAGCATCAAAACTTTTTCAGCAGGTTCTTCAGGTTCACTTCTTGATGGGTAACCAACATTAGTTTGAAACTTTCTGTTTTCTCCCTTTTCCCTCCTTGTTCCTGATGAAAAAGGATAATAGGGGGAGGCAGAGCGTACAGCCTTAACCACCAGGAATGAGCTCCAACCCAGCAGGTTTCTTACCCTGGTTCTGCCCTCTATTTAATACTTCTCTATGGACGTTTTAATGTTTTCTCTGTTTTCTCTGTCTTCTCTTCCTTCATAGGAATATTAGACAAGGGGGGAGGTAAAGCATCCAGCCTGATCTAGCAGGGGTTAGCTTCAGTTTAAACACGCTCATCATCCTGGCTCAGTTTTCTTCTGGCACCTGTCAACATGTATTTTCTCTGTTTCCTTTCTCTTTTAATCCTCCTCTGACCTCTTGTAGGAATCAAAGAAAGGGGGGAGGCAGAGCGTACAGCCTAACCCACCAGGGGTGAGCTCCAACCCAACAGGTTTCTTACCCTGGTTCTGCCCTCTTTTCAATTCTTCTCTGTGGACATTTTAATGTTTTCTCTTTTTGTCTTCTCCTCCTTCATAGGAGTATGAGATGACGGGGGAGGTAAAGCGTACAGGCTAACCTAGCAGGGGTGAGCTTCAGTTCAAATATCACCATGTTTGACAGTAGGGCACATAAGGAGCCATGTGGAAGGTAATGAAGCTCATTGGACAAGCATAATTATTGTGATGGAGGTGTTTTAATAATTAATGCTATTTAGTTCAATCAAGGCAAGCAAATTTGATTACAAATATATGTCACTGAACTACACAGAATATACCAAAACCAGTCTATTTTATGTTACTGAAAACTTAACCAAGTTCAGATGTTCTGTGTTTCATTCCTCCAACAATCACTCCATTAACTTTGGATTCCTGGGCCACTGGTGAAAAACTTTTTGGTTGGCTGGGCTGCAACAAAAATCTCAAACTGCCTCAGTTTGGCTGCCATATGCTGCTTGATTGCAACAGCGTCCACATGAGGCTGGATTTATCACCGAAGTTTGTTTTTCTCTCTGTTGCATGATAAAACAGATATTTGCTCTTAAAATAGACTCAGTGTTAATTCTTCTGATTCTTTGAAAGACAGGAAAATCAGAGCGCCAAGACGTCAAAGTGATGCACAGCCTGGAGCGGCTCTACAGACAATGGGTCGGAAACTGATTTTATAGAGTTATCTGCAAACTGCTTGAGCCAGGATCACTGTTCGTTTGTGCCAAAGCTCCTGAACCACAGATCTTTTCCCATGCTCACGGGAGTGATGGGAATGGTAATGTGACATCAGAATTCAGGGTGTGACAAAAACTACCCTGACTGGTTTTTGGCCTGAAAAGACATTTGGAAATGGATTACCTATCAGATCTTGTTTCACATAGCTGTCATGTTTGGGTGGATTTCAAGTGCTGAGAACATACTTTAAACACACTTTAATCCCTGTACTTTATTTTGAACATATACAGTTCGTAGCTGGGAGGAAAACATGTAATGCTAAATCCTGGTATTATAAACAGGTCTAATTATGCTTCAAATGTATGTGTGTGCTCTGTTAGGACAAAATGATTCATTCCTTGCCACAGGCCTGGGCAGGTAAGCATGTGTTTTGGTGTAAGTCGTGTCTCTTTAAATGTTTACTGGTCGTCACATGGCAAAAGACTTGTTCTTCCAGTGGTAGGAGATTGTGAAATCCCAAGATCTTTAGATAGGATGAGTCAAACACTGAGGTAGCTGTGGAAATTGTAGGGCTGCTGGAAAACTAAACAGAGACCCTTTAGGCTTAGATCAGACAAATACGAAGCCTGTAAACTATTAAAACAGGACACAAAATGCTGTTGTTACAGCGGGGCTGCACTCTGTAATTGAGTAAGACAAAAGTATAGTCTCAGCACTGCTGTGTCATCACACGAAACTGCAATGGCAGTAAATCTAATCTGAGCACTTCCTTGTCTTTTATGAGATTACATCAGCCTTCAACTGCACGACACATTCCAATTAGAAAAACCCTTTTTGTTGTTGTCAGTATGTTACCTTCACCACACGATCTCTCAACTAGTTTAGGGCCTGTGTCCAATGAATGCACTTTGAATGGTCCTGTATAACTGCTGCTTCCTTCAATGACAATGAGGGTGTCTTAAAATGTTCAGTATAGTTCATATTTGCTGCATACAAGAGCATTAAGCTGACAACATGCAAAACCAGTTGATAGAAAACATGTAGTTTTAGCAGCAGCTCCATACTTGGAAATTGTGGCCTTAAAACATGAAAGTGGTCTCCTTTTCAGTTGTACAGACCCTCTACCTTTGTTGTCGATGGAACTGATACCAGAGGTCCCACCCCTTATTGATTTAGTTGGCCAGCAAGGGAGAAATGACCCTGACTGGTTCACATTTTGAACCATTTCAACGAAGAGTGCTTTGACTACAGCAACAAAAAAGGGCCTTTTTACACTTGAAACATCGGATGCTGTCAAAGCTGTCAGAAACAATGACTAAAAATACTGTTTTTGTAAACAGGCCCTTAAACACTTTAGTGACACTATTGAAAAACAGTTGCCAAGGGCCTTTTTACATTTACACCGCCAGAAACAAAAAAATGCTGTAAGTGGAAACAGGCCCTTAGTATGGAGTATATCTTAAGAATATTTAGTGCTTTTTAAAGCAAAGCAAGTAACGGCTGTTTTTGTGGTCAGTAGCAAAGGTAAAGTAAGGACAAAAATTATGTACAAAAAGACAAAAGAGATGTGGTCATAATATTTTGACTGCTGGCAACAGAAAGACTTATGAACCTGTGGAAAACTTGAGTCACATCCTCCAATCTAAAGACTTCTCAGAAGCTTCCAGAGATACTGTTTAAGTGATGATGTGCTGCAAGATCCAATACATCTGGTAATTTGAGTTTACAGTCATGTCAAATCCAAAAATTTATGCTTTGTTGTGGATTAATGATACTCCTGTGAACCTGGCTGATCATGCATGAAAGAAATGATTAGAAAAAAACACATGAAAAGAGAAAGAAGATACTGAGATGGTGTTTTTTAAAGACTCCAGAGGGCACAGGAAGGAGTCCATGAGTCAGCAGAAGATGAGGATGATGAGAGTTGGACCAACAGAGAAGACAAGAAAAGGCGATGTGGGGTGTCGTTTACCAAACAAAGCCAAAATTGGAAAGTCCCAAGAAAAGATTGCTTCAGGATTGGTACAAGACTATTTCAGTTGCAACTAAGGCAAACAAAACATGATAACCAGCCAAACACTAAATCTGGTTGTATTTTAGGCATCTGGTTTAGATAAAGCTCTCTAACATGCACCAAAGAATTAAGGACTCAGAGTTCAGGGTTCAGTAATTTTCTTTGCTGGTTGAGTCAAAGATGGTCCAAGCTCCCCAAAGCGCTCGTTAACCACTAATTAAGAGAGTTTTAAAACCATTTATTTTCCTCTTCAACCCACAAGATAGACAAGAAGGAGCAAACTGGTTAACCAGCACTGCTCTTATCCACCAAACAATAACTCCTAATGGATCACCAACAAGAGGTTAAAGAAACCCCGCTGACCTAAAACAGTTTCTCAGTAATTCTGGTGAAGAGCTCGGCAGTAAAGTTGCAGAGTCACAGTCCAACTTTGTGAATGGAGTTTGTATTGTAAGCTGATATAATAAAGAAAACTGTGCTTTTATTGTTTCTATGTGAGACCACAGGCATGTGTATGTTATATCATCTCATTGTCTGTTGAAACTGAGAGGAGAATAGTTCAGTTCAGCGTGCTCCAAGTCCGTCCCCGTCACCGTCTCCCCCCTGAGTCCGCAGCCAAGTTCCCTCTGGAGACAACAACCATTTCCTCAGAAAAACGTCTGCATTCCTGAGCTGCTGTCCCATCCCTGTAAACAACATTCCTGCTTTGGGAAACAAAAACCAAAAAAGAAAAAAAGAAATCCTCATATCAGTTTCTCATCCAGAAAACCTCACTTCATCTCTATTTTTCCTTCATGCTAATAAGTGACGCTCTTTTTCCCGGCCCTGGTGGTTTCCAGTGTTTCATCTCAAACTGTTAGACCGGTTCCTTCTTTTAAAAACAATAACAAATTCACATTATCATGACAGAGACAAACACAGCTTGAAGGGTAATTCCAGTATTTGTCAAACTGTTTTAGTAGACTCTGAGGAAGTGGTTCCCTGAAGCTGTTGACTAGTCGTTGGCCAAAACCGGAGTTTCTGTTTCGTGACACGACACTTGATGTAACCGGCAAATTTATTTCCCCAACTTATTTTTGTTGTTCTGAAACTTGCAGAGACTTGTTTGGTACTAGTTGGCAAGATTTCATTTGGGCTAAATAGGAAGTGATGGGTAATGCATCAAAGCTGTGTTTACGCTGACGGCAGTGCTTTTTATATGCTAGACGTGAGTTAATAAAAGATGAAGGTGGAGATTAAGAGATACAAAGCTTACCAGTGTAGTCCAAATTTAAGGATTTGTAGCTGGTTAAGAATGACTGAAACTAATATTGATGCATTTTTATGACCCAATAAAGAAAACTAAATCATCTGCATAACGATTGAACATTTCTACAAAGTTATTTTAAAGCCTGGGACCACTGCTTTTGAGTGGGTTTGGATGGAGCAAGTTACAGCGTACCAGACAGACTATTTTATTAAACCAAAATGATTTTAAAAGGAAGCATTGGGCTTTAAAAAGAAGGCAGATTACTTTTTTGGTACTTAAAGCTACAGCAGGAAACTTTCTGTTTGTGTGGACTTTGGCGCCCTCTGTGGACAAAGTTAAAACCCTTAAATCACTGCGAGTTTTGGCTAGTCCCCGTGAACTGATGTTAAATGACAGAAAAATCTCCTACTGCTTTTCTTTGCACGGTGATTGATCGACTTTATTCTTTTTAGATTGTGACTTTCTTTCCGTAACATTACAACTTTATTTTCTGTTGAATTTAACCCTTATAACATGATGACTTTGTTGTTAAAACTAAAGCTTTTTGGTTCTGTAATGTTGCCCTGATACTTGTCATATGGCAATTCTAACAAAATGATAAAGAGGCGTATGCATCTTTGAAACTTCGAAATAATTTACTATCGTTTGTAAAAGACAAAATTTGGAAGAAATGCATTAATTGATTCTTAACTTTGCTCATTAATTTGTCAGGAAACATTACTGCACAGTTCCTCTGACTGTCTTTGTGATGCTTCAGGTGATGTTGTCGAGTTTTTAAGGGTTAAGTGCCTGCAGCTTTGGATGTTTTGGAACAGAGCCACAAGTGCTGCTGGATGTGTAGGAAGTGACAGGATCAGGAATAACAGGAACCGCTTTTTAGATGTGCTTGTCACATTTGGTTCTGCTTTACAATGTTTCAAGGGAGACAGATCTTGTTTTAAACAAAGCACAGGCCAAGAAGTGAGTTACGAAATACAAAAATAAGAGCGAGTGACCAAAAATAACTATACAAATCGAGACATCCCTGCTGATTTGTGGTTGCAAAGGCCAATTGAAGCTCTTACAAACGCCTTTAGATGAAAAAGAGAGGGAGCATGCATACATTACAGGCATGTATTAACCTTACAACAGAGTACTGGTGTTAAATATGACCATCTCAGCCATCTATGCATGCACTCTAGTCAAACTGTCCCCACCCCACCTCCCCTGAGACGCTTTAATCTGAACAGAGCGAACGTCAACACTGGAAAACTAACATCAGACTGTAGAAAGTATACAGCCAAGCGTGATTAAAAGGCTTTTATTGCAGCGACACAAACGTCCATGCATGGTGACTCACTGCTCCCTCATGTACAGTATGTGGTACTCCATATGTTCATAGATTTCATGCTGTAAAATATCACTCATGTTTCATTGCGTTGGTAACAGAGTAACTCAGATATGGAATACTAAGCATAATTTGTTTGAGTAAAGTCAGAGAGTGGGCGTGTCAGACAGCTTCTTTCAAAAGTCCACTTTCCCTTCCTCCAGTTCACATTTTGGACGGTGCAAAAGAAAGATGCATGCAACATCCTCAGTGCAGTATCTGACCGTTTCAGACTTTGCCAGGAAAAGTGGTCGTGCAGCCTGGCCCATTAACCACAATTCCTCATTTAGATTTCACCAAAGCAAGAAAAATATTTCTCATGATGGTCAAACACTCTTTGGGAATCAAAAGTTCAGAGAAAAAGTGGTTAATCTGCTTTTACTTCAGCCTCTGTGAGTGTCAGAGCGAGAGAGAACTAGATAAGAGGACCAAAAAAAAGTTATTCCCCGGTTGCTTCAGCTGTGGAAGCATGCCAACATTTTTCCCTCTCTGTGATTCTTTCTTCCCCGCACTCCCTCTGACTGTGGTTTCGAGCATTCTTGGTTGGTTGGAGACTAAGCTGTGAACAGATTGTTCCAGCAATTAGACAGAGCCCAGTGGGTCTTTCACACCAGGAGAATAAAAATCCACTTTCTCTCTCTCTGTCGGTGGGTCACATTTACAGTGGTTGTCATTTCCAGAGAATGCTTTAAAAAAAAAAAAAAAAAAGGTATTCATGTGTTTCTCACGGTTGTTAAAAGACCTGCAGTTTCCACAGAAGATTCGTAACAAAGCAGATGCTTCGATTACATTGTCTTAATAATGAATGTGGCTTTATTTTGAGGGTTTTGTCACTGATACCTGCTCTGTTCTGTAGCCTGGGGGGTCTTTGCTGCTGCTCTACCAGCCTCAAGCCTTTGCACGTTGAAAGTCAGGAAACTTTTCGTTGTTTTCAGTGTCTTTACCCTGATCATTTCAGTTTTATTGCCTGCAGCTTACCCGTCTAACCATGCTAAGAACATATCACATCCCATTTCTGTCTGATCCCTGTACCCAGCCGAGTTAACGTCATATTTCATACTTAAAAGTTTCTAACCAATCCACCATTTTTCAAAAAAGAAGATTTTTCTTCTGTGTTTGGCTGGTTTGGCTTCAGCTGTTGACTAGGCTGCTCAACACTGCCCCCAGGCGGTACTGCAACATTCGGTCATTATCTGTAAACTTCCACAAAATGAGCAGAAATACAGACAAAATGAAGGCAGAGTACCAGCAGAAGGCTTCAACTGTATCTGTATGAGGAGTCGACGTACACCATAAATGAGCTTTACGTCTCATTTCCATATGCTTTAGTTTACTTACTTCATATATATCATGTGTGCCGAGGCAAATCAACTGTAAGTCCATTATGGGATTATGGGTCCTACGGGAATCTCCATGATATCTGATATGCCTTTAAAACTCCTCCACTTTGGGGCATTTCAGTCTTGAATCTACTTCTAGTATGTTTGAACTTTATCGCTGCTAAAAGGTTAAAATACGAAAGCGCAGAAGCAAATTGGATGATAGTCATCAGACTGTTTGGCTTGTGCCTTTTTGCTTTGGACAGAGATGACCTCCTTTAAATTGGGACGACTTTGATCTGGTCATTATGGGCCTGGTTCACATACGGGAGGCATTTTTGAAAATATAACTTTTATATAGCATTTTGGCTTTTGTACACATGCAAACAGAGTTTTAGGAAGTTTTCGGAAATGTCTCTAAAGGTGGAGATTTTGTGCATAAGTTTTAGAGGACGCTGACTTCATAACCTTACATGGCAGTTGTTGTTAACATGTTCTGCACATTCGTTGATTTGGATTCAGTTGCATACTTACAGGTAGGTTTAGCTTGTCTTTCATCACTGTAACATGATGCCAAAGCAAATAAACGTATCATTTTGATTGTTTTTGATTCAATAGATAGATATTAGAAGTAGGGTGACCATATGTCCTCTTTTAACCGGACATGTCCTCTTTTTTGGGGCTGTCCGGCCTTGTCTGGGGAAGTTTAAAAAATCCTTCAAACGTCCGGGGTTTTGTTTGGAAGTTTTGAGTTTGTGTCGCGTGGCCTTCTGAGTTAGAAGCGTGTAAAAAAACACTCGACCCGACCCGAAAGACTCTCAAAAATATGTGCGACTCCGTGACTTCGCCCCCGTGTAGTTGTTTCCTCTATTTAGGAATTCAGAATATGGTCAACCTAGTTTAAGATCTCAGTTTGAAATATTAAAGATGCTCATTTTTCACACGCACAACCTTCATTTATAGTGTTTTATATGACGTGATTGCACATTACTGACACCTACTGGCCTGGCATGCTTATGCAAGCTTTAAACTGTTGATGTGGACAGAATCTGTCAGAGATCCCCGCCTATATTTGGACTTGGCCATAGTTAATATATGAATTATTCAGCCACATGATATTAGTATTCACCCAAACAAACACAAGCTTCTCTGTTCTAGCAGCGCAAGATATCTGTTTGAGTGTCAATCATTTGATTGACCTCGATGTTACATATGAAGACGATAAAGAACATCATGTACAGTCAGTCACTGAAGAGGATTTCACAGATCATACCAGTTGTGTAATGTTAATCAAGATTGTTTCCGAGCTCTTGCCAAGATTCCTTGAGTTGAACTGTCTGACCACAAATACACCACTTATAGCAATTTCAAGAGCATTCTTGTACATTGACATGCTGCACTTATTGTCGAGCTCTATTTAGAGCACATTTTCCTCCATCCTCGGACTGCAGATTGTTATGTAGCCGCCAAAAGCACTGAAGGCAGACAGCTCTGAGTGAATTTCCAGAAGGGCTCTTCCTTAAAATAACTTCCCCATCAAGTCCTGCATACCGCAGACCCCCGCCCTGATGTGACCACCACCTCACTGTGCTCATACACCATCAGGACCACCTCAGGCACACACTTCCTCTACTCGTGTTTCAGTTTGGTGCCTTCATTCTCCGACAGCAACAGGGAGGACTCGCACAAGTTTTTGCCTCCCAAACCTTTTAAAAAATGAGGACTGAAAGTTTGGCGGAGTCGTCAAAACAACAGCCTCTGTGAAGTACTTGTCATATTCTCCAATGAGAGCAAGAATCCAAAGCCTTTAATTTGTTTCCCAGCTTAATTTAGTGACACATAAAGAGCCCCACCCGATCAGCTGGACAGATCTTAAGGACTGACCCCCCTTCTAGCTGTCAGGGAGGGGTGAATCAAGGGGTCCACCCATGTGATTTCCTGCCCGGTCGAGACTCTTGGCCTTTCTTCATGGTTCTGGGGGCATTAGGTCGGATGAGGGGATGGAGACGATGGAGGTTGGGTGGTGAAGGAGGGGAGAAAGATGAGGTGCAATGGAGGGAGGCATGAAAGGAGGGCGGGCAGCGGCATTAAACCAGCGCCATGTTGTTCTTGGCTCAATCTGTAGTCTGTCCCACCCCACCGTAGGGTATTACACACATGCACACACACACACAAGGGAAACACAACAGAGATTTCCATGACAATAGTGTTCCAGCCTACGGGAGTAACAAAGCAGGGTGACCGCAGAGGGTTTCTCACAGGGGAGGAGAGGGGTGAGAGTGGACCCGAGGAATCATCTGCTCCGCTGGGCAGGCCACAAAACCAAGTCAGCCATGTGTAGACTTCAGGATCATGCTGGTGTTTGTGCAGAATCCAGGCAGGGTCTATGCTGAGCTGAAGGATTAGCTGTGTTCGCTTAATCAACATCTAATCAGCAGGAACCTTGAGAAACAAGCAGCTGTGAGGTTCTTTCTTGATTTCTTGATGTTTCGATGATATTCTTCCAAACTTCCAAAATATCAGAGAAAATTCAAGTTCCCTTAAAATTTTTAGTCTGGCTATCATTCTGTAGAATATTTTAACCATTGTGTAAGTTCAACTCGTTAGTGTGAAATCTGTGTTGTTGCAACTCTTTCATGGTACGATAATATGATACAATACTACGATACGATAAGATACGATATGATACGATAAGATATGATAAGATAAGATACAATACCTTACAATACCATACAATACTACGATACGATACAATACTACAAAACAATACTACAATACGATAAGATACGATACAATACTACAAAACATAAAATACGATACAATAAGATACAATACTATGATACAATACTACGCTAGATACAATACTACGATATGATAGGATATGATACCATTCTACGTTACAATACGATACAACACTACGATAGGATAAAATAGAATACTATGATACGATACAATACGATACAATTCGACGATATAATACTACGATACAATACGATAAAGTACTACGATAGGATAAATTAGAATACTATGATACGATATAATACGACTATATAATACTACGGTACAATACGATACAGTACTACGATATGATAAGATTCTACACCATTCTAGCATATAATACAATGCTACAGACCAAAAGATGCGATACAATACTCGATACGATACAATACTACAATACTACAATACGATAAGATACGATACATTACAATACAATACTATGATACAATACAATACTACGATACGATAAGATATGATACCATTCTACAATACGATACGATACGATATGATACAGTACTACGATAAGATACGATACGATACAATACAATACAATACGATATGGTACAATACGATGCAACATGACTTATTTTCCCTGTAGGGTAGGTTGTCTTGGATTTATGTGCTGCCCAATTTTGCTGCCACATTATTATAAATAAATACTTAAAAATGAAGTGTGAAAAACAAAATTGAGTGACTCACTTGTACGCAGAGAATCAGGGACCAATAACAACCACAAACAACCTGATTTACGTTTTCCTTATTGCACATAAAAGTGGTACCACACAGTATAAGCATGTGGAGTTAAAACACATGAAGGTAGTGTTTTGCAGCTTACAATTTTATGAATAAAAGATTTTAAGAAAAACTGAGATGGAGTTGAAAAACAGCATCTTCATGGATGTTTGGCTGCAGCTACACAGAAACATCTATTCATAGACATTAATAAACTAGCTCAACTGCAAGTGAATCACCTGTAAACAATTACTCGAACTACATACAGAAAACCAGGACACTCAAGATAAAAGAGTACTGTCTTTCTCTTGCAAATTGATCGAATATGAATTGATTTTTTTAATAATGTGCAAAAGGAGATTATCCTGTATGCACATATTTTTGGAGGCACAGGCAATGCCTGCGGAAAGAACAATAGACCATACCACCGGGACTACAAATGTAAGCCAGAGCGCCTCAAAGCTAAAACTTATACTCCTTGCCTCCACATGTGTCCCCCAAAAAAGTTTTTTAGGGGAGGTACATTTTTTATGTTGAGGAATTAAAAACAAGAGGTAAAGTCATTACTTAAATTATTCGTTGAAAGCATCAATAATAGTGAACAGATGACCCCTCTGGGTACGTAGACAGCATGTTGGCAACATACTTCTTTGGAATAATGTCGTCAAACTCCAGGAATTCACTCCTAAATGCCGAGAAATAGCTCCTACACTCTGGAAAAACCACAACCTGTCATTTTCTTATTTCCATCTTCTCACCTGGGGCAGTGGGAACAAGCTGTAAACACAAAATGGATATATTATCACCTGTTAAATCGATTTAGAATGAGCAGAAACAGTTCGACACTTCATCTGTTTGGTGTTGTGCTTGAGACCACCTCGAAGTTGGTTCAAATATGATCTTCTCGTATGTTTGTCGTTTGTCCTCAAACTTCTGAAAGAGTTAAAAGATTCTGGAAGTTGACTGGTAAATTCCACATACCACTCCATGTACGGTCTGTATGGTGCAACTCCTACAAAGAGTTAATGTAATGACATGGTAAAAGTCACCCGCTGTGAGAGGAATGCAGCTCTGAGACACTCTTAATGGTTCCATGTAAGGCTTACAGTATAGACTATATATATATACAGCTCCATCGTACATATTAACACATCATATAATATGCAGCCTTTGAAGTCTCATCGGCTTTGTTATGGCCCAGCTGGGGCGCCGACTGACTATCAACATTAAGGTGTTATGATGGTGTTGAATTCCTGTTTTAAGGCTTTTTAATTCAAACTGTAAGACAACAAAACAAAGAAGGTATATGTGATTTTTCTTTAGGGACTTGAAAGAAAACATTACAAAGCACCAATAAAGTAGGGTGACCATATTCTGAATCCCCAAAAAGAGGACACTACTACATAGGGCGAAGTCACAGAATCGTGCATAGTTAATTTTGAGAGGTTTTCAGGTCGGGAAGAGTGTTTTTTATGTGCTTCTAACTCAGTTACTCACATTTGAAATATCGCTCAGTCAAAGCTCGTACAGACTAGACAGCCCCCCAAAAAGAGGAAATGTCCAGGTAAAAGAGGACGTATGGTCACCCTACAACAGGAGACTTTGCCACAGTTAAAAGCCAAAATATAGCCAATCACAGTGCTTCTGTTCCCTATTTTTCCTGTTCTCCTGTAGTCCAGTCTTGTGAGTTTTCAGTTTGTGTTTGACCCTGATTCCCTCCTGTTCTCTGTGTTTTATTCTTCATATCAGTTTTCAGTGTTTATTTCCTGTTTTATTTTGTAGTAGTTGATTCCTTGTGTTTCTAGTCTGGTTTTACTTCCCTAGTTTTCCCTCCTTTGTTTGAGTTTCACCTATGTCTCGTCTGCCTCACCTGTTGCTCGTTTCCCAGTGTCTATATATCTCTGTCTTCCCCTCTGTCCTGGTTGGTTCATTGTGTGCTGATGTGTGATTTTTTTCCTGAGTGTCTTTAGTTGGATTTTGCCCTTTTGGAACTTTTTGGTTGGACATTTTGGAAGTAAGTTTTTGTTGCTTTTTATTTTGTTCTTTTTTTTTAATAAATCCTTTTTTTGGGGGGGTCCTTTCCCTTTTTGTTAAACCCTGGCTCATGACACTGTGAGTGTGAGACATCCTTTAAACTGTGACAAGACATGTTACAACACTATGCCAATATCAAAGCTTAGATATATCAGTCATCTTGATTAACTAGATTACAGATAATCCAGTTTTTTGAAGCGTTAACAGGTTTCAGCTTGTTTGTGGCACCAGAAACTGACAACATGATGATTTTCCAGTTTCACAGAGCTGTTAAGATGGACAGAAAGAGTTAAAAATCTATACTATTAGAGTCAAATTCTCCTCCTGGGCAGGCTTGACAGGCAGCTGTGAGACATTTGCAATTTTCCTCTCACAAAGAATGCAGCAGCAGCCATATGAACAGTGTTATGTCAGTTTTACGAGTCCTGATGAAGACAAGATTTCCCAGTGCAAAAGAAAAGAACCTTCTTAAATGATTTTTGGGCATATTTAACGACTCAGCTGTCCAACCTGAATGATTTATGGTCTGTCACACAACTCTGATGAATAATGAGGAGGGGATCTGAAAGCTGCAAAGCTCTGGGAAATTATATACAAAAAAAAAAAAAATGTACACGAAACTGAAGAGGAGACTTGATGTGGGAATCAGTCAACGAGGTGTGGTGCAAATGAGTGATGTGTGAGGAATTCTGGATGGCAGAGACCAAAGCGAAAACAAACACTGCATGTACAGAGTGCGGTGAGTTTGCAGCTTCCAAGAACAAGCTGGATTAAACTCTCCGTTGCATGAGTTTAGCCGTCAGGAGAGCTGGCGAGTTACTCTGCAAAACAAAAGATGACTCAAACGGCACACCCTGGCCGACCAAACGTTTAGATCTTAATCAATCTCTATGTGTTAAACGGCTCTTCAGTTGTCTTTACCTGTAGAAAAGCGCATCCCCTGGGTGAGCTACGCAATCTTCGTATGCCCATAGGCTGTATCGAGTGTCAATCATAGAAAACATGAACCCTCTAATAACTTTTAAAAATTGAGCTGCACAGAAAAAAGAGGACTTGAGCAAAAACCAGTCTGACAACAATTACATGTCAACACCGCAAGCAGGGTGGAGAAAAAATTTTATTCTGTATGATTAATTTCTAAATTTTGTCCCAGCTCCATAGGGATCGCTGGAGGAGGCGGGATTTATGACATATACTGCATCCTGTCACCAGGGGGTGCCGTTCAAGGAGGCAGACGGCGTCCATTCTATATACAGTCTATGCTTCTCACACTCACAAAGATGTATGTGTCAATGTAGGCACGCTCATTATGTTACTTTCAGCTGAAATTTTGATTTCCACCATCCCCTTCAGGAAATATTGGAATATCAGAGGTTGGTAATTGCATTCAGGATGAACAATGTAGCGTGATTTCAGGTCATAAAACTAAAACACAAGTTAAAAGATGTTTAAAGTATTGGTAAAGCCCAGCAGAGACAATGTGATAACTCAAATGGAAAGTCTCTGCGTAATACTTCATATAAAAATAACAATGCTTGAGTTTACAAGTGCTCTAGAAATTGAGCTCATTGAGGACACTATAGGGTGTATTTAGGATTTTGTTAATTAATTGTATTAATATGTTCAGTGGAGTCTTGCGGTTCTCACAACCTCCTTATCATGAATATAGCCGTTACAGAGGGCGTAGTTGGAGAGCTGTTTACTCAGCTTCAAGCCTCCTTTCTCCTGCTGTCATGATGCATCTACGGTCCCCATGGCAACCAATTAGTGCAACTGGAGACACACAGCTGACTGGAAAGCTGCTTCTATCGGTCATATGAGACACATGAAGCCAGGCTCAGTACACAGAGCACTGGAGGTTACATTTAAAACCCTTCACTAGAGCACTTGACAAACTTCAGCCCCTATCTCCTCCCAAAAACTTTGAGCTACAGAGACCATTCAGGGCTTCAAAAATTAAAATCACTCAATTATTAAATTATTAAACAAATTAAAACTCATTCAAACTGATTCAAACCTCTCTGATACTTCAAAACTTTTCAATACTAGCTCTACCACTTTGACTTATACTTCTTCTATTCTCAAACTACTTCTACTGCTTGCATGACTACTATCACTACTATGACTACTTATCATACTACTACTAGAAGTACAACTTAATCTTATGCCACTTCTCACCTTCCTGCCTTTTAAAATAATTTACTTCTTCATTAAAACTTTGTGCAATTTCAGACATTTTTCCAGCCTCTTTCAGCATGAATAAAATTTCAATTTATGGAGCATATCCATACTATTTGTCCTTTTACCATTTTCACAATTATCCAACTTCTATTTCTTTTTCACCCCTTTAACAGCTTTTACATTTATACCTTCCTCCATTTTTAATTAGCAGTTTAGCATTGCTTTTCCAGCTTTCAGCACTCCACATTTTTCTGCAAGGAAATGCAATTTTTCTAGTTTCACTCTGCTCTCTGGTTTGAAGGCTCAGTCTGCAGCCCATCAAACCACACCCAGAATTCCTGATGTCTGTAGCAGACTATTGTCAGATGCTTTCTCTATGCCACCTGCATACCAAAACAGCCAGTAGGACATTTTTGAGACAGCAGGAAGGTGAGAAGTTGAACCATAAGACAACAACAAAAACAGGATTTGGGCCACTCTTAAGTCACAATCTTTTACATTCACCAGGAATAAAACACACACACTGTACATGGGCTAACAGGCTGTTCACACTGCAACAAAACCTCTTATCACTTGTCCCTCTTCCAGCTGTCTCTGTGTCTGTGTGTGTGGCTCTGACTGAGAGGCCTTTCTTTTCTCTGCAGTAACAGGTCTGTGTTCGGCTCTCAGGCTGGTCTCGGCTCAGCACATGACTCTGCACTCCTGACCCTAACATATGGCCCCAGGGACCCACCTCCAGGCTGCTCTGACAGCTGCGTCAGAGCGGAGAGTGTGAATACAGACTGAGTGAGTCCAGAGTGTATCATATAGTCAATAAACTACATCTCTTATGATATTTTTAAAGTGCAGTTTTTACTTGCAAGTGAAACTGCTTTAATTTTGGAGTATGATTTAAAGGCTGCGCTTTAATTTAGGCCAAAAGCTTTTTAATGAGGTCTGAGTCAATGTCAGAGGACGACGCCTGAATAGATAAATTCTTTCACGTTTGTAGATCCGGGGAGAAAACCTCCTGGTTGTGACTCATTTCACAACAGGAATAAATAAATGGCTGCCACCCACAGATATGAAGCAACTGAAGAACTAAATAGAAACGTTCTCGCCCACACTGCTTGATTAGTATGTGACCCCTGAGAAACATTGTGCAGCAATCCCATCGGCTGACAGGAAGAAAAGCACCAAAATTAAATTCAACAACATTTAAGTCCTTATCAGGTGTAAAGAGTTTTATCTTAAGGTTGTCAAAGGAAGGTGGGACGAGCCTGCACCAAATATCTGTGTCTGGAAGATTGTCCTCTTTGCATGCCATGCTCTGCATGTCCAAACTGATGTGGTGTGTAGATAATGTACCAGAGTGAAATCCAAAACTAACATGCATGCTTCTTTTTCATTGAAGCCTGTGAGAGCAAAAGCCAACATCAACACAGCCCGGCTCAGAGTTATATTGAAGGTTGACAAGCAAACTACTAAAAACTGTGAGACTCACAGAGACCGAGATAAAGACAGCTTAGTTTTTCATGTTTTGCTTGTAAGGAGACTCGGGTTATCTTGAATGTGGAATGAATGTGGATTTGTCAAACTATGAGCAAATTCACACTGAATGAGTTGATGGTTTATGATCATTTGCCTCCTAAAGCCCTTCATTTTAAATCCAGGTCTTTGTCTTTAGCCGGAATTCTGGTGACTATACCAAGTTTTAAATCATCCTAAAACCAGCAGACAGCACCAGTGCACCCACAAGTTGGTCTTATTAGCAGAGTATACCTAACTAACACTGGCCAAACATCAAATGCAAATAGATTTTTAACTATTTTAACCTCCATTTTGGTGCGCTTACTACCCTTGTCTCAGCTCCTCTGCTGTCTGCATGTCTGAGCTTTGCAGGGCTGGGCTGATGCATGCAAACAACACTGTGTACTCATGTGAAGGTTAAAAGGAAAGTAACTATAACCTAAATCTGTGACTATGAGAGGGTTAGTGTAGGAGTTTTTTGTAACTAACACCTGACAAAATATTTTTTTGTGTTTTTTCTGTGTGGCCTAATGTGTAACTAATTATAGACCTACTTTATGAGTTGTATTCAGGTTTAAAACTGATCGGTTAGAGTATTTTTACTTGACATACTTTTTCCTAACTTTCAACATCATTTCTTACTAATGCTATCAATATGAAAAATGTTTATATGACACAAAAAGCCATTTATTATTTCGGCTAGTAAAGAATTTGATAAACCAGTTGATTTTTTTAATCGACCATGCGCCCTTGATTTGCTTATCAAACTGTTAATTTCAGACCCCTTGGATAAGTATTCACCTTTCTATCATTAAAACAGTAAAAGTACAAATATATTCACTACCTGTCAAGAATGAAAAAATAGCAACAGGTCTTAAAATCTACTGTGAAAATTGATGTTTTAACACAGAACCTGAGGAGGTTTCTTGGACTTTTAGAGCTTGAATTAAACACTTTTACACTTTCTCATTGAATGCTGCTTGTTTTCCTCCAAGCAAACTCTGGATCGCATTTACAAATCAGGGGCCCAACTCACAGAAGAAGTGACCTGGTCAATAAAAAGTTATGATCCGAGCAAGACCTCGTTGCAGGAATCAGTGATCTACTATCAGGCCTGGAGTAAAAGAGGCATCCAGCTTCAGCGCATGAAAACATGTGGGGGCAGACTGTGGGAGGTTCCCCATCACTATCAGGAGGAGGAAATAAATTCTCCCTGAACACAAACACAACATCTTTACAGCATCAAAACAGTCCTTGAACATCAGGACATGGAGTCCTCATTTAACTCCTCTTGGTACAGTGTTATAAAAACAGACTAAAACAGGAATGTGATTTAAAGTGCTGTGATGAATTTTAAGGTTTGAAGCCAAATATTCATATCAGTGAGAAAAAAAACCTCTAAAAGTCCCTGAAATTCAAAGAAAAAGGACCTGTTTTCAATTTCAAATTAATGCCTTCATATGACCCACACTTAGTACAGTCGAATCATCCTTTTTTATCTTTACTATAGTACTCATTTTTCACTTTCAGTGGGCTTCAGTGGCATCACTAGAAGTAAAAACTTAATTTGTGTTTTCTTTAAGATTCAGTGAAGGCAAAAAAACAAAAAACAAACTAGAAACCATGTTGTGCAAATTTCAAAACACAGTCAGTTTGAGAGCTGACATCCTCAGCACAGTGACTGCGCAGATCCATGACATAAGCAGACACATGTGGAGGAACAGCTGTGCCAAGCAGCTTATGAAACCTGCAGGGCGAGCGCTCGGAGAGGAGCGGAGGCGGACTGACGGCGGGGCAGTGACACCGAGAGGAGACCAGGAAAATGTAAAAGCAGAGAGGAAGACTGGAAGCAAAGGCCATTCACTGGAAAGAATGACGGATGGAGAGAAGCTTGTTAAGTGCTGATGAATGGCTGCAGGAGATGGTTCTGGTTTCTCAGAGGGAGAGTTTGCACCTTAACGCCACCTGGTGGTCAAAAAACTTTACAGCATATTAAAAATAAGCAACTTAAGTTAGACAAAAAGAGAAAAATGCAGCTGTTTTTGCAATATAATACAACAAGGCTATCTCCTCAGATTTATTTTCAAAAACCATCTTTAATAAAAACTGCAAATAAAGGCAGCTTTTTCCTCTTTAACAATGAAAAAAAAAGTTCAAAGTAACAGAGGGATTGACAAAAACAGACTCTTAAATGAGATATAGAACAGAGAAAATAGCAAATGATGACTTAATTCAGCAGGGACAACCAAAAAACAAGCAAGAAAATCATCTTATCATTAAAACAGTTGCACATTTTAAATCTGGATTTAAAAACTACAAGTGAAATTTGCAGCAAAGGTGATGTGCAGAGCCTTGCTTCATTTTAAAGCTCTCGAAACATCCAGTAGACTTTGATTTCCCAGTCTGTGAAGCTGCTACGTTTGCTGCTGTGATGCAGAAACTCACATTAAAACTAAATACCAACAAAATTCAAACTTTTTGGAAAGCGAGCAAAACTCGAGTATTGTTCCTTATGACTGTATTTCATGAATTGTATCGATTGCAAAAACATGATTTTTTCCCCAGCACTGTTGAGCACTACAGCAACATTTCATGACAAGTTCAAGATTCAAAGGGGCTTTTAACAGTTTCAGTAACAGTTTAACAGCAAATTCACTGAGAAAACGCAAGTTGTGTTGCATGAACATTTTTATTTAGTGCTGAGAACAGGAATCAAACATCGCTTTGTATCACCATTATTTTGAAAGGCACTTGCAATCTACACATTGTTGTTGAACCACAAAGCAGACTTGAGTATGAATCGATGTCCTGGGGGTGATGACAGAAATAATAAATAATGAAAAATGAGGAGGTGGTGATGAAATTCTACAATGAACTGAGCTTTCAGTAAGCACAAAACAGACGAGGGATGGAGAAGAGTGATGGAAACCTGCAAAAATATAGACACACTTGAGCAAAGTTACTACATGAGTAAGCTAATAAAATGTACATGTAAAACACTAGATTTATACATATATTTAAGACATTTATCATGACCGGAAAATCAAAGTATTTACAAACATAAGCAGTTACGTGTGGACATGATATAGTGAAAGAGGTACCAGTATTTCTATTTCAGTTAAATGTCGGAGATAATTTGATTGGAAACACACAGAAACACATCACTTCTACATCCTATGCATGTATAACCTGTTTCAAACATTTTCTGCTTTCATGACACATAAGATTATAAACTCAATCGAAGATGAATACTGCAAAAGATCTATAATACTTGAGCAATGTATGACTGATGAAGAATAAGGCGTCATCGGCATACAGAGTGAGAGAAGACATGTACAGCAAACAATCAGACAGTTTCTGGAGAAAATTAGTAGTTGGAGTTTTATTTTTCTGTGCTGATATAAACATATTTCAAAGAAACACTTTGTTCAATGTTTAACCATCATGTAGCTCGCACAGATCAGGAATAAGGGAAACAAGGAGTCTGATTAGGAGCGAGGATTTCCTTTAAATCAACACACAAAAGAAAAAAATCAAAAAGGAAAACATAAAATTTCAATACATGACAGTCTGAACGCTCAGCTTACAAATGGAATGCTTCAAAATAATGAAAAATAGCTTTGAATACTTGAACTTTGTCAACATTTCCATTTTGTACGAACTTTACCAGTGGAGGGTTTTATTTACCCAACCAGCCCAGCACCCAAACAGGTTTTTATGAATTCTTAATTGCAGACTTGGAAACTGGAACCATCCCAGTTTGAGATGACCTCACCCCTGCCTGTCGGCCAATAGGGATGTGTTTAAGACCTTTAGGACTTAAACAACGTCCTGCCTGTGGTCTACTCACTGTGTACTGGGAAGTTTGTGGTCAGTGCTGTGCCAGTCCAGTGGATATTTACAAGCAAACTGGAAGCATGCAGAATAATAATGTGTGAGGATGATGACATGACTCTGAGCTAAATTCAATCTTTCCTGCAGCAACTTTTTCTTTTTAATTTTAACTATTTTAGAGTAAAACATCTTCTTTCCACTCAAAATGCAACTTTAAAGGGTGGTTAAACTGACGAAATGGATATTTGAGAACTCAGCTTATCGGCTGTCTCACAAAGAGTTAGATATGAAAGCTGATACTTCTGTTCAATACAAAGCTACAGCTGTGTACGGTGGCCCTGAGGGTCAACTCTGCAAACACGTCACGTCAAAGATAGCTCAGTAAATGCAGCATCTGAGGAAAAATGATATATCTCATGATACGCAAATAAACTTAAAAAAATGTAAAAATGCTCCAAAGATTTTTTTTTTATACAGAAATACATGAAAAAACATTTCAGTCCAAGTTTTTGTCCTTGGAGGCCACCGCAGGGATAGAGAAATCTAACTGTGTTGTTAAGGATGAAGGAAGATACACCCAATTTTTTTGGTTACAAATCCAAAAAACTCCTACATAAGCAAGAAAACTTTTTTGGGTCCCGGTTTGCTCTGCATTAACAGCTGCAAACTAGCTGGTTACTTTCTTCATCTTCTGCTATTTGTTCTTTGCCAACCCTCTAATTCAGAGCAGGTATCAACCAGTGTGAAGAACCACTACTGCCCCCTATGATGAACTGATTAACTACACATTACATTATAATCATCTGGTTTTTCTTACACAACATCAATAGTTTATTGAGACATGCTTACTTTCAACATATTAAGATTTATAAAAATGTCTGTAGGAATGCTGTGAAATTTGATAAAACAAATTTAAATTTTGTGAGAGATTTTTATTTTGTGCTGTTGACCTTCAGGGCTTTGTACTGTTAGCTTAGTAGCTTTCTGCCTGATGACTGGAGATGTGGAAATGGCTAGCTTGGTTAGGCCAGATAAGTTCAAGGAAGCTTATGTACTTCTCCCTGGAAAGTCTTGGACGTGAAGCCACAAATACACAAAAGAGATTCTAACAATGAGATTCATGTTTTCAAACTAAAGATGAAATCGGCTAAGCTAACGCTGTTTTCTTTTGACTTTGTAGAGATCACTCAGATAAAGAAGTGGTATCTATCTTCTTTTCAGCTTTCAGAGGCAGGTGAATTAGCATATTTTCCAAAAAGTTCTACTTTCTTTTACACTGAATTTAGCCCTGAGGAACATATCATGACAGTAACTTATAAAAAAATACTAAAAAGAAAACACAAAGGAGAAATTTCATGTTATTGATAATACAGCATACATTTACCCAATCAAATATGTACAAGGCTTATCAACTTTTCTGAGGCACCAAGAGTTAAAATGTACCATTACGGAGACTTTAAATTATCTAACCATTTGAATGGATAATATTGGCCTATGATATATGGAATACAATGACAGAGCACACCAAAAATACTTTTTGCAAACACGTGGTATGTTTATGTCTTCATTTGTGCCCGCTGACAAAGAGGAAAGATAAAACTAAAATAAATAAGCCTCCTGAAGTTAAGAAACTGCCTCTTTCTTTGCCGATAGGGATTCAGTGTTTCATTGCCTGAGAATTTGTCCACAGTAACGTTGAGATAAGCAAATAACCAATGGTGTCAAAAAAGGATTTTCATTTGAACTAGTGTGGCAAGAGGTCTTTAATACTGAGAGGAATGATGGGAGGAGGACTGCAAACACTCGAGGATCCACCTCTCTTTGTGTCCGCATGTCAAAGTGTCTCAGACCCAGTACTGGTTCTTTTTCAAGGCCGGGTTTGTTGTCCGACAGTGCTGCAACAGCTCTGGGTCAGCGTCCTTGGAGTCCATGTTGGACATTGGGATGTTATTGGCTGGGTCTGTTTTGCGAAAAGTTTCTGTGCCAGCCACCTCTCCGTTTTTGGGCTTGGATACTGCCGCCTGGACGTCATGCTTCCCCGTTTTGTTTTTACGGATCAGGTAGTAAGCCAAGATGGCTGCCAGCAGCAGGAGCAGGAGGATTACCAGGATTGGGATGAGAATGGACCAGAAGTTGCTTCTCCGGTAAACACGGTGCCTCCCTTGGGAGCCAGAGCCTGGTGATGTTGTAGAGGCTGGAGCAGTGGGCCAGTACCGTCCCACTTTGTCATCCTTTGATGGGCCTTCTGAGGGAATCCTCAACAGGGTGGCAGGGTAAACCCCAGAGGCATTGTAGGGGCCAGTCTGGAAGGCAAGCACACATTCTGCGGGAGGAACTCCATGGGCTTTGAGCAGGAAACGAGCTTCATCTGGAGAAACACCCCCTCGTGATCCAGGAGGGCTGTCCAGGATTTCCATAGCTACACGGCCCTCATCCAGGTCCTTCTGGCTGAATGTGCCCACCGGCTGACCTTCTCCAAAAGCTCCAGATCTCACAAAGCGAGCCCCTCTGGGTTGTTGGATGACGGTGAACGTGGGGGAAGTTCCGGTCTTGTTTGCCAAAGGAGTTGCATCCAGAAGCTTTCTGTCCAGTTGAACAAGGGCACCTTGTGGTAGGAGGGGATCCTGGGCGATATTGGCCAGAGGCTGGACTGTGATGTTGAGTACAGAGGAGACGTTAGCTGCCCGGCTGCGAGCTACAAAGGCAACACTGTCTCGAGGTGATGTGGACTTAACAAATCGAACGCTGACTCTGCCTTCTTTGATTTGTTTCTGGGTGAAGGCAGATGTTGGCTGCCTGTCTACCATGACAGCTGCGTACTTGGGAACACTTGTAATCTTATAAAGGATGTCCTCCTCAACAGGGCCCCCGGTTGTAGCTTTCAACATCTCCTCAGTCACCAGGGTCTCATCATCGCCTTGCCTCACTTTAATCTCAGGGGCCTTATCCAGAAACAGAGTGCGAGCCAGGACGCCGATGTGAAGTGTGTGTGGCTTTGTTTGGTGCTCTCCATCAAACACGATGAATTCAACAAATCCACCAGCCAGGGTACCATCGCTATCGAAGCCAACCTGCCCTTGATTGACCATCTCCTGTGAGAACTCGGAGATAGGTTTCATTGTGAGAGTGTTAACTAGTTGACCATTGCTTGGGGTTTTGGTCACTTTAAACTGCACCTCATCTGGTGAACTGTCCTCATCTTGAGTGTTGAGGTGTTTCTTCGTCAAAATGGTCATTGAGCCTTGGAGAACCTCCAGGAGCATGTCTGTAGTGACCAGCTCAGGGGGGTCAGAACCTCTACGTTTCACAGAAATGTTAAAAATCTCCTCAAGGACCACGGATTCAGCAGGGGAGGACACGGCACCACCTTCAGACTTCAAGCGGGCTCTGAAAGCAAAGCTGTCAGATGGGGCCCCTGAGTCGTCATGGAGGAACTCCACCCTTCCTTGAAGGACATCTTCCTGCACAAAGGTTGGGGCGTTACGGGGCAGGTCCTGTCCATCCAAGGTGATGCGGCCGTGGTCAGGGAAACGCTTGATCTCAAAAGCCACATCATAATCATCTCGCTGATCTTCAGGGAGGCTGGCCAGGAGGTTGGAGGCATCAAGGATCGAATCGTCAATGACTTTCCTCTGACCTTGCACAATATCAAGACCTGAAAGGAAACAATAAAGGTGGAAGATCTGTTAGTTCACTCATATTTCAAAGAAACATCCCCTGCAGTTTAAGTTTACTCCAACTGTAGATATTTAATGGTACTGCTCAGTCCATTAAGGCTTTTGGCACATTTACAGAGACATTTGGAGCTGTTTTGGCAGCAGGAGAAGCAGGAGTGATGAAACCCTTTATGACACTGGACTGTTCAAGCAATAAAGAATCTGAGTACAAGACCAGGAAGTTATTCTTAAAGTCTATAAAAAAGTAAACGAACAAAAGGCTGCAGCTGGCCAAGACAACGGCAGATGAATATCACATCACAACAACGCCAGAGACCAAACTGGACAGGATTTAACACGGACTGTTGAGATTATAAAGGTCCTGTATGGAGTCATTAGCTGGCTATAAAACAAGCCAAAACCAATACTGATGGTTTTTTACAACCTTTAAAAGCAAAAAGGACAACAACTGACATGACTGATTTTAAATATGGAGTCAAACTTTATTTACATTTACCATGGCAAAATTCAAAGTCTGTGATACCAATGGCTATCAATAGAAAATCAGATTTTTTTGGTCAAAATGAAATCAATACATGAGCATGCCAGTAGTTCCTCACTAGATCTTTAATCAAAATCAACTGTGTTTAGACAGCATTTGTTAATAATTGGAATATTTTAATAAGTTTTAGTTTTACTTTAACGGCCTTAAAGGCCAAGATTGTTTGATTTTCTTGTGAGGGACTTTCAGGTTGCATTGATTTTGGCGCCCCCTCTAGGCAAAGCAGACATGTGGTCTCTGCTGATCTTGTCTTTTTGATATGTAAGTACAGTTTGTTGACAAGAAATCTCAACCTACTCTACAGCAGGGTGACAAGCATAAATAAGTGAATATATAGAACTGCTCTTCTTTTATTTCATTTCTATCTCTTGGTAACGTATCTTTAATTGTGCTTAAAGTGGAAAACATCTTGTAAACACAGCCTACTTAAACTGCTGGATTATCTGCTGTTATCCATAAACTTTCCTTGTAGGAGGTCTATAAGATTAAACATATGAATACTGTACTAAATAAACCCATCACAGACAAAAAAATGCACTTTTGAACTCAAATGTTATTATTTTTGTTTCATAATTGGCCTTTAAAGCTTCTTTCTTCTGTCAAGGCATGTTGACATCTGCTGAAATGCACATAATACAACCATACTGCTGTCATTTGAAGACATAACCTCTATTTATGTAGACAACCATTCATTTTGATAGTTTTCCTTCAATAAACATGTCATTTTTACCAAAGATAATATCATGTTCCTGCCTGATTGTGTCTTTTACCTTTGTTCTTCCACAGCTGGGAGGAGATGTTGCTGTGAGCAGCGTAGTATGAGACGGTGATGGGCAGGATGTGACGCACGTCTGGGGCTGGTGGGGAATTCAGGGTGAGCTCTATGGAGTCCCTCACCACCCAAAAAGGCTCCTCGGGTATCTGGTGCTCATAGTAGACTGCTCCTGACTCCAGCTGGGGATCAGGGAACAACAAAATCAGAAGGTAGAAGAAACTGAGGACAAGTTTTTTTTACTATCAACCACAGGAGATCCTCATAATTGTCGATACCTCTCTAACTTTTACATCATTCCTTCTCAGTGCCCTTGCTTTACCTGACTTTGGAGACAGTTTATTTTGCTTAAATATAATCTTCCTCTCTTTTCTTCAGCATTTCTAATCACTGCAGCAAAATAAGAGCTCAGATGGCTGCAGCGGCAGTGGTTTGGCTAAACTGGACCAGGATCAGAGTTTGTGAACTGGAATGTGACTGCCTGTGTTCGCTCTCTGAGGTCGCCATGTCCTGAGTTCAACTCTCCTCTCTTTTCCTCTTTCAGAACACAAAGATCCATATACAAGTGAGTAAGATTTCAAACACACACACACACACACACACAGAGCTGTATAATTCAAATATTTAGATCAAGTTTCGGCTCAATGTACATTTTTTTCCATCACGCTAACACAGTTTAGGAAAACTGATGAGCTCTCATGCTCATCTGAGCACAGTCAGGTTTCAGGAGCAGAAAGAAGAGACAGATGAGAGTGAGGGGACACTGCCAAGGAATTGAGGCAAACATTTGCAGAGTGAGCATGTAAATGTTCAGACTGTTTACCCCACCATCCAAAAGCAAATTTAATAAATGCTAAAAAAGCCACCAGACATGTTCTGTTTACATAGAAAGACATTCTTTAGTATTTGTGTTTGGTATTTATTCATGTAACTTCAGCCAACAGCAAAAAAGAAGTGTCAATTTAAAACACTCGGTGTATAGAAACTATAAAAAACTGTATCTGTTAATGATGAGTAAATCTGCTAAAAATGTGTTTAAAAAAGATAAAAGCACTTTAAGGTTATTAGCAGGACTGCTTTTGTTCATGGTGAGCCTCTCCATCACAACAGTGTCAGGTTCAACGAGGCCCTCTGCTGGTGAAAAAGAGGAACACATTGATGTTTTGTGTGGTGAGAGAATTATGAACCTCTGCACCTGAGCTCAAAAATAAAACACACATTTATTCTGTTGTTCTTTGTTTGAACTCAGATTAGTTACAAATGATCTAATAAAGTAGATAAAATCTTGTTACAGCAGAAAAAAAAACAAAACCTCTTTTCACACAGTGGTCAAAATTCAAGACTCCCATAGTATAAGGCATTTTAACATTAACTCTTGACTTTTTATTTTTATAAGATCAGAATGTTCAGGTCTTGACGTTTTCAGGACCATCTTGATCACGCGTGTTTTATTGTGAGACGCTTTTTCATGAGAGTGACACAAAAATGTCACTTAACGATATCACCTTACTGATGGCGAATGTTTCAGACTATCACTTACTGTTCTTTTTAGAGTCAGACAGTTTTTTAGAGTTGGTGAGATAAAATTGAGAATGAACAGATTTGGCTCTTTGCTTTTGCCAAGGCACCCCAATCAAACAATCAGTGCAGTTTAAAGAAGTCAATTTGCATCAATCCGACTGCAACTGGACTTTTAAAGTATAGGTAAACACATAAGTCAGACTAAAACTGCACTGAATTGAACTTTCTATTGTCAGACCAACATGCCTGAATAATATGGTTTGTGATTAATTTTCTCTTCCATATATGTAAGGCTCAGTTGGGCTGACACTGGCCTAAGTCTGCTCTATAATTTTCTTGTCAACTAACTATATTGAAGCCTATTACAGTAAATGTTCTCTAAATAGATCTGCAGTTTAACAGCTGTTTTATAAATAGCCTTATATAAATGTATAAAATACTATAAAATTACTCTGCTTTGAGTTTTCAATGAGTCCTAATACCAGAATATAAAAATGTGTGTTTGTCATTTCATCTAATACTCAAAGGATGATCCTTGTCAGAGTTTTTGTTTGGTAAAGTGAATACAACTAAGCCAGCTTGGTTAAAGCTGCTGTAGGAACCTGGGTATTGATGCCCCCTGTGGACAAATTGATCATGTTTTCAGTCAAAAACCTCACCTGTTGTCTTTTAATTGTAAATATATATAACTCACTGTGAGTATTTATTGTGATTTAAGTGATAAAAGGCAATTTTCAACCAGCTGTCAATCATCTGGTGTGACACCTACCCCCTCACAGCGGTTTAAAGCATTAAAAGTGATCAAAGTGAAATTATCAGTCTGTTGCTGATCGTCTAGTTTGTCATAAGGAGTCATTATTATCAGCTTTAGCCTGTTTCTAAACCCATTAAAAATCTCTTACAGTACCTTTAAAATTGGGTCTTCATGCACACCCTGATTACTATACGATAAATATTCAAACTATCGTCTAACTTTTGCATTTTTTGCATGCTGACCTTTTCAACCCAACGCTGAAAAAATAGAAAATAATTTAAAATTTCCAGGCAGGACTTTGAAATTATCCAGACAAGTGAGGAGCTGCAATCATTACCCAATTTTCACCTCTGGAAACTCAGTTTGACTCGGTTGGAAACGGAAGAAGGATTAGCTGAAATTTTACGCATTTAAAGGGCATTACGTCTTCTTATGTCTGATGGTCTATCATCAGATGTCTGGAGAGGCTTTAACACCTATGGCTGCTTAGCAACACAAATATGCTATTAATAGTTATGTCAGACCTGCAAGTGGAGAGGATTTATTTGAAAGGGAGAAAGTTATAATAGCTGAACTCACAGTGCCCTCCTAATGCAACAGATTATTATGGAAACCATCCATCAGAACATGTTTTTCTAATGTTTCTGGCACTTTCTACATTTCTGCTTTTCCTGCCCATCTATTTTCTGCTTGACGGTTGACTTTTTAGTGCTACTTAACGGTGGATATCATTCCTTAAAATGACTGCGGATCATTAAATTAGAAAGAGGAGGAGGGGGGAGTTAAATGTCTGCAAAAAGAAACCCATCCCAGCCGCCCACATCGAGTCACACACACACAGAAACAGAGTAATTACCTGTGTCTGAGAGAAGCTGTTTATTTCCTCATACTGGTTCTTGTCATTGGCCAAGATGAGTCTCCCCAAACGAGGTGGGCGTCTGAGCGAGTAGTTTATCTCATTTCCATCCTCACTGGTTTCAGCCCCCAGATTAGCACTTGTGATGCGCTGTCTGGTTCCTGTGAGCACACACACACACACACATAGACACATGCACACACACAGCTTTCTGAGTGCTGGGATGATTTTGTGGAAAATGGCCTCTTGGAGGTCTGGTTGAGTTTGTGAAATTAAGCAGAGTCTGGAATTGCCTCAAACTTCAGCGGTTGCAGTAACTCATGCACATCACGTGGAGGAGAGTTTCCTGATGGTGAGGGTTTCAATCCAAAAAAATGTTATCCGAGCTTCCAGCTCATCTCTCATGTCATGCTTAAAAGTGAAGTTTATCATGGATTCGGCTGAGGTCGCTGCCTGTGCTGACATGAAATAATTTCACTCCTAAAAAGTTTTGACGTGCGAATTTGTGATATATATATAATTTTTTTACCCTGAAATAAAAACCCCATCTCTTTTCTGCTCTGGAACATTTCTAAAATAAAGTTTGGACTGTAAAAGGAAAAGTTAGCTCCAAGTGAAACTCAACATTTATGAGAGGAAAATGAATTGTGCCTCTTTCCTGTAGTTACCACTTTTTGGCTACAACGGCTGTAATCTAAAACTTTATTCTTACATGTGCAGTGTTGCAAAGAATTAAAATATAAGGCTTAAGGATATATATATAAGACCAAAATAAGACATTCGAAACCAAACTGGATGTAAAAAGCATCGAATACCACTATATGTTGAGTATAGTGTTAGTTCAGACAGGACACCAAGCCAAGCTCATCCCACAGTTCACCAACTGTTCTTCATGTCAGCTCAAACCAGCGAACAGCTTATCTGCACATCTTATTGATGCGGGTGTTCAGATCTACACTGCCTTTTTGTACTGCTGGAAACAGCTTTACTACGTGTTTCCATCCCAGCTCTTCAACTTAGGTTTTCTTTTTTTTATACCAGTGGTTCCTGCTCTGGACTTTGCTGCCGCTCTACCTGCCTTTGCTTGAAACAGAGGGGAGGTGTGCTCTGCCTGCTCCACTTTCAAGTCAGTTCAAGCACTTCTAGCCAGTGATAACACAAGATTGATTATCCATTATCACAGGAGCATCATGGGAGATATAATGTTATACCCAGTAAATGCCAGTGACCATTCTATCTACACTTGCTCTAGTCTGCTTGCTGTTCTTGTTTCAACCAGCCTCCGTCTCAGCTCTTCCTTTTATGCTTTCCCTGATTTGATAAGTATCATACATTCACATAAATATTTGGGCCTCATTGCATCAAAAATAAACCCAATTTGTTTATAATAAATAATTCAGTCTCATAAATTTGAACTATATGAATCCTGGTTGATCTCATCATATTTAAACTATATTCATACATTTTAACTGATTAAATTTAATTGATTTTAGAATAAAAGATTCATGCTTATTTTTAAAAAAAATTAAATAAATGTATTAAAAAAAATAATAATGTAGATAAAAATCAAATAGATGCAAATACTTAAAAATAAACTATGCCATGATTGTTTTTTTTCTGAGTGTATGTATTGTGACCGATGCCTGCTCTGGTCTGTAAGTTGTAAGACTTTGCTGCTGCTCTGCCTGCCTCGGCCTGTCATGCAAGCACATTAAATGGGGTAAAGGTGCGCTCTCCTCACCTTAGGCTATGGCATTTCATGTTTATACATAGAAGGAGCAGAAAAGAGACAAATACAGCCTACTGCATGCAAATAAATACTTGCTTTGTTGAAGGTGGTCCTGATTGAATAGTATTGTGAGTAATATGTAACTAAGTAATGACTTGCAGTAACTCCTATCTTTTCATGGGTATACAAATAAGATACTAACTCAAAAGACTTTAAAAAGCTACACTGATCAATCTGAGGCACCTTCTATTCTGTCATTTCTTCTTTTTTTCACTCAGTTTTGTAAGTCTGAAACAGAAAGAACAAAACCTTTTGCACAAATCTCTCATTATACGTCTCCAGTGACCTGCCTGAACGAGTGACTCAGTGTCTTTCACTGCTGTTATCCTTTCATCACCGCTGTGTTCGGGGGCATAAAGTCTGAAGGATTTTGGCATCTTACCTGGAAATACCATGAGCTCCTCCTGGGTTACCATGGTGATGGTGAGAGGCCTGGCTGTGACAACAAATCTGTGGAGGGGGGACGTGTGTTCCCCGTCTGTCACCGTGAAGCTGAAACCTCCAGACTCCTCACCTGGAGAAACAGATGAAACTCATGGTTTGTTTACAGCTCCTTTATTCATTATTTTTGAAGTTTTTATGTATGTTAAACTTTTTATAATAACAGCAGATTGTTTAAAATGTGCAATGCCTATATAATCTGGCAGAAATTCCACTTTTCTGGTTTTATAGCACATCAAAAGTGATAAGGACTGCAATTAACAGAGCTCCCAAGTACAATTTTTGAACCCCCAAAATACCATCAATAAACACAAGCAGCTTATTGACAACTTTGTCAAGTGTCTAAATTTATAGCTGAAGAGTCAGACCCTTGAAGGCGGTGATTAATCTGAGTGAGGTTTTTGTTATATTAAACTTCTGGCAATGAAAACATCCCTGAACACAGAGCAGTGAAATCAAGAAGCGGTGATATTGGCCACCTTAAAGCTTAAACTGACTAATTTGATTATTGGTGATAATTGGTGGTTGATCGTGATGGTGAACTCACCCTTGTGAATGAAGATCACCTCCCCTTTGTTGACATGAGCCTGTGTGAAATTGTAGACGCCTTCGTCGGGTGTCTCTTTCAGCGCCACCATCCCACTGACCGGCGACTCAACATGGTACACCAGCTCTTCTTCAGGAGTATCAGCATCCTCCGTCTTCAGCATGCTGGAAGTGATGTCTGCTTCTTCTCCGGCCAGAACCTGTAAATATCAAAGACATAGAAAGAGAGCATGGATTACTAAATCTGGGTAATACTGGGAGTCGTGTAACCCACACCAAAGGTCAGGAGTTTGTTTGTGTAAAAAGATCAGCATGATGCTGTCTGGAGATCTTCAAAGCATCACCTGAATAATTTCCTGCAAATATAGAAATGGAAATAAGCAAAAATAAAACCAACAAACTGAATAAACAAATCCTAAAATCAGCCACCTCCAAAGAAACAATTGAAAAGGTTAATCATGTCTGTGTGGCCGTCCAGACGCTCCTGTTATCAGAAGATGGAGCGCAGCAGCCCGGGCTGAATGACTCTCCCAGGGTGGAGCAGCTTTAATGGACTTCTAATGGTCGACTGGCTGAAAGGAGCATTAATTGAAAGAAATGGGCCAGATCTCCAGAAAGACATTCTTAAACAGTTAGAATCAGTCGGCAAAGCTGAGCCGACTGAGGCCCCGCAGTCAGGAGGCACAAATCGATCTCCAAAAGCCATTCAGACCTCTGATTCCTCTCTCAGTCTCCTTTTTCTTAAGACTCGGGATGAAGAGCGACAAGATACGGCAGAAGAAAGAGGAGGGAAGATGACGCGGGATGTAGCGGCTTAAGGTGTCAATCAATGAGCGGAAGTTATATTTAGAGAGAAGTTCGTAAAAAGTAGCAGACACAAGAAGAAGACATCCATGTGGAGCACATATGTCAGGAGTTATTTTCTACTTAAGTGTTTGAGAGTCTGCACGTAAGAAGCTTTTTTTGATGAGCAGTTTCTCAAAGCCTGTCATGTGCATCTCTCTTTTCCAGTTTCTAATTGCTTCCACTAACCATTATGACTTTAGGACACTAAAACGTTACCTGTCTGATAGTCAAATATGTTGATATTAAGATAATTTGAAATAGAAACGCTGATGCTAAAATAATGCTGCTTTTTAATGGCCGTCTGTACATAACAGAAAACATGGATACTATCTCACTTAATAATAATAATATCTTACATTTATATAGCACCTTTCAAGATACCCAAAGCGCTTAACAACACTTAAGCGCTTTGCGAAAGCCTTTATCTGTGATGATCTCAGCTCTGTACAGGTTTATAAAAGTGAATCACAACTTTTTGCTGTATATATCGGATTTGTTTCAGCAGCACTTTAGTTTGAATTGTCCTTTTATTGCACGTAATAAAGTCTGATCATCCTTTTTTTTTGTTTCGTATTGCAGTATATTCTGAGGGCATCCAAACATAGATCCAGACACATACAATTTAGTTCAAAACAACATCCCATCACATCAGTAAATGTCTAGACGCTCAGATATTTATCACAAAAAGACTTTGAGTCTGCATCTCTGCAAAGTCCACCTTGAGGCTTTTTCTCAGACAAAGCAGCGTCTGGGGTTTAATGTTAATGTAAGCCTGCTAACAGGTCCAAAATAAAAGCCGCCGTGCTGATGACTGGGTTGTGTTCTGTAAGAACGTGGGTGCTGTCTTCAGGTTAGAAAAGTAAAGCAAAGGCTGCCTTGAACTTTTGTTCTTCCTAACAAACACCAGGGGGGACTATACAGGCTGGAAAAAGAAGTAATTTTGTTGCTGTCGGATCTTTGGGGGTTCAAATTCTCCCTAAAAAAACAAAACAAACAACAACAACAACAACAACAACAACAACAACAACAACAAAACAAACAAGCAAACAAACAAACAAACAAAAAAAAACCTGATTGTCTTTATGGTTACTGTATTGAGGGGATTCGGTCACGTGGTTTTTTCATCTTTTCAGAGCATGATGGGAAATATATGAGTTAGGCTACCATCTAATTTAAATACCTAAAACTATTAGTAAAGCGTATAATCATGGGCGTGGCTTACCAGTCAATCTGTTGGTCGTTAAAAAACAAAACAAAACAAAAAAACCCCTTTAACTTCTGTTAGATTTTGTTTGATTTAACACAACAATTGTCGTATTGCTTCACTCATATTCATTTATTTCTTCAAATTAAGATTTAAGTTTGGGCTATTTTTTACTGCAAACAAAAGTAGGCAACGCAACAAAAAATACTACTTCCGGTAACTTTTCCCTCCGAAAATGGCGCAGTTCCAGATCGTCCGTGATGACCTCACGTAACCCTGTCACACAGCCTGGCAGAAGTGGACTCTTTTTTTTGTCTGGGGTTCACGCACTTTGGACTCGACACGGGAAAAATGTCAAAGAGGAAGCAAAGTCCAACTCTCTGTAACTTTGGATGGACTTTTAACGAGCCAAACCGAAGCAACGACGGAGTTTGACGGAGTTAACCGAAGCTCGCCTGGACGGCGGCTGTTAGCTCACCTGGAGGTTACCTGAGGTCTTCGTCAGGGTGAGGGTGGCGGGTCTGCTCAGGACTACTGTAACCGTGGACGGAGATATAGAGGCTGGGGACTGGTTCGACAACGAAGCAGGATAATAGAAGAAAGTTCAGCACCGTTTGGATGAAGTGAAATGGATCGATGTCAACCTTTCTGGTCCTGATGCAAAGAGATGACGCAGAGAGACCGTAAGGCACAGGAGGCCCAGCAACAGGTAGGTGAGTGCGCTGCTGGTTCTGGTGGTGGGGTTGTTGAACGCTGACGTCCAAGGAGGATTTTGTGCTGCTGCAGAGCACATATTAATGCTGGGCTTGCAGTCAGTTTGTGTGGTTTTATTGTGCTGAACGTGTATGTGCAGCAGCTGTAATGGTGTAGGGGAGAGTGGAGTAAGATGAGCCATTTTTCATATTTTGGATCACTACATCAAGGCAATCATAGTTTTGTCTCTAACTAGTGAATCTGCATATATTTCAAGATGTTGTTCATCCCTGCAAACCAACAGAATGAGTGTAAACATAACTGTCTTGATAATATAGCATGACAAAAAAGGGGTCTCCTTTGAATTGATGCCCATCTCCTAAATAATTGGTCACATGATCAATTTCTTTTACCATTTCTAAGCAACAGGAGGTGGCTCAACTTACCCTTTGGCTCAATTTACCCCACTCTCTCCTATAAAGGCGTAAGACTTCGGTATAACACTGGAGCACCAGCTGACAAAGAGCATCTTGCATACTACATAGATAGAGTTTCAGCAGGTTTTAACTTGAACTTCAGTCCATAAAGTAGCTATGATCGAAGTTAATGTTGCTGTTAACAAGCTGAAGGGTGACTGTGCCCACCTCTGCCTATCAATGATGTGACTTAAGTATTATACTGATACAGTGATGATGAATTTACTCACATTTGCCCAAATTGAAGGACTCTTTGACAACTTGGCATCACTACAGCCACAGTACTAATGCAGCTCCAAGCACGCTCGATTCCCTCCTTTTAAACAACATTAAAGTGAGGCTACATTTCCTAATGTTGTCGAGCTTCTGTAAAAACCAACTAAAGTGATGTCTCCCTCAGTCCTCTATGTAATTTCTGGTATTTCTGAGCCATCTTGCCCAGTTTGATGTAACAAATGTGTCGTGAAGTGTATAATTTAGTTGCCTTACAGCCGACTGCTCACAACAGCCCATTCAGTCTGACACTCTGTCAAACCTCAATCACTACGACTCACAGCATCAACACTTCAGAGCCATAATCCATCATCACACACTTTGTGCTCTCTGAGCTGGTAGATAACGTCTTTGTTCCCCTTAAATGACAACTTTTATAACTGCTGATGACTTCGCAGACAAGTAGGGTTTAATTCGAAGTGAAACGAAGTGCTTTTCATTTATGGCACTATTTCTGCTGCTATACATCCTATATCTGCAGTGATGTATGGTGACAGCAGAGGTCACGAAAACAAGGCTCTGATATACTTTCTGAACGCCCTTCTTCTGTGAACTTGAGATGGTAATTGGAGGAAAGTTTGGCTTTAACTTCTTCATGAATACGGAGTGTGTTGATTTTATATAAAGAAAGAAGCATATCAGTTGCTTGGTACGTCTTACTTTTCTCCATATTTGACACAGTACATGACATCTCCAAGCTGTCAGCATCATTCTAATGATGATAATAATTATTTATTGGTTTTATTAATGCAAGGGGACGAAAATACAGTACCCAATCCTGTCCAGAGCTCCTGGACCACCCAAAATGACATGCCTGTGCTATGCTACTGAGCATTTGATGGTACTGTAAAAATGGAGCATGGTGTTAGTTCAGGCAGGCCACAAAGTTGGGCTAACAGCTCAGCCTATTACTTTCCGACGCATCTGATTGACTAATGTCAAAATAGGCGTTCCATTAATATTGCTTTGGCTTTTCGATGCTTTCGTCCTCTCTGCAAACCTCCTTGCTGTATTTGATTTTAATAGTGTCATATGTATGCCGCAGCTCTTCCCGCTTTGCACGTGGAAGGGTTGGGGGGGTCTTAGCATGGAGCCATACCACTAATAACTGATTGGGTGTTACAATTGGACCTTTTTGACTACAGTAGCTCAAGGTGGCAGTAGCTCAGGAGGTAGAGTGATCGTCCAATAACTGTAAGGTAGGCAGTTCGATTCCCCCCTCTCTGGAGTCTGTCTGTTGTGTCCTTGGGCAAGACACTTAACCCACCTTGCCTCCAGTGTGTGTGTCCTCCACTGGTGTATGAATGTGAGTGTTGTGTGGTGGTGGTCTGAGAGGCCGTAGGTGCAAACTGGCAGCCATGTTTCCGTCAGTCTGCCCCAGGGCATCTGTGACTACTAAGGTAGTTTACCACCACCAGGATGTGACTGGGTGAGCGAATGAATAATGTATTCAATGATGCAGTATTATTTTTATTATTATCATCATCATTAGTAGTTCATTTGTTAAACAGAAATTTTTAAAAGTTTAGAAAAAGAGTTTAGAAAAAGTGTGTGTTTACCAGTTAGTTTTTCCATAAAAAGTAAAACTAAGGGTAGGAAGAGAGTTTATTGCATGCTGAGGGACTTGTGGTGAAATAGCTGTAACTTGGCTGTTCTGCAGAAGCCAAAGTGATGGATGAGAACTTTCTTAGGTCATGACTTTCTAGTCAAGAATATGTCTAGACGTCTTGGTGGAAATCTAAATGTGGATGATGGGTTCATGTTTTAGGCCTCTAGGTAACAGTTTTTTTCATCAGCATTGAAATTGCTGCGTTCAAACATCCATTTATAGGCTTGTTTTCATCTGAATGCAGTCATTTAATTGCTTGCTGCCAGCCCAGGGTGCCAGGGTGTGGAAGGCAGAGATGCTTGTGTTTTGAAGTAAGTAGAAGTCTAAATTTGGAATAAATATGAACCATCAGTCTTGAGGGATTTGGGGCCTGCTGCATACATCTGTAGCTAGAACCACAAGGGGAAAAAAAACTTAGATACAGCACCTAAATCCTGACAATCACTTTGGGATTTTTGAAGTATGCATCTCTACCAGAAGTTAGCAGCTCACCTGCGGTTCCACCGAGACTCCTTCAAATAAGATTCCTGCTGAGGCTGTTTACCAGATTGTGACTGGGTCAGGTGACCATCTAGCCATGGGGGACGTAGACCGGGACTCATCCCGTCTGAGGGATTATTTATACTTTCATGTGTCAGATACCTCCCTGACAGAATGAGGTTAACCTGTCTGGATGAGCTCAGCAGGTGGCATGTCAACTTCAGAGGAGGAACGTCACATCATCCTTCTGGAAAAGATTTTTTTCTTTTGCATCAGTTCAAGTCACTGATCGGTTACTCGGATATCTTCAGGTAGAACAGACAACAACATCTTATCAGGAAATACCAGCAAGTATCTACAGAGAATACCCGATATCAGGACTGAGAGAATCTTTCCCTTCCCCTGTGCAGTTTACATCTTAGGCCTGCAGAAAGCAGCACCCAATAGTTTGTCCATGAGCACATCCCTTTTCAAGATGTGCACACTAAGCCTAAAAAATTCTGAGCCAAATATGGACTCTGTTAGGAGAGGTGGAAGTGGATGTGTTTGCCTGAAGGCAGAACACCCACCATCCCCTGTGCATGCAACGCGGATGAGACAGATGCTCTCTGCTTTCCCTTTCCTCTGTTTTATCCCTCCTTTTATCAAGACATAAGAGGCTCACGGTCCTTCTGGACATTATGCAGAGATGAGTTCGCTGATAATAGCACCACCCACCTGGCCAGATTCTTAGCGTTAAGAGGCGTCGTTGTGAGCAGAATCCTATGTTAGAGAGGCGCCTCAATGTTTCCACTACTATTAGAGCAGCTGAAACATCTGTTTTCTTGGAGGAAAAATCTCACTAAAGTCAACAGAAAATATGGTTGTAATTTGAGCACAGCCGAGAGAAAAAGCAGCGGGCGAGTCATCCAATCATGTTTGTTTTTCTCTCTCTGAGAGTTTAGATGCCAACTGTTGAATTTCTGCAAGATTCAGAAACTTAAAAAAGACCCTACAACCAAGTTTTGTGGTGTAGTGTCAAAGTAGTGATGTGCCAAACAGTTTTCAACTTTGACCTTTAAAGCTGCATCCCCAGATTGGTGTTATACTGGTGTGAAGAGTGCACTGCAGCATTGTTTACCACTTATAGCAGCGTTATCATGTTGTCTCACTGTACTCCAGTACAAGTCTGCAAGTTGGTAAGATAGTGTACATTACCTGAAGGGACTCATTAGTAGATAAATAGCTTCTTTTGTCCTGTGTCCTTAGTCCAAAAATCCAACAAACTCTTATTTTTCAGCTTTATTACTCTATGATTTCAAAACGGTGTCCTAGAATAACTCAGATCACTGTAAAAACAAGCTGAAAACAGATAATTGTGTAATACACCACAGTGCTAATTAAAGTCTACTCATCCTCTTGATAAAACAGGAGGTTCAATCAGGGGAATAAACACCAAAATAATGTCTGAAGTATCAAATTCAAAAGCCTCGGGGTGAAACAGTGTCTTCAAGAAAATGTGTCATGTTTTAAATCAGGTCACGTCACTGTTTTCAATCTACTGTCAGCACTAGTTTTGATGTTTGCTGCAGTACTCAGATTCCAACACTAGATGGCCACATTATCCCACCCTGCACTCCAGCAAAGCACCACTCAATCTGGGGCAGGTAATCAGCAAAATGGACTCTCAAATTGATGGTTTATATAACAATCAATGCATTTAGCACCTAAGAGGATGGGCTGCAAATCTAATTTGATCAGACACAATGCCTGATATTTCATTTGGAGAAGGTAACGAAGAGGCTGCCATTGGCAAACGACTTCAGTTTGCTGATGACTCAACAGGATACGACTGTCTCTTAATGGTCTGAGACTCTAAAAGACACCGAATGTCTGAGGCCGTATCCCAAACTGACCTGGCAGCTATAATCCTGGCTGGTCTCTCTGCTGAGGACATCAGTGTATTTCTACTTTATTTAGAGAGTGTGGAAGAAGAGGTGCACTAACCATCAGGCAACAACAACAACAAGAAAGGTTATAATTCATTGTCATCACCTAAGCCGTAGTTTATGGTCAGGGAGGAAAGACGACAGTATTGATGTTCCAGTTTAGTCTCACCACCCAGTCTGCAGCGATGCGAATAGAGACAGTTTACCCACCAAAATAACTGGTTTTAGTCTGAGTCCCTGCTCTGTTTTAGGAGGAAGATTAAACAAGAAACTTCATCTATCACTTGATGGTCATGTGCACAAGCAGCAAGGAGGAGACGGATTAAATCAAGAGATCTACAGTTGGATAAAACGCTAGAAAAAAGGAAAAAAACATCAAAACAAAATCTATCTAGAGCTGCAAAATTATTTATAGACAGTTGACTATCAATGGATTAATCAGTCAGACAGACAGACAGACAGACAGACAGTTCAATTGATAGGGAGTTAGCTGACTAGCAAATAAAAGTTGGTCAGGGGACCAAGAGTAAGATAGAGGGAAGCGAGCTAGTTAGCTCAATAAACAGAAAGGAAATGACTGGATAGATTAAATATAACTAATTTAAAAGCTAACTAATATAGTGAGACTAACTGGCACAGTTAAATTGAGAGTTAACTGGCTAGCTAATAAAAATGAACAAAGACAAAGACTAATATCAATGAAAGTGAGCTAACTAGCTAGCTATTTAGCTAAATAATGAGGAAGGCAATAAGGAGATGACACTGTGGGGTGATATAGGGCTAGGTAGCTGTAGGATTATTATGACAGATGATCAGGCTAGGAGAAAAGATTGAACAGATCGATAGTAAGATTGATAGCTTGCTAGCTAGCTATCTAGATAGAATTGTAACAGTGAGAGATAGGTAGCATGCTGGTAGGCTGGTTAGACTTTGGACTACAGTTAGGCTACTTGATACTAAGCTAACTAGCTCAATAAACAACTGTATATGAGCGCCAAAATAACAAAATATTAACGATAATCAATAACAGGAATTAAATAATAACAAATAGACAGACACTGTGAAATACATGGCTAGATCACTAGCATGAAAAACAGATCTATCATGTCCTAGTATCTAATTATATAAATAAACCTATATACAATCAAAGTATATATTTTCATCCTATAAATAAGTACCTAAGACTGACAGTTTTAATTGTATTTACAGTCTTTATTTTGACATAATTTTCTGTTTTATTATCTTAAATCATCTGTAATAATCTTTAAAGTGATATAATAATTTAGCTTTCCCGCCTAAATTTGTCTATTTATAGTTTAGTATTTTGTACTTTATTTCCCCTTTTTTTTAACTTCATTTGGACATGTAATTGTTTGCTTCCTATGTCAATTAATTAGTCCTTTGAAATGAACTGATCTATGAACTAGTTAGATTAATAGTTGTTAAAGAGATAGGCAGACACAGACAAGCTAACTGGGTAATGGATGGATAGAGGACAAATATATAGCAAGCTTGAACGTTAATGGGCTAGCCAGCCAATAAGTACAGATTAGAGAAGAACGGTTGGTTAGATAAATGTGAATAGATGGATTAACACTCTGCTGTCTGGGTAAAGTGATAAATAGTTAAATACGCGGCTATGGTGTTAGAGAAACAGACAGACTAGTATGTTTGATTGACTGATTTATTGATGAACAGGAAGTTGTCTGGAAGTTCGACTAACCCAAAGAGACAAATGTTTGGAGGAAGAGCAGAGTGAGGCAGAAGCAGACAGAGTCAGGCTGAGACAGAGTACGAACACTAATCGAGACCAGCTGTATCCTATGGAAGGGGCTAAATGGGATCAGCAGTGAGCTTGAGCAGAGCAGAGCTCGATCACGGCCATGTTAGTCATCATGTCTGATCATCTGCTGCAGAGGTCACTACACGCACACACACTTCCTGCTTTAAATCAATCCCAGTTCAGCTGGGTCAGCCCTGGCTCTTTGTGTGGAGACATCCACATATCATTATGTTACTCTCTGCAGCCGCAGCAGAGGAGGCACTGGGACTGGATGCCGCCCTCACTCTGCCAGAAAAGCCGCGGTCTCGTCGACCATCTTGGTTTTCCAAAAATACGGGTTGCTAGGGAGACGCGGAGCCGCAGGCAGAGCAGGGAGGGCTGAATGACACAGTTGGTTTCCAGTTCTGTGAGCTGATTACTGCTGCTTTTTTCCAACTGCCTGCCTGCCTGCTCGGAGAGGAGAATCTACTTTATTGATTCTTTCAAAGTTTCCTTTCAAGGCTGACGTAAATCAGTCTGAAAGCCTGTTGCAAGAACGCTGAACTTACTGTAGATCCAATTATATGAAGCGCCATTGAACCAACACCTTTCTTTTGAAAACCAACAAACATGTTGTGATGAAATGATTTAGTGGTAGAGAGGAAATTCCTGTCCGCTCTGGTCAAAAGATAGTGTCGAAAAGTTTGCAGAGCAGTGCTACTCACAGTCAGACCTTTGTGCACATCACATGCAGGCCCAGGAGAAGGGCTGCAGGTTCTTGCGTACCGGACTTTAAATAGTTGCATGGCTGAAAGTAAAAGCTTTCAGTTGAAATACATTTTTACTTCTTTGATTTTAATGCTTTCTTTTTGGTAACTCACAGTTTTGGCTCTATAATGAGGTGTAATGACATAGCTTGTATACTCAATGTAATATTGTCCCTCTGCTCAGGCCTTCTGAGCATGTCTTAGTTTTTGGAGAGTGTTTATTTTGCTCCCGGGTACAAAAACACAAGGTGTCTAGTCTTCTTATGATTTTCTGGATGTTACTTCACGAATCAAATAAATGAAAAGTAGTCTTCCTCAGAAGTTTAATCCACCACATTAACTGTTTACATGCAAAATGAACTCATTAACTTGTTGCTCATAAATTACATTAATTACTTATCCGTGATTTTATTGGCTGGTACACTCAACAACGCAGCGCCACCAATTCTGAATTCATCCCTTTGGTGAACCGAGACTTCTTTAGTGTACCAGAACACCTTACCAGCTGTCAGTACCCTCTCCTGTCCTCTCCTTATTACAGTTTCTCTCAGCAAATTTCATTATAACACCAAGAATTTATCACCCATAGTGTATTATGTAACAGTCACGTCCTTTCACGACCCTAATGTGATGCCAAGTTGTGGGTTTTTTCACCTGAGAGTTACACAAACCTGCAAGGAAGATCTGAGTAAAAAGAAGTTGATAGTAATCTTTGCCTGGCTTCAAACTGAAGATAACTCGATTCATGGCTTTTGGAAAAAATCAATGTCAACATCCTTTTACATGAGCAGATTAAATTTAAGTGTTACTCACAGGTATTTGATTTGTGTTTTGTTGTGATTTATAAAAGATTGAAGTTCAATATTGCCTCTGGCATAAATATGTCATATTCTGACATCTATTTTAGAGCTTTGTGTATCATGAAATAACTCAAAATGCATCTAAAATGTGCTTCTGTTGACCACTAATTCTAACTTTTAACAAACAGGAATTTACGTGCCTCTGCCAATCTAAGATATGAGATCGTGAAAGTCCTTGAATTATAATCTTTCCATTGTCTTCTCTGGATAAGTGGTGCTCAGATTCTTTTTTAATTTTGTTGAAAAGCACAACCAGCATGCAAAACACTTCAAAAGGTTTCAGCATGTAAACTTAGCTTTATGCCTGTCACTTGATGGACCTTTAAAATACTTAAAACCTTGTTAAAGACTTAAAGAGTTAAACACCGGTGTATTGTTGAGTAGAGGATGTTTGCAGGCCATGTCTTATTTTCAGCAAACGGATAAATGTGAGGTGTTTTACATACAGTAGGATCAGGTGTCTCTGTTAAAGGATCAGTATAAACTCTGTGATAAGGATCCTACGTCTCCTTATTTCCTGTTCGGGTACAAACTGACATATCAGCAATTTAGGGGCCTCATTAAAATGCACACACATAATGTATACCTGAAAATCTGCTTGGTACTGCACTCAGTGAATACAGTAGTGAATCACCGCCCTTGTAAGCCTCTGTAGCGCACATGATTCACATTTTCAGAGCAGTCAAGCTAAGAATATGCAAATTCACTTCTATTTTATGGCTCTTTGTTTTAACAAAGTGCTGCGGAGGCCACCGCCGCACTGATTCAGCATGCGTCATCGCCTGAGAGGTCAGCATCCTTCTGTGTCCAAGTGAAAAAATCTTACTGCATAAAGTGAATACAATTCTAGGTTCACACAGGATTCATGAAAGTAGACTGCAGCTCCAAGTTTTCAGTATAGATGTGAAAAATAACTGCGGGGTTCATTCAGAGTTCAAAGTTTATAAATTCTTTAAACTCGGATTTTAACTTAAACCTCAAAGATTTTTAACCCAAAGCTCAGATTCAGGGAGATTCTTCAGTCTTGAAGCAAACATTTAAGAGCTTCTTAATTCAAAGGCTGTTTTGTCAGAAAATCAAAGTATATCAAGATAAACACAAAGCAGCAAAGCCGTACACGCTCCAATGACGTCTTTACAACTTAAAAATCTCGTCAAGCATTAAAAAGCAATTTATCCTGCTTCCGCTTTGATTTTGTTTGGGAATCAGACCGTTCATGCAAAGTCAGGAGGGAAAGCCTGTCAATCATGGGCACAACTGGAAGTGTTTTTCATTAAAATAATGCAGGAGAGAAAGTAAATATATGCACATAAAGCAGCGTCAAATAAATTGAGCACTGGAACTGATAAAAAACTTGCCGGGAAGCAAATTGTTTTCCCCATAGTTTCATCTCTTTATGATAAAAAAACCTCATTCCCTTGTTTTTGAAAGGTCACAGTAAAAAAAGTTTCTCTCCTCGGTCACAAACAGACGACTTTCACTGCTTGAAATAAACGGAGAAGAGGAGAGGTATCAGGAAAAACGAACAAAAACAAAGCTTAGGTTTTCACAGGCATAAAAGATTGTCGCACAGCAGCATTTTTCTCTCCGTTTACCATCGAGTGTGTTGTAAGAAAGTAAGAGCAAAAGCACTTTTAGGGAGCAGAACGTTACCTCCAGTCCCGTGTTGTGTATCAGTTTGGGCGGCTCGTCGTTGACCGGGATGACAGTCACTCCGATGGTGACAGGGAGGCTCCGCCGCTGATTGTCATAAATGGAGGCAAGGAGTGTGAAGCTGTCTTCGGTGCTCTCAGTGCTGTCATGCATGTAGTAGATGTGTCCAAGTTTCACCTGAGGTAGACAAAAAAAGGATCTAGTTGTCACATCATAAAATAAAACAGGAGGGGGGGCTAAAAGGTGTAATAAAAATACAGGGTAGCTGTGAATCTCAAATCACCCACATCTAAAGACGGCTGCTTTTTGAGACTCCGTCCAGGCCTCGTGAATCTGAAAACACCCTGATGAGGACGGCCTGTGACACTGCTGTATGTTTTCTATAACTTTAACTGATCAGCTTTGTTTTTAAGTCCACAGATTAATAACAGACGTCTGCGTTACAAAGCTGCGTTTGAAACTTGTAGGCGTTCAAAAGACCAGCAGTGTTGGTTTGGACCCTGACCCGTTCTGGGGACTCAAAGCAAAAATGCCTCTGCCTCTGCTGCCTCTATTGTTCCACAGTGAGTTCGAAATCTGCCTCTTTTCAGTCCAACTACTTTATGAAAAGCTGTAAATCTCGAGAGTTTCCACTGACATCCCCTTTTCATCCCGTATCATCTCCGCTTAGAGTACATGAGAACGCAGGAAAAATCTGGTTCAGTCCAGTTTTATAATTTGCCTGATCTTTATAAGCTGAGGGTCTTCAAGAGTGGAAAGCCAAATGATTTGATCCAGGAAACGCTGTTGACCAAAACATGGCACAATGAAACGATGAATTATGTGAGTGCACGGATGTAATGATAGCAGGCTGAGTCAGCACAATCAGAGACTAACGGGTCTTAACACAGCAGGATGTTGCTTTGAGTTAAAACTCCAGTCCCACAAGTGCTTTAAGAGTAAAAATCTCCTTTCTTTGCGTACTTGTACAGAGTTAGTTTAAACCACAGTGGAGAGTTTTGATTTTGTGTGTTTTTCTTCATTGAAGTCTGACATTTCCAAAAAGAACCACCATCCACTCTGAAAATTGATTTATTGTGTTGGTATGACTGAAACTAGTTATTTTAAATGCCTAAACTGGTGCGAGTAGATATGTGTCTGTGAAGCAGCTGAAGAAACAATCCTGTTTCGCAAGATATTCACAATTAAAGATAAATCTGTTTGTCAAAACACAGAATTATGAGATTTTCTTTTTTTTGCCAGATGACACACTGAAGCGTGTACAGGACCAGATATGCAAAAACTGCTTTGACGACAGGGTAGGGCTGGGTGATACAGAAAAAGATTTATAATGATATAATTTTTTCATATCAGTCGATATCGATATATATCAGGATATGAAAAATGAAATTTAACAGTGTGTATTCGTAGCATGTCTTTTCCAATTCAATAAGCTACTGCATCTGTGAGGTCTTTGTGTCTCTTCTGCGTTTTGTCTGTAAGTGGAGATGTCATTTGTTAGTTTCGGCTGCACAGGTGCCGTAGGCTCCTTGCTCTGCTCTGGGTTTGTGACATGTTGCATTGCGCATGCTCTGCTTCAGGTGGTGAAAAAGATTTGAGGTATTCTCTGACTTTACGAGAACATTTACTTGACATAATTTGCAGTGCACATTACTACACTTCATGTCCAACCTCAAAAAAAACAAAATACCTCTGTACCAGTGTTGTTGACGATGTTGTCATCTGTTAAACCTTCATCTGCCTTTCTGCCAGGGGTAGCACTCATTTTCTTTTTTTCTCACTGACAGTTATGTTGGCTTCACGTGTTAAAGTGTTATGGTTGCGTGTAGCTGCTGCCTGCTACTACGCAGTTGTTTGCTACTTAGCACATGATTGGTTCAGCGTGAAGTGGACCCGGAGAAACTCCCCTTTTCATTGACTATTCATATAATCTACCAAAATATGGCAGAATGCTGATTATCAAAAGGCATATTGACCATGTTTTATATTGAAGGAAGGAAAATAATTTTCGATAAATGCTGTTATAATTTTATCGCCCAGCCCTACCACAGGGGGCGCCAAAGTTGACACAAACCAAAAGTTTCACACTGGAGCTTTAAAAGTGGAGGTATGTAGGTTAGCTGTTGTCGTCTTGTGTTTGTATAAGATAACTGTCTTCTGACTATAGCTTCATATTATTCAGAGGACAGAGGAAGAGGCTATTTAAACAAAACTATAATAAACCAGATCTTTTTAGTCAAAAACACGTCCCATATGCTGTTAGAGATTATGCACAAGAGCAGTAATCTGGTCTAAAAGTCTGTGAGCAGCACATGACCGAGGAGAATCCTCCATGTGGGACAAGACTCTGAGGGAGACCAGACGCACAAAGAAATCAGTCTTATAGTGTCAACTGAGCTGGATGGAAAACAGCACCTGCAGAGAAGCCAGGCCAACTCTGTCGACTTCCTGCATGCAGAGGAACTCCCAGAATCCTCTGCTCCTGTTTCTCACTCGTGTAACCATATCTGAATCAAATGATCTGCCAATGTGAAATCTCGCTCTGACGCTTTTTGGCAAATTTACAGAGATCGAGCGTCCTCCTCTGCTCTGAGGACAGTTGGAACTTTGTTTAGTCATAATCCGCTGAGCTGCTGCGATGAGAGGACGTGCTTCAGAGCGCAGGAAGTGCCAAATGGATCCCATATGACTGGCATCCTTCTGGAATAACAACCCTATCATCATTACTGATCTGGGAAAGTCAGCGAGACAAATGGTCCGCTTGCTGGGACAATAAACAGTAGGTGGTTTCTGGACGTGTGGCCTTCGGTGGAAAACTCACGCTCGAGTTAGTTTTCGATAGTAGCGGTGTTAAATTTCACTTTTGATCGATGTTAAGTCTTAGACAATGTGCGCCTAAAGTAAACCTGGGAGCTTGCGCAACTGATTCTGAAACATCCTGTTCTTTAAAATAAAGATGCACGTGTGGACCTCATTAGGTTTGACGATAGAGGGCCTAATGGAGACCTGATGGAGAGTCGTCCCAGATTAAAGCAGAAGTGTTTTAGTGTTTCCTCAAGCTGGATCCCAGTCAGAGTCACATATGTTGCTAGATGCACTCTTGGTTTAATTGTTCCACGTCAGAATAAATCACAGTCAGCAAAGTGCAAACAGAGAGCCTCACATTGTCTGGCCGGGATTATGTGACACATCTGGGCCACAAAGTGCACACTCAACTGTAAATTCTTGTGGTTGGGGTCCTATAGATCTCCTGCATGAGGAGCTCTGCTATTACCCCCACTGTGACTGTAAGCTTACATAACCTCAATACTAGTACTGATCATGTTCAGGCTTAAATTGAGATGGTTCAAAGCTGAGTTCAGAGCCTCAGACTTTAATTTCTAATCCTAAATCAGTAACTTTTCTTTAACTAAACAGATTATCAAGTTATTATTGTAGAGTTGTGGGCAGATATTTAGTAGAAAAGACAAGAAATTTCAATGTTAGCGTGTTTTAATAATCAAACACAGAGAAAATTCGTAGTTTTGAAAACTTCAACCCAACTAACATTTAGCAAGAGGTTCTGACTCTCAGGAGGGCTGATCTTCATGTTTTCTAAAGTAAACAGGCCAAGAAACACTGAACCAACACAATTTTAAAAAATTGTTTTGCTCTGAAACCAAATGTGGTTTTGGCACATTTGGATCGGTCCAGATTTTTCTGTGTTTGGTAAATCTGGGAGCTGTAACTCTCGGTAACTCTTGTGATTGTGACTCCAGGGTTGAACAGTGCTCATGTTTTCATTCTCGAGTTGCAAAATGATCTGCCCTGTCCACTCTTCACCAAAACATGAGTGCATTCAATTTAATTTAGCACTTTCACGCCCCACACTGCTTAATACAACCCCCTTGAATCATGACTTTATTCCGAAAATACTCCACACTCTACCAAGTCCAGCGCCCACTCCAGGGGACAGGAGGAATACGTGTCCAGAAGAGCTTATAACAGGGTTGAACTCTGGGAAAAAACACCCCAGTGTTACACAGAAGAGTCTAAATACGTCCCTCTTTCATTTTGGAACAATTACCATCTGGTTCAAATGATGCGCAGACTGAGGCTTGGACATTAACTCGTCAATGTGGTAGTCATTTGGGAGAACTGACTATGTTTCATTGTGTATATAACGGTGTAAGAAAATGAAAAAGTGCACCCCATACGCACATAAAAACACTCCAAGAAGCAGGATAAATAAAAGCTTTTTCTCTCCTTGACATTTCCATAGTGGCAGATGATGATATCTATGTTCATTTCGCCTCCCCGCTACCAGCGTAATCACTTCTATGCAGCGGGGCCGTTTGACTTCTACACAGGGACCTTTCAGAGGCAGCATGAGCGAGTCTGGCAGTAGCAACGCATGGGAGTTTGGTGTGCACTACATATTATTACAGGAATACACCGTGCCAGTTTATTTTGGCTTGGGGCAGTCCGAAAGGCCCCGTCAGTTTTTCCACCATGGTTCAGCAAAGTGGAGAGGAGCAGAGGCAGACCAGGGCTACATGCAGGAGCTATAAGATCTGCCTCTAACTAGCTCCACTAAACTATGTGGTCCTCTCAGAATGCATGAGGTTTTTCCACCGGTATCTACTCATGCATTTTTAATACTTTCCTAAAGCTGGGGCCTCTGAACCACATGGAGGGAGACCAGATAACTGTGCTGCAGCGGCTCCCAGATCCTCTCTCCTCTCTCTCAGGAACAACACAACAAATCCAAAACAGCTCTGAGTGGAAAGTGAGGAAAGTTCCATGATGATTATTTGATGAAACCCTCTTCCACAGCCTCCTCGGCGTAGTCGAGTAAAAGAAGATGTCTTACTCCCTGGGGTTATTAAGATAGTCGGGAACTTGTAGTGTTTGTTTCTGGGAAGTTTTGGTCCCACAGTGACAAAAATATAAACAATATTCGTCCAAATGAAACCCAGGTGTATGATGTATTGAGTCCTGAAGATATAATCCGTGAAATTAATCCAAACTACTGAGATGCTTCTCTAAATGTGATTTAGTGTCCAATGCGAGGGTGAGTTTGGCAAAACCTGTCGCACACATATGGTAGCTATTCTGTGGACGCAATCATTTGGTAAATAAGAAGTCTGGGTTTTGTTTTTACTAAGCTTGGAAGTGGGGTGCAAACAATGCCAGAATCTGAGTGAAAACATGGAAACAGCAAGGAAACCAAACTGGTTTCTAGACAGATTTTACCTCGGGTCTCAAACTGGGCACTACTTTTTATGTAAATAGGAGCAAACAGGATTGGTTCTGCAAAAACTATGATAAGCATACCAGAAAATGTCACATTTAGTCCTTGCTGAGGGGGAAAACTAAGCTCTTGCAACCGTGCCGAAGAGCTGCTGTACCCTATTGCACTAACAATAAACTTGAGAATCTGAATCTTTAGTGCATATAGCAGAACGGGTGGCTGTCTGTCATATCCCAAATCTAAACAGTGACCTCATTGCAACAATTTAAGATGTTGGATTAATAGTAAGAAGTTTAGTGCGCTACATACCATGTTTCTTGAGGATGCTGTGTGTGTAAAATCTTTAAAATATTGCATACAGTCCAGTGTTGCCAGATGGGAAATATAGAATTATCATAGCAGAGACTCAAAATTATCGTATTTTGGGAAAATTATTGTACAGGGTACAGGGTACAGGGTTTAGGGTTCGCAAACAAAAAACTGAAAAATAAAGTGTCTGGCAGACTGAGACTGTTCCATTGCACCACATGTTCACATAACGGTCAAATTATTGTACATTTAGCCTTTTCTGGGTAATTGATCGTACATCGTACAGAGGGCAAAATTATCATACAAATATGATAATTATCGTACAGCTGGCAACCCTGATACAGTCATTAACAATGCACCAGGTGCATGGAGTTCAGTTAAATCTGCTAGTTATAAAGTATTAATGAGATTATCATAAATTTAGTTTCTGGAAAATGGACCAGGTCTATACAATAACAAGACAAAATTACATTTTCATTCTCAAGCTGCCAAATTGATGATAGTTTCTGATCCTATCTCCTTGATTTGGTCTCTAAACCTTACCAATTGTTGGTTACTAAATTTAACCAACTGCAACTGTTTCACTGTAATTTTAACAAATTGTAAAATAGTTGCACCTTGCACACATTTCCACCGTTGCTCTCTTAATGACCTCACTTGACTGACTGACATGTGACTGAGAGGATAAGACAAACACTCAGTGGTGAATCAGAGGAGAAGAGGGAGTGTGTTTTCAAAGGTTGCAGGTTGGTTTGATTATGTGCAGATGTTTGATGGTATTTTGTTGTTGAAACCTGTGATGGAAAGCTCCATTTACAGATTTCTTCCATTATGTTGGTACATACCTCTTCCCATGAAAAGTATGGGAGTTCATCTGGTCCGTCCAGGTAGCGGATGTCCCCATGCTGCGGTGGCTCTTCCACAACAAATTCAACGATTGCTGAGCTGAAAAAAGGGTGTGTGATGTTAATAACGTCTTCGTTTATGGCTCTACTGAGGCCTTCCTTTACGGTGAAGTTGAAGGTCTGGATGGGGATGATCCGTGGCATGATGTCCACAAAGATTTGCAGGTCTTCCACTGTGGTGAAACCGTTGCTGACATCCAGAGTGAAGGTATCAGTGCCCTGAAAGGAAATGGATATTCAAATAAGTATTAAAAATGAGCCTTGTGCCTCATCAGAGGCTGAGGAGGTCTTTTGTCAGATTTTACTCTTGGTATGGATATGAAAGAGAACAAGCTGCCACATGTGATTTACAACAACAGAATAAAGAGAAAGACAATAAACCTGGGTGGATGTAGACACATAGAAAATGTGCTCCAGATTGATGTCCTCTTGGGTGAAGGAATGAATGTAGTCAAGGACAGACGAGGTCGAGCTGTCTGAGCTGTTTGTCAGTTTAACCACATGGCCAAGGTTAGGGAGTGTTTTGATGGTGAACACCATTTCTGCTGGCAGAATATCAGCTTGATCCACCTAAAGGGCAAAGAAACATTAAATTATGATTATTCAAATCTGAAACCATATCTAATGGAGATGATGTGACAGTACATTGAACACATACTTGAATAGAAGTAGTTTGAAGCATTTTGAGTGATGCTGCAGATTTATGATTGGCTGACTTTGAGAAGATTTAATAAACTGTCTGGAGCCTAAAGTCTTGGTCATGCTTTTATCTGACAAACTTTTGTGCATCACACTATTTGTTAAATTCATAGTAAGGGCATATATTTGGAAATTTAATCTAAATTTCACCTGTTAGTGTTATTAGAACACATATCTCACAAATATCTGTTAGAGAATTACTCTAATTTTGAAATGTGTGCACTTGCAGGAAAGAAAAAGTAACTTTCACTGATGTTTTTTAGTATTTTGACAGTCATGGTGTACACAGACTGTGTTATCAATAGAAAGACAATTCAAACCTCATTAATTGTGCCGCAGATAAAGTGCAGGCAGGCTCATTTCATAAATTACAGTGGGCTTCAGGAAGTTCCTCTGGGGCATGCTTAGCACTCTGTTTTCCTCACTTAATAGACTGTAATTTAGTACGTAAACTCGTTTCAAAGCAGAAGCTGTGCAGTCACTTTTAGCCCAGCTTTCATGTGGTTACATTGTAGATTAGAGACTGGCTTACGAAACATGTCAGTGTGCTTGTATGTCATGTGAAAGTTCCATTTCACAAGGAGAAAATAAACTTGAAAAAGGACAAACTATGTACTGTCACATAATCACTGCCAGATTGTGTGAAGACTAAATGCTGTCTTGTTGAATGGATTAAATGCCCACCAGCAATGCAATTTGAAAAGCATCTGTTACTTTTAAGTTCTCAATCTACCAGTGAGTGAAAAACATAGGTTTTGCTTAACATACTGGGATTACAGGATCTGCAAACATACCTTGAGATAATCCTTGTTGATAATGGTGTGCTCCCCCTCATAGGAGATGATGACTTTATTAGTTATCACCTCAGGCGCAGACAGGTAACCTTGCTTGAATATCTTAATCCTGAACGTGCCCTCTTCAGAATGCCCTCTCGCCTGGACGATGAAGCTAAAAGAGTCCTTGGACCTGAGACTTTCATAATTATGCTCATAGGACACAACTCCCTTTTTCAAGTCTTCCTGGGTGAACGCTGAAGCCTCAATCCCACTTACAATAATCCTTCCATCGCTGGGTGCGGATGTGACCTGGAATTTGATTTCACTGTCATCCCTGATGTCCATGTTGGTGTCAGCGCTTAACAGGGTGGTGTTCAGTGTCTTGGTGCTCCCATGGTCGATGACAATGATTGTGTTGTTGACAACACGAAGGTAGGGCTCGCTTGCTTGTATCTGAATCAGTGCCGTGGTCTTGTGGAAACCATCTGACACTTGGAGTGAGAAGGTTTCGCGGTCTGCACCATGGTGGAGGAAGAGAACGTTCTTATCTCGCAGGTCGGCTTGAGTAAAACGAAACAGGGGCTGCGAAGGGTTAGATCTGGAGACAATGTTGCCTGAGAGGATCCCCTCACGAGCAAAGACAATTTGGGTGTCATTGAAACCTGAGTCATCATCCTTAAACTGGATGACATCGGTTGTTAGCAGACGCTGGCCATGACGGACTACATTGAAAACTTTATCCACAACCCTCACTGGTGCGTGCTCATTCTTGGATTGGATAGTTATCTTAAAAACATCTGTTACTGTTGCTTGACTGTCCGGACTTTCTGCTTCTCCATCTGTCACTGAAAAGTAGAATTCATCTTCACTTGTTTTGGAGCCATCATGCTTGTAAATAAGCCTGTCAAGCTCAAGGTCTTCATTACTGAATACTCTAATTGCCCCCTCAAATCTTGGCTGCCCGGGTGGAGAATCTCTTATCAGGCGCCCGTACTTTGGCCCTTTTGTGACTGTGTAGACCAAATCTGTAGAGTCTGGGGACTGCACCCAAAGATAGTGTTTATTTAGAGTCTGCTCACCACCTTGCAGGACAACCAGCCTCTCATTGGTCAAAGCAGGAGCATCTACAGTGCCAAGGATGTTGATAGGGTAGGTGTACAGAGGGGAGTACTGATCATCAGCAAGGACTCTGAACGTGAACTGGTCGGTGCTATCCACAGCTCTCTGCACACGCACTTTGTAGCTAAGTGCATCGTCCGAAAGGTCCTTCTGTGTGAAGGTGTCACCCTCATTCAGCTCTTTATCGGCCAACATTAGACTACCAAGAGTTGGAGGCCTAACAAGGATGTACTTTAAAGTTTGTGGATCTGTGTTTTTCCCTATCACCTCTGCTTGCAGCTCTGTAGATCCAATTGTTAGCTCTTCACCAGCCTGCATCTCCAGTGGCACCATGTTGGAAACTTTCACTTGTGCAGGCATGATCTTGACCAAGAAAGTGTTTTTCCTGAGGGCAAATTGGCCTAAGTGGATGTCAAACTGAATCCGCTCAACCACAACATCTTCCTGGTCAGTGGAGTCTGTGCTGACGTATCTAAGGCGGGATTGATCCAAATCGGTTTGATGGAAAGTTGCAACCTGCTTGTATGTTCCCTCACTTGTCATTTTTTGTAGCTCTCCGTACATCAAAGGCTGTGTGATGTTGTACGTGATCTCTCCATTGCGAGGATGACCAATGACAGCCAGCTGTTGAACACCAAAAGACATATTGGTTCCTTGGGACAAGAGAAGCCCAGTGTTTGTGACAAGAGTCATGTGTGGTGCTGTCACTGCTAACTTAAGAGACGTTGAATGGCTCACTGATTGTCCATCAGATACCTCGAAGGTAATTTCAGCAGAGCTTCCACCTCTGTGTACAAAAAAGATATTCCCATCCTTTAAGTCCCTGCAAGAAAACTCTGAGATGCTTCTTCCTGGCTGCTGACCATTCTCTAAATATCCAACTTCTGCAGGAAGCTCTGAGGTTACAGTTACTACCAGTTCATCACAACGGGAGTCTGCATCTGTGATTTTGACGAGGTCGGGACTCAAACGAGTCCTACCATTTTCTGTGATCGTGATTTCTCCTCCACCAAGTGGTGTTATATCATTGGCTGGAAGAATTTCAACTGGGAGGATATACTCACGGGGAGTTCTTAGACACTCTGGGAGGTAGCCGTTACTAGTAGCCATTACTTGTAGCTGAATTTGATCAGCATAACTTTCATTTGCGTCATGTGTGTACTTGATTTTTTTGTTGAGGATATCAAGAAAGGTGAACTTGTTTGTGCGTTTTGTGCTTGTGTTTATATCAATATAGCCATACCAGGGATCATTCGTGACTGTGAAGATGATGTCAGACTGGCGCATTCCTGCAGCACTGAGGTCAAATGTTGGTCTAAGGTTGAGAGCGTCAAGAGCGACTTCCCCACCCTCTGGTACAAACAGAGGGACAACATCAAGAAGCCTTTTTACACTTTTGAAAATCTCTGGCATGTCATCTGTTGGGGAGCAGTGCTGTTCGTTTAAATCCATATCAATATATCGAATGCGAACAGGAGGGGAAGTTGTAGTCGCGTCAACGTCATAGTAGCTTGAATAGTCATAGTCCTCTCCTTCACATTTGACATGGACATCTTTTGTCACCAAAGCATCCTGCAGGCTTCTATCCTTCTGGTTAACCTTGATTTCCCCCAAGCAGCCAATGAAGGATTCAGCTGTCATTTCCTCCTCTACCTGACTTAGAGACCCACTATCACGGAAAACATCCTTCATTTTCCCCTGGATGCCTCCCAAATACAAGTTCCCAACCAAGTCCAACTTCTCTGATGGGTCAAGAGGTAGAGAGGCAGACTGGCTATCGATATTCATGGTGAAAGAATTCTGACTGATCTCCACTTTTACTCTGTGCCACTGATCATCATCCAGCTGCACCTGGGTATTATCCAGTACCTCCACGCCATTGCCAAGGTCCAGCATACCTTTCAGAAAGCCTTTTACGACACCGATAGCGATAAAGTCTGAATCTCGCCCGGGATGGAAAACAAGTAATGCATCCTCAATGGTGGTTTTCATCAGGAACTCTAAAGCCCTTGGAGCACTGCTGGCCCCACTCCAGGTAGAGAGGGACACAAAGGAATCAGGAGTGCTGAAACTTGTCGCTTCCCCGTCCCCAGCCTCAAACTCACTGCTGCAGGATTCCTTGGTGTCATGGCATTGTTTAAATGCTGAGGTGATAATATCAAACTGATGGGATTCAAATTTGACCTGAGTCATGCAGCCGCGAAAAGGGGTGATAGCAGTGCTAAGGCTAAGGTAGGAAGCTTCCAGTTCTCCTGTTCCTCCAAGCCAAATGCCCTGGTCAATGTTGAGCTGCTCCCCATCGTCATCCACCGGCACATATGTTGGGTAAAGCTCGTCTATTGTCATGGTGAGCTTGCCGTCTTGTAGCGTGAGGGCGATTTTGTGGTCCATAAGGTTGTTGAGTTGTACACCTTGGGATGAGGTCAGTGTCACCTCACCACCACCCATGTTCATCCGTGCCTGTGGAACAAGAGAGACATTATATTTATAGGCAAGGATACATCTTTTAACACAGTAATGATTGACTAGCAAGGATCGCAAAAACAACAGGATGGGATATTACAATTATTTATTGATTATATGACATTTGACTCCTTGTAGATCTGAATGCAAGCCAATACTGAAGGAGGCGTGGTTGATGTGCTGCCCTACATTTTTTGTATATTTGATTGCAGGAGTCATTTTCAGACAACAATTGTAAACTGTATCAATGCTATTAACTTATTATGAATTATCTAATTGAGTGTACTGGGGTTTGATTTGTTGACTCAGAGCAGTTTAAGGTACAGTGTGGGGTATTCAGCAGCATTTGGCAATGCAGACTTAGAATTAGAATTAATCATTCATGTAGGTCTCAGTATGTTTAATTTACAACTCGACAGCTAGATATCACTTGTACTTTTAAATTAAGATTTTGTTTTCTTGCCATATCTACATTTATGATGACCCCCATATATTTCCTCTGTACTTCATTATGCCCAAAAAATAACTACTCCCAGAAGTTTCACTCATAGTATCAAAGTACCTCTTTTTCAAGGAGATAAAGTTAAAAAACCTAATTCCCACACAAACAAGTCTTTTTGCAGTGTCTGTCATAAATCAGTCAGAGGTGCAGGTTAAAGTAGACAGGTGAAGGTAACATTGTCTTTTATGAAGCATAATTTAAGATTTTACCTAACTGGAAACCCCGAAATACTGTCCTTTTCTTTGGTATTTGTATGCTGAATCCATTCGAACTTGGAAGTGGTCAAGCAACTTATCATTGATGTAAAATACCAAGGGACTCATTCAGTGACAGTTAGAGAAGGCAGCAGAAAAATATCATCAGTTTAGGTTGTTTTGAGAGTTGCATCTATGATAGTCTCACATGTCACAACCAAGTGTTCTGATTTTTGAGATCTTTGATACTTGGGGTAAATTTTACTGTAAAGTAACCACAAATGTAAGTAATTTCAACTATGATAGCCTAGAAATGATAGGCTTTACTGAGTTCATAGATTATTATCCAACTCGACCAATATTGATGTTTTTATCTTGAAAGCATTTCCAGTGCTTTAAATTGTCCTCTGAACTGGTAATCCAGATTGTGATAATGGAGAGGCTTGTTTGGAAATTGAATTTAGGACAATAGTTTGTAGCACGGACTCACTGAACTATATCTGTGATTAGTACTGTGGGTTCATGGGGGGAGTTGGATTCAGCAAAAAAGGCAGTTATTGTAGTTAAACTGCCTCCAATCAGAACATTTAGTGATGAGACTTTTGCTTGTGTTGGTGCTTTAGTATTCATGTCCAGAACTTGACCTGTGTCTGACTAAGACCCTGATTTATGAGTCCTGATTTTCAGGTCTCAAGTCGAGTGACTCAGGCTCGAGCACTGGTATCATTCAGGCTCTGAAGTTGGAGAAGAGAATTAGGACTTATTTATTCATGAAAACTGTTTTTATTTTTTATTTTTTGCAAAAATCCACATGATTTATTTAGGTCCCCCAAACACTGTCTATGCGGTGCTGCCCATGTGGATACAAATTATACCTCATGCTGTGGATTTGTAAAACAGTCTGTTTGGCATGTCAGGCTGCTGTTTTGTTGCGCGTGTCAGATAAATACACAGAGGACGCTCCAGAAAGTGATCGAAGTGTGGGCTCTAATAACATGTATTCTTTGCCAGCTCTGCTGTGTTATAATGAAGTGCCTACTTTCTACTCCACAAATGCTGTTGAAATCTGGATGGTGTTACACGTGTTTGTGCATACAGAGCTGTAATTGCACTGGTAATTAAAGCTCTACACATATCGAGAGGAGGAATTCAAATGTTGATAAATGAGACGTCTACACATCCTAATGGTCCTAAACAGTCAGTGAGGTTCATACAGTGAATAGTAAATGCTATCGTGTCTTATTTTGGCAGAGCAAACATCTTTTCATACCATGTTCAATAATTGCACAGCCTTCCTCATAATACTGGAAGTACAGATCAACTTTTATACCATATAGGGGACTTATGTGCTTACATTTTTTGAGTGTGTCTAAGAATAATTCCATCAATTCGACATTCAGCATTTACCTGTACTTTCCCGTTTTGGAGCTCAAGGAAAAGGTAATCCTCCATTCCTGCAGCCAGTAACAGCAGCCCACTTCGCCTACTCGTTTTGATCTGCAGTGACAGCTGGAAACTGGAAACATCTTGGACCGCCTGTAAACTGCAGTAGCTGTCCCCGAAGTAAGATTCTGTTAAGAGAAGAAAAAAGAAATAAAGATAAGAAGGAGGCATCACGTCAGGCTGGGAGACCAAAGGCCGACATAGAAGCAGATATTCTCGAGTTTTACTGTATGTGATTCATGAATAACAAGTCACATTTGCATTTTCGATGGTAGCATGTCACGGCTCACTATATTTTCCTGCATGAGAGTGTTAATCTTAACCTCACGGCTGGATGAGAACGGTGTGAATTCTATTAAGAAACTTTGGAGTTACCAGCTGAATTACAATTTTCTGAGTGTAATGTTATGGTGCAACTTGCTCTGGATTGATCTCTATATTAACAAGTGTCCCCCCAGCTGGTCCGGGCTGAAGAGCTGCTCCCCTGGCCTCAAAGGGATTCTCTCACTGAGACATCACTCATTACTCCTGCTGAGATTTTTCTGGCCATGTGGAGTCTCAGGGTGCAGGATTTCCCAGGCTTGAGCTGTCTCGTTTCCAGTGATATGCTAATTCAGCCACCTGCCTCGGACTGTGCTCGCCGGGGCCCTCGACAAAATGTAAACCACGGAGGAAGTCAATTATTTCCCAGCGCACATGCTCTGAAATTGAACTGGACCGCCTCCAAGACCCTGTTTCCTCGCCATGTGTTTTCCATGGCCTCAGCCAAAAGATATAGAAAGGGGGGCTTTCCATTAGCCACCCACTCGCCCACGCTGTGGGGATAGTTCAAGAGACAGGAACTCATCTGAACACAACAAAGTCTTCTGATCACACAATGCAGATGCTTTGAAATATTTGGAATAGAGGCAGATTGAGACGCGGCTGTGTCAAAGTTAGAACATTCCTACGAGATCATGAGGATCAAAATATTCACTCAAACACAACAGAAGCTCCAGTAGCCCAGCAGGAAGGTGGGCTTGATGCCACCAGGGAAAAATCTCACGAAATACCTTCTTAGACGTGACTGAGTCAGAAAATAGAAGAGGAGAAAATACATCAGCGAACATTCACGCAGCTATAAATGGAGATGTATTTTCTCCAGACCTAAGAAGACCGTGTCCAAGCGGGGGAAATGTTTGTATGTATGTGCGCCTTTAAAGGGCAGTGTGTGTCTGTGTTGCATCTTTATTAATGCCACAGTGCCAGCTTCACAACAGTGAAGGGCACATTCGTCCTTTGCTTCCTCATCCTGTAAATGAACCCCTCCGTCCCGACGCACAACAAACACCTCAACTGTGAGCAAAGACAATCATTTTGATGTCAGCAAGGACGAAAAAAGCAAAGCTTCTCCTTTTTTTCTCCCCTTCTCCTTCTGCCGTGCCCATGCTTTGGTGATTTCACTAAGAGGCATTTGCTTTCACTTCCAAGGCTGCTCTGTCATGAACAAAGTCAGTGATGAACGGTGTTGGCACAGAGACAAATACACAGAGACTTTCGATTATAGCTACACTGCTGCACATTGCTGGTCTCCTGCAGCCTAAAAAACAAACCGACAAAAAAGGCCTTAGTAGTGGTTTTTCACAAAAATATCACAGGAAAACAGCTTCTGATACATGTTAGATACTGTATCAATAGAAAGAGAAAGGGAGAGCTTGCAAAACCAAAGCAACAGAATATAGTTTCATGTAAGGTGGGAGGCTCTGATATTGTTTTCAAGTCTTACTGGTATGTTCAGTGTCATAAATAATCAATATTAACAAAAAAAAGGTTGAAAAAGGATATAGAAGCTGGACTCGGGGCTTCTGTTCCTTATGCCTAAAGTATGACCCATGTACAGCACTTCAACATTGTGTTGTTGGCTTGCTAACATGACGTAAAACAAACAGCAGCATTCACATTATAACACATATTTATCAAAAACCAAGCCATGAGGTAGCCACAGTTTGCCAGAATAATGAAGCGTAGTGTTAGTCCAGGCAAGCAGTAAAGTCAAGCTCAGCCTGTCATACATCAACAAATCCTAACATCAGCCTATACCAGCTGACAGCTCAGACCGTCACCTTCTCACCTTGCATACAGGTGTCAAATGCTAAAACTGCTTTAGCCTGCCTGCCCTTTCTGCTGTTAAACACTTACTGTCTCCAAACTCAAACTCAAGTAAAATCATCCACAGGAATAAATGTTAAGTCATGCAAAGATGCAATTAGACGCTCATACTACTCTGGCAGCGGGAATCATGCTTAAACTTGAGCAGATATTCGCGTCGCAATAACTAATCAGCACAAAGGTTGCAGAGTGACGTATGAAAATGGACTGTTGTACACTGGTACTTAAAATGGAAGGCAAACTGATCGTGTCGGTGCCTCGAATTATATGATACCTTTTCTTTCAGTTACCAAAACCGGAATAAAAAGGAGCTCGACCAGAGGCAAGTGAGCGAGGAGGTCGGATTACCTGGTAAATTGTAATAAAACTTTGTCTATCACTTAATCCCGCCAGTTGAATTGGCAGGGATTACCGTTGAAATTACCATTGACGTGCAAATGAAGTGAATAAATACTATTCATTCATGCGTCTAGTTTTGTGCAAATTAAGCGAGTGGATGATTTTACTCTCGCTTGGTGTGAGCGCCCCATTGGCAACGCCACCCACCCCAGATGCTCATTTCCATTATGTGTCAAGTTTGACATTTGCTCTACACCAGAGGGTCTTCGCTGCTGCTCTGCCTGCCTTGGCTTTGGGAAGGTGTGCTCTCCCCATCCTGAGCTTTGGCCTTCCACATAATGCACATGGAAGGGTGGGGTGCTCTGGGAACAAATCTGCACTGTCAAATATAACTCATCGTACCAAGATGATTCATTTCTTCTCGACAAAAGTGGTCCCGTCTAAAGTGAGTTTTGTATGACTTACAGCCTAAAATCCAGTCGTCACAAGCAGATGACCACTGTGGGACAATTGGGAGTCACATCATCTCCAGGCCTCCAAAACCAGACGGGGGATTTAAATGCCTTTTTTTGTATTTGTATAAGTGAATTAAATGGAATTGTCTCAGTTACACATCATTCATTTACAGAATGCCACTTTTCAAAGGCTATTGCCTCGAGCTGTTAGTAACTGTGCCGTGGGTTATTATGGTACAGTTCACAGAGTTTCTGCACAGGCGAAGGTACTGCAAATGAAAGACTGCTGCTAATTGCATAAGAGCCTCCAGGCTGAAACTGAAAAATGGGGGGAACAGGCTCTTTTCTTACAGGCAATTGCATTAACAAAGAAAATCGCAATGAGCTCCATGGTTCTTAAACCCCGAGCTTTTGTTGGATTGTTCACTGAGCATGGGGATAAAAAGCTGAAGGAGAGAGTGATGCCAAGACAATTCTGCCTGGGGATTTTCTGGTTCGAATTCAGCTTGCTGCTGTTGCCTTCAGGAAGAGAAGCACATTTTCTAATGATACACACAATAGCTCTACTCTCCGCAGTGTACCTGGACCTGGAATTCATTAGTTCTCCAGCTAAGCCTGTAAAAGCTCAGAGAAGAATGGGCTTCGTGTAGGAAAGCGCATTTTCACTGTGCTTTCTGTTTAAATGCCCTGCTCCGTGACTCTGCCTTTGTCTTTGCTCTCTTTGCTGACAGCATCCCTGTGCCTCACTACGGCTGACAGGTATGCAAAAACACACTCGTACCTTCAGGAGGAAAGTCAAACATAACGATGAAAGGATTATAAGAAAGTCTACAGTTTTCAACAACATAACACTCAACAGTGTTTCCAATCTTCCAGGCTCCTGGGACTCTGTCAGTGGGATCTAGCTGAGGGTTTTGGGTGCTGGAAAGGCATCATTATCTGGAAAGGGTCATCCCAGCTCCACAAGAGAGTACACTAGAGCTGCTGCCACACTTAGTGTCAGTCTAAGCGCAGAGTTTTAACCACCTAAGAGGACGGCCTGTGATCCCCTTTAGCCACCACACCCCTCCTCACACTGCTTTATTGTGCGACAAGCAGAATGCTGGTCGCGGGCCAATGCAGATGGCTATAATTTGATGAGTGACTGCGCTTGTATCCATAACGCTCTGAGGAAACCGAGCCTTCCTCTCTTCTCACAGACGACTCAATGAATTACCCCATTGTCTTCCTTTCCCTTTCCTCCTCCTCCTCTTCACCATCCTCTTTTGGTCTCGATCTAGAAACACATGCCCGGAAGAACATAGGGAAGAGAGACACGCAGACCACAAGTGCAGGAAGATCCGAGACACTCAGACGACTGTGTGTCTTGTGACTCGTCTGTGTCTATGAGTCAGAGTCATTTCAGTCATATTTCGGAGTATGAAGGCAGACAGAAAAAATTCAGCCTTTGAAATACCAAATTTGGCTTGTTTACTGGTCAGATAGTCTGTGTGATTGTGCTAAAAGGCCTGAAGAGGAACTTCATCGGTATCACTTCATAAACAAAGAGTCATTTCTCTTAGATAATACGATATTCTTGTTTGAAACCCCGAGACAAAACAACCAAGTTTGTGTTCCTCCACACCATATCGCCATGGTAACTCTGCCTGGGATCCAAACAAACCACCTACTTGCGTAAGCCTTGGTTAAACCACAGTGAGTTTGCCTATAAATAGAGGTTCATGTTGGTCATTTGTTTCCTTCACTGGGCTGTGCCTACTACGAGAGGGTGTAATGAGTCCTCTAAGTGATTGTATGACGGAGGGAGTGTTTAATCCACGGAGAAAATAGAGAGCTTCAAAGGGTGTAACGACATCTGCCATATGGCTTCATGGTCATTACTACAATGAACAATTACACCTCTCACAGCGCTCAAAAGCACTCGTTCTCATGATGAAAATGTAGTTATGTTTCGTTAATGTCTGCAGATAGTGACCAAATGGACAAGTGTTTGTACACATTAGCGCTGGATCAGGAAGTCAATCGACACTTCCTCATAAGTGACTGTTAATTTCCCAGCGAAAACAAAGAGTCATTTCTTGTTTTGTTCTTTTAAATGAAAACATCTGCTGCCTTTCTATTATATATATTTTTTCTAATTCTAGCTCAGTTACATTTGAGAAAGACCTGGCAGTTTGACAGCACAAGCAAATTGATTAACTGAAGAAGTAGGGCTGGGTGATAAACCGAAAATTTATTGATACCGAAATTTATGACAAGAACTGACGTCATTTTGCCCATGTCAATATATTTGGTGTCAAAAAATATATAAATAAAAGTTCTTTTTGGATGTGTGTAGGTAGGCTATAATCTCACGTCCCTTTTAAGATGCTGCCCTACATCGAAAACGTGACTCCACCCCATCCAGTCTGTAACAAAGAGGGAAAGACAGGTGAGGAGATGGAGGACGGTTCAAAAGTTAATGTGGGAGAGGGTGAGCAGCTTGTGGAGTAGTTATCATCCATTTATCGTTATTGAGGTGAACTGCTCGAAATATCGTGATATTGATTTGAGGCAGTATCGCCCAGCCCTATAAAGAAGTTACATATCAACAAATCTCCCTAAACATGGTTTCTGTCTTTCAGTTAGTTCTTGTTACGGTAATCTCGATCTGATTATAACATATTTGAGTTGGCACAAGGTATAACTCAATAGATTTTAATTTGTTTTATTTGAATTGGGTGGGGAGGGGGCTTGGCCACCCCCTGGCAGCGGCCCTGTTGCAGAGCAGCAGCTGCATTAATCATATTACATGCTAACAAACGTCAGGGATTGCAGTGATTCTGTTGACTGGATCTCAGAAACTCTCAGAGGCAGATTAGATTTGCCTAAAGTGTAAAGATGAGAGACTTCAGAGACTGGACTTCTTGGATGTGTTTGAAGAAAAAAAAAAAACAAGCATGCATCTAAAAAGAAAACAAAATACAACAGATGATATTCCTAAACTAATCCCGGCAGTTTTTAACAGCTACTCTTAAAAGGAAGTGATCACAAACTGCAACATGTTTACAGACCTGCGCCTGAATGCAGCAGTCTGTGTAGGAAAATACTGCTAACTCCAGCACTGTAAAACAGCAGAGAGCAGAGCCACAACTCTGCATACCTTGACAGCACTGCTTTACAAGGACCCCCCCCTCCTCTTCCCCGCTGACTTTTCAGAAGTCCCCAGGGACACACTTTTACAAGCTTTATAGAGCCATTTCTCAGACTGGGCTATGTCAGTGTGAAAGCAAACACATCATCATTTTAGTCCCCTTTCAAATCCCCATCTACCTCTGCATCCCTCTGAGACACTCCAGTGCCAGTCAAAGTGAAAAGGAACAATACACTAAAAAAAACAGGCTTGTGGAGCCTCAGCGTGTGGCCTCCTCCCTGGTAATAATTAAAACTTTTCAGGCCCTCTGTTTGTAAAACTCGCACTTACACAACAGACTGAGGGGGGCCACAGCGACGAAAAAATTATGACCTTTCTGTGTGAAAGGAGAAAGGCAGTGTGATGTAATTTCAGGTTAGGAAAATGGACCTGTGAGAAAAGGGAGGGAAAACTGTGAAAGGCTCAGTGTTGTCTGGGTTTGGGCTGTTAATGTGGTTCTGAAAGGCTTGGTTTCTGAACCAAGTGAAAAGGAAAATACATTTTCTTTGAAAAAAGGGGGGGTCTTTCTTTTCTATGGCAGACTTGTTTTGTTGGAGAGGACCTGCGTTGTACAAAATCACCGACAGACATGTTTTCATTCGTTGCCATTTTTCTGCCTTCATCCTTGGATTAGGATGGGATTGAAAACAGGAAATCGGGAGGGATCAGAGAAGTGAAAGGTTGTGGAGGAGTAGCTTAAGGCCACACAGCATCCAATCAGATCATTTGTTTTATACTTCAAAACTCCCTGTGAACTCTTCCTTACTCTGCGTTTACTGTTTTGCACGGCTGCCAGCGAAAACATTTCCATCAAATGCTGGCTGCGCTTCATTTTCATGTTAACTTTCCTTTACCGTGTTTCAGGGCTTCAGTGAACAAAGAAATATTGTCCTATTTCAGGAGGCACAATGGAACATTTTCAAGTTTTCAGCTACCATGTAAACACCTTTTCCTCTGACTGAATATTCCAGCAGCGTGTGACAAATGCGGGTTTTCTTGGCGCATCAGGCCAAACGAAAAGACTCGTTGGTCATTATGACTGTTGGACTGATGATCTCACTCACCTAACAACATTGTAAAACAAACACAGAAGTGAACAGAAGCATTGTAGTGACTTAGGGCTCTGCTGTAGTTTACGACCCCCTAATACAAAGCGTGCCTGTGTCAGCCCGGCCGAGCCACGGAAGCTGTCAACCGCCAAGGTCCCAGTGGGTGGGGTCCTGTTAAAATAATCCCCCCCCAGCATAGAGAATTCACCCCCCCTTTATACTACACCATCCAACATCCCTCCTTGCACTAAGTGACCCTTTCTACACTCATTCACACTTTCTGTCCCCAAATGCTCATGTACGGAAAGAAATATCCAAACAAGCGATTGTTTATGGCCGTGACTTTCTCTGTTTTCCTTCAACTCGAGCGCTGCTGTTTATAGACTGAGCTAAAGAACATTTTAACGCACACCGGTAATGAATTCCAGCGTGAAATCTCAGCATGTGAAAAGCGAGCCGAGCAGCACGTCAGGGGAGATGACAGGAAGGAAGCAAGTTGTGCCAAACAGCGATGGATATCACATACAGTCGATTAAACTTGTCGCTTTCACGGTGATTCACTCCTCATCTGACAGGAAAGAAAGTGTCTTGTACTTTCGCACCTTCACTCCTTACTTATCCTTATAAATCTAATTAAAGGTCAATAGAAGATTCTCATTACCGTATAGGACCTCCTTAAGAAAAAGCGTAAAGGTGAAAGAACAAATGGAGTGTGTTGGAGGTAATGCATGACAGCCTCTGTTCCACTGCGCTGACGGCCCAAGGTAATTGCAGGAGAAAATTGAACGGTAGTTAAGAACTGTACAGCCATTTAAGTTTCCATTATTTACAATGTCAACACAAAGCTAGGCGGCTGAAGTGGTCCTTAGTCCTATTACCTTATCTACTGATTAGTACGGATAATTACACCAAATGATATTGATGTGGGTTATTTTAGTCCACCAGATTAAAGCAATCATCTCCTCATGATGCCACAGGGTAGAGGGTTTTTCCCATTGTACATGAGCTGCATACTTTCGTACCTCGTTTTACTAGGTTGTCCATATTCTGAGTCCCCAAAAAGAGGACACTACTATGCAGGGTGGAGACACAAAGTTGTGTGTAGTACATTTTGAGTTTTTCGGGTCGGGTCGGGTCGAGTGTTTTTACACGCTTCTAACTCAGTAAATCCACGTGACACAAACTCAAAACTTCCATACAAAACCCTGGACATTTGAAGGATTTTATAAACTCACCTGGACAAGGCTGGACAAGGTTGGACAGCCCCCCAAAAAGAGGACATGTTTGGATAAAAGAGGACGTATGGTCACCCTAATTTTACATCAATTGCATACATGGCCATGTTTTCTTTACAGGTGTCACAAACAGCCATGACATGCATTTTGCAAAACTACCATCGCAAGTTCAAGCTTTTTTTTTTGTTGAAGATGTTCCAAAGCGACTGAGTTTCAAATACCTTAAATAGAAATTCAAACCCTGTCTAACAGCAAGGCTAAGGGTTAAAGAAAACACCCAGAAACAGTCGATTTCGGCATAAATTTAGGTGCTGGTAAGGCTTGGTGTTTAAACTGTGTGCCCTATGTACAAGAGGCCATAGCTCTTGAAGTACGTGGTCTGTGTTTGTCACTGAATTCCTAGTTTCTTGATCCATCCATTGGTCTATCTTCTCATAAAAGCCCAGAAATAAACCTTAAAAACCCACAAGATCACAGAGTCTGTGGGTAAAAAGTTAAAATGTTTGTTGAATGCAGAGGTAGCACCACCCTCCGTAGGTCCTCCACACAAGGTTAACATCCACCCTTGCTTGTAAGGCAATGCAGTGGTCAAGCTAACTAGTTTACTATAACTTCATTTCTTATTAAAAACACTGCCAATCTGTTACATGGTTCCATCTGTCATCTGTGCTCATTTACATCCAGATCGCAGAGATAGTACTAACTTTCTGGCAGTTGTAACCAACAAAAGCCAGGCCAACGTTGCCTTATGTTAAGTCAACTACATGTACAAACCCATAGTTTTTTTGCTAATGTTTTGGATGACAGAGATTTACCCTCCCCAACATGCAGTCATTGTGGCAGGAAAAAAATTACCTCCATTACAACAGCTTCGTTTGCTCTAAGATGACTTTTGTCCAATGACTCAGTCTTCTTAGGTCAATGATGATTAAGAGAAGCTGATTGTCTAAGCTGTGGTCAAAGTGGAGACTAAACAATAACTCCTGACTATCACCACTAATTGTAGCTCTGCTGAAACTTAGTTAATTGGATGGTCAACAAGTTTATGACATTTTTTCACAATATAAACCCCAAGTTGTGTAATTTAAATACCTTTATTCTGAAAGATCCATATCAGGAAATGGCATGATCACAGCTGTAGTAACACAATCAGCAAAATAAAGGAGTCATCAGAGTAACACTGCCATGTTTATTGAAGTTCACCTATTGGGTTTTTGTTGGAAAATAAGAAACTTGTTTCTGTTGTCATGGCAGCACCCATTTGTTTATCCACATCATGGTTATATTCAGCACTTCCTTATTATGCTTTATCCCCGCCTCTTGGCTCTGAGGCTGAATGGGAAGTTCCACATTTAGCAATTTAATGGGAAAGTGATGCATGTGAAAACCCCTTTGAAAGAAAGCATCAGCTGTCAAGAAGTGGATAATCTGGTTATCAGGCTTTCTGGAACATTTTTACACACTTTGACAAAACCCCTCTATGTGAAGTCTAAGGCTTGTCTGTTTAAAGTAGTTATCAAAACTAAAAAAGGAGACAAAAAGTCCATTATATTGATATGACAGGGGTATATTTGATCATCTTGACAGATATGTGTGTCTTTATTGAGTCAAATCAACCAAAACAAAACCAACAGCGAAACATTTATGATGGAGTAGGCCAAGACACTGTTCAAAAGCTTCAGGAATCTATCTGTCCTAATGCCAGGCCATTTCAGTCAACATCTCAAAAAGTTATCTCTTAAACATCCAACTGGCTAGAGTTGAAATAGATGATTTGAAACCCACATCCACCTTCTTATCCTGTTCATATGACACCAGTGTTCTCTGACACCTCTGTTCTGAACCCTGATGGTCTTTGCTGCTGCTCTACCTGCAAGGATAGGTGTGTTCTCCCTGTTCAGGCATTTAGTGTGGCAGGTATGTGGATCCGTGCAGCGATGGAAGTGCGTACACATCATGTACAATGGCATAGTCACTGCAATGTTGGTTACGAACAGGGTGAACTGGGAAAAGGAAGTGTTTCTTCTGTTGTTTTTGGCATATTTAACCGATAGACCAACTGCAAGCATGTCAGAATGGTTTTGTTCTGTTTAAACACTTGGTGGCTATACAAGCAAGTCTCAACCGGATCACTTTGTGTATAGCAATAATGTAAACAGTTGTAATCAAAATCAGAGGGAATCAGGTTGAAGACAAATTGCCTGCTGGAGATTGCATATTTTTTCAACCGTAATCAAAGGGAGTAAGCTAAGCTAGCTGCTTTCAGGCTGCAGCTCCATATTCGGCATAGACGTGACATTACCTCTGATCCTTAAATCGAACTCTTGCCACAAAGGTTGGTGAATGTATCCACCAAATCAGCGAGGCTCTCTTTCTGGTTGACTCTGTAGCTCTGAGTTTGGGGTTTTCCAGCTTTGACGTAAGCAGTCACATTCTTGATTTGGACTCTATGCCGTGACTCAAACAACTCTCTATGATTCCTGGTACTTCACTTAATGTCAGCATAGTGCACTGTTGAGGTTTCTTCCTGTTATTCAGCGGGTTTGAATGTTTCCATCCGACATTTGGCTGGTATGCTCTCACACACTATTTAAAGCATCTAAGGGGTTGTTAAAACTGTCACATCCCTGACTATGAATGAGCAGAGAGCACTTGATAGCACTCTGGTTTTATCTCACGATTCACCACCATCACTTTTTGGGGCTGTATTACAAAGGTATGCCTCCGTGCTGGCTCTCATTCTAATTCTCTCAGAGTCTGACTCATTCACCGTCAACAGTCATTTCTGACATATCAATAGCTCCATTCAGCCCTCGCTCAGAGTGCCCTTATGGCTGCAGTTATGAGAACGAGTGCAGGCATCAGTCACTCCACCGCTAATTATCAGCGTGACATTGGCTTTTCAGTGGGCTGGAAAACACTTTGCTGAGTAGCAGCTCACTGTCATAAATCATTCCACTTTAGCGTCAGCACAGGGGGGGAGAGATTTAGGTCCTGGACCCTGAGAAACCTCGCTCGGCTGGGGTCTTGATCGGGGGAACACTTCATAGAGACAGTGTTTAAGTTGGACAAGTCTGCTGTATGGGCTCCAAATAGTTCCCAGACATATCTCATAAATTTGCAGAGTCTCTCTTTCTTTTCTCTTGCTCTTTGTCCATTTTTGGATATACTTCCCATTAGGGTCCTATGTATCAACAATGCTGGAGCATTTGGACTGTAGATTTCATGTTCATCTCAGCTGCAACCAAATATTTTAGTGCAAGCCATATGGGATATTTAAGTTTGACTTTAACGAAACTTTTATGTAGTTTTGCATAAGTACTCTACAAGGCCCCTCGCTTTAGCTCTTTGTCAGTCCCATGTTAACAAATATGAATGTCTGCAATCACCATCTGACAGGGACGTCTCAGCCTGAGAAGTCTTGTTTAATAAGCTTTGGCTTAAACTCTATGCAGTGATATGAGATACCTTAACTACCTTGTACATTTCATAATGTTGTCTTTAGAAATCACACCAAGCGTGAGTAAAATCATCTACTCACTTAATTCGTGTGAATCTAGACATGTGAATGAATGGTTTTTACTCATTTCATTCACGCGTCAATTTCAATGTTGATACCTGCCAATTCAACCTGCAGGATCAAGTGATAGACAAAGGTTTGTTACAATTTACCAGGTAAGCCGACCTCTTCACTCACTTGCCTCCAGGCGAACTCCTTTTTATTCCAGTTTCGGTAATTGAAAGAAAAGGCATCCACACACTGACACAATCAGTTTGCCCTCCATTTTAGATACCAGTGAACAACCATCTGTTTTCATACGCCACCCGACAACCTTCTTGCTGATTAGTTATCGCAACGCCAATTTCCACTTAAGTTGAGACATTTTCAGCTCTAGAGTACTCGGAGCATCTAATTGCGTCTTTGCATTGACTTAGCATGTAATTAATTTGTGCGAATGATTTTACTCGGGGCTTGGTGTGTGGAGACGGTAAGAGTCCTTCAATTGCACCCTATGGCGAAGCTAATGATGTGTGAATGCAGATGACTGGTATCGGCTTATACTGATGGGCACTCCATCTATTAAACGCCAAGTTCAATTTCTGTACTTCATAGATTTATAAGAGGTGATTTTACCCTTCACAGAAGTACTATACCCAAAGGTCCACTGGTCACATCAGTTCTAACGTCCAGCTGCACACTTTCCCTTGACCACATTTGATAGTGAGGCCTTTCTATAAACGAGGCCCCCAACCTTGCTGCACTACAAGAAGGGAAACTGTGATACAGAAGCTGCAGCGAAAGGGGCCTCCCAAAAACCCATATCCGGCTTTAACCTGGCTCTGCAAAGTCAGTGTGTGTTTGAGATCAGAGCGTCACATTAGCCCCATAATGAGAACCAGCTGAAGGCACACGCCAGCAGACTGACCCTCTCTAGCTCAGACTAGACTCTCCCCGCAGACAACATCTCTCCCCTTCCCCCCCTCAAACCCCAGGGACACCTCTCTCTTTCTGGTCTAACTCTGCTGAATTTAGGTCCAGATAAATGCTTTATCCAGATGCTCGCTCTCAAAACCCTTCCATCAACCTCTAAACCGTTCCAGTGCACACGCCCAAGGACTGAAGTACGTGGTGCAAACATAAACACCCACAGTCACCCGTGAAGATATTAGAGACTATGAGCACACGCATGCACACGCTCTCTCACTCTCTCCATCATGAGTTAGACGTCTCACAACCCTAACAGTCATTCCTGCGTGGCGGGCTGGCTGAGTCAGCCCACGGTCTCCCGCCATTCACACAACTGTTTTCCACTAGGCTACTGTGGAGGAGGCCCGCCCTGCTCCACCCAGCACATCCAGCCACTTTTCTTCCTGCAACTGCTCGATTCTCAATCTGGAGGAGAAAGGGGCACACTCCAAAACCGCCGTCTCTTTTTCCCGCCCCTCTCCTGTTCGTTCAATCTACGTCTGTCCACTGCATACAACCCAAAATAAACAGGCAATGACATGGAAAGCCCGGGAACCTTTGAGGAAAAACTTAAACAGTGCTCTAGTGTTCCAACTTCAACTTACACATCCAATTTTCCACTATTCTTCCACTTTTGTTTCATATTTGTGGTTTAACTTTGACTCAAAGGGCACTGATTTGAGTGGAAAATGATGGTGGTGGGTACATCAGGAATACCCCTCTAGAGATCTGTACCATAAACAGTCGCCTTTATAGCGAAATGTATATTTCCCCTGATCATTCATGCAGTTTGTTGAGTTTTAGAGAGTAACCAAAGATGTTTTGGAGCTTTGTTTTAATTGGATATTGGCTCTTTTTTTTTTTTCTGGAAGTGGCATTTGAATTATAAGAGACGAATCTGACTCAACCCATAACGGTCAGAAGAGCGATGATTATTTAAAAAGGCACAAGTGGACGTTTGGTCCAACCTGAATGAGTCCTTTGTTTATTTAACCTTTCTTTAAATAGAGGATATTCACAGAGTGTGAATGCCTTTTTCCAGGAACGCCCTGCTCCACATAGTTACACACAACCACACACACCTGGAAGCTAACAATGTCATGTGAAGTAAGCTCTCTGCTCAGGAGCTCCTCAGCAGTAGTAGTGATGGAGTATGAAGCATTCTCAGATTTATCCAGCTGGTTCTACGGTTAAAACCAAAGCTCTCCAGTCAGCTTCTTTTTCATGTCTTAATTTGCACAGTCTAAAAACACACTGTGCCATCTGCCTGGTGAAGTCATCCCCCTCCCACACATGGCATATGAGCCTTCGACATAGAATACACGCTCAATGCAAACACTGTTCTTGCAGGACTTTACCGTTTGTGCTACATCTGTGGTAATGGCTTGAACATGTGGTTGCAAAATTGCCAATCGTGGGGAAACAAACTCTGCGTCCCTGTCAAATCATTCAGTGGTCACTCTGAGGTTCTGGAGCGATGTCGTGGCAACGTGCGTCCTCGAACACAAACCAATGTTTACAGAGCGTAACTCACGCCCTTTGGCATCTGCACTGTGTGGAGATGTAGCAACAGAGGAAGGGAAACCATGTCTTCTGTGAGGGCTGCTCCAACCGTGTCCTTAGTAATTAAAAAAGATGAACTCTTTCCTAATGCCAGAGTTACCAAAACAACAGTCTGTGATTTCCTCTTCACCAGATAATTGATTTCTGCCAAAACTAGAGTCATTTACTGTTTTTAAAATTGGCCTGCCTTGTATTATGAATCAGGTTTCTTGGTTATAATTGATTGGTTGCAAGTCTGTGTTACCGGTTATTCTGGATACAATCATTGTTAATGTCTACAGGGAAAGGAAATGAATTGGGTAGACCTACACTCCTTCACCAAAGGGAACTAGTCTGTCAACACCAGGCTCCCCCGAGTCTGTGGGTAAACCGTGCTATATTGGTTTACAGAGTGTGGCTAATCTTTGTAGGGCCAGCATCACCAGTCTTTAGTCCTCCTTGGAAGCCTAATGCTGCGTTCGAGTTACCTCAGAGGTCAGATGTCTGAGCTGGGAATGACGTCACACCCAAGTAACCAGCGTTTCAGAAACAAGATGGCTACAACTACGAAAGGGGATGATAAAATAACTTAAAATAACTAAAATAACAAGCGCTAAAAATACTTTCGTAGATTGTATAAATTGCAATATATTATATCGCAATACTCAACGTATTGCACAATGTTAGAAATCGAAATAATATCGTATCGTGACGCAAGTATTGTGATAATATTGTATCTTGGCACAAGTATCTTGATAATATTGTATCGTGGGGCTACTAATGATTCCCACCCCTAATTACTACAAGTTTACTGGATCAAATACTGCCGAACCATGTTACAAAATCCCACCTGTCAGCTGTGATTGTTTACATCCAGGTATTAGAGCATTATAGTGCTATGGCAGCAGTCTTAAACCAGTGCTACACCCATGTCTAGTATTGGGTGGCTGTGCTACAATGAAAACAACATATAACCAGTTATTTTTGGCCTTTAATGATATAAACTTGAATCACATTGACAACAGTAAATTACCGTCAGTCGACTAAATGCACACATCCTAAGTTACCAGTTATCACTTCAGGTGGAGGCCCTTAATTCACGCAACATTTGAGACAGAATGATCAGTTCCAGTCAGAGGAGTTCAAGCTAAAAGCAGGGTGGGGAGGCTCTTCTTTGGCTTTGCCTGGACTATCATTGCTGTAACTCCTGTGATTTAAAAAGAAAGGGCAGATACCGGATCTCACAAACCGTATTCTTACATGGCTCCTCATTAAGTATATAACTCTAATGAGAAAGCATCTGTTAGAGGACAGAGAAGAAGTGAGATTATTCATATTACAACAATGTCCTTCAATCTTGAATACTGAAGCTATGAATCTCGTTTCTAGTGTATTTGTGCCTCTTTGCTTGTGGAATGACTGTCATGTTTTGCAGGTTCACAAATGTCATTTATCAGACAAGTGTAAACATAAACCGCCTGAAGCCTTTGATCGAAAAAAACAATGTTGTTTTATTCCGGGGAACACAGTCAGCTTGGTTTTATGTGCCACATCCCTGTGAGGATGGGTGACATGTGATAATGTCACGAGTCACTTCTGAAGCTCCAGTACCACGTGTTTGAGCTCATCACAGCTCTCTGAACTGCAGGGATGCCTCAAAGACAGAAAACACACAAAGAAAAAAAGTTCAGAAAAATTTAGAAAGACAAAATGTTCAGAGAGAACGGAGTATGATGACGAAGACCTGGAGAAACTTGGAAGCATGCTTCTGGGAGTCTAAAGGAAAAAATACAAAGAGCGAGTGCGGGGAAAATTGGGAAGCACATCAGAGAGCTTGTTTTCTTCTTGCTGTTCCTGTAAGTTGGCACAGAAGTTCGGCATATAGAGAGACAAGGTCCTTATTGCATCCCATTTGCATTTAGATGATAACAAGAGCAGGGAGCTAAAATGGGCTGTTGTTCTAACAACTTCTGCATGTATCCAACAGATGTAATTACGAGTAATGCACCTCATTGCCTCTGACTGATTAAGGTGTTATTTCTTCATTTCATCGGAGAGAAGTGGCTCTTAAGCCTTCTTTGTGGAACCCCCAAATGTGCGCGGCTGCTTCAAATGTTCATCGCTGTGTTTGGAGGAAAAAAAAAAAAAACGTATGCATTACAGACGACTGTGGAGAAATCCAACTCCCTCTCAATCTGCACCGCCCACTTTAGGGATGAGAGAGGAGCAGCGCAGCTATTAATGGAGACTGACTGCTTCTCAAATACTGGATGATCCTATGGAGGCCTTAAAGTGAAACTGCTGTATTGTAGCTAATGGGGATGTCATGAAATATCTGTCTCAATTAAGCAAAGATTGCATACGAGGGCTAACTGTCTGTGACTGCTGACTTTGGGCTTAAGTAAGGCTGTTTTGAAGCAACTAATTTCATAGTTGTTGGACTAAAAAATTCAATCCCAAGTAGTCGGTTAGTCTAGAAGTAGAAAACTACAGAACTAGCACAACCAGCCGTTACTGTCTCCACACACCAAGCGTGAGTAAAATGTTAAGTCAATGCAAATATGCGATTAGATGCTTGTACTACTTTGGTGGCAGGGATAATGCGAACTGGGCGGGAGCTGAAGATGTCTCAACTTGAGTGGATATTTGTGTCGCGATAAGCAATCAACATGAAAGTTGCTGGGTGGTGTATGAAAACGGATAGTTGTTCACTGGTATCTAAAATGGAGGACAAACTGATCGTGTCACTGTGTGGGTGCCCCAAATTATATGATACCTTTTCTTTCAATGCCCAAAACCGGAATGAAAAGGAGCTCGTCTGGAGGCGAGTGAGTGAGGAGGTCGGATTACCTGGTAAATTGTAAAAAACCTTTGTCTATCACTTGATTCTGCCGGCTGAATTGGCAGGGATTACCGTTAAAATTACCATTGATGCGCGAATGAAGCGAGTAAATACTATTCATTCGCGCAAATTAGGTGAGTTGATGATTTTACTTGCGCTTGTATGTGCCCCATTAGTCCTGCTTGCAGATTCTGTGCTTGTTTGATTTGTAGAGTTATGGCTGAAGCCAGACTGGAGCTGATGGCGGGTGGCGGTGCTACAGCACAGGCACAACATATGACATATGTTGGCCTACATTGGTAAAAGTACGGTACATTTAAAGCTTCTGTGAGGAGTTTTTGAGGTTTCTGAGATGTATATTGCTGCTTTTTTTATTACACAAGCTGAATAATATTGATCAGCCAACTGACTAAGGCATTTATCTTTAATGATGGGCCCAAAAATGTAAAGATCATGGCTTCAGAGTGGCGTTTTGGTAAGAAATATCCTCTCATTAAGTTTCTGACTTTGGGTTCAGGGCTTTATCATGTCTCCTTAATGAAGCTGCCACAGATTTGATCAAGTAAAGTGATATTTCCAACATAATCCATGAATCTTAAGATGATTTCCCACCTGACAACAACCATACCTGAATACATAAGAGCTGTACTCATCCTAGCAATCATTAATATGTACCTTGCTTGTGTTTGGAGCACATGTTCTTCAGATTTGTATACACTGCACCGCAAATCCTAATCAGCTCCTCCTGTGAGCCTTTCATCCATCATCAGGTTGACAAATCTTTGACCTCGACACAGCACAATTACGTGTACTGATGAAAGCGCCACACATGGGTGAGTAATTTGATGGTATGAGACATGTTATAGGCACAGATGGCTCTGAACAGGTTTTCTGCATAATGCCCACATAGTTTTACATACAATGCTGACAGCTCCTTGACTATATTAAGATTTATGAACAGATTTGTTCATCTTATCAGGGTCATAAATGGCTTTTTTGGCCCACTTTATGTGTCAGATATTGACAAGGCTGCCAGACTGATGAATCCAGGGGTTGAAAAAGTAGCGTCCAAAGACAGCTTCAGTGAGAAGGAGAGTGAGAGAGGGATCATCTGCAGGGGCGAGTAACTGAGCGATGGCGGCGGGGAAAGTGAGGGATGTGTTTTTTATTCACTGCTAGAGGCAAAGTCTCTGTTGAGACGGAGTCACTGTGTTGACTGAAGGCTAAAACAAAGCCCAGAACTAAAATCAATGTTTGCCTTCACAAAACCTTTTAGCTGAAAACAGAACAGAGCTTGAAAGAGGAAACCATTGTAAAGTTTGAATTGCTGCGAAAAAAATGAACACTAACCCCTGAGGGCTTTAAACTATCCAGACGGCTGATAATTCAAGTATTGATCGAACAAAAAGTGAACTTGCTCATTGCGGGGCTGTCATTTAAGTCTACAGATCTTTCTGTTGCTAATAAAGATCTTCACCCTTTTACTGCAGTCTTTACTGGCCTTGGTTTTTACACATCCACTGTAATTCCTCTGATGATGGTGTAGAGCGAATCTTAAAACTCACTCCAATTTTGAACATCAGGAATGCAAACTCACAACTCTTTTAAGCAACCAAGAGGGGGCAGTATGAAAACAGAACTATGTGAAACAGTGCAGGCTGCTAGCATGAGGCAAATTTGTGTATATTTTAAATATGTAAATGAATTGGATGAAGGAGACTTTGCTCTGACTCCCTGCGGATGAATAATAGTATGTAATGATGGTTCATGTACGGTTAATGGTCCCCCCTGGAGCGAACGTCCTGTCCTTCCTCTACTTTCTTTTGCGTTTCCCCTTGACTGTTTTATAACCATGTGCTTAACATGCTGTCGTTTAGCAGGCATTGGCACTGTTACCACATGTCGTGTTAAAGAGGTCAATTATACGGTGATACATATGCCTGGGATCACCTTGAAGCGGTCAGAAGAAGACTGTCGCTTTCTGGGTTCACATTTTGACTTACAGTGTCACAAGTTACAGTGAAAGTTTCTAACTTGAACATACAGATAACAATGTATTTAGTGTTACAATAAGAGTTACAGTACAAGAACTTTATTGATCCCCCAAAGGTGATTTCGTTTGTCTGGATTGTCTCATCCACTAGTCATTGAAGGATAAAGAAGTCTGATGTCTGTGGAAGATCTCCTGAATCGCTGTCCTGTGACATAGAGAGATATGATGTCCATCACTGTTGTTTCTTTTTAAATAAGATGTTTAATCCGTATACAAGTGATTGTTTCACGGAGAACATCACACTGAACTTCAGCCGTTGCCTTCAGTGGGATGTGCACAAAAATTGTTATATATGACTGAACTCCCTTGAATGGTGAGTGCTTTATATAAAAGGGGAGCTGAGGTCAGATTGTATTACCATAGGACCCTCATTTAGTTCATCTAATAGTTCATCTTGATCTTTTGATACTGTTTGCTGATACTGTTTTTCTATCAGGTTTGACCGACCACAGCTGAATAATTCACTTTCTCAAAAAGCAGAAAATAAACGAGGACTGTTCTTCAGAAACTCTGAAATCAAAACACGTTCCTTTTTTTCCACCTCCAGAAGTGATTGGCCCAGTTGCTAATTTCATGCCTCCTCGTGTGTATCAAGATGTCAAGTCTGACAATTTCTGTTTCATTAAGATGATATCAGGGCTTGCAGAGTTTGTGATGGCAGCTCCAACTCGGGGAAAGAAAAAAATGAAGCTCAATTTTGCTTCTTGCTGTTTCTCACAATTGAACCTCATGATTTGAAGCGATACACAAAATTATGACGATTGGTAGAAGCTCCAAAATTAAGTATGCTCTATTGAAAGATGACGGCCAGAGTGCAACTGTGATTTCTTGAGAGAGAAACGTCTTCTGATTGACTTGAGTGATTGTGTCATTCCTCTCTGTTGCAGCCCCACTTAAAGTCACTCTGCTTTAATAAGACATTGGTGTTTTAATGCGGCAACAACAGGCCTAATGTAGCTTTAAACAATGCACTGATTTCACAGTGATTTCCTTTAATCAGCAGTCAATTGGTTATGATAGCTTGTTATCTTCCTCGGCTCATTCGTAATCACAGTCTGCGTATTAAGGACCATTTCAGAGTTTAAATGATAAAACAAACTTGAGCGCCTTCTCCCAGCAGATGGAGAAGAGCTCCTTCAGCCTGCGATGAGAACCTTAATCTCACTCATGGCGCCAAACACCCAAAAAGTCAGGAAATTTGTGCTAATCCCTTTTCAAGGTTAGATTTTTGGGGCTTACATTGCTTCAGGCAGCTTTTCTCTGTTACACTCGCTCCCCTTTTGACCTCCTGCAAAAATCCCCCTTGCACACCTGTATTTAAGACGTTCATTGTGATTCATTAGCTGTTGCTCGAATGTTGGCCGTGTAAGACTACTTGAAGTATTTCCAAAAAGAGAATTATCATGCATGAAGTTCCGTGACTCCTCGAGGGAGGAAGATTAAACTTTTCCGTTCTCTCCTTGCCTCATTAAAGCAAAGATGATATACTTTCACCTGTAAAACATGGGGGGGAGGGCGGCAGGAGGCCTCCTACAGTATAAACCCAAACCATCTGCAGATGTGTTCACTGGTGCTTGCCGGCTAAGTAAGCAAACCCCACAGTGTCAATATGTGTGCAAAGAAATGTGCCACATGGTCTTAACATGCATACATTGCATCTCATACCTCACAGGGAGTTTAAATTCCACGCCGCCAGATATGATAATCATAAATCCGAGGATCAGCTTTTTGAGTATTTTACAAATCTGCATGATCCGTCAAGCTGGCAACATGCGCCCTGTAAAAAAAATCCAGGGTCTTCTGCTGCTTGTCTCAAACATTATCAAAACAAACGACGCAAAAACCCGAGATTCCTCATTGTATAAAATACATCTGTCACAACATTGGCGAGCTTTGATGAGCAGAGACATGAAAAGTTTTCTCTTCTAACTCCTCTTTGTTTAATTCAGTGAATAAAATTCCAATATTTCACACACTGTCACACACACACAGGCTTGGAAAACAGAAACATAAAGTCCATCAACAGATCATCAGCAGACTCGACTCTTATTCTGGGGCTGCTGAAATCTGAAACAGATGTTCATTCTTGCTAAGTAAAGACCGGATTCCTGTACGTATAGCCCTGTGATTTGCGAGTATGGCGTGTTGGATGAGTTTCCCAACCAACAAAAAAAGTCCCAGATATAACCTGGGATGTTTTCTGCTTGTTTACCCGTCTTTGAGTTTGCAGATGAAGTGAGAGCAGCTTACAAAACCATTAATTCACCATCCAAACAACACAAGCTAACCCAGTTGAAAGCTATTTCAGTGTAATTAAAATTCCTCCAGATTTAAATACATTCTCCAGCGTGCACGCTAACGGCTCTTTTGGGAGCTTCTTGGACTAATCGGAGAGACTGAGAAGTGTGTTCCTTTTTGCTAATGGGTGAACACATGATTTCACAGCTCCCAACGCGATTATACTCTTATTAGGGTCAGACATTCATAAAGACTCATTAGCAATTTCTTCCCATCATGTGTGTGGGTGATATCATTTCTATCTCTTTTGGGGTGTGCAGTCTTCCCGCTTTGATTCCAGTGACTCAATCCCTTTGAACCAATTTGTAAGCTACTGAGCGCTTGCATTTGAACTTCACCCAGACTTTGTAAAAAAGGAAAAGTTGAACTGAAAAGACAAAAAGGCTGAGATCCTCTTTTGGACGGTTTGATGATGTAAAAGTTCAGTTGGTGCAGTTTTTCTCAGAGTTTTAGGGATCATGAGACGGTTAGATTTTTGTCAAATTAAAACCCTCTCCTTTTTTTGAATGGAAATCTTGCACACACAGCCATTACGGTTAAAAATACCCCGTAATATATACTGTTTATGGATGTGGGAAAACATTGGAAAACATAAGCCATCAGCTCCGGTCTGAGAGAAATCCTGCCTCACTCAGACATGATAGTTATTCGTGTCAATGAAATCATCTCCCATTTTCAGATTACAGCAAATCCACTGCTGCTCTGTGCTCCCATTTAGATGAAACAGCTGAAAATTAAGAGCTGCACTTTCCTGAATATTTGGCGCCCACCTGCAGAGATAGTTTACATTTGAGTTAATTGAATAATGCGCGAGTGCTCAGCAATGGCAGCGTAATTAACGGTTAACAAGCAATCGCTTTCAGAAAGCTTGGCTGTGTATGCGTCTGTTTCTCTCAGGCAAACCAGTCCAGCTATTTTAGGCACACATAATAAAATTTGATCAGCAGTTTTGTAAAAGCAGCATGACTTGTTCTTTCCTTTCGTTGAGTCATGAGGAGGGGTGTGGTACCGGATTGGGCCTGGACGGTTGGCGGTCTTTCTTTATTTGAGTGTAGTGGTGTTAATGCAGCTTGAAAGGGAGCGCTTTGTTGTAATTCTCAAGTCATCTGCACAGTAAATTTGGTCTGACCTGATGATAGTTAAAGACTTCATGTGGCTTTATTAAAGATCCTCTCAAAAATCACGCTGAACTGAACTGTGCATCTCTGCATGAGACCCGAGCCCAACAAAGCACATCTAAATGGGCTGAATGTGATTGGAGGCAAGTTCAAATGATGGGCGTGGCTTGCTAAGCTATTGAGCCACGCCTATTTACCAGACCCATTTCATACATTTAACTTCTCCACTTGACACGTTTACTGAATGTGGTGATTTTGCTCGACTGTTATGCCCTTCATATGTTACAACTTCCTGTTTAAAAATGGTAGACTTCCTGTTGGTTTTACAGAAGCAGGTTTATAAGAATGTTTTGTTTGAGTGCATGATGCATAAAGGTGTCAAACCGCTTCTTTCTGAATTAACAATAGCGTGATAGCTGGAAATTTGTGGGCGTGACAAATTGAGTCTTAAAGCCACGCCCACGGATGTCAAACCACTTCTTTCTGAATTAAGGTGGTGATTGCTGGTTTTTGGGAAATTTGTGGGTGTGGCAAATTTAGTCTTAAAGCCACGCCCATCTACTGCACCTATATCAAAGGTCTGAGAGTTTTACAGTGCACCTGTTTAAAAAAAAAAAAAAAAAAAAAAACTTACTAAGTGACAGAGGAGTCATGTAGGAAAGGAACTACAGGTGGGAAGCGAACCTGATCTGGCTCTGAGCCTCGCCCTGCACCAACCCTTTTTTGACTACATATTAGGGCTGGGCGATAATGGCCTCAAATCAATATCACGATATTTGAGCAGTTCACCTCGATAACGATAAATGGACGATAACTACTCCACAAGCTGCTCACCCCCTCCCATATTAAATTTGTCTACTTCAACTGCCGCTCCAACTTCTGAACCGTCCTCCATCTCCTCACCTTTCTTTCCCTCTTTGTTACAGACTGGATGGGGTGGAGTCACGTCTCTGATGTAGGACAGCGTCTTAAAGGCAAAATGATACGGGCAAAATGACGTTGGTTATTGTTCTAAATTTCAGTATTGGTAAATTTTCAGTTTATCGCTCAGCCCTACTACATAAAGCTGTAGAATACCATTAAACTGACTAAAAAGCTAAAGAAAATTCTCACAGGAGCTTTAACCGCACTTCTGGCAAACAGTTTCCATGTGTAAGTTATTCACAGAACAACAAACGACACAAACGCAGATTAAAAAAAACAACTGAAAAGAATCTTCTGGCAGCGACAAACCGTGGGAAGCTCGAGATGTGTGACTCATGCATCTGTCTTCAAGCCTCGGATGGCCACACACATGAAAACTCGCACATAAACACATGAGGATCTCCACTTCCTGCTCTCGCGGAATCCTCCCAATGAGCCGCAGACACGCTCCTTTCAATCCACTAAGGCAGAAACACACACACGCAAACACACACACATGCAGATGGCAAACATCCTGATCGGGAGACAGCTTATGCATGTGCTGGCGGCATGAAGGTTGAAGAGGAGGGGGCGAGTTTGAATCCCCACATGAGCTGGAGGTTGATTTATGTCATTTCCTCACACTGACGAGGTCCGCTGAGGTGCCTTTGAGCAAGAGACGTTTAACACTGGTGGCTCCCCAGCGTGAATGTGCCTGATGGCTTGGATGTGAAGCCAAGTGTGGCTAAGTGTTGAAAATGTCCTCATATAAAGTGCTCATCACTTTTACACCTGACATGTGGAAAGCATGACATCCATGTTTCTGCCACATGAGCGACAAACACACCGGGGAGCGCAGAGCTGAATGCACAAACATATGGATTTAGTTGACAAACGCACAAACTTGCGAGCGCTGTTATTGTGTGATGACATGGAATGTGTTTGCTTCGTTTTTACTGCGCTTTTGAGGTGGTTTTGGATCAGGGAGAAGACGGTTCTTTTTTAAAACATTTATAAGCTACAGGGTTGAGGGGGGGAGAGAGGGAGGAGCCATCCCTCACTGGCTGTGGAGGAAACCGCCTCCCACCAAAAAAGAGAGAAAAAAAAAAAAGCAAAGCAAACAAATGGCACAAAAAGTTATTTTCATATGGCTACTGTAAAAGAAGCCTTTGTGTCCTCAAAAATCCGCTCCAACCGACACTTAACCGAGCGCTCTGAAGGAAAGGACAAATGGAAAGAAAGAGTCAAAGAGACGAAAAGTACGCAATGTACCCTGTTTGAAGAGGGGACTTTCTGCTGAGGAGCAAAAGATGTATTTTCGGTTGAAAAGAGTTCATCCACATCCACTATTACACCAGACAGCCTCTGCGTAGTGTCAGGGCGTTGGTCTTGTTTTTCAACAGCGTCACTTTCGGCACGGCGGCCGATCTGTCAGACCTTAATAATGTGTTTTATTTTTAACCGCTTCACTTATCTGATGTGGCGGCGCTAAACCGCAACAGTCATGTTCAATGAGAAACTGCAGTTAACTTCTGGCAAACACACAAGCCGGGAGAGTGGATTTACATCGACACGCTGAATAGTGAAGAAATGTGCTGCATGGTCAGACCATCAGAAAGACACCTTTGTGCATGTACCACCTCTAGTTTTACTCTGGGTTACCTCTAAGAGACACTGACGCTGTTTTCTGTTGCCAAGCAACGGCAGAAAACCCACTGAAAGCCTTTTTTGGTCTTTAAATTGACATCGTATGCATAAAATGTCAAGCCTTTGATGTACCGAACAGCAGCTGTCAGGAACAAACACTGAGCCGTTGTTTCAACCGCGCGCCTGCTGTGAAGAAAGGCTCCCGGAGAGCGTACGCAGACCTGCTACATCACACAACATCCATGCTGGAAAGAACATATTAAAGATTTTAATACAGTTCACTCGGAGGTCTCGGTGCATTGCTCTTGCACATGCTTCTGAAAGCCAAGTCTCAACTGTTAGTTTCTGGGTGATATAATGGGGCATATATTGTATGTATGTGTGTAACACAGCATATGTTACTCCTGAAAATTCATGACACGGGTCCTGTGAAAATGATGTAAATGAGTCGTGGCCCTCAGTTATGAATAAATTCATAGTTGTTTATTAGAATTTAAATGAGGTTGAGGGATTGAAATCCACGGGCCAAATGAAGCTCGTATACATCTGACAGCTAAATGCCGCTCTGAAACGCACTGATTCTCCATAATCCTGCCAAAGGCGCCCGATACCATCCAGCTGGCATTCAGACGCTGTACAGATGCGCTCAGTTCACCAAGAATAAGGCCCGTGGAAATAACAGCGCTGTGCAAAGTACGGAATGCATGAATGTCATAAACATACTTAGCTGCGAGACTTCCAAGCCAGCAGTTGAACACTGCAGGGATACAACAGTCCATTTGTTGTCGAGCCTCTTGGTCCTGCAGGATGCCGTAGATCATGTCACGCCTCAGTAAAGTCAAATGAGGTGACCAGCGTTCCCATGCATATCTTTCATGTGTTTATTATTACTGTCCAATGTGTATATGCTGCTGGACATTACAGATGAGCATTCACTATTATGGATAATTGAAATAAGAGTGCTCTTCTGCACACTGAATCAACTGTACTCGGAGGAATCCCGATTCAGACATGGTTATGTAATGTCTCTTGGATAACTTCCTGTGAGTTTAGGGGATGAATCCATGAAATTATAGAGTTTGGACCAGGATGGACTGAAGAAATAAAAATACCAGAGCAGGAAATATGAGGTACATTTCCTCTTTTTTATGAATCCAGCCTCTTTCTGCTTCTTGAATCTACAAAACTGCACTCCAGCCAGCGTAAACGACCAGATTTGTCACTTTTAGTGTGATTTTAATCATTATACGTTGTAGTCATTTAAATGCATGTAAAAAAAGAAAGAAGTCCCCGAATTCACATTTTTCTCATCCTTTCTTGGTGTGTGGCGCTTGTGAGGTGGAAAGCTGACCGAGGAGGGCGAGGCAGGGTGGAGCCGGGCCGTGCACAGCCAGTCCTGTTGAATTTGGCAATAAAACATCCAACTCTACACCACCACAGTATCCTCCTCACACCATGTGCAAATACAGTCTAGTGCTCCCGAGGTTCAGTGGTTTAACAAAATTTACAGCTGTAATTCAATAAGAGTCCGGATCATGTGTAAAATGGTCATAAAAACGGAACTTGATGGTTTTCAAATCATCTAAAGACATTTAATTGAAAATTCGGCCAAGACAAAATATCAAATGTTGAACTGAAATATGTCCGTTTGGAGCAACACATTCCCTTAAAGTTGGGACTAGTGAATATTTTCCATCGAGTTGCATCACCTCTTCTTTTAGCAACACGCTAACAAATATTAGGGAACCAAGGAGACCAGTATCTGGAGTTTTGACAGTGAAATTCAGTCCAATATTTGCCTAATGCAGGATTTCAGCAGCTTGTGTGTCTGAGCGCTTCTTTGACATCATTTTTGGGTCATGTTGTGCAAAATGACTCAACAGTCAAACACTTGGACTCTCCCAGTGCAGAGCCATGCTTTTGTTATCCATGCTAAAAAAAAAACAGCTGGCATTGTCTTTCTGAAATATGAGGATCAACGTTTAGATACATCTGTTGGTGTGTAGATTATTTAGCACAAATGCTGCCTACTCATGCTGTTGGCTCTTACGCATCCCCACTCTAACAAGGATGCTACTTTTTGAATTGTGTGATGATAACGATTGTCAAATTTTTACTTTTATGACTACAGGACAGTTGCTAATGGGCTCAGGTCTGAGAAGTTTCCAGCCCTTCTGAATCATGTGCATAGTTTATACTGTTTTTGGAACTACTTTTTCAGGCTATTTGACCAAAAAGAAAAACACAAGAAAGGTTAGGAGTATAAAGAGAGACTACATGTAGTGATTGGCTGTGGTGTAGAGTTTAACCACTGACTGATGTGGTGAGGACTCTAGCCTCTGTAAAATGGGAAGATGCTAAAATCATTTGGCCAATGCTGCCCTACATGGACGAACATGGCAAACTGTTCACAGGTGATTTTAGGACCATACAGTGATTTCCACTACAGAGTCTTGTCTGTTTTGTGAAGCAGCGCTGTCCTCAAAGTCATGTTCATGTCATCCAGTGCTAGCTTTTAGCATTGTCCCTTTTTGTACAGATTTCTCCAGAGAAGTACGTCATAATACTATTACTATGGTAACTGGACCACAAACATGTATATAGTCTTTTCTTTGGTCCTCTGACTAAAGTGCTGTTACATTACAGGTCATAAATCACCCATTTACGCCACATCAACACACTCATGGCAGAAGCTGTTATGTAAACCTTCCATCAGTGTTAAGTATCTCCAGTATCATCCAGCTGGAGGCAAGCAGCAGGGAAAGGTTGGGATCAAGTGTCCTGCCCGAGGACACTTTGGTATGTGGACAGCGGGACCAGGGTTCGAACTCTTGAAGCCACAGCCCCGTCTTTCATATCTAACACCACCCACCTGCTCATAGTTACAGCCTCATTCATAAATCCCACACCCAGCCGGTTACAGTGCTCATCCATTTCTCCACTCAGGCCGACAGTTTCGGGGCCACTAACTTTGTTTCCAAATGACCTCACTCTACAGCATCGTGATTCAGGAGTCGGCTGTGAGTTCACAGGCAGACTACCATCAATAGTTTATGAGCTGCATTAAAAGAAAGCTTAAGGAGGTCAAGGTAAAACCCTTTTGGTGTTTGAATAAATGCAACTGATGGTTTAACTTCACATAACCCGACACACGAGTCTCAAACCACCTGCTTTGGAATAAAGCTGTAAGATAATTATTGGGTCACGGTGTATGAGATCAGTGTAATGGGCTCCACTAGAATATTTGACAGCATGTAGGCGTTGTACAACTGGCTCTGAGTTCAGATGAGTATAAAGATAAGAAGTCTTGAGCCCCGCTAAAGCCGGTATTTGTGGTAGGGGTGGGAGAAAAAATCGATACAGCATAGTACTGCGATATATTGTCTGGTGGTTAACGTAATGTCACATTTACCAAGTATCGATGTGAAGTCAAATCTATGATAATGGAAAAATAAAGTCAACTGTTTGTCCAGTGAGGTTAGCAGAGGTAACATCATAGAGCAGGAGAAAGTTAGTGCAACAAATATAGCAGCACCTGGGGAAAGACATTAGGAATGCAAACAGGGCCCAAATGAGATGGACCTGACACATACAGGAAAAGACAAATGCTAAATTAGCTAAACAGTTGAAAAATTGTATAAATCGCAATTTATTGTATTGCAATATTCACTGTATTGCAAGATGTTTAAAATTGCAATAATATCGTTGTGGCCGAAGTATCGTAATAATATCGTATTGCGGCCCAAGTATAGTGATAATATCGTATCATGGCCCAAGTATCGTGATAATACCGTATCATAGCCCAAGTATAGTGATAATATCGTATCGTGGGCCAAGTATCGTGATAATACCGTATCATGGCCCAAGTATAGTGATAATATCGTATCATGGCCCAAGTATCGTGATAATATCGTGTCGTGACCCAAGTGTCGTGATAATATCGTATCGTGACCAAAGTATCGTGATAATACCGTATCATGGCCCAAGTATCGTCATAATATCGTATCATGGCCCAAGTATCGTGATAATATCGTGTCGTGACCCAAGTGTCGTGATAATATCGTATCGTGACCAAAGTATCGTGATAATACCGTATCATGGCCCAAGTATAGTGATAATATCGTATCGTGGCCCAAGTATAGTGATAATATCGTATCGTGGCCCAAGTGTCGTCATTATATCGTATCTTGGTGAGTCCCACCCCTAATTTGTGAACTGCAGTGGTTGTTATACCCTGATTGGCCGGTCAGTAGATTCTCCATGATGTCTACAGCCATCATCGGGCTAAATTTTGAGGTTTGGAGCTAAATGAGATGATAAGTATGGTGTAGATTATGGCGTTTTGAAAAGTTCGTAACAGAACTTGTGGCCCCTTCCATTTTTCCTTCTTTATGGCACCAGAAGCATCTCAAAAGGAGTTTTTCCATTATTTTCAAGAGCTAATGAAATGCCCAAGAGAATAGGTTGTACTTTTGGTTTGGCAATCGGCAACAGAAATGTACTTCAGTTACATAGAGTATAAAAAAGCACAGTCAGAAACTTGAGGCCTGACAGTAGATGTGCTCGAGTACTCAGAGTGTGAACAGTGTTTCAGTATATTGAATCAATATTTTTGAAAGTTTCTAGTAAGACATCATCTGAGAGTCAGAAACAGCAGCTCCAATGTTATGTACCACAAACTCAATCCAATCTTCGCCGAGATTTCCATGCAGCTGTTTAACATTTCGTTTCACACTTGAAGGTACAGCAGAGCAAATTCCCTGCATCAGCTCCCCAAACTGTATCCACTCAGCCAAACTCCAGGCCCAGGAATGCTGGCCTGCATGCACAAAGACAGATGTCAGGTAATGACTAAACATTCCCAGTCTGTAATGCACTATTTCAAATTTCCAGAGGCAGGAGACTCTTTCCAACATGGACTGAATTTCACCTCTTAGCGCGGTACCTTGAGTGTCATGCTAAAAACAGGCTCTCTCTTTCTTTCTCTTCTTGTCAAGTGATATCTGGGGGCGAGTGTTCCCAGTATAATGTTGTGAAGACATTTTTGGCGAGGCAGAGCTGGCTGCTCAGCCGAGTATGTTCAAAAAGCCAGTCGCCTATAAGAGGCACTGAGGGGTTCCCATTAGAGGAGAAAGTGGAGGTTACAGCAATGTCATCATGTCTTTAACAAGCACATACTGTCGGTTTTCTGGAGGCTGCTGGCAGATGTGAAGTAGGCCTGTCTGTGTTTAGACTGTGAGCCTCTAATGGAGACCCTCCTCATTAAACCCAATCAGTGATCGATTATTGTGGCTGATTCTTGATAATGAACACATTCAATCATGATTTGAAAGCTGATTATTTGACTGGCGTAAGATAATTGCTTGCTTCAATCGTAAACACTGCTGTTAAAGTAGTAAAGTGGATGCATTGGCACAGCGGTGGGGCTTCCTAGACAACCTCTAAGACAACATGACAGTTCTCTTTACCTCGACAAACATGTTCAATCATGTCTGGAAAAGACATCGACAATTTGGCAACACGGTGAACTCAGTTTGTTTCCACTTTCTGTCGCCAGGAAAATATTTGTGCTCGCAAGTAGCTGCCTGTTGGATGACACTACCAGCTCTCTGCAATAACAGCTGCTGGGAGAGTTAGTGTTAAGACTTCCACCAAAATACACAATATGGCAAATTACCGCGGGCCAATCTTGACTCCTGCAGAGATAGGAAAACAGTTCTGTGTTTGCTTTTTCATATCTTTTTAAAATTTCTCTCACCATGATCGATCATATCAGACTATTTCTCTACTATCAGCTCTCTGAGCAACCCCCCAAACAAACTGATTGGGTTTGATAATGTCTGCTTGCAAACGTTGGTTATCGCACGTTCCTATTTTTAAAGTGCTGACCCTTCTTTCACTCTCTGCTAAAGTGGAGTAGAAGTCTGTGTTTGCCAAGCGGTGGACCCGCCCTCCCTAAACGTGCCTCCCCATCCATGATGTCTCCACTGGCTCATAAGTTAGACCTGATTAAAAGTGTCTCCTCCTCTTCACCTACATGTCCCATTTGAGACTGAACTCAGGCTAATTAGTCGACTCAATAAAGGATCATAGCTTTCAGCTGGATTCACCGGCTGATGTAGAAAGAGCAGATGGTGGTAATGTTATGGGTGTAAAGACTTTCACAGATGGAAACCAGTAACTTAAAGCAACATTATGCAACTATTGAACCATGAAATAACAGCATCAGAATCATAATGATGATAGTGATTTGTGTGAGCCTCTTTTATTCTTAGTCTGCTCTAAAACGCCTCTTGAGTTAATATACTCCCCTGCTTCCTCCTGATGCCAAATCCATTAGCTGGTCAAAGGCCAAGTACATCAAAACTGCCGGAGTAAAACAAACCTGGAGTTATAAGAGTCAGGACGCTGTGTCAAATGTTCATAAAAACAGAATTTGAGTAGATTTGCAACTCAGTACAGCAGCCTCTGGAGTTTTCAAAGTGAAATGTTGCAGAGCCTCGCTTGTGGTATGTTAATGTGTCATTGAGTACCAGATGTTTTTAATAGGGCTCTTGGACTCTTCTACTACAGAGCCATAATATATGCAAAATGTAGTCTGGCATCTTTTTGCAGTGTTATGTCCTTGAAAAACACAGTGTCTAGATGGCAGCATATGTTGCCACAAAAACGGTTTGTTGTTCAGCATTAATGAAGCCTCTCCAGATGTGCAAACTAACCATGAAGTGCTAAATTGAGCATCCCCATACCATCAGGGATGCTGGCTTTATAAGTGTGCAGTGATAACGAGCTAGGTGGTCCCTCCCTTAAAGGGATGCGGTTACCAAAAAGAATGTCAAATTTTGTTTGTTATGCTGCGTTCGAGTTACCTTGAAAGTCAGATGTCGGAGCTGGAAATGACGTCACAGGAAAAAAACAAAATTGGAGTCAGAAACAAGATGGCTACATCTACCGTCTTGTTTCCGCCTCCAATTTCGCTTTTTTCTTACTTGGTAACTAAAACACTGGTAACTCAGGTGTGACATCATTTTCAGTTCCAACATCTGACTTCTGAGGTAACTTGAACGCAGCAAGTGACCACTGCATATATAGACAGTGTTCTTTTTAGCCCATGTGGTGATTTCAACTACAAAATAATGCCTGTCTAATGGCCTGAGGATCACAGTCATCCAGTATGAGTCTCTGTTGTCCCTTTTATGTGAAGATTTCTCTTAACGTTTTCAAGATATATGGAACCTTAAGTAATAAAATCCATAAATTTGATCCAATTTTACCCTCTAAATGTGTTTTATTTTCTTTGTGTTGTGCAGTTTCAACCTGCAGAGACAAGCTGTGCTCATAGGCAGTGGTTTTAGACCCATGCAGTGATTCCCACTACAGAGCCATCCTGTCCAAACTGTTTTGAAACAGTTTCTGGCATTTAATTTAAATTAAGCATATATTTTTTGTGAAGCAATTTTTTCAGTTGCGTCATTTTATTTGATAGTCTTTGCACTAAAATCAATTAAATCGTGTTTCACTGAATTGCAAACGATCAAAGTTTGTCCTTATTAACATTGTGCACACCTTCTTCACTCTAATGGAAATAAGGTTGTAGTTTGAACACCTCAAGGATCTGAAATGTTTTTAAGTATTCAGGACTTACAGTAAATTCTGCACACCAGAGTTTTCCCCCACTCAACCCTGACTAAACGGTCCTCTGGTTACATAACACATTTGTTTTAACTCGAACATTTCGCCTTTCCATAAATCTACAAGGTCTGTTTATGCATCCACAAGGTCTGTTTATGCATTCAATAGACAGAAGGCAAACAAACACCGGCAGCTTGCTGGGTTTTCTAATAAATTAATATGCATTAGAAAATCAGGCAACCAGAAAAAGCAAGTTCACTTTTTTCCCCCTTAGGCTGCCCTTAAGCTAATTGCCATCCAATGGTTATTGGTACCCTTATTTGCAGCAAAATGCTCTTTCACACTGCAAATTAGCTTTATAGCCTCTGGAGGTTATTAAACAAGGATTGGACCACATTGCAGTTAGATTGAAATACCTCAGCGGGTCATGTGTATCATTGGTTTGCTCTAAAAGAAGAAATAGAAGCGCTGTTATGGTGGCAACGCCTGCATGGAGTTTAAATCTACTGTACTTCCCTCTTCGGAGGACCATAAAAACAAAATGAGTCCGAGAGGATCGCAATTAAGGTCTCTAAATCTAAACTAAACTCAGCTATGTCTAAAACAACCCGAGTGTCTCCTCTGCGGTCACTTTTACAATCGAGATGAGTCCTGGAGAGAAGCTGGGGAATGCCTCTCTGGCTATAAAGTGACAGGATGCTCCGGGGTCACACACGGTCAGCTCCCCTGCTCCACATCTTTACGTTCCCTTGTGGCTCAACCCCGCGGCCCAGTCTGGCACAGCTCTGTCCTTTAGAAATGCAGACTTGGCCACAAAAATAGAGCTCGTTCCCGGTACGCTCTCCTCTCTCCTGTAATCTGCGTTACTTCTGGTTTGGCTGATTGGTTGTTGACTTCACGACGCTCAGCTGCTGCTGTCAATTAAAGATTCAGATTCCTTTTCCTCATTTCTCATATGCTTTGTTCTTCCTCAACAAGAAAGAGTAGTTTAAAGAAATGTTTACCTTCTCCGTTTGTTTGTTGGTTTAATCGAGCGTGTAATCATTTTTGAGCTTGGTTTCCCTCAAACTCATAAGATGTGAATAATGTCCGGAAAAGCAAATATGTGCTTGGAGGCGTGCCATGAAAACAGAAAGTGAGGTAATGTTTTTTTTTTTCTTCAGTGGAAAAGGGATGTTTTCAGTCTGCCCTCAACGCCCAGGTAGAAGCAGTGTGTGTTTACTTGTATGTTTTTTAAGGTAAGAAGAAAAGTAGATTCCTTCATACCTTTGTATTACAGCACTTCTCGTCTCCTTCAGAGGAAGAACCACCAGTTGTCCTTCTGAAATACAGTACACACTGTCTGTGTTGTTTATAACAGGAGTTTCCAATGACTGCTTTTACAGTGGAGTTATAAGCATAGAAAGTTCAGATGAGGTCACTCGAAGCCACGAAAGCTCAAAAACAGTCGCCATATGTCCGATTTCTGTGAACAATCAAAAGGAGAAAAACATAGAAGAGGAAAACATACTTCTTCTCACATTGAACAAGTAAGTTTCCAAGACTTTAGCTATTAAACTCCTGTTAAATTTCCCCTTTGCGCTGTAAACTATATGTAAGAATTTAATACAGTCTCCTAGTGGAGGGCAAATGAGGCAAACAGCAAGGCTAAAGCTGGTTTGAATGCACAGCAGCTATTAGGAATGTTCCCCAGGTCTGACGCCCATCTGAATTTTTCCCTATATAAAACTTAAGGAGATCTTTAATGGTTTTATCTCCTTAGCAACACTTTTTTCCAGCTTGGATGTTACAAATGTGTTTCCCTGTCCCAGCCCTCTCTACAGATCTGCGGCTGAGACTCTTGACCTTAACCGTTAGTGTCTCCACATGACAGTATCCTAACAACTACAGCTTACCGTAAAATCCAGAATATGAGTTGCACTGATACATAAGATAAAATCAGTTTTTAGGACGTTTCACAGAGAAAATGGATTTGTATGGTGTTCCTTCGTAACGATAGTGATTACTTTCAACCAAGTCCACAATGTGCCGTTTTTATGCAGCTATGAAGCTCTTTCTGGAGTCAGTTGTTTTTGCTACTCCACTCCGCGTAGTAGTGTCCTCTTTTTGGGGATTCAGAATACGGTCACCCTTAGATCACTGCCTCTGCTGGCCATTTGTAGACTCAAATTGAGGAGTCTTCTCAGCATGCCGCATGATTTAATTAGTCTAACGGTGTTTTCTTTTGATGCAGGATTACGTTTACGCTCGTCTTCCTCACTGTGTTTCCAGCATTCTTTGATCATTTTAAGCGGTCTGCTCCTTTGAGCCCCAAAGGACCCTCCTGGGTTGAAAACCAAAACATGATAAAATACATCTTTTTTTTGCATTTGAATCGGACTAGACTTCCTCATAGATGACCAAAAAAAAGGTACCAAAGTGTATTTTAAAGACACAATGCTCGTTTCCCTCCAGAAACCAATGGTTGCTGCCACTTTGACTGTGTTTGTTTTATTGATTGAAAAGTTAAATCCCCAAATTTACACGTGTAAAGGTTAAATTCTACGATCATGGCTGATATAACTGGTATCTAGATAGCATGATTTGAGTGCATTTTCTCTTTCTACAGTAGTTTATGAATCAGAACTTTCTAGCTTCTGAAAGATTTAACTCATGATTGCACAACAGGCTTGGCTGTCTGACCCTGCAGACCTGTGACGTGTTCCTCCGCTCCGCTGTGCAGCTGTTCTCGGCTTCATGCTTCTGCAGACGGCCCACAGTTAGTCAAACCAAACTTCATGGGACACATCATTTCCTCTGGTTATTTTAAGCCCTCATAAGCAGGGGGGGATGACGACATTTGCTCCGGCCGTCTAACACTGGGATCTGTGTGAACCTCAGCGCACACACACAAACCCCACCCTAGACCCTCTTTCGACAACCCCGTGTGAAGCAACATGCTCCTTTGTTGGTTGTCCCGTCTGGCTATATTTATCTAGCGCAAGCTATTCCAGACTGTCATCTGCCTGATCCCAGGCCTGGTGCTATCCCCAGCCCCCTTGGTTCTGTCTGAACTCTGACTCTAATGAGGCCGTCTGGCGTCAAATTACACAGAACACTTCACGGTCCCTCGGCGCTGCTGATGAAGATTTTCAACAGGATGGTTGCTGGCGCTGATCTGACTTCATGTCAGCATGCTGTGAAAAGTGACACTCCTAAATGCAGCCTCCCGCTGCCGCCGTGGTGTGGAAATGATAGAACAGAGAACACACTTTGGACATGAAATGGGGTGATTGCATATATTTTACATCAGTCAAAATCATCCCGATGGAATAAAAGGAAACCATTAAGGCGCATGCCTTTGGGAAGTTACCCTTTAGGTGTCAAACTTGTCTGCAAAACTCCAGTTTCTATCAACAGCTCAACTTAACTCCTCTTCCCTTTTAGCAGAGACTAATTATAAGCACATGAACTATGAGTTTGGGTCAGTGACTGTATATTAATATGGACCACGTGCCTCATCTCCTCATGTGAGATGCAGGGCCACAATGACGCCTCAGTGGGTGCTCGTGCAGTCAGGGTGTGCACAGAAGAGATACAGCTAGCAGGGACGCAAGACTGACGCAACACCCCTTCAGCTCACCAAAACACATATTTGGCACGTCAAAGACCCTTGATGCCACTAAAATCCACAGTGGACTAGACTCACACAGCAGACTGACAGATATTAGCTGTTTAATCACTCTTGTGTTTGTCGTTAGCCTTTAGCGTGGAGCACTGCAAATAATACAGTCTGACGGAGCTGCTAGCATGGCTGTAGCTCTAAAAAAGTCCACACTTTTTAAAGGCTTGTGACTAAAATATACAGCTGTCAGTGTAAAAAGCTGTCTAGCAACAAGAGTAAACAGCTTTAGGTGATAAAACCGTCGTCTTTTAACTCTGTTTGACTGTCACAACTGTTTCACACTCACCCTGTCCAAAAAAACATCTTGCGTCTATCACCAGCACCTCGCAGCTAAAGCTAAGTCCCCACTTCTTAGAGCAAAAGGCTAATCACTCCTCGGGGTGCTGGACTAATTATAAGCACAAGAACCATTAGTTTGGAGTCTGATGTCTCATGATTAACCACCGTGGCCTTGTGCTTGTGAGTCATAGACCCTCTGGGATGGAGGGAGTCCCCGCACTCACACTGGATTTCTCTGTGTTTAAAATAGTGAGTCACATTCACGTGTGAAGTACTGTCCCTGCTGGACTTGTCAGAATAGCATGCTGGAGTCTCAAAGGGGTAGAGATATGCAGAATGATATTTAAGGCATCTGAACTGAAATATACAACACATGACAGGGCTCGACAGTGTGACCGTTTCACTCACATTTGGGACTAAAAAATAGATGTGTGCGAATTGTGAAATGAATTTAGGGGCTCGTGCGCGTAAAAAAATCAGCTGAGGCCACAAATGTTTTTTCATGTAAATACTGCAGTGAAGTTAGTTTTAGGTTGGATATCCGACAGACATTCACTGTGGATCTACTGGTGTCTTCTCACTCTCCATAACTGGGAATTGCAACAGTAGCGTGGTTAAATCTACTCGGCACCCTAGCTATCAATGTCGGATGTTGAATAAGGGACCGTCAATAAATTACCGGTTGATGTTCTCAGAAAAGGCTGTTTTCCTTCAATAGCCTCCATGTTGCTTGACCAGTCGACCTAGAATTGATTTTGAATAATAGTACTGAGGTCGGACATTAAGACACACCTCTTTTTTTCTCTAATTTGTCCCTCTAAAACATTTTGTGTTAAATTTAAAGGCAACTTTTGAACAGTTCCTTCAATAGCTTCCATGTCACGTGACCAAAAGACCTAAAATTGATTTCAAATAATAGTACCTATGTCTACCAATAAGACTCACATTATTTGATCAGTTTTCATTGTTCCCCTAAAGTTCTTTTTGTACTCCTTACTTTCTCAACTTCGGAGCACATGCGCTCCTTGTGAAAAAAGTGTCAAGCCGTGCATGAATATGAACAATATATAAATTGGTGTCTTGAGCAGCTACTGTGGCGTAGTTTCTTGACTTAAAAGATTCCCAGACATCATCAGGAGTTAGAGGGTCGCTGAGAGAACAAACATTAAACAAATCTGATTGCTAACAGTCCCCGTTTCCAGATCTACATCGGATCTAACACTAAGCATTCTTCAAATGTTGGCTAATTGCGGTACAGTCCCTTTCTCTCAGCCCGGTTGTTTTTGTCTATATTAGGCAAGAGAAGCAGAGGGACAATTTGATTAAAGCCTCCAGTTTTGGCTTCTTACTAACTGACCAAAGCTGGCTCCAGATGTTGGAGTGGAAACCTCAGGCTTTTCCTAACACATCTCAGATGAATCAGCCCTACACTGGAAACATTTCCCATGATTCACACTGCTTTTCCAGCGTTTTAGCAGCCTTATGTTACCCCACTGGCCACAACAGTCTGCTCGCACTGATCAGGACATGTGAGGCACATGCGACGCTGAGTGTTCGACAAAGCGGGCATTGTGCTTAAAATCTGATTTGGGCATTAATTTATCTCATATGATGATGTTTGATAATAACTGATTTTATCACTTGCTGATGGCATTCAGGATAAACATGAAGGAAATATCAGCGCTTTGATCACGGGGGGGAAGCTAAGTTAATAATTGCATCAAAGCCCTTTGGGGGGAAAGCAGAAATTTTGATTTTCTTTGCCTCTTATTCGTTATTTTTGATGGATAAGAGAAACAATAGCAGCCGGAGTGGCGCTGATTGTTCTTTGCTCGACCAAAAAATGATAAAAACAGACAATTCTCCGACAAAAAGAAAAGAAAAAGGAAAAGCCCACAGAGGCCACTCGTATCGGGACATCTGGTCATGCATAATTCCTGCTTATTGAAAACTTGGCAGCTCTGTGATGATGAGAATTTTCTCTGGAGTTTTCATTTTGGGCACTAAACTCCCCGACAGCTCTTATCAAAAATAAACATGCAGAGTTCAGTCGCCGCAGTGAGGGCGGAGTATAAGCCTGTCTTTCTCTCTGTCACAGCAGACCCTGATTTCATGTGTTCTACTTTAAGTCTCAGCACCATTGTGTTGCTTCAGGTATGTGTATTTTTCCCCTAAATGTGGTGCATCTGGGTGCGTTGTTTGTGCCTCTTTTTCCGAGTCTCTGCAGCCCTGTTTACAGTGTTAGTGTCGTCTCTGTTTTATATTCAGTAATCAAAAATAATCCTATTTTCATCCTGTTGCCTGCTGCTGCAAAGACTCAATATCCTCAAAAATATCATGAATCAGATCTAATCTACTGTTCCAGATTTCAGGGCATGTCGAGCTTTTGGCAGAGAAAACGAACCTAATAGGACCGTGTCCTTTTCAAGCCCGAGCTCTTTCCCTGTGTCCACTGTTAGAATACTCTTACTGTCTATTTCCCACCAGTTTTTCCCAGACTGAAATATCTGGACTATTTTTAACTATAGGATGAGTGAGTCTATGCTATGGTCTTTAAAGGATGAGTGCCTTTTTCCTTAGACACATCTGCCTCTTAATCAAGGCTACATTATACATAAGTCCATTAAACTAAGGATTTAACTTCCCTATTAGACCATCATCCTTCATCATACATGAGTCGAAGCATTAGTAAAGTATGAACATGTAAGTAATATAAGAATCAACCTTCAGTCCTGCTGCTGTGAATAAAAAAAAATAGCCTGGCCACCAAAACCAGGCTGTTCTCGTTTCAAGTTTGGCATTTTAAAGTACCGTATGAGTATTGACTTGCTTTGTTGTCCGCAGTTTTTGGTGCTTTTACTACTTCCAACTTTTTTGCTCAAGAGATTGTCACCTCAATTTTGGCTTTATGAAACAGGTCTGTTGACAAAAATTTCCAAAGTCTGGCAACTTCAGTGTACGAAACCGACAAGCCTCTTTCTCAGAGGAAGCGATTGAAACTCTAATAGAACTCCAAATTTTAAACATACGCACAACCCCCTCAGGCTGGAGATGAATCCAGGATGATTACTGCTCATCATTTTTTGTCTTTGTTTTAGTAGTTTGTCGTAAAGACAAATTAGAATCACTTTTGCAGGTGATTAAGGCATTGCAATTTGTGCAATTGAGCAGATTTAAAACAAATGTTTGCCAGAGTTGAAAAATCTAAACTCAAGCAAATCACTTGTGCTGATAACCAATCAACATGGAGATTCCCTGATGATGCATGTTAATGACGGGTTGGTGGTTCATCATCTGGAAAATGGTCATGAAGGTACATGAATAACTAAATATCGAAAGTGAGGAGGTTGGATTATCTGGTAAATTTTAGCCGCCTCAACCATATTTGATGTAAACGAGCTGAAACAGATTGGCGGGGAACCCTCCTCTGTTGCATTACATCACATGTCTAGGCATTCCCATACACCGTGAGTCAATGGCGCCAATTGAGCGACAAAACACCCGACATTCAGGCGTTCAAGTGAAGCAAATTTGTTTCTGTCTGGTCTGAACACAACATTAAATTCAACTTAAAGTCCATTTCTTGTTCTGGTTCACGGTCATGAGTCGCGCCTTTCAATTAGTAAAGCTATGCAGTGCTAAAATAGAAAAAGTCTTGATCGTATCAAAGTAAAATAGTGAACAGTAAATCTAACACGATATTTCTGCAGATTGCTCAAACTCTGTTTTATCTAATCACAGAAAAATCATCTCACATAGAAACATCTTCACAGCATTAGTGTAACACCCGTATTAATGAATGTGTGAAAAAATTATGGTGTATGACAAAAGACGAAACTTTTATTTTGCAAAATTCCCCACTGTGTGTGGAATAAAAGTTTATTTCATTACAAAGCAATCCTCAGGAGTAATGTGGACTATTTCCCTTGCAGCCCTCACCTTGTGCTGCTGCTGCTGCTGCTGTAGGTAGAATTGCTCTAAATTGCACAGCCTCAAGGTAATCACAGTTTCCAAACAATTTCAAATCCCAAATAGCCACTTACAGACTTGAAATCTGGGTGTAGACCATCCGCCGCTAAAGTGCTGCGAAACCCCCTCCCTCAGACTTATCTGATTGACGTGTAAAGGGGTTAAAACAACAAGGGAGCACCCCATGAGATGCCCTTTGACCTTCCGTCGAGGGCCAGAATCTGGGTCTGTGTTTATGTACAGAAACTCTTTTGTGTACACACCCAGGGCTAAATGAGGTCTGTGTGTGTGGGGTGTCTGCCGGGCCCTAAGCAGATCATGGCCCTAAAATATAATCCGAGCAGCCTGTCAGTGACAGCCAGTAACCTCAAAGAGAGCAATGTGGGAAAGATCATCTGCCAGGAGAGTATAGAGTCCTCAAGGCAGGGACGTGCTTTTTTTTTAAGAGGTCTTGCATCACAATGAGCGATGATACGAGCTTTTGAAGTCACCCGGTCCTCTGCTTCGGGTATGACAACAATGCTAGAGATAACATTCACATGGTAAAAGGAAGCGGCATCGATCACGTCTGCTGTGTGGGAAAATTTGATCTTCGTTTATGTCTCTCTCGCTTTCATACCAACTTGCTACAACTTTGGTCTCAGTTTTGGTCATGGCTGTCGGTGTTGACAGTAATTACAAAGCTGAACTGACCAAGCTGATTGCTTGAGATATGAATCATGGTGACACTGCGAGGAAAAAGATGTGAGAGACATAATCATTATATACAGAAGGAACACAGGAGCAGGGCCGGAGAGGCTAAAAAGAGGGGACTTTGGGCAAAACCAAGCCAGTGGCCCCCTTCTCAACCCAGTTTAACTTAAGTTTTTTTTTTTTTCCCACTGTTTTTATTTCAGTTTAGACTGTCTTACTGTCAGTTTCTGTATTCATGATAAAGTTCATTATCTTACTTTAAAAATAATTTTCAAGTACACAGCAGCGGCATGGTGGCTGTCTGGCATGAGTCATGTCCTGCTCAAGGTTTCTGCCTGTTTAAAGGAAGTTTTTCCTCACCACTGTTACTCATGTTAGGTGAGATGGGCCAAAACCCATCTTAGGTTGGTTCTTGATAATTCATCAAACAATAAGTGTGATCTAGACCTGCTCTTGTTCTTTGAAAAGCGTCTTGGGATGACGACTGTTGTGAATTGGCGCTATATAAATACAATTTGATTGATCGATTGATTGACATAAACGAAAACAGCCGTCCTTACCAACGTCTTCATTTATTTAAACAGAGACAATCAAATGTACTTTATGAACTTTTTATTTAAAGGACCAATCTATATCAAGATAGTGTGCAGTTACTCTAGAATAATTCTGATCACTCACTGTCATCCAGTGATCGCTGGTTGATATAAACGCACATGCACTTTTCATGCTTTCATACAAGTTCTAAATGTGTGAAACTGTTGTTCCCCGTGACAATAAGGGATACGAGACATCCCTTGGTCTTCCACAGTGTTGACTAGCAGTCAGCCATGAGTACTGTTGATCACTGAACAGGTCTGTGACACTAAAAAAGTGAAAAAGAGAGTTTGTGATGTGGTCGAACATCAGTCTGATTTACTGCGTCTGTATGCTTAGCTCATATGCGGCGACTCAAACTCAGATTTTGAGTGTTCATCTTACTCTGACCTGCTGACTGTGTCGAGGAGAGCGTGCAAACTTAGTGCAGTTTTAAAATACTACATATTTATTTCTGAATGTGCTAGCACTGACAGCTCCTATGAGATCTCATGGGTCTCATATGATACCTAATGAAATAACATTTACATTCTGTCAAAGATGTGTTTGTAGAATAACCAAACTTTAAACTATCACAAAGTTCAAACCACACTGAACTCGGGGCCTTTGGGACTCTGTGGAGTTGGGCCCCTCTGGGCAACTGCCCTGTTGGTTATTTCTCCAGCTCCAAACTAAGTCCAATTTATTTGGAAGAAAATCCAAAGGCCGTGTGTGAAATAATCACCCAAACTGTACAAATAGCCAGAGCAGTTAGCAGACTGCCCACATGGTCCACCTTTGACTTTCCAAGCTGTCCTAATAACAGGCTCATTTCCTATCAGTTTTCCATCCAAAATAATCAGATTCAGTCGATCTGGCTCAGAGACTTTAGGTGTTCCTGCTCCCTGTATGATTTCTAGAACTTATATTGGATGTTTTCGTTAAGCTATCACATTAGCAAGCGATTTGAATGGTGTTCAAAGCTGCAGAAACGGCATCATTATGTTGGATGAATGAGAAAATCCCTTTTACATAGAAGTCTTTGGGTGAATAAATGCCAATAATGCCACCGACTGGATTCAAAGAGAGTTTTTTTTTTGTCATTTAACATTGAGCTCTTAGCTGAGATGATTATCTGACATGGCAGCTCATTGTCCTGCTCAAGGACACATCTTAACAGGAATTAAATCAGTTACAGTAGTCAAGCTTTCAACATTTCCATTATGTGGCCAACACTCTAATCAGAGGAAGACATCCTGCTCTCTGTTGTGGCTGCAGGTTAGACATGAAACTCTACCTGAAACTACAAGAGGAAGTTATGGAGAGGAAAAGAGCGAGGTTGGGCACGTTGCCCATACAGCTAACTTTAGATTCTTCGGATGATGTTTTGCCCGGGGCCAGAATCCCCCCTAAAAACACTTAATAAACCATGAGTCACTGAAAGTTTCTCTCTGAAAGTGCCGGATGAAACACCAGGCAGGCAGAAGTGTGGGAGGTTATATCATATTAGAAAAGTTATCAATATTGATCACCTCTCGGAGATGTTATGAGGGTCTCATTTTCATGCAGCCAAAAGGACAAGCTAGTCAATATGTCTGCCAAAGTGCAAGAGTGACACATGGGGTGTGCTGAAGTCTGAGAAGAAACGCACAACCCCTTGATGCATACTTCTGCTAGAAAAAAACCCACAAAATTTCATAAAAAATAAGCATAAATCTTGTTTTTGCAGTGAAAATATTCACACTATTACAAGAGTGTTTTCTTTTCTGCTCCCTCTCTGTTATGGGTGAAGGGCCGTATTTGTCAGCATCAACAGTTTTAATATAAACTCTGGTAAATAATCTTAGATTGTATAATTCCCTCCTCAGATATTCCTCCCAAGGTTCAAGTGGACACATATTTTGTGGACGTTGAGCCCCCTCCACTCACATATGGAGGCATTTCCACGGAGAGTAAGCAGATGAGTGTCTGTGCATTCTGCTCTGCATTTATAATCACTCTGGTTTTCTTGTTTGGATTGACTCCAAACGCCAGATTTCTATTCTGTCCTAACATTTGTGTGGTGTTTAAACTAGGAGGTGAGGGCAGGGTCACAGAGTGTGGCTGTGGGACCAGCACAACACTAATCTCATCAATTTCCCAATGCAAATATTGGACTTATTAATCCTCTGTGCAGACACTTGCAGTCACACCGTGCTCCCTGCCAGCTCTCGAGGAACACATGGAGGCCTTGTTGCAGACACTTCACAAAGCCCAGGCAAATTGCATGTTTATTTTTTTTTCTTGTTACCATGGAGACATTATACTCAAGAGGAGATAGAGGGCTCATATGCAGTCTAGGGATGCGAATCCTCTCGTTAAGCTTTGCAATTGAAAATGCAAACACATACAGCACAGAGACTTCTCAGGAAACAGTGAAAAATGTGCAGAAATGTTTAGAGTGGACGCGGCTGATCTTATTATGGGCTGTTCGGACAATTTAAGAAAAGGATGAGTAAGTTAGGGCGTGGTAATTCAATCCATGCCTCTCTTGATTCAGTCAAAAATCTTTCCTTGAATCTTCCTGCTCCTCACAAATTGGAAAGATATTTTCGCTAACTCAATTAGTTGTGCAAACTTAGTTGGACAGGAGTTTTGTGTTCTCCTCATTTCATCTGTTCGTCCATCTGTTTTTCTGTCAGGTTGGATTTGTATTCTGCGAAAACCAAATCTTCGCAAATTCATTTTCAGAAAAGTACAAACGACAAAACAAAAGACAACTGAAAAGAAAACTTTGTAGCAGGATTGGTAATTGGGCGAAAGAAGAAGTCATTAACCTTCTTTCACAGGGGAGTGGCAGAGGAAGTGGCTCCCACAGAAGCCTATTACTCACATACAGATTAACACCCAACTTTGTATTCCTATCAACAAACAACAAAAACAGAAGAAACGACATCTATTTCCATGCCAACCAAACAGTGTGTAATCACTAGAGGGCAATTTATAGCTTGGAAATAACTACCCTGCCTTTTTTTTCCCCCCCGAACTCTGGTGAAGTGGTGGTTGAACAGCCGCCTCAGAGGCCTCTGAAATGATCCTGAGCTGGAGGCTGTTTGAAAAGGAACAGGAACATGTCATGTCCAATTTCAGATAGAGCCGTGATAAAGTGAGCATCCTTTGATTTGAGAAGAAAGTGCCGTCACATGGCTGCAAAATACAGAACCCTGCTGCTCAGCTACTTTCAATGGTTAAGAAAATAAAAGAACAAGATACGCGTCTCTGAGAGGCCTGAGAGGTACAACCTAAAAAAGCCCCCGAAGTCCCATAACGTCAAATTTCCTACAAGATGGGAACTCTTGTACACAAGAAAACATCTTGTCTCCCCAATACAATCTTGAGTGAACAAGATAGCTTGAATATTTTGTGCATACAGGTTATTACTTCTGGCAACCTGCAACTTATCTTGTGCACGAAAGTTGTTTTCTCTTGGGATCAGGCTACTATCTTGTGCACACTTACAGTTATCTTGCTGGCAACAAAATAACAATCTTGTGGGAAATAGTTATTATCCAGTGAAGACCAGTTACCATCCTGCAGAAGATAATGACTTGTTTTAACCAGATAATGACTCTCTTGTGGAGAAATGATGATTTGTGCACCCACAAGAATATCTTGTTCCCAAAATGTGTCATGTGCGCACAAGATTTTAACTTGTTCCTTCAAGATATTATATTTTTTAGGGTATTCGGTTTATAATACCAATAAGTTATTTGGTTTAGTGTCAAAAGAAATTAAGTTGCTATCTTGCTGTAACAAGTTATTATCTTGTGCCACAAAAACACTGTTTTTGGGAACAAGATATTATCCCGTGTATATGTTGTGCACAAGTCAAAACTTAGGCTTTGAAAGTTAACTTTAACCTGTGTGCACAAGATAATCATTTAAATGTCCTCTGGTACAAGTTATCTTGTGATCCAGTCCTAGTTATCTTGTGCACACAAGATTTTAACGTAGACAAACAAGATAACAGCTCACAAGCAATAGATTTTAACTTACCAATTACCACAAAACAATCATATTCTGCTTTTTTATACATATATATATATATATATTTTTTTATTCGACACAAGTTCGTATCTTGTGCGCACATGATTAAGTATTTTGCTTTTTGGGCCTATAGGGCTTCTGTAGTTATCAATCACTGCTGTATTGTGGATTTGTGGGTCATGCACCAAAAGGCTTATCAGAGAGGCCTTTAAGCATGAATGCTAAGACATACCGGCTTTGAAACATTAAATTTCATATCTTCATACGTTGTCTTTATATATTCTACAGCGAGCAAAGATTATCAAATTGATTCGGCGAGCTCCTGCTTGTGCTCACACTGCATCATAATTGTTCCTGAGGCTGCTATGTGGGCGGAAGAAGCACGATGGCGTAAGACGATGGGAAAGTGGTAGGCTGAAGAAACTTAAGAGATTCTTAAAGGAAGAGAAACAAGTAGGAGTGGGTGCAGGTAGACTCTGTGGACCTTGGAGGAAGAGTGCGGATATCAAAGATCGCTGGGGGATCTGGTGCCACATGACCTGTAAGATTTTAACAAGCAAACATGGGGGAGAAATGAAACCTCCTGCAGGCCCTCCTGGTAGTTGGTGGTCGACTTCCCCTGACAGCATGTGGCAGGCATTTTGTGGAGTGCAGGGGGGCCAAAAATCTAATCAGCGATTTGGTACATCTGGTCAACATTAGCATTTAGCTCTCCAGGGTCAATGGGTGAATCCTGTTCACACTGAGGCTGCAAGAATCCTGCCAGTGGATAATTAAATGATGAGAAAGCGTTCCTGCGTAGAGTTTGTCTGCTTTTTTCAGACGTGATTTTGAACGGAGGAAGAATTGATTGAACATTTGTGGAAAATTAGATCTTCTGCATCGTTTAACCCAGCTAGCTCTTGCTTTGACACTAAGTACTGTGTGTGTGAAGTCTGTCTGCAAACTGGGAGGCGAAAAAGTCACTCCGGATTGACGTGTTTGCTTTAGTGCGCGGCTACTTTTTCAGCCATCATCACGCCGTTCAGCGGGGTTTATCTATAAATGAGCAAACAGACGGGCAGATGACTCCTCTTATGTGTGTGTGGGGGGGAATCACAACTGAAGGAAGAGCTAGATCCAGCTCCCCAGCTGAGCTTTGATTTCGTGCCACTGAAACAAGGCGATACTCCTCCGTACAGATCAAGAGCCACTATTTCACTCGAGCTGCCAGTGTGACACTCGCAGAGAGGTTCGCCTGGATCTAATTGGAGTGGAATTTGCAGCGAGAGATTGAAGATCTGACAGCCGGCATGGGGGGACAAAGGGCTCCACAGCTGTTCCAAGTCCAAGGCCCATCCTGCCAATACGCCATGTGTATAATTTTGCGCTGAGATGAGTTAGTTCGGCTGTTAGACAACGCTGTGTCATACCAGATTTGCCTCACCCGAAGACTGTACTCAACTCCACTTCAAAACCTCTCAAACAAACACGCTCTCCACGGGGGGCAAGTGTCACAGCGGTCGACTCCCAGCCATGACCCTTTGGTGTATGTCCCCCCTACTGAACAGGCTGAATTACTAGCTGGATCAACAATGTAGGTCTATACCTTCAAAATACCCACATAGTTTGCTGTTTTGATTCCCAGCGGCAGTTTCTTAATATAGGGTCATAAAAACGGACGGTTTTCCAGCCAGTGCCAGAGCGGAGCACGTCCAGAAGGAAGAAGCATTAACAGACCTCAGTGAGGGAAAAGAAAATTGTTGTTAATCCACCACTAACAGCAGGGAGAGGAGGACGCACTGCTGCATGATATCACTTTGAAAAAGGTACATCTGTTGCTGACTTCATGCACTATAGAGCCATTGTACGGGCTTTGGCCTTCCAGCATCCCCCTCCAGAGCTCGCACACTGCCTCTCTCACTCCTTCCCCAGCCCCCCCCCGTCTCTCCCTCCCATTCTCCCCCACCCTCTTTCACTTTCATCTCTCCTCCCCGGCTGGATAAGGAGCAGCTCTGCCTCCCCTTCTGCAACTGTGTACCACCATCTGAAAGAGCCATTCATTGCTGCCGGCAGAGGGACCTGAGCTCACCTCCTAACCGCAGAGGGCTCGAAAAAACTTCACTACCTCCTGCCTTTTGGCACCGGGCTTTCAATGCAAACATACTCGAGGTAAATGCGCTCTCACACTCAGCCCGGCACGGACTGAAAAGTGATGAAAAATCCTCTGCGCTAGATGACAAATCGACAGATGTTGCATCAGACCGTGGACCAGGGTGAGACCCTTGGCACATCCTCACCCCTCATGTATTGAGTTTCATCCAAGAAAGGGAAGATTTCAGTGCTGAGAAATGAATGGCATGAAGCTGTGAGAGGAAGAGGGCAGCTGAAAAGTCAAGAAAATAAACAGGACCTGTTGTGGAGTTTACTTAAAAACTTTATCTAAGCCTGATTTCGGTGCAAGTTTCAGTAAAAGTTTGTTAACTTGGGTTTGAGGTGTTTGCCCGTCGGCTCGCCTCGCTCTGATTTATGCATCTGGGAAGCCTCTGACAGGGACAGTGATCTGATCTCCTTCAGTGCATCCCTGACAGAAGGGAGCAGGACACAAAGAGAGTGATTTGCAGCAGCACTTACCTCCGTGACCGGGGCTGGGGAGGCAGAGCAGCAGGGTCAGGAAGGCGCCGACCAGGAGCGAATGCAGGGCTCTCATGTTTGCGTGCTGAAAGTTAAGTCCTCCACTCTAACGTTAAAGACACTCCATTCAGAGGGGACTGAATGAGTTTTCCAGTTTTGGGACCTGCTACAGGATACTCCTCTATGTGGAGAAGGGGCTGGGCCAGGGAGGGACCATGGGAGGGACGCCTTCTTCAGTCAAACCCCCCCTACAGCCTTCTGCAGTACACTTATATATATACACACACACTCACACACACATGCATCTTTGAAGACTGGAAAACTATATCCTGCCTCTCCCTTCTGCCCCTGCTTTTACAAATGCAAGACAAGCTGCTGCACAAATATGAGGAATTAGAGGTTTGCAAACACAGATACACACATTTTAGAAACATGCTGCTTTTACCCCGCTTATCTCTCACTCCTGCTCTCCCTCCTTTTGTCTTCTTTAATAAATGAAATGGCCTTCAGGGACCTGCAGCTGCCTTCTGCAAGGATAACCCTTTTTACCTTTAATTAAAGACAAATCGGGTGGCCTGACTCCTTTTTCTCTCAGCCTTTTCCTTGATCAATGTCTCCCTCTTTATGCTGTTTTTCAACAAACCTGCTCCTGAAGCTAATTAAACTGCACTTTAGCGCTGAGTACCGGTGGGCTGTGTGAGATTTCCATTGGCTATCTTTCGTCCATTGATTGGCAACACAAAGGAAAAGTTGCTTTAGTTATCAAATGCACACAAAGAGGGACTTCACATGTGTGTGTGTGTGTGTGTGTGTTGTTGCTGATTGTTCCCCTCTTTTATTCCCCCTTTTAGTTTTAGTAATGAACACGCACACTCCTCAGAAGGTTTAGTATTTTCTGGTTGGATGCGAAGATTAAACCTCGAGTTTACTCTCACTGCCTGAATGTTCAATTTCACCCGTCTCACAGTCAGCCGGTTAGCAAATTATTCCTCGTTCTTTCTGATAGCTGAAATGGGAATACAATTAAAATTTCCCTAACACTTCCTCTCAGGTGTGGAATAAGTTCACAACATTAATTCACCGCTGAGTGCAGCCTGTGCACTTCAAATTGAGTTTTTCTCTTCAGCTGAACAAACAGTTTCTTCGAAATCCTCTTCAAATTAGCGAGAGGATAAAATATGATAAAACGGTGCAATACATGAGAATGAATAGTGCAAATGAAATGAAAGGAAGAGTCTATTTTCTTATTAATTTGTGCAGAAACTCCTGCTGTCAGAGGATGTACGGCTCTGGGGGCTGTGTGGAATAGCAAATGATTATGATATTGATTTTGGCCAACACCCATAACACGATCCCAGTTGTTTAACTAATAATTTTTCGTTTTTTTTCTTTACTTTTGCTTCTAAAATGTGTATTTATGCACACAAGTGGACAGGAAAGGTTCAAATTTTGTAAACAAATTCATACAATATACATAAATTTTCTTAAATACTATTTCAAATTAAAGCCGCAGTGAGGAACTTTTGGTTTGTGTTGGTTCTGGCGCCCCCCTGTGGACAAAATTACACATCTTTGTCCTGTTGTGGTGTTTTCATATATTTAGCCTCATCCTATTGCCTCCTTTAAGTGAAATGCATGACTCACTCTGAGTATTCGCCATGGAAACCAATAAAAAGTGCCCCCCCCTTACAGTGATATTTTTATTTATCTTTTTATTTTAGTGCTTTTAGTTTGGGCAATTGTTTCAGTTCAAGAGAAAGGAGCTACTTTGGGTGAAACTGATAGTGTCAATACTGCAGTACACGCCATTATCCAGCGGGGGGGAGCAAAAGGGCTGTGTCTCTCTACTTGTCAGGCTGAATTACGACTTTTTTGTTATTTTGCTGTCTGTCTCACTTTTGAACATCAGGATCAGACCTGTCAGAAACTATCAATTTTAAACATACTTCAGAAAAGGCCAAATAACATGAACGAACAAGAGTCCACATTTATTCAGCTTGGTAAATACAGAAAAAAGCCTCTTAAATGTAACTTGTTAAACTGTTGAAGTTTCTTACTCACCTTTTATTGATATAAGATATAAGATAAAAATGAAAAAAAAAAGGAAAAATGTACCCGGCACTCGTGGCTAATGGTGAAATCCTCTGTCTCGGTGCATCATGAAGTCTAAATTCACTCATTTGTCATGAATTGCTGCAGTTTTTGAGTCCTTTCTGGTAAATTTTCAGCAGTTTTCAAACGTGATGAATTTTCCCTCCTCTCTAAATACTTGCAGCACATTTCTTTTTGCAAATTGTCATCCTGTTATCTTCTTGGGAAACAATGCCACTTTCACTCTTGTCAGCTCATTGCTTCTGCTCTTGTTCTCCCTCTCTGTGCTTCGTGATGGATCATATACCTCCACCTACTGTGACAGATGTTAATAAGTAAAAGTAAGCAACTTCTGTTGGTTGTTTTTGTCAGATGAAATTGAAAGATGATATCAAAACAGTCCCTTATTTATTACCCTTTCCCAGGAACAACCAGTAGGTAACAAAGGAGGAAACATGTAAAAGGAAGTGTCCTTCCAGGGGGGGGAGAGGATCAGATCCAAAATATCAAGTTTGAGACTTTCTCCTCAGTCATGACTGAAACCTGTATCCACACAGGAGTTCAGCTTTCATCTGAATCTTCTGATCTGTGCAGAAAAGAACAAGTTCTCCTTCAATCAAACCTCTCTCTTTGGATCAACAGCACCTCCAGTGGCAAACAGCACTCCAGCTCCACACTGAGGGGGCATTCATATGAGGGTAGAGACAACAAACACGGCGAATATGAAGCACACATCTCATTTCTTTACTCTGCAAAAAGACTGTTCGGTACCGTAGCTGTAAGAAAACCTGTAAAATAACACATGGCACCTGTAACACGACACTGTTTATCTCAGGCAACCTCTCCTGACACCACTGCCAGGCTGATGATTTCAGCATGAGGCGTGCTACAATTATAACGCTCTCTCTGAGGCTGAGCCAAACGTTTGCACTGATGACATACTCTGAACTCCTCCTCGGGGATGCATAATTTACCCTGTAGGGGTGTCACCCACTGATATGAGTGGGCTCCTGCAGTATGTGAGCGCAGAGGCAGACAGGCACCAGTGGCCCTCTTAGTGTGAGCACTTCATCGGATCTAAGTAGATGTATGTGATCCTGCCTTTATCAAAGTAATACGATGCAATTTATGAAGTTGTTCTTGGCTTAATAATGCATGGATGTGCCTTAATTAAAGATGTCCTGCAGAGTTTGCATTGTAAACAAACAGGGCTCTGTTTACATCCAAGTCTTCTCAACAAAACACATCATATATGTACCCTTAAGGCCCAAAAACATGCTGAACACATTTCCCACCTTGTAAAACATCAACAAAGCGTTTTAATCTTTTGAGATCTGTTTTGATTAAAGCTGCATGTGCTCTACATCTTTTTATCATCTTTTATAGCTGAATCGTTGCGTTTTTATGGCGAAATTTAAGCCTTGTGCAACCATGTGTTCAAAAAACACAGGATAGTGATAATGGAAAATTCACAAACATAAACAATACCATAACATTTGGAATAAAAGACGCATTTTTACACATTTTTTTCTGCGAGATATGCAGATGGGTCGAATATATAATTAAAAATAGAGAAAAAGGTCTCATTACGATACAGTATTTTACCCAGAAGATGGCGCCCCAAGCAGGCAGTCTTTACTGCTGCATGCTTGGATCAATAGTGACATCAACCAGGCTAGAGGCACCACTTGAACAGCTTTTCTCCTCACCGCAGTATATCTTTAAGTAGTGAATTGAAAAGACAGTTGTGGTGGATTGGGGGGACTGTGCATGAAATGGTTGCAGGGAGAGGGTTTGTCCAGATTTGTCCTTTTAAAATGATGCCAAGTTAACTTCAAGTAATGTCCCGGAAGCTAGCAAGAGGTGGAAACAGATGAGATCCACACAGCTGCATGAATTTTCACATTGTGGTCACATAAAAATCATGTAGGGGAGAGTATGTGTGAATGTCCTCGTCGCCATGTAGCATCTGTGCGCTGCAGATGGACTAAGATTGCAGGATTTGGTGCAACAATGAAGGCATGCTGTCAATTTATTTGTCTGAGAAATAGAAGGATCCGAACTCTGCTGGTTCATGGTGAGATGGATCACAGACAACTCGAGCAAAAGCATACAGTCTTTGTAGATCTGAAGTAATCCATGAATTTTAGGATATAATGTTTGGATTAGACTTTCGTGTTTCACACATTGATTTTGAGCAGAATTAACAGATTAACTGATATCAAAGTTTAACGTCTATGGAAATGGATAAACCGTTAATGTAGTTAAACTTTGGGATTAATCGTGCCCACATCTGCAGACTTTACGGTACCTCAGAGGCTAATGTAGTTGACATTTTGGGCATTGACAAAGCCAACATATTTTTTTATGCTAACAATGCTGGCAGACATGCTGCTTTATCTGCTGTTGTTTCTTTGTTTTGGTCTCCACCAGCTCTGCATGTGCATGTGCACTCAACGTAAAAAACAAAAACAGAAAATTAACAACAGTAGCTTGAATGAGGTTTTTTTTTTTTTACACACATTCACTCTTTTTCATTGTGGTTATCATCTAACTTTTCATTACCGAGCTGCTATCACTTGATGTTGGTTATGCACTTATAGTCCTAAACTGCTGATCTCTGGTCAAAAACCAAAACAATGTCCTAAAAGTCATCCAAATGCCGTGCAGAGCTGATTAAATCATCTTCAACTGCCTTTAAAGGCTAACCAGACTGTTGAATGCCACCTGGGCTGACTCATGACTTAAAACTGTGAGACAAGATAGACTGAACTCTGAACTGCAGACTCATCTGGTCCGGATTAAAATACCAAGGTCAAACTTTTCCTCCTCCACCGGGTCATCTCATTCGTTGTTCATACAGGAATATTTATAGCGAATCAAAGTGATAGCTTAACATGATTTTCTCCATATGCGTATCAAAAGAGTCAGCAGAGAGAGCAATCATTCCCTCTATACTGGCAGCAGATTTATTCCCACCACATGTGTAATATGAAACACAAGGACAACATTCACAGTCTTGCTGCTGGCATAGTTTCTAAAATGAATGTAAGGCTAACACAAAAGCTTTAGTCTGACAAACGAGTGTGGTATATAACAAAAATACTACACTTACAGTCTAAAATCCTTCCATTGTACTGCAGTCCTTCCCTCGAGGCTCAGCATGGCAGCAGTCTGAGTAAACACAATGCAGACATTTTGCCTCAAACACACTGTAACACTAGATCCCCTTGTGATTTGACTAATGCAGAATGATGAAGGATTATATTAGCAGAAGATATGTCGAAGAATGTGTTTGAGACCGAAAGAGGAGTGTGGATTTTGTCCATCATCTCTTATGTTTTCACATTTCTCCAAAAAGAAAATCTAATCTTTCCTCAGCCTGAATATGAACGTCGCACTTGATTCCATCAGACAATATCAACGCTCCTGAGTTTGCAAACAGGTCAGACATCCTTATCAGATCGAAACACCTCCCCCGAGCTGATGTGATCCTTGGAAAGTGGGAAGTTTTGCTAAAATACCGCCCCTCAAATCCTCTTGTGCAGAAGAAGCTCAGCTTTCACCGCGCAGTCTCAGATGTCACCTCCGTGTTGCTGCAGCCGTCTGGCCTGACCGCCGCTCTGCTCACAAAAGCTCCAGACTTGATTAAACCGCAGCGAGTATGTCAATGTTATTCCAGATGTTTTCTTTTCCCCCTACCACTGTCAGGACCAGAACTTGAGCCAAATGCCGCACAATCACAGTGGTGTCTTTTGATCAGTATGATTTACTGCTGTTAAAATACTGTGTAATAATCGAATAGTCTCTGAACAAAGAGCTTAAGTGCCACTGGCTGCTACAAAGATCCTGCTGTGGGAAAATAGACTTGTTTCATAATAGCTGCTCTTAATTCTTTCCAGAAACTATCCATTTTCTATGCCTTTTAGGTAAATGGCCTCTTTTTGTTGTCCTTTTAAAGGCCCACTTTCTGTCGCTCACTTACTCAGTAACTTCATGTTATCACTGTATAGCTCCTCCGTTTTTTCCTCCTCCTTAATCTTTGACAAACTATATTGAGAATAAACCGAAACCACCTGTTTAACATCAACGCTCCCCACGCAGCATCAGCCTCGAGCGAAGGCTGCTGGACGGGGTTTTATGAGTGGAAAGAAGTTGTCGGAGGAGGTTACAGGTTGCAGCCCCTGTCATTTAACAGCGCAGGTTAACACTTTGATGAGTCAATGTGAAGGAAAGCAGCGCACCAAGAGGCAAAGTTCAAGGTGACGCTAACTCTTGACGTGGCGAAGACGGTGGCTCTCAAGGTGTTATCTGTTAGTCATCATAGTTATTGTGGGAAAGTCTCAACAGCTGAAGAAATAAAAGAGGAAACAAGTAGATTAAGTTTCTCATCCACTGTTTGTACCTTTACCTTACCTCCATATATTTCTAAACTTTCAACTACCTCCATTATAAATAAACTAATCAGCAGCAGGGGTGTGTCCAGACCCTTTTAAACCAGGAGGGCCCAAGCAGAGCTCATGCTTATACATGGGTAGAATCAAAAATGTACCTAACACACAAAAGTTACTGCTTACCTTTCCCTAAACATTCACCAATACAGATGCAATACAATGCGATAAGATATAAAACAATTCACTTGGTCATAGTAACAGGCAATACCAGAACAACATGATAAATTTTACATTATAGTAAAACTCACTTTCTTTTCCTAGCAGGGAAATTGATTTAGACTGCAGCGCTATAACTTAAAAAAAAGGATGGGGATGGTATAATCCATGATGCATATGTTCAGCCTTAAACACAACAGGGATGTCATAGTTTCACATTTTCACTTCACATACACATTATTATTGCCAACAAACTCTTTGTTATGATGTTGTTGCAATATTCATAAAAAACTTTTGAATTAAAAAGTGAAAACTAGTTAAAGTAGGGAAAAGTAAGATGAGGACTTCAGTGTACTTATTACCTATCACCATCCTATTCTGAGGATGGTCTTAAAGTTATGCTTAATCAGCAGCTCGGTGATAAAAACTGCTTAATAGAATAAAATGGCCTCCGAAAATGATTGTTTGTGACCCTCCATAGGGGGATTTTTTCAATGTTTCATGTATTTTAAACATGCTTTTATTTTGAAATGAAGTATACATTACTTACTGTGTACTAAAAGTTACAAAACTGAATGAAACTCTTACAAATATAAATGTTTAATTTTCAAAGGCTGCTACAACTAGCTAGATGCTACTCCTGCTTCTTCTTCATCTGCTTTTTGTATAATGTTTGGTGAAGAACTGCTTCTGTGCTCTTGATATTAAAGGGAATTACCATGGTCTTGTTTGAGCACAATGTCAATATTCATCTGTATTTATCTTATTAAAAAGATAGTTATTGTTAATACATATTGTGACAACCCTAATAATGCAACTTGTGTAAGTGCTAAATGCGTGCGATCTTTGAGAGATAGGTTGCATTGGTTGTTCCTGAATATTTTGTTTAATAATCAAGCATTTCAGTCATTTTATCATAAAAAAAGTCCAAAGTTCGTGACGTTTCTGACTTTGCTACACCAGAAAGATGACTCGATTTGTGGAGAAAATAAACAGTTCAATTATCTCCTGAAAAAAACGATCAGTAATCTTGGTCCTCCACCTCCTAATCCTTCCATCTGACTTTATTTTTATGTATGAACTCTCCAACCTTGCTCCATGTGACCTAATACATCTCAGAGATTGTATGAATTTCAAGTGTTTCCGTCTGGGAACGAACCCTGTGCTCCAGCGAGGAATTTGTCACATACAGTATTAAGATAAGATTAGCATTCAGGGCCTCTGTATATGATTTCTGTATGTGGACTCATATACAACCTGCACTGGGGTTTCCAGCAGTCCTCTATGATTTATTTTATTTTGCTGGAATAGTCGTTTAAATAAAGCCATTTTAAGCTGTAAGCATCTGCTGTATGTCAGCCGCTCCCTCAGAGAAAGAGGTGCTACATCGAGATTAACAAGTCGCGAAGGTGTTGATTGAATTCAGATTGTGAGGCCTGATGTCAAGCACACAGGAACACAGAATTGTCAGAACTAATTATTAAAGAGGCGTTATAATCAATAGAAAATGATCCATACTGCATGTTCTGCACCCACAACGATTGCCAACCCACGCTGAAAGTTAGAAATATGTCGCAGTCTTTATCAAAGGGTTCCTAATGTCAGACAGCTAAACAGCATGGCGAATATAATTTTACAGGCTCCTATTTTCTGCAGCAACATGAACAGACGCTGCTTGTCAGAGTCACTTTCTTCTCCTCCGTAAGCTTATTACAGCCTTTTTTTTGACAATCCATCGACAGTGTCAACTTAATTTGCCTGTCTCACCTCAGCAAATGCATGACACCGCTGTAAAAAGGGTTGACTCATCGCTGTGTGCAAACATGTTCACTGTGATTTCTGACACATTATTTGTGTCACTTTCATTTTTTTTTCCAACTTCACTGATCACTTTTTTTTTAGATGTGTTTGCAGAAGGAGGGAGGAGGATTAGGGTTGCCAATCAAACACTTTCAAGTGATAGAACTCGATAATAAGGGGATGCAGCCCGAACTGTGTTTTGGCGTTTGCTGTAAACTTCATTTCAGAGTCTTAATCTCCATTAGCATGTCGCTTTCACAGGCACGAGACTCCTTGGCTAAATCCTCACCACATCCAGCTTGTTTATCTTTCCCCTGACAGCTTTGTGACTTTGAATCTCCGTCCCTAATGCCATGCTGTGGGGCGCATTGTCGCAGAGAGATCTGGGATCCTCAGGTATTAAAGGATGCTTTAAGAAGGAGAGACAAATTACACACAGAGATGCTTGGAAAATGGAGGATAAACTGTTAATGAAAAAAGACTTCAAGCTATTAAAAAGATAAACATAGCGCACATCAAACACATCAGACAATAGACACAGAGAGGGTTCGAGTTTTCCATTATTTCCCCAAAATAAAATCCCAGAGCTTTGCTAACCAACAGTTATTTTATTAACTATGTTTTCATTCGTATTAGCGAAGTTCAGTTAATGTTTAAGGTTTAGAGGAGAGATCTCCTCATATATCTGTTTTCTAATGCTGTCCTTCGAATGCCTGAAACCCCAGTCAGTTCGTATCCTGCTTCATAAAATGGGCTTTTATTTTGAAAATACTGGAGGACTGCCTATCCAAAGGTTAAATGAGTGAAAAATCAACAAAGCAAGTCATGAATTAAAATTTTCTTGAAATGTCCCCAAAACATGCATGAGGCGAGTTTTGCAGGGATTTTACTATCTACTGTCAAGTCTTGTGCTGTGTTCCAGTAACCTCGGAAGTTGAGCATCAGAGCAGGGAATGACGTTACACTAGAGTTGACTGTGTTCTGGTTAACAAGTTGGAAAACCGAGATGGACGCCTACTGTTGTAATGTTAAACCATTGTTAGCTGTTTTCTATGTATTTTTTAGCTGTTGTTAGCCATTGTTAGCTGTTGTTAGCTGTTGTTAGCTCTTTCCTATGTTTTTTAGCCATTGTTAGCTGTTGTAGTTCTGTTTTCTAAGTTTTTTAGCTGTTGTTAGCCATTGTTAGCTGTTGTTAGCTCTTTCCTATGTTTTTTAGCCATTGTTAGCAGTTGTAGTTCTGTTTTCTGAGATGGACGCCTACTGTTGTAATGTTAAACCATTGTTAGCTGTTTTCTATGTATTTTTTAGCTGTTGTTAGCCATTGTTAGCCGTTGTTAGCTGTTGTTGGCTGTTGTTGGCTGTTAGCTGCTTTCTATGTTTTTTTTTAGCCGTTGTTAGCTGTTGTTAGCTGCTTTCTATGTTTTTTTTTAGCTGTTGTTAGGTGTTGTTGGCTGTTTTCTATGTTCTTTTAGCCGTTGTTAGGTGTTGTTAGGTGTTGTTGGCTGTTTTCTTTGTTTTTTAGCTATTGTTAGCCATTGATAGCTGTTTTCTATGGTTTTTGCTATTGTTAGCTGTTGTTAACTGTTGTTAGCTATACCAGTTGGAAACAACGCATAACATGGTATTGTACACATACAAACGCCACAGTACCATGTCCATAGTGAGACGTTGGACAGTACTATATATCCCACTTGTTTAATTTCCCCTAACAAAACAGAAGTGATAATAAATAATACATCACGAGAGCATTTACTGTTTCTGTTTACTGTTAATGCGCAGTGCTGCCATCTTGGATTATGACATTGTGGTCAAGTCTGGTTTGGTGAGGATCGGCTGACTTTCTGAGTTGGAAATCCAACTTTAGGGGAGCATTCCAGATGAATTTCTGACTGGGAACTCAGAAAATCTGACTTCTCAGTACTACTGGACCTACATAACTTCAGGAAACATGCAACGGCTGGATTTGAGGGTTGTAAATAAGGCATGCCATAAACCACCATTGAGTGAATTGTGGGTCTAAGTGGCCAAATGACAGTGACAAATTAAAGTGATGGAAGTGATGTCAGCCCTCATGCATTCATGTACAGGAAGTTAACATCATGTACATCTCCGGCCTTATACCGTTTTGGGGATTTTAGATAAGATCTTACAATCGTCAGTACAAGTGTCTGACCTTTTCAGTGATATATGCG